AACTCAAGGAAAGCGGTATGTTGTACATGTAAATTACCAGCTATGTTTCTTGGACATTCGCTAATACGCCGTAGGTGTGGGTGTCAGTGCAACATTGGAGATACTGCAGACAGAGAACCCACACGTACCGCTCCTGCCGCGGGACATATACAACGCGAGAGCAGCCATCAACCGCAACCCTCAGAAGATCACTGCTGCTTTGGCCGACGACCGGCCAGCCATCTACAGCAAGCCACATCCCAGCGCTGAGGAACGCATCAGGGCCGACCTGCGGCGTGAGCTCGCCAAGGCCAAAGAGGAGTTCGAGAAAGTGAAAGAGGACAACGAAAAGAAGATCAGCGAGCTGGAGGACAAACTCCGCGAGAAGGACAAGATCATCAAGAAGTACGAGATGTTTGTTGACCTGTGCAATGAGCGCGTGATGATCCAGCGGGAGAAACTCAAGGACATCGATGACAATGGTAATGCCAGCAGGCCTTGATCAGGAGAATAAGAGGGAGTTGAAGAAAAGGTGACCACAACCAGAAAGGGAACAGACTACGAGTATCACGGTTTCACGCATTGATAATGGATTCAGCCAGGCATAAGATGGGGGTGGGCATTATGGTTCTGGGTCTGGTTGTTTCTTGGATCTGGGGTCAGTGGCGTTGACTTGATTTGTACCGAGAGAATGGTGGGCAAAAAGGCAAGATATCATCGGCAGGCAGGCCGTGGGAATGAAGGCCAGTCAACCAACTCATGGCGTTATCTGCATACCGTCCAAGTCCGTGTCTTGGCCCCGCGGGCATGAATTCGAGGCCCAACCGCGCGCACGAAGTCAAAGTAGACTCAGACTGCGCCGGTCCTGTCGCATTAAAATGACCGACAACATGACACCGGCGCGGTGGAAGCGTCTGGCGGCCGAAAAGCTTGACGAGCTCCGGAGGGTGTGTGAATTTGTCTGCCATGTGAATGTGAGAACTGTTGGTAGGTGGCACACATGTACACCCTGCCGGCTGGCCGGTCGACGTACTGTACAAAGGTAGACTAGGTAAAGTAGACCACCTAGGTACTGCTCGGCGTGCATGAATGCCGGCAGGCGTCGAGACCAATCAAATCCAGGTACCCGCTCTCCCGCATGCTCCCAGTCGCGACAGGGGTCCTCCAACGGGCAGCGCGTGGCTCGAAGCTGCCCGAGTTTTGGAAGTCAACACTGGTGCCAGTTCTGGTGGTGGTTCAGTTCATGCTGGAATTTGATACTCCAGGGCTTTAATGACCGTCCGCCATCAAACCACCTCCCTGCCAGCGCAACATCCATTTTCCCCCATCGCCCGCTTTCGCTCATGAGACCAGGGCATTTGTTACAGCAACGAGATACCCCTTCAAGCTGCTTTGATTTCTTGCTTCTTTCGTCCTCGCCATTACCTGCTTGCCCTTGCCCGGCTCGGTGACCCCTTAATCGACCTGTATCCCGGCACCTCAGGCTTATAGATCATCGCCTGCGAACGTCGGAGAGACATGACCACGATATTCTAAGCGGTCAAACCCTCCCACCACGACAACGCCCACCATGGACGCGGCCGTGTCACCACAGCCCCCGGGCACGCCTGTGAATGGCAACGGTGCCAACGGCATCAACGGTGTCAATCCAGGCGCCCCTCTCGTTGCCATGGATCCCGCCCGCGTCGTCGAGCATCTGGCACATCTGCTTGAGGCCGCCCTTGGCGCATCGCGCGACGAGCTCGAAGCTACTGGCAGCCTCCTGTCAAAAGCACGATACAACGACACATTACAACGATGTACCCGCTTCGCCAACGACGCAGTCGTGTCTTTGTACATACAAAAAGACCTCCCCGCCACCCCTCAACTAGAAAATGGCGACGTGGATTCGAGTATGGCGCCTGCCCCCTCCGTCCTCCCAACTCCGTTCGATGGCACACATGCTAACTGTGATTCCTCAGAACCATCACAACACACATACACTATCGCATCCGACTTGTTCTCAGCAGCAACCACCGTTGCGTTCCTGGTCCTCCTGAAGCGCCCTCAGCCCCTCGATCCATCCGCGCCCCTCGCCTCACAGCTTCAAGTGCTGAATCTTCCCGGCCCAGCTTACCTTGCAGCCACCGCTGGCGAGCAAGGCCCGGCAGCCTCGCCCTTCGAATATCTACAGCTCTTCCTGCACAACGGTCTGGCGCCATACTTCGATGCAAGCACCAAGAGCCAGCAGATGATCGGCGGCGTCCGCGGCAGAGCTGATGTCGACGCCAAGACTGGTATACCTGTGACGAAGAAGAGGTGGACTGAGCTGGAGCTGAGCTTGTCACATTTGCAGCAGAATGTCGAGATCCCAGAGGTTCTCCTGCCGTTCCATCCAACGGTGCAGAACGCCCTCGATGATGCGGCATCTCGCCAGATCAAGCCCTCACTCGATATGATACCGCCCGCCCTCCTCCAGGACAGCACCTTCCTGAACCAGTTGCAGACGAATGTGAACAACTGGATCAAATCTATCCAGGCAATCACCAAGATGAACCGTGACCCAACCACCGGAACGGCCAACCAGGAGATCAATTTTTGGCTGTCCATGGAGGCAGCACTTGGTGGCATCGAGACTCAGCTGGGAAGCGATGGTGTCCGTTTGACTCTGGAGATCTTGAAGCACGCGAAGCGTTTCCAGGCAACTGTCAGTTTCGGAGCAGACACGGGGCTGAAAGAAGCCATGGATACAGTCCAAAAGTACAACCAGCTGATGCGCGACTTTCCCTTGGACGAGCTCCTCTCGGCAACCTCGCTGCCCAAGGTACGGGATGCTATTGACCAGATATTCACCCACCTGAACAAGAAACTCCGCATCTGCCCATACCCCATTCGACGGGCCTTACCTTTGGTCGAGGCCTTCTCAGCGGACCTGGATGAGGTTCTGCACCGCCTTCTTCCAGGAACGGAGTTGGTCGATCTTGATTATCAGGAGTTCAGCAACGTCATGCGCCTGACGGACAACGTCTTCAAGGCTTGGGACGATAATAGAAAGGCTTTCACAGATGTCGCTCGTGATGTCACCAGGCGGAGGAACGAGAAGTTCATCCCTATCAAGATCAACCCCAAACACGTCGAGCTTCAGTCTCGACTGAAATATGTCAGCAACTTCCGCGACAATCACGAGCAATTGCAGAAGACGATTGTCAACGTTCTTGGTCCCAAAGCGACTGTGACTGAACTGGTTGACGGCGCAAACGCGGAAGGCGTCGTCGTTGAAGAGATGGGCGACGTCGATGCGGTCGAGGAGGTCAAGCAAGCCTGGGAAGCTCTTAGGAACGTGGACCTACTTGATGTTTCAACAGAAGGGACTCAGCGATGGGTCAAGGCCGAAGAGACTTACAACGAACGGACATCTCGCGTTGAGAACTCCATCATCGCTCGGCTGCGGGACCGTCTTGCCACAGCCAAGAATGCGAACGAAATGTTCCGCGTGTTCTCCAAATTCAACGCGCTTTTTGTGCGGCCGAAGATCCGAGGCGCTATCGCAGAGTACCAAACCCAGCTCATTGACAATGTTAAGCTGGCCATCAACTCCCTTCATGAGCGCTTCAAGCAGCAATACGGACATTCTGAGGCGCACGCCATGGCACAGTTGCATGACCTGCCACCCGTCTCTGGGGCTATCATTTGGGCTCGTCAAATCGAGCGCCAACTCGACGGATATATGAAGAAAGTCGAGGACGTCCTCGGTTCCGAATGGGCGCTTCACACCGAAGGTCAGAAGCTTAAGAACGACAGCGAGCTGTTCCGAAAGAAGCTGAACACCCGGCCGATATACGAGGCTTGGCTTCATGATGTGCAGAGAAAAACATCACCATCTCGGGGCTCATCTTCACCATCAGCAAGATCCGGGCTGCTGGAAACGTCCTGGAGCTTCAGATCAACTTCGACGGGCAAGTCATTGCCTTGTTCAAAGAGGTCCGAAACCTCATGTGGCTTAATTACAGTGTACCTCACGCCATCAACAGCGTCTCGAAAGAGGCCAAGAGAGTCTATCCTTTTGCCGTGAGCCTCATGGAGAGCGTCAGGACTTATGCGCAGACCGATCGCCAGATCGCGGACATGCCGGACGTCTCCGTACTGCTTGGCGGTCTTCGGAACGAAGTCCAGGAGCTTGTCCGCAAGGGCATGCCGCTCAGATGGGAGTCCTTCAACAACATGTATGAGTTACATTTCAGAGCGGACTCATCAAAGGGCGAAAGCAAGCACGTCACTTTCGTCAAAGAATTCTCTGTGGCGGTGTCACAGCTCCAGTTCAAGACCATGACATTGGCCTCCATCAACGCAACCATCCAGAAGGCTCTTGCTGAGCTTAGTTCTTGCCCGTACGAAGCATCGGAATTTGATTCACGGCTCAAAATCATCCAAGACGCAGTGGACCAGTTGAACCTGGAGCAATACGTGAATTTGGGCTACTGGGTCGACGGCATGAACTCCCATATCAAGGAGGTCCTGCTGATCCGCCTTCAACGCGCAATGTCGGCTTGGATTGAGGCCTTTGAGGATGACCATTTCGAGGGTGACGATTCGCGTCGGAGGGGACACGGAGATGGTGCTGTAAACGCCAAATCTGACAAGCCAACCATGAGACAGCTGATACATGAAATCACGATGCGGAACCAGGTCATCTATCTCGACCCTCCCTTGGAATACGCACGTGCTAGCTGGTTCCTCCAGCTTCAAGACTGGCTTGGCGTCGTCTGCAACCTGAAGAAGATCAAGGCCACTCGCTACCAAATGAGCCTAAGTCTCAACACGACGGCTCAAGATGAGCCTCGGTTTAACGACCTCCCCGCTGAGTGCACCGAGATGCTCATTCGTGTCCATGGCTCCGTTGACAAGAAGCTTCAGGAGATTGGGGCATACGTCGACAAGTGGCTGCAGTTCCAGTCCTTATGGGACTTGCAGTCTGATCAAGTCTACGAAATACTTGGTGACCAGCTCTCGCGATGGCTGCAGCTCCTGCAGGAGCTCCGCAAAACGCGATCGACATTTGACACATCAGAGGTCAGCCGCTCATTCGGCCATGTCACCATCGATTACGACCAGGTACAAACCAAGGTCAATGCCAAGTATGATCAATGGCAGCATGATATCCTGCTCAAGTTTGCTAGTCGTCTTGGAAACCGCATGCGGGAGGTCCATGCTGAGATCGAGAAAGCCCGGCGAGATTTGGAAAGCCATAGTCTGGAAGCATCGTCCACGGCGCAAGCCGTACAGTTCATCACCATTGTGCAGAGTTGCAAACGGCAGGTCAAGCTTTGGGCACCAGAGGTTGAGATCTTCCGCCAAGGCGAATCCACCCTTGTGAGGCAGCGGTACCAGTTCCCCAATGACTGGCTTCATGCGGAACAGGTAGACGGCATGTGGGACGCACTGAACGAGCTTCTAGCGCGCAAATCGAAGATTGTCCAGGATCAGACGGACGCCTTGCGAGCAAAGATCACCGCCGAGGACAAGGTCGTCGCCGATAAAATCACCGAGGTGGCACAGCAGTGGAATGAGGAGAAGCCAGTGTCTGGCACTATACCTCCTGACGAGGCCAATGCCACTCTGAGCTCTTTCGAGATCAGGATCACTCAGCTTCAGGAAGAATTCGCCATGGTCTCCAAGGCCAAGGAAGCCCTCGACCTTCCTGCGTCCGCAGATTCGTCTCTTGGTGTGATATTGGAAGAGGTTCAAGACTTCAAATCTGTCTGGGCTTCACTTTCCCTGATATGGAAGAGTCTGAACGAGCTTCGCGAGATGCTATGGACTAGCGTTCAGCCGAGAAAGATCAGATCATCGATTGATAGCCTCATCAAGATGACGAAGGAGATGCCCAGCAGGATGCGGCAGTACGCCGCGTTTGAGCACATCCAGAACATTCTTCGGCAGTACCTGAAAGTCAACTCTCTGCTAGGGGACCTCAAGTCAGAGGCGGTACGGGACCGACACTGGACTAAGATCTGGAAGCAGATCAAGCCTGGCAAGCGATATTCTCCCGTCTCCATGACATTAGGAGATGTTTGGGACCTCAACCTCGTGGCGACCGAAGTCATCATCAAGGACGTGATTGCTCAAGCCCAGGGCGAGATGGCCCTTGAAGAGTTCCTCCGGCAGGTGAAGGAGGACTGGACGAATTACCATCTCGAACTCGTCAACTACCAGAATAAGTGCCGTCTCATTCGAGGTTGGGATGAGCTGTTCGCAAAGTGCAGCGAGAACCTAAACTCGCTACAGGCAATGAAGCACTCTCCGTACTACAAAGAATTTGAGGAGGAGGCCTCGACCTGGGAGGATAGGCTCAATCGCGTGCACGTCCTCTTCGACGTCTGGATCGATGTTCAACGCCAATGGGTCTACCTCGAGGGTGTTTTTACTGGCAACGCGGATATCAAGCACCTGCTTCCAATTGAGTCTTCGAGGTTCCAGAACATCAACAGCGAGTTCTCGGCGGTTATGAAGAAGGTCTACAAGCAGCCTACTGTCCTTGACGTCCTTAACATACCGAATGTACAAAAATCTCTGGAGCGTTTGGCGGAGCTGCTCAACAAGATCCAGAAAGCGCTCGGCGAGTATCTCGAGAAGGAGCGTGTCTCATTCCCTCGATTCTATTTCGTCGGTGACGAAGATCTGCTGGAAATGATCGGCAATAGCAACGACACTTTGCGAATTGCTAAGCACTTCAAAAAGATGTTTGCTGGTCTCTCTGGTCTCGTCATGGACGAGGAGGGTGTTATTTCCGGCTTTACCTCCAAGGAGGGCGAGATCGTGCGACTCAAGAAGGAAATCTCGGTAATCAAGACTCCGAAGATCAACGACTGGCTCGCGCTCCTGGAAAGCGGGATGAAAGCAACGCTTGCCGAGTTACTGGCTGAGGCTGTCGAACAATACACGCCCATTTTCTCCAGCGAGAAGATCGAGCAATCTGCCCTGAGCGATTTCATGTCAGCTTATCCAAGTCAGATTGTGGTCTTGGCAACTCAGGTTGTTTGGACCACTGCCATTGACCAGGCCCTCAATGATGGCGGCAAAGACCTCCAAGCTTTGTTCGAGCGGGAGGTCCAGGTGCTCCGCCTTCTCGCTGACACGGTCTTGGGTGACCTGGAGGTACTGATGAGGAAGAAGTGCGAGCAGCTCATCACCGAATGCGTTCATCAGCGAGATGTCATTGAGAAGCTTGTGAAGCTCAATGCAACGACTCCAACACACTACATGTGGCTCCTCCAGATGCGTTATGTCTACACTCCTCAGGGCGAATTCCTAGACCGCCTCCACATCAAGATGGCGAACGCAAAGCTCAACTACGGCTTCGAGTATCTCGGTGTCCCTGACAGGCTTGTTCGAACGCCTCTCACTGACAGGTGCTTCCTCACTCTCACACAAGGACTGTGCCAGCGTCTGGGAGGGTCTCCTTATGGCCCTGCCGGTACCGGCAAGACAGAGTCTGTCAAGGCGCTTGGCGTTGAGCTCGGCAGATTCACTCTGGTCTTCTGCTGTGATGACACTTTCGACTTCCAGGCCATGGGTCGTATTTTCCTCGGTATTTGCCAGGTCGGAGCTTGGGGCTGTTTCGACGAGTTCAACCGTCTCGAAGAGCGTATTCTGTCTGCAGTCTCCCAACAGATCCAGAACATTCAACTCGGTCTCAAACAGGGCGCTGAGGATGACAAAGCTCAGATTGAGCTTGTAGGTCGCCAACTTCACGTCAATGAGGACACGGGCATCTTCATCACGATGAACCCCGGCTATGCTGGTCGGTCCAATCTGCCAGACAACCTCAAGAAGCTCTTCCGCAGTGTGGCCATGTCGAAGCCTGACAAGGAGCTTATCGCCGAAGTCATGCTGTACTCCCAAGGCTTCAACCAGGCTAAGCAACTGTCAAAGCACACAGTACCTTTCTTCGACGAATGCTCAGCCAAGCTTTCGAAACAAGCGCATTACGACTTCGGCCTGCGTGCTTTGAAGAGCGTCCTAGTAAGCTCTGGTGGACTGAAACGTGCCCGACTCATCGAGAGCGGGGGCGACCTGGGCGCAGAGGAAGTAGTTGAGCCGGAGATCATTGTCCAAAGCATCCGCGAGACCATTGCGCCCAAGCTGATCAAGTCTGATGTCGACATTATGATGGATATCGAAGAGGTCTGCTTCCCCGGCGTCAAGTACGTCCCGGCCAACCTGCAAAGTTTGGAGGAGGCAATCCGCCGCTTGGCAGACGAAAGGCAACTCGTTGTCAACGAAACCTGGATGACGAAGATTCTTCAGCTGTATCAAATCCAGAAGATCCATCATGGTGTCATGATGGTCGGAAATTCAGGATCAGGAAAGTCGGCTGCCTGGAGGTTGCTTCTTGACGCACTTCAGCAAGTCGAGAGTGTGGAGGGCGTCTCCCACGTCATCGACTCAAAAGTCATGTCCAAGGAGGCACTGTACGGAAACCTCGACTCCACCACCCGAGAATGGACAGATGGTCTGTTCACAAGCATTCTTCGGAAAATCGTGGACAACCTTCGTGGCGAGGACACCAAGCGCCACTGGATTGTCTTTGATGGCGATGTCGATCCCGAGTGGGTTGAAAACTTGAACAGTGTGCTCGATGACAATAAGCTGCTCACCCTTCCCAATGGCGAGCGTCTCAACTTGCCGCCTAATGTCCGCATAATGTTCGAGGTGGAGACCCTGAAGTACGCCACGCTCGCAACAGTCAGTAGATGCGGTATGGTCTGGTTCAGCGAAGACACTGTCACGCCTAGCATGATGGTGACCAACTACCTCGAGACACTTCGCACGGTTGCCTTCGAAGATCTAGACGAAGACGCGGTAGCCACCGGACAGAGCTCTGCGAAGGCCCTAGCCGTGCAAACGCACGCTGCTGATCTCCTCCGCTCGCATCTCGAGTCTGAGGGCTTTATCCTGGCCGCTTTGCAGCAAGCAGAGAACTACAACCACATCATGGAGTTCACAGTGGCCAGAGTGCTCAACACCCTGTTTTCTCTGCTGAACAAGGCTGTCCGCGACATCATCGAGTACAACTCCCAGCATGTTGACTTCGCTCTGGATCCCGAGCAGGTGGAAGGTTTCATTGCCAAGAAGCTCCTGCTTGCTCTGGTCTGGGCTCTAACCGGCGACTGTCCATTAAATGATCGCAAGGCATTCGGCGACAGCCTATGCGGTCTTGCAGATTTCGGGTCACCTCCATTGGATGGGTCCAGCGCCCTGATTGATTTCGATGTCTCTCTCCCACAAGCCGAATGGACACCTTGGCAGAACCAGGTACCGACGATCGAAGTCAACACACACTCTATCACTCAGACCGATGTGGTCATTCCGACTCTGGACACTGTCCGGCACGAAGATGTCCTGTACTCATGGTTGGCTGAACACAAGCCTCTTCTCCTGTGCGGACCGCCAGGCTCTGGTAAGACGATGACGCTATTCAGTGCGTTGCGCAAGCTGCCAAATATGGAAGTCGTTGGCCTCAACTTCTCGAGTGCTACTACACCCGACCTCCTGATCAAGACGTTCGAGCAATACTGCGAGTATAAGAAGACACTGAATGGAGTGACGCTGTCTCCAACTCAAATTGGGCGTTGGCTCGTCATATTCTGTGACGAGATCAATTTGCCAGCTCCGGATAGATACGGCACGCAGAGAGCCATATCCTTCATTCGTCAGCTAGTCGAGCACAACGGCTTCTGGAGAACTTCCGACAAGTCATGGGTGACCCTCGACAGGATCCAGTTCGTCGGCGCTTGCAACCCACCTACAGATGCCGGACGTACGCCTATGGCCGCTCGTTTCCTGCGACATGCTCCTCTGATCATGGTTGACTACCCAGGCGAGCAATCCCTCCACCAGATCTACGGAACATTCAACTCTGCCGTGCTCAAGATCATCCCCTCACTACGCGGCTATGCAGAGGCGCTTACTCAGTCCATGGTCCGGTTCTTCCTCGACTCCCAGCAACGTTTCACGACTAAGATCCAGCCCCATTACGTGTACAGTCCGCGTGAATTGACTCGCTGGGTTCGTGGTGTGTATGAGGCAATCCGACCTCTCGAGACTTTGTCCGTTGAGGGCTTGGTACGGATATGGGCGCACGAGGCTTTGCGTCTCTTCCAAGATCGACTTGTTGCTGAAGAAGAGCGCAAGTGGACCGACGACGCTGTACGCAGAATTGCGATGGACTTCTTCCCGACTATCGATGAACAGCAGGCACTAGGTGGCCCCATCCTCTACTCCAACTGGCTCTCAAAGAACTATGTGCCGGTCGACCGGGAACAACTTCGTGACTTCGTCAAGGCTCGCCTCAAGACCTTCTGCGAGGAGGAGGTTGATGTGCCACTCATCTTGTTCAACGATGTTCTGGAGCACGTCCTTCGCATTGATCGTGTTTTCCGGCAGCCCCAAGGTCATCTCATTCTCATTGGCGTCAGCGGTTCGGGAAAGACAACCCTATCTCGCTTCGTCGCATGGATGAATGGTCTAAAGGTCTACCAAATCAAGGTGCACGGCAAGTACTCAGCCGAGGACTTCGACGAGGACCTGAGGGAAGTCTTGCGGCGTTGCGGCTGCAAGGGCGAGAAAATGTGCTTCATCATGGACGAATCTAACGTGCTCGACTCTGGGTTCCTTGAGAGAATGAACACGTTGCTCGCCAATGCTGAGGTCCCTGGCCTCTTCGAAGGTGACGACTTCGCAGCCTTGATGACGGCCTGCAAGGAAGGTGCACAACGGCAGGGATTACTCCTTGATTCCCAGGAGGAGCTGTACAAGTGGTTCACCTCGCAAATCGTCAAGAACTTGCACGTCGTCTTCACGATGAACCCGCCAGAGGATGGCCTCTCTTCCAAGGCTGCCACCAGTCCAGCCTTGTTCAACCGTTGTGTTCTCAACTGGTTCGGCGATTGGTCTGATCAAGCCCTGTTCCAGGTCGCTCACGAGTTGACGCACTCTGTGGATCTTGACCGCTCCAACTTCCAAGCACCCGACACGATTCCCATCGCATACCGTGGCCTCAGCCTGCCTCCTTCACACAGAGAATCAGTTGTCAACTCTATGGTCTACATTCACTACTCCCTTCAGCGCTTCAATGTGAAATTGCTGAAGCAGCAGGGCAAGGTCACCTTTTTGACACCGCGTCACTTCTTGGATTTCGTGGCGCAGTATGTCAAGCTGTACAATGAAAAGCGCGAGGATCTTGAAGAACAACAGCGCCATCTCAACGTCGGTCTTGAGAAGCTGAGGGACACTGTAGACAAGGTCAGAGACCTCCGCGAGAGTCTTGCTGAGAAGAAGGCCCAGCTGGAGCAGAAAGATATCGAGGCAAATGAGAAGCTGCAACGCATGGTTGCCGACCAAAGGGAGGCTGAACAGCGCAAGAACACGTCTCTAGAAGTCCAGGCCGCGCTCGAGAAGCAAGAAGCCGAGGTCGCAACGAGGAAGAAGGTTGTGCTGGAAGATCTGGCGAAGGCAGAGCCTGCAGTCGAGGAAGCCAAAGCCAGTGTCAGCAACATCAAGCGTCAGCATCTGACTGAAGTCCGGTCCATGAACACGCCGCCGCAGGGCGTCAAGCTTGCACTGGATTCCGTCTGCACACTTATCGGTCACAAGGTCAATGATTGGAAAGCTGTTCAGGCCGTTGTGCGACGAGACGACTTTATTGCAAGCATCATCAACTTCAACAATGAGAAGCAGATGACCAGGAACCTTCGGGTGAAGATGAGAAACGAATTCTTATCCAACCCCGAATTCACATTTGAGAGGGTCAACCGCGCCAGTAAGGCTTGTGGTCCTCTAGTCCAGTGGGTGGAGGCTCAAGTCAACTTTGCCGAGATCCTCGACAGAGTTGGTCCACTGAGGGCGGAGGTCGAGCAGCTGGAGGAGCAGGCTTTGCAGACCAAGGCTGAAGCCAAAGCGATCGAGAACAACATCGCCCACCTGGAGCAGAGCATCGCCACTTACAAGACCGAGTATGCGGCGCTGATTAGCGAGACACAGGCTATCAAATCAGAGATGTCCAGGGTGCAGTTCAAGGTCGACCGAAGCGTCAAGCTGCTCGACAGCCTTTCTTCTGAGCGTGTCCGTTGGGAAGAGGGCAGCAAGTCCTTCGAGACACAGATCAGCACATTGGTGGGAGACGTGCTTGTCGCCGCTGCGTTCCTTGCCTACAGTGGTCTATACGACCAGACGTTCCGCAAGTCCATGATGGAGGACTGGCTGCACCAGCTGCACCTGTCTGGTATTCAGTTCAAGCCGCACAACCCCATGACTGAATACTTGTCCACCGCCGATGAGCGTCTCGGATGGCATGAAAACAGCTTGCCCGTGGATGACTTGTGCACTGAGAACGCCATCGTCCTGAAGCGCTTCAATAGGTACCCGTTGATTATCGATCCTTCGGGCAGAGTCAATGAGTTCCTGCAAAAGGAGTGCAAGGACCGTCGCTTGACCGTCACCAGTTTCTTGGATGACTCCTTCACCAAGCAGCTTGAGAGCTCGCTCCGTTTCGGCAACCCAATTCTCATCCAGGATGCGGAGCATCTCGACCCCATCCTCAACCACGTGCTCAACAAAGAGTACCAGAAGACAGGAGGTCGTGTACTTATACAGCTCGGAAAGCAGCAGATCGATTTCTCACCGGCCTTCAAGCTCTACCTTTCCACGAGGGACCCATCTGCGACATTTGCACCGGACATCTGCAGTCGAACCACGTTTGTCAACTTCACCGTCACACAGAGCAGTCTCCAGACTCAGTCGCTTAACGATGCGCTGAAGTCCGAGCGGCCAGATGTCGATGAGAGGCGATCGAACCTCATCAAGCTACAGGGCGAGTTCAAGGTCCACTTGCGACAGCTTGAGAAGCGCCTGCTGCAAGCACTAAACGAATCCCGCGGCAACATCCTGGATGACGATAATGTCATTGAAACGTTGGAGACCCTCAAGACTGAAGCGGCGGAGATTTCAGCCAAGATGAGCAACACTGAAGGCGTCATGGCTGAGGTCGAGCAGATCACGCTTGAGTACGATGTCATTGCCAAGTCTTGCAGTGCTGTATACGCTGTCCTTGAACAGCTTCACTACCTTAACCACTTCTATCAGTTCTCCTTGCAGTACTTCCTCGACATCTTCCACGGCGTGCTCCATGGCAATCCAAACCTGGCAAAGGAGACCAATCACAAAGTCCGTCGTGACATTATCGTCAGGGATTTGTTCATCGCCGCATTCAAGAGGACTGCTCTTGGTCTACTCCAGAAAGACCGCATTACTCTTGCCATGCTCCTCGCCCAAGCGTCCCCATACAAGATGGACGGCAGTCTCATTGACAACATCCTGGACGACAAGATTGAGGGCAAGGATGTCTCCACTGTGGCGGAGGCTAAGGAAGAGGCATTCGCACGAGCCAGGAAGCTGCCAAGTCTGAAGGAGAGACTCGACCAGGTCCCCTCAAGCGACTGGGACCAGTTCTTCTCCCAGGAGCTTGCTGAGAATTTCGTTCCAAAGGTCTGGGACGACAGCACAGATGACAACGACAAGGCTCTCATATCCCTGCTCCTGGTGAAGCTTTTCCGTCTTGACCGCTTTGTTCCTGCGGCAGAGCGCTTCGTGGCCTTGGTGTTCGGACCCGAACTGTTCGATATTGTGGAAGATCTCAAGGCTACCGTGACCCAGGTACCCGCCACACGACCGATTGCCTTGGTCTCTAGCCCTGGCTTCGATGCCAGTTACAAAGTTGACAGCCTGGTGGAGAGAACACGTGTTAGATGCACGAATATCGCTATGGGTTCCAACGAAGGTGTTGCGAGCGCCGACAAAGCAATCACTAACGCGGCTCAAATGGGATCTTGGGTACTGGTCAAGAATGTCCATCTCGCACCAACTTGGCTGCAGAGCCTCGAGAAACGCATGGAGTCACTCAACCCCAACCCGGAGTTCAGGCTCTTCCTATCCATGGAGGCGAGCCCCAAGATCCCCGTCAACCTGCTCCGTGCCTCTCGTGTGCTCATGTACGAGCAACCTGCTGGTGTCAGGGCCAACATGAAAGATTCGATGTCTTCGCTTTCCGCACGACCCTCGAAGAGCCCTGTTGAGCGGCAGAGGCTCTACCTGCTGCTTTCCTTCCTGCATGCCGTTGTTCAAGAGCGCTTGCGTTATGCGCCTAGTCTTGGTTGGAAGGGTTTCTGGGAGTTCAATGACAGCGATGTGAGTAATTTGTCTTCCAACTGAGTTGTGGCTCGAACTGACAGATTTTAGTATGAATGCTCGGCCTTTGTGATCGATACGTGGGTCGAAACAGTCGCCCAAAACCGGACAAACATTGCACCTCAGAATATCCCCTGGGAAATGATTCGGTACCTCGTCACAGAAACCTACGGCGGCAAAATCGACGACGAGGGCGACTACAAGCTCCTCACGGAGCTCGTCCACTCCTTCCTAACACCCGCAGCCTACGATATTGGCCACAAGCTGGTTGACGGCGGTGACAAGGAGGGCAACCTAGAGGTGCCGTCGGGCACGTCTATGCAGGACTTTATGGGATGGATCCACAAGCTTCCCGAGCGCGAGCCGCCCACGTATCTGGGCTTGCCGGCCAATGCGGAGAAGCTGTTGCTCGTCGGGCTCGGGCAGAGCATGATCCAGAACTTGAGGAAGGTGACGGACCTGCTGGACGAGGGTGAGCAATTGGTGACTGAAGCAGCGCAGGCTGCGTAATAGGGTAGTGGCGGACACAATGTCCGACTGGGAGAGTGCGTGCTCGCACACAGGGAGAGAGCAGGTGGGAGGTGGTCGCGTCTTGTTTTCTTGGGATCATCACAGCATTTTGGTCTCTTTTTCTAGGGTCTACTCATCTATCTGGGCGTCTGGCGGAAGAGAAGCTGGGAACTTGGTTGCTGCCTTCGTCACAGACAGATACCCCTTTACCGAGAGATGGCTTCTTTTGTGTCATGTTTGTATTTAGACTTTGTGGAGAAATTCAGTTGAATATTTCTCATTGCTTGATACTAGGAGTGCAGGCAACCCAACCTCGCCATAGCTCATCTGAACGAACTGCTCCGTCCGGGCAAAGGGCAAACAGGTCGGCGATTCCCGTGGGGATCAAGGGCCGAGTGATCCGGGAGCCCCAGCCTTGCCGATCGGCTGTGGTGGGTATGGGTACGCTGGTACCACAGTAGTTTCAACGGGCTTGCGTGTTGTGGCGCCCACAGTCAGTTTTGCGTGCGACCCATCTTGGAGCAGGTGGTGGAGCCAGCCATGCGGGGTCCTCAGCCTTCGGAGCCCGCTTAGAGAAGGAAAGAAAAATGCGTCCACAAAGAGATCTTGAGCCGATGGGCCGGGACTTGGGCCATGAGCTGTTTCTGCCCCCATCTGCCCATGGGGGCCGCTGTCCAGATCCATTTCATGGTTGGTTGGCTGGGATGATATCCTGGTGAAGCCTGGGTGATCACGTTGAGGGATCGTCGCGGTTGTGGCGCGTACGTCAAGAGCTCTGGTGGGTCTAGCCCTGCTGCCACGACATTCAACTGCGGGGCAGGTACCGTGTACATCCCGCATAGAAGCTTCGGTGAAGGGAAAAAGTCCTGTTCTCTCTCACAGACGAGGGGCCTGCTCGGCCGTTCGGCAGCGTGCAAAAGTCCAACAACACTTGTATCAATGTAACGCCCGGCGACCACAGCTGGCATCTGCAGGAAAGCTGTTTGTCACGAACAAGAAGCTGGGCGGCAAGAGGACTGTAGCAGTACTTGTTGAGCCACACCTGCAGGGCATGGCAGGGCAGTCAGCCTAACGGCATTCCGAGCAAGTGACGCAACAATGAAGCTGCTGGCGTGTTTCGAGCCACCATTGCTGCCTCTCTGCGTTTTGTTCCGTGGCATACGCAGGGATCTCGTTTGCTTGACCAAGGGCTGCAGTCGAACAGTCGGCCGATCAATCAATTGGATGCGACGCGCAGGTTTGCAACACAGGTACAGTACCCAGTGGAAAGTGGCACCCGGACAGATACCCGGTCAACACGCCCACCCACTCTTGGTCCCTCTTGTGACGAACTTCTCACCTTAAAGACTTGGCCTACCTCTTTTTTTTTTTTTTTTTTTTCCTTCCCTTCCTCCAGTGTCGATCCCAGCCGTGTCACACGCTCTTCCTTCATGTAAGGTCTGTAACAGCTGTGCGACCCACGCCTGATCCTTTCACTCCTGCGCCACCTGCAGCTTCCAGATCTTATAAGAGATCTGCCCGCTCATCGTAAACCGCACCCTGGACTTCTGTTTGGACAAGCTCGCTTTACTCCTCCAGCTCTGCCAGAGGAAGGTATCCGTGTCTCCAATCAGTTCAGCCTCCCGCCACATAGTAATCAGTCCGTACATTGCGCGCCATGGACCGAGTCAAACAGGGTATGTTGCCGCCCATCTCCATCTATTCAGCAAACCTGTGGTGAGGTGACACACCCTGACCTGGCTTTCATGTAGCAAATCCTTTCGCGAAGAGGGAGTCCCATCCCCCTGCGGCCGTCCTCACCTACAAGGTCCTGACAATCCTGACATGGCTGCTCTCGGTCATCGCCTCGGTGTACTACTCGGTTAGGGTCCCCCGCCGACGATATCAAGCACGGCAGGACCATCGAGGGCCAGAACTACCTGCACTGGTCCGGCTTCACGCTCAACTTTGTGATCATATATGTCTACTTGTGAGCTCCAGACCCATCAGATCCCTTCAAATATTCACAGGTGGCTGACGCGAGACGGCACCAACCAGCATTATCATGTTCCTCTCCCAGCTCGGCTACGTGTGGCACTTCTTCTCGAGCGACGACGAGAAGGTGAACCCGGCCTCCGCCGTCGGCTCCCACTTCATCACGAACAACCTGCTGCACTTCGCCTTCGTCATGCTCTTCGTCCGCAGCCACTTCGTCTGGGCCGAGCTCATCCTGATCATCAACTTCTTCAACCTGAGCTCGCTGGCCTTCCGCCACCACTCGTATGCCCGGTTGATCCACACCTCCGTCGTTGCTGGGCCGTTGGCTTGGACCTTTGTCGCCATCTGTAAGTCACGTCTTCACATGTAGAGTTGGCTTTCTATCACCCCTTGAAACGGTTCTGGAAGCTGTGTTTGGGAGTGTCTTGTGAGGCATTACCTTTTGTAGCCCTCCCTGCAGCTTGTAGGACATCTCAAGAGCGATATTTCCAGGCACCTCCTTGGCTTATCAAAACGTGATTTCTAACTGAGGAGTTCTTGGACAGACTGGAACGGCGCGATCATGGTCCCGCACCAGGGCAGCCTGGTTGCGCGGATCTTCGCCAACATCTTTGTCTGGTCCATCTTGGTCTACGGCCTGTTCTTTCTTGTCGCCTACAAGGTAAGTCTTTACGGCAGGAGACCTCGAGGCCGAGTTCGCATATTAACAAACCAACCAGGACTACACAATCGGCTTCTGGCTCAGCGTCCTGTCTGCGTCTTTGGGTGTTGCTCAGTTCCAACGCCAGTTTGTCGCATTCCAGTGGATCTTTGCCTTCGTCATCATGGCCGTGCTGTTCAGCTTGTCGGCAGTCGTGGGCTCCGCTGTGTGGTCGGGCCGCGAGCTCAACTTCGGCAAGAACAAGACGGTGACCCCTGACGCAGAGCGCGCTCCCCTCCTGGCGGATGATAACCAAGCAGCCTAAGCCGAAGCCGAAGCCGAGTTATTTGCGACGCCGAGATTCGCGAGCGCCACATTCGTTTTGGACCTGTGAGAGCCTCGACTGTAGGCAAAGGGGATGATGGTCTCGGTCGGGAACGGCCGTGTCGGCCGACATTGGATGAGCTGGTTTGCAGTCGTACCCTTGGGATTACCAGCCTGGCGTGCCTGGGGCGTTTGTTATTCACCAGATGGTAGCCATCTGGGCGGTCGAGGATATTATTGAACAGCCCACCGCGAGAATGAAGTGTTTGGAGGTAGGCATTTGACCTTCTTTTATTGGAGTTGGGAAAAGAAGCATGTCCGCTGTGATGATTCCACTTTGTGTTTGAATAGTTTCGAAAATGTGATTGTGGTCTAGGAATGAGATATATTGCGTGATGAAACCTTTATTTTCCGACACGAGAGCGAAAAGGAAGCGCTGCAATATTGGAGCTTCTCATGTTCTTCTGCTCATTTCCACCGTGGTCTGCATCTAGATCATGGTTCTTGGGGAAGAGTGCTTACATAATCCGATACCGCCCCTGATCTCGCCTGGTGCAACATCGTCAGGCGGCATGAGCCTTGCCTCTTTCATGACAGCGCATGCAACCTCAGTAGAAGGCTCGAAGCCCAAGCGCCAATGTCAGGACAGAGGATCCTGAGAAGGTTCCCCTTTGCCCTGAACCTCGGCACCGACATATGTAATGTGAATCGGATCCGCGGAATCTTGGAATCCTCCAGAGGTGTGCGCTTTGTCCAGAGGATTCTCAATGAGGATGAGAGAGGACATCCGAAGATACAATGCATCCTCAACAACGGGACCCCTCTGAGCATTAACCAGTCAGCCAAGAGTCCTGCTCCGATGATAAATCACCACGCCGAAGTTGCGGCGGCCTATGAAAAGAAGCCCAGTCCGTCGAAGCCCGCACCAAATCTCGACAAAATGCAACTCGCCGCCACGTTCATGGCTGGAAGGTATGAATGCCCTAGCCCAAGTGAACAACGCTTGGAAGGGAATCCCGTATCTCCAAGGGAGTATGTTTTAATTTACTGATATTGGGATCACCAGGTTTGCCGCAAAGGAGGCTGTCATCAAAGCCCACCCGCAAAAGAATCTGACCTGGCATGGTATCACCATATCACACCAGGCCTCGACACACGCAGACAGGAAGGGCGCCCCAGCGGCTATTATCAAGGGCACTGATGAGGACTATGAGGCCCTCATCAGCATTAGCCATGATGGGGACTACGCAACCGCCGTATGCCTCGGTGCCCAACACGCGAGCCAGGCGGAGGACTGACCAAGGCGCGAGGTGGACGATACTTCGTCCACCAAAAACCACCAGACGGGCCGGGTGCGAGCAAATCTCCGACCTCCCGCATCGCGAGGAGGAACGGCTGATGCCTACTGGGGCTCGGCAATGCCCATGCAGCAACGCGCGCGGAGGCCTCTCACGTTGCACAGCATCGAAGCAGCAGGCCTGGCTCATTTTTCGGTAGCACAGGGGTAAGCCAGTCCATGTGCGGTCACGTTGCAAGGCAGGGCACCGCGTGTCTGCAAAAGCAAGAAACAACATCAAAGCCGCAACCTCGTGCAACCTGTGGACTGCCGACCGAGACTGGAGCTACAAGGGGCCACCATGGACGAGGCTGCCTGCCCGACGGGCCTGAGGGATTCTGGTCATCCTGAGCTGAGACAAGATGAGGAAAAACGAAGAGGATTATTCTCGGCAGATTGCAGGAAAACTCGGCGCGAGGTCTGGCGGGCTGAGTGCGCAAGCAAGGCGATGCTGGTTCAGATGGACGGGAGCTGACAATGGCATGGCGGACTTGATAAATAACCACCCTTCAGCTTCACCTGTTCCAATCAACATGGGATGACAGCGATCTCCTCCTCATTTGCACGCCTCGGCCGACGAGGCCCCCACGAACCTCGACATTCTTTCTTCGCCGTCTCTCTTTAATGACCCCACAGACCCAACGTCGCAGTGCTTTGTATTAGAACCATTTGAAGAGGCAATTGATCGTCAAGTTGACAAGTCCCAGCCATTGGCTTCCAACGACACGACACGACTTAGCGGTCGGCCAAAGCGCACCCTGTTGCTGCGACGATGCTACCTCGACTGTGGGCACTGGTTGTCGCACTAGCCTCATCTTTCCAGCTGTCCAGCTGTTTGCACATTCCACCCAATGCCATCAAGCAGTCCCTTCGCTGTCACTACGACTACATTGTCGTTGGTGGTGGTGCCTCAGGCTTGGTCGTAGCAAACCGACTCAGCGAAGATCCAAATGGTGAGCCTGACCCCTGGCAGACTTTGCTTGCCGCGGCCTAGCTGACCATTCTTTCGCACAGTAACGGTATTAGTGCTCGAGGCTGGAACATTGTTAGTCAAGTGACCTGCTGAGGCCTCTTTTCACTACTGAGACTGACTACGATCGCAGAGACACTGGAGGGGCGAAGGTGACGATCCCAGCGGAGATAGGCGACACGCTCTGGACCGATTACGACTGGAAGCTTCGGACCGTTCCACAAGAGTTCCTGAACAACAGGAATGTCGCACTCAACCAAGGCAAAGTCGTCGGCGGAGGCACCATTCTTAATGGGATGGTGTGGACCCGGGGCTCGGCCAGGGACTACGACGCCTGGGGAGATCTCAACGACGTCGAGGGCCGGGAAAATAAGTACAACTGGCGGTGGGAAGACCTTCTGCCCTACTTCCAAAAGGTACGACCGGGAATGAAAAGCTTCAAATCGGGTATGGCTGACACATGTGGCCTTTACAGAGCGAGAACTTCTCTGCGGATGTCGATGCCGCGGTCGAGTCAAAATTCAACATCCGGCCCAACGCGGACATTCACGGAGACGAGGGGCCTTTGTCTGTTGCATATCCTCGTTTCTTCTACGATCAGTCTGGTATGAGACCTACGCAGCCATGGCTACACGCCATCAAAAGTCGGTGAACGGAGCTGATGAATCCTAGCCAACTTCCTGGGTGGTATGGCAGAGATGGGTTTGCCCATCTTGTCTGAGCCCAATGAGGGAACCTGTGTCGGAGCTATGATCAACCCATCCAGCATGAGCGCACAGAACCAGTCGCGGTGTGACAGTCGCACAGCATACCTCGATCCTGTGATAGACCGTCCCAATCTTCATGTCGCGACGGAGCAGATGGTCACACAGATCCTCCTGGAGGAGATAGACAACCCAGGCGCTGGTGACGGCGAATCTGCGTTTGGTCGGCTACAGAAGGCAGTCGGAGTTGAGGTATGTCCGAGAAAGCTGTTTCCACCAAACATTCCCTGACATTTGTTCACAGTTCTCGCACTCAAGATCCAGTCCTATTGCAAATGTTACGTGCTCGAGGGAGGTTATCATGGCAGCTGGTGCCATCTTTTCCCCCACGACTCTGCAAGTATCTGGTATAGGTCCTGCAGATGTACTCAAGTCTCTGGACATCCCAGTACGAGTCGACCTACCTGGAGTGGGCGCGAACTTGCAAGACCATGGGATGTTACATCCTGTGTATTCATGTATGTGGAAAACGACATCCAAAGCAGACTTCACCGTCCTCTTTGATTTCCAAATCGACTTACCCATGTGCAGGAAACACTGTCTCCGATGACTAGCTAACATAACATCACAGACACTAATACCTCCTTGATCACCGCCAAGTCCATCGAGGCCAACAATGATTCCCGGGCTGCCGCCCTGAATGAGTACGAAACATACCGCACAGGGCCGTTGACCGCGCCGTTGATCAGCACAATCGCATTCCCAGCCATGCGCCACTTTGCAGACGACTGGGTCGAGCTCATCGACGCCGCCGACCGGCGCGGCATCGACCAGACACTGCCACCAGGCACCCCCGCCTCTGTCCGGGCAGGATACCTAGCCCAGCGCAAATATCAGATCCCCCTGCTGCGCAACCCGACCGAGGGCGCCGTCGAGATCCTGGCCGACTCGGTCGGGACGCTGTCCGTGGCGATGCAGCGGCCCCTGTCCCGCGGCACCGTCCGCCCGGCGTCGCGCGACATCTTCGACGCCCCGCCTCTCGTCGACCCGCGCTACTGCTCCGAGCCGTTCGACTGCCTCGTCCTTGCGCGGGCGCTGCTGTTCAACTGCGCGCTGGTCCGCACCGCCGCCATGGCGGAGCTGCAGCCCGTCGCGCAGGAGCCCTACTTCTGCCCGGACGACCTGTCCTTCTCCTCCGGCGGCGCCGCCAACAACAACAACAAGACCGCCGCCGAGCAGAGGAACGTCACGGACGCCAGGATGCTGGAGCTGGCGAGGCGGTTCCTGGCCACCGAGTTCCACCCCTCGGGCTCCACGGCGATGCTGCCCCTGGACCTGGGCGGGGTGGTCGACACCGGGCTGAGGGTGTACGGGACCGAGGGCTTGCGGGTCGTCGACGCCGGCGTGATGCCGATGGTGCTCGGGGCGCACCTCCAGGCTGCCGTCTACGCGATAGCCGAGAGGGCTGCTGATGTTATTTCTGGACGGGGTGTGGATGGTGATGTGGAACTTGATTGTGCTGGACCATGTCGGCCCCAAAGGTGAAGGCGAGCTCTGTACAGCTCGGGACTGAAAACAGTTTTCTGAAATTCGGAAGTAAGATGGATACCTTCGGAGGTACATAGTTTAATCAGACATGTTGATATTGTTATCCTGGTAGGCCCCAGTATGATACGTGTCACTAGAAAGGTCTCGCATGAGGTGATCGTGCTCTGGTCAGGATCTTTCTGGGAGTAGCAGGTCCTGCGGCGCCTCAGAAATTAACTTGATTTTCCCTGAGGTCGTCTCCATGTGTAGTCTGAGCAATCAACTCCCAAATGTTGCTTCATCTGTAGACAGATACTTATCCCTGGAAGACGTCAGGCATGCGGGAAATCCCAACTGCGCGAAATCGCAACCTGCCTCCTCGTCTAATCGACAATATGCTTCTTGTCCGCCCACGAAGGCAGTATATTCCGGCACACGTCCTCGTAATCCTTCATCATCTCATCCCTCAGCGTCACCCGCGGTGTTGTCCAGAACATCGACCAGTCCGACTCGGACAGCTTCATCGTGCCCCGCGACCGCTCGAAATACCACTTGTTGACGGGGTTGTTCTTCCTGCTCCTCCAGCACACGCCCTCGGGGAAGCAGTCTCTGACCATGGCGTTGAACACGATGTCCGCGACGCCACCCGCCCCCTGGCTCTTCTTGAGGACGGCGAACTTGTCCAGGTAGGGAACCATTCGTCCGCTTTTGTATGCTGTTTCCTCGTCCATATCGAATGGTCGCTCCCAGGTCAGGATCGCGCCTCCTTCGTATTCTCCGGCGATGATAATGCCTGCAAGGCTTTTTTCAACCCGGTTCAGGTAGTGTTGGACATCCAGCTTCCTGTTGAAGGAATCTTCGATCAAATGCACCAGCCGCGGCATGTCGATACATGAATCGGTTAGTTTGAGCCGAGGCCCCCCAGGCTTTGGAGGCACCCATCCCGCTGACGATGGATCTGGATAGACTGTTACAGGCATGCCTCTCTTGGCTAAAGTCGTAGGCGACATGACTGGGCTGCTATTTGGGTCCGCGTTCCGCGAGATAGGTTTGATCCGACCAAGAGGGAGGGATGACGAGTGGGTTGGGCGATCTGTGAGGAGGTTATGAATCAAGGGGTTGTGGCTTTTCCTCGTCCCGACAGTGCCCACAAATCCCATCACGCCGCCTTCGTAAGCATCCTCGCTTCGGGAATGCAGATTTGCTGCTTCTCTAGGCGTTGTGATCAGTGCTGAGGAGGTCGAAGGCAGAATCGCAAGCGTGTTCTTGGCCAAGTCGAGGTTTCGCATGTGTGCTTGTACAGAAGAGCTGCTTTCGTTCTCTTCCTGCGAGGTCGTGTTCAAAGACTGTAGATGTGTCTTTGCAGTTTTGACCTCGTCCTCTAGGTTGAGAAACACATGTGCGTTATTCCAGCGGTTCTTAGCGGGAATGCCGCCGACAGGATCCAGAATGATCACCCGGTCGACGAAGGCCTTCTTTCCCGGCAATGTCAAGCCCTGCTCGTACTCTCCTCCAGGCCCAGATGGCTTAGCTAACTGCAGTCCGGATAGGTAGCGTGTCAGGGACAAAATTGCTTCGTCGGGGTCAATAGGTTGGGAGTTTCCGTCATATTGTTGAACAATCGGTGGGACAATGACAGCTGACCCCTTATTGAGAGCCGACAATACGGAGCTACCCTCCTCAACGATGGTGGTGTTGGATATCAATGGCGAGGCTTGGCTCCCAGGTGAAGCATGTTGAGTGGACAGTGGGAAGTCTGTCATGACTGTTGTCCAAGGCTCTCCATATTGATCAATGGCCCCAGCTAGCCTGTAAGCCTGTTGGTTTAGACTTCGAGACCAGTACTTGTCGTCCGGCCCCAGCTCGCAGTCGAGGACGATCACGCTGACCAGGCCCAGCACCCGCAGCTGCGCAAGTGTCTTGGCCACGCCCCTCAAGGTGGCTTCGTCGGCATCTTGTGGCAGCCTGAACTTGATGAGAGCGGCGTGAGGAACAGGGTCGACAGGAGCTCGTTTCGTCGTGACCGAGCCCTGAACGAACCTGGGCGTCTCGCTGATAGCCCGAGCACCGTTCGTCAGCGGATCAACGTTGATCGGGGCCGCAGCCGGGGCGGGCTCCCTTGCCACTGTGGGCGCGAATGTCTGCAGATACTGCTTCGCATCCCTTTTGGTGGCCGACGAAGATTCTAGTACTGATACGTACAAATCCTGGGTAGATTTTGTCAATTTCAAGCAACTTAAACACAACATATGAAAGGGTACTCACTCTATCTTGGGACCTTTTCTCCTGGGCCTTTCTTGGAATGGAAGCATAATGTTCCTTGAGGATTTCTTTGGAGAATTGGTCCTTTGGTGATGCCACTCGGAAATTCTGTGTGGCAGCTGCCGCTGAGCTTTTCGAACTACTAGATCTCGCCCTCGTGGAAGCCTGTGGTTTGATTCAGCAAAGTGACTGCCTGAGTTGGGTTGCCATGGGTATGCGAGTTCAGGAGCGATCTCGGTAGGTTAACACAGCCAAGGTCCCGGCGCTTGCTTACCTCTGCGAGGACCGTCGCCTTCTTCTTCCATGCTGAGCTACGCAGGATCATGATTTGAAGCACATGCCTCAACTGCGAGCAGACTGAAGAGACCACACGGTGGTGTAAAATAAATGAGCGATAATTTTGTTTACTGACCAAGGTCCGGCGATCGGTGTAAGTGCCTCGGTGCTAGTTGAGCTCATTTGACTCAATACTCAAGATAAGCGATCTGATAAGAAACCCTCGGCCGAACCCCCGATGTCGTTCTAGCAACAAGGATAGGGGGAGGGGGTGGCCCCTCTCGCCTGCTGGAGCACTACTTACACTTCCAAGATTCTTACAAAATAACATATCGAAAACGGCACTCGAAAGCCTGTAACAAGCTTTATTTCGCTCAGGTGCTGCTACCAAGTCCACTAAACTTAAGCAAGACGGAAGGATCATAGCGCATTTCGGGCCTGGTTTGATGCTGAACGGCGCATTATGTTCGGCTAACCCCGCGGAGCTTCCGGGTTAACCGAGTCGGCCTCGACGAGGTGACACCTCGGAACGCGATCCCAATACAGCGCGAATGAGTAGTCCACGAGATCCTTGAAGTAGTTTGTAGTGTTTCGCAGGCTCTCCCCTTACTCCGAGATCCCCGTATAATTCCGTGAAGCCTTTACCGACAGAGGGACTCAGCCGTATCACAGAGCCAGTTGGCGTGCGGTCTGAGAACCCTCCCTTCCCCGCAAACAACCGAAGCGATCGGACTTAACTCAGCACGACTCCACGAGAAATGCCGTTGTCGTCATCCGACAGAGGCCATATAAATTAAGAGCTCTAGAAATAAATTCGGCCCTTGAACCTTCAAATTCATCCCTTCCAGCTTCAGTGCGTGTCCAGATCAGTGTTCTGGCTATTAGAAAGTGCGTGAGCATTTCCATCATCTCAGTATGTACATTCTACAGCTTCAGTCCAGGTGGATCCATGGTTCACTCAAGCCACTGATGTATGGCTCACTAACACAATCATCAGATCCTAAGACAACTTCCAAATTCCATTTCACATATCTACGGCATTGAACCCTCGAGGGCATCACGCAGCCATGGCCCCCAATGTCTTCTGGATCGGTCTTGGCAACATGGGCCGTGTAAGTGAACCTGCAATGTTGACCTGCACAATCCAGGCTCTCTAACCTAGCTTCAGGGAATGGCCAAGAACATCGCCGAGAAAGGCCAACTGGGCGGTCCTTTGGCCATCTACAACCGGTCTAAGCAACGAGCAGTTGATCTGAGCGCCGGTCTCCCCTCAGGAAAGTCGGAGGTGGCAGAGTCCGTCGAGGCCGGCGTGGCAAAGGCCGACGTCATATTCATCTGCCTCGCAAACGATGCAGCTGTCACAGAGACGGTCAGCGCTATCGTGAAGGCCGACATTAAAGGCAAGGTGGTTGTTGACTGCTCAACCATCCACCCCGACACCACCGAGGCAATCGCCAAGACGATTATCTCCAAGGGTGCCGAGTTCGTCGCGTGCCCTGTCTTTGGCGCACCACCGATGGCGGACGCCGGTCAGCTTGTGCCCGTTCCCGCTGGGCCTAAGTCGGCTGTCGATAGGATCAAGCCGTTCCTTGAGGGTGTCACCTCGCGGGCGATCATCGACATGAGCGGCGAGCCTTACAGCAAGGCCTCGCAACTCAAGCTGCTGGGTAATACGTTCATCCTGAACATGGTCGAGCAAGTCGCCGAGGGCCACGTGCTCGCCGAGAAGAGCGGGCTGGGGACACAGTACTCGCACAAGTTCATCGAGCTAATGCTGCCTGGCATATACCCTCCCTACTCGACTAGGATGCTGAGCGGCGACTACTGGAAGAGGAAGGAGCCTCTGTTCCACGCAGATCTCGCCAGGAAAGACGCCGGGCACGCCTTGAAGATCGCGAAGGACTCTGGGGTAAAGCTTGGAAACCTCGAGGTGGCGGATGCCCATCTGGCAAAGATCCAGGAGCACACGGATAATGGCGACATTGCGGGCATCTACGGAGCCGTCAGACAGGAGAATGGCCTGAAATTTGAGAACGATGCTTAGGTGGTTAGACGTTCGAGTGTCTCCTCGGGGCTGGGAGCAGGTGAAAGGCGTCTCAATCAAGCTGTTGTACAGCCTGCGAACAAGGCTGGACGTATTTATTCCTAGCCTGCATGGATCGTTCCCTGGTCAATCTGCAAATGATATCATGACCACTCAGAGAAAACCCCGAAATGTATGTCATTTTCCCTGATTAGCAGCAGATGTGTTACGTGTGTCTAGTGTTTAAAATGTGTTGTTTCTGGAGCGACCTCTCAACTGGCACATGGCAGTAACACATGCTTGCTCAACAAGTCAGAATTGGAGAGGTCTGTCCTTGGAGGGATTCTGGTTACGTAAGCGGAGCTCCGACTCGGTAGGCCAAGCGAGAAGCAGGCAAGCGAGCATCATCACCCGTCCAAACCGTCACAATCGAGCTCGCTCCCATCATCCCCACGCGCCAAACCGCCAGACCCTTCAAAAATGGCTAACGGGTAAGATTGAACCCATCCCCGTGCATGGGCATGGGACAGAGAAACCGTGGTTTGCACGTGCTGACGCTGCGCTTCCAGGTGGAGCATCTTCATCGGCCTGTTCATCATCGCCGCCATGTGCGTGGGCGCCTGGTTCCTGTCTCCCAAGGGCGAAAACCAAGTGTGAGTGTTATCGACCTTTCTGGAGATTTGGTCTCTCCCCAGGGCGTGTCCAGATTGTGTCTTGTGCTGACTGGTGCTGGCCTCCAGGCTCTGGCGATCATCCCTCATCCTCGCATTCGTCTGCTGCTACCTGATGTGGGCACTCACGTTCCTGGCCCAACTACACCCCTTGATCGAGCCGAAGCGATCCGACCTGAGAGAGAAGTTTGTGCACGAGTAAGACGAGGATCCTCAGGGAAGTAGCGGTTGAATCGAGAAGGTGTTCGGAGGGACAGGGAGCTGTACAAATAACTGTTCATCATTCATCACATTGCCGGCGTTGGGGGAATAATAGGACCTACACCACGAAGCTTCCTAGTCTATGTTCAACTATGACATTCGGTTGAGTGATGAGAAGGGTTGAAGGTTCGCAGCTGGGCAGAGACAGCAAGAGAGCTGCCGTTGGGTCAGGAGTCTACGACGGCACTATGACAGGCGCGCCGTGATTGTATAGAGCCTAAGTACGGAGTGGAAGCCTCAACCGCTCGAGAAGCGGGGAGGTACTGATGGTAGTCTTAAGGAATTAGATTGCTACATGCGCTATATGGCCAGCTGGCCGACCCAATCCCTCACGTAAACAATCAAGGCCCAGAGCGCCTTGCCCTCCTCTGCCACGCTCCCTTCACCCTGCGAGTCAACGCCGTCCAGCCCCGCTGCCCACAGTATAGCCCTGCCGACGAGCCAGCGGCTCAGAGCCCCCGTCGTAGCCAGCATCGCGGCGACCCCGTAGCCGCAGTCCAGGAGGATCTTGAGCGCCTCCACGTTGTTGGCCACCACGGCCCAGCCGAGCGACCTCGCCGCCGCAGGGACGTCGTACTCCCATATGACCATCAGTATGGGGAATAGCTTCGTGCTGCTGGAGACGAGGAGCGCGGTCGACACGGAGTTTGGGCGGGAGTACCGCGGGAGGACGCCGAGGAGGCCCAGGGGCGAGAAGGGCGACGAGGTCAGGAAGCGGATGGACAGGTGGAAGGCGAGGGTCGAGAGGGTGCACAGTATTACTGGGAGAGAGTGTTAGTCTTCCTGCAAGGGGGCTTTGTGTGTGCGTGTGTCTGCGCGCGCGCGAGTAACACACACAAGACGGACTTACAGAAGAACATGTACTGGAACACGATGGGCTGCTGCGCGAGGCGGCCAAAGTTGCTGTCTGCGAGGGAGGCGGGGCCGTCCGGGACGGACTGCTTCTCGATGCGGGCCCAGGTGAGGTAGACGTCGAAGAGCAGCAGGAGGATGCCGAGGCGGATGATGGACGGGTCGAACTGGTCGTGGTCCCGCATCAGGGTGTTGTGCAGCAGGTGGCGGTAGACCTGGGGCTTGATGAGCACCAGGTCGATGAAGAGCACGATGTAGTCATGCTCGACGTATTTGTCGCAGAAGCGGCCGCAGTTGCGGCACACCGTCAGGCGGATGTTGTGGCCGCTCGACTTGTCGCCGGCGCCCGAGTACTTGGTCCACAGCGTCTTGACGGGGTGGCGGCACTCTATGCAGATCGGCATCGGGGGCAGTCGGTCGCTCGCTCGCAGCTTGCGTCGTCGCGGGAGGTCATGTCATATCATGTCAGTGCAGGGGGCAATTGACATTCCGGACAGGGCTGGCGACCATGGACAGTGGGTTGTCGCAAAGCAAAGGGCATGGCGCGTCCAAGTTCAAAGTTCAAGTTCGAATCCAGGTCCGAAAGTCCGGCTCAGGCTGGGGCCAATCAGTCCTGGGGTACTGTAAGCTCATTCACGTCGACGTTGAGTGACGCCAGCTGCTTCCACGTGGGAACATCCGACGAGCGACAATCTGCAGATCACGGTTGGTTTAGTCTACTGTGGTAAAGAAAACGCGGCACTCTTCGTCATCCAAGTGGAATATCCGCCATGTGCAATTACTCAACGCAGCCGCAACCTCAACATGCGCCGTCATCCAGTGCCATTGAGCCCCTGCTCGCTGCTGAGGTCCCCGACCACCCGGCCTGCACAGAAGCTCTCGCCCTGGCCCGGTCATCCCTGCCCGCATCCGCCTTCAACCACAGCTTGCGCGTATTCCTCTATGCACGCCGCGCCCTCCAACTCCCGGCCCCAGCTGAGCTCACTGTTCCCTCCGCCGAGCCCCATGTCCTCTTCGTAGCATGCATCCTCCACGACATCGGCATAGCAGACGCCCACGCAGCTGAGCCGGAGCGCTTCGAGGTCGCGGGCGCCAACCTGGCAGCCTCGCTGCTGAGGAGGCACGGTGTGGACGGGGACGCCGCTCGCGAGGCCTGGCTCGCCATCGCGATGCACACGAGCCCGCACGTGGCTGAGGGTGCAGGCGGGCTCATTACGGCCCTGCGGCTCGGCGTCAGGGTTGACTTTGGCACCTACGCTGGTCTCAACGCGGGCGCCCTCGGCGAGGCTGGGGGCCGTCTGCCGCGGCTGGGCGTCGAGAAGGAGCTCGGTGACACGGTTGTGAGGCAGGCAGTGGCGCTACCGTCCAAAGCGCCGGGGGCTTCTTGGCCAGGGGATTTGGTGAGGGCAAAAGAGGCAGAGCCGGAGTGGGAGGGGGTCAACAAGGCTTTTTAAAATCATTTCAATTATGAAGGATTACTAAAAGTACAGACTTCATCTTGCTTCTTCCGACATGCAAGTGCCTGACCCTCCTTCCAATTTATTTTGCTGACAGGATGACTTGCAAGCCTGGCACCTCTATGGTTGTCTAACGAGTGAGAGGGTTGTTGAGTCGTTTATGTATACAAGTTCTGGATGAAATGGAGGACTACGTCTATGGGCTCATTTGGAAGAGAAACCCTGGGCAGCCAGGTGGGAGCTCTGTTTACCATGGAACAACACCGAACAGAAGATCCCCCTCGATGAAAAAAGATAAATAAAATACTATTCCTTCAATAAACCCTCTATTTCGGTTAATTCCAACTGTTGACTGCTCAGCGCTTCGCCCCCAAGAACCATACACACCTTATATACAGGAAAACCCTAAACAAACGCCTTGGATGCATGCGTTGTGAAGAAACCCCCCGCGTCAGGAGCCCTTGTCTATTTCGATCTAATCCGCCTTCTTATCCTTGGCAAATCCAGAGTCGCTTCGTTGGGGCGTGCGGCCCCGGAGAGCACTTCCATTCCCGTCACTCCGGCTTGACGAGCCGTTGCCCAGATTTGGCAGGCCCGGAATGACCTGGTCGAGCAGACCGCTTCCAATCCGGCCATCCTCGCTATTGGTATCTTCCAGTTCGATTAGGTCTGGCTCCCCATCGGCATGCTGCCGAGTACGGCTTGGGCCCAGGATCGGTGTGTTAGGTCTCTTCGCCCATGCACCACGCAGCCACGTCTCGATAGTCATTGCAGCTTTGTCGAGTCCGGTGCCCTGCTTAGTCGCGGATGTGGCATCGCGGCCCTCTTCAAAAGGGCTCTCGACAATGGCAGCCGCCTCGTCATTGGTGAAGCCAAACCTGGCTGTTTCAGATCCCATGACTGCCATGGAGGGGAGCGACTCGATGTTCAGTCCTGGCAGATGCTTTTTGGTCCAGGTGTTGAAGTAGTCCTTTTCCGGGCCTGGAGCACGCACGTTCCTGCTCAACGTTCCTACACCGCCCGGTCTCCGCATCCACGCTGGACGAAGGTCATCATTGCCGCTGCCAACCCTGCTGCGGGACGGTGTTGGCGCCGATGATGCGTACGTGGTGCCAATTTGCGGACGGTTTGCGAGTAAGCTGTGACGCCGAGAAGAGATGCTCCCCGGGCTTTCGACAATATCGGAGCTAAGAGTGATGCTGGGCACGTCGAGTGAGCCCCTCGGAGTGCTCAAGGTGGAGGCTGTGCGCAAGCTCTTCTTCCGCCTCGGTGGGAAGTAGCCCATGGCCTTCCTCGAAACCCTTGCGATCTCGATTGGGTCCTTGCAATTGTCAAGCTTGACCCATCTGACATGTGTCCAAGGTCTTTCCTCCTCCTCCTTCGGCTCCTCGACTGCATGCTCGTTCCGTGAGGCGAAAAAGTCATCGTGGAGTGGTTGGGCCGAGTTTGGTCTCGTGGCATCCGATGACGTCCCTGGTGTGGCGGCAGAAGGTGTTGTAGCAAGAAGATCTACCTCTTTGGCATAGTATGAAGGGCCATCGCAAGGCCGCCCTTTCATCTCACATGCATCTACCGGGAGTGCCAACCATTTCCGTACCTGTATGTTGTCCCGAGACCACAGCCCATTTGCCTTCCTAAAAGCGTCCTCCTGACATCGATACCTCAGGATGATGCCCGCGTATGTGTCAGTAGGCGATGTGTGGTGTATATAGACCAGCTGGTCCTCTACCTCCGGGTTGACCGTATTGGTTCTCGAGTCTTCATCAGAGTTCCGTCTCTTGAACTTGCCTGCCACATCGAGCCCACCGTTGACACCATCGTGGCTTTCCAGAACGCTGGCTGTCTTCGCCGCCCTGAAGGCTGCCTGCCGCTCTGCCACTGATCCCGCTGCGACATCCTCAAGCCGCGGGCGAGGGCCTTCAGGCGGCTCTGGCCCCCACGCACTGGGCTGCTTTCGAAGAGTCCCGCTCGAGGCTCTGTGCATCGGCTTCCGGGGGCTGGCCCCTCTACTACGTGCTTCGTTGCCATCTCCTGACCCGTCACCTCCAGTCAGCAGGCTTGTAGTGAAGTCTTGAATAGACGCCCAACTAGAGCTCCACTGCCCGTCGAGCCAGCTCTTTCCAAACGGAGAGTCTCCGGTGTTGGACCGGGTGGGGGCGACCCTGCTTGATGACCTCGAGGTCTGTCCTATTCGCGCTGTTGGGATGGGGCTTGCCCCCCTGCTCGACGATGGACTCGCGGACGTCCTTAGTAGGGATGTAGATCTCGAGGAGCCATCGGCTCCTGTTCCTAGCCGACGGTTTCGGGGGCGCGCATCGGCATCGTGAGCAGGAGCAGAGAGTCGGGCAGAGGACGACATCACGACGAGGCCTACGACCTCGGCGCGGTGCAGTCGCCGGGATGAATGGCAACCATCAGTTCAGGGGCGGCAGGGACGGCGATAAGGACGAGTGTGGCTTGGAAATGTGTGCGTTGCTGAGAAAGGTAATGATTTAGGGACGTTGGTTGGAGCCACAGCAGCTGTGTCTGGGCCGACAGCAGGATGGTCTTGGGGGCTGTTGAGCCAAGGGATCGAGGCGGACCCTAAAAGGGTGTTCGTGGGAGCCGTGCAACGACGCAGCGTCGGGGGGTAGAGGACGACTAGGCAGGCTAGTGTCGCGATAGCGGGATCAATAGCGAGCGTCGGTCGAGTGCTGGAGTGCCGTCAAGGTTCCAGGGTGCCCAGGGAGAGCCGTCGTCGCTCGGTTCGAATGCGTGGGTGTTGTCGGGAGGGAGATTTGATACTAGGGAGTTGGAATTGAGGGATACGTACTCCATACCTGAACTGCTTACCTGTACTCCAAAAATACAACCCCCAGGTCGGCCAACGGGCGAGCCGTCACCTTTGTCAGGCTTGTCTGGAATGCAGGTGGGTACGTTGTAAGCGTTCTAACACTCCCTACCTCCTTACGCTCGCCCAGCCGGTTCACGGCCCCCTCTGCATTGGCGAGTGCATGCCAGAGGAATTAGACCCGACACCACACCCTTTATTGTTGGGCTCACGATATTGCAACCGTCACAAGCTATGGCTACGACTACGGCTACGAATATGGAAGACGTGTCGACCTCCCCCATAGCCTTGTACGTCAAAGTGGCCACGACTCGGCCGCAACAAAGTCGCATGCAGCCAAGTAAAATACGAGTACCCGATAACATCTACTGTGGCCACGGCGCAGTATCACTGCCGAGCTCGTCATCGTCAAGCTTGTGGCACATGGCAAGAGCCCCTGTGCTCTCACGAGGGAAGCACCCTCACAGGACGTGCCTGGGTACGGTGGACCTTCACCACTTTATTTCTACCTAGTACTTCCCTAGTACTTCAAGTAAGGAGGATATATTGCCTGCATGTAAGGGCCCAGCCTTACAAGTCTACATGTATTTATGGTTTAGACTATCTGGTACTTCGAGGACTTGGCTCCACAGAAAGGCCCCTAACCCTCCTGTCACGCAAGAGGGGCAGAAGGCCCGCACGGGCCAAGTCGGGACAGAGCAAAGCAGCCACGGTCTAGCAGGGATTCGTTGCCATGCCCGCGAGTAAATGATTTGTTTACCAATACGCGCCTCCGTCCCGCCAGAATCCGACTTCCCTTCAATGCCTACACCCACGACGACGACCAAGCCAAGCCTGTCACCATGAGGGTAACAGAGATCATTATAGATGTTCGTCGAAATCTTCTACCGCGGCTCAAAGATCTGTGACTGACAACCCCGCAGGGCTTCAAGTCGTACGCCCAGCGCACCGTGATATCAGGATGGTAAACAACATTCCCACGGCCTGCGCACCTCATTCACGACCGCTGACGAGCTCGCAGGGACGAGACTTTCAATTCCATCACTGGCCTCAACGGCAGTGGCAAGTCCAATATCCTGGACTCCATCTGCTTCGTCCTGGGCATCACGAACATGACCACGGTCCGGGCGCAAAACTTACAGGTGCGGCTCAAGCTGCCCCTCTCCTTTCTACCCGTTGTATAGCCCGCATTCTGACCTCCTTCGCGATTTCAGGATTTGATTTACAAGCGCGGTCAAGCCGGAGTTACGAAAGCTAGTGTCACAATCGTCTTCGACAACCGGGATAAGAACAAGTCGCCCATCGGTTTCGAGGAGTACTCGACCATCAGTGTCACCCGACAAATCGTCCTCGGCGGGACGTCCAAATACCTGATCAATGGCCACCGAGCGCAGCAACAGACTGTGCAGAACCTCTTCCAGTCTGTAGGACTGAACATCAACAATCCCAACTTCCTCATCATGCAGGGAAAGATCACAAAAGTACTGAACATGAAGTCGGTGGAAATTTTGGCCATGATCGAAGAGGCAGCTGGTACCAGGATGTTTGAAGACCGTCGGGACAAGGCACTGAAGACTATGTCGAAGAAGGAAATGAAGTTGCAGGAGATCCAGGCGCTCCTTCATGAAGAGATCGAACCCAAGCTTGAGAAACTTCGTCAGGAAAAGAGGGCCTTTCTCGACTTTCAACAGACCCAAAATGATCTCGAACGGTTAACAAGGCTAGTCGTTGCGCATGACTATGTCAAGTACCAGGAGCGACTTGAGCAATCCGGTTCTGATCTCGACAGCAAGAAGAAGCGGCAGCAGGATCTCGAGGAGTCGGCTGTCAGGCTGAAGAGCGAGATATGTCATTTGGAGGAGGATGTGCAACGGGTCAAGTCTCAGCGTGACAAGGAGCTTCGAAAAGGCGCCAAGGCTCAAGCTCTGGAGGACTCCGTAAAGAAGCTTTCTAACGAGGTCGTTCGTTTGGCAACCGTCATGGATCTCAAGAAATCCAGCTTGACTGAGGAACAAGACCGGAGGATAGCAGGGGAGAAGAACGTCGCAGAACTTGAGGCTGCCCTGCAAGAAAAGACTAAGGTTTTCGACAAGATGAAGGCGAAGCATGACTCCGCCAAGGAAGAGCTCGAGAGGCAGAGCCAGGAGGCCGAATCCAAGGAAGAGCTCCTGCAGACTCTACAAACCGGCGTTGCGTCCAAGGAAGGTCAGGAGAATGGTTATCAAGCCCAATTGCAAGACGCGAGGAGTCGGGCCTCTGCTGCAGGTACGGAGCAAGAACAAGCCAGGATCAAAATTGCTCATCTTGAGAAGCGCATCAAAGAGGAAGAGCCGCGGGCTAAGAAGGCGAAGGAACAGAACGCCGGCTTGCTTAATGAGCTTGAAGGTCTCAAGTCCCAGGCGCAGAAGCTCGAGAAAGAGCTCGGCAAGCTCGGTTTCAGCCCGGGGGCCGAGGAGGACTTGTATAAAGAGGAGAGCAGTCTTCAGCAAAAGATTCGAAGCTTGCGACAAGAATCCGATGCATTGAAGCGCAGAGTGGCCAACATCGACTTCAACTATGCCGACCCAGTACCGAACTTCGACAGATCCAAGGTGAAGGGGCTTGTCGCTCAGCTTTTCACACTTGACAAGGACCACACCAGGGCTGGAACTGCTCTCGAGATCTGTGCCGGTGGCCGTCTCTACAACGTTGTGGTCGACAACGAGGTGACTGGTACGCAATTGCTCAAAGGCGGCAAGCTGCGAAAGCGCGTCACCATCATTCCGCTCAACAAGATCGCGGCGTTCAAGGCGTCTGCGCAGACGATCGCGACTGCTCAAAGGATTGCTCCAGGGAAAGTCGACTTGGCTCTGTCACTTGTCGGCTATGACGACGAGGTCTCGGCAGCCATGTCATACGTCTTTGGCAATACTCTGGTGTGCGAAGACGCCGACACTGCCAAGAGGGTGACCTTTGATCCCAATGTCCGAATGAGAAGCATCACCCTCCAAGGCGACTCGTACGATCCGTCTGGCACGCTCTCTGGTGGCAGTGCACCGAATTCTAGTGGAGTGTTGGTGACCATGCAGAAGCTCAATGATCTGAACCGACAGTTGCGGGAGGCTGAGGCCTCGCTCCGAGACCTTCAGGCAAAGATTGCCCGCGAAAGATCAAAGCTCGACCAGGCCCGTCGGATCAAGCAAGAACTTGATCTCAAGTCCCATGAGATCAAGCTGGCTGAGGAGCAAATTGGAAGCAACTCGTCCTCGTCCATCATCCAGGAGGTGCAGAACATGAAAGAAACCATCGTACAACTCAAAACGAATATTCAAGAAGCCAAGAAGCGCCACGTGGAGGCTACGGCCGACGCCAAACGGATTGAGAAGGACATGAAGGATTTTGACAACAACAAAGACGGGAAACTGGTCGAGTTGCAAGCTTCCTTGGACAAGCTACGGTCGTCCTTGGAGAAGAACAGGACATCTGTCAAGACTCTTCAGAAGGAGTTGCAGAATGCTCAGCTGGATTCCGAGCAAGTGTCTGGCGACCTCGCCGCTGCACGGGAGCAGCTCCAGGAGGTCGACTTAGCTATCAAGGCTCAACAAGATGAGATCGCCCAGACGTCTAAGCAGCGGGACGAACTCAAAGAGACCCATGAAAAAGCGCAGGCCGATCTCGATGAGGAGCGGGCCAAGCTCAGCATTTATGATGATGAGCTCCGCGCTCTGGAGGACGCGATGCGTTCGAAAAATTCTCGGATCACTGAGGAAGGCTTGGAAATGCAGAAGCTCGGTCACCAGGTTGAAAAGTTCCACAAGGAGCAGCAAACTGCCGTGCAGGCCGTTGCTCACATGGAAAAAGAGCACGAATGGATTGCCGACGAGAAGGACAACTTTGGTCGTTCGGGCACCCCATATGACTTCAAGAACCACAACATTGGGGAGTGCAAGTCAACGCTGAAGAACCTGACCGAACGGTTCCAAGGCATGAAGAAGAAGATCAACCCCAAGGTCATGAACATGATCGACAGCGTCGAGAAGAAGGAAGCATCCCTAAAGCACATGATGAAGACAGTCATCCGTGACAAGAAGAAGATCGAGGAGACCATCATCAGTCTGGATGATTACAAGAAGAAGGCATTGCATGAGACTTGGGAAAAAGTCAACGCCGACTTTGGTGGCATTTTCTCGGAGCTGCTGCCCGGAGGCAGTTTCGCAAAGCTGGACCCACCAGAAGGCAAAACCATCAGCGATGGTCTCGAGGTCAAGGTCTGTCTGGGCAAGGTTTGGAAGCAGAGTCTGACAGAGTTGAGTGGTGGTCAGAGGTATGTTATTCGCGCGTCAACATTTCTGAAGTAGGTGCTAATGTCTCCTGCAGATCTCTTATTGCTCTGTCGCTCATCATGGCGCTGTTGCAGTTCAAGCCAGCGCCTATGTACATCTTGGACGAGGTCGACGCTGCGCTGGACCTGTCGCACACCCAAAACATCGGCCGTCTGATCAAGACACGGTTCAAGGGCTCACAGTTCATTGTTGTCAGTCTGAAGGACGGCATGTTCCAGAACGCGAACCGCATCTTCAAGACTCGGTTCAGCGAGGGTACGAGTATGGTGCAGGCGTTAAGCCCTGCGGACATCAAGTAAGAGGGCAAGGCTGTCTTTCTCGTTGTTTGGAGTTCAGGAAATCGGGAGGGTGGCGTGAACACTGCGCTGTGACGGTTTGATATCACAAGTGACATACGATCGGGATACGGATTGGCACTGGGGTATTCACGAGTCGATGATGGGTATGTCTTTTGTCTAATTAGTCCTTTTGGGTCCACCGCATTGAAATGAATCCCATGTTGCGCCTCGCTTTTTGCTATACACTGTTTGCTACACACTTTTGAAGAAATGCTGTCCTCTCTGCAGCACCTCTATAGACATGCCAACAGCCAAGTAGCTCTCTGTAGACTCCGGCTTGTCGAAAAGGGGAGTCACCTGCATACCCAGGCAGCCCTTTTTCGGCGCGCCCTCGTCAATCTCTCTGTTAGCTCTGAGCGTCCTATCCGGCTCGACATTGTGGCGTATTCCGGTATCGGGATTCACGTTGGGCAACTTGCACCTACGATAAGCATCAGTACCTTGCGATTGTAGCTTTTGGGATTCGCATTTCCGCGCTCACCTTGTGGTCCGGCACGAGACGTGGAAGTCTGACTGGTCCTCCTTGTGAGACGGATCCGTGAGACGAATCTTTGTCCACGAGTCCTCGTCGTATGCAGGAGAGCCACTGACTACATCGGGACCTTCAGTCAGTATCCAATGGGTTCAAGAGTGCGGCATAGATCAGAGGACGGTATGCACGAACCGAAAATATTGGCGCGGAACCTTTTGGGGTCCAGCTTGTCCAGGTCCGCATCCTTCTTGACCTGCGTCTCTAAGTCTCGCACACTGGACAGACCGAGAACATGGATAGGATACTATATAAGTTATTTAATCAGCAAGATATCCCAAAACCTACAAACTAGTTCGCTATCATCTGAAGAGGCGGGAGACGTCTTGCTCACAGAGTCTTGGAAGCTCACGACGGGCTGATATCCAGCCTCGTCCTTCAACGGGGCACACTTGAACACCGGCCGCAGGCCCTCCGGGTCGATTCGGAAGAGGCCCAGGGGGTTGCTCACGCCGAGGTAGCGCCTCAGCCCGTCGGGCAGCTCGCTCCCCATGTTGAGCGCGGTGGCCGTGTCCTTCCAGATGCGCACCCGCTCGCGCGCGTAGCCCTTGGCGCTGATCTCCCCGGCCGAGGGGAACGCCACGGGCAGCAGGACCTCCTCCTCGGGCACCGCCCTCCAGCCCCGGGAGCACTTGGCCGCGAAGGACTGCAGGGCGCCGGCGAGCCCGGCCTTCCGGCTGGGGAACCGCAGGACGAGGAAGGTCTCGTCCGACTTGGTCTCCCTCTCGCCGCCGCGGATCTTGTCCAGGTCCGGCTGCCACAGCTCCACCTCGACCGTCGCGAGCAGGGGGAACGCCCGCTGGGTGATGAACTCCCAGGCCTGGTCGCCGTCCGCGCCGGCGGGGGAGTGGCCCTTGAGCTGGGCGAAGGTGAAGAGCCTGTCGAACTCCAGGCCGGTGTGGACGACCTTTGCCCTGGTGACCTCGATGCCCCTGCACGATTTGATGGGGTAGATGAAGAGCGACTTGACCTCGGCCGCCGCCGCGCCCGGGGAGGCATGGTCGGCAGCGGCCCGGTGATGGTCGCGGAGGTTAGACTTTGACGGCTGCAGGCCCAGCCTGGTGTGGGTTATCGGGAGCGCATCGCTCTTGCGCGGCGGGAAGGGCGGGAACAGCACAAAGACCGGGGCGCAGAAGGCACAGAGGGTCACGATCAGGACCAGGACCGAGGCCGGGTCGAAGGGGGTAGCTGCAGAGGGGATCGTGATGTTACCCGCCGTGGCGTTGGACGCCGGCAGGTACTTGTCCATGTACCCCATCCTGTGCTGCCGTGGATCGATCGTGATAGGCTGCTCAGGTTTTACTATAATACAATGTAGAAAGAAACACACTTGTGTGGGAACAATCAAGTCTATTTCCGCGGGCCTCGTTGTGAGGCACTAGAGGTGTTGAGAGGGAGCTGGCGCGTGATGCGAGTCGGTGTTTGGGCCCCTCGGATGGCCAGGAGTCATCTTGCGACACTTGCGGGTTTGGGAGGCACCTGTTAACGTCTGATTCTTTCCGGCTCACGCTACGCTACCTAATGTACCAGGAAAAGAAATTCTGTATGCTGGGCTCAGGCTGTTCATTGTTCACGATTAATCGACATACTGGGACAGAGTCGAAATCTAGTGATGCCGGGCTCGGTGTTGCAATGAATCTCGGGGCCTATAAGAAATCCTGATGTGCCGTATCTCCCGAGGTTGTCCCTGGTCCACACGGCCAAGCGCAGCTGAGGTCAGTCCCAAAAGGCCAGGGGCACGTTTGACGTTTGACAGGCGCTGGAAAGCTCAGACCACCACAGTCCGGAGCCCCAGAGAGCCCCTAGGCCTAGGCGAAATGCAGGCGGTAGCTGGCCGAGAAAAGCCACGTGGAAGATTGCCGGGTGGGGGGGCCCTGTGGCCGAGACAGGCCATGGCCGCCTGGCACCTGGCACCCACGGTAACGTAACCCCACAGGGTCGAGACGATGCCCTGGGCAGGAAATCACGCAAGGACTGCGACGTGCTACTGCTTACCTGCTGCCCACTGCTGATGAATAGCGGCGGTCCTTGGTGAACCCACCGCGGAAGCCCCTTGATATTTCGCTCGCGGCACATGACGAAACCGAACGGGTAGATTTTGCAACTTCTTGCAGTCCATCGCCTTTTCATGGATCGCTCGGCTCGGCTGTGGACAACCCGACAACTGCCCGGTCTTCGTGTTAGTGAGTGGCCTTTTCCCGTCGGCTGGCGGTCGGTCATTGTGTAGGTGAAACCCAGTCGAGATATTAGGGGCTCTGTTCGATGCTACTACCGCTAGAATGCGACGTTGTGAGGCTTCGTCTTGTCTGATCGGTCCAACGGCTTCACCCTGCTTATCGAGATTAGATCACTTGCAGGTACTAAACTGTACCATGCCGTACCGTACCATGCTGTACTGTACTGCTGTACTGTACTTTTGTAAGCCTGAACTGTGTTTCCCACCTCCCACGTGTACTTTCACGCGAATCTGACAGTGGACAGAATAAAATCATCGCTGACGGTCAGATCCCCTAGAGGTTGCTGTTGCTGCCTCTCGGGGTTGTGATGAATCACGTTTCAAGATAGCCTCCTGCGGCCCACCATCTGACATCCTGCCGTCTAGCGGGCCGCTGCAAGCCCAGGCCTGGGAAATCTAGCCACGGATATCTCTGCAGGAATGGTTCTGCAGGACCGTGGTCGATCGAGCTGTTCCCGCTCCCGGTCGATACCGACTTTCCCACCGCCCATGGCCAACTGCATGCTGTAGTAGGTGAGCTTCAAGGATTCTGTGGCTTGCGCTACTCCCAACGCACGACCCATGAGCGGCATTGAAGCAAGCTGGGGTTGTCTGGTTGTTCAACATAGGCTCCAACGGGAAATTGTAGATGGCCTGCCCAATCGAGCGGTCCCCATGCAGAGACTTGCCCAGTTTGCCCGGGTGGGGCGATCTTGCCAACTAACTGACACATAGTGGAACATCTTCACACTGGATAAAGTGTGTATACCGTGCTGTGGATATGCGATTACTGTAGCTGCAAATGTCAACAGACATCCCTCGGCATCCCCGGCTCGTATGGGTTGAAGGGTGTGCCAGCAGGCGCCGACAGGTGCATGTCAAAGTTCCACGGCCTGGCCAGTAAGCTGATGATTGACGGAAAAGATCAAACCCCAAACTACGTGTAATGTGAGAGGTCGACTACATGCTTCCAGCTTAGTGCTTAGCTAGCTTCATCGAAGGTTCCCTCTCGAAAAGGCCAAAATATACGGCGCCTCCAGCAGAGTAATTTCGAGAGAAGCCGGAATGATGCATGTGGCGGCAGAGACTGCGGACTGTGTGTGTGCTGTTGTGCTCGTCGGAGATCAGACCGGAGAAATGCATCGTACATCAGGTCCTGGATCCCCTGTGGGTCTGGGTGCTCCGTGGCGGGACCGCGAATTTGAGAGAGTGGTATAATCGAGATGCCCTTTGTCTCCTACAGTATGAGAGGTGCGGCTCATTTAGCGGCATCGAGTCAAGGAACTTTTGACCACGATTAGAGTGGGATGTGCTCTGAGAAAGTTGTGTCATGAGGATTCCGGTGAAACAAAGCTGATAATCCAATTAGTACATACACAGTAGAAAGATGTAGCCGCATCCGATAGCCGCATCCAATGTGTGGTAAGGGTCCAAGCCTCCAGGGCTTCGGTGGGCAAAAGAGGGTTGGTGTGATTCCGAATTCGCGGTTCTTAACTGGGGTGGGCAGGTCCACCCGTGGCCGCTCTGTGCTCTTTTGGGACGACGGCGCGTCGTGGGCCATTTGGCAAGGGGCCTGGCTCGCAATGTGCAAGCCGGCTGGCTGGGCGGCTCATCGTCGCAGGTACTGTACTGTCTATTTCCCGTCAAAGTGGCTGGAGTGGTAGCGGGTATCGCTTTCCAAACGACTGGGACACGGGCTGGCCCAGGCCGAGGCCCGACAGCCCGGGACAGCAAAGATCGCCAGGTACCCAGACTGGACGTTGGACTGGACTGGACTGGGACTGAGCTGGACTGACCTGGGCTGGACTAAACACTCCCAGTCTCTAACCACATGACCTCGGACGACGTCGTCATGGAGGAACCCCAGAGGCAGTGCTGTGATCATTCCTGTAGCACCGCAGTGCCGAAGATGCATAACAATGCTGCATGACAACGGCCAGGGCCCGCGTGTTGACGAAATGTACCTGCTTGTCTTGCATGAAGACGGGAAGACACATGATTCGGGATGCGTCCATAGAGCATGGACGTGATTTTGGCCAAGGCCCAACAAAGTCTGCCCCAAAATACGGGGATTAGACTATCTGAGGGTTCCTCGAGCCAGTGACTCGGGCGCATCAGGACCCAGGTCTGAAATGAGCCTACTGATGAATCTCGGGAGAAGGATGTCGGTGACGGTGGGCAAATTGAAGGACACAAAGTCAGGTGGGTGCCCGCTCGAATCAAGCCGGCCGCTTGGGTGTGTAGAAGAGGAAATGACGACCGCAGGGTAGGGACCGGGACCAGAACTGAGACCGGGACCAGGAGGGCACCGTTGCTAGGCAGTGTATCATTGCATGCCTTGCCTTGCCTTTGGTTGTTGGTCGTTGGTCGTTGGGGTTTGTTAGTCTCCAGTACGAGCCTGGGAGCCAGCGAGTTTGAGGGCCTTGTTCCCACGTGAAGTTCGTCTGATAAATTGTAAATTGGGACGGTCGGCCCCAGCCGCGCAGGCACGGTCGCACTCGGCTGATCGGGCTGACGGGGCTGACCCAGGTGCAGCAGGACCATGGATGCCAGGCTGGCCAGCTGCGTCGGGAGCGGCAGCAGAAGCAGCAGCAGGAGCAGCTCACTGGCCCAGCATGTGAGGGGGAGATGGCGGGCGAGATGGACGAGATGGAGGGCACGCAACCTGGGAAGCCGGGCAGGCCTGTGGCAGAGAGGGTGGAGTGGAGCAGGTCGGATGACGACTTGTACATGTACCATACCCAGGTAGTCCTGCAGAACCAGAGCCTGCGTCCCCCAAGTACCGGTACCGGGCATGCAGATGTGCACTGGCCAGCACGGCTTGGCGGCCTGACTAATCACCCGAAGCAAGATATCGCACTGTCGCCTGTCGCATGTCGTCTTGTTCAAGCACCCCACACCCTGCGCCCCGAAGCAGGCAAGCCGGGAATGCTGGCCATCAGATGGGTGCCAGCCTGCCAGACAGGGGGAGTGTTGACGGTCGAGGGGAGACCAGATGAGTCTGGCTGCCACGGCACAGCAATCCCATGCTCTCGGGGGCGGCGCATCGGCCTGCATCTTGGAGCCAGGGGGCCTGTGGGCTTGGATCTGGATCTCGTTGGGCTGGGCTGGGCTGGGCCAAGGTCGTCCCAGGTCGACAAAGGTCACTCGACACCACTACACTCCAGGGCGGCCCACACCCACGACGGCGGTTGCGCCTTCCTGCACGGTCGACAATGTCTTGCAGCACATCAAGTATTGTGCCTGCGGCGGCCAAAATGGAAGGTGCGAGGCAGGAAGACTGGGTCTGGGGACTGGGACTGAGACTGAGCGGCCGGAAATCAAAAACGCCATCTTCACAGGCAGCAACGAACGACCGACTGCCCGGTTTCCGCCAGTCCGTTCGACAGGCTCATTGATCGACAACTTGGGCAGCCACGCAGCTGGCTCCTGGACTGTCAGAATCAGAACCCATCACATCTTTTCCTCTCACCCTCATCCTCACCACCCTCACCCTCAGCCAGACCACTATTCTTGGATCCACCACCTGCTCCTCTCATGTCCCCATCGCCACGGCCCGACAATTCCACGCGTGATGAGGGCTCCCCTGGCCAGTGGGTGTGGGTATGCTCGTCCTTGGCCGCTTGATTGCACGCGACCAGGATCAAGCTTTGTCCAAAGTCTGGGTTTCGAATTCTATCATACGCGGTCCTGGCAGTCCCTCCTTGACTTCAATCTTGCAATCCTTCCTGGAACATGTGGAGCAATTCTCCAACTTTGGCAGCGGGGCGCTTATCACCCAAGTGCTACACTACACCACGCCGTGGCATGCCATCGTAAAGGCTGGGATGGCAAGGCCGCCCTGCTCTTCTACCCTCCACAAGGGCCCTCTTGGAGGGTGTGTGCCGCATGGGAGCCTCGACTGCATGGGGGGCTGCCTGAGGGTATTCATTCGTACCCCGGTACCACCGGGAGATCCACACAGTACCATCTTGGCCTTTGACGCCTCGTCCATTGTCGACAAGAGCAGTTCTTGCCACAGGAGGCGCCTTTGCCTACTCGCGCGGCTGACCTATCCAAGTGCTGCTACAACAATCTGCCTCAGGACGCCCAGTCAGGTCACTGCTGTGACAGACTGTGGGCTTGGGAGGAGTAAGCCCTGTGGATGGTCATGCCCCGCCTGTCCACTCCCATCGTCCGAGTTGTCTGTGAGGTCTGGAGCCGCTCATGGGTCAGTAGTATCAGGAAGTACAGATCCCAAAAACCTGCAGGGTATTGCCTGACACGGTCTGTCAAGGGTCCGCCAGACCCCAGTTCAGACACCCATGTGAGATGAGGTCTGAGGTCTAGCCCATGCAGGCGTTACTGTAGGTATGAATCCTCCACCTCGGTGGTATCCCCAAGCTTCACACTGGGGCAGTACCACGGCATCAGCCAACTCACAAGGTACTTGTGCAGTTCCTATTGCGGGGCCTTGACTGAGAGTTTCGACTGGGATCTGACAGTTGCATCCCAAGATCCTCGACTGGGCCATCCAGAAATCGCAGGACCGGCGAGGCAGGACCACCTGCTGCGTTGTGGACGCAACCCAGACACCATCCACCCCAGCAAGCGGAAGCAGAACGGGCCTTCCCTAGCTTTTTCGATACCCACCGGATGGCACATACAAAGGTAGTCCTTGGTCAATTATAGGACCAGCATATCTTAGTACAAAGCTCATTGCGGCCGGCCCTGTCGACTATACTCTGTTTACATCTGTCACCAATTCCGAAGGCCAACAGCCTTCCCAAACGGACAACCTTCGGGCCTCAACGGATCCAATAGTCCAGCCAGCACAGAATGTAAGGTCACCCGAGATTTCTGGATCCTTCGACACCTACTAGGCCTTCTCATCACGTCTGGACCTTCATGGATACCTAGGTCATATGCAACTGACCCTGGTCTAGCAAAAATATCCTCTTCGATCCCCTCTATCACCTCCAGGCAGGGCATCTTCCAGAGGCCCCAGCCAAATTCAGCACGTGGTCATCATTTGAAAGACGCAAATCTTGTCACCGGACCCATTTACTACCACATTTCAGGCCGACCTCTTCACGTACTCAGTCTCAGCTTTTGCCTGTTGAGGGCTGTCAGGAGCAACAGAGTGTCTTGTCATATTATACTCGAACGGTTGACTCCCACTCCTCCTCCATCTCGCTCACAATTGGATACCACTCGCCGGCCAATCTCGGCACTTTGGTCTCCCCGAATTGTCTCTACGCTCCCTGACTGGCGCCAGTGGTCTCGTGCCAGACCATACAGGCTCTGATAAGGCAGACAGCACCGGGGTGTAACTCACATGCGCATAGCAGGTCAACATTCTAGCCCTGAGGCATAGACGAGCTGCTTCCCGCAAGGGAACGTGTTTGCTACCCGGAGCCTCTAGTCTCCTTGACCTGGCAGCAGTCGCGCAGAGCACTGTGGGGGGCTATCCTCGGCTGGCGAATACATCTTCGCTGCATACATACCCTTGTAGGTTGCCACCCCCATAGTCACACCGGTAAGGTTGTTGCAAAAGTCGTACCAGTACCTCGAAATACCACCGTCATCCCCCAGGAAGAACGGCCCTGGCCACATATCTGGGGTACTCAGCAGTGTGCCCGCTATCACCCGGGACACTTTTCTTCCCCGTACAGAAACACAGCCCCTCCCTGTGCCTGTTCTATCCGAGCGCAGTCTTCACCACATAACCACCTGCCTTTTCTCTGCCTGGCAGTTGGCAGGCCAGTGAATGAAAGCTGATCAATAATTCGATCAATCTCAGGATCAGGCTCTCACTGGGCACAGTAGCCCCACAAACAACCCAAGCTCAAGTCAACATTCCCGCCCTGTCCCGCTATTCCAGTTGCCCCCCCCTCCTCGTCGTGGGTATTCCCGGAGCAGGCAGGTTACACACTGCTGTAGTGGCAGGTTCTCTGTCGAAAGACAACTACCTTGTGAGCGGACAGACTCTTCACCTCTTGAGCCTCAACTAATGGCGACATTGCACCACTAGGCCTCTCAGATCTCTGGACAGTGTTTCGCGCAACTAGTCTCCCAGTGCTGGATTTTGCAAAAGTCGCGTGCCTTGGCGAAACGTCACAGCTACGACTAAAAAAAAAACCAACTTCGGCAACATCTTTTGCGGCCGTCTTCCGGAAATCGTTTGTCTCTGCTAATTCTCTGCCACGCAACGCTGAACTTCAGAAGCCTTGGTCCACAACAATCTGAATCCACCTTTGGCCAAGCGCACGGGTTGTGGTCCATTGGTGGCCTGGCCTACTCATTCGACTTCGTTCCATTTCAGGGATGCTAGAGCATGCTGACAATTTTATCCCTTCTACGACAACGACGACGACGGTGGTTAACTTGAACCAATTACGTCGCGTAATTCTCACGTCAGTCCAGCGCAGAATATAGGCGCAGGTCCAAAGAGCCATGAGCGAGTACTATCATAACTTCCTGTCCTCCGTGTCAGGACTGGGGACCAACTCTGGCCTGAACTCGCAGGATGCTTCCAGAGCACCTGCTACTTTTGGCACTGGAAGCAATATGGAACCAAACAAGTTCCAGAACATGACATATTACTCTGGGTTTCCCGAGCCTGCTTTGTTCCAAGCACCGAGATCCCAGCGAAACCGAAGAAAGTCGGCCCCCGGTGCGGATCACATCAAACACAGAAGAACTCGCAGCGGCTGTTTTACCTGCCGTAGTAGACGGGTCAAGGTGCGCCACGGCCTCGAGTTTCTCCCCCAGTCACCAATTCCTAACTTCTTCCCAGTGCGACGAGACGCACCCCGTTTGTGAACGTGGGTAACATTCCCTTCCGCTACCCACCCTCCTTTGGGGATGCTGACATTGGTGCCAGGGTGCCGCAAAGGTACACGAGACTGCGTGTATCCGGATCCCCCATCTTCAAAATACTCCGTCCCGCACGGAGGCAAGGATGCGGACACCAGTCGGCAAGCAAGTCCGACGTCTTCAAACGAGGAGGAGGATGACGCAGACCAGGACGCAAGATTGAGCCCGATCCCAGACGAAGACGAAGACGACTTAGCGAGTGTCTCGGAGCAATCAATGCCATCCACAAAGAGCCTCCGGCACATGAGCACGGCATCGTCTCTGAACCTGAAGCGACTTTTAACTCGGACTCGTCAGCCATCTGAGACGTCATCTCAAGAAGGCGCCAAAGGCTCGTCGCCGACAAGATCGATCGGGACGACTGGCAGTCATACTCCATTAATGACAAACCTACCAGATCTACTGTTCAATACAGTTCCAGATTTGTCCCACCTTCCAGCCGATTTGAGATTCTACCTGGAGTTTTTCCTCGAAAATACCACGCATTACCACTACGGTGTACACAGAGACTTTGGCGGCTTCTTTCGAACAACATTCATCAGCTTGGCGCTCCGCAACGAGCCCCTGCTACATGCTATCGTTGCATTCGCGGCATATCATCAGACAATCGGGAACCCAAACGGTCAGCTGCCGGAATTCCTGAAATACTACAACAGAAGTGTCATTCTGCTTCTCGACCTACTCAAGAACGAGGATAGGCATGAGCTCACGACACTCTTGACAATTCTGCAGCTAGCGACAATAGAGGTGCGTATTGTGCGAGGTATTCTGCGCTCTGTGTTGGGTCCTAACCTGTGAGAATAGGAGTATCTTGGCGACTGGGTAAACCTGATGGGACACCAGAAGGCAGCCCTTGAGATCTTGAGCCAGCTGTTCACGCCTCAGTCTATCGTGGAAACGTCGCTCAACCGCACTATTTTATCATGGTACATTCGCTTCGACATTCTTGTCGGGCTGATGGGAGGTTTCGGGACGAGCCTCCCACGAGACTGGTTCGTCACGTTCGACGGGCATTGTCGAGCGAGACTAGCGAGCGAGCCCGACAATCTGGACTGGCTATATGAAAGGGCCGAGAACCGTCTGCGCCTAATATGCCATGATATCTGCCTGCTTGTTGCCAGACGTGCCAGGGATAACTTGGAAGGAGCGTTGGTTACCGCGGAACACGAGAATGTCGCCCGGCAATTGCGGGAGTGGAGGGAAACCCTTGAACCCGCCCTCACAGATCCTTCACGCCTGGTAACTTTGCCCTCATATCCTTCAGACGAGGCTTTCAGTGCGCCATCAAGGACCGTACCTTTGTACGACTCACCCTTGTCTTCTACGACATTGCTACTTTGCGAATGGCATGCCACGGTAATGATGCATCTGTACCAGGCAAGCCAGGTCAGTCAAGGCCAAATATTACCAGAGATGGGGAGTCTACCACAGCACGCCGAGGCCATCAGCCAGATCTTCAACGCTGGTGAGCAATGGGCCTCTGGTCCAAAAGGCTGGTTGGTTATGCTCCACCCCTGCATCACGATTGCGTCGATGTTCCTCCCGCCAAGCCCGGGGAGCAATCTTTGGCTGAGGAAGAAGTTCGCCTTGCTTGAGAGCTCTGGGTGAGTGCTTTTCTCGTTGCGCTGCACGCCGCACGACTATTCCCAATACCAAATGTGACGCTGATTTGCATTTCCTCCTCCACTAGCTATATATTTCCCATCACGGTGCGAAGAAGACTGGCGGAGCTCTTTCAAGATGAGACAGTGGGGCGATGGTGGCTCCCAGATGACCACGGGTTCACTCCGATGTTACAGAGCGTGCGGGCCTTTGCAGACGAAAGGAACGCGGCGGCCACCTCAGCTCAGACCGAGGGCCTCCAGGACATGAAGAGTGTCTTTGCGGCCTTGCATCTTGGAGGCGACACAACGCCTATTGTGGGAGCCGGGGGTAGCTTGCTTAGCCCTGGGGAGGCAGGAAAGGACAGGAGCATCAAAAGTCAAATGGGGTGAAGGTCACGGGAAAGTGTCCGGGACAACGGACGCCAGAATTTGAAGGCCGAAAGCTGGGTTGCTACCCTGAAGAGGAATGAACTTGGTCGGGCTTGGCAATGTCGTCGTCGACCAAGCCCGATGCCTACGGGGCATGTGAGGCTGAAAAACAGGGGCCCGCTCTGGCCCTGTTCCCATGTTAAAGCTTTCTTTTCGCCCTCGGCCGGCTATTTCCGTTGGACTCCTAAACCATTGATCGTTCCAATCCAGAAGGTTGAGACAATAGGGACGATCAGACCTGGCAGGCGTTAAATCAAGAGGCTACTAGTGCGGAGTGGTCGGCCGTCCCAACGGCTCGGTTTCCTCCACATTTCCTACTACCCCAACCCACCCGAGGCTTCAGATAACCCTGTCGTCCGCGGGCTGCCGTCGACTAGTCCACTTTATAAACTACCTGACTGACCATCTACTTGGCCCGGACCTGGATCGACACCTGCCGCAATGTCATGCTACACGTCACTTTCCACTCTGGATAACTAGCTGCATAACGGGGCGGTGTGGCTGGGGCTGGAACAGCATAAGTTGTGCAGAGGAATAAGTGCGAATGAGTGCTTTGTATAGCGGATTTATGCAATGGTTTGGGGACGTGATCGTCCTTCCCCCCGCATGCGGCAGGTGGTCAGGGACCAAACAGATAACCAAGAGAGCAGGCGGCCGAGCCAGGGCTCCTAGAAAGGAGTCGCCGAGTGGAAGAAGAGACAATGGATGAGGCCACGAGAGCATAGACCGAGGCAGACGGCAGATTCCGCAAAGAGGAATCGAAATTTTGTCACGGGCCTTCCCTCCGCCCCCGGGGCAGGAAGCAGAAGGCCCTAACAGCCCAGCCGACAGACTGCCCTGAATCGTGACGCGCGCTATGCCGGTGCTAATCACAGTGTGGCCAGATACGGCCTCGGGCTAGAGATGCTTCTTCGGCCGCCGCTCCTGCCCTTCAACGATATGAACGCCGACGATGCTCCCGTGTCCTGTGACACTCCAACCTCGTCCAGGCCCACGGTCATGCAAAATGGCCCTCGCTGTTCACCCATGGGCAGCTTTTCACTCCGAGATTGCGGTGTCCCAGCCAAGAAGGGGAACATCACACAAAGAGGTACTTGGGGCGCCCTCGTGGCTGATATGGGACGGATCTGTGAAGCATCTTGCATGGCTCATACTTGGTCTAGACAATTATTTCAATTTGGGGTACATGCTATTACTGGACAGTGGCTGTGCTTGGGTGAGCGTGTGTGCATGCGTGCCGCTCGCGTATGCCGCGCCCGAGCCCGCCCCATGGCCACCATCTATTGTTTATATGCATGCGTCACCACATGCTTAGCGAGCCGTCCGGGGAGGGGAGAGGGGTATCTTCCGGCAAGACATATGCAGGACCGTTGAAGCAGCGCTGACCAGTCAGACTGGCTGGTCGGTCAATTTGATCAAGGAGGCGTCGACACATGCTTGGATTTCAAGTGCAGGCAGGAGAGGGGGGGATGATGTGGTACAGATGCACATGTCTGCTCGGGTTGCTGGCCTTTTACTCGCTCCCCATGCCCTTCCGCTCCCCCCGAGCCATGCCGTCGGCCTCTGGGCACGTGGTGGTATTCTGGTTTTCCAGGCAATCTGCAGTCTGAGGTCACCGTGGTGGCCGCGTCGGTGCGTGCCCCTGGTAGGGCCCAGGGAGGATCCTGGGAGGGTGGAAGCTGGGCGAGGTTGCTCATTGTTGGCCGTCCCCCGAGTACAGCAGGAACGGGCCATACTAGCCAGTCGACTGTGTGGTCTGCCCACGGTGCTGTCTACATGTGCGGGTGATTCCGAGAAATGTGATGGTATGTAGACTACTGTGCGTCTGCCACCCGGGACTGTAGGATTGCAGATTGCAGACACGGCAGTCTGGGTGCCCAGGGTGGTAGTCTGGAAGTCGGGATACTACATGAATGAACAGATTCTGGGGACACGAGAGGTGTGGAAGAGCATGTTGGCGCCGATGCTGCTCCCCTTCGCATCTAACGCAGATTGGGGTTCGGAAGCACGGTGCTTATTACCTAGTATCTAGTAGTCTATGTGGTGTAGCAGTAAGCAGTAGGGCTAGGTGGGCTAGGCAGGTCGTCTAGGTACTCCGCACATGCTGCCAGGCACAGCCGAGCCGGTCTTGTCCATCAGTAAGCAATCGGGCTGGCCGTCGCACAACACTAGCGGCTCAACATGTTATCCTCCACTTCCAGTGTTACTGTGGTGCTGATGTACCCCCAGCAACAGGGGCAACCGGCCCAGGTAGACTACCTACCTAGGTAGGTATCTACAATGCAGCAATATCAGTGGACCACCAAGGCAGGCAGGAACTGAAACAGGCAGTCCCCAAGCAGTAGCAGCTGCTGCATCTGACTGTCAGCTGCCCGACTCGATGCAATTCCAATGTCCCCATTTCAGCTCCAGATCAAGGCCTCATTCCCACACCGGGCAGCTCGAGGGCCATGTGAGAGAGGCAGACTGAGAATTCCTCGGGAAGTCATGTTTCCACCAGCAGCCATCAGCCTATCTTATCCCTAGCCTACCCAGCCAGGCCCTTGTCGACGTGCCTGCTCTACCTAGGTAGGTACCTAGGTAGTCTGCCTCTGCCTCTGCCCCTGCCCCTGCCTATCCGCCTGCCCACGTCGCCGTCGTCGTCGTCTCGTTGACGTTGTGTCATCTGATCTCGTCTTGTCTTGCCCTGTCCCGTCCCCAAATCTCAGCAACCGGCTGGGCCTCGCCAATGAGCCTGCCCGCCCTTCCAGCTTGCATCAGGCCGCCTTCATTTCCTCGCGCCAGCTCATCTTAGACGGCCACTGCTACCACCCTCACCACCTCCGCCAGCCGTGCATTGCATTGTGCATGCACATGCGCACACGTCCCCGGCCAGGCCCCAAGCCCAAGACCAAGCCCAAGCCCAAGACGCGTTGCGTGCCTGAGCAACACCCGCCCCGCCAGCTATGGCGGCCGAGTCGTCCCCTGAGCCCGCTGTCACGTCTGACGGCGAGCAGCCTCAAGCCGCCAATGGCGACGTCCCAGCCCCCGAGCCGTCCGCCCAGGATCTTGATTTCGTCACCCTGGGCATGTTTATCGTTGGTATGTTGCAGCACTCCCTCACTATGTGTGTGTGTATGCGTGTGTGTTTGTCTATCGCTCCCGGCCTACCCCCGTCGCACATATTCCGCCTGTGTTTCGTGTTTCGGCCTGATTGATTGATTGATTGCCTGCTTGCTGCTGTCCAACCCCTCTGATCACCATCTCGCTTGCTTTTGCTTGCCTTCTCTCAGCTCGCGATGCTTGTCGTGCCTCCTGTGCCTCTTATGCTCGCCCTGTCCCGGCCAGAGAGCCGTATGTCTCCTTCTCAGCCCTCTTTCACATATGTTCCCATGCCGTCGCGATGCCCTCTCCTGTTATGAGCGAAACCACCATGCTGCACGCCGTCCTGAGCCTGTTCGCCTTCCTCTCCTACGTCTGTCACTACTACCTCACCAAACCCTATCCTTCTTGGCGTCTCCTCGGCTCCTCCCGAGCCCCAGAACGAGAATGTGACTCCGTGCAACCGGAAGCTGACATCCGTCACAAAGACGAGATCGAGTACACGCCGCCCAAGCCTCCTCAGAAGGACGTATTAGGCGGTGCAGGCTCCTATGCCGCACTAGGTGCCCGTCTCTTCTCGCCAGGCCCCATACAGTCCAAGACGGTCGGGTGGATCGTGGACCAGGGCTCCGACTTCCCCCCGGCCATTACGACGCTCATCGATAGCTGGGAGACCGCCGCTCTTGTCCGCCACGACCCGGATCGCCATACCACAAGGGGCTGGAACTCGTTAGACGACAACGAGAACAGGGCCTTCAAGTACACCACCCCCAAGAAGAGGCTGGTAGCCGCCGACCTCAGCGGCGAGCCGCTGCTGCAGTCGCGCGCGTTCCACATCATCTGCAGCCCCTCCAGGTGCCGGGAGCTGGTCACGGAGCTGCTGACCCTGCGCAAGGACGAGGCCCTGCCCGAGGACGATGAGGGCCGCGGGGGTTACTCGCGGCCCATCATCATCTGGGAGCCGGTGCCCGACCTGTGCACGCCCGATGAGCTCCTCAACCTGACCAACTGCCTGCCTCTCGTGGACGTCTGCAGCCCAAACCACTCGGAGCTGGCTGGTTTCATGGGCGACTCCGGTATCGACCCGGAGACTGGCGAGATCAGCACCCTCGCCGTCGAGCAGGCGTGCGAACAGCTCCTCGGCTCCATGCCCCTGTCGAGCTTCACCCTCGTGGTGAGGGCCGGCGAGAAGGGCTGCTACAGTAAGTGGCCTGGAAACGGGAATCCATTCCCTCCTGTGTAGTTTCGATTGAGGGCTGGGGGACACATCACTAAACAAAAATCAACAGTTGCCAAGAATGGTGGGCGCAACAACTCCTCCAAGAAGAGTGGCTCGAAACAGCGGAAGAAGGTCCACGCCGCGCACGGCGGCCTGCAGCCCGACACAGACATGATGAGCCTCTTTGCCGGTCTCCTGCAGCAGTCCGCCCCCGACGAGGACGGCGCTGACGAGGATGGGGCCGCCACCTTTAGCTTCATCCAGGACGAGCTCGACGAGGTGGAGATAGACCCCGGGCTGGACAAGTGGATACCCGCCTTCTTCACCAGGGAAGATGCTGCCGCTGGGAGGGTCGTTGATCCCACTGGTGGCGGCAACACGTTCCTCGGCGGGTTGGGTGTGGCTCTCGCCAGAGGCAAGACCATGCAGGAGGCCGCGTGCTGGGGCAGCATCGCCGCGAGCTTCGCTATCGAGCAGGTCGGTGTGCCTGAGCTGGGCAGGAACGACGACGGCGAGGAGACGTGGAACGGCGATCGAGTGCAGGACAGGCTGGAGGCTTTACAGGCACGTCTTGAGGTTCCAGCGGAATAAAATCTGTATTTGGGTGGGGAGAAGGGGGTAAGTTAGACCTACAGGGGACTGCGAGGCACCTATACAGCGCATCCATACATATATTGTGCGGAAGATGAGGGCCGGGAAGAAAATTCGAAGATACCACGGTTTGATATGGCAGCGAACAGATATAACACATAGACTTGGGGACTGGCGTTTATGGGAACCGACTACCACCCGGCAATGGGATGGGAACGAGAGAAAAAACAGAATCAATGCTTCACTGTCGCGATGCATACCAAAACGAACATCTAATCGGGACCGAAGTTGCTTTCAATATTCACAGGACGGACATTGTCGTTTCCATCCGGAGCCAGACGCCAGGAACCAACCATCCAAACATAATACCATACCATGCCGCACAAGCCACCCCCAGAGACAGACCATAACACGCGTGCGCACCTCACTCATCATTCTCATTAGATTTTATACACAAGCTGTCCGTCAGTATACCTGTTTGATTCGTCACCGTTAGCAAGCCGAAACAGGTCAAGGTGCAAATTGCGCAAAACTCGGAGGCAACTCACATGATGCTCATGGCGTGCTCGTCCATCCTCTTCAGCGCCTTGATGCCCTCCTCCTTGCTGAACGCGCCGCCGCTGCTGGAGCCGACCCGCCCGTTGACGCCCTCGATCAGCTCGTCCACGTCGGCGGCGTCGTCCTCGAACAGGTCCGTGCCCATCAGCGGGCCCAGGGCGGCCGTGAACGCCGAGAACCGCGCGTCGCTGATCGGCGCGGCCTCCTCGGCGCCCAGGCTCAGGCCGGCGGCGCCGCTGGCCAGCTGGGAGTCGTCCTGGCTCTCGCCCGCGCTCTGCGACTCCAGCTGCGAGGCCGGCACCGACGACGCGAACGACAGGTTGGACTGCGACTGGGACTGCCCGTTGCTGCCGGCCGTGCGGCCGGAGCGCCGGGGCGTGGCCTCCTCGGCCTCCTCCTCGTCGTCGTCATCTTCTTGCTGCTCTGACGGCTCGTGTGTGCCGTTGGTGTGGCCGTTGGTGCCGTTGGTGCCGTTGGCCCCATTCGCCCGCCCGCGAGCGTTGGCACGGCTCGCCCTTGCGGACGCGCGCGCCGACCGGCTGTTCCGCGCCGACGCACGCTGGTCTCCGTCCTCGTCGTCATCGCTCGACGAGTCGTCGTCCGAGTCCGAGCTCAGCGGCTGCGCCGTCGTCCGCCTGCGCTTCTTGCGGGATTCGTCCTCCACGACCTCCTTGAACAGCGCGAATCGCAGGATGCTCTCCGCGGCCACGGCGTCGCGCTCCTCGACGCGGTTGGACAGTCGTGACTTGGCGTGCGCGGTCGCCAGACGGATGAGCGTCTCGAGCGTACGCACTGTCATGGGACTCGTACGGCGCTGGTTGCCCTCAAGGTCGTCGTTACGCAGGCCAACATAGATGTCGGCGATGCGGTCCGCAGCATCTTGGGATAGGACGGGCTTTATGCGAGTCTTCGCGTACTGGATGTACTTCTTCATAAAGGGGATGCTGAGTACTTTGGGCTTCTTGGAGCCACGGCCAGTGACCCCGGCGTGAAGCATCGCATCATATTTCTCGTAGACGTCGGTGGGCCGCTGAGAGTCGTTCTGCGCTTGGCCACCAACGCTGAGGGACTGTTGGGCATTTTCGCGCACAGGTGCACCTTCTTCTGTTCCGGCCTGGCGGTATCGATGCATGCGAAGGACATGCTCCGATACTTGCCGGTCACGGGTGTCCTCGATGTCGTCCGTGACAACAAACAGAAGATCGAAACGCGAGAGAAGCGAGTCGGGCAGCGCAATGTTCTTGTGCGGGTCCTTGTGGGGGTCGTACTGGCCAAAGATTGGGTTGGCAGCCGCGACAACACTGCATCGTGCGTTGAGCGAAGTGTGGATACCAGCCTTTGCGATTGTGACAGTCTGCTGCTCCATGACTTCGTGAATGGCGACACGATCAATGTCGGACATCTTGTCAAACTCATCGATACAGACCACGCCACGGTCAGCCATCACCATGGCACCTGCTTCAAGGCGGCGCTCGCCAGTCTCTTTGTCCGAAGTAACAGCAGCTGTGAGACCTACACCTGAAGATCCACGACCAGTTGTCGCGATAGCCAGAGGAGCAGTGTTGAGGACAAATCGCAAGAGCTGTGACTTGGCGGTAGAGGGGTCACCGACCATGAGGATGTTGATATCACCACGCAAGTGGGTGCCATTCTCCAAGTTCTTCTCCATTCCGCCCAGAAGCATGAGGAGGATAGCTTTCTTGATGTGATCGTGGCCATAAATGCTAGGCGCCAGCGACTGGGAGAGCATCTCGAACAGATTCTTGCTCTTGGCGACCTTGTTAATGTTTCGCAGGTCGGTATCGGTGATAGGGGCAGTGGCTATGCCGCCTCCAGATTTTGACGCGAGAAGGACGATGTTGTTGGCCAGTATTACTGTCTTGAACAGTGCGCTGCTGTGATTCGCGTTCCTGTTACCCAGCGTCCTGTAGATTCCGACAAGCTGGATTCGGTCACCAGGCTTGACCTTGTCGACTAGGTCATCATCGAGAATGACATCGACACCGCGAGGGAGCTGCCCAGCCGGTGCTCGTTCGGGCATTTCTTGTATGGAAATGCTCTGGTGGTCTCTGTAGGTGCACCAGCCGTACTCGGTCATCAGCGGGTTCCCCTTGTCGTCTTCTTGTGGGTAGACGCTGTTTGTGGTGACGCCGTTGGTCATGGTCTGGTCTCGGTATTCCCGGAAGTGGAACTTGTTCTCTGTCTCGTTGTAGTGCACACTCTTGACGATCTTGGGCCGAATGAGGGAGGTTCGCGTCACGATACCCTCAATGGAGACCATGTGGTTCAGGTGGTGGGCGGAAAGGGTGCGGGGGTTGCAGGCGTGCAGGCCGAAGCTGCCAGACCAGGCACAGTAGTACATGACCTCGTCATCGGTCTGGTCTGGTCGCGCCTGTGGGATTGTCTTGACGATCTGTTTGAGGGCATGGTTGAAAGCGAGCGTGTAGTCGAAGGGTTCTACGAGGAGTCCCTCTGCAATCTGCGGATTGTGGTCGCGGACGTGGTCTATGTTGACTACCAATCTCCTCTGATTCTTCTGCAGCATCAGAATAATGTCGGACCTATAGCTTCGTACATTTTGGTCATCTGCAGAAAGCTGTCAGCGGTCGATTCGGTTGTTCCCGGCCTGTGGTAGACGCGATACGCACGTGGATCAAGGAATTCCTCGGCCTGGCGCACTCGGTCGCGCGCGGCCTCATCGCGCAGCATAAAACTGTCCATGATGTCGTGCTTGGGACCAATCCAGACAGATCAGACGGCGAATTGAGGCGGGTGGAGAGTTGACGTCGAGATTTGCAGGAGGTGAGGGGATGGGGGGTTGCTGCGGGCGGTCTGGTTTCTTGGGAAGAAAGAGACGGGCGCTGCGACTTTTTGGGACGCGTCGACGCGAAGTCGATAGGGTTGACCGCGTCCTGGCGCGTAAAGTGGTTTCACTATCAGGCGCGACTTCTTCTTGCTGGTCTGCCTGGCGGGATTGACATGTACTTCAAGTTAGGTACTAAAATCCATTTACTTCCCTGCAAGCCTCTGACCCCTGGCCTCCTAGGTCCCGCATTGAGGGGCTCCGTGGCTGTCGATGCAATACAATCAGCGCGGATGGCATCTGTTGGCTTCATATTATGTTGGATTTCCCGTCACGAAGCAGAGATGACACGAGGTTTTATATCAGCACATGTCACCTCGAGATCGGGTACTCGCCCTCGAGGAAAGTTTAACAACTCGCAGAAAGACTGTTGCGAGAAAACCAAGTCGTCAACAGATCGACTAGGCGCATGGTCCGAGGTTGTGCATAAAAGCATCTCATTCAAATTTTAATACTTCTTTCGCCTCACCCTCATCACCCTGCACCCCTCCTATGATCGCTGTCTTTGAACACACTATTGTTTTCACCCCGAATCCCTCCTCTTCCCAGAACCTCTTCCCAGAGCCAGCCCGTTTATAATTCAAGTTACTGGATTACTGTTGCTCGATTTCGGGCTCGAGGGAGCCCACCAGATTAGCCCGCCCAAGAGCCAGCGACCTGCTCGTACCGAAGGATCCAGATCAAGCGTCTATGTTGTCCATTCTTGCCACCAGGGCTCTCATTTCCATGCATTCAAGCCAGCCCATGGGTCTGCTTGGCTCTGCGGTTGCTGTTGCGAAGACGGCTGCTGTGCCGGATATCCATAATTACTTGCTCCGTAGTGAACAGTCTGCTGGGGACCCAGTGGCGGTGGACCGGGCGGGGGCGGAGGCGGTACAAATCCTGGGGGAACATAACTTTGCGACGGCGTGGCCCCCGGTGCATGAGGATTTCCATAGGTGCTGAATGGCCTTGAAGACTGTCCAAAGCTCGTCTGCGTGGGAGGTGGTGACGCAGGCCCGGGTCGCATACCGCCGACTGACCCGAAACTTGTCTGTGTTGGCGGCGGCGAGGTAGGTCCAGGCGTGCGCCCGTACGTGCTCGGATTGTAGGCGCTTTGATATTGGGGCATTTGCGTCTGAGAAGGTGGGGGCGACGTCGGCACTTGATACTGGCCGGCAAAGTTCGTTTGTGGGTATCTCGGAACGTTGTTGTTGAAGTTCAGTGGTGATGGCGTAGGTCGTGTCGAATCCGCTGGGTTCGGTAGCGATGAGGAAGGCTCCATCGACATCCTCTCCATCAAGCCGCGGATGCGTTCCTGTTCAAGTGAGGCTTGCGCACTCTTGTTGGCAGCGCGCTCCTGCTCGATCTGGTTCAAGAGCTGAGCACCTTCAGAACGGCGATTGTTGACAAAAGACTCCACGTTCTTTTCGAGGCTCTCGACTGTTTCCTTCATCTCTGCATACCATCTCTTCGCGCTTTGCAGGCCTGCTTCGAGATCCAGGAACTCTTGATACGCTCGCTTGTATTTCCCAACAACCGAGGCCCGCTGCCTCTGAATGGCCTCGTATTTGCTCTGCTCCGACCTGACGCGCTTGTCCTGCAGAAGATTGTTGAACGTCATGGAGAGCTCTTTCATCAGAGCTGACTGTTTGTGATTTGCTTGAAGCAGGCGAGTCTGGTGCGGCCGGAACTTTTCCAATTCTTGTTGGAAAAGCTGGTTCTCATAATTCGCTATCGACTTCTTGTTCAAAATGAGAATTTGGGAGATGTCGTCGTTGTGGACCTATTTCTGGTTAGCGGGGACCAGTAAATCAGAAGCGCATGGCAGGCTTGCCTTTTCTTTGAGATCCTTCAGGACCTGATTCCGTTCCCTTTTGATCAGGTTCAACTTCTTCAAAGTCTCCTCGACCTTCTTAATCTGATCCATGACGCTGGGCCCACTGTCATCGAAATCTGCGTCCAGAAGATTCGGCTCCGTTGCAGGGCTTCCTACACCACTTGATTTTCCGCGCACCTTGCTCACAACCTTCTGGAACAGCGCGTCGACTTCACCGTGCTGAGCCGCGGAACGCATCTCGTCGAAGACGTCTTGGTTCTGTCCCAGCTTCGAAGCAAGTTGCGCGTCGCTCCTGGATGCCTCGTTCAAAGCCTCGCGGTAGTTCCTGATGTCGCTCCTCAGTGTTGTAGTCAGCCGTCCACTGGGTTGTTGAGTCCATTCACTCTCGTACTTCGAACGCATCTTCTCGCACACCCCTTCCTCCATGTCCAGCTGCTGTGAACACTTATCCAAGATGGAAATTGTGGAATCTCTCTCGGATCTCAAGGTTTCGAAAATCATGCGTGGATTCTCATGTCCTGCAACGTCATCACACCATGTACGAAAATCCTCGTCCGGGAGTATGTCCTGGTCAAAGCCACCCTTGAGCACCTGCAATGCCCCTGGGAGCCTCAGGTAATCCAAGCTCGCAGCCATTTCGCTGTTTGCCAGATCCACACGTTCCGTTTCGGCCCTAATCAATTTCGCCTTCTCTTCGTCGTAGAGGCTTGCAGATTCTGTCACTGCCATGGGTACAATCTTCGAGAACAGGTCCGGACCAGTTATCCGTTGGATATCCTGGCCAGCATAGAGCTCTGAGACTGGTATGGGCTTCGCAGCAGGCAGTTTGGCCACGGGAGCCAGACTAGCCTCTGGGGGAACATTTTGATGGTAGATGTAGTCATTGTCCTTGGCCAGTTCCTTCAGTTTCTCCTGAACAGTCGAAAGATGCCGCTTCGTGTGCTCAGCAAGGAGGCTACCACAGTCCGCTTGAAGATTCGAGCTTGGTGGGACGAACCCAGGAAAGCTCGAGGCGCCTTTATTGGCTTCCTTTGCCAGGGTCTCGGCAGCTTGGAGCCTACCGACAGCAACACCATGAGCATTAGCATCGTCATCTGCCAACGCCTGGTAGTACTGGGCCATGGAATTTAACAGGTTGGCTTTGATCTGCCGTGCTTAATTAGCAAAACCGCGTTGTTTGGCGCTCTGGCCCTTGGGAAACGTGAGCTCCTACCTGGACCATCAGAAGCCAAACCTTCTCGAAGATTGCCTTTGTGACATTTTCCTGGACGCCCTCAATGGACTGGCTGTATAGAGTGCCTGCTTGACTGGCAAGCTTGGCCAAAAGCCCAACCTTCTTCTGGTCAGCTATCTGCTTCTCCAGGAACACCTCCTGGGCTTGGGCGAGGGTGATGGCGATGAGCGTCTTGACGGTGTCGCGGCTCAGATCGACGGAGGGCGCGTGGAGGAAGTTCTCGTTAATGTAGCTGAACATGCCGGCGGACGCCTGGAACGAATGGTAGGCGGTCTTCAAACCCGACTCTTCCGACCTGGGTTGATTCGCGGCATGGCAGGACAGTACTGCAGAAATGTTGAATATGATGGAGGCTTTCTCGAAGGCTAAGGAGTACTGGGAGGTAGGCTTGTGTGTGAAGGCGTCGAACCTGGGAGAGACATTAGCCACATGCCAGCCTGGACCAGGCACGCCTCATTGAAACAACGCACCATGTGAAAGAGATCTTGATGTGCTGCTCGTCGACGGGGAAGCGCAAGTCGAGCAGTTCAAGCTGGCCGTAGTATCTGTAGAGCAGATCCCTCCCAGCAGTGCTGTCTTTCCCGGCACCTCTCATGTCCTGCCTGAGGCGGTTTAGGGTGGCGCATTCCTCAGCATATCTCTCGGGATCGTCGCCATAGGTGTGCTGTATGTAATGTTTCAGAGGGTGTATCCAGTCGATCTCGTTGGTTGCCTTGAGAGGCACCGATATCATGGGAATCTGGGCCATGTTTGCTCGTTGGGAACTGGTGACCGGGGGGTCCAGAGGGGCGGGGTCGTCGAAGCCAGAGACCAGAGACCAAAGCTTGCAGCCAGAGGTGACGCGGCAGAACGCCCTTCTGAGGTCGTCGAGAGAGCTTTCAGCCCAGGATGTGAACGGGAAGAGGTTCTCTCGTCAATCTCATAACGATGGGGGGCTCCTTGGGTTCGGCGCGGTGCGTGGGGAGGTAGGATAAGCTCTCGCTAGATAGCTGCTCGTGGCTGGATGGATGGATGTATCGTGCTGCTATGTATGTACTGTACTGTACATCAGTGGGTTTGCTTGGGTCCAAATGCAAACGCAGATACACGCAGAACCTAGGTAGTTGGCGTGGTACGTACCGCTATCCTGTGTGGCTTGCAGGCGGAGGTGTGGGGACGGGCTCCAAGGACGCGCAGGGCTGCCCGAATGCAAGTGGCGAGACTGGCGCTGTGGTTTCGTCGGTGCTTTGGGTCGTTTTCTTGAGAATTAGAGACAAGACAATGATTTGACGATGATGCACCAGAGCAGACAAACGACTGGAGTCCCCCCCAAAACATAGCCGCCCGAGGACAGCAGTGCTCTGACTGTCCTAGGCAGTGACGGAGGCGTCGTTGGACGGGGCCTCTGCTCGGGAGCTCCCTTCCTTGCTGGGATCAACCCATCTTGCTGGCTTCCAGCTGGGTCCCTAGCCGCCATTGCAACCCTGCGCCGCATCTTCACCGGGCAGTCCCACGCAACCAGCCTGCCGTCAAATATTTGCACCAAGACACGTCTCTGGGCCACTACTCGACTTCTTTCCCACGCACGCAAGACGGCCATCAAGGGGGCAGTGTTTGATGTAGACAATATTTCTCGACCGGGTCCGAATCAGACTATCGCGGAGCCATAGTAGGAACACACATACTCAAGCAAATGACCTGTCGATTTGGGTGGGCTTCAGAGTGCAGCGACTTGGCAACATTGAACCAGCGGCTGATTCGCAGGGCAGACGGACCGTTCCTGCGACCGCTGGGCAGATTTAGTACTGCATGTGCTATTCCTCGAGAACCTGCCTGCTGGGTCTTTAATTAAGCTGCCGTGCTTGCATCAACCGTGCGGCGCATGCCTGTGGCCCATTCTGCGACCTGCATGACCTGGTTCTTGGGTGCCATCAAGGCGCCCAACAGCCTGACTATATCATACATGCACTCTTCTCATCATGGTTGCACGTCCCAGAGCGGCATGTGTGTATCATTTTATCATATTCAGCCCAACATTTCTTGTTCGAAGAAACGAGCACAAAACGTTGTACCCACGTAGCCAAGTGATTGCAAGAAAGCCAAGATGTTGTGTGGCTGGAAACTTGGTCCCTATTGCGGCGGTTCACATAAGCGAGGTTCTTTTTTGGCTATGTAATTGCCATCAAGTGGTCAGAACACTCTGAATAGCAATCTCACGTCTTATAAGCCTACCTCGTCGTGTGCTTTAAAGTGTGCCTTGGGCAGTGTTCCAGGCCACATCCAAGACGGACGTTGAGCAATTAGCCTACAACGTCAAAGGAAGGAGTGAGCAGTCAAACAGCAGCCAAATTACAAATCCAGGGAAGAAGGCTTTTCACTCTGAATAACCTCTTTGACGTCTCGGAACCCCGCTGACTCCAAGCGTGCAGGCCGGAGCGAGAAATCCGGAAGTCCCACCGCTTCCACCTAGACAGAGCCCCTGTTACAATAATTTGAACTGCTTCCCTTGGCTTTTCCGGGCTGCATTCATATTTGCAGGAGTACTTCGTGGCCGAATTGCGAGCTTGGAAAACCATGGCCGTCTTCTCCACTCACAAGTCGGCGCAAGAGAATACAAGATGTGCTATTACTATGTTGACCAGCCTTTTTACCTAAAGCCTACGGGGGTTCCGCTGCGAAGTCGCGCCGGGCCGCTGGTGCAGCTCCCAGTTTCGGAGCTCCGGCTTCTCGGAAGTGTGGGGTCGTCAGTACCTGGGCAGCTCCCGCCTCGGGCATAATTCTGGCAACCCCCCGCTCTTTGCGGATTAAACAAGGCCCCATACCGTATACGCCATCAGAGCCCCTCCTCATATGCAGCCATTCATAAGAAGGGCCTTGCGTGTGAGGCTCCCCCCTTCAATTGCATCCGAACCACGGCTGAGGTCTTATTTGCCCTTGAGAACCCATCATTCTACTTACTCACCCACATATCGTCTCAAACACACCATGTCCTTCGATCGACGTAAGCTCACGCCCACCTGGGAGCCCTTCCTCATCGCCTCGGGTCTGGCTTTCGCTGACTTCTGTTAGTTGTCCGTTTCGTGCCCAAGGGCGGCAGCAGCTCCGTTCTCATCGGCGAGCCGGTCGACTCCTCGGTCGACGTTGGGGCTGCCGTCCGCAAGGGCCAGGATGTCCAAGTCAAGGTGTTCAGCGGCTCGTCAGTCTTGAATCCTGGCTCGGCCACGGACAAGGTTGAGGTCGTTGACCGGGTCTTGTCGCCTCTTGACACTCCTGAAGTCGGGACCATCCGATGTATTGGCTTGAACGTATGTCTGGCAGAAAACGCTCCATCATGACGGTAGTTTGACCCATAGCTGACATCGCCTACAGTACCGAGGACATGCCAATGAAGTGGGCATGAAGATCCCTGACGTCCCGGTCGTTTTCATGTACGTGGGATATAAGGCACATATCATCTCCTACAAGCTCTCTAACACGTTGTTTTAGGAAGCCAGCCACCTCTCTGGCAGACCCATGGCCAGCGCCAACGGTGATTCCGAAGCACACGCTCAAGGATGACTGCGCCGACTATGAGAGCGAGCTCGCCGTGGTCATCGGCAAGACGGCCAAGAACGTGAGCAAGGAGCAGGCTCTCGACTACGTGCTGGGCTACACGGCGTGCAACGACATCTCGAGCCGCGTGCAACAGCTCAACCAGAGCCAGTGGAGCTTCTCCAAGGGCTTCGACGGTGCTTGCCCCATAGGCCCAACCCTGGTCTCAACTAAGGCGATCCCGGACGTGTCGAAGCTGAAGCTGAGAGGCTTATTGAATGGCAAGGTCGTGCAGGAAAGCGGGCTTGAGTGAGTTCCTGAAATCTACCAACGGCCATGACGCGAGGATTTAAGCTGACTTTCTCCGTGCTCAGTGACCTCATCTTCGATGTGGCAGAGCTGGTGAGCTGGTGCTCTCAGGGCACCACGCTCCTGCCCGGCACCCTTATGTAAGTCACGCAGCACCCACCTTCTGCTCTTCTCACCCTAACGAAAACTGTGCACCTTTGCATCGGTCTGACTTGAAGCCCTGCAGTATCACCGGTACTCCCGCTGGCATTGGCTGGGGCCGCAACCCAAAGCTTACCCTGCACGGTGACGATGAGTTCATTGTCGAGATTCTGCCCCATATCGGCAGCTTGTACAATGTCTTGGAGGACGAGAAATGATTTGCAGATCGCGGGTCTAATATAGACAGGACTGGAGCATGCAAAAGAGTCGTGCTGTGCTTCGGATTTCGACCGTTAATTCTTGATGTAGAATGAGTCTGATAAAAATGGCAATTCAGGTTTTTCTGTGATTTGTCTAATGGAGCCCACAAGGACCAACTTTCCTGCGCACATACGTCCGGTGCTGATTTCCGCGTCTAATTCAGAATCTAAGGTTCATGACGGTAATTCTTCTTGAGCTTGACTGAGAAACATCGAGATTACCAAGGGCAGTTTCGACTAAATTCTGTGAAATTGATCTTGAACTACTCCACTCCACCATAGACACAATTGTATAGTGTTCAGCAGACACTTTGCCACATTTCTGCAAGCCGGCATGTTCCCGCACTGCATATTCTATGCCACCTCTATCATTCAATAAACGCCGAGATCTCGATCCTCTCTATTTCTTAAAGGACCACGGAACTTGATACCCATACCCAAATTATTTCCGCCTCTACTGGAATTTTTCCATCCTCTAGCGTTGCTCGACCATGGACAAAACAACCGACCAATTACGAGTCAAGAATCGCAGGTAGATGGGCCTTCCCATATTCTATCACACCCTCAGGACCCTTTTCAACTTGAAGCCCCTTTGGCAGAGACATGACTTTGATGTCTGGCACTATTTCTCGTGCAACGGAGACAGCCTGTGCTGCCTCCTCAGGAGTCCACATCGACGCGGTAAACTGCAAGAGATGGGCTTTGTTCAGCAATGATGCCACCTACATATAGGAATGGGACTTGACAGGCATGTATTGGTCTGTGTCAAGAGCCTTGGCTTTGGGCTCAAAAGTCGATGGACTACGTAATTACCATGAGATTTGGTTTGTGTTCCTCTACCATGGCTCTCACGCCGTCTATGCCTAGTTCATAATTGTTTAGTCTCGCGCCGTCCAATATCTAGTATGCTGCTTACTGGTCGTGTTGGCAACGTAATCAATGTGATGCGTGGCTCTCATCTCCTCAACCAGCCTGCCACAGAGCTTCTTTGCTCGGTCTGGAGAAGAATTAACGGTTACCAGCTTGAAAGGGCCGGCCGGCTTCGCCTTTTCTGTTGTTGCCATTTTGTCCGACGTGAATATGTAGATAGTAGTTACGAAGCAATAGGATCGGAGTATTTTTAATCAAAAGATTCAACCTTTCAAGATGACTTGCATCGAGAACCAAGTAAAGAGATATATTCACAGTTCCGGGTGCCCGGTCCTTCTTTTACTTCCGCAAATCCGAATTTCCTCGGTTCGCGCAGGCTTTCTGAGTAGGGGCCGGCCTGGGCAGCTTGCCTCGGAGATAATTGAGCTCGGAGACATCGGCAATAAAGGATAGGCTTCGTCACCGGGCCCGATGCCAAAACACACACATTGGCTACGGGCGGCCTGAGTTGAAGAACATAAAAGACTTGTCAATGCTGAGATTGGTCTATTGCTCTTGTTGCGAAGAGCTAAAAGGGCCAACGAACAATTTGGGCTAAAGCGCACAACCGTCATCCGTTACATCAAGATCTGCGTAGCTGCATGGGTTAAGAGTCACCCAAGTGATACTACAAATCAAGAAGAATTGAATTTGGACACACGACAGCAAGAAGTGTCCCTTGGGGGGGGGGGGGTTTCAGACTGATGACGCTTCCGCGCAGCATGCAGTCGATTTGCAGACTGAACATAGCCGTCGTCACGTGGGCAACTGGGCAACAACTTTTGTGACCGAGGTCTGATGCTAGCGACAGGGCGAGATTGACACGGCGACTTCTGAATATCCTGAGAGCAGGAAACTCTGCTTGAGATCATTCTCGACCAGGCAGGACTCAATGGTTTGACTGGCTACATGACATGTGAAGAAGACTCCCTTGATAACCCTTCGGCAGATTATTCCTCCGTCTAGTCATCGATGTGATGTGATGCTTTCGTGACAAACTTCAACCGTGCAACCCTTCGGTTGCCTGTGATGGTCTTGATCCCAACTCCCAGGCACATTACTGGGATTGACTCGGGTTGGGTGGAAGCTACTGTTGAAGTTCAAACGCTTTGGACCTCCCTGGTCAACTCTTGCGAGGCCCCATCACCAAGACCTGTTGCGCCCAAGGGCTAATAATACGGCTGCGGAGCTGGTTCCCCTGGCCACAAAGTCCTGGACGCGCCCACTGGCTTTGTCTGCAACACTCGCGTTGCCGACACAGCATGACAAGCCAATTTGGCTGTGGACTCCCAGATCCCACTTTCCGCCCGCGGAGCTTGCAGGAAAACGGCATAGTTCCGGCCTTGTGGGAGGCAAAGGCACTAAGGCTCCAGCTAGTGTCTTATGTTGATGGAGCAGCGAACTCTTGCCCTGGGAGGCGTTCTATGATCCCGGGACACGTTGTACCAGGATGGCCCGGCAAGGCTGAGAGCACAGTCGATGTTCGGCGTGGAGCCCGTAGATCGTGGACCGGGACCCGATTGGGTTGTGAGGAAAACTGGCGCTGGATCATAGCTTGCAGGACATATATGGAGGCAAAATAAGCAGGGAGTGAGTGGGTGACGATTAAGTGACACGTATGGTTTGTGGAAATTGGGAGTCACGAAGCTGCTCAATGCTGGATCAGCATTTCCCTAGGATTTCTTGTCTTGGGACACCCGAGGAAAGCGACCCCCTTTCTCTGAGTCACACGTCTTGTTTGTCAGAAGTGTTCGACAAAGGTGGTTCTAACCGGAAGCAATATCATGATATGGTAAACATGATATGCCCATGGGCCATGTTGCATCCAGAAAATATTTTACATCATGTACAGAGTTCATTATGACGGGCCCTATGGATCACTCTGACCCCGTCAAACTTTAGCCCGTAACTTCTTCTGCTCTGCTGCCCCTCGTTAACAAAAGTGCAGAAAATTGCAGGAGGGCGAAGAGTCATCTATCCAAAGCTTGGATGGAGGCGGAATAAAGGCAAAAGATAACGCCACTCAGAGGGCATTTCTTAGGGGTTAGTCACTGTTTTCGACATTAGCAATGCCGGCTCGCCACTAAGAACATTCCGGATCTGCCATAGTCAAGCCGGAGCGAGGATGTGGTCTGTCGATGGCCCCGAAAATACCAGGCTGGCACCGCAGCTTAATACGTTATACATCCCGGCTCCGCTTGGCCGCCGATTCCCCCGTTGTCAGGGAGCTACCCTGGTCAACGGCCCCAAGAGTTCCTGAGACGCGTCCGCGGACGATCCAGGCCGTGTCTGGCAGAAGCGCGCCGCTTGCATTGCCGTTTTCAAGGCGTTTTTGACAGTTTCATCGGGCCGCAGATGACAAGACAAGACTGTCTGCGGTAAATGAGCGGCCTAACTGCGTCTCAGTTTCACCAGTCGTGGGTTTGAGAAGAAGAAGCTCTGCCAGGCTTTGCCTTTTGACAGCTTGACAAGGTGCCACGAGGTTGGCCTCGAGGTGCGTGTAACGTGGCTCAGGGCCTAGGAGGGTAGCAGGCCCTTCCATTTGAGTTCGATCGATTGATCTTGCACTACCCTCCCTTGTCCCTATCAGTCGTCCGGAGCCATGTTCGCAATGCCTTCCGTTCGTTAGAGGACTGGGCTGCCAAGAATGGGGGATTTAAAGGTGTGGCTGCAAGATCTCTCACAGGGGAGGGTGGTATCATCATGCAGCGAACGACCAGGAATCCCACGTGCTGGTCACACGCTCCGACGGCCTGCAGGCCTCATTCGACGACGTCAACCATGCTGTCATATAGCGCGGCACGATGAGCTGCAGCAACACGTTGGCACGCTGGTGGAGGGAGGTGAAGGCTGCCGAGGCGTGGACGAAAAAGCCCGGCATGCTCGGATGAACTGGAAACGTCGCTCAGGTGCCGCGATCGATTGGTGACGATTGACTGATGGGAAGGTGGCAGTTGAATTGCGAGGAGTCGGCCGCCGGGTCGGGGCTTGGTGAGCAAGGAGTGTTCTAGAACGGAGAGGGTCGAACACCCCGGATCCCGGAGAAAAGGGAGATCCACAACCCACCGGGCAAAAGAGAGACAGAACAGAAAACATCCTTTTCGAGCAGTTGCTTCTGGTGGAGTCTCCCCACGCATGCCAATCTGACACCGATCGGTGCCGTTTCAATGCCACAAATCCAACGAGTCGTGAGACAAGGCAAGCCAGGGCAAGACTTGGCGGGACAGGGCAACGCCATGTTCTACGTACACAGATCTGAGACCCGGGAGACGTCGACGGCCCTGGTCTTGGACGAGCAGCAGGAGGGCAAGAGGGCAGGAGGAAGACGACGACGACGACGACGACGACGACGACGACGACGACGACTACGACAACGGGTGGCATCCGGGAATTGGGACTCGCCCGTGAATACCGATGTGGCCAAGCGTCTCATCCAGTCGGACGATGGATGAAACGCGATCGCAGTGTGTCCTCCAAGGTTCTCGGGATGACGGGCACAGCCTGCTGTTGGTCCGAAGGAGCACACGATACGGACGCGCAGTACGTGCCCGAGAGCTGTGCACAAGGCTGCCCAGGCACCCATGTAGTTCGCCCCGAGGACAATTGACCGATGCGCCGAATGTGAATGTGCGAGTCTCACCGCCTGCTGTGCTGCATGCAGAGGCTGCCTCGAGGAGCCTTGTTGTGGCTGCCTCTCCTCTCAGCTCGACGTTGCACAGCAGACCGGCCAGTGTTTTCTTCGCTTTGGCAGCCGAAGCCACGCAATGTGCGTATGCAGGTATGAGGTAGAGCGAGCACATACACAGTGTACATACACACACAGACGTGCATATACAGTTCCCAACAGACATCTACAATGCACGTCTGGATATCCCTCCACTTGCATACATGGATGACGCTTGTTGTTCCGTTGGCCTTGGGGTGCAATTTCCCCTTGGTGGTGTTCCGTCGCGTCGCCCCCAACATCGCCCGTGCAACGCAATCCCGAGCCCAAGCACCAACCAGCACAGGCGCGCCGAGGGGCAGAGAGAGAGAGAGCAGGTTCATGGATGGGATGGCTGGATGGATGGATGGACGAGTGAACACCAGGCGTGACATGACAGGGCCCTAGTCCCGGCCCCGTCCGCGTGGGCGTGGGCGTTTGGCATGGGCGTGGGCGGATTTTGTCCCCCTTGGTTGCATTTTCGAAAGATTTTCCCCCTTTTGACCAATTTACCAAGAGTGTTCTGGCTGGACCTAATAAACCTTACTTAGCTCGCCTATATGTACGTATCTATAGTCAGCCCACGTCTGTCCCGTCCCGTCCTGACCGTCCAACTCGAGGTGTTGATCGCTGCCCCCTCCCACTTTGCACGTTGCACGGACTGCACACACCGATCGGCCGCCTGCGGCCCAGCTCTTCTACTCGGTGATCGTTGCATCGCCTCATTTCACATCTTACACATGGAAGGCCAGGGAAGAGAGTGAGAGGGGGGGGAAAAAACTGTATAAGTCTCAGCTGGCCCTCATCCTGACTCCCGTGCCTTGCCTTTGTCGTGCTATTTTCCTCTCCCCATCGCCAGTCACCAAATCTTCTGCCCTATTGCGCGACTGCTCGCTCAACCTGAGAAGACCCACCACCGACGCCAGAGTTCTTTCGAGGTCCCTACACACATTTACACCCAGATATATATATATCGTCACCTCTGCACCACTCCACCCACCTCTGCTGCACACACACACACACACACACACAAACAGCCCTACCCGTGGACCGCCCCAGCATTACACGCCCCGGCCAACTTCATATATCCAGCCTCGTTACCAACATGTCCGTCAAGGAGCATACCGAGCTCGTCGTGCACTGCTGCTCGACCTGCTGTAAGGCAGCCGACTTCGGTATGCAATCTGGTCCACCAGGACATAAACACCAAAACCACGGCCGTTTGCTAACTCGCGGATAAGGTACCCACGACTACTGCTCCGGCAGCTCTTACTACTGCCCTCGTTGTCCCCATTAAGGACCATGCACCCGCCTGCGTCCAATTTTTCCTCCCTCTCTGCTTCTGCCTCTCGTCCCGCTCAACCCCTGGTCCTCCATCCCGCCGTTCTGGGCGAGCCGCATCTCCCATGGGCCAGGGCAAGGCCTGCGCCTGCCTTAGTCCTGCAGCTGGCTACCACCACCCCCTGAGCTGGCCACCACCGGCCCCAAAGAAGATCTCCTCCGCCTTACCTGGTCGAGCACATCTGCTTGCGCTCGGTGCAACCATGCAACCATGCAACCCTCGACGACATACGAGTTAAGACAAAAAAAAAACACGTCCTCCAATCCTCCATCTCCCGGCCCCCGTCCCCCTCTCTCGCCCGCCGGGGCCCCTGATGGCGCGCGCCCATCGCCAGTCCTTGCGTCTGCTCCACACGCAGGACCTCGCTCCCTCCCTCCTGGCCCTTCTCCGGTCGTTTTGAACCTTCTGCCACATTACGCATACGACGGCGTTCACCTCGCCTTTTGCAAATCTCGCTTCGACTTGCACCTCACCGCCGCCCTTCTCCCACCCCTGGACCCCCCCCATCTCTCGTCACCGAGATTTGAGAGGCTGGCGCGCGGCGGCCACTATCTGCCTCGGGGGGCGTGCAAGGCTGCAGATGGGCTGATGGGGTGCTCACCGGGGGTGCTCACCGGGGGGGGGGCGTGGATTGTTTCGCCCCAGCCTGGAGCATCGCCCGACTTCTATGTGATTTTGTGGACGGACACCAATGCAGGCAGGCTCAGGGGCGTTCTCCATCCTCAAGCCAGTCTGTGTTCTTGCATGAGGTCCTACTGTTGTGTGTGTGCATGCAGCAGCAAGACTCACTCACTCACTCACACCCACCAAACAAACCCCCTTGTTGCACACACCCACAGTCTCGGCAGGACTTACTCTTCTTTTCTCGCGCTATCCCGCTGCTAGCCAGCGAGGTATTCCTTTTATTATACCCATATATCACCATCGCTTTGCGCGGGAGTTGTCTATTTTTCTCTTTTCTGTTTCTCGGGAACCGACTGGCTCATGATTGGTCATGTCTGGGGGTACTAGGTGTTTTGGGAAGGAGGGGTGTTTACTGTTCATGGGACATATCGGCGTATTGGGTGTACTAGGGAAGGTTTGGGATGCATACATGTATGTATGCATATTAAAGCACCAGCTGTTGCTACCATCGTCATGGAAGTGGATCAATTCAATTCCCGTGAAGCTTTCTCTGCCTGCGTGCTACGTACTCCTCCCCCCTCTTCGTGATCTCTACGGGAAATGATCAGCAGCGAATCATGCCGTCTAATATGAGACTGCCGCTGTGGTATTTCGGGACGGGAGACCTGCAAAAAAAAAAGTAAAGAGAAATGAAAAAGCAAAAAATGATAATTTGGGACCTGACTGATGGTCGATGTCATGTCAGGCCACGACCCCCAAGCATGATGACACGGCTGCGGAATTTGATACGTCTCTCCTCACACAAGTGCTGACCTCCCGCCTAATGCTGTGTAACAAACACCAGTCTCCCAGCGGGCTTGAGCTCCCCTCGGCCACGGCAAGGGGCCTGACTGGCCTCAAGGGGCTCTCAGAGTCCTGAGATGCAATCGCCATGCCCACCACCAACTTCTGCGTAGCCTGTCCGCCTCTTCCTGCACGACGAAGCCCCCTTCTCACCCTCCTTCGCCCAGCTCAACAGCAGGCTTGACCCCCACCCTGCGAAATGCAAGGCTGGGCACGACCATTTGCGGCCAGCGCACACGCACCCGGGCCTTTCCTCATGAAGACACACCGGCAGCTCGGCCGTGCACGCATACGCTTCGGTCGAATGGGGCCCCAAACGCGGACGGCATTCCAAAGGCTGCTCCCACTCCCACCCCCCCCCTCGCCCCCTTCTGCCCCATGCGCTGCGGGAACTGTTGCCTGGGGGAAGAAGGGGGGAGGTTCTGCCGGGTGCACCCAGCAGGCCGGGCCCACCACCGACATGGCAGGTGGAAAGGGGACTAGGCCAAGGGAGAAGCCGGCCGCACGCTTGGTAATCCCAGGCCGCCGGGCAGGGTAGCAGATATCATAAATGACGAGCAGGCCTGGGCCGGCCAGCACATTGGATTGGGAAGTGGTCAGCACTAGGCAGGCTGCAGACGACGAGGCCACGGGCGAGCTACTGACGGCCTTGATCCTGTGACACGGCTCGTCATGGATACCCGTCGTCCGTTGAGCGATTTGTTCCGTCCTGGGTACCGTTTCCGTGTGCACCCGCCGTGGTCATCCTCCCTCTTGACCGGGGACGTCATGGTTACTTCTTCACACGTGCATGACACTCATTTATCCCGAGCCGTTTTGCTTCTGCAAGGCCAGACAGGTACATGGAAGGAGTGCTGGAGAAAAGATGGGGTATTATTGAATTAAACGTGTACACCGAGGGTCCCAAGGATGCAGGGCCAGCTAATAGAGGGTGTGGAAAACTGCCGCAATGCTCGACTTGTCAAACTTGACGTATTTGCCCTTGCCCTTGTCGACCTCGTGGTATCGATCCCAAAATCGGTTGTACAGCGGTTCAACAGTTTGCTGGACCGCTTTTGCGAACATTCGGCGGACCTCAGGCTCCATGCTGTACTGCTTATGCTTCGCGACCATGTCGTCAAAGCTGGCATTGAACGCTTGGAACTTGTCCTTGATCTTTTCCCGGTCTTTGGACGAGAGCCCCTTCATGATCGACGCAGAATCCACAATACCCTGTCCAGACGTGGGCCGGTTCGCTCGAGAGGTATGGATCACGTCCAGGAGATGCACCGATACGTCTTTGCATACGTCCGTGTACGTCGCGTTCGCCTTCTTTCGCCAGGTGTCAATGACGCCCGGAAGCTTCTGCTGCAGCATAGGCCCAAGTTCAGAGTCTCGAATCATGCGCTCGACAATGACAATATTGTTGGCCATGAAGACTCCCACCACTGGTTTCCTCCCGAAAAGGGTTCTGGCGCGCGCATCCAACGATGAGAAAAGTGTCTCAATGGTGTCCGCGCAATAGTTAGCGAAGATCTCCTTTCCGTCCGCGCTGACATCGAAAGACGCCAGGTTGGGTACGCTGTCCCCAGCATTCCTTGCTGCCGCCGAAGATGACTTCCAACCCCCGTCGCCTAACGATACCATGATAATGGACATGGGTCGCAGGAAATTGGCCATAGTTTGTAATCTTTGCATCGTGTCCGACACAACGGGCACGGGAGCCCCGTCTGCGGGCAGCATCTGCAGGCTGTTGATTTTCATCTGCAAGGCATCCAGCAGTTCAGCCAGTGACGACTTGGCCGTCTCCTTGACGGGCTTGAGCGCTGCTGCGAGCGACGGCTTCAGCTCTCCTGTTGTTGACTCCAGATTGTTCGAAAGGCTCGACATGACCTCCACTATTTCGTATGCCAGGAAGCAATCAGTGTTGAGATGGCTTCTGATGTGGATGTTCAACTCTCGCAAGGTCCGGGCGAGTTCGGCAAGGGGCGCCTGGCAGGTCGATTGAAACACTGGGCCCCAGTCCTCTCTTGTAAAGATGCGACATATTATCTCATACTCAGCTAAGAACAAGCCTTCCATTGCTTGCGCATACGTGCCGATGCCACTTGTTCCAGCGCGGTAGTTTGACGACGAGTCTTTCCTCTTGGCGGTATTCACACTTGCCGACGCGAGGTTCAGCAGCGTTGCCGTCAGGTACTGTCCGCGGACCTCGGCATAGATCTTAGCAGATGGAGACTCCTGCATGACGCCACTCTCCCGGTGAGCGCCGGCAATGTACGAGTTCAGCAGGCCCAGTCTCGTGTTCTTGTCCTGGGACAGCACGGGGAAGGGCTGCTGCTTGGTGATGTAGTGTAGTGGCTCGATGGATCGTGGTGTCTCGCTTCGCAGCATCTTGTCGAAGTAAGCCTCGAGTTGCGTATTCCCGGACTTGATCAACCGCTGTAGGTCTGACGTCGTCTGCTGTGTGGAACGTAGGTTCGAGGCTTTCATGTCGGCTAGGGCCTTGTTCAAACGCTTGAGCGAGCTGAGGTAGCTGGAGAGGCCGGCCTTCTCGGGGCCCATGCGGATGATCTGCTCCTCGTCATTCTTGCTGTCGGACTGCTGGCGCAGCCGGCCGATGGCTGAGAGTACGCCGTCGATGTCTGTGAATGGTGCTGATTGTCAGAGTGCAATGCGCCGAGGGTGCGGTGTTGGTGGGCGCTTCGCAACGCATCACGTACTATTGCAGAAGACCTGCAGCTGCTTTGTCTCCCCGTTGAGAGGGCCGACGGCCTCGTTCAGGCGCTTGCCCGTGCCTTGCACGCGGGAGAGCTGGGCCTCGATCTTCTTGGTCAGCTGAGCCCTCTTGTCGAGATGCGACTTGAGGACGTCGACTTCGGCGCGCGCCTCCTCCTCGGCATGCTGCCGACTGGAGGGGGCGGAAACCATGGCACCGCTGTTGTGATTCCAGCGCCTTTCGCAATGCGAATGCGGATGAGAGTGAGTGAAGATCTCTCGAAATGCTGTGATGGGACACGTGGGAAAGGGATGGGCAAACCCTCAATTCCCCAATTTCACGATGACATGGGGAGGAGGTCCACGGGTGGGTTGAGATGGAGAGCGCGCCCAAGGGATATGGGGCCTGGGCCTGAAACGACCCAAACTCCGGCTGGCAGGCCCGCTACTGTCGCAGCGAGCGGATGACGCACGTCAGGCAACGGGGCGGGGAGCACAGATAAACGTTGGACACGCAGGGATGAGCCGCTGATTCAGGGGCACAAGGCTAGGCGCTGCAAGAGCACTGACCGTAAGGGTCCGTCGTTGATCAACCGTTCTCCCGCAGAAGCATGCTGGATCCCGTTCACATGCAATTCTGACATCCTCGACTGGTGTCCAGATGAACGGCATAGGTAGCCTTATCTACGCTGCAGGGGGGAGAAGCATCCCAAGTTGACGTTTCGTCATTTTGTTTCTCCCTTTGAAGCATCGGTCCAGCACCATCACCGTCTCATCTGCAGATCCGTGGAGAGAAGCCGAAGTCCAGTACTTCGATACATCGGAGCCAGAGTCTACGTTGTCACGCTATCGGCTTTCTTAAGCCGGGATTTTTTGATATTTCATATCCCAGCTATATGTCGCGCTCAACATTTCCCATAGCCTCATTTCTGCGGAAGAACGGTGACACCATGTCCGGAAAAGTAGTCCTCCACAAGCTTCGAGACACTCAGAACGAGGAATTCAATGTCCTCACTTGTGACCGTGTATGGAGGGGCGATGATTCTACGACAGGTTAGCACTTGATTTCGAAGCTTGGGTCGGGGCTCTGTGTGGATGATGAAGGGGCTGCGATGTCAGGGTGGGCATCTTGTACGCACATGTGGTCTCCGTTGACTCCATCTACGGTTCCGGCACCGGGATATACCATCATGCAGTATGGTTTCGTCAGTCCTAACTCACTGATCTCCATGGATACGCCGGCTTTGGATGGAAAGGGCGTCTTGGTCGCTTTATCCTGGACAAACTCGACTGCCCAGAATAGCCCTCGCCCTCGGATGTTGCCTACGTGTTTGTGGGAACCCAAGCGTGCCTGCAGTGATTTCCCGAGAAGCTCGCCCATTGCACGTACGTTGGCGATGAGATTACCTTCTTGGATAACCCGCTGTACTGCAACAACTGCTGCGCAACCCACGGCGTGAGCCTGGTATGTGTGCCCATGCACGAATGCTCTGCGATAGTGTTAACAAGTTTTCATCGCCGACACCGGAGAATTACTCACGCGCTGCCATTCTCGAGAGTGTCGACAACGTTCTTGTGGATGAGCACTCCAGCTACGGGTTGATAACCACCACTAAGACCCTTGCCGACTGTTTGAACATCAGGCACAACGCCCTCATGTTGCCAGGCGTGATGCGTTCCTGTACGTCCCATGCCGCACATGACCTCGTCCATGATGAGCAGAGCGCCGTTCTTGCGACATACTTCCTTCATGGCCTTGAAATAACCTGGGACAGCTGGCACACATCCCAGGGCCTGTTTGCGAGGAGTCAGTTAACAGGACTTTTAATGAAAACTAGGGCCCGAGAAGGCCAGACATCACTCACAGCACCAACAACTGGCTCCGCAACGAATGCGCAGACCGTCTCAGGGCCAACCCTCTGGAACTCTTGGTCAAGCTCGAGGGCAAGTCTCTGGACGTACGACTCGTCCGTCTCGCCTTGTTCCTTACCACGATACTCGTAGCAAGGCGAGACTTTGGAGACTATGTCTGTGAGCATGGGCTCAAACTTTGCCCGTCGGCCAACATGACCACCCATAGCAAGAGACCCGAGAGTTGTCCCATGATACGACTGCTGCCGAGAGATGAATCGGACTCTAGCTGGCTCGGGAGTCTCTTTCTCCAGAAAGTACTGCCGGGCCAATTTCTATTGAAGGAGTAGTCAGCTATCCATCTCCTTACAATAAGTAAAAACGTTCATATTTTCGCGAAAGCCACTGCCTGACATGTAGTCTCTCTTGTGTAGCCGCATCAAAGCAAGGCTTACCATTGCTGCTTCCATGGCTTCCGAACCTGCTTCTTGTCAGCTCAAATCTACCTCATGGGTAATTTCAGTACTAGCCTGAGCCCACAATGTACGCCCTCGTCATTTGCCCATCCGTGGTGTCAACCATGGCCCGTCCAGCCTGCTCAACAATGGACGTTTTGAAGAAAGTCGAGACACAGTAGCTCAGCTTCTGGATCTGATCTACCATGGCTTGATTCACGGCAGCATTTCCATGCTGGACCAGGTCAGCCGGGACACATGGACTGAGGGGAATGCGAGGGGGGCTAGCCCATCGCGATTGAACAGCATCTCACTTGAGACACTGACGATTTGGTGAACATACACCAACGCAGGCCACAGCAGCGCCACCTGAGGCATCGAAGATCCTCCGACCATCTTCCAGAATGAGGTAGTGGCCCTCGCCTCGTTCAATGCTGGGGAATTCATGGCGAAGGTGTCGATGAAGCACTGCGGATTTCGGGGCACCATTCAGCTTGGCAGCATCGCCAGGTTTGGGGGCTCCATTAGAGCTGTCAAGCTGTAGTTGAGTCATAGTATCAGGACAGGAGCAAGGTATAGGGCACCCCCTTTGGAAGAGATAGTAGAGCTTGGTAGGGGTGAACACTCAGCCACTTCTGTCGAGGTGACAGACTCGAGACCACTCGCCTAGCCGGGGGCCTAAGGGTTTAGTCTTATATTCACATCCCCAAAGTTCGACCGGCAAGCCGGCAGGCATACATGCATCGACCGGAGACCCGTCCCCGTCCAAATCGTTGCTGGGCGTGTCGTATCCATGAATTTAAAGCGTCTTCTGATGCGACCCGACCTCCGCAGGCCGGAGGGGGAGAGTCACTCAGTACCTCGATGGACGGGCATCGCCTGCCCAGGTACCTACCAGGTAGCCAGATAACTAGGTACATATGCTTGGTCTTTCTGGCACGCCGCAAGCCGCAAGCCGAGGGGAGGACATCGGGCAACATTCGGACAAGCTTCCGGCCTCAAGTGGCCACTGGTGGTGCGGTCTTGTGGAGCGAACTTGAGACTTGGACTAGAAAGCCCATGTACAACCTCTGATTTGTCCTGTGCCCCTGACTCAGGACGCTAGTACTGTAGGTACAGTACACGCCGATCCTTAGTACCGGCAGTGATCCTTCGGATCAAGTTGACTCGGCACGAGGTTTGCTGACGGTGGCGACTGGACTCGGCCCGAACGGCCACCAAGCTATCACCGGAGCACTCAATACCCAAGGCGCAAAATTGAGTTCATCGTCGACCTGCTGTGTAGACAAGTTCAGATCTATATCTGGAACGGAGATCTGCCACTTGCTGCAACCAGCCGATGTCAAAATGCCGGTGCCTTCGGCTGGCTGCTTGCGTGGATCACTGATAGTGCTGTCGCCGTGCTTGCAGGTGCAGGGCGCCCGTTGCGGCAACGGCACCCTTCGGCTTCCCGGTCTCGGGTCTGGCCCCCAAGATGTAACGCTCCTTGCCGAACGGCCGCTTCCACTGGATGATCCCGCCTACCTTACGTTCTGCAGTAGCCGCATGTAAATCACATAGATGGCGGTCTGCATGTCTGCTCACCTTCCATTTGCGAACTAGCCTTGCGCAGCAGCCGGCAACCCGTTGAGGACGACTCGTGGGCCGTGGAGGTCTTGGAGAGGCTGTCATGAATGTGTCATCATGCACCAAACAACGGCCAAAGGCCAAAGCCGGCCGACATTCGTGGGTCCCATTTGGAGCTCATGCAGGCCTCAGCCAGTTGTTTTCACTGTTCTGTGGCTTCCTGTGCACCTCGTCTCAACGTGGCAACATGCGTGTCCATGTCGAGCACTCCTGACAAGGAGGGGGGATTCGTAACGGGTACCATATACAGACTGCCCACCATCATTCGACCTGGCCAAGAAGACCTAGTTACCGGAAAAGAACACGTTCTCCATGCCGTCAAGCCGACCGGCCGTCTTGTCCCTGTTCGCACGCCCTCCGACGTGGTGGCCGAGAGGACGCCCATGTGCCGAAGCTGTAGTGAAACCTAGGTCGAGATTACTTGGGAAACCCCGTACCTTGAACGAGAGGGTGCCTGGGTGCTCTAGGCTTTGCATTTTGCCCATAAGCCACACTGCACACGGATGTCTAATCCTCCGTTGAGAGCGTGTAAGTGGTCCAACGCTGCGGATCTCTCCGGCATCAAGCAGTCGTAGTGTCTGCCAACATCCGGTGAAGGGAAGGATCACCTCCATGCTCCACGTAGCTCGTAATGCGAACCAATAACGCTGTGGTTATGCTGCAGAAATATCTGCTGAGTTCGGCGGACTCCTGCAAAACGACCCATGTGTTGTATCCTCAGGCCGAAGAACCGCACTTTCGAGGAGCAGAGGATTGTGGCAGAGGCAATGCAGCTGTGCCGCACACCCCGCAGATCAAAGCCGTTGCTTCTTGGAAGAAGTTGCTGCGGCATCTCAGTGAGCTCGACTTCGGCAACAGTATCGGGTGCTGTTGCACTAAGCCCGTGGGACAAATTATGTCTGGTGTCTCGTGGCTTGTAGGAGCTTGTCGACGGGAGAAGACGTGTCGCGTGATAATCGGCGTCTTTACCAAGGCGTCACATTCAACTTTGAACGGGCATGCAGAGTCCCGTCGCACAGCACAATCCCTCACGTACGCCACATCCTGAGGAGAGGTCACGAGTTCCGTGCCTCAATGTATATGCACCCAGCAGCCTGTGCCTGCCGGTCAAAAACTGCAGATGGCTTAAAGTAATGGCGGCTATGGTCGTCGGCCAATCCTTTGTGGCTGAAATGTGTTCGTGTTCCTTTCGTATCGCCAGTGCAAACCAGCAGATACCACCTAGGTAGGTCATTGGAGCAATTTGCCTGGAGTGGGATAAAGCGGGGGATCCAGCTACGGACGAAAATGGCCGCTGCAAATAGTTCCCATATTTATCGTGACAAAGCCCGCCGGTTTGCTTGAAATCAGCATCGAGCTGCCCATGGAAAAGATCCAAGCGCGCCCTAGGCTATACACGCGTTGCACAACATGGACGGACAGGGAGCTCTTTCGTAGAGCTGCCTGGAATTCACTTGACGAATGACAGCGTCCGCTGTCGGTGATCAATGTCGCGTCATGCATATCGAACAGTCAGTCGAATCATGGAAGGGCAGAAATAGACATTGTGTAGTACTTGTAACGAGGGCCATATGCAGTCTAGTCAGTCTAGTCCGTGAGAGCTCCGGAGCTTGGGGGGAGCTGGTGGGGACGGGGAACCGGTTGGCTGTGATTGGTCAGCGCCCGCGGAAGGGTCCACCCAAGTAAACAATGGACAAACAAGCTCTGGCACACTCCGAACCCCCTTCCACACGATCGATGCAATGTCGCGTATACCGTCATCCCTCACACACATATTGACAACGACCCGGACATCGCTGTAGCGCCCCCTAGCTTCCTCTATTCTCACCGGGCTCAAATATGCTTGCCTTATACTGACAGCCTCGCCACATTATCCCATTTTTGCTTTGCGACACTCGTTACACGTCTCGAGCCTGCGCGACATCATGGCAATGCGTCCTGGGCCACCGCGCCAGCCCGTGGGGTCTGCGGCGTGGTGCACAGAAGAGAGATCCTCGGCGCTCCAGATCTCTCAGTCTGAGGTGGAAGAGTTTGGCTACTCTGCAAGGAACGAGCTGGAATGGCTCAACGAGCACATGGCAGACGTCTTCTCCGAGAACCAGATGTACGTGTCAGACGCGTCAAATGTCGCAATCTTCCACTGACAATGACACAGAAATGTCGTCGAGGTCTTCAAGACGCCAGGAAAGCTCCGTGGGAAGACCCCAAGGACTGCGCGCAAACCTATCCAAAGTGAAAATAGAGTGGTAAGAGCTCTGCCACGTCCTTGTTGCCTTCACCTTCCAGACTGACAGGCTCGAAAGCCCCTGTCAAACATATTCTCTGCGACGCCGAAAGGCGAGCCGAATCCCTTCGCAACATCCGCGTTGCACAATGACAGAACCCCCAAGTTCCGAATCGCGGAGGACAATCCAGCCATTCCGGCCATGCGTCCTTCTATAACTCGCAAACCCGTGCCCACGAAGCCCGCATTTCAAGAACTAGCTGCAGTCGCTGACTCTGGGTATTATGGGAGCCAGAGTCAAGAGGTCACTTTCCAAAGTGATGAGTTGGTTGGGAATGCCGAGCCAGTACCACCCCGGAGTCCTCAACGGACGCCGGGACGGCCAAGACAGCCGTTGACGGCTCTGGCAGAATCTGACGCCATAGATAATCTGGACCCGACCACCGAGGTTTTCGAGGATCCCGCCGAGTCTGTAAATGGTTCAGAGACAGATCGCCCCAGAGCTGTTTCCCCGGAGGCACAGGTTGACGAAGAAGTGGAGGCAGAGCCGGTGCCGGCATCATCGCCAGTCAATTTGCTGGGTCCTGAACCGCCCGAGAAGTCCCCAGTCGAAGCGTCGCCGCCGAGGCCAGAACCGCCTGCAGCTGATACCGGTGGCGAGGAGCATTTGGAGGAAACTGCACCTGCGCCTGCACTCGGAAGCACCGCTGAGGACGATGAAATTGCGGACGTAACCGGATCGCCATCAGATGGCTCGAGCCCAATACGACCTCTTATGCGCAAGAGCAGTCTCAACTTTGCTTCTCTTCCTGCACGCGAGCCTATGGCCTCTAACAAGAGTCTGGGTGCGCGGGTATCGAGAACAAGCCACGTCGACCAGGCCCGTACCAGCTTTTATCCCAGAACAACCGGAGGCAAGAGCCTAGGAATTCGACAAGAAACGCGCGGAGATGACCACGAGGCCATGGATATCGACGAGGATGAGCTGGCAGGAGCCAGCCACAAAGAAAGCACTGTCACTTCCCACAGCAAGACATACACTCAGAGGCTGCAGGATCAGATCAGTATGCTCGGGAAATCGCAGGGAGGTGGAACAAGACTCTCAAAATCGATTCCGAGTCTTGTTGGCACTCAGAAAGCTGTATCCAACAACCAGTCCCAAGTCCCACATACCACTCATGCAGATGCAGAGATGGATCAGACACCACCGAGGAAGCAGCAGGTGGCGAAAACTCCTGGAGCTTTCCCTGAAGATGATGAGGACGACTGGATTGCTCCGCCTACCACAATCCAGGCTGCCACACAGAGCCCTCGTCCCGCGATGGAGAAGAGCTATACTGCGGACGTGATGGAGGGGCTGCATGGCAAGAATACCGTTGGTGGTACTGAATTCGTCCTGCCACAGCACCCGTCACAGTCCGGCGCGTCGGAATCACCACCTAACCCACCTGCCAACAAGCCAGACCTGGCTCCTATCGTTGGCCACATCAAATCGGCGTCGGTTGATTTGTCAAATCACAATCATGCGCCACAAGTCTCTGATTCCAGTCTCAGGAAGATTGTTTCGGCTTCGAATCCTATGTCGGTGACAACGCAAGACGATAACATAGATGAGCCTCCCAAATCGCCGTCAAGAACTTTCCGCGAGAGCCCGTTGAAACACAGCGCCTTGAAACAGGTTAAAAACAAGTTTTCCTCTATACTCAAGAACTCCAAGGGCCTGTTAGCAAGCAGTGCTGCAATCAGTGCGGAGGGCAAGGCATCGTTGGTAAACTCGCCCTCGACTGTGAGACTGGAAAAACAGCCGACCAATTCGACCGGTTCCCTGCGACCAGGCAACGATCCCGAGCCTCTGTATCCAGATTTGACGCGTCATGCATCATGGGATTCGCAACCTGCGCCAACACCATCAAGCCCGTCGCGATCCAATGGGCGTAGGACCCGTGCATCTGCGGAGCGAGATAGGAAGGAGCAGAAACAGAAGGGTAGGGAGGATAAGGAAGCAGCTCATATCGCCAATCAGATGGACAAGCTCGAGAAGGAGCGGGAAAAGGAACGAGAAAAGGCACGCGTTTTCAGCAAAGAGCAGGAGAGAATCGCCGCAGCTGAGAAGCAGCTTGCTGCACAGAAAGAGCGCGAGAGGGCTATGCGGACGCCGGCACCGAAGGAAGCCTCCAGACCGACGCGAAGTAGCCCGCGAAAAGCAAAGACTCAACAGGAAACCGACGCTAAGGCTGCGGCAGAGACGACTGAGCCTGAATTCGCGGATCAAGATATAGAGATGACCGATGCTCCTACGAGTAAGGTGGCACCTCCTACCATTCCGCGCCCAACGCCTGGCTCATCTTTGAATCGCGAGATAAAGCGGCCATCAAGGCCGACCAGGGAACCGGCTACGAAACCGAAGCAGGCGCCTACTTTGATACGCGTGAACACATCTTCTCAGAATACTGGATTCCACCCCTCTAACAGCGTCTTGGCTGCAACACTGGAGAACACTCTCGGACCTTCTCAACAGCAAATCAAGGGCAAGACCAGCCAGCCCACATTGCAAAGCAAAATGTCGCAGCAGAGTTTCAACAGCTCTGTGAACTCGACAACAGGTCGTCCCAAAGCCCTAGATCTTGCTGCGAAACGAAAACAGCAGGAAGAAAAGGAAGCTCAGCGGAGGCGTGATGCTAAGGCAGAGATTGATCGGAAACGGGCGGCAATGCGGGAGGAAGATCGGCGCCAGGAGCAAGAGCGACGAGAGAAAGAGCGGCAACAAGCAGCAAAGGAGGAAGAGGCCAAGAAGAAAGCGCAGCGACAGGCCGCAATCGAGAAGGCGAAGCAAACCAGAGCCCCTCCGCCAGCTGTCCGTTCCCAGCCTAATGCCGCGCCTGAATACAACAGTGTGCGGGACAAGGCAGGTCTCCCTCGGCCACCGTCTCGCCTCCAGCAATCTACAGCCCACCGATCACAAGAGGATGTCAGCCGTCCGGTCAATGCTGTCCTGTCAAGCACGACGAGCATGTCTCTAAAGAGGCCGCTCCAACATGATGGCGTGGAAGACGGGGCACAACGACCGACTGCACCCCGAAGCGGACCGTCGCAACCAAAGGAGGTCAAGCGCATGCGCATGTCAGATGAGTTCGATCTCGAGGACGAGGCAGAAATCCAGTCGTACGGGACCAGCTTGAAGGGGCCGCCTGTCCGACCTTCAGCCGGCTTTAAGAAAGTAAGTTGTTGATAATCTGAACATGCTGCTGTAGTGACAATATGCTGACCAGAGACGCCAGGATCTGCCAAACAAGTCACTGTACAGCGGCTATGCCCCCGCGCCTCAGCGCCACACGCGACATTTTCAAGGCACCGGTGGCACCTCAGCAGCAGAATAAGTCTGGCCATCCTCTTGATATGGCGCAAGTCTCAAAGGGACCCATACCATTCGCGGCAAGCCACCACGCTGCTGGACCATCACACAAGACCCCAGCCAGGCCAAAGGGTGTTGTGGCCACCAAATCGGCCGCCAAACCCAGATCATCACCGCGCTTCCAGAACGGCGACAATATCGAGCTTCCAGAGATTCAGACGGACGACGACGACGATGATGATGAAGAGGAGGACGAAGGGGCCAAGGCGCTTGGGACCGCCTCGTGGGCTGACACGCCTGCTCTTCGGCGCGAGCTTATGCGGCAAGAGACAGTCGACCCTCTGCAGGTGTTTGGGCCCCCGGCGCCACTCAACATGGAAGAGGTGTTCAGCAAGAGCAAGGACAGGTGGCACAAGTTCCGAGCGAGGACGAGCAGCGCCAACTGGAGCGGGGCGGACCGGCTGACGGAGGACGAGATCCGGAAGGACCTGGCTGCACGAGACCGAATGAGACGGGAGGGAGGGTGGACATATGAATTGAGCAAGGACATGTGAGAGCCGTGTGGGGCCGACGGCCTCGTTATGGGCTACGAGTATTGCACAAGCGTCGGGAAAGAGACGACGTCTGGTTATAGCATTGCTTCGGAGTTGGGCTGTGATATTGGCATTGATGTGTTCTGGGTCTCGAGCACAACAGTTGTTTACTGCGGTATGAAAGTCATTTGGCCTGCCATGATTGGTGTCGTGGGTATATTTAGATTCACAAGCAAGGAGTTTATGACAATGTCAGCATCTTCTTTCCTCCCTGCAAAGGAGGCTGTGGCAGATGAGAGGCATTTGGATCCCTCAGCCCAGCGTGCATGCACACCAAACCTGATAGTCTAGGCATGCAGAGGGGCGTTGGGATCGAAAAGTGACAGCGGCAAGTAACGCATGGCGTGTGGCTATGGCGGGCGCATTTTGGCCAAGTACCCACTATCCAATAAGCTCAACCAGTGTCTAGTTCGGAGTAGCGACTGAGTTCGAAGGAGGGACTCTGGCCTTTTCCTTGTCTTCGTTGACAACGACAATGTGGCGAATGTGTTCAACCTCGTTCTGGACGTCAGGGGTAATGCCAATACCAGTACGGCCATACGTTCGGAATTTGCTGGCCGGTAGTCGTGCGAGAAACTAGAGCAACTTCAGGTCTCAATTGTCCGGGGAAAGCACAATTGCTGGACAGATGCCAAGTTGGACTCACCATCTCGTCGATTTCCTCAAATGTCCGGTCCCTCAGCTCTGGCAAGAACACCATAACCCAAGCTGCTGAGACAAAACATGCAACGGCCCCGAAGTAGGCGTATCTAGCCCCCAATTCAGAGCGCCTCGATTCAAAAAGTACTGTGGCAAGTCGATCAGCGAGATGACGGCTGAACCCCGGTCCAAGTATCAAAGAAACCTCGACGCAATATTCCCCAGAGGCATCAGAGTCGCGAGCAGTTGCTGCCTTGATCTGGCAATGTTGTAGCCGATAGGTGACTATGAGAGCCCTCGTATCCGAAGACCTAACAATGTCAACATCTGGACGCAACGTGCTTGAAACATATGATCCAAGGACATTCATCGTACTTGGAGGGAACCTGGTATGGCTTGCAAGGAAGTGAAAGTCGAGGTGTCGATTCCCAGGTTGAAGGACACCAACGACACCCAGATACAAATTGTCACACATTTCCAGTGATCTCGCATTCGGACCAGAGCTTGCCCATGACGCTTGTCCATGGCCAACAGACGGAATGGTAGTAGCTGAGGGGGAAGCATCCAGATTAGTGGATGTTGCACGGAAAACTTCCCTTGGGCCTCGTCAAAGGAGCCCATATATCATCCTACATGTAACCATAGACAGTGTTCGGTGATGGACGACGCCAACCTCCTGACGACGAGACCAGGGCGGCGGGGGAATTAAAGCGTATCGATATATACTTCCAGTGCCAGTATCACTCCGAAGGTTTTAATATCTGTACGCTGCGTGTGGAGCCCTGAAATTTGAACCGAGGTCTTCAAAACTTCGTGGTAGCTAGCATGTATCCTATTCCAAGGACCTCCCCGCGGCTTTCAATGCAACGGCGGAGTTCCACCGTATCCCGAATGTGAAGTGAACTTGACCGCGTCCCATTCGGTAAAGTCGCAGACAAGTCGCGCCGACAACATGCCTTCGAGACAGATATTTGAAGGGGAGTCAAGGCTCGAGCTGCTGCCACAAAGTGTGAAGAACTGGCTGCTGAACAGTTGAGTCCATACCACAGGCTGCATAGCGGGCACTTATCAGTAGCAGATCTTCGATAACTTCGCATGGTACATAAATTATGAGTGACGAAGGGAGAAGGTGATGGGTGGGAGCTGAAGAAGGTGGCCCCACAGGACGGTATCCAGCACGGGCTTCTCAGGAACTGTGGTCAACAATGTATCTACTGCATTCACCGAATTATTCCCCTCGTCTCATCTCTCAGCTTGGCCTCACCCCAAGCGAATGGGATGAATCAAGGTCTCAGACCTGATGTGCACCCATGAATTGAGTTCAAGTGCGCTTATGAACGGAATGTCACCAAGACTCACCCAGGGAGCACATCGGCGGCAGAACTACCCAACCGAGGCCAACCACGTGGAGACCCGAGCTCAGCACTGTGTCAGTGTGTGTGCGTGGGCGTACTAGATTTCGCAAGTACGTACAGTTGTACCTGCACCACAGGATCTCATCGAGGCCGTGTGGGCCGCCTGTCAGCCTTGTTCGATGCTAGAGGTGGGCAGGAGTCGGTTGGGTCTACCGCGTACCCACAAGAGAGAGATGGGCTACTGTGTACTGGTAGGTTTACGTGCATACAAGGACCCCTGTAGGGATGGGCCTGCTCTGCCTTGCTACGTCATCTCGGCCCGTTCACCTGGACAGCCAGTCAACAGTCCCACTCTGCAAGCTCCCATGGACCGCAGGGCGGTTGGAGCAGCGGGGATGCTTGCTGAGCCCCTGGGCCCTTGCTGAACCACAAGCAAAGCCCAAGCCCCTCTGTCACGACGTTTGTGCCCGCGTACCAACCACCAGCCTTTCTCATATTACCCACCCAGGTGCCTAATAATACCTGACTGCTCTCAACCCGTGTGTTTTGTAGGCACAGCAATACAGACAACCCGGCAACGCATGGTTTCTTGCCCGGCCACAGCGCACCTGCGCACTTGCCTTTTTTCTTGGAGCCAAGCAGTCTGACGACGCCCGCTGATCGACTCTTGCAGAATTATTGACGCCCGTCTCCTGCACTGCTCGCCCTGCCTGCACCCCAACCACGAGCACGTCGCCGTTGCAGAGTGCACATTGTAGAACTACGTACCTGCACACTTGCACATTGGCACAGTCATCCTCGGTCAGAGCGCGACAAACCAGGCCAGACCGCCCACACACCTTTCGCTTCGCCCCATACCGCAGCAGAAGCAACCAGTGTTTTTCACGCGACGCCTCTGGGGCACCAGCTTTGACCTTCACTCCCAGCTCTGATCCAATCTCTGACGAAGCTCTTTATCTGTTTATTTGCCCGACTTCTGGGCAGTGGCCAGCGCAGATCAACCCCACGATATCCGACGTCCGTTCCAGCCAGTGCAGATCACAACTCAGCCCAAGGTGGAAGCGACTGTCACGGACTTGGCCATATCTTCTCAAACAGAGTGTGCTGACAGCTCTATTACACCCGCGTGGTAGACCGTGCCCAATGAAGCTGGATCCGAAGCTTGACATCGTCTCGAGCCACAACTCACAGCCCTTCTGCTACCTTCTCTAGCTGGTCAGGACTGCTGTGGACGTCCGCCACCATGGTCAAGATAGACGTCAACCAGGACTACTATGCAGACCTGGAGCTGCCCCAGTCAGTTGACACCGAGACTGTCAAGAAGCAGTATAGAAAACTTGGTACGTTAGCCTGACCGCCTGACCGGGCCTCCTGCTGCTTCTTCGATCTGACCGCGACCCTTGTCCTATGCAGCCCTCAAATACCACCCCGACCGCAACCCGGGCAGCGAGGTCGAGGCCGGCAAGAGATTCACGAGAATCCAGGCCGCCTACGAAGTCCTCACCAACCCCGAGCAGAAACAGCGATATGACAACTCGCGCCGCTCTCGCTTCCCCGGCGCGTCCGGCGTCAAAGGCAACCCATGGTCAGATGTCACCAAGAACTACCCTCCTCCTCCGCGCCCGCCAGGCTTTCCCCAGCGTCCGCCTCCCCCGAAACGACCTGGTAGTACAACCGGTGCCGACAGATACGCGCAGTTCGCAAAGGATGTGCCACCCACCTCTCCTCGAACGAGCCGAAAGCCGGCAGATGCGACTTGGAAAGCTTGGGAGGAGATGAGACCGGGTACTAAAGCCAAGGCTACTGGCGGCCACGCATCTGGGTCAGGAACATCGACAAGGGCCTCCAGTGCACCCAAGCCCCCAGGAGCACCGCCTCCAGTGCCCCCTCGCTCTCCTCAGAAACAAGCCAAGGGCTCGTTTGGACATCGCGTCAACCGCGGCTATACGCCTCAGTCGCCTAGTGGGGACGAGCCTTCCGTTGCTGGCAACAACTATTTCACCACCAGGACCCGTCCCGACCTCTTCAGCGAGACCTCTTCAGCCGCCCAGGCTCGTCGGCGCCAACCCTCGAATCCCACGCCTACCTCGGAGTTTCGCGATAGCACATTCATGGACACTAGGCAGAGGACGCCGTACATGTCTCACGGTGGCGAGAAACTCGATCCTTTCCAAGGCGCCGCCGGCATCAACCGGTCCCGCAGCACGCGAGAGACGAACTCTGCATCTTACCAGCACACCGACGACGAGGATTCGCCGACCTCGAGCGCGCGTCAGCGTCGCGCAAGTGTTCCTGACAATCTAGACAACGATCCCAAGGGAAAGCGAAGGGAGAACAGCAATGTCAATGGGGCCGTAGAACCAAATACAAGCCCTGAGGGCTTCAGCCCTGCCCCAGAGGAACAGTCCCGTACCCAGCAGGAGGGCGCGGACGGCAAGGAGGGATCCAAATTGTATGCCAATCAGCCATATGTTCGTTCTCAGTTTGCAAAGAATGAAGTTCCTCCAAAGACCCAGCAAGCGACCAGTCGTGCGGGCAGTGAGAGAATCTTCAACAAGTCGTTTCACCCCAGTCCAGCGTTGCACGGCCTGCCTACCCGACAGTCTTCGAGTGAAGACCCAAAGCCCTCCAACTCTGGCTTGAACGCCTTTGAGCTCAAGGTCCGCGACATATTGAGTCGGCTCTCGGCAGTGAAGTACTCGCCGTACGGGATGGGAGTGCAGTCGGGTGCAGACCGAGACGCGCAGCATTCCCAGGACTTTCGACAGCAGAGCAGGGCTGACAGTGGAAACCCCAGCAGCTTTGGTGTGCCGTTCAACGACGAATCCTTCACTGACAGCCACCGATTTCCCAGGAACAGCGCCGACAACATCAACACTAGGTTTGTTGCTGACGAGAGTGATGCTAGTAACTGGCAATTCAACGCCGGGTCCCCAGTCGACGAGACTGGGCGACCAGCCATGCCGCGATCGAAGTCCGGAAGCCGAGTCGGCCGAAAATCGCCCTTCCGCGCTCAATCCTTTCAGATGCCCTCTGCTGAGCCTGCTAACGAGGGTGGCCCACCCCAGAACAGCTCCTTCAACCCCGACGAGTGGTCTGAGAAGATCGGGCCGCAGATCTTTCAGACATCGACTACACAGAAGGCGAACACGGCCCGGCCAATTCGCAACCCCAGCAAAAAGCCTAAGCCTGTCCGTATGACGGCGGGTACGGCGGGCATGGTCGAGTCTGATGAGAGCAGCAGTGGACAGGATGACTCTCTCAAGAAGCTGCCCACTCCAGGGAACACAAATGGTCTCAACGAAACCGCCAGTCCTAATGCCATGGACATCGATCCTCCTATGGACTACCTTAGTGCGAAAGGGGTTCGCAACATCCCCGTCGAGCCATCCCGCCCGGAGTGGAGGGCAGGTGATGTCAAGGGAATGACCCCTGGTCTAACACCCGGTGCTGTCCCTCACGCAGGAGGATCGGAAGACACCGAAGAGTTCCGGGCCAGCCTCTCTGACCTAAAGAACGTAGAGCCATTCGCTCAACGTCCTACAGGTCTGGACTCGTTCGGAGACCTGAAATCATCCCTTCCATTCCAGAGTGGCGCATCAGGCCAAGCTCCCGTCGCACACCCCCAGCCTAACCACAAGCCGACCAACCTTCATCTCCCGGTGGAACCGAAGCCACCCAACGCACCACCTACTTTCGCCGTGCCGGGCCTGAAACCCTCTGCGGCTGCATGGGAGAAATATGCAGGGGATTTCTACAGGTACTTGACGGAGTGGCACAGGTTTAATACCAAATTCTCCGACCACTTCCATGCAAGGAACCTTGAGGTGCAAAAGAAGGTGGCCGATCCTGGCTGGGTCAAGTCGAGGGATCCTTCTGGTATTCAAGAGTACCTCACGTGGGCCGAGCAGGATCGACAGGTGCGTGCCACGTGGGTGCAGGCTTGCGACAATCATGAGATGAATGTCAGGGTCTTTATGGCCCACCGGGACAAAATGATGAAGTGATCCTCGGCAAATCGATCGAGGAAGTGACTTCTTAGTTTTTCCTGACAGAGCCCTCCGGAGCAGAATATCACGGGAGGTTAGATTTCGGCGGAGTGTTTCCGCAACGGCCTGCTTTGTACCGCCAGATATTGGAAGGGAATCGACCAGGCCGGTACATTTGTTTTGGGAGATCAGAATCTCTCCCTCCAGGGGAAAGTGTGCCTCAGAGACGCACGCTTCACACACGCTCAGATACATCCTCAAGCCCTGTGTGCTCTCAGCGAGTATGGCTCGTGTTTGCGAGCTTTTGTGACATCTGACGTTGGAAGCAGCGAGGCACACGAGGGGTTGGGGGTTCACAGGCTGGGATCTTTGTCGAGCGTCATGAGGTTGAGGCTTGTTGCGACATATGACCCCATAGACACTTGGAGATCTGTCCCGTCGGAGATGTAGGCTCCTTGGTCTAGGGCCGGTAGATTACGGCGCCCGGAGTCTTGGTGTTTTTTCGAGGCCGAATGAACGGTCAACGAGCAACGAAGGATGGAAAAGGCCATGGATAGGCAAAGGAAGGACAGATGGGGTGGTTTGGTACAATACCTATCTCGCACATACAATAGTAATGAATTGGCAAGTGCATTGTTCCAGCGTGTATTCTGTTTGAGAGTCCAGGGCTCGGGGAGAGAAGCAAGCAGCATTTAAGCTCTTTGAGACGGAAGCAATATTTCAGTTGCTGCCTTTTCTCTTTTCTTCTATCTTTATCCACCTGATGCGGTGTGCTATATAGCTGGTACCTGACCCTCACACCTTGGAACTCCACCAATCCATAAACCCAGACAGAGAGATTCCGATTACACCTTTCATACAAGCAACCGAACCACCAGGTCCCTTATTTCTTTCCGTCGATCCGTCAGATGGCCACAGCGTCGTCAGGCTCGCCCGTGTCGTCAGTAACGGAGGGGACACCTTCCTGGCCTTCGCCCTCTATCTTCTTGCCCGCCTCGTAAGTGAGCCGGCGCCAGCCGCACTCAGCTGAGGGGTCCTTGATCCACTCCACCGTGGGGAAGTAATGCTCGTTCTTCTTCATGGTAATGACCCATGGCACGCTGTCGAAGGTAACAGCTCTAAGTCGGAAGTCTGCGGTACTTTAATTAGCATATACGATGTGTGAGGTGCGCTGTTTGCGAATGAGGAGACTTACAGGTGTTGTCTGGAATATCTACTACAGCCGCAGTGAACGCTTCGAGGTTTGGCGTGGGTTTGTTGTTCACGTGCGTGATGAAGTTTGTCGGTGCCAGTCCGTATTGGTAAGCCGGCGACCCCCGTGTACGAGCAGAAACGTACACCTCGCTGAAGAGCTTGCTGATCTGCTGGCGCACGGCGTGGTGCGGCCTGTGGAGCACGGCACCACAGAATGAGACAGCACGATCCGTCTCGACGTCGTCAGCAGCCACCGTGGGCAGCTTGAGTTGGATCTCCTCGCAGTCACGGACAATGACGGCGTCCAGGAAGTTGTTTGAGTACATCACATCCAGCTCCGAGATGCGCGTGATCAGCTTCCCGTTAAGTGTCAGCAGGATATCGCCCTCAAGCAGTGCCTCATCGCCTTCCTTGTCCTTGCGCTCAAATGTCCTCTTCGTCACCATGAACAACTGATGGTGGCTCGTGTTGACCCGGGACACCTGGGCTATCCACTCTTCCGACACACCCATGAGACGTGCTTGCGACATTGCGATGGACCGGAACTCAACCGAGAGCATTCGGAGATCAGGCACAGCACCTTGTGAGATCTGCGACACCACCGGGAGTAGCGTTGGCGTGGCAAGGCCGAGATGATACTCCTCATCTCTGTGGGTCGAGGGATTGCGCTCTCCGAGATACGTCAGCCACAGCGCCTGCACGGTGCCGTCCGGCGCGACCAAGACGCCGCTGCCGCATTGCTGGCTCAAGCTTGTATCGACCGTAATAGCATCCACATTGACAGCCCTGTACCGGGGTGCCCCAGAGTTGGCCGGAATGGCAACAGCAAAGATCTCCGTGACAGTCGTGGCAGCATGGACGACACGGCCAATCCTGTTGTACCCGATGAAGTAGGTTGACGCGCCTTGCGTGATTTCTTCGCTTGAGAGTCTCGCGCTCTGGACAGGAGCGTCAACCAGCTTGGGGTCATACTGGATGATGGCGTAGTTTTGCAAGGGGTGAAGGAAGACGACCTTGCCCTCGACAACGATGGAGTCCGCAATGGTGATGCTAATGTCGCACAAGTCGTAGGGCACAATAGCCCGAGAGATTACTACCAGCCCCTTGTCTGCGTCAACGACCAAGCCCATTCCCCATTTCCGGTTCTTCGGAAAGCCATCCAGTTTGACCGGCATTGTGCAGTTGACATGCACAAAGCTCTTCACGAGCTCGGCCACGGCTGGATGAGAGGTATGCTCGAGCTGAATGAACGATGCCTTGCGTGGTACCGGGGGCACTGGTGCAATCGGGTCTGCAAGGTCAGTGAAGTCCCACACTCCACTCTCGTCGTTCCGCACGGCAAGCTTCATCTTGGAGGACCAGTGCCTGTCGATGTATATGATAGTCGTGTTGAGCGTGTGTAGGTCCCGGAGGTGTTTGTATGTCACGACAACCCGTGCTTTGTCGGGTATGCCTTTGGCAACCTCGATGAAAGTTTCCAAGTCTGGTACTTTCTTGTGATCGAGTGTCTGGAGTATCCAACCGTTATCGCTGTTATCAAAGCGGAAGGAGCCCGTCGCTTCGCAGATATACACTCCCCGTGCAGCCACACCATATAGCCTGGCCTGCTGGTAGGACAGCGTGTGGAAGCTGCCGCCGGCGACAGATACGAAGCGATCAGGAGTGATGCCATGCAAATCACCGACCTGGATCTCCACCTCGACGTCGTCTCCTCCCCTCTGAAGGAGCAGTTTCACGGTGCTGCCGACGTTCGAGTCCATAATGTCATCGAGCCGTACGAATGAGGTTATCAGCTCGTCGTTCACTTTGACAAGAACATCACCTTCCTCGACCTTGCCGTGGGATGGACCCTCGGGAAGGACGATCTCAGCAACCAGCATGTTGGTCTCTCTGGGGAATTGCTTCCTCATTTGTGCCTCCCATTCGGAAGAGAGGCCCAGCCGCCTGCACTCATCGAAGGGCTTCAGGAGAAATTGGCACTGGATATCGCCTCTCGTAATGGGTTTTCCCTCTTGAAGACATTTCAGAGCTCTCAACGGTCGATCCAGAGGCAAGAAGTAGTCTGTGGACGCGCCGTCTGCTCTTCCGCCGGCCTGCAGAGCAACGGCGGAGCCATCGAGGTTAACGACTGGACTGCCAGACGAACCTCCACTAGCAGCGGCACTGGCTTGATAATACGAAGTGCTATGCGACAACCCGTTAGCAATTCGGCAGTCTGTGGTGTAGTTGAGGGAGTCGTTTGGTGCCAGAAGCCAAGCTTCACGAGTGAGTTGGAGACAGGAGACAAACTGACTTGAAATCGCTGTAACCTTCGCCGTATTCTGGGGCGTTGCGGTCTAAGCGGCTGATGACACCAGAAAGAATGCTGAGCTTCTCACCCGCATCATTACCGACAACGCGAATCTCGATACCAACTGTTTTGCACACATCACGTCAGCCAAGAGCCGTATAACATTTCCGATTCTGGGGATCCTACCTTTAGCCAGGTCGGGCCGTAGTGGCAGTGCTTTTACCGGCATATACTTGATGGCCTTGGGGTCGAACTTCAGAATGCCAAAGTCGTGGACCGGGTCTCGGTAGACAGGGTAGGCATCCACCTCCTCATGGTTGTCAAAGATACAGTATCCCCAGAACGGCCCCGCGCCAACGACGTGCCTGTTTGTCAGGATATAGCCCCTCTCGGCGTCCACGACAAAGCCAGTGGCCTCGGAGTTCAGGGCTGGATCGGTGTCGAAGGAGCAGGTCTGGCAGAAGCGGATGGAAACGACATTTCTGACGACATTCTCAATGGTCAACTGCCACTCGGCGGTGTCGGGTCCCAGGGAGGGGAGGGTCTGCAGGGCGGCTTCCTCGATGAATTCGTGGTCGTGCATGTCGAGGTCGGCGGCCTCGATGTCGGGGGTGTTGTCGCCGGCAGACTGCTTGCCGTTCAAGGAGTGGCGATGGTGTTTAGGTGGGCGGCCGGTCTCGAGTGCGTCGAAGGGGGAGGGCTTGCGCTTGGCGCGAGGCGAGGTGTTTGTGCCGTTCATGTTGAGAGGGCTTGATGAAGACTCGCCGGTAAGCGGCTGTGGTGCCTTGTCCGAGGTCGATGTCGAAGCGGAGGACGTTGCCGTGAAAGCCCTGGCGAGACGAATGTGAGGTAGTACAGCTGGTGACTGGCGCAGCGAAGCCAAAAGACCAGATGAAAAGACGTGGAGCGGACGGCGGCGTCGCTGGGTGGTGGTGTTGAGGAGCGTTGAGATCCAGGTCCTAGTAGCGAGCTTGCCAGTGCCGATGCCAATGCCAACTCGGCTGCGCAGCGAGGAGGGCAGAGCTGTTCGCATCAAGGCCTGTTGCCCTCGTCCGACGGAATGCAGCGCAGTCGCTGGCCTATGTAAAGACTGTAGGAGATAAGGGCATGAGTGACAGGAAGCGACGAGGACGATGCAGAGGGCACGAGGAGGCGATGAGGTCGCAAGCCGCAAACATTTACAGGTTGCCCTCGAGCTGACGGTCGCCTCCACACCCCTGTCCCGCCTTACCTGCACTTACATGGGCCCAGTGAAATTGAGCTGTTCGCACAAGGCATTGTTCGGATCCCGCCAGGGCACAGCTGTAATGGACTTAGTCAGCCGCCCTTTCACTGATCATTCTACTATTATCCTGTATGGGCATATGCACGTCCTCCAGGATCGATCCACAGGTGCCTTGCCTTGACCACCCACATGGCTACCCAGGTATTTAGTATATCCTGGAGGATATGCCTGGCTTTTGCTCATTTGTGATTGTAGACCTAGGGTAGTTAGATACGGCGTCGAGCCTCGAGTCTGCTCCTTGAGCCGGGATGCACAACACGTGGGCTATTTGCTTACTCCATCCGCAAGGCGACCAACACAACACAGACAGACGGTAGACGAGTCCCGGGGCCGAGTGTCTGCTTGCCGCCATGATTGTTCTTGTGCATACGTCAGGGCAGCGCGTGGCCGCCTTTACGGATGCAAACGATGGGGTCGTGCCCCCTGGTTGTTCTGTGCCGGGCCCGGCGCCCACAGGCCCCGCGGGTTGGCCGCCCCAGGCCAGCTAGGCCGTCTTAGCAGCTTAGTAGAGGTAAATGTGGCTATTTAAAGTTTGACGCAATATGCAAGACAGCTGGCATCGGGGCCGCGTGCCCTATGAGAGAGGGCAGGAGAGTGGGCAGTAGGCCGAACAGTAGATGCGGGGGAAAGATGATCGCTGCAAGTCAGAGCCCAGGCCGGGCAAGGGAAGGGAAGGGAACGAAAGCATCTTTGCAGTGGATGAACCAAGTCGACGTTGAGATGCAAGATCGAGATGGGGCAGGGCAATACACGACCAGGCCCGCCCTGGCCCGGCGAGCGAACAGGTACTATTCCCATGTAGACTTCGGCCCGGCCCCTGGGTAGAGCAGGGCACCTAGGTACCTTAGGGTACAAGTAGTAGTCTACCTAGGTAGTCTAGTCTGAAGTTTGGGTTGGTCAGTCAAGGGCCAGGCGGTCGCCGGCCCACGGTCGAGGTCAGTGGTCAGTGGTCATGATTGTCGTTGAAATAATATCTTTGGGGATTGGGGATCCATGCCCACGCCCCATGCCCCATGCCTGGCTCCCACTCCCTCCCATGTCCGTCCCATTTCGTATATATGACGGGCCTTTTTTGACCAGCCGTGACCAAGAGTCGACACCATATCTCACTCACTCACCCTGTCCCTCCAGTTGGCATCGTGGTCTTGGATAGTCGTGCACCCGGATATCTATCTCCGCTGGGCATAGTCGTCGTCGTCGTCAAGATTGATTCTCCCCTCGGTCAGACCTTCCACAGCCTTGGGAGCCACCGCCCACGCACAGTCGACCCCTCCAACAACAACATTAACAACAACAACAACAACAACAACAACAAGCTGCAGCTCCAACTCCAGCCCCGTCCAACCCCCCCCCCCCCCCCCCGGGGCCTCGCTGCCTCGCTGCCAACTTACAGCTCTACGACTTACATCTTGCAAGTTCAAGCTAATACCAACAAGACTGTCCTGCAGTCAATTGTCTCGGCTTATCTCCTAGCCTCTCTCTCCAGCGCCATCCACCGCCCACCACCGCCCAGACCGCCTTCTACCCTCATCTCGCTTAAGCTCGACTTCTGCGTGATCGCATTGAACCGGAGACGTCATTTTCTCCCCCATGGGCATTTTGTCGCTCCACGATATTTCCCACTGGCGAATAGATCCCGCCCTGTCGTCTGGGTAGAAGCGGGTCCGCTCAGCTCTTTGTGACGGCCCCAGCGCTTTCTCGGCCGGAGAATTATTGATAGCTCGTCCACGTCGCCGGCACTCATCAAACCCGCCCCACGTCCCCCCTTGCCCGTGAGGCCAGGTCCCGACTGTACCGCGACTCCCAGCGCGAACCACGGCGGCCTCGAAGCCTCCCAGGGCCAAGACCGACGGCCATCCGGCTCCAGATCCGACAGCCTCGGGACCACCGACGGTCGCTCGATCTCCCAAATAAGCATCGCACCGGCGAGTCATTGCTTGCTGGCCACATCTGATCTTCTCTCGTCTCCTGTCTGCTTCATGGCCGTCTCATGACAGCTTGCCGTCTCACCATTCACACACGCCGGCCGCTGAGTAAAAGAGCCAGGAGATCGCGCTGGAAGGCACAGGCTCGAGGGCTGCAATTGCGTCCACAATGGATACCCTCACCCCGACCGGCAATCTGACTCCAATCACGGTTGGCTCAGGAACCTCGACGCCCAGGAGCCCCAAAAGGATCAGCTTCGTGCCGCTGGTCACCGTCATTGGCTTCCACCATGCGAGAGGGCCTGAAGTCGAGTCGTGGTTTGGCAGTGCGGAGGGTACAGACCCGGCGGTCGACTATGGGTGGTCACTGCTGCCCTTCATGGCGCTCAGTGATGGCGCGCATGCGTGAGTGCCCGCCCATCCCTAGCAACCCGGGCCACCTGGCGGGGGCCTTGACGAGATCTACCACTAACCGCCGTGGTCCACGGGCACAGATCGACTGAAGACTTCTCCTACTTCACCCTGCTGAAGCCCGCCACCGAGACCGAGCCCGCAACGTCGCTCTTTGGAATATCATGTACCAGGCAGATGGACGCCTCCGCTCTGATCAACCGTCCCGCCGATGTCACTCGTTCGACCGTGCAGAAGGCCGTCGTCGTCATAGCCGACAACCCGCAGACCTTTGGCACGCTCAGGGAACGACTCAGTGTTGTCACACACGCCTGGTTTGCACAGCGCGAGTTCACCGACACGGAGATCCTGCGTCGCTTCCAGGAGAGTCTGGCGGATGAGAAAGAGCGAGGTCTTCTGAGCGAGGACGAGAACCGGGACGCCTACCTCGGCATGAGCTTGAGGGAGATGATCCACGAGTTCAGGTGGCAGACTTTGGTCTTGTTAAAGTGCTGCCTTTTGCAGCCCAAGGTAAGGAGAAGTGGCTCGAGAGGGTCTCAGTACCCTGGGATATGTGGACCTGACTAACTTTACCTCCCTCTTTCACCAGATGTTGTTCTTTGGTTCCCGTTGCGAGCGACTTTGCATGATGCAGTTTTCTTTGATATCTTTGATACCCGGTCTTATTCGAAAGCTCCAGGACTGTGCCGACCCGGAACTGAACAGTTACGAGAAGCATTTGACGATGCCAACAAATCTTAAATCTAGTGACCGATCATCGTTACAGGCATGGATGGGCCTCCCGCTTCAGATATTCGGCAAGGTCGGTGCTCCGTACTGGGTAATGCCTGCGAATTAAAGCTGACTGAAAACACAGGGAAGCCTGTTTGGACCATATACACCTCTTCAACAGCTCGATGTCTTGGCAGACCACGAGACGAAATCGTACATCGTTGGAAGTACCAATTCACTCCTTCTCCAGCAGCGAGACAGGTACAGTGATATTCTGATCAACCTCGACGACGAGTTTATCAATATCACATCGACGTCGCTGAAGCAAGCACTGCAACTCTCAACCCCGGACAGAAGATGGATCGATTTCATCACACAGACCGTGAACGAGACCTGGGACGAAGCGAATCCAGGCCGGCCAAAGACAATGGGCTTCATGGGAAGCGAGGAGTTCATTCGACTTCAATTCGAGGATTACATTATTGCGCTTCTCTCGGCCGTCAAATATCACAACTTCATGGCCAAGCACAAAGATAACCCAAAAATGCTCCTCCCGCAAATTGACGGTGATCCAGCCGTGGATTTCAACTTGGACTGGGTCGAGGCCTGGATGAAGACCGAGAATTACCGAATATGGAACAACAACACCGACAGCCACCTGTTCGATATTGCTGAACCCAGACACATATGTGCAGGTGGCCTCACCATCGACGACGTATCAAGGCGCGTGACCCAGCAGGTACAGGATATGCACTTGGACGAGAAGCTATCGCAGGGAAGAGAGGCGGCCGCGAGGAATTTGGCCGCGGCAAGAGATAAGGGAGGAGCAATGATCACTAAGTTCTACGGGGAACTCGAGGCGTATCGCGAGGCACAGCGGAAGAAAGCAGAGGAGACCAGGCAACAGCAGTCCAGCGACTCTGTGCCTGCCAGTCCAACCATCAAAAATGGACACGATGCCGAGAAGGCTGGCGTGGGTGCCTATATGAGTAGCTGGGCCACCTGGGCGGGGGAGAAGCGCAAGGCGCTCGCCAACCGTGGCGCCGGCGACAGGAACAGCGGCAGCAGCGCGAGCGGGTGGGGCCTCGGCCTGGGGAGGACCAAGAGCAAGAGGGATGGGAGCAGCACGACCTCGCTGCACTCGGCATCGGAGAAGGATGTCAAGAGCCCGCGCATGTCGACGTCCTCGTCCTTCTTCGGCGGGCCAAGGAAGAGTCTCGACAGCGCGAAGGAGCTGGAGAAGGCGCGGCAGGAGGACGTGCGCCCGGGGACGCAGCACTCGTTCAGCGAGAGCATCCTCGGCTCCGAGGAGTCCGGGACCGTGTCCTCGCCCGAAGTCTCGCCGCAGAAGCCGCGGATCGACTTCGCCAGGCAGGAGACGAGCGTGTGGAACGACGCCGAGTCGCCGACCGAGTATAAGTTGGCATAGCGGCCCCCGGCGCGGAGGCGGAGCCGGAACCCCCTCGGCCCCCTGAGGAGGTGCGGTGTGGGGCCAAATCGTAATAGTCTGAGTTGATGGCGTGTCGGGCATGCGTGTATAGGAAGCATGGAAGAAAGCATCTCGCATCTCGGATGGTTTTAGATCAAACACAAAGTATACCACGGCATAGCATAGCATTCACGGCACATTGAAGGCCACCAGCAGCCACGGCAGCAAGGACTTTGCCTAGTTTGGATAGGTCAAAATACATCATCGGCAAAGGTCTGTCTTTCGATGGCCCGTCTATCGCCTGTTTGGGTTGTATGTTCATAGTCTCAACAGCTGCTGTCAGTCCGCCTCTAGCCATCTTTCAGAAGCTCAGGGAGGGACAAGACCTCATTCGTCACGGGACCCACGGGCATGAGCCACCTCCCTCTTCCTGTCATCCTCAGCTCGTACCCAACCTTCTCCCGAAGCGTATGTACTGTAGGCCAGGCCAATGACGTGGTCCCATAGTTGTTGATATTGCTCAAGGCTTGCCGTAGGTCATCAAGTTGTTCACACGAGTAGAGGTAGGCAGGAGGACTCAAGCACTCAAGTCATCGATGACTTTGACTCAGAGACTTTGTTATTTATCCCCAATACATGAACAAAAGACACCCTCCTCCTTCTTCGTAACGCCTTGGCCTCCGTGGGGAAGTTTCAGATGCTGGACATGCTGAAGTTTCGGAAGAAAAGGTCTGCTGTTGGATGACCTTTCTGTCTCTGTTTTTTGTGTCCTTGCGCTTGGCGGGGACGGGCCCGGGGCCAGCAAAGGGCTTTGGCAACGCCGTTGTGTATCTACCGAATTGTCTGAAGTAAAAAGTACGACAACCATTGCTAAGAATGCGCCTGTGATGCAGTGCCCTCATGTTTTCCTTGCATCTGCCCCTTTGACACACCCCTGTAATCCTTGGTATCACGAACATCATCGCCGAAACACGTATTAATCTGCTAAACAGTCGCGTTGACTCAGGTCGGCGTCCTGTTCACTGCGGACCGTGAAATTCTCCCTCCATCGCTGCAACGCCGCTGGCTTCCACGTTGTGGTAGTCGAGGATCTCGGAGTACCTGCGATCAGGCATTAGCACGAATACACATTCGAGGTTAGCCAACCTCTTCGAGGTCGGTGGCTGCGGCAACCCACATCATGATCTTCCACGTGTCCACAGGCAGGTCAGCATCGTTGAAACTCCAGTCGAACTTCTCCTCGGCCACAGGCTCGTCGGTTGGGTCGTGGTAGGGAGCCAGGTACTCATGTGCCAGAGCATCCGCAGCTGTTATTCGCTTCTTGGGGTCGAAGACAAGCATGCGCTCCAGGAGGTCGACAGCTACAGTAATTAGTTGTTAAAAATGTGTTTGGCACAGCTGCGGGGTTGCAGGATTTACTAACCAGACTCGTCGGCGTTCTTAAACTTTGTTGCCAGAGGTTGACGCTCCCGCTTGGGCAGGGATTTGACGAATCTCAGGGTCTGCCACTGTCAGTCACTTGCGTCTCCGATAGCATAGACGATGCGCAACTCACGTTTTCGCTAGCAATTGTGTTGATGACATCGTCGGGTGGTGTTCCAAGAAGCTCTGTGATGATGGAAAACTGGTTGACGTGGTCCTTTCCAGGGAAGAGTGGTTTGCCCTCGAGCATTTCCGCGAAGATGCAGCCTGCGCTCCAGATATCGACCTCGACATCGTATTTTTGCCATGTGAGCATGATCTCGGGTGCGCGGTAGTATCTTGTCGATACGTAACCCGTCATCTGGGGGTCTTGAATACGGGCCAAGCCGAAGTCGCAAATCTTGAGATCACAGTTCTCGTTGACGAGAATGTTGCTAGGTTTAAGGTCCCGGTGCACCACGCCAGCAGAGTGCACGTATTTCAGACCTCGCATGATCTGGTACAAGAAATACTGGATGAACTGCTTCTCGAGGGGCCTGGAGGTCAACAGCCGGTGCAGGTCAGTCCCCAGAAGCTCGGTGACGAAGTAGATGTCTTCGAGGGGAGAGATGAAGATATCGCTGAGAGAAATGACGTTCTCGTGCCGGAGGTGCTTGAGCAGTTTCAGCTCACGGTAGGTCCTCTTGGCCAGGACGGGGGTGCTGAAGGGCTTCATGATCTTCTTGATGGCAACATTTTGGTTGGTGAGCTGGTCTCTGGCGGAGCAAACCAGACCGAAGGCGCCCATGCCCACAGGCTGCAGGTCCGAGTACCTCGATGTGATCTCGAAGGTCGTCCCAAAGATTTGGGCGCGCACGAATTCAGCCATGATGAATGTGATTCGGGAAACCGGAGAGTCAGGGCGACGTGTCGAGGGGGATCAACAGGAGAGGCAGAGATCGGGGTGAGATGATGCGATTTTGACGAAGTCGCTCAAAACTGTTGTGTCGCTGTGGATGGGCGGGCAGTGGTGAGGCAGACCTGCGGGGTGGTTGTGGGAGAGCGAAAAGGATGCAGCAATGGTCGTCAGAGCTAAGGAGTGCTCGGTTGTAGGTACGCTTGGCTGGCTGGCTGGCAACTGTGGTGGGGACGAAGAGGCAGAGGTGGGCGACGCGGGGCTCCGAGGTGCTGGCGGAAGCTGGGGTTGGGAGACGGACGAATTGGCACGGAGGGGAGGGAAGGCGAGGCGCTGAAAGTCGGTGTATTAGCTTTCCAGTCTAGCAATTTCCTAGCGATGGGCGCTTGCGATTGGGTTTCATGTCTCGAGGTGCTGCCATGCAACTGCCTCGCCTTGCAAGCTCATTGCAGCAATGGTATTACCCGCCCAGGCTGAGCATTTGGGGGCTGGAATTTTTGGGGGCAATAGAGGAGTAGGCTGTTGGGCTTTGGCAATTGCCATCGTGCATATGCCAGATTCTGAGTTGCTGTCCCTGGAGCTGGACCAGGGGCCCCTCCACGTACCGAGGCGAAAGACCAGTGTATTCCCGTCTTCGGTGTGCGAAGTCAAGTATGGTGCCTCGGCGACTAGCCTGAATGACTGACTGACTTGGGCGTTGGGTTGATGCGGCAGCAGGCAAAGGACTGCTTTGCAAATTCGAGCTCAAGGAACTCGATATTTGGCAAAGCTGGGCTGGTGTGCAGGGCTATTGCAGAACGACACAAGTGAAGAGTAGAGAATCACGGCCGAGGCCTTTGGAGAGGGACGGGAAGGTCAGAATTGCCCAAGGCTCCCCGGATCTCGATCACTCCTTATGGACAGTCGGGCTCGTACCTGAGTCAAGTAGCCTTTCCTGGCAGTGCCGTTGATCAGCTCGCCGATAGTTCAGGGTTGGATTGGGTAGTATCCGGCGGTCGTCTCCGACTCTTCTGTGGCTCGCCTGATGGTTGTATGAAGGGTAGAGTCTGTGGTGTTTTCTCAACTGTAGCTGCGCAAAGCTCGCAAGAGAGGAGAGGATTTGAGGCGGGCCGATGGGGGGAGGAAGGGGGGATTTTGGGCGGGCAAAAACCGGGTTTTAGGGATGCTGGCACTGGGCATATGCCACTCCACGATAAGATAATCGATTGACAGCTTTTGCAAGACGGACCAAATCGAGATGGTGACCACGACTGGTACTGGGGACTGGGACTGGGACTGGGCTGAGACTGGGAGTGGACTGGGAACTACTTGAGCTGTGACTGGGGCTGGGCCATGCCCCCTTGTTTTTTCTGGGGCGGGAGACAGAGATGCAACAGCGCAACAGCAAGCACAGGCTGAGCTGGGCAAGGCCAAATCCAGGCTGGAAAATGGCACCTTTCCCGATGGGAACTCTCCCGCACGCCTAATAATCCGACGTAGGTACGTGTGGCCAAGCTGCCACCGTTGCGTTGCTGGACGGGAACGGTGGCTCGTGGGCCACAAGGCGGCGACGACCGCGGCTGGTGCTTCGTGGCTGGGTGAGAATGGCTACCATGGGCATCTGAGGTGACGGGCAACCTGGCCCGTTTAGATCACACCCAATTGCACCTCTTGTCTGCCAGCAGACTGTACTGGTGCTGGTGGCTGCAGGCTGGGAAGGCTCCGTCTCCTACGAGCTCTCAGCCCCCACCCTCCTTCCCCTCCAAAAAGCAGGGACAGAGTCGAGCTGCTGCTGGTGCAGTGGTGGTGGTGGTGGTGGTGGTGGTGCTGGTGCTGGTGCTGAGACGCACAGGTGGCTGTGCTGGCCGGCTGGTCGGCTGGTGGGAAGGGTTCGTACTCTGCCCCTCCATGTGGTCATCACATCCCACTTTCACTCTTTCCCATCCCGCAGAAGATCGATTTCCGGCAGCCCACTGCCCGACCCTGGATGGCACTTCTCTTGTCGTAGCGTAGCTTCGTACAAGGTAGCCTCGCTGTTCCAAGGTTTTCCTATAGCGCACATCTTTCCCATCTCCAGCCCCGGCCCCTAGTCACGAAAGCCATCGGGTTTCCCTGTTATTGCCCTTCTCTCGCCGGCACGCGATGCTGCGCTGTTGGTGGGAGACCTGACTGCTGGCTGTCCATCATCCGGCAAAAAAAAATCACTGACAGATGACGTCAGGACCCACCCCTGCCGTTTCCTGACACTGACAGATTACTGTACAAGGTGTACCTGCCTTTCCCGTGCTCCTGCTCTGCGTCCTGCCCCACCAGAGCTCGACGGGCGACTGCAGGGTCTGTTTCTCCCTGGCCTGATGGGTGAGGACTTTCAGATTTCAGAAAGGGCTCGGCAGCCGAACTGGTATAAACAGTCAGCTCCCTTCCCCTTGCTCATGGGCGTATGAATGCGCAGGTGCACAAACATGATACCTAGGTTGCTGTGTCGGCCCCACAAAAAGACATGTTCCGCCCATCGTCAAAACCGGTGCTGATCGAGAAGCGTCTAGCCCGGCGAAGATCCCGCAGGCCTGGACCCGGATCCCTGTCTTAGCTAGTTTGACACCGCGGACCTTTTCGTCCGCATAAATCCATGCCGGCCTGCCGGCCGCCAGCTGTCACCTGCCAGCTCTGAGGATTAGTCCACCACTTGATAACTCACAGCGCCGTTGAGATATCAGTTGCCTGTGGGAAAGCCAAGCAGGCGGCAGGCCAGCAGAGTTACAGAGAGGTATCTAATAAGCCATGTACGACCCGGAAGGACACATGGTAAGGTATCCGAGGTGCCCTCCAATTATGCCATGCCGTTCAACCAACACAAGCGGTAGTCTACCAGAACATACAGGGCTTCCTGAAAAAGAAGCCTAATTCGTGACTTCTATGGCGTTAGCGAAGGATCCCCTGACTTTATTGTTTTGTCTGTGCGTGCCATAATAACAATACCAGCTTTTTAAGGCAAAATTATATGGAAAAAAGGTAGCTTTTCTATAGCATTATATCCCGTATGCGTTATAACGGTGTAGGTTTAATTAAAAAAGTATAAATTAGAAGTTATGATTGGTTAGATTTGGTTACATTCTTTATGGGGAGTTGTACTGGCATGGGTAATCTTTTAACGGAAACCCTGTACACAAGTGGCTTTCCGTGGTCCTCGGGGCCTATAGCGCTTTTCCCGCCGACATTCCACCTTTGAAGGGTCACAGGTCAACCAGATACTGTATCTAACAACTGTACTAGCCTCAAAGGAGCCCACCTGACACGGTCGAGTCGCATGGTTGCATGTGGTAGACGATAATACCTTCGTGTATGTATGTGCCTGAGAAGGGGCCGCCGCCACAAACCTAATCTGGATCGGCCTCACTCGCCCACCACTCAGCTTCACACTATAACAACAGACATATCAGGCATGACCCATCGAAGATCCGGGTGCCCCAACGAGGCTAGAAGGACACCTAAGATCCCATCGTATCTAGTGTAGTCTGCCGCCGCGGCCCTGCCCGATGCCGACCTTTACCAGCTTGCCGGGCGCCGATCCCTTCCTCTTTCCCGCCGCCCATCACACACAGATTTTACGCTTTTTTTGCCCATGGCAACCTTAGCCCTCTCAGCTGGGTCATCAAGCCGAGAAAGTCTAAAACCCCTCCTTCTAACAATCTATCCAGCACTCCTCCACGACTCAGAACCTCGCAGTCGAGGGGGTTGTGCGCGCGCGCGCGGCAGCAGCATCGTCGGATGCAAACAGCTACCTCTCCTGGGTGATGACGACATAGGGGCAGCAGGCGGGCCCACAGACACGACAACGACACGCGCAGCAACAGCTTGGATGACATCATTGATGGTAGCGAAAGGGGGGCCCTCCAGCCCGTCGCAGGTCCACCTCCCTGGACAGCCGAGTCTCGAGGGCTCGAGGCTCGCGAAGGGCAGCGGCTCTCTCTTCTCTCACACGCCAGCGGCTGGTGAGGATGGATCAGGTTCGACAGAGATGGTCCCCACCTGGACCCTGGATTTGCACAAGGGGTCCACGGCGAACTGTCAGCACAGCGTATTCATCAGTGTCTCTGTTCGTCATGACTAGGTCATTATGGGCCTTGGATCTGACTCGGAGGGGTCGCTTTGTCAGTTTTGAACTTCAAACAATGTACGGAAAGGGAAGGAGAAATGCAAGGAAGGGTAAAAAAACCGGGGGAAAAAAGGAAGATCAAGGCGGGCGTGGGGGTGGGGTGGAAGTCTTTGCTTTCCGAGCTGACTATTACACGTCTGCTCCCAGTAGGAGCGGTTCCTGACATAGTAGCATCACCCGCTAGTATTCCGAGAGTAGAAGACTGCTTGTGTAGGTATTCCCCTGAACGGCTGAGACATATGTCCTAGAAGACAGACCCTGCATCGATGTCTCTTACCATTACAGGGTACTCAGGTGGGCGCTCCTCGTCTCGTGGGAATGTGACACAGGCTATGCCACTGGAGGTTCTAAACCACCCCATAGGACATGGAGAATCATCTCATAGGAGCTTGCCCTATTGGATATAGAAATGTATCCCATAGGATAGTTGCCCATAGGATAGTTGCCCATAGGATAGTTGCCCATAGGATAGTTGCCCATAGGTCATCCCTATCGAAGTTCATCCCATCGGATAGTTGCCCATAGGATAGTTGCCCATAGGTCATCCCTATCGAAGTTCATCCCATCGGACGTTATCGCACACGAAATTATCCCGTAGGAGCCTGTTCCAAAGGAGGATATCCTGAGAGAAGTTGTCTAGCAGGTTGTTACACCCAGGTAGTGTATCAGGTCATCACGCGAAGCGCTCCGAGGTCGACTTTGCCATTCTCGTTGTCGTGGGCTTAGACCAGGAAGCAAGAGACACACGAGGCACTGGGAACAAGCTCATCCGAATCAATAAAGTCTGTTGCTACTCGATTTCGTATAAGAATGCAGGTGCTCTTAGTTTAAACAACAACCTCTACTGGCGCCTTCGCCCTGTAAGTCCGGCTCATAGTTCCGCGCCGTCCGACTTGTCCGCTGGCAGCGGCTCGACGTTCCAGATCCCCTCGGCATACTCGTTGATGCACCGGTCGCTGCTGAAGAAGCCCATGCGCGAGACACTGGTAATGCTCTTCGTGAGCCACTCATCCTGGTTCTTGTAGGCCTCGTCGATGACGTGATGCGTCTCGATGTAGCTGTGGAAGTCGTCTGACACCAGGTAGTAGTCGCCGTGGTCGCGCACCGCCGAGATCATGCCCGCGAAGTCGTTGGGTTGTCCGAAAGTGCCCTTCTCGATGGCCTCAAACACCTTGGCGAGATCTGGGTCTACAGCATGCGAGCCGTATGTGTGCGAGTGACGCAAGTCCTCGACGTCCTCAGCCAGGTTTCCGAAGAGGAAGATGTTGTCCTCGCCGATCTCGCGAGTGATCTCAATCTATGAGGGGTGTTAGTAAATGAATTTGAACACAGTAGTGTGAGGGAAAAGTAGTCAGCTGCCAATATTAAGGCACAGCCGCAGTGCCCAAGTGATTACTTACGTTAGCACCGTCTGTGGCAATTCAAAGTTAGTTACCATGTTGATTAAACAATTCAAGGATGGAGTGACTGCTGCTTACCGCAGGTTCCAATGATCAGACCGCCGTTCAGGACGAACTTCATGTTGCTGGTACCTGAAGCCTCGGTACCGGCCGTGGAGATGTGCTCGCTGATGTCTGAGGCTGGAACGATGATCTCCGCCTTGCTGACGTTGTAGTCCTCCAGGAAGACGACCTTGAGAAGGTCTCCAATGTCCTCATCTTTGTTAACAACAGCGCCGACGTTGTTGACAAGGTGAATAATTTGCTTGGCCTTCAATGTACAAAGTTATTAGTCCTGTTTACTCACAGATGGAAGTACCGAAAGGGGGGGGGGGTTTGAAAGTACGTACCATCCAATACCCAGGGGCGGCCTTGCCACCGAAGATAGTTACTCGTGGTTGAACCTTCTTCCTCTCCTCCGGTGTCATAGCCTTCAGCGTCAGGTACCGATGGATCGTTCCGAAGATGTTCAGCTGCTGACGCTTGTACTCGTGGATACGCTTGACCTGAACATCAAAGAGCGCGGCGGGGTTGACAGTCACACCAGTACTGGCCTTAATGTGCTTTGCAAGCCTGACCTTGTTGGCGTACTTGATCTCCTGCCATTCCTTGCGGAAGTCCTTGTCCTTTACGGAAAGCTCGATCTTGTTGAGCTCCGTCAGGTCTTTTAGGAAGTTGTAGCTGCCGGTCTTGCTGGCGATAAGCTCGGATAGACGAGGGTTAGCTTGGTGCAGCCACCGACGGGGGGTAATGCCGTTTGTCACATTGGTGAATTTGTCTGGGCCGTAGATCTCGACGAAATCCTTGAAGATGGTGGTCTTGATGAGGTCAGAGTGCAACTCGGCCACGCCGTTCACCTTGTGAGACCCGATAATGGCCAGGTACGCCATGCGCACCATCTTCGGCTGAGACTCTTCAATGATGGACACCCGGCTGAGGAGGTCGCGATCATTGGGGTGAGCACGCTCAACGCTCTGAAGGAAAGCGAGGTTGACGTCGTAAATGATCTGCAAGTGACGTGGTAGGAGATGCTGGAACAGGCCCACGGACCACTTCTCCAGAGCTTCTGGAAGGACAGTGTGGTTTGTGTAGCCGAAGGTCTGCGTGACGATGTTCCAGGCTTCGTCCCACTCGAGTCCCTCCACATCGACCAGGATTCGCTGTAGCTCGACGATAGCCAGGGTAGGATGGGTATCGTTTAGCTGTATAGCGACCTGGTCGGGGAATTCATTCCAGGCCCGCTTCGACTTCTTGAAACGACGGACGATGTCGTATAGTGACGCGGCAACCCAGAAGTACTGTTGCTTGAGACGGAGCTCTTTGCCACGGTCTAGGTTGTCATTGGGGTACAGCACGGCGCTGATGGTCTCGGCACGTTGCTGGTCAGCAACGGAGCTCTCGTACTCGCCAGAGTTGAACTTCTGGAAGTCAAACTCTCCACTGGCAGCCTTGCTCGACCAGAGCCTGAGGTTGTTTGTGGACTTGGTGGCGTAGCCTGGGATCGGAACATCGTAGGCTATAGCCGTGACAACGTCTCCGCCCTCCCATCGCGCAACGGTCTTGCCGGCAGAGTTCTGAGCTTTTGTCACATGCCCGTAGAATTGTATCTAGAATATAGTTAATATCATATCAGAAAGAAAATAACCGTACTAGCAGGGGTGATTATCAACACACGTCAACAGTAACATCATGACGGGGGAATTCCCAAGGGTTGAAGTCGAGCCAATAATCCGGGACTTCAACTTGGTATCCATCAATAATCTCCTGCTTAAAGATACCGTAACGGTATCGCAGCCCATACCCCCAGGCGGGGTAGTCGAGACTGGCGAGGCTGTCGAGGAAACAAGCCGCCAGGCGGCCCAGGCCGCCGTTGCCCAGGGCGGCGTCGTGCTCCTGGCTGATGATGTCCTCGATGCGGAAGCCGAGGTCCGCGAGCCCGCTCTTGGCGACGTCCTTCTGGCCGATGTTGAGCATGGCGTTGTCGAGGGCCCGGCCCATGAGGAACTCCAGGCTCAGGTAGTAGACCCGCTTGCTGTCGGCGAAGGTGTGGCGCTGCTGGGTCCTGTTCCACTCCAGGATGAGGCGGTCCCGGAAGGCCAGGCCGGTAGCGGCGTATGCGGCCTGCTCGTCGCAGTTGAAGACGCTGCGCGCCAGGGTGGTCTCGACGTGACGGACGACCTCGCTCTCGAAGCCATCCTTGTCCTTGAAGCCCTGGGTCTTGTGCTTGGTCCAAGCCTCCCGCTGGGGCTCGGGGATGGAAGCTGCGAAATGGACATGATCAGCGTCTGCACGTCATATCATGGAATCGATTGGGGCCGTCCGCTTGGAAATCCGGCCCCCCGGCTCCGTGAAGGCCCCACTTTTCCGGTGTAGTATCGGGGCAAGGGTTGGCATATCCCCACCTTCAACAGTCTTGATATCCCCGGCACCGAACCCAGTAAAGGTCCGCTTGTGCTTCGGCCTCGAAATACCGGCCGGGCTGACAGAGCCCTGTATGTCGACGATGGGGGCGCTTGTCGAGGGGCGGCGCTCCCTCAAAGGGACCCTCTGAGGCTCAGTGGAAGCCATTGGATAGGAGGCAGGGACAATCTTGACGGTAATCTTCTGTCAGCACTTATATTTGGCAATTGGCCCAGAAAAAGAAACAAATGGAAATAGAACAGCACACAAGTCGAGGGGGCGGCGTGCGAATTGCTGCTGGCTGTAAGCTCAAACCACCCCGCATGAGGCACTAGCGGTGGTCTGCGGCTATGGCGGGGTAGGTGAAGCTTCAGGAGCTGGTGTGGGCGGGTGAGAGAGTGGTGAGACCAATAGCCTGCCCTCCTGGAGCTTGGACGTTCAACACTGCACATTCGTCGCCCGGAGCTTCCCCCGGGCCTCTTTCTTGAACCGCAGGAACTCTGACGAGAGCGAGGCCGGCGGGAGGCACAGAGAGATGTATGTATGCTCGTCGCGGGCACATGCAGGGAAAGCCAGCCTACATACCTGGTTGTTCCACGAGAGCACGGGCGCCAATTGCTGTTGCTAACGATGCCGGCGTGAGGAGGACGGGAGTGTTCTCTGCGGGAGCGACCAGGCACAGAGCAATGGGAACAGAGCAATTGAGTCCAACTCAAACCAGTCCTCGTTCAGGCTAAGTTTGGGAAGGAGGGGGAAAGAATAGAAGAAAGAAGGGAGTCCAGGAGAGAGGCCGCACGACAACAGACGAGCGACTCTGGGGGAGCTTTTATACAGCTATGGGAAGCTCGCTTCTGCAGGGCTAGCTTGCTCAAGCACGCCCGCATCTTCCCAACGTTGACTGACTGACTGACTGATCATAACCGCGCCGGTGGTACCTTCTCATCCGCCTGCCCACACACCAAGAGCCGCCCGCTACCCCCTGCGAAACGGACCAAGAATAGAGGTGGAGGTGCAGGTGCAGGTGCAGGTGCAGGCATGTGCATGGACTCCTCGCAACTAAGAGCTTGCCCTTGGATCCGGGCCTGTACCTTGGAACAAGGTACGGTAGCCCTCCCACCACGCCATGCAAATGCGGGGTGAGGTGGTGGGTGCTCGGCCACTGCCAACAACGCCGTCGCCAGAGCACCCATTGAGTTCACACCGCTGACGGCAGAGTCGCATGTTGCATGTTGCATGTTGCATGGGGTGGGAGGGCTCTACTGCGGCTTTCCAGATCCAGTTGGCTCCCGTATCTGCTCGCTCGTGCTGCTCGATGATGCTCGATGGTGCTGGGGTGGGGGGAACTAGAGCTGCAACTCCTTCAGCATTGTCGTACGAGTCCCAGGCGCAGAGGGCCCCTCCTCTCAACCGTCGCCCCCCTCCCAAAACGCCCGCCTCTACTGTACAGTACAGCACTGCGGAGGCTGTTGTTCATAGCATTGTACTACCTGTCAGGCTGTTCCAGAGTCAAGACATGGAAGCAACTCGAAACAGTTTTGACGGTTCTGTTGCAGGTGAGTGGCACTGGCGCTGGTGGCTGTGACGGCGATGGCTCCCGCGATGATGAGACGTAATTGTACAGGTTGCGTGCTACACGTAGCTGCAGTACCCCACCTTCGCCGGGGGCAACGGCCTGCCGTCTGATACATAGATAATGCACGACGTCTTCGGGCCTCGCTCCATCGTGATCTGTGCTCCTTTGGCTGGTCTGACGGGCTGACGGGGCCGGAAGGACTGGCTGTGGCATGCCTGATGTTCGGCCACTGTCTCGGCCGTTGTGAAGTTTAGACTCGTCCAAGCCCACAAGTCCCCACGGGTTGTGTGGGTGGCCGGGGGCGGGTCGCTGTCAGTTCCCCAGTCTGGGTCCACTTCCTGGGACCTCGACCTTCCCGACACGCGATCGGTCCCGATGGTGGACGATGGTTGTCCAACGAGACGACCTGTTCGCGCAGGACGGGCCAACTGCTCGGTGGAGACACGGCAGCCAAGAATGGGCTGATTTTCTCTCCCATCATGAGCGACGCTCCGCTGCTCGCCAGCTCAGCCAGCCAGCCAACCTGGGGTCCTGCACCCAAGACCTAGACCTTCCAATCGTCTTCTTGAATTAAGCTAATAATCCCACTATTTCGTTGACGTGCTGGGGCTGCTCCGCGTCTTCTTGAATACATGTACAATTCACCTCCTGCCCGTAACCAGGTATCATGAACCAGATTGTTCGTCTCGTTCCCTTCATGACCCGCCCCAACTCCTTGCCAGAATAAAACAACCGTCCTGTCCCTCCTCCTGCTGGAGAGGTAGGATTGTCAGGCCACCGAATACCATCGTGTGACAACAGTCCAGGGCCGCCGCTCTCCCCATCGTTTTCCACAAAAAAAGACCGCCGGCCGCGTCCGAGATTTCCAACCAAGAGCAATTACGGCAGTGCCAGAATTTGGCCCCTCCCCCTCCACAACGCCGGGCCGCGAACACACTGCCGTCCTAAACGCCGAACTGATGCACTGAATGGTAAAGACCGCTCGTCGACATGATGGAAAGCAGCAACCGGAACAAAGAAAAAGTCGAAGTCTCGGTGAGATATTAAAGAATACCGGAATCCTTGAGTGCGTTGTTGAGAATGGTCTCTTTCACGGCGGCGAAGACTAATCTGATGTTTGACGTGTCCGTTGCTTGTGTCAGGCTAGGCGGTCACTGTCAGCGCAAGGACGACGGACATTCCATTCCACTTGCGACACTTACTGAGGGTAAAGGTTCAGGTGTGCTCGGTTGACTTGATTAAACCTCCACAAGAGGTATTTGGCCGCCTTGTTGACGTCGTTGCCGCCAGAGTAGTCGGGGAAGTAGTTGCCGAGTGGCGATCTGCCCAGCTTCTGCTTGAAGATGTCGACTTTATTGAGGAACAGTATTATACTTGTTCTCATGAACCATCTCGAGTTGACAACCGAATCGAACAGGAGTAAGCTTTCCATCATACGGTTCTGCTCACATTAGCAGGCGGGATTTCTCACGGGACTGGTGGCTGAGGCCTACCTGACTACTCTCCTCCAGCAACACTTGATCGTATTCGCTGAGAGCGACACAAAAGATAATTGAAGTAACATTCTCGAAACAGTGGATCCACTTTTTGCGTTCGCTGCGTTGTCCGCCGACGTCAAACATACTGCGGCGAGTCAGCCTGGAGGTGATCAAATGGGCCCAAACACGGTTGGTAAGTAGACAGTCTTACTGAATGCTCAGCTGTCCCATTTGGAACCGAGTTTCGTATATGCCGGTGGTTTTCGTCCTCGCTCGAAGAACATCCATCTCGTTCGGCAGATAATCTGGTCTGACTATTCGCTGAGCCTGCTCGAAGAAGCTGTAGACATGGCGATTAGTATCTCCGCCTGGGGCCAACAAAGCTTCTGCGATAGAGGGGAAGGGGAATGTCCAGGGGGGAGGGCGATCACGCACTATTCGGCCGAGTCCATCAAATAGAACTCGGTTTGCCGATCCATCAATTGCTCCCTTGCTGGATCGTTCCATATTGCGAATACTGCGTCTCCAACCTTGGAGTCCATAATCGCCTGGGGCCCGGCCTCGACGCTGTATTCTAGGATGTAATCGCAGTACGCCCTGTTCTCCTCGTTTGCTGGCTCGATGTCGAACTGGCGCATGGCGTTGATGACGGCTTTCGCACATTCTATCAGGTTCTTGAAAACTGTCGGCCTGTAGTTGTAGAGCTCATCGTCCGAGTAGCCCTTTAGATGGATGATTTTCATTTGCTTCACAATCGTGGATTTGCCGCTCTCACCGGATCCTAGATGAGCCAGGTTAGTCTGATTGTTAATCCAAGTCACGTCGCGTCTGGGTCACGGGCCATTTTCGTACCCAGCAACAGTATCTTGCATTCTCGCCGCAGACGTTTCGAGTCCTCCTCCAAGTCCTTGTCGATCTTCTGACTCCGCTTCTTTTGCTCCGTCTCCTCGCTATTTGCACTCATGCAGGCACCCATCTTGTGGGGTGTCGGTGCCCTCCCACGGAGCCGCGTTCAGGGTTCACAAGACCGGACGGCTGCGAAGATGGTACAACAGGCCCGCGAACTGGAGTCGAGGGTTTTGGCTGCCAGATAAGCTAGGCGCCCATGAGACTCGGAGCTGGCAAGGAGCACTGGATCGGTGGTGGCCAGCTTGATGGGATGTGAGGGCCAGAACGGAGCAGCGCAGAACAGGGCGGTCCGTTCGCAAGGTCCAGGCAAACGACGTATCTCGGCGCGACTGGACAGGCCGGGCGAGGAAGCAATTGATGAGCGCCGATGGCTGGCGTGGATGAGCGAGCGAAATTGATGCAATTGCAGGTCGCTTCACAAAACTGGGAACACATGCGCCGAGCCAAGTGCTGAGTTAAAAGGCCAAAGTTGTCGTAGCAGAGTAAGTAAGGTTTGAGGGCTTGGGCTTGCCGTTGCGGGGGGGGGGGGGGGGGTGGAAGGGAGCTTGACGTCGGGTTTAGCCGCAGAGGCCGGACTGGGTTTGGCTCTCGTCTGGTTAGTCGCGCCTGCACTGACTGCGGCCTAACGAACCAGCGTTGGAAGTTCGGAATGGGGGCTTCGGGTTGAATGAAAGCTGAGATTATCGGGAATTGGGCGATTAGGATCCGTATGGTGAGCGAGCGAGCGAGAGATAGATAGATCAAGAGAGAGGGGTCAGAGAGAGAGAGAGAGCTGTCCAGCAAAGGGATGACGAGGCGATTCCCCAGCAGCACAGCACAGCACAGCGCCTGCTGAATTATACAGCAACAACAGTTGCGATCACCTGCGGGATGAACAGGTAAAATGGATTGGAGAGGCCAACCAGGTGTCTGGGTCGTGAGAAAATGGTGGACTGCGATGAGGCGTCAGATTCGCGCAGACTTGGCTACCATGTAGCTAGGTAGTGGCGGACTTGTGGCGTGGTGGTAGAGAATGGCGATGCGACGGCATGTCCCTGCGATGGGCGAGGAACAAAGGCTGAACTGAACGACAGACCGACGTCAGATGGTCGTGGAGGCAAGATACGGGACGTAGACGGGCACGAAACCACACGTGATGGTGTTGCAGAGTCGGTTCGGATCAGGTAGAATCGAGAATGGGAATCCAAGAGCCAAAAACTCAGCCCAAGTCGAAATGGCGAGTCGAGGATCCGACGGGAAGACTGGCTGACGGCGGCGGCAGTGGTTGAGCGGTGGTGACCTCGGGGAATGGAGGTGTGGGTGAGTGTGAATTGGTGAGTGCAGATACCAGCCTAGACCACCCAGGCACGGGTGCAATCTGGAGGGCTGGCAGACGAGCCAGCACGAGGACGGAAGCCGGGACCTAGAGAGGTGCTGCCGGTGGTGGTGCTTCCCTGCTCGAAGCTGCGGGAACTCTGTGATGAGATGAGGTCCCCTCGGTGATGAAATGACGAAAACCGAGTACGAGCCTCGAACAACAGCAAGATATGGGACCGCGGCGCCAGGAACAAGTACTGGACAGGTACCTTCTGATTTCTACCTAGGCAAGTGCAGGTGCAGGTACAGCCATTAACAGACGTGACCAGGACGGACTGGCTTGGCGGCAGCGTCTCTTGTCTGCTCCAGACACGTCGCGCAGAGGCAGCAACAGGGCAGGCTCGAGCGCGAGGGACGGTGTCAGTGACGGCAACCGGAATCGAACAGGACAGGATGAGGAACGGGTCGGTGTGGGAAAAGGAAGGCAAAGGAAGGCAAAGCGCAGATGGGCGGTTGGTGGTTTGTGGTGATAGCAGCCCAGGCAAAGACAAGACGGTAACCAGGTACCGTACCGAACGGAGTACTGCCCTGCCCTGCCCTGTGCTGCAGCTGCAGGTAGCGGTCAGAAAAGCGGGACGTTCTGCGAGGTCAGTCTGTTCTGGTCTGCTGGGTCTGCTGGGTCTGCTGCGAGTGCTCGACTGTAGGTGGTCCGCCCTGACCGGCAAATGCAGCGAGTTGGAGCCCCCAGGGCCGACCGCTCAGCCCGGCCGCTGGGTCTTCCCAGGAGCCTAGCGGCGAATCTCAATCCAGGGCCCCAATTTTGTTCTCTGGACCCCAGATGGCGGGGACCCACCTGGCCACAGCTCGCAGCTCGCAGCTCGCAGCTCGGGGTGGGCACGCAGCACACGGCAACCCGTGCGCGCTCGCCTATAGCCCACAGTTCTGCAGCAGCAGCAGCAGCAGCAGCAGCACGAAGAAGCAACAAGCACCCGTGCCCAGGGAGGAGCTCTCCGAGGCTACACGCGCCAGTCAGCATCATTCCATACGTACATATCACCAGGGCATCAAATCAGGAACAGGCCGCCAGGGCATCCGTGGTGACATTCCAATCCGACCTCTGGCATCGCACAAAGCTGATGAGGCTGACACCAGCGGGCAGCAGTGTCCACTGCCCACACGGCACAGCAGAGCACAATTTCCCGGGATCTGGTCCTTGGCCCTCATCCTGGTTTTGGCTTTTGGCTTTTCAAGGTTGGTTTTGCTTTCGACTTTGACTGCCGTCCACGGTCCAGTCCAGTCGTGTGCAGTGGCAGACTGCGTCCTCTCCGGCTGTGACGACGCCATTGTTATCATTATTAATTGCCCGAGCTCTTGCCCTCCGCTCCCACCCAACAAGACGGGGTTCGTCTGAGCATTATCCAATCTATGAGGCATATTCTCTGGCGCTTCGGCTGCATCTATCTACGATTCTGGTGTACTGTACCCACGCCACCCAGCCTGGTCAGCCTCTTCTGTCAGCCTGCCCACCTGTCAGCTGTTCCGTCAGCCACTCCTCGCAGCCACTCGTTCGGTTGACTCGAGACGACACATCTGGATCTGGTATTTCCCAAGGCTGAGTCGGCATCCACACCCAAAAAGGTTTGCCCGTCTCGGCCGAATTGAGGTCTGGCCGCCGACAATGTCACCAGCACACATCCCAGCTCGGGTGCCCAGTCAATTTCATGACGCCAGGGCTAACAGGTGACAGCTCGAGCCGACCTCCCTCCCTGTCATTCATTGCTGGCCTGCTTGGGTACCGATCCGGGATGTCCCACCGTGGCCTCCAGCCTATAGTTATGACATGTGTATAGTACTATACAGCCTTGTTCAGAGCTCAGGACTGCCATCGGAAATGATATCTCCTGCGCAGCGCCCATGCCGCCAAGGCACACCCAGCCAGCACGCGCGAGAGTCCCGACATGCAGGCCTATGCGTGCCACAGCGGCTTCATACAAGCTCCGGGTAGCTTCCACGGGATCCTCTTCGCGTTTCGGGCCCGTGGACAACCATATATCTGAAATCCTTGCCCGGGTCAAGCAACAGACTAGGAGTACAGTACGTACATCTACCAACAGCTGGGAAAGGGCAGCAATAATGAGAAAGGATCGCTATCCGAGCCACGTGTTTTGTGCCAGACACTGCGCTGGGCCTGGCCCACCCCGTGCTTCATCCCGACAAGGGGGCAGGCATGAAGCACCCTGATGAAGGCGCCCAAGCCCAAGGGGTCACAGGCTGAGAGCTCTCCACCAGTCCAGTCCAACCTCAGCCGCCCTCCCGAAATAGGCATGTCCCAAACGAGGCTGAAATCGCAGCAATAGGCCCTCCCGAAACCCCCGAATGAGATCTGTGGCATGGCATATGTCGTTCACACACATCACAAACAACATAGTCTAGACTATACGGTTACAGTGCCAGTGCCACGCCCCATCACACAGCCTGACAACGAGAACGCCTGCCCAACTTACCGTGAACGGTACTCCTGTGTCAACTTGCTGGCTGCCCTCATCAAATGGCTGCATGCAGTCAACCAAAGCACAACACAAAACAAAACAAACACCCCCTTCCCCCCATCAACCAATAAACCAACCTCCTGCTTCCCTCTACCAGCGGGCATGCTTCGGCATGGCCCAGCCGGTGAGCCTTTTCCGGCCGAACAATCATCTCGTGCTGGCTCTGGCGCTGGGCCATGCTCCCTGGCACGCATAGAAATATATACTTTACGGCTGCGAGTCATGAGAAACCTTACCGCCTGCTAGCCGTCTCACGACTGCATATCAATCACTCAATCGTGGCGATTCCACCCTGGGCGGTCTAGGCCGCGCTGCATCTCGCAGTTGGGGGAAACGGGATTGGGTGGGCGGTGGGCGGGCCACATTCCTCATTCCCCTCCGGCCAACCAGGCACGCCGTTGCATGGGCTTGTTTTTGAGTTTTGCTGCTTGGGTTGCCGGTTGGCCGGCCCCCAATGTGTGTGTGTGTGTGTATGTGTGTTTGTTTCGCTGATCGCGACGGTCTTTTAACGGGGAAACCTCGAGAGAACCTGGAAGGAGAGGTCTCGCTCGGTGTTACCGGCCCCACGCAGCATTCATCGTCTCCGCCCGCGGTCGAGCCCGGGGTTCCTCTCACCGCGCCCTCGGCGTGGGTTCCTCCCAAGTTTCCAAGCCCTTCCCGCTCGTGTGGCGATAAACACTTCCGCCCTAGGCATCGCGAGCAGGAAGCGAATACAAAAACTAGATTGCCTCCGCACGTGGACCGTCTGGTTGCCATATCAAAAGCACTCTCCTCCAGGCAGCGTTGGTCATGCTTGAACCTTTATAGTACATGGATCTGCTGAGACTTTCCTCCCTCTATAACCACCCCTTCGCCGACGACGGCTTCACGATTTGTTTGGCCCAAGAGAAGATGAGATGCTGGGCCGAGGGATATGGTCCATGTCAGAAGCCCGCACATGCTGCCACCACAGGACAGAAACGACCCCCTAGCCCCATGAAACACTCACGTGGTTACGAATCAGCGGCGATTTTATTCGTATTTTTTTTTTTTTGGATTCCGCCCAACTGGGTCATTCTATCCTCGTAGGCCTGCTGCACAGCGCAGCAAGCTAGTTATGTTCGTAAACCCTCCTGCCTCGTCAAACGCCGCCTGAATCCAGCTCGCACATCCAGGCAGGCCTTCTGCCGGCATAAAAATCAGCATCGTGTGTAGGTCCATGCCGACCCTCTCTTGCAGACTGAGCACAGGACAGCCAATGCAAAGACGATCTAAACTCCCTCCCGAGTGACCAAGTCCAGATGACGTCCGGCTCCACGAACGGCGCGCAACGCCTGCAAATGTGGTGAGCCACAAGTCAAAGTTTGAGATGTAATTTTACAAATCAACGCTGTTCCGCAGGGCTGTCTACGCAAGGTAACCAAGCTCGTCATCCTCCAGACGCTCCAGGTATTCCTTGTCCAACAGGATTTCAATGCACTTCTTGATGTCCGCCACCTTTGGAACGAACCGCGTTCGGATCTGGTTGATCGTCTCACTGACCAGCTGCTGATGCTTCATCTTCTTGCGAGCCTTCATGATACGAACGATCGCGGACTATATGACAAGTTAGCTGGGGTCAGATGCCGGATGAACTTGGCGCATAAACCTACCTGAAGCAGAAGCTTGCGATCCTCCTCGATGGTCTTGTTCGTCTCGACCTCCTCCTGCTTGGACTCTGACTTGGTTCCAATATTGAGGTTGACCCGAATCTTCTTGCTCTTGAATCCGTAGTTCAGGTGGAATGTCTTGCCCTTGGCAGGCTTGCCATCCTCGGGCGACATGGTAAGAATCTTGGCCTTCAAAAGGATCCCAAGGGCGGGATCCAGGCTCTCGGCGTTCATTTGCGTCGCCTCGGTGATTTCCTCATACGTGTTCTGGTCATTCTCGTTGAATAGTAGCAGGACCGCCATCTGGTACAAGGAGACTTGGTAGGTGTAGGGCGTCTTGCTGTTCTTGCAGTAGTTGGCTTTCAGCTCGCCCTTGCACAGTTGCCAGAGCCACGTCAGTTTCCGCCCCTCGTGCTTGTGCTTGTAAAATCTCGTGAACCTCTCAATGTCCGCCGCGATTTCGGCAGGGGGGTTGTAGGTTGTCGATGGAGGCGTCAGGGGCCAGAAACCAGTACCAAGGATGTTGTAGTATGAGTCTAGCAACGAAGAGTCTTCGAGACCGCTTGTGTGCTCCTTGAAGCCAGCGTTGAGGTCCTTGGAGATCTGCATGTCCTGGAACATTCGCTGCAGCTTGTTAGTGTACTCGAAGCCGCATGCTTCCTTCAATTTGCTGATCATGCTAGTCTCAGCGTCGTCCGAGGACGAGTTGCTGTGGACCAGCCGTCGAGCAAGCATCCGCGAGTAGAACTTCTGGAAAACATCCTTGTCCTCGATGTACTTAAAAACGGTCATAATCTGGCCGAGTGTCTCTTCCAACTGCGACTCCTCAACGCCAGTGCCGCTCTTGCGAAGCAGAACGTCTGTATACTTGGCGAGGAGCTCAGGGGACTTGTTGGACCCTGACTTGCACATGTCATTGCGGTTGACAAACTCGCGACAGGCATTGTCAAGTGATCTCGTAAACTCCGGTTCATCCCTGAACGCCCGCTTCACCAGCCCCTGATATTGGGCGTGAATCTCCAGAAGAGCGTCCACGTAGACCTTTGGCTCCAGCTTGTCGGCATCTTGTGCAACCTTGGTCACCGCAGCCAGACCAGCCCCTCGGACGTGGGCTTCAAATTTGGCACGAAGCGGGTCTAGACCGTTCTGGATCCTGGCAAGCAGATCGTACATCCTGGCCATGTCCTCCTCGCGGTCGTTCTCAAGCAGTATCTGGAACTCATCCCTTAGAAGATTGGCGTGGTCCTTAATCAAGGCATCATTGCAGGCCATCTTCAGAGACACGGCTATGTCTGGATGAAGGTACAGCTTGACGCGCTCCTCTTCCTCGTCCAGTCGAGCCACGGCCTTCTTCATGTACTCCACGACGCTATTCTCGGCAAGGAACTGCTTGCTCTCTCGTTGGTAGAAGGCTCTGGTTGCCTCGAGGAACGGTCGCTCAAAGTGGTATCGGTAGCAGTCGAGGGTCGTCTTGCTGGGGTCAGACGGATCCAAGCCAAGGGCTACGAACGAGTCAACGACTTGTTTGATCTGGTTATGCTCGATGGTCTCGCCGTTTCGTTGCTTCTCGACCAGCTTCAGGACCGCATCCATGACCTTCTCGTCAATCTTCTCGAAGAGGACGCCACGCCACTGCACAAGATGCAGGGTGTACACGTCGAAGATGTTCTTCTTGCCTTCGTCCATCTCCCGCTTGACCCAGTGCCGGTTCAGATATCGGAACAGGTGGTGAACGTATTTTCCAGCGTTGGTAAAGCGTTCCCACTCCTTGATGTAGTATGTGAGGAGCGCCTCGTCTGTGTGCTGCAGAGCTCTGTCCAGCAGGTCCTTGAGATGTTGATCGAGGTAGTCCATCAACTTCTTGTAGAGATCCTCGCCCAGGAGGTGTGCGCCCCTATGATTACCACCGAGGCTGGGCGATGCAGGCGCTGAGTTGGTCATGGGATGAGCCTTCTGCGACGTACAGAAGTTGTGGACGGCCGTGTAGATGCCCATGTACTGTTTTCGTGAATCGGACGCGTTAGTTATGCCACTTCAACGGCCGACAAGCCAGCTCGGCCAGTCGAGCAAAAGGTGGGAGATGCTTACATCGTCCATGGTCATTCCATTCTGAAGATCTGTCATAATCTTAGTGATGCCGGACGCAAGGTAGCTCCACGTATCCTGGATAGAATCGCGGTCGGGGCCCTTGGGCATCCCCGCGGTCGACCGCATTGTGGTCGTGGTAGAGCCACTTGGGGGCATCGTGAAAGGTGGCGATGCTTTGTCAAGACCCTGCTGTCGGGTGTGGGCCTTCTGACAGGATGGGAGGAGAGGCGGGGAAAGATGGTTGGTTGGGTGAGTTGCGAAGCGTCTCTGGCCGATGAAGAATAGTAGTCGAGTCAGAAAGTTGCTGGTCAAAGTCAGGTGTGCGGGATTCTTGTAGAAGAGGCGTGGATGTCACAAGTCGCGGGTTGAGTTGGGAAAGTCGAGTTGGTGACGTGAGGCGAAGTTGGAGGGGGTTAGCGGCAGTGAAATGGGAGCGCCCTCGTCTGGTGAGCCTGAAAATGCCCCCTCGAAGCAGACCTCGAAAAAGAAATGAAGAGACGGAAAAGCAGATGCGTAGAAAGAAGATAGACAATGCAAAAACGCTGTCTCGACCTGCAGTGGGAAGGGGTTTGATCGTTGTCGTCGGTGTTGGCCTCGTCACACGGGAGGCAGGAGGTAGAGGGAAAGGGAGTTTGTTGGTAGGTAGTGGTTTGATGCCTACAATGGGGCAGGGAAGGCGGTGGGTGTGAATCCATTGGCGACCTTGATCGAAGGAAGCCAGGGGTCGGGGGCCATGCTGCACAGGGCAAGCACCAAGACTGCCTAGCAGGTCAGCCAGCCAGCGGCTGAAGGGACTTTGATGGAAGGACTTGACTGCATTGTTGATGGCAGGCAGGGTCTGTGCTCCAGGCTGGCAGACCCACTCTTGACGAGTTCGCTCTTGAAATTCATAATGTGAACCTCGACTCAACTCAACTCACCCGAGTTTTATTCACAAATGAACTCATGCCAGTGAACCGAAGCCACCAGAAGCCCTTGAGCGCAAGATGATGCTCGTGCCAGGACACAGCCGTTTTGAGCAGTGTAGCACCGACGTTGTCTCATCGCTAGCCGGTGCAACCAAGCCATTGCTCAGTCACCGATTTCTGGCTCATCATAGATTAGAAATTGTATGATTGTCTTGTCTCCTGTACATTATGAAAGTGGTCTCCTGTCCTCTTCTCCTCCCAGTCTTCGAACCAACCTAAACACATTCACCGTGAAGTTTAGGATCCACCCGAACAGACCGAGAAGCAGGAACGAAGCCAAAGCCTTCATCTTGACATTCTGATCCCTAGGACTGTTATTGATATTCAGAGAGTCGAAAGCCAACGTGGTGCTTGCCGACTTGAATATGATAAAGAACAGATCCATCAAGGTGAGCGACACCTTCTGCATGGGCGATCGCAGCCCCAGCTGCAGGCCTCTGTACTCGTCCCATGTCATGTAACACACATATGGCATGACAATACAGTCTACCACAATAGCCACAATCCACTGAGAACGGAGCGTTGCCCCCGGACCACCCGCCCTATCGCTGTACAGCAGCCAGAGGTTGCCCGAGAAGGCGAGCGAGATGGCCGACGTCACCAGGACGAACAGCCTCAGCAGGGCAGGCACCAGCGGGTTGTTAAGAAGCAGGCGCCATACCTGCTCGTGCAGCGCCTGCCTCCTGCTCCTCCGTATCCGCTGCTCCAGGGTGTTGGGCAGGCGCGGGACACGGACGTCGTTGAATCCGGGCATCAACTCCTCGAGCTTCTCCGATTCGACATGCTGCGACCTCTCGCCGGGAATTCGGCCGTACTTCGAGGCCTGCACAAACCCAGTCCACGGCGATGTCGAGTCCGCATAGCGCATCATATGATTCGGGATGATCACCGGCTCGGCATTTCGAAGATGGTCCCACTTCTTTCCCCGTTGGGTCTGCCTTCTCCTCTTGATCGCCAGGTGCTTCTTCTTCAAGGGCATGGACGGTTGGGACGGTTCGGCGGCGTCCCATGCCACGAAGCCGTCCCTGGAAACCCTTCGTTTCGGTGGTGCCGGCGCATTGTTGTGGTCGGCTTGTGCGGTCTGCGGTGGTCTGCTTGGTACGGTCTGTTGTGGTTCTGGTGCAGGCGGGCCATTTGCCTCATAGGAAGCGATCCATGCTGCGCTGAGTTAGCCAAGGGTGGAGTCCTGGGGTGATGTGTGTTTCTGGGGAGGCTTACGAGGTAGACTTCGAAATCTGCCACAATTGGCTTCGACAGCAGTGCTTCCCGTCCCAGGGCGGAAGCTGTCCATTACAATAGGTCCAACGACCAGCCGCGGAAGGGGCGATATGGAGAGACAGGTTGGGTCGGACAAAGGGGCGTCGTTAAAGTCTTATGGCGCTTCCGATTCGCAAGGGGTGAAACACGGAGAAGTGATGTCTGTGATGTGTTTATAGGACAGTCGACCGAGGATCGACAATCTCTCTCTCTCTCTCACTCACTTCCTCTCTCTTTCTCTTTTTCCTCTACCTAGGTGTTGGTTGAGTGCACTAGAATCCCTGCGGGCGCGTCAAGTAAAGCCGGGATGATGCGACTTGCACATGCGTTGGGATTGGAAGTGAGTATCAGGGTATCAACAGGCGTTCGGAAGATCAGGAAGGATGCGCAGTAAAAGAATTATGAATTAACACAGCACGAAAAGTTCGAATGCAAGAAATGCTGCAAATGCGATCACACAGGTTCTGGTCCAGCAACGGGCGCGGGCCGTAAATGAGTCGTCGCTTGAATGGCCGCGACCTTGGTGGTGCTCACTGGCACCGACAAAAATAGGCGCGGCCCTAAATGAGATGATGACGGGGCGGTTGGTCAAATCCAGCGGACCGCGGCACAGGCCTGCCAACTCATCGTTTGGGTGACCAGCGCTGCAGGCGAGGCTGACTGCTTTGCTTGGTTGATCGAGCGAATGAAAGAATGCACGCAAGAAAGAAGGAAGGGATGGGAAGAGAAGGGAAGAGACGACGGCCGGAAAGCAGAAGCAAGCGAGTGGAATTGGCGCGCAGGAGAAGGACCTGGCGCCGCGAAATGAGGGAGGCTAGTCGGGTCGGCAGCGGTATCAAATGATGCGAGCGACTGGATGCCAATTTCAAGGTTCTCGCCTAGAATAGTGGACAGCAATCCTCATCCTACACTCGAGAGACCCACATGCGCGAGAAAAACCCCGCCATTGTTGCCGTGGTAGTGCGCTACCTTAGACGCTACCTCGAATAGACCCGGTGCTTAGGGGCAGCCTGCTGAGTTGGGCCAAATTGCCCCGGCAAAGCATGCAGATGTCCTGCGCCCGGCAGACCCACTGCTAACAGAGTGGCCGCAGCTCGAGGCGCATGTATCTCCCCTAGCCTGCAGGGACACGGGCCACCTAAAGCCACCCTAAACCATCTAAGCATCCACCTGTGCGTCACTGCTTGGCCGGGACTGGGATGGAGGGAGCTTGAATGCGAAAAAATTACAATGACAGGCCCAGCCAGGTCCAGATAACCTAGGCAGGTAGAGACCAGCATCCAAGCTTGTGTTGTGACGACAGCTTCTCGCAGGCCTCCCTCCCCCTCCCTCGCCGCCCTCCGATTTTCCAACCCGCTTTTGACACGCGTGTCGCCCGCAACCATGCTCTTCTTCTAAGATGGGACCCTTTCTACCTGCACCCAGGCTGGTTACTTGAATGACGGAATAGCTTTCTCTTTATCTTCGAGCCCCAGGAAGTCTTTTCTCGCCAGTCAGTGCCGTGGCCCGTCAGCTATAGCGCGAACCGCCGCCAAAGATGCGTATCTTCCTCCTGCCGATATCGACGCGTCGAACGCTCCTGTACGCGCACCGCCTCAATGCTGCGACCACCTCGCAGCAGGCGAAGCAGTCATTACTGGAAAGGATACAATCCAAGGCTGCCAAAACGTGGGCGGGCTGGGAGCAGAAGGAGTCAGGATGGCAAAAGACCGTCGTCGGCTATGGAAATGAGGCATTGAAGAGAATACCCTACGAGGAGTGGGCCTTGAAGTCCGTGCCGCCTCTGTCGACAAAGCGCAAGGACGACGAGCTGCGGGGCGACGACAAAGTAGAGGTCATTTACCCCAGGAAACTGGTATCGGCCGACAAAGTTACCGAGGTTCTTCATGCTTTGGGCACGGAACGTGAAGCTCTACACCGGCGAAGGCTCATCTGGTGTCTTGTCGGAATGCCGATAAGTGCTCCATTCGCATTGGTTCCAATGTACGTGCTATTGCCTGTACTATCGTGTGTGTGAAGTCTTTACTAACGAGGGCGGGCTAGAATCCCGAATATCCCCTTCTTCTATCTCGTGTACCGTGCTTGGTCACATTGGCGCGCCCTCGCCGGCGGGAAACACATCCAGTTCTTACTTCAGAACAAACTCCTGATTCATACCCCGTCTCCCAAACTCGATGAGGTCTACTCAGAGCAAGAGCCACCGCTGCCATCAACTCCTGAAACCACGACCACACCAGGAGAACCCAAGAACAAAAACCCAACGCTACCCAAGAACGCCCAGCCGGAAGGTGGTGAAACGATGCTGCTGTCCCAGGCCAATGGGAAGATAATGACGCAGGCTTTGGACCTGCCTCAGCTCGAGATCGAGCTCGAGCGAGCGATATGGCAGGTGGAGACCGCCATCGAGAAGCAGAATGCTGAACGCAGCGCCTCGAAGAAGGACGATCCAAAGTCGCAATGATCTGAGGTGGCCAACGATATTATGTTATAGTACGAATCGGAAATGGTGTTATGATAGCATGGGAAACTCGCAGGGCAGAGCTGGCTGGTACCGTGCGTTTGGAGCTGGGACCTTCGGGTCGAATCCCACTCAAGTCCTCATCTCAAGCGATGATCTCCACACACAAATTCAAATCCGCTTCTCGATTCCCATTCTCCCCCGACTGGCATTGTCAAATCTGACGAGCAAGGTAGTGACCTCTTAGTGAATCGAACCCGACGATGGTGAGGAACGTTGAGCAGACACTCAAGAGGCTCAAGATGAGGACGATTTGCAGCCGGTGCCGGGCGGATGAATCCTGCTGGAGCATGGAGAAGTCACTGGCCGCCTGCCTCTCCACGTCCGAAAGCCAGCCGTGCCGAACGTCGCCGACCTTGACCACCCGGAACATGGTGCCGGTCTCTGTGTGCGTCTCCGGGGGTGTCTCCACCGTGGTGACGGCCAAGCTGGACCCCTTTGCCGATGAATCGCAGATCTTGGTGCAGATCACCGTGCTCGCTTCCTTGGGGGGTGGTGAGCAGGCTGTCGAGCGCTCATACGCAATGGCAGCCTTACGACGCAGAAGTCGCTCCGTGGGGGTCTCGGTGGTCTTCCTCCTGACCGGCCTGAGTCTCGTAGAACGGCGGTTCTGTCTCCTAAGCTCCTTGTCACTGCAGTAGGTTGGGTTTAATGGTGACGAGGCGCTCGGAGCGTACTGTTGTGCTGCTGCTGCGATAAGGGCGGGGATGATGTTGTCTTTAGCACACATCTCCGGGTATCCCGTCCTGTCGACGTCGTTTTGTGAAAGGTTTTGAGACATGTTGTATTGGCTCGTCTCCAGCATTGCAGAGTTGATTGCGAGAATCATGAGGAGCGTCAAGAAGAATGGACGAAGAGGCGGGGCTCACTGAAGAGGTCGAGGGGGCGGAGGAAGGGAGGAGCAATGTAGTATGAGACAAGTCACGATACAATGTCGCACTTGTGTCTACTTGTGGAATCTACTCGGGCGGGATGGCAGGAATGTGGAATCCACAAGGCCAAAAGGGAATGAGCCCATGCCCGTTTTGTTTTGTTTTTATCACCACCCTTGACCCGAAATCTTGGGGATGGCCGGGGCCTGCTCCTTCTCGACAATATGTACAAGGTTTCGCGAAAGTGCAGACAGAGTGCCGCATGCCAAGTTCACCACGTAGTCGCCCCAATACAATCGTGTGCGGTCCACAGAATGTCTCAGTCAAGGGGAAGGTGGCTTCTGCCACTCCCTGTCAAGTCGCTCATCACATCTAACCTAATTTCGACTCGACGGGCCAGATTAATCTATTCAGATGACGGGCCGCCTGTTCAATCTCGGGGGTGAACTCCCCTGGCCGGGGTTGTGTACGCACTGGCCAGCTCTCGGTCCCTTCAATATGGGCCACGCTCCCAGGCTCGCCCCATCGCCCTGTCCTATACATGTATTTGTGCTGACAGGCTGACCACCTGCACGCCAAATGCTGCCAGGAGAATGTGTGCACGCTGCACAGTGGAAGCCGTGCATTTGGTTCCTGAATTGCCGTGGATAAGTGGGCCGCATCCCCTCCCCGAACGCATACCTCCGACGCTAGACCTGACTGACGGCTGTAGAGGGCAACCGTTTCCCGGCGGAGCTTCACACCGCTCACCGAACTCCAGTGAGCCCCGATAAGTGGGTGTTGCATCAGGTTGACAAGCCACTGGCCCCAGAGGCGGAGCCGAGCCGCCCGGGGAGTAACGGTGCTGGTTACCCTCGTGCCATCAGACGCTGTTCTGGCTGGATGTGGATGCTACCTGTCCTGGCCCACGCCTGAGACGGAAGGTGTCCAAAGGCAGACGGACCTTGGGCGCCTGAGCCGATGGGACGGGGAGGGACAGCTCCTCGCGAGGTGAGCAGATAGCGTCGCCCACCTCCACGACGGGGGGGGGGGACATGACATGGCACGCTCCCAATGGAAATACCTCAGTCCCATGCACTGAAGCGAGTCAAACCCACAGGCTCAAATCGAGGGTGTGATCGTCGACAGACCCTCAGCCGGGACAGGGCCAAGACGGTCTCCTATTGATCCAGCGGACACACACGGTCCGGACGGGCGACAAGGCCGTCCCCAAGGCCGTCCCAAGGCCCCGAAACGAGAGTGCACACAAATCTTCCCCCAGTTCGGCGAGACCGGAAGGGCTTGTCCATCTATCTAGATAGGGCTGCCAGCGTCGCAGGCGGTGGTGGTTGGCACCCACAGCGACTCCGCCTGATCGCAAGCGGGAATCGGCCCACCGTGGTGTAATGATACTGTAGATTTGCCCTTCACCGCAGCCCGCCCGCGGGGACGTGTGCTGTTCGTGGACCAAAAGGAGAGCAACTTTTCGTCCCGGCTGCGGAGGTGTGTCTGACCACGCAGGCAGGCCCTCACGGGGCAATTCAGGCACGGCGTTCTCAGTGCCCTGTCGCCGGATCACGGCGTCCATTGGTGGCTTTTCATATCGATATCGTTACGCCATGGCTCTACCACGATCTATCTCATGGAGATATGCCGTGGCTATTCTTAGGCGTCATCTTGAAATAAAGAATCTCTCCCAAGGCCGGGTACCTAAGGCCATTAGTCCATTCCATGTCACACATCCACGCAAATGATTCTTGCTCCATTCTTTCCGGGAAACAGAGATCATGGCATTGGTCATTATTGACACCAACGCTTTCTTGATGTGGGTTGCAGTAAACTCTTCTTTTCCATTGCCGTGATCTAAGTGGAGGCTGTGAATAATGAAATACTCCTACAACTCCACGAACCACTGCCATGTCAGTGTACCATCTGACTCCTGCCTCGAACTCAGAATTTACTAGAAATAAGGCCCAGGGGAAGAACACCTCAGAATTACGGTCTATCCGCCCCGTCCTGCAAAATCAACGCCAAGAAACTATCAAGCTGTGGGTATGAGGCTTAGTCATAAGACACTGGTACAGCAGTGGCCGCACGCAGCCCCGACCCTGATATGAGTGCTATGGCGACTTGCTGAGTGGCGCGCATCTGCGGAGCGAATAAGTCGTGATTTGATATGCAGATCTCGTTCTGCACTTGACATCCCTCATCGCGAGTCGCAACTACCAGCAAATCAAATCTGACCATTTATGATGCGGCCTGCAAAGCCTCTGCAGGGTCCTCTGTGGGTGCAGGTATTTCTGTGGTCGTCTCCATCGGCACGTCCATGGGAGCTTCCATGGGGGCCTCCATCGGTGCCTCGCCCGATCCCTCGGTGACACCCTCGGTGACAGCGTCGGCCGGAGCTTCGGCCGCAGACTCAGTAGCAGCCTCGGTGGCGGGCTCTGGTGCAGACTCTGTGGCAACCTCCGGCGCGATCTCTTGCACAACGTCTGTAGGAAGCTCTGTCGGTATCTCAGCCGTAGCATCCGTGGGCGCCTCTGCCAGAAGGTCCTCCTTCAACGCGGCTTCTGCATCAGATGCCTCCGTCATGCGCATCTTCTTTGCACGGCCATTGTCGTGGAACTCGAGTGACTCCTTTGCCTCCCTTCAGCTCCAGCTCCATCTCGTCCAGTCGTCGCTTCATGCTGTTCTCTCGTCGGTGGCTTTCGTCAAGTTGAGAGCGGAGCTGGGCTTCCGATGCCGCGAGCGACTCGAGCTGAGCACGCAGCTGAGCCTCGGTCTGCGCGGCATCGTGACCTCCGTCAAGTCCATTACCAGCAGCCGGGCCGGCGCCGCTGCCGTAGGTCTCGTAGTGCTGAAGGCGACGCTGGATCAAGTCGTTGATGACTTCCAGCTCGTCGATGCGAGTCTTCAGGCCCGAGTTCAGGGCGAGAAGTTCCTCGGGCGTTTGTGGCACGCCCTCACCGTTCATAGGAGAGGGCACGCGACCGTTGCCCGGACCTGGGACGCCAAAGCCAGACAAGGGCTGCTGCAGGTGGTGCTCATCGAGGCCGTGGTACAGCATGTGTCCGGCGTACATGTTTGGGGTCGCGGTCCGCGATATGGGAGAGTTGGTGTCGTCGATGTGGCCATTGCCAGCCTTTTGCGAGGTTCTTCGCACGCCGAGGGCAGCGGCAGCAGCGTTCTGGGCCTGGAGATCAGCGACGTTGGCATCAGAGGCGACAGCCTGGTTCTGTTGGGAGGGAGGGAACGGAACATTAGCCTCGCCGGACTCGAGAAGCGTTCTGTTAGGTAGGCAGAAGAATGGGTCGCGCACCTTCTTCTTCATGTCCATGCCCGGGCGCATGGTCTTGACGCGGTTGCGGCTCTTGATAACGTCTGTCTTGAGGGAAATGGGCCTTGGCCGGCCGTGCAGCTTGAGGAACAAGCCGCAGGCGTTGCAGAGGACCGCGCCGGACTCATCGCGACGCCACAGAGGAGTGGTTGAGGTCTGACAATTCTGGCAGATGGGCTGCGATGTTTGTTGGTCATTATTAGCCGCCATGGAGGCCATCATGGTTGGGAGGACTGCAGCAGCGCGCTGCTTGAGACGAAGTCGCTGCGAGATGGGACGGAATGGTATCGTAGCGTATCGGGTCTATCGTGAGATGCAGGTAGGGAAAAGGGAATGGGCTTGTTGATAAGATCTCGGGTGCCAGAGATAAGAGACTTTTGAGGACGGGAGAAGTTTTGGGGGGGAAGAGCCAGAACCCGCCCACAGGCCAACAACCCAGTTTTTTTCTCCCACTAGCGGGCGATCCCACCCGAGCCAAAGCCATGCTCCCATGCTCCAGCCAATCAAAGGATGCGCTTATTATCAGCACCGGCAGTCTACACCCTGCACCTCTTTTTTTGGTGAATTTTTTTCTTGATCGCTTCATCTCCCTCTGATTGTTTTCCGTGACGCGTGGCGCGAGGATGCAACGCTTTACTCCGTAGCACATGAGTGCAATGGCGTGCGGTGCGGATGACAGTGGTGCGAAGATGAATGAAAGTAAAATGTGACTTACGAGATTCCCACCTGGGCCGGCGCTCGTCGCAGCCGGCGCTGTTGCGGGCGTCGAGTACATCGTGGACGGCGTACTTGTCATTGCTCTGCAGTGCAGGAGACCTGTTAGCTAGGGCTGAGTTGGATGCTCATGGAAGATTGGCAGAAATGACAGCGTGCGCCTCGGCCGAGTGCGGGTCTGAAGGGAGCGAAGACCGAGCTTAGATCGAGGTGGTGGCACTTGCGCGCGTGTGTAGAGCGAGGCGCGTTCACATCTCATCCCATCCCGTCTGAGCTGTACCCGGGCGAGGCTGAATGCCTGGCGCCAGCCCGCCCCGTCCAAGGTGTACTTTTGATGGCCACATATATTTGCACTGAGGGTATCCACCTACCTCATCTGTGGTGGGCTCGACGTCGAAGTTGCAGCGGCGGCAGCAGCTGCCGCAGCCGCAATCGACGAGATGCCCGGGAGCTGTTGATGGGAGTGAGAGGCCGTGGTCGAGGTCGAGCTCGGTCGCGATATCGGTTCGAGGGTCGCCGGCGGTGGCAGGCCGCCTTGGCCTTCTTCCATCTTGACCCGAGGGGAAAAGGTCAAGGGCTGCAGCCCAATATATAGGTGGTTGTGATCGGGCGGAGGTGTCAGGCAAGGATGAGGCACAGGTAGAGGGAGAAGCAATGGAGAGCGAGTGGAAGCCAGCTTGGCGACGGGCAGGGAGGTCGCGGGGGAGAGGATTGCTCGTCGGGTTCGGGGTTCAGCGCCGGAGCCGGAGTCGGAGCACTGCTTTCGTGTCTTGAAGACGACGGGCGCCAACCTGTCGAGTTGTTGGGCAGTAGAATGTCGTTTGAAGGGTCGCGGATATGCCCGAGGCGAGACGGCTCGATGCTGACCAGGGGACCCGCGTCTGGGACAACGCGCGATGGACGGCAGAAGGAGGAGCGAGGAGCGAGTGACTCGAAGACGGAGGGGCAACCGAATAGATAGACAGCCACCAATAATACTTCAAAACATTACAACTGGATGGACTAATGTAGTTGACTTGCAGGTAGAGAAACGCTTCAGAGACAGAATACAGACACAGACAAGAGAGATTGAGAGATAGAAAAGGCGTTGCAAAAGCTCAAATAGCAAGTAGTAGACGAGGAAGAATACCCATCCAGACGTGTCAGCCACCGACCGAGCGGGCAAATTATTTCACAATCGGCAAAAGGCAGAACCCCCCCGGACCCTGGCCAGAGCAGACCGAGCCCCTGATTTCTGCGTACTACTAGTACTTGGGCAATGTCGTGTTGGCCGGATTCTGGCTCGAGCTCGAGCTCCAAGCTCACCCTTGCCCTCACGCACTGTACTGTGTATCTTTAGGAGAGCGAACTTGGTGCTACTTGTGCGGTGCGCGCAGACCAGATAGGTACGGAGTGGCCGTCTCAGTGGCCATCCCTTGAAGGCGAACCCAGCAAACAGAGTTGTGGCGGCGGGCAGGACTGATAGACTGATACTGTACGAGACTTTGCCACGGACCAAGACTAGTTGCACAAGACACAGCCTCTGCCTTCTCAAATTATCAAATTTGGGGGACGGAACTCGGTGTCTCGTTCTTGCATGCTCCTGCTGGAGATACCGGCCCCCATGGGAGGCTGCTGTAGGAAAGGGAGTGATCAGCCAAGCATTTGCTCCATGGAGACTTCTATATCGGGAAGCGGTGGAGGTGAGAGCTTAATTTGGATCTTTCGCAAATCAAGAACCACGCACCGTAGGACCCAGGTGTAGAGTACAATGACAAGCCGCATGCAGGCACAATCTACGAGGTGCCTCGCCATGACTCCAGAAGCCAGTTGGGAAGAGTGTACGCTCAACCTGCGCCTTGACAGACACGATGTTCCTTGCTGGGCATGCTCAGGCACTTGCGCTTCCTACTGCACACTATACGAAATCGCACGAAATCGGGAACAGATGCATGCTGGATGAGTTTCACAGGCCGTCGTCCTGGAGCTTTTTGGACGGGACGGGAAGCTTGCCGAGTGGTGGTTCGCGAGGTCGACATGGGGCCAAGCGGCAAGTACCTAAGTACCTAAGTATCTACGTACCTGTCTGACAAGGTACCCGCCGCTTGGGGGATTTTGCCTGCCGGCCTGGGACCAAAAAAAAAGAGAGAGCCCAAACAATTTTGGCGATCAACTCTAGCTTCAATTGTCTGCCGTCCGTTGCAAATTTACACCACACTCAAGCGTACACCCTTCCCGCTGGGAATATCAGCCAGAATGTCGACAAAGCACGAGAAAGACAAACCGTATGTAATGCTTTGCCAAGTATGAGGTTCCAAGTTGCTGACGACGCCTCTCTAGGTGGGACACGGAAGACATTAACAAGTGGGAGATCCCTGCCTTCAAACGAGAAGACAATGCCGGGGGGACTTTCGCAGAGGAGTCAACTTTCACGGTTCTCTTCCCAAAATATCGTGAGGTCTATCTGAAGGAAGCAGTCAGTTGCACCGCCCTCGACACTAATCCCGTAGCCTCCCTTCGTGAAGAGAGACTGACCAGAGATTGACCAGTGGCCCCTCGTCACCCGAGCGCTCGAGAAACATGGCATCGCCTGCACTTTGGATTTGGTGGAGGGAATGATGACCGTCAAGACGACTCGAAAGACATTTGACCCCGCCGCCATATTGAATGCGCGAGACCTCATCAAGCTGCTTGCGCGAAGCGTGCCCGCCCCTCAGGCGATCAAGATCCTCGAAGATGGCGTGGCATGCGACATCATAAAGATCCGAAACCTGGTCGGGAACAAGGAGAAGTTTGCAAAGAGGCGCCAGCGAATATTGGGTCCCGGCGGATCCACCTTGAAAGCGCTGGAACTGCTTACATCGACATACGTCCTAGTTCATGGCAACACCGTCAGTGTGATGGGCCCGTTCAAGTCGCTGAAGGAAGTCCGCAGGGTCGTCGAGGACTGCATGCACAACATCCACCCGATTTATCTAATCAAGGAGCTCATGGTCAAGAGGGAACTGGCCAAGGACCCAGCGCTGGCGAACGAGAATTGGGACCGGTTCCTGCCAAACTTCAGGAAAAACCTGAGCAAGAGGAGAGTTCCGCACAACGTTGTCGACAAGAGCAAGAAGACGTACACGGCGTTTCCTCCTGCGCCCGAGAAGAGCAAGCTGGATCTCGAGATCGAAGATGGCACGTACTTCATGGGCAAACAGGCAAAGGAGCGAGCTGCGAAGACTGAACGGGAAGAGAAGGCCAGGCAGAGGAAAGAGGAGAAGAAGCGGGAGCGGGAGCAAGAGTTTATTCCACCAGAGGAGCCGGGTTCGAAACCAAAGAAGAGGAAGAAGAACAAGGAAGCCTCGGCTTGAAGCTTCAGGCCTCACTTCTCGGTCGGTGCCTCGACCACCCATACGATACCCGGTCAGATCGCAGACCAAATGTAATTTGATGGCTTCACAAACGACCTTTACCAAAAGACTGCTCGACAGGACAGCAGTGTACGTGAGGTGTTTATGAAAGACTATCTGCAAGAAGTGCGGCTGCAGACCTTACAGTTTCGAACTCGAAGCGGCCCCCGAAGAAATATCGATGACCAACTTGCCAAACTGCTTGCCGTCCTTCATGTCGGCGAAGAGCTCGTCGATGCCGTCCAAATTCTTCAAGCCTTTTGCCACCCGGCTTATCACGGGTTTCAGGAGCGGCCGTTCCCTGACGAAGGCCACCATGTCCCTAAACTCCGCCCTCGAACCCATGGTGCTGCCTCGCAATTCGACGTTCTTCAAGACGGCTTGCATACCCCACGGCATGGTCGGCGCGGTGGTCATGCCGTACTGGGAAATGATGCCTCCCGGCTTGAGCAGCTTGGTCGCCCTCGCGACGATGTCTCCGCCAGCCCCGTCGATGACGGCATCTAAGAAAGGTCTCTCCTTTGGCAGGGCTTTTTGCAGCTGCTTGTCCCAGTCCTTGTCCCGGTACGACACGCCGCCCTTGGCGCCCAGCTTCACGGCTTTCTCGATTTTGGCCTTGTCACCACTCGTGACCCACGCATTGCAGCCAAGCTCGACGGCAAACTGCAGCACTTGTAGAGCAACACCCCCACCAATCCTGTTCACCGTGTTAGTAAACCGTCACATCCTTTGATGGGCTACAATCAGTCTCATGAGTAACTCGAGCCGTGCAAGTGCCTATACTCTTGAGGCTTTGCTTTAAAATCACTGGCGCGGCTCGGAAGTACGCCATTGCAAGCGAAGAGACTCGTGACGCAGCTGAGAGAACCCCGGGATATGCTGCGGCATGTGAAAACGGTCAGATGGGGAAGCATGGCAAACACGCACCCCGTGATAAGAATGTTGCGGCCACGGCTCGCGTTCTCCCCCGTCTTGGTCACCAGGGCCCTCCAGCCCGTGAGGCCCACGAGCGGAAGCGCTGCTCCCTCGATGGCTGACAGGTGCTCTGGCGCGATCTCGACGTCTTCCTCGCTGCAGACTATGTACTCCTGTGCAGTTCCCGCATCGTACATTGCAGTTCCGCCAATGACGCTTCCTATTGTGTCAGATCGCATGTTTAAAAGAAATCAATGGGTGCTGAAGAGAATGGGCCAGAGTAGAAAGGACAAGAGAATAGAACTGCGTACCTATATTTCTTGATATCTTCAGGCCCGTCCGGGTGTGCGTCCCAGCCTCGTGCTGGGAAGAGAAGAACATCCTTGTCCTGAAGGTTGCGAACACATTGCGGCCCAGATTGAATCACCGTCCCGTGGCCGTCTGCCAGGAGAGGGTGCTCGAAAGAGATGCCCGGGTAGAGTTGCTGGCGGACGAAAAGGTCACGGTGGTTCAGGGCCGCGGCATTGAGGCGAATGAGGACTTCCTTTGGGCCAGGAGAGGGCTTGGGTACTTCTTTGAGTTGGAGGCTGTGGGGGAGTGAGCATTTGGTATTGCATTTGAACGGTTCTTATTTCATGTAAGAGCTTACGGGTAGTACACCTTTCCTGGCTTCCCGTCTATCTTCTTGACTGTTAATGCGACAGGCATTTTTGGCTGTGTGGCTGGGTTGGCAATGTTTCCTCTCAATCTTGTTGCCGGATGTGGGAATTGCGAAAGTTGCTTTGCGACCAGACAAAAGATAAAACCAAGTGAGATAGTCTACATGTACCAAGCCAATGAGATGGAATGACGTCTATGCAAGGAGAATGATGTTCACATCTCAAGTACCGGAGCTACAGAAGCATGAGCCACTCACTCCCCGCATTTCGGTGCCGATGAGCCTCGGCTTATGTGCCGCCGGAGCGGCCGGGAATGCTGGGAGGGAGAACCGGGGCCGGATGACAGGAAGAAGCAAGTACACAGAGCCTGGTCGATCCTTCGATTTTGCCATCTACACACTACGGACGCCTGCACTGAACGCGTAATTCTATTTCCGTTGCTTGAAGACAATGAGCCGGGCGTGAATCAATCCCAGTTGATCACGTCGAAAGCTTCGACACAGCGATAGCAGCCGCAAAGGTAGCAAACATCGACACAAAACTCGCGACGGACATCAACCCCATCCCGCTGATACCATGTCCCGATGAGCACCCGCCGCCCAGCCTGGAGCCGACGGCCATCAGGAAGCCGCCCCAGAACGCCTTCCACGGGGCTACGTGAATCGTCAACGCGCCCGGCGCCACCGCGAGGTCAGGCCTCTCCCGGACCAGCAGCAACGCGCCAGCCATCGTGGACGCAGAGAAGACCAACGTTCCGGTGGCAGGCCGCGGGCCCTTACCGCCCTCGATAAGGTACAGGACCCAGTCACCCACGTGCTCGTAGCAGGTCGACACGCCGACCAGGGAGCCCCTCGCCAGCAGCGAGACCAGCTGCGCGGCGCCGATGACCAGCCCGCCCGCGATGGGCTGCAGCGCAGAGGGTGCCGGGACGGCCTTGCCCGCGACCGTGACCACGATTGCGCCCAGGAGGACCTCGTAGAACACGAAGGTGGCGGCGCGCCCCGTGCCGAAGAGCTAGGCCAGCGACTTGGGGCCGGAGCTCCCGGCCGCGCCCTTCCCCCTGGCAGCCTGCCGCCGCAGCTGGGCGGCCACCCACGGCCGCAGCAGCGCCGACCAGAACAGGCCGCCGACGATGGCTCCCGCGAGGGTTGTCTTCGCAGAGGGGACCCCCATCGCGACCTGTGGGAACACCATGCCGGGGCACGAGGCCGCGAGGGACATGCCGGCGCCGAGGAGGGCGCCGCCGATGAGGTTGCCGTCGAGGGGGAAACCCAGGATGCCTGCGGGCGAGTAGGAGCGTGGTGGAGGGACTTGAAACCCCAGATCTTGGAGGACGTGGACGGCGAGGCTGGACGGACAGTCAGCCATCCAGTCATCCATACATTGGCATGTGTCACCTGCTGTTTATGATCGTGAGGGAGGACGAAGACCGAGGGAACACTCACGCGCTGCAGCCTGTGGCTGTGAGGAAGGTCTGCACCATGTTCCACCTCTGCAGCGTGAACTGCGAAGCGATCAGGAATGGCGAGTACAAGCCCGAGGCGACGAGGGCACCCCCAAAGGCCAGACCGGTGGCGATTATTTCCAACATTTCTTTGTGCTGCATGTGTGTGTAGTTGCAGTGTGTAGCCGTTGAGTGGATCGGCTGACTTGAGTAGCTCTTGAGAAGCTGGCTGGAGTTGTTCAAGACTGGAACCTCTGAAGCCGCAGAAAACTCGACGGGGTCGAGGCTAATAAGTGTCCTGTCCAAGCATGGTCGCCGGACCACTGACGGTTGCGGCAACCTCGAGCCAGCTATTCTTTGACCCGGCAGCCGCGGCGGAAGGGCCGGCGGGTGGAGCTTTCCCACTACAACCTTTGTAGTCGCAGTTACAACGACGAAACGACAAGAGCCAGGCCGGGAGTCCTGAGTGCCCGCCCCTTTGCCGGGTGAACACATCACGAAACCAAATGCCGGTACACACCTGGGTACGCAGGGCATAGAGGGCTCATTCGGGAACTTGTTAGAAATCACCAGAGCCGAGAGAGACTGACCGTGACAAGCAACCCACGTCCAGCCGACGACCCACCACAAAGACTAAAATGCCACAGCCCGTCCCGTGCGGTTCGCCGACCCGGGGACGTTTGGGGGCCAAGCAGGTCCGCCTCCCGCTGGTCCCGCTGGTCCCGCTGTCCCCCGTTCGGCGACCTCGACGAAAGTCAAATCGTCCCTGCTAGGGATCCATCCATCCATCCATCCATCCATCCATCCATCCACCTCCAGTCAGTCACGAGGTTGCAACGCCCGCCCCGGCCTCGGCCAGCGCGGACGCGATGTTCGCCATGCACTGCTCCGCCTGCTCCGCCACGTCGGCCGAGATGGCCCCCGTCTTGTAGTCGTAGCTGTTTGTGTGTGTGGCGCTCAGTGTCAGGGCCCCGTGACGCTTTTGAGGATTTTGGCTGGTTGGTGGCGGTGTTCTTGGGACCAAAAAGGTAGGGAAGGAGGGTGACTCATTAGCCAGCTTTCAGCTGGCTGGGCTCACTTACCCTGTGCATCCCGACACGAACACAAAGTCGCCGTCGACAACGGCCCTGGAGTAGCCGATCTCGGCCTCGAAGGCGCTGCCTGAGCCGATGAGCTGCCGCGAGGCTGGAGGGGGGGGGGGCATTGTGAGGCCTTGATGGGGCGCTGGGATGAGAATCTCGAGGTTGACTTTACTTTGACAAGGGTGACTCTAATTAGACTCCTGCCGCTTTTGACGTGCGTGTATGGATCACCACGTGGCTCTGTGGCACCTGAGAATCCTGGGCGTTGGAGTTCCTGCGGCTTGGTGAGACCAGGGTCAATTTGAACAAGAGACGGGTGCCTAGGTAAGTATCATGGCCGGTGTTTATAGTTAGATTCCCAACGGTCTCTGCTCCGGTCCTGGGCATTGCGTACAAGTATCCACTCCCCCAGCATCAAGCACCTCCGTAATCATTCCCTTCGCCATACAACACGGCGCTAAGACTCTTCTGCAAGTTGTTACAATAGCTGATTGGTCTAGAACCATACAGCTTACCACTACTTGTTGCTCCATCAGCCAGAGTCATCATCCCGCCCTCTTGAGCACACACACGCCAAACCCACGCGTAGGGGTAGGTCGATATGCTTCATCATTAGACCAAGTCTTACTTCTGTATACCTGCTTATAATCAACCCTCAAAAAGGGCTACCTTTGCAGGATGCTTGCTGTCTGGGCGGATGTCCACCTGCTCAATAGTAGCCCACCTATATAGGCACGCCTAGCTTTTCTCTTTTCAATATCCCATCCATACTTTGGGCGTCCCAAGCCTTGCCTCTAAACTCCAGGCCAGGCCCTGAAATACAAACAAGCAACAACTCCTAGCAGTCGTTCGGTCTCCGTCACCATCTCACCCCTTCTTCTCACACATGTCCCTGCAATTTCCTTTATTGAGAAATTGCAAAGCACGGCTCTATCACCCCAGCATGGAATGCGTCCGGATGGCCTTTGGACCGAGTTCACTGCGGCAGATAGTTAGCAGAGTGTCCAAGTATGGTAGCATGTATCCCTGGGCGAGTTCGCAAAGGGGTAGGAACTTACTTAAAATCCACACGGTGCAGGCTCATGGACCTCTGTGCCTCCAGCCCCATCGCATCAAGGTTGTGTACGCAGAACACCAGGCGGGCTGCCACCAGCGAGCCGAGGAACATGGCCTCCTCGAAACCGTGTTTCGTCCATTCGGCCAGGTATGTCGGCATTGCCGCCAGCTTGATCGACGTCGGCGTCTGGCTGTGGAAGTGGTGTGACATGTGCGGCGCTGACCCGTCGCCCGACGCAGATCCCGGCGCGCCACCGGGCGTGGATACGCCAGGGTGCGGCGTCTGCTGCAGCGACGCTGCCGTCGTGGCTGCCTGCAGCAGCGGGTTGACGCCCGACGAGGCACCCGTGGGCATTGTGTGCGGCGGGCCTGTGAAGCTGCCCGTTGGCGTCTGCGACCCCGTCCCGGCGGGCGTTGCCACGTTGGAGGGCAGCTCCGACGTGAACATTGTCGCACTACTAGGCGAGATCAGGTGCCGCAGCGTCAGGGTCTGCAGGATGTTGTCTTTCAGCCCGCGGATGCGGCTGCCGTTGCCCACGAAGACAATGTTGTCCCAGCAGCCGGGCCGCATGTACATGTCGCCAATCTCCTGCACGGCCCGATAAATTGTCGTGGCAATCCGGTCGATCTCGGCGCGGTCCGCAAATGTGAATCTCTCCAGGCCGATCTCGATATCCTTCTTGATACGCTTCGTCTGAGGTTCTGAAGACGCAGCCGTTGCGGGCGCCGAGTCCGGGGGCGGCAGGAAGTTGTCTACTTTGAAGGCATCACCACTCGGTTGATCCCCGGCCGGTTTCTCTGCTTCGCCTGCTGGCGCTTCCACTTTCGGCTCCTCGCCATTAGCTGGTGGTACGGCACTCTCTTTCTCCTGATCGGCTGCCTTTGCCGGCGGGGGTGCCGGCTCCTCGTGGACGATCTCTTCGTAGTGGAACACACTCTTCACCCTCTTCGAGTTGGGCAATCGCGAGGGTTTGTTTGCATCCACGGCATCCTGACCCTTGCCTTTCTTTCCTGCCTTTGCCCTCTCCTGTTTCTCCTTCTCCTTCTTCGCTAGGAATTCTTTCGTCTGACCACTCGTAACGATGTTTGCAATGTCAAGGACACCATCCTGATCGGGACCCTTGTCATCTCCGGTAACCCCATCCTCAGCATCCGCACCCACAGGCAAGTCGCTCGTTGTGCCCGCCGCCGCTTGGGCAGCAGGTTGGCCCGTGGGTGCTGCTGCAGTCTGCTGGCCGGTGCCACTCGCCGAGGGAAGCTCCATCAATCCAGGCTGATCCGCCGCGTATGGCAGAACCTCACAGATCTGACTCTTCTTCAGCTGTTCGGCCATTTCATAGGTGAACCCCTTGTCCTCGAGCAACTTCTTGAGCTTGAGGGTGAACGCCTCGCCCCCGGAGATGGCCGCCTCCTCGTCGCTTTCTGGAGTCGTCAAGCCCACGTCCTTGTGGCTCACGACCCTGTTATCATGTATACAGGTCACGTCAACCTTCTGGAAGCCAATGTCGACGACCGTCATGGTCGGCCACCGTAGTCCGTATTGCGTCGCGACGCCGCTGTGAATGAGGCAGAGTGCCGGTGTCTTGGTCTTTTCGAAGACATAGCGCGCGATGGCTTCGCAGTCAGGGCGAGTCCACTGGGGCGACGCCATGAGCGTGATGGGTGTGTTGTGGTAGGTCGTGGTCAGCATGCTGTGGACGTGGTCCAGGAACGCGAGGAAGGCGTCCATATCCACGATACGACCGCCTATGCAATAAATCAGGCGTGTAAGTATGAGCGATAGCATTTACTGGGCGCCAATTGAAGCGCAGCAACAAGACTCACCTCGGATGGGGTACACGGCGCCCTCGCTAGAGTCGGGGTCCTCGACGAATTCGTACTCGTCCTCGGACTTGACGCCGTCAGCGGCCCCGGCCTGCGCGACTCCATTAGATCCAAGGGGGTTGTTCTTCTTCCTCTTGACGGTATGGTATGGCCTCCATGCCCCGTTCTGCTCGTCTTTAAACATGCGCGTTGGGAAGCGCTGGGAGGGCGGCGTCAATTCGCTGCAGCCGAGCTGGGCCATGGTTGTGGAGGAGCCAGGGCAGATGACGAGGACCTGCTCCTCCTTCCATTTTGTTTGCGAAGACATCGTGGGGTCTCGCGGGTTGAAGGGCGAAGGTGAGGAACGAGGGGATGCCCGCCGTTTGAAGTCCAGTCGAGTCGACGTGCCTGGGCGCTGGTGTGTCGCGACCGCGCCTTGCAACTTGTAAGCTTGCTGGGAATTTTAGCGGGCTGGAGCTCAGGCGCACGACCCCTAACCCTGGACCGGCCGCAACCCAACGCTCATCAACCATGGTTACTCGGGAATCTTCATTGCATCCATTCACATATACCACCGGCCCATGGAGGCGCTCAAGCGTGGGGGTGGTTAGAAGAAGAGAGAATTGATAGCAACTAATTTTTTTCGACGACCAAAGTTACGACATGAGACGCCGGGTCCGCTGGTAGTGAAGGACCTACTGCGTCACAACACGCAGGCGATGCAGCACACAGCACCTGGCTGGGAAATATTCAATCGACGCGCAACACCACCCATCGAGTCACTACAGCGTGGAGAGAGATTTTGCAATGTTGTCATCATGAAGATGCTCATCTTAGGTGTGGTAGCTACCAACAGGAATTTGTACCCATGTTAGCAATGCATAAAACATTAGACATAAAAGCTGCCCAGTCACCTGCTCCCAGCCCCCAGCATCCAGCTGCCGTGCCGTGCCGTGCCCAGACCTGGTTTGCCCCTCGAGGGGATTGGATATCGCGAATTCTGTGCCCAAAACGCCAATGCCATAAAAAGTCATTCCCTGCCCCGAAACAAAATAAAGGGCTTGCCCGCCCTTTAATACGTGGCCTCGAGTTCAACCCCAAAGCTCATCACCTCGTGCCTCGCCGCCTTGGCATCTTTGGTTGTGGCCATCTCGCTCTCTGGCTTCGGCGTGCGAGGCTCCTGCTCGTCCCCGGATGATGTCGGTCCCGAGGTGTGGAGCGTGGATGGCGTCCTGGGCATATCCTCCGTTTCCATGCTCAAATGCTTCTCAATGACAGTAGTGTATGTTGGCGAAGACGCCCTGGACCGCAACTGCTGCTCCTGTGTCTCAACGTCCTGCTCGCATGGGCTTGCCGGTGTCACATTAGATGCCCACTTGGCTGCAGACTCAATTACCCCGTCCATGGTCTTGTGTTCAGCCCCCTCTTCGCTCTTGCTCGTCATCGTCGATTGGAACGAGTTCCTCAACGGGCTCTTCAATGGGATCTCACCGAAATCGCTCTTGCTGAAGCGGGACGACCTTGCAGGGCTCCTGGGTGGAATCGCCGGTACAACACGCTTGGGGATGTTGACAAGCGCCCCCTTGGCGTGGATTATTTGGGTGACCTGCGGTGACGATGGAACCGCTCTGACTGGCTGAGCAGCTGTCGCCAACTCGAATACGATCGGTTCGTCATCGTCGCACTCTGAATCAACCTGGTCGTCGTCCTCGAGCTCCGGGTCGGTTTCGATGTCTGAGCCTTCCTCGTCCTCGTCGTCTGCGTCCTCATCGCGCTCATCGACAGAGACCTTGTCCACCTTCTTGGCATGGTCAACGGTAGCGGTTTCGGTTTGCTCGGATATCGATGTTATCTCGTTCGCGGCTTTCTCTTCGGCTGCACTGTCCTCTGGGATCGAATCCGGGCGCTCCCGGGATGAGCTCCTGACGACGGCCTCCTGTGAGTGCTCGATCTCCTCCGGCTCCATGACGACCGGTAGCTTGTCAATCGAGGCTCGGTCCACACCCTCGTCTGATGTTGGCGTGGTCCCCCGAGTGTCGACGGTCGTCTGTGTAAAGGCATCCGTCATGCGACTGAGAGTAGTCTTGTTGGACATATAGCTGCCCCTGTTACTCTGGGTTATGTAGGTGTCTGTGCTCTGGCGGTTGTTGAACTGGCCGAACAAAGGACTGTTCGGGCTCGGGGCGTACTCGAATTGGCTGCTGGCAGGCCTGTGTCTCGTCCCAGCTTCTCGAATCTCGAGTCCCGCCATCTCGAGCGCCCTAACACCAAATGGATCTGGATCCTCGTTATCTGGTACACCAAATGCGGGTCTTCCCGGAGACAGCAGAGAGAGCGCGGATGGATCCTCGATCACGGCGTCGCCAGGGGCCGGCTGCAACGCCAATTGCTCCAAGAGAGGCGCGTTGAAGTCGACCCTGCCCTCTGCGCACTTGAGAACCTCGTACAAAGTCTTAATTTCCGGGACGTCTTTCTCAGGCACCTGCCCCGCAAGCACATCGAGGACAGAGACATCACCACCGTAGAATCTCTGATTTTCCGAACCACGTTCAGTAACCGACGACCCGTCGATATTGACAGCCCGGTGTTCGCCCCTCGCCCTGACATAGGTCAACACTGTGTGCCCTGGGTCCTTACCCCGGACCTCGTTCTCGATGCGCCCCTCTGTTATGGTAGGTCCAACGGCTAGCTGTACGTCGGCGCCCAGGGTGGTTTGCGGTCGTGTGAACATCTCCAGTTCAGACATTGAGTTGATGACCAAGACGCAGTCGTAGACATCCACCCCTATCACGAAGCCAAGGGCTGCCGTGTGCAGGAGGAATGCCGAAGGCGGGGACCATCTTCCGTCGGACTTCCTGGCAACCAGAATTCCACTCCCTCCACTGCCGCTCTTCCACAGCCCAGACCTCATACAAGAGAAGATTGCAAGGCCGACAGCGTTCTGGACTATCCTCGGCGGTATTCTCCTCTTCTTGTGCTGCAGGGACGTTGTAGATGAGCGCCTCTCGAGATTCGTGGGGCTGTCATCGCGAGCAGCGACGCACCCTTCGGCTGTGCTATCATGTTAGCCAGTGCTCACGGAATATTTGGGTGCTCAGGTCTGACGTACTGCAGAATGCCTGAAGTATGCGAGCTGCCTTCTCGCTCTCGCGGTCCAATGTCGATGGCCAGTAGTCCTCGGGCCCGTGGCGACGGGTCAAGGCATTGGCGGTGTCAGGGACAGCGATAGGGGGAGGGACAGGATTGGTGAGGCCAGCGTTCGGCTTTGGCCTGTCTCTCGAAGACCAAAACGCAGAGATGCGCTGCATGGTGAAAACGGGTGTGCTGAAGGATTGTTGTTCAGGCCATTAAAGAAAAACAAAGAATGGCAGGCATTGGGGTTGTGAGAGTGTAGGGGCAGACTCTGGCCGTGTTTGGCCCCTGCGCTGGTCGCCCGTGTCCAGGTGAGGCGGGGAAAGGGGAGGTGGGATGCTGTTATGGTGAAGGTTGGATGTTGTTGGATGGGTGGGTTGAGGAATGGTGGTCGCGAAGTGGGTGGGTGGCTGGTCACACACACACACACACACACACACACACACAGCTTCGAGGGCCGCGGGCGGGTACCAGGGTGACGGTAGTGGGCGAGGTAACAGGTGAGGAAGGCACGGCCGCGGGTCGGTAGTGGGATCAGGGCGCCTTTTTGGCTCAAAGGCCGGGTGAACGGGTCGAACAAGCACGGTCTGGGGCCAGCCTCGTTATGCTAGTTCTTTGAACGGCAAGCAGCAGCAGGTCGGGCGAGAAAAATGGGCGTCTGGGGCCGTTTTGTAGCTGCAGGTGGCCAGAGACGGGTGACGTGTGAGCAGGTGTGGTACGGTGTTTGGTACAGGTACGGGATGCAGATGCAGGCCGGCCAGGCTGTGAGCGAGCAAGCAGGAAAAACAGTACTTGTACAGTAGATAAAAACAGAACCGATCGGCGTTTTCTGTTCGGCAGCTTCGGCAGGCGTGTTGCGTGCGTGGGTGGATGCGTGGGTGCAAGCCAGCAAGCAAGCGAGCAAGCGAGCGGGTCGGGGCTGCGTGTGCTGTTGTATTATTATTATATTACCGGGAGAGCAGGAAAAGCTGTCCATCCGGGGTGGGTTTTGCTCTCTGTCTGGGTTGGGTTTGAATTCTGGATCTGGATCTGCAAGCATGTATGAATGCGTAGTAGTGTGGGAGGGCCAACTGCGCCTGTCTGCTGACGTCGACGGCACGTCGATGACCAAGGACCCCAGATGCACAGAGGCTGCTCGTGGTAGCTGATGGCTGGGCGTGCAGCACGGGTGCAGGTCTGCAGGAGCTACTACGTAGCGAGTAGAGGGGCATATGCAGGCGTGGGTGGCATCCGGTTGTTGGCTAACTCTTGTCAGGTCAGGCTTGCCGACTGGGTGGTTCGTCGTGGGCGTCGACTGGCTCGAGTCCAACGGTACCTGAGCGGTTGATAGAGTGGGGACGCACCCTCTCGACTGCAGGCTCCCGTACTATCGGTGTTGGGTCACAGTCAGCTTGTTGCTGGGCTGATCTGCTGGTGTGGAGGCCCGGAGAGGGGGGTGAAGAGGAGGTGAAGGAGAAAAGAGGCCAGGAAAGACAAGGCAAGGCAAGCAGGGCAGAGAGGATCGCCGTGCGCCGATACGACTAGTTATGTTATTGTATGGGTACAGCCCGTGGTGACAGGCAGCACGGCACGGCACAGTACAACACAATACAATACAGGAACGGACGGACGTGCGAAAAGGAGAGAGGCGGGGGCGAAATCAAGGCACATCAGGTCGAGTCAAGTTAGATTGCAGAGAAAAAGTCCAAGCCCCCCCAAGACAAGAATGCAGTGGAGGGGGGGGGGCGGATGGGGCAGGGAGGGTCATTTTGAAGGCCGTGGAAAATACATTACAAAAAGAAAGCTCTGTCCCGTGCCAATTAGAAGTGGCGTTGCAGCCGTCCAGAAGGAGAAATTTGAATTGCTGAAATGGACGTTTGGTGTTCCAGCCCGCCGTGTCCAGGGGCCGGCTCTTGCGTGCGACTTGCTGCTGCCGGTGCTGCTCTGCTACAAGGGCATTCTGCGTCTCATTACGCGGCGGGGGTCGAAATGAGACGAACCTTTTGCGTACAGCCTTGAAACATGCACAACTGCCTCTCCACCTCCCATCCACTGCCCATCCACCCCACCCTCAATCTCGCCCGTCGCCCATGGCACATGGCCCATGGCCTTGGACCCATGGCCCTTGACCCCCAAGGGCCCATCACCATGAGGCAACCCAGCCCAACCCAGCCCGCATTGCTGCCATCTCCCTCTTTTACGACGGATGCTACCCTTCTCACTACACAGCGCTGCAGTTCTCCTATGCCCTTTTTTATTACGACTCCTCGGCAAGCCGCCCTTGGACCCCGGTGCCGACGTCAAACCCCCAGACTGCAACGACGCTCGGACTGTTTCTTCATCAGCGCCAGGACTGGGAATGACTCTCTTCAGCACCTGCCGTGGCTTGGACACCAAGGGCGGCGCCTTGCTTCTTCGACCGTTGGGTCTAATGCGTTAGCACTAGCGAGAGACCGACTGCATCTCTAGCACCGAGACCACCTCGAGTTCGAGCAGACAGATGTGCCGCTGGCCTGGTCTCCCATCTCATGTTTTTTATTCCGACACAGTACTGGGACCTGACTCGGGCTAATCGCAACTGCACACACACATACACAGTACACACATGTTTTGTTTGCATGTTTCCTCTATCCACGCCGACGCCAAGCCTAGGTACTGTGCCGGGCTGTGCTGCCTTGCTATCCTGCCCGCACTCGGTCGACATTTCCGGCTGTCCCACTGTCCCGCCAGCGGAGGGGCCGACAGGTGTCGCAATCCACGCGAGCACATATAGACGGGGGCAGAGATTTGTGACAGCGTCGTAGCGATGGCCAATTCCCGATCCCGAGTCGATCAATCGCATCAAACACTCATCACGCCCGCCCCCAGACAACCTCTGCCAAGACCTCGATCTCTGCCGGTCGGTCCGTCCATCCTGGTGTGTCACGAAGCTCGAGCAGGGCCACGCGAAAGAGTCGCCGTCTGCCTGGGCAAAATTACTCGGCCCCAATCCGGCACTGCTTGCTGTTGTGCGCTCTCTCTCGTTCAGGTGGCCCCCAAACTAGATTCACTCGCAATTGCAGCCTGCTGCAGAGTTGCTAAAACGGGCCATGCTGTCGAGTGTGACGCTGTCTCTCGCCAGAGTCACATCTCAGCCTTTTCGGTAACTTCAAGCAGAGCCGCCTTCCGCCCAGAACCTTCCTCAGGACCGGTTTCACAGGGCGGAATCGACCACACCCACGCACCATGACAACTCTTGGTACATCGCTGACACGGAATCCTGGAGCTTATGTCGCCCGTACACACTCCTGTCACACTCACGTGGAGATCCAGGCCCACAGGATCGACACAAGCCTCTCAGCACGCCCATTCAAGGACTGGGGGCAGACCCACCGGCGGACATTCTGGCCATACACGTATACAACCTTGAATCGCATGCATCCGCCTCAACTCTAATTCCCTCCCTCACCCCCTCCCTTGCCCTATCACACAGAGCCACCAGACGAGGCAAACGCAAATTGGACTCAGCTCGAAGGTGGCTCGGACTTCGTCACCCAACCTCAGTTTTCCTCTTGACGGCCCAGCCCCTCCTTGGCTCGCCATGTCTTGCATGAGCTGCAGACAGACAGCAGACACGTTTTGACTTTTCGGGGCCAACAACCGAGGCTTCCACTCTGGCTTTCAATGCGTCACAGTCGTATCAATTGTTTTACCTGAGCGGTTTCGCTATATTCCAGAACCCATCAGCCGAACTCTGCCAGACAGTAGTAGATCGATTACCCAACGCGTCCCAAGGAACATGTAGTGCCCTCCCAGTGGAATACAGGCGAAGCAAAACAAAACACAGAAAATCAGATGCTGTTCGCCAAATACAGTTCCTGTTAGATTTATAAAATATCTAAATCGCTTCATCTCACCGAGATGTGATGAACCCGTGACATGTCCGGTCGTGCGTGGTTGCAGCAGCCCCGTGCCTAGAGGCTCTTCTTCAGACCACCCAGCGAACCCACGCCGGCCTTGATATCCTGCGCCTACTTGTTCCCCTTGAGTTCCGCTGCGATGCAAGAGTCAGCAAAGGTGGGTGGGTGGTGAGTGCCCCGAAGGCGGAAATTTCACATCAGCGTTGAGGCAAAGGGGTTGTCCGGCGTTCCACACATGGGCTGGAGGAAGAGACAGGAGAGGCAAGCCATGGGACGAGAAGCCCCCTTGCGCAACCCCTTCGCCTCCTCTCCGTAAGCCGAGGGAGGATCAGGCAGGGGAAGAGAGGAGGGGAAGACCGCCCGGTGTTCAGACCAGGTCGTAGGGAACATTTCCGACGGCGGGGAGGAGCGGGAAGTCCGTAGCACTTCAACGGCACATGGACGCAACAACCGGGCGAACGCAGGAAGGGCGGGAACCTTGAAGCCTCCGAGGGTGCCCGAGGGCGGAACGTGCAACAGACCATGCTTGCGCAGGGCATAACAAAAGGAAACTCACAGTCGACAAAGTCCTCTCCCCTCTCCAGGCCTTTGGCCTGCATCTCCTTGGCCTCGGCCTCAGCCTTGGCCTTCATGAAAACACTGAAGAAGAAAAAAGTCCAGTCAGTGATTACTGTCCTCAACCTCATCCAACAGGATTGAGAGGGAAGCAAATGTAGACAGGGGCAGGCCTCACCCAAATTTCTCAATCAGAGGGTCCATGTAGCCCTGGTCATAGGCGAAGTACGACCCCGCCAGGACGAGGAGGACAGTGAGGAGGGAGATGGCGATTTGGTAGGTTGATTCCATCTTGAAGGCACGTTGGCGGGCGCAAGTGATTTGATTAGTTGCCTACGACTGAAGCGATTGTAGCACTGAATTGGGACAAGTAGTGGGGCTGAATCTGTTGAAGTAGACAACATTCCCGATTGACCTTGGAGTGACTATCTTACTTATATTCAAAACATTTTCACCACCATGTATCTTGTGCCAGTCGTTTGGGTTGTACAATAACCAAGTTCCCTTCCCAGAAGCTGCGGGTAACCTGCGATGACGTCCCCCAACCCAAGGGTGATGCGCGGCTAGCCGTCAGGTTCCAAGTTCCCGGGCACCATGAAGCAGGTTTTTGGTGCCCCATGTGGCGTCGTCAAAACCGCCCTGCTGCGGCTAGCAAGCGGGCGTTTGCTCAAACTACGACGACACGTTGCGCTGCTACGCTGGAAAAGTCTTGTGCATGTCTATACATTGACATGAATTATAGATACGAGAGCACGTGGACGCGGCAGGGGACGATGGGTGATTAAAATGGTTGGCACTGGGCTCAAATTCTATTTGATATCGTCAAATCGTTTCGAAGCTACATGAGTGGTGTAGATCGGTTTGTGGGCGCCGTGGGGGCATTTGTCTATATATATGAGAAAGCAGCGGCAGCACCAGCGGCGGCGGCAGAAAGAACTCCTGGTTTTCGTAAACCCAACCCCCCGGAAAAGCAATTCCCAGAACACCAGCACTCGATCGCCGAGCCCAAGTCTAGTCGTAGGTCTATGCAGTGCGTGAGAAAGAGCGTAAAGGTCATGGTAGTAGTTTAACAAGGTCGTCCCGTCGCAACAGGCCATATATGCCGAGTGGGTGGACTACTGCGCGGGGGCCACGACAGCAGGGGACACGGCCGCGGAGCCGGGGTATCTCCCTCCCTGGAGAAGGTACCGCTCGAAGTCGAGGCAGTCCCTGGTGGTCCTGCCTGTCGACGACACGGCGCGACCTGGCCGCCAGTCGCCCGGCATGTCCTCCCAGTTGTCGTTGGTGACGCCGTGGAAGCTGTAGGCCTCGTTGGAGGACCTCTCGACGCCCACACATTCGAAGTCCCCCTCCAGGTGGATGCGCTCCAGCTTCGGCAGGCGGTTCCGCAGGCCGACGAACAGGCCTCTGAAGGTGCCGCGGCAGAGGTGGATGCCGCCCAGGCCGCCCTCGTGAACCTTGGCGAGACCACGGCCGCCGAGGCGGAGGCGCTCGAGCGTGTTGGCGTGCCGCAGGATGAAGCCGCGCAGGTCCTCCTCGTCGCAGGATATGCCCTCCAGCTTGAGGTCGGTGAGCTTCTCGTAGGTGAAGCCCTCGAGCAGCGTGTCGAACCAAATGATGAACTTGTGTTTGGGCATGCCGTAGGTGTGGAAGGCCAGGGTGAGGTGGGTGACATTGGTAGCGCAGCGCAGGATGTGGCCCAAGCCCTTGATGGCCTTGAACCTCTGATTCGGCAGCTTCAGCGTGGAGGGGTCGACGGTGATGTTCAGCGTGGTCAGCTTGGCGAACGAGGTCGAGACGCAGTCGAACCAGTGCCTCCTCTCATCGGGCAGCCTCAGCGTCTCCAGCGGGAAGCGGTCGATGGTCAGGGAGGACAGGTTTGTCTCCTTGAGGGCAGATGCGATGAGAGCGAGGTTCTTGGCGGCGTGGTCCCGGTCCATCTTCCGGCAGCTAGGCAGGCCCTGGAAGACCTGGTCCAGCACATCAATGTCGAAGGGACACCTGGTGAAGGTGACATCGAGATCGCGTAGATTTGGCAGGTTCCGGAAAGCCTCCAGGACCATGTCCGGGCGGCTGTCAAAGGCCGGGACGGTCAGGCGTTGCTGCTTTGCCTCCCAGTAGGCCAGCCAGGCGGCTTGCAGACGCTCATTGCGCTCCTCGGGGTCCTCGAGGTAGTGCTGGAAGAAGGAGGCGTGGCGAGCGTTGTACTCGTCGACATCGGCGAAGTTGATAGTGAGAGACTGGATGGCACTCCTCAGGCGCTGGTGGGTTGCGATGGAGTGCAGCCTGGCGACGTCGTCCCTCCAGCTGACGACGTTGATCTTGGACTGCATCAAGTACTCAAGGCCGATCTCCGCAAAGAACGAGGACATGAGGCGGAGGTTCTTGACACTAGGCAGATCACAAGACTCGTAGATAAGGCGCACCAGCTCTACGGGGAGGGACTCCATGATGGAGGAGCAGGTAGCCTGCCTGAGGCGGCTGCAGGTCGCATACGAGGAGGGACGGAAGGGGGAGAGAGTCTGGTGGTGGTGGGATGGGCGAGGCCGAGGGCGACAGGCACGGCAGATGAATACAATATCGGACAGGACAGCAGGCAGACGGACGGACGGACGGACAGGTAGATTTGTAGAATACAAGATGGTGAAGATCGAGCAGAGGGAGGGAGGCGGGCGAGAAAAAGTTGTTGAAGAAGTCCCGAGACTTTGTACCTACATAAGGGGGGAACGGGGATGGGGTGAGATCAACGAGTCGGGACTGGCAATGCAGGCATCTTGCAGGCATTCCACCAGCAGAGGCGTCTGGCGGGACAGGGGCCTGGCAGGTACATGGCCTGGACGGCATGGACGGCCCAGCAGGCGCAGGAACCACCCGGCGGCACGGTCTGTGGGCGAGTGCAGCAAGCAGCAGCAAGTAGCAGTAGCAGCAGCACCTGCGACTGCCACCTCACCAGGTTCAGGTCAGGTCAGAGCATGGGGGGGGGGCCCAGGCCACCAGGTCGGGCCGGACGGTGAGAGGGATTTGGCATGGAGCTGGGGATGCGTGCATGTTTTTGGGGGCGCCAGGGACGACACACCACAAAGAAAAGCAAGCGAACCAAGACCAACGAGACCAACGGAAAAGTGGACAGCCAGGCTAACCAGGTAGCAGGCGGCCACTGGGAGGGCCAGCAGATGGGCAGAGGGCCGACGGTAGAGCGGTGCTCGTCACCGAAAGTCTTTTTTCAAAGTTCAAGAGTCCAAAAGGTCGGTGAGCCTAAGACACACATGGGCCGCCATTGGCCCCCAGCCCCCGATGCCCCCCGGCCTGTGCGACGACACCAGCAGCATCAGTCGAAAGGTTGTTTATTTTGTTTCGCCCTCGTTTTCTTTTCCCTGCGCACCAGCCAACAGAGTCCTGCTGCACGCACGATGCTACTGCTGGTCGAATCGATGCATCCGTACTGCCCTGCAACTCTGCACTATCACACTGCACCACCACGCTAGATGGCCTCTGCTTCTGCTGCTGTGCTTCTGCTTCTGCTGCTGCTGCTGCTGTGCTGCTGAAGAGGCGAGCAGCCAAGCAGTGAGGGATCAGAAGATGAGATGAGATGAGATAGACGCCAGCCTAACGGGGACTACAGAGCACCACGCATCGACAGTAAGTCATCTGCGACCAGTCGAGCCCGAAACGAGCCCACTGCCCGAGTGTGGGTAGTGCAGCAGCATTGGTCTCACGGTCCCCACGGTCTCACTGTCTCACCGTCGAAAAGAAAAGACGAGCAGCTAAAAAAACAAAACAAAACAAAACAAAACAAAAAAAAAAAAAAAAACTGGCCTCAATTTTTCCCTTTTCCTTCTTTGACGCTGCGTGACGGTTTCTAGATGCCCGGGGATCTGGTTCCGACACTTGCATTGTGGACCGCGACTACGTTTCGACAGCAAAAGGGGAGCCCCCTGCGGGCCTTGCCCACCACGCCCCCATGCCGCGTCCATCCCTGCTCCCGCCTTTTCCATCGCCCGCCTGTTAGCCCTGGCGCCCTTCCAGCCCTGCCAGACCTTAACTCGCCCGCATGGCCAGAGGTACCCAGGTACCCATGTATCCTCGTACCCAAGTACCCAAGTACCGGAGCATGGCCTCGGCCCTCTCTCCTCCACACAGCTAATGTGTGTTTATTTCTTCTTGTTGCTCTTTTTCCTGTTCATCTCGTCCTGCCTCACCACCGACATCATTATTAATCCACAGTGCTGCAAGGTACAGTGGGTGCAGGCGAGGGCCCGCCCATTACCGCCAGACCTGCCTTCTCTCTCCAGCGGTCACGCGAGGAATGGATGTACCGCGGCAGATGGAGCAGAAGAGACTCGATGTTCGATTGGCTTGGGTTTTTCATGTTGGATACTCCATGCGTCCGTGTGTGTGTAGGTGCAGGTGAAATGCTCATCAAACTTTCCACAAATATACCCGGACTGCCGGAGTACACCACCGTTTCTACGACGCAGCCAGCATCGGTGAGCAGCCTCAGCTGCTGCTGCTGCTGCTCAAGCTCCGAGCTTGCGCTGAAGGTGCAGCTCACAGAACTGCAGCTGGGGAGGGCTGGAGCTGAAGCCGAAGCGGAAGCGTCATCGTCTTGTCGTTGCGCACAACTCGCCGGCACTCTCTCCCCCGCCAGGGTCTGCCCCTGCGGGAGGGCGTTTCGTGTGGTATCCAGCCCCGTGAGCGGGCGCTCAACGTGCCACCAGGTGCCTAGCTCCCGGCGGCTTTTGAGAGACCAAGGGCAAGAGAGCACGAGGGTGGGTTACTTCCTGAGTCCTGAGTCTTGGGTTTGATCACCGGGTTGACAAGTGACTCGCACCCGAAAGTCTGCTTGCTTTCCAGGAAAGAGAAAAAAAATAAGGGCCCCAAAAAAATAAGAGAGAGCGAGCGAAGGGGGCTCCACTCCCATGCAGCGTCGCACCCACCGCAAACCACGAGGCCCGTGATAGGGCTGGGGGTGTGAAGGAGGGTGGGCTCCGCGTGCGGGCTGCCGACAGGGCTTGTCTCGCCCAGTTAGCCTCACCGCCGACTTCTCTCGCCTGGGTTCGGTCTGCAGCCCGCGGACTGCACCGCCCGCCCGCCTGCTCTTTGCTCCCTGCCGGTCTCTTGTTGGTTGGCTGCTGCTCGGCCGCCAGACCTGCCTGCCTGGTCCGGTCTGGCCTGGGCTGCTGGTGGGTTCGATTGTCAGAAACTGTTCCCAGCATTTCAATCACTGACGCATTCATCGACTCCACACCAAGAAAGATGACCGTCCCCCGGCTCTGGTCAGCAGACTTGGCGCGTCAGCCATCGTCCCTCTGCCGCTTCGGACTTCGACCTGGTGAAACCTCGTGCTACCCACGTTGGCGATGAGGGTATAAGAATAGTGGGGATCGCCCTCTCACCACCTCTTCGATTCCATCTCGTACATATCAACGAGCAGTCGGTGAGCACCCGACTTTTGCCAGCCGAGCGCCGGCCCAAACACGGGCAATATGTACACATGGCAAACCACCGGTGAGCAAGCAAGCAATTTCGGGCTCTTAGTAGGTTTCTATTAGCTACGTATTCGCAAAGACAACGGATATTCACACCCGCAAAAACGGATAGTACACCCATACATCACTCGCGCCACAGCTATGATTAATCACAGCACATCAACCAGGCCTATTTGTCCACACACCCAACACCCATATACCCACACACCTAACACCCATAGACCCAATTTACACGCCTAACTTGTACACCTAGGTATATAAGTGTTAAGTATGCAGATTAGGTATATAAATTAGGTGTATGGGTGGTGGTTTAGTGTTGGCGATATACGGGTGTACCATCCGTTTCTGCAGGTGCGAATATCCGTTCTCTTCGCAAATATCTGTCGGCTATCGCTACTCGTCTTTTACTTCCAGACGGACCAATTCCATTTACCGACACCCGAACGCCAACCCCCCTAACCCAGATCCCCTCCTGAGCCCTCCGCCAAAGATGCCTGGGCCCTAGAAATGCTATGCTGGTTACATCGTATGCTGTCGCTCGCTGAACCTCGTGTGTAATCGCAGCCTCCGTCCGGCTGCTGTGTGCTATCGTATCGTAATTATTGCGTTGGACACCGTGTAGATGTAACTGTTCAGTGCCCGAAGAGTGTGCCCACGACCATGTCGCACACCTCCGTGACCGTAGGCACCCTTCCGTTGGTCAGGGCCGCCTCGACGCCCCGGCTCGTGCTGGCAATGCCAGTCTCGAGATAGGCCAGCTCGGCACCGCTTAGCTTGCGGTGCTCGACCTCCTTCCACTTCTGTTCGGCCTCCTCCTTGGCCTTCTGCAGGAGATCATCCGTGTCCTCCTTCTGCCAGAGGTTGCACTTGTTGCACGAATTGCATGGCCTCCCGTCGCCCTCGGGCCTAAAGTGCTGACAGAAGTGCTGGTAGCCCGCGTCACCGCCTTCCTTGCCGCCAATGTCCTTGCGGCAGACGTAGCACATCTTGTAGCCACACTGGCACGTCATCTTGTTGCACCCGGCCGTCTTGACAAATGAGGCGTTGCACTTGGGACAAACCCGCTTCACAGCCATGCTCATCGCCTGCTCGACCTGGGTGCGGAGGGCGATCAGGCTGGACTCGTTGCACACGTGGATGTCGATCCACTCCTTTTCGCAGTGAAGGCAGGAGCTGCGCCCACAGTCCGGCGACTGGCAGGTGAACTTGAGCCCGCGTTGGCGTCGGCTGTGACGCTTCAGCGACGCATTGAACTCTTCGAGCACTCTCTTCCCAAACGGCAGCTCCATCGCTCCCAGTAGAGCAATGAGAAGGTAAGCCAGGCCAAGGATCACGAGAATGGGGAACCACGCAATAGCGTTCAACGTCCTCAGGAGGCCGTTGCTTGGTCCGTCAGCCCCAAAGCGGGGTTGCAGCTCCCTCGACGTGAGGTACACGTCGTCCACCTCCGCGTAGTCGCAGAACGGACATCGTGCCAAGGGGAGCCCAGACGCCAGGAGACTGTACTCGGCCAGCCGTTGATCGAACTTGCGCATGATCTCGGCACCCTTTTTCACCTCGAGCATTGCCCTGTGCATCTGGTCAAATGAGATGCAGCTGTCGCACGAGTCCGAGTTGGCGTTCTCGGGCATCGCCGGACACCTGAGGGTGCCGGTCTGCGGCTCGATGGTCTTGGCCCAACTTTGTCCGAAGACCGCCTCGGTGACGGACAGCTGAACGCATCTGCGACATATCATATGACCGTTGGTATTGCACGTGGTGAAGTCCTCGAATGAGCCGGCGGTGAAGCAGCAGCAGCACTCGTGGGTTTGGTTCTCCCTCTCTGCCTCGTCCAGGTTCATGGCTGCTGCCATCTCCCGGTCCTTCTCTTCCGTCTTCTCCCTCGCGGAGGTCCTGAGCGGGTCGATCAATTCTTCAAACAACTCCCGGTCGAGTTCCGCGTTGCCCGTAGATTTCAGTGAAGGCACGATGGATCCCTGGCCAGAAGATTTCCACACAACCAGGTTGCCCGTGTCGGTGGATGAGAGCGTCTTTCTTCTATACAACAAAAGCGAGGACAGAGTAAATCTCCACGACTTCTGGGAGAGGTCGACCAAGGTCTTTCTTGCGGACAGGTATGAATAGTTGGATTCCGCGAGGACGGCGTTGATTGTCGAGCGCGAGAGGCCCTTGAACTCGTGCCAGGCCAGTTCTTTGGCGGCAGCTATATACTCGGGGCTCTTGAACTTCTCTGACTTGGGCACCAAAGCGGTGCCGCTTGCCTGAGGCTGGAGCTGCCTCCAGCGCCCTTTGACCCACCCGACGCGGTTTTTGAGCAGGGCATCTGCGACTACTGCCAGCCTGGATTCCTCAGAGAAGTTGGACAGCATCTCGCGGAACACCTCGACCTGGACATCGGGGAAGACCACGGCAAGGGCTTCCAGGCTGCCGTTGAGGTCTCGCAGGTCGGGCGCCTCGTCGTCCTCCTGGCAGGCGCCGAGTTGAGAATCGTCGCAAATGTATTCGGGGTTGGTGTCACTCTTGGCCGAGGAGGAGCTCAGCTTGCGCTTGTTGCCCGGCCGCACGGGGCTGGAGTGCAGCAGGGCGGAGAAGACCATCTTGACCTGTTGTCGTGGCGGCCCACGACGGTCATGCTAGCCTAAGTGTCGGCTGCGGCGCTGGGTGGTGGTATAATCGGAGGTGGTTTCTTTCCATTTGCGTGAGGTTTGTTGCGATCAGGCTGGGGGGCTTAGACAACGCAAGGGACAGCCCGTCTGTCGCGTCGTGGGTGGCTGCGGGCAGGTAGGCAGACTCGGGTGCTGGAGGAGCGAAAGTCGCGCAGAAACTCCAGAACAATGGTAGGACCCGACGTGAAACTGGCTGTCACGTCCCCTGCCCTTTGTGGTCCAAGTCGCGGCGGCGTTGAATGAAGTATTTGTGTTGGGGGCATTGATGTAGGTCACAATGCCCGACCTACAGAGAGACATGGACCGGACCAAGTAAATTGGACTCCATAATTCGACTTGACTGCTTGGCACGAGGGGTCCTCGGGTCCCGATAGATTCGCCCGCGCGGCCAGATTTATCGATAAGCGAGGCGCAGCTCCAAGGGGCAGGGAACAGGGGCTACGTAAGGCCATTTCCCGGCTCCATCTTGCCATTCAACACGCGGTGCCAGCCTGGCCAGCCTGGGTACCTGCCTGTAGGGACCGACAACTGACAGTAACATGTATTCCTCAACCCTGCCCGCACCCGTCGACCTTCACATGACTACAATCTGGTGTCAAAAGGCACGAGATGCAGTGTGCAACCTCGCCATCGCCCCAAGGAGGAATTACACGGGAAATGGGGCCACACAGGATCACGCATCCTGCTCGCGACTAACGAGCCATCCATCAGCTGTCCAGTACCTGAACAAGACGTGCTCTCCCGTCTTCCACCTCACCCTCTGCGCACACCATCGGTTGCTTGACGCTATCATTCCGCGGAGCCAGCATCTTATGACCCAACACACGATGCCTTCAATCAACGTGCATTCATCCGTCTTGCTGTGTCGCTCAGTACTCCTGAGCTGCAGAATAGGGGTGCCAAAGCACAGATACAGTCACAGATAACGTTGTGCAATCTCCTTACTCGGGCTATCTACAATCGTCTCGTCACCGCCTGACATAAAACATGCTCAGGCCGGGCAACATAGCACGCGGTAGGATCATTTGATGTCCTTGCGATCCATATTGCAACACCAATCCATTTCAAGATACTAGCTAGATACGACATCAGGGGCTCCAGATTGTACATGAAAAGGAGGAAAAGACGGTAACACCGCATACACATAATTTTCATCATTAGCAAACCGCAAGCGTCAGTCATCGTGTCGCTTCTAACATGTCCATTCTGCCATGTCACGTATCAAGGTTCTTCTACAACTTGCCCTTCGCATCCGGGGCAAGCTCAACCGCCGCGCCGCCTATCGCCAGCTTGCCCGTCTCCTTGACCTTGGTCTGGAAGATGACCTTGTTGCCGTCCTTCCACATCTCGGTCACCAGCGTCTCGCCCGGCAGCACTGTGCCGGCGAAGCGGACCTTGATGTTCTTGTATGGGCCAAACCTGGGCGGTGACGATCCCGTCAGTAATTGGCCTACGAGGAGGAAAGCGATATTGTGGTAAGGAACTTACTGCTCGTAAACAGCCTTGCCAGCGATGCCCATGAAGCAGAGGCCGTGCAGGATAGGTACCTTGAACCCACCCATCTTGGCGAAGGCAGGATCAACATGGAGCGGGCTGTTTGAATCTCAGTCAGTATTCATCGCCTCCGAGCCGCTCCCTACCATCAAACCACTTACTTGTAGTCGCCGCTCAGCCGGTAGATACACGCCTGCTCCTCAGTCGTCTTGGACTCGACGACGACGTCCGGCGCCCGCCCGGGCGGCTTGTTCGCCGCCGTGCTGGCGCCCCTGTCGGCGGGCTTCTTCTGCCCGCCGAAGCCGCCGGATCCCCGGAGGAAGACGGTCATCTCGTTGTAGAACAGTTCCTCCTTGGTCTCGGCGTTGACGGTGGTCACGCCGTGCCTGACGATGGCCGCGTTGCCCTTGTCGACGACCTCGATCAGCTTGGCGTAGCTGAGCAGCCGGCCCGACGTGGGGATCGGGTGCTTCCGGACCTCGAGGTACTGCTCGCCGTGGAGGAGCATCATGGGGCTGAAGTTGGGGACGAGGCTGTCGAGGCTGAAGGGCGTCTCGGCGTCGAACGGGGGTATGACCCCGTAGGTCGGGAGCACCTGGAAGTCCTCGGCTCCCTCGAAGACGTATTTGAGGTCATTCCTCTTCGCACCCACTCCGAGGTTGTAGAGAATCGCATCGCGCTCGGTGAATTTGAACTCGGTAGCTGGGGACTCGGCCTTCAGGGCCGTTTGGATAGCGTCCAGGTACTCATTTCCGCCCGAGGGTGCATCACTCTGGAGATGGTGTCAGAGAATGTCTACCAAGTTGTATTCTTTACACTATGCTATCATAAAACAAAGTACATCAATGGGACGCAGGTGGACTGGAAGAGGCTCATACCTTAGCACCTCCGCCTGCCTTGTTCCCAGCATTCGCCATTATCTTCTCCAAACTGGCCTGGGTCTTGTCAGGATGGTCGGACCGGCCGTCAAAGGTGACAACGTCCTTCCAGTTCTTCAGGACCTCCTCAGGTGTGAGTGGCACGTCTGTGGGGAAGCCGTGACCTCCAGTCCGCTGCCACCTGGTCGCGCCGACCCATCCACTGCCTACTTCGTACAGGCCTCCGGTTGGGTTCTTGGGGACCTTGTCACTGGACAGAGCAACGACCACCGGGGCGATGTATTCCGGCTTGAAAGCCTGCACCAGCTCCTCCGGCAAGATGGTCTTGGTCATTGCTGTGCCAGCGTTGGGAGCAATGGTGTTGACATAGATGTTGTACTTGGCACCCTCGAGCGCAAGGGCGCGGGAGAAACCAAGAATAGCGCATTTCTTATTGATAATTAGTTTCTGTAGACTAATGGCGGATTAGGGCAGACGAAGACTTACCGCTGCAGAGTAGTTGGCCTGGCCGAAGTTTCCGTAGATACCACTTGTGGAGGTAGTGTTGATAATACGGCCATACTTCTGCTTGAGCATATAGGGCCAAGCAGCCTTGCTGACCTTATAGGTCCCGCGAGCATGCACGTTCATGACAGGGTCCCAGAGGCTGTCATCCATGTTGTGGAATGACTTGTCACGTAGGATACCTGCGTTGTTGATAACAATGTCGATCCGGCCGAAGGCGTCGATAGCAGCCTTCACAACGGCATCGCCATCCTCAGCCGAGGCCTTGACGCCAACGGCCTTGCCGCCCGACTTCTTGATCTCGTTGACCACGTCGTCTGGGTTGACAAGGTCATTGACGACAACGGCAGCTCCGTACTTGGCGAAAGCCAGCGAGTAAGCACGGCCAATTCTGGTTCATTGTCAGCTGCATACATGGCAAGTCACATGAAGGAACACTCACCCAGCGCCTCCTCCGGTCACCAACGCAACACGGCCCGAGAAGTCAAGCTTCTCCCCTCCTTGGTTGGGGCCTAGTTTCTGAGACTCTTCCAGCAGGTTGACAAAGTCGTTGGGCCCAGTTGGATACTGCGGCTTGGAAAAGTCGATGACCGAGTCCCACTTCTTCAGAACGGCCCCTGGGGTGTAGCTGTCGTCGCACTTGAGCAGCTGGCCGCTTGAGCGCTCCCACCTGAGCTTGGCCATGTGGCCACCGCCAACCTCGAAGATGCCGCCAGTCTCGGTTGTGTTGTCCTTGTGGACCAGAACAGCAACCAAAGGCACGACCCACTCGGGCTTCATGAGGTCAAGGACGTCTGGGGGCATGATAGTCTCGGTCATGCGGCTAGCTGCGATCGGGGCGATGACGTTGCACAAGATGTTGTACTTGATGCCCTCCTTGGCCAGAGTCTCGGTAAAACCGACCTGGGCCAACTTGGCAGCTGCAGGATGTCAGTCAAGAGGGGCCTCACACCAGCGCTGCGGACGATTCTCTTACCAGAGTAATTTGTCTGACCAAAGTTGCCAAACAGGCCAGCAGCCGAGGCGGTATTAATGACACGACCATACTTCTGTTTCCTGAAGTGCGGCCATGCTGCCCTAGCACACTTATAGGCGCCCTTGACGTGGACCTTGAAGATCAGGTCCCAGTCTTGGTCCTTGATATTCTTGAAGCTGACGTCTCGAAGGATACCGGCGTTGTTGATGAGGACATCGACACGACCAAACGCCTTGATCGCGGTGTCGATGATCTTGTCGCCGTTCTCTACGGAGTCGTAGTTTGCGACGGCCTTTCCGCCGGCCTTCTTTATCTCGTCGACGACTACATCGGCGGCCTGATGCGAGCAAAGGTCAGCTATGTGCGCGGAACGACGCCCGTTGGGAAAGAGAGTCTCACTTTTGAGGAGTTGCCTTCACCCTTGAAAGACCCCCCCAGGTCGTTGACGACGACGCTTGCGCCTCGGGACCCGAAGAAGGTGGCATATGCCTTTCCCAGACCACCTCCAGCGCCTGTGACGACCACGACCTGGCCGTCGTACCTTAATTGGCCTGCCATATTGGATAAGACAATGGTTGCCTGAGCTGTTGGAGGAACCGAAAGGTGCAAGGTTCGATCACTGGGGAAGAGCAAGGAGGGAGAATGGGGCAGAGAAGGTGGAAAGTCTTGAAAGAGACGAAGACGAAGTGAAGACGTCAAGGAAGCAAGCAACGTCGTGGTAGGCGTGAGAATCGGCAAGCCGTTGCAATGAGCCTCGGCTTTGAACCCCTGTGCACACGGTTCCAGAATGCCAGTCCGATTTACCGAGGGGCCCGTGGGGAAAAGCCGGCCCAAACCGTTCTGGGCGATCGCCCGCCTTCGTCATGTCGCCCTTTTCACATGCTTTGGTCGCCAGTAGCCTACTTGTCAGGTCATGCACGCACTGTACATGCTCACTGTGCCGTCTCCGGGGTAATGAGGTCACCTGGGGCCGGGGCCGGGGCTGGCATCTGCTTCTGACAGGCAAAACGCGGACAGACTAGACTACTGTACTTGCACTCCAACATTTTGACTTTGGAGAGCCTCACGATGGTGATGGTTTGGATATAAGAGGGCTACCTGTATGAGCAATGAGGACGTACTCTCTTGTGAGGCCCTGGCCCTAGGCTATGACGGGTGGGCGGCACATGGCTGTGCCAATTCAGTTGAATCACCTTCCGGTGCCGGAAGAGACAAGACAGGCGAGGCTCTCGAGACCTTGGGAACCGCTACTGATGTGGAGACCCCTTGTTGACTGCCGCTTGCCCTCAATCATCACCAGCGACAAGATAGCCTGCGATATTTTCAAAAGAAGGCCCAAAAAACAACCTCTGGCCCACTCGTACGAAGCAAGGAGACACCACTTGGCACGCTTGTTGAGTGATCATAGGCTTCAACTGCCCCACTCCCCTCGAATATCCACACCATGGCGAGTACTCCAGATGTGCCACTCCAGTCGCGGGTGGTCGACGACAAGTCCCCAAAATGTATCCCATTCAGTATGTGCCAGTCCTTTCTCCCTGGAGGCTTCCCCCCTTAGAGCCGCAGAGTGCTGACTGCCCGGTAGTCCTTGAGCGCCTAAAGGCCCACCAGGCGCAACAATCCGCCTCCGGCGGCGCGGGCAGGCCCTTCGTGATAGGCCTGAACGGCGTCCAGGGCGTGGGCAAGACGACCCTCGTCAAGGCCCTCGCCGAGACCCTCCAGCAGCGGGAGCTCCTGCAGACCATCGTCGTCAGCATAGACGACTTCTACCTCCGCCATCAGGACCAGCTGGCCCTGGCCTCCGCCCACCCGGACAACGCCCTGGTGCAGGTGAGGGGCGAGCCGGGCACCCACGACACGGCCCTCATGCGCGACGTCTTCACCTCGCTCGTCGCCTCCCGGCCCACCCTCATCCCACAGTACGACAAGTCCGCCTTCAACGGGCTGGGCGACCGCGTGCCCCAGTCGGGCTGGATCCCAGTCAACCAGCCCGGCCAGCCCCCCGTGCAGGTCGTGCTGCTCGAGGGCTGGTGCGTCGGCTTCAGAAGCGTCGGCCGCGACGTCGTCGAGGCCAAGTGGAGGGCCCCGAGCCGGACGCTGCACAGCCACAAGCTCGAGGACCTCTTCTTCGTCAACCAACAGCTGAAAGAGTACGACGTCGTGACCGACCTGTTCGACGCGTTCATCCACATCGACGCCGAGGACACGCAGTATGTCTACGACTGGAGGCTGCAGCAGGAGCGGCAGCTGAGGCAGGAGAAGGGGTCCGGCATGACGGACGAGCAGGTGGTCAAGTTCGTGGACGCCTATTACCCGGCATACGAGCTATTCTCGGACGCGGTTAGGAAAGGGATATTCGCGGACCGCAAGGGCTGTCAGCTGCAGCTGACTGTAGGCAAGGATAGGAGTGTCGTGGACAGCTTCACTATTTAATCTGCGTGCGAATACCTCAATGAGATAGTTCTCGAGGACAAGTCCAGATAGTCATCCTATTTCAGCGTTCTGGCCAGTGTCATTGATATAGGATGCGGTGGTGCAGCCTTCTGAGGCTGCGAGAAGAGCGCAAAATATTCCCAAGTTTTGATACAGTATCTATGGAGGCAAAGGAAAGATGCCGAACCATACGTATTTAATGTACCAGCAAGCAAAATGGTATCATTCGGTGCTACCAGAACTATTCTCCTCGTCTAATTATGTAGTTTTTGCCTCTCATCTTGTGGCTAAGCTCCAACAACCTGCCATGTCCCCTGGCGTTGTCCACACATTGCTGTATTATGTCTTGCGCATACAACTCTTCGCTAATCATGCCCGACAACGGCCCAGTCGAATTCCGTTACAGCCTAGCACTTTTGAGCCACTGCAAAGCAAAAACGCGTGGTGTCTAAGAGAGCTTTGCCCTGCTCCCTAGTCGCTGGACTGACTGCCCTTCAACATCGCACTGCTGTCATGCTTCAGCTTGGACAGCTTGCGGTCTATGTTCTCCTTCTTACGCCGCACTTCTTCCTCGCGCTCCGAGATCTGTGTCTCGTACTGCTCGACGATCTTGCGTTTAGCCTGGCGCGCCTCCTTCATCCTCGTTACAATGTTGCCGAATCGTTCCAAAAACCAGTCGCCGCTGTCATCCCACTCGCGCACGGACATCTGGGTGAAGAGTTGAATCTGGGTATCCTCATCCTTGTTCCTGTAGAACTCGAGGCGGTCATCAAGGTTGTCGGCCGGAGGTTTGGCTGGTGACATTATTACCTGTCTGGTGGGATCATGATCGAAGGGCTCGTTCTGTAATTCAGCGAAGTTCATTTTGCGCAAAGCTTCCTCGTCGTAATCGATGTTGCGGAGTCGTTTCTTGGGAGGGGAAAGCTTTGGGCCAAGGAGCGCCTGACGGATAGGGCTTCCTAGCAAGGCGTCATCTTGTATTGTGACAGTTTTCTGAAGTTTCTGTGCCACCGCAGGCTTCGCGGGCTTCGCAGGGTTGAGAACCATTGTCGCATCATCAGGAACAGCGCGTTGCCGAGCTGCCTTTGGGGTATGCTCTTGTTCCTGATCTGGAAATTCGTCTCCTTGGGAATGGAAGTCGCTATCATCCGTGTCCCAGTCCAGAGCCGGGTTCCCGACATTCTGAAAGCCCGTGGAGCGCTGAGCACCCTGAGCAAGCTCTTTGGCAGGCTGGAAATACGCATTAGGTTTGAGAGCCGCGCTGCTGTGCTTTTCGGGAGAAATGCGCCGGGACGTTTCCTTGGGGAGAGGTGACTGTTCAAAACGACGTGTCTTCTTGGTCTCCGTTCCGGAAATGGGAAATTGTGATCGCAAGAATCGAGGGTCTCTCTGTGGCCGAGGACTCGAATCGTCTGACGTGCTGCCAAAGGGGTGCTGCCGAAATCTTGGAGCGTCTGCTCTGGGGTTGTCCGGTGCATGAGTTATCATACTGGAGTTGAATACTTTGCCTTGGAGCGAAGGAACCACCAATTGGCCATTCTGGTACTCAAAAACCGGGGCACTCTCAGCACTTCGGTGGGCGTTCCGACCTCGTCGTGGAGGTTGACGGTTGTCGATGATGTCAGAACGGGAATCGTCACCATAGTCGCCATGGCGATTGGAGTACTGCGCTGAGGCTGGCCGGGCAGGTTCACTCTCGGAGAACAAGGAGTTGATGTTGGACTGTTCATCCCATTGCTCTCGCAGCCCGCCTTTCTCGTGCGGCCCCTCCGACACTGATTCCCAGCCGCGAGTTGCCCCTAGGCCATCGTCTCGTTGCCGCTCGATCAACTCATCGGCACGTGGTGACCCAAGAGGTAGCTGTGCCTGGAACCCGGATGGTTTGGAAACCTGCGTTGAGAAGTTGACGGCCTCGGCGGCCGCCTGATGATCTAGGAGGGGAATCATCGGCGATGGGGCACGAGCCGCTGTCTGGGTGAGTGCCTGAAGTGGCGGACTACCAGGCGCATGAGGGTTGATGATCGGGGAACCCTCATGTTTCTGGATGAAGCTCTGCATCTTCCTCTTCGCCGTGGGTACCATCATCATGGCGGGGAGGACGTCGGAAGGAATGTTAGGGAAAGGAGGTGAGATGCTGAGCGCGTTTGGACAAGACTGTTCTAAGGCCGCGGTGGCGAGGAGATAATGGCGGTTGGGAAGGGAGACTGAACTCCCAAGAGTTGAAGGCTCTTGTCTGCCGTCAAACAGTGGCCGTGGAGACTGTGAATTCCGTATGGTCCATAGATGGGAGAAATGAAGGTGTCGCCCAGCTCAACACAGATTTACAATGCAGCGCATTGTACACTGAGCTTTTATGAGGCTCGACAACTCGAGACCCCGTCCAGCGCTCGAGGATGACCCAGACAGAACCTTGGACGGGTTGGCTTGTTTGCCAGGCGTCAATCGCGGTCTGGACTGTGTTATCAAGGAAAGCACGTCGTGACGCGCCGCATCATGCCTTCCCAAAAATCCAGGGACCACCATGGGACCACCATCAGCTCGCTAGCTTCAATGTGGTGGATCCCTGCAATTGCAGTTACAGGGCCGGCGCATGGGCCAGGCACAAACGTAACCGCCCATGCTGGCTACGACCCACCCCTGGCCAGGGATTACATGTACCTAAGTCCCTGGGTAGACTACACTACACCTGTGTTTAAAAAACACCTACAGATTACTCCCCAGGTACGATATACAGAGCGCCCTCGATACCTAGGTAGTTAGTAGTGCTGACCAAAAGTTGGTGAGCTGTGTTATGTCGCCTAACCAGCCAATCATTGCACAACTGCCTGCTGCATGCAGGCGCAGGAAAAGGCCGCCAGCAGCCACAACAGTAACCTCACCTCGCCAAAGTTACCCCATGACTGGTTACCATTCATCTGTCACTTTATATCCCTTTAGAGTCTCACCCCTACCAATCCCTCGATTATCTTACTGTTAACTTCGAAATCGAGGTAGACACATCACGAAAAGGTCCTTCAGGCATCTGATATCTCGAGGTGGTTGTGCATTCAAGGCCGTAATGGCCTCCAATAACTGGTCTGTCGAGCGTTTGATGGAAGAGCTCTACCGTGCACAGTGCATCAACGCTTCCGGAAAGGATTTCCTCCCAGCTGGAGCTCTCAAAGAAGTGATCACACCCGAAGTCGTCCGCTCAGCGCTGCAGGGGTCGCAAGCAGACGTCCAGTTATGTGAATATGCGGAGAAGATATGTGGCTCGTATCGCAAGATATTCGCCATATTGGTGTTGGTTGACATGGTACACCGCATACCGGACTTCATGCGTTGTGACCTCGATGACACGTGCCTCCCTATGCCAGATACTGGAATGAGAAACGGGGAGGCCCTACCGACGCCACTCTTGGAGGACGAGGCCTGGATGACAGTCACCAGAACGTGGCGAAGGAGAGACATCGATCAGTTTAAAACTTATCAGTGGCGTGTGCTGGCGCCTGCATTCACTGCTCAGGATCCAGAATACAGGTTATGTCCGAGTCACGTCCTTCCGTTTGTGGAGAGCCATGAACAAGCCGAAGGCGCTTTCGGCACGGTATACAGAGTTAGAATCCACCCGGATCATCATGACTTTGGGAATCTTGGGGTAGGCGTTTTCCGATGTGTCGCTGTTAAAGGGCCTGGGCTTCAGATGCTGACCTGCTCGGAAGATGAATACTCAAGACTCCATGTTTGCTGTGAAGGAGATTCGAAAAGAGCGTCACCACGACTACTACGATGCTGAGGTCCGCATTCTCAGGCGATTAAGAGATTTTAGTTTCGGCCACATCATCCCGCTCCTAGCCTCGTATGAAATCCGGAGTGAGCATGACGACTTCTCCTCTCGCCGCTATCTGATCTTCCCCTGGGCCTCCGGAGATCTGGACGCCTTCTACAGACGGAATGAAGTGTTTCCTGACAGAACACAGATGATACTATGGATGGCAGAGCAATCATCTGGACTGGCAAACGCTCTCTGTCAGATCCACGGAGGCAATGAGGACCCCAGCCCAGGTAGCCCAACAAACGCAAGTATAGCCAGCGAGGCGAGCCCATTCGCACCGGACTCAGCCCGCATGTATGGACGGCATGGCGATATCAAGCCATCCAACATCCTCTGGTTCGACGAGGCTTCTACTGAGACAGCCAACGGCATTGGACGACTCGTACTGTCTGACTTTGGGCTGGCTCATTACCATCGACGGAATTCACGATCCAATGTAACGTCAGAAGCAGTGGCCAGGTCCGCCACCTACCGGGCCCCAGAGTTCGACATGGGAATGAAGCTCTCGCGAAAGATTGATATCTGGTCTTTGGGCTGTCTCTTCTTGGAGATGCTCACATGGCTTCTCAGAGGGTACAAAGTTATGCATGATGATTTCTCCCAGTCTCGACTGGAGGAGTCCTCGGATTTGAGCCACTTCTTCGAAGATACCTTCTTCCGGATCGTACCTGAGGACGGTAGACGCACAGCTGTTGTCAAGCGCAGTGTCAAAGCCTGGATCATGAATCTCCTGGACAATCCTTGCTGCAGTCTTTACACAAGGGACTTTTTGACGATGATCGAACATCACATGATTGTTGTCGATGTGAATGACAGAATTTCCGCGGCAGAATTGTCGCAAATGTTGCGAGATATGTATTCTCGTTGCACCGAAGACGTTTCGTATTATCGGGAAGGTATGATGGGACTGTCATCTGTTCCCCTTCGTCTGCTGCCTTTATCTCAACCTACAGCCGTTGGTGGGCCGACGTTATTGGCACCAGCCTCCACGATAGATGCCGCCGCCGCGTCAGAACCTGTCCAAGAAGCCGCCGCCGCTCATCTTAAGCCTGCGGACAGGATGATCATTGGCCCCTCATCTGGTACCTTCTCTCAGAAATTCAGACGCTCTGCCGGCAGAATGAGCCTGCTTGGATGGCCTTTCCGTCTGGCGAAGGACAAGTCGCAGGGGACAGGGCAAGCAGACAAACCGGCAGCTTCTGGCCCTTGAAACACAGGTAGAGACTCTTTTCTTGAATTCTGGCTACATAACGTCGTATTAGAGCTCAACAGACCAGTGTGTATATCATTCTGCCAGTCTCATCATACCAGGCTGTCGACAGAGCAGCCACCCTAGCTATGGCCACCTCCATGGTACTACTATTCAACACTACGCGGGTTCTATGCTATCCAGTGACAAGCTGCCAAAGCGCACATTACATACGATTGACCACGCGTGCAGCCACAAGTCACCGCTTTCGAGAGGCCTGCTGTGTGCAGACTAACGCGTATGTCAAGAACACGTTCGCCTTTTCTACTTTACGGGACTTTGACCTTTCCATGTCCATATCTTTTTGCACGCATTCTTGATACTTTGCACCGTTCCGGCCCTTCTTAGCTTTGGAGGCCCCTGGTCTTCGTCCTCCTGCCCCCCTGCTGCGGTTCCAGCCGCAGACGACAACTTTTGTCCCCCGCTATCTGCTGCCGTTGGGCCTTGGTGCTCAGGCTTGCCAGCGGCGTGCTGCCCATGTGGGATGTCTTGCTCTTGCGGGAGGGTTCGCGGCCCCTCGGAAGCCTTAGCCTTGGACTCCAAGTTGCGCAACGCATGCGTCAGGTCGTGAATCTCTTCTTGCTGGGCCTGGTACCACAGTCAGCGGTAAATTATCGCTCGGAATTTTCTATGGCGTGAGATCGTACTGGAGTAAGAGGTTTTGGTCCTTTGATGGAGTATTCGTCGTTCCGGATCTGTGTGTGGGCCGTATTTGAGCCCCGTGATCAGCCGAGTGTCCATGTGCAATTGAGATTTCGTACGCGCCAGAGACCATAAAGCTACTAAGCCGTCATGTCGTCGTCTGGCAATTTTAAAGACCAAAAAAATAAAATCCAAGACCCACTGTCACAGAATAGGTGCCCTGCCCCCAGGTGAGATCGAGATATCTCTGCAGCTTCCTAACTTCGATATACCGCCTCGATATGACCGTGGCCATAGCATTGGAGGAAGGCATTTGAGACCGAGATGATGGATAAACCAGCCGCCTTTGCTTGTCGTTTGGGCCTTTCGACGGTCGTCGCACCTAATAACGTTGGAAAGGAGAACTAGACCGCGTTACTCAAGTAGTGCCGAGTGAGGCGCGGTGAACTCTGGAAAGGGGTCCTTAGCCAACTTCCCGTGAGTTCGGGATAAAAGAGAAGGACTCGTTACATGTCGCGCAGACGGGATACAGAGCTGAGTCTAGAATAGAGGTCGCTTATGTGGCGTAACTCAGGCATCGACGACATGGCCTAGCACACGTGACTTGGCTCAGCTCGTGTGCTACGTGATGTCTCTGCTACTGTTGGACGAACTGAATTGCGAGACACTAGGGCCTTTTGTCCGAGAGAACAGACATTTGCACAGTAGAAAACAGATGGTATACAGATACCTCTTAAATAATATTCCCGCAGCTAATCAGAGCATAACTTAAATACCCACGCCTCATTCCTAAACCCACACCCAATTCATGTACTTATACCTTATTTACATATGAAATATTAGTTTATAAACTTAACTTTTAATATTTATATAAATTTAAAAGTATTAAACATAAATTAAATATATATATAAAGTATATAAATTTAACATATGAAACGATTTATTAACTGCTGGCATAATAAACCACTTAGGTAAAAGACTAGTAATTTTTAATCTCTTGGAAATATACCTAGCAGTTTATAATCACCGTACCGTCACAGTACATAATTTATAATGAAGTGTAAAAAAAAATACGTGTAAATATGCTAGTCGTAAGTGTATTAGGTGTAGGTGTAGGTGTGTTGGGTGTTGGTGTGTTGGTTGTGGGCTTGTCAAGCATGGGTGTGTTAGGTCTGGGTGTGTTAGGTCTGGGTGTGTTAGGTCTGGGTGTGTTCAGTATAAGTGCACTAGTCGTGTACACCATCCGTTTCTTTCTGTACGAATTTCTGTTCTCCTGCCCTTTCCCGCGCTCCCTCCCAACCGAGGTACTCATCATGTGCGGCCTTCCTTTCTCGCCCAGCTACGGCGATAGGCGCCCCCAGTAAGCAGCCGGCTTCCAGGAGGCGCTCTTAAGACAAATCAAAAGCTTGCTCCCTCGGCTGCCGGAACGCCATCACGAGAAATAGGGATTATCTGATTGGCAGCGGAGATGGAGACGCACCCAGCTCCGATGGCTTGATGGCCAGGATGAAATAGCGCGGTGCGGTGCGACAACCGCAATGCGATTTATCGGCGGAGGCTGCTTTGCTACGACTTCCAAGCTGATAGTATCTGAGGCTGCGCATTGCTCACCGCTCACTCATCTATAGGATCGCTGAAGATTCTCGATGAGGCTGTTGAAACTAGCTCGTTGATTTGAGATACGTATATATGTGCCTACTCTTGTCCCACTAAGACAATCATTGTTGTACCAACTTAGTAGAGGAACTCAAAGAATACAAATAGTCTACATGTGTGCCTACATACGCGTCAGCTACGTGTCTATGTAGTGACATCTCTTCAAACTCGAGCACGTTATACCTGTACTTACCTACATACCTACTGAGAAGTCAAGACGCCAAAATTCGATGTATTGAGCCGCCTGAGTGCGAAAACGGGTCGCTAAACCATGGATTGGGTTCCAAACTCTGATCCCTTCATTCATCCTAACCCGGTGAGCAGATTTGTCTGCCAAGATGACGATCCTAACTCGCCCAAGTCGCCTGAGCCAGACCCCAGATCACCGCACTGTCAAGCTCTCCAGAGTCATGATGCAGTGGGAACTGCCGTGACTGTCGCAAAACTCAAATACGCCCCTTTGACGGCAAAAACAGATTTGCACAATTGGATCTCGTCTGCAGATTTCACTACCGGTTCTGAGCAGACGCCACTGCGTAATGGGTTCTGCATCCTGTTCATACCACGTGCTACAGCCGTCCAGTTGACGACCGGGGAAGATGCCTCTGGATTCACGGACCTGCCCATCACGCTGGCGTGCTGGGAAAAGGTCGCCGAAGCATTCTACCTCCCCGGACACTTCTACAAAGCGGTGTCCAGGCGGCTCCTGTCCGTCATATCGGTCCAGAGGACTTGTGATATTTCCAGTCGAGAGGAGACAATGTGGATGCAAACCGCTGCGACTAACCCTGGGGATGGACGCAAGTACGGCTTTGCATTAGCGGCAACACACATCGAGAGTCGAGGTTTCACGTACGCCGTCATGGTCGGCTGCTCCGATGAGCAGATCAAACAAGTTACGAAATTGGTGAAGGGGTGGGAAGAGGGCGCCAAGCACCCTCTCATGATGCTCGGCGTGTGTGCCGAGCTGCACTTGCAACGCGTGGAGGCAATGGTCAGGGAGCGATCCGCCGAGTACGAGAAGCTCAAGAAAAAGCTCGACAACAGCAGAGGCACCAACCAGTTCAACTGGAATATGATCGACAGAGTGCGGTTAGAAAGAGAGAAGAGCATAAGAGCCGAGACGGAAATCAGCACGACGATATCGCAGCTTTCCAAAGCTTGTCTGTCGGGAGTAAAGACCCTCCGGGATCAGTACAATGACGACGCAGGCAGTCAGACATCGCACAGTCCAGCAGTCGGCAGCCAGACATCGCCCAGTCCGACAGTCGGCAGCCAGACACCACTCAGTCAAGCAGTTGGCAGCCAGACATGGCCCGGTCCAACAGTTGGCAGCCAGACACCACCCAGTCAAGCAGGTCAGCCAGCAATGGTTCCAAACATGCACAACAATAACCAAGCAATGGAGGTGACGAACTTGTTCGATGAGCGGTTCCAGGACATCCTGTCGCGGCTCGACGGGCTGGCCGCCGAGTGCCGAATCGGCGTCGAGGGCATCTCCTTCTCGACAGACGTCATCCGCAGCGAGCTGGCGCGCCAGGACACAGCCTACGGCACCGCCTTTGCCCTCATGGCCGCCGTCTATCTCCCGACGACGGCCGTGGCAACCATCTTCGCTATGCCCATCTTCGGGTGGAGCAATGACTGGCGGGACTGGCGCTATCACCCTCTAACGAAGAGTAACAGTGGCGGCAGCGGCGACTCGGGTGCGGCAGGTCAGTCCGGCCAGCCAGTTGTTTCGGGATACATCTGGGTATGGTTCGCCTTATCTGCTGGCCTCAGTCTCATCACCTTCATCGTCTTCTACTTTCGCGTCTACCGGAAGTTACATCGTAGAAATCGCAATGATGCGGAGGAGCAGTGTGAGAAGGGGTTGTAGATGTGGTGCAAGCGGCTGACTAAGCCACACCCAATCAATACCCACACCCAATTCACACACCTAACGGGTATAAACGAGCCATGTGAATCGGGCGTATAGGTCTTGGGTGTGTAGGTCTTGGGTATGTAGGTATTTGGTGCATGGGTGTTGGGTATGAGTGTGGCTGAGGCCTGGGTGATGCGCTTTATTTTGCTGCAGCTATGGCGTGAGTGACGTAGCAGTAAACACTCCGTTTTTGCAAGTGCGAATCTCCGTAATATATTACAACACATTGTGACATTGGTACTTCAGTGGCTACTTCCTAGTATTTACCGGTCTACCAGGCTGGAAGTGCTTGCAGTAGGGTTGCTGTATTCGTTGTTAAAATGTAGGAAATGTCTGGACTAGCTTAGGGGGCCGAGACCGACCGTCACCGAACCCCGGCTTAAATGGGACCGATCTCGGCAGCCGCCGCATTATCAATCAACGGGCTGGATTGAGTCGAAATCCGCCGCTGGACGAAATGCCTAAATGCCTAGGTAATTCCAACGTCCCGCATTACCCTAAGGATCCCTCGCCTACGTATCGCCATCGTACTCAAACCACCATGGCGCCCTCCCTAGAAGAGCCAGAAGCCGTCCAGGACGTCCTCAAGAATCATGCCAAAACAAAGCCGTCATTAGTCGCCCCCGAGCCAGAACACTGCCCCGGCCCCGAGTCCGACACAGCAGGCACCGCAGACTCATGCGCCGGCTGCCCCAACCAGAAGATATGCGCCTCCGCGCCCAAGGGGCCTGACCCCGACATACCCGTGATATCACAACGCCTGGCCGGGGTGAAGCATCGGGTGCTGGTCCTGAGCGGCAAAGGAGGGGTTGGCAGTGCGTCCTGTCCCGCCCAGTGCAGTGCAGTTTGTACTCCCGGCCCACTGGCATTTGGCTGACCTGAAGCGTTTCCAGAATCGACATTCACAACTTTACTCGCGCACGCGTTCGCCCTGAACCCCGACAGCACCATCGGCATCATGGACACGGATATCTGCGGGCCGTCCATACCGAAGATGATGGGAGCCGAGAACGAGACAATACACATCAGCAACTCGGGCTGGTCGCCCGTGTGGGTCATGGACAACCTCGGGGTCATGAGCATACAGTTCATGTTGCCAAACAAGGACGATGCAATAATATGGCGTGGGCCCAAGAAGAACGGTCTGATCAAGCAGTTCCTGAAAGACGTCGATTGGGGCGAGCTAGACCTGCTGCTGGTAGACACGCCACCGGGCACGAGCGACGAGCACCTGAGCGTGAACTCCTACCTGAAAGAGAGCGGCATCGACGGCGCCATCATCGTCACGACCCCGAACGAGGTGTCACTGCTGGACGTGCGCAAGGAGATCGACTTTTGCCAGAAGGCGGGCATCAAGATACTGGGCCTGGTCGACAACATGGCAGGCTTCGTCTGCCCCAAATGCACAAAGGAGAGTCAGGTGTTCGAGGCGACGTCGGGCGGCGGCAAGGCACTTTCAGAAGAGATCGGCATTACATATCTCGGCGCCGTGCCCCTGGACCCTCGCATTGGCATGGCTGGTGACTACGGAGAGAGCTACTTCGACTCTTTTCCCGACAGCCCGGCCTGCAAGGCGATCAAGAAGGTGGTGAGAGGGGTGGCCTCCCAGATAGCACTAGACTCCGAGAGCCTCTTCCCTTGAGGAGTAGACCTCGGACCAAGAAATAACCGCGTGATACCCCAATCCTCTGCGCCACGCGCAAGTGCTGTCCAGCGATAAGGGTCCATGGCGAAATCGCTGGCGTGTTTCTCGTGCCACCATTCCCTGCTTCCAGCATGACAGGCTTCAGGCGGTCTGCCTTCCTGTCTGTTTCAGAGTATCCCATCAAAACCCATCGCGACTTAAGCGGCACCGAGCTTCTCGGGGACCTCCTCCAAATCGTCGACTGAGCTGAGGTCTATCACCTTGTTGACCTCAGCCGTGTTCCGGAACAGCTCCTTTGCGCCGGCGTAGAGCATGCGGAGCTCGCTGTTGCAGGTGACGGGGAGGTAGAACAGCAGCACGTAGGGGACCGATTGCCGTCCAGAGGGCTGGCGTGGAAGATTAAGTCAGATCACATCCTATCCACCCAGCTGGATATCATGAAAGGGGGGTTCGTACCAAGGTCATGGGGTAGCTCAGGAGCACGAATCTGGGCGAGTGGTCCGGCAGGTCCTCCCCAATCTCTTCGAGGCTCTTATATACGGTCTTGTCATCGTCTTGCTTGATCTCCTTGGTCGCTTTATCGATCATGTCTGCGCCGGGGAGTAACGTCAGCTTCCGCCTCTTGGCCTGGCACCGCCAGCTGCGACTAAATCACCTCACTGTGGCGGCGGCAGCTAGAGACGTACATACAAATGACGGCTTGGGCATCGTTGGACCTCGAAGTCCCGAGCCGGAACTTCCGCAGGTGGTCCTTTGTATCCTGGGAAAAGGTGTATAGCCTCGCTTCGGAGCTCTAGCGACAATTCATAGCTGGTCAGCCAGGGTGCGCGCGCCTTGGAGTTGTGTTCCCGCAGGTCAAAAGGGCTGCGTACCATGTTTTCTGGTGTATGTGCAGCAACAGTGGTTTCCTTGGTAGTCTGCAGATGTCGATATCGATACCGGTCTTTTGGTACGTACGTCGGTGCAGGCTGTACTCGCTATGGGCTGAGGTCGAACAGCAAGCTTAGGTGGTTCAGACATGGGAACCCCCCAGAGCAAGGTCAGCCCCGCTACGGGCCCCCCGCCCACTTGGGACCCAGGGACGAGCCGAGAGCGGTGCCGGACACCGGGGCCCACCACGTCGAAGCTTCACAAGTCTCCATGACGGTATCACCTCAGCAACTACATCCTCACAACGCATTTGTAGTTGCTGTGGTTGAGGACTTTGGGCGAAATTTTGCTCTCTCACACAACAAGTCTTGAACGAAGAAAATTGAGACTGCTAGCCAAGCCTAGATCGACAGATTTCTTCATGTTCTCTCGTGTCTCGCAGATTGCGCGTCATCTCTCCAGACCTGCCGCTCAATTCGCTCATTCCGGTACGACTCCCGTCCTTTCGACCGGAGTGCGCCCACAGATGAACATGTCGACAGCCGAGCAGAACTTTGCGCGGACGATCCACACTGCAGCATGTCTGATAATTGGTGATGAGGTGCTTGGAGGCAAGGCACGTTCTATCCTTACCGAGCTCAATTCGGCCGTCTGTGGTCTTCTAGCTAACGCGTGATGGCTGTACTCTGCGCAGACCAAAGATGTAAGTCTCGTGTAGATAGCACTTTTGGAGAAATACACTAAATATTGGATATCAAGAGCAACTCGAATTATATGGCAAACTTTTGTTTCCAATTGGGCATTGTAAGTGCTGTCTATGGTCTCGGGCTCTGCGAGCTTAGCTGAGTGTTGCTGGACAGCAACTCAAGAGGATCGAGGTCATAGAGGACGATGAGTCGGAGATCGTCGAAGCCGTCCGCAGGATGAGTGACAAATATGATTTCGTCATTACCAGGTGAGGAGTGATTCTGAGAGAGGACCGGCCTATCTGGACGTCCCAATGCCTGGAACCCGCATGAGAAAATGCTGCTGACGAGACGACCTCAAAAGTGGTGGCATTGGGCCGACGTAAGACTCCTCCAGAACCACCCCTTATTGAACCAGCTTGCTAAATACAGCATAGGCATGACGACATCACCTACCAGTCCATAGCCAAAGCTTTCGGGCTGAAGATCAAGCTGTACGAGGAGGCGTACCAAAGGATGAAGAAGCTGTCTCGGCCCCACCCATCACAGCCAGCCTTCAACTGGGATGAGGACAGTCCTGCCAAGAAGGCGAAGCTCAGAATGGTCGAGTTGCCTACAGAGGACTCCGTCCCCCTCGAGAAGCAGTTCCTGTTCCCGCGGGAAGACCTATGGGTGCCTGTTGCAGTAGTAAACGGCAACGTTCACATCCTGCCTGGAGTGCCCCGTCTTTGTAAGTCGTATCACTGTATGTATGTGTACATCTGGCCCGCCACTGACGACAAACCCGTCTCGCTTCAGTTGAGGGACTGCTGGATGGCTTGAAGCCGCATATTCTACCACGCCTGGTTGACCCTGAGGGCAAGGGCATTCATAGAGTGCTTATATCGACGCCAATGGCCGAGAGTGCCGTGGCCACCTACCTGACCGAGCTGGCGACCAAGGTCGAGCCGCAGGGCGTCAAGGTGGGGTCTTATCCTCGATGGGAGAAGAAGAGAAATACGGTGACTCTGGTCGGCAAAGACAGGGCGTACCTGGACAGTATCAAGGATGAGGTGGCTCAGAACGTCAATGGACGGGTCGTGCAGGTTGAAGGCGAAGACGATGACCTGCCCGACGCCAACTGAATTAGAGACCGGGGTGGTCGGTTAGACACTCCGTTCATGTTGCAATCAACGTATCGCCAAAGAGTTTGACCGTGTGCTTGTGCGATCTGTCCGGCAGATCCATCGCCGGTTCCGTGGAGGCGGATATCGAGCAACACGCACGGAATACGATGGGGATCCACTTGATGTCCGAACAACAGGATCCGAGACGGAGCGACAATGCGTCGGGACGGGTAATCATTTGATGCCTTAGCTAGATGCCGGGATGATGCTTTCGGGGCCCTGAGAAGTCGAGGGCCTCGGCTGTTCAACACCTCGCCCCGCCTGAGTAGTCCAAGCCCGAGGCTAGAGGGAGACTATAGAGCCAGAACTGAGATCAGATACGGCATGTAGCAGTCATTGATGTCCCAGCTATGGAACATCACATGTGGCATGGCACAGTGCAGGTGCCCATCGATGTGCTCTACCCTGACCTGATGCCAGGGGGGCAGAGGCAGCAGATTTGGTGTCCGGCCCAAGAGCTTGGTCGCCCAGAGCTCATTACAGTTTATATCGGACCCCTGCTGCGGATCAAACACCCTAGCACAACAAGCTTGAGGTATCCGTCGCTGAGACTTCTCCCGTTAGTGTATCCACTTTCTTCTAGAAAATTTGTCGGCGTTGTGGGCGAGATTATCAACAGCCCCAAAGGTTTCCCAAATGGGAGTCCCCCAAATAGACAGGCCCCACGGAGATTGGGGGGGGGGACACAAGTGACGGAAGAGCGTCGGTCTGACGGAAGGTTTCCGATTCGAGTAGACAAAAGAAGATTTGTGGGAGCGGGCTTCGAAATATCCTCAACAAAAGGGACGCGGACTTCGGTGAGCGTTTTCAAACAAGAACCGGCCCAGATCGAGCATCACACGGTACCAACAGGTCGGAAAGACAGCCATGAGGATCCGAACCTATCAGGGGAGCCACCATGACCAATCGTCGACGGTGGCAGCAGCGTTGGGCACGCTGCTCCCGGGGTTTCGATACCGGTCTGACCAGCTATGGGTGCCATGCGTCGCCCGTTCGCTAAACCGGTCTCGAGTCGTGGCCCGAGAGGGCACATGCATATACCCAGCTGGGGGAGTTCCCATTAGCAGCCGCGCGCCGGCCCACGGTAGGTTGGCTCTGGGCGGCCCAATTCCCAAAGGTGCCCGCATCGGGGGCTGGCGTGAGGAAGCTGTCCCCCGATGCGACCATCGATCACTTTCGAGGCTAGGGGAGTTGCTTGCTCTCCGAAGGGACGAGGACGCGAACGCTCTGGCTCGTTGTCGCGGCGGGTGCCCGTTGAGAGCACCCGCACCCGCACCTGGACCCCTGAGGGGAGGAAGCTTGGGAAGGGACAACCCAGGTAGACCCCAATATCAAACCAAACCTGAGGCGGCTAAGGATGAAGCTACGGGCACACATCACCGAAGTTGCTTGCTCGCCGCGCGAACACCCCGGGCCCTGGGTGGTGTGGCCGGTGGTGGTGGTTCTCGACCTGCAGACTAAAGCCGTTTGGTCTCATCTCAGTAAGATTGGGTGGGGTGGGGTACGCTCTCTCCCCTGACTCCTGTTACCTGTTTGCGTACAGCACAGTACAGTACCCCACCTCGGGAGAGGAGACGAGGGGACGGGCACCGTACGGGCTACTTAGCGACAGCTTCGTCCGCTAGCACCCCGGCAGCCGTGGCCGGGGTTTCTGTTCTGGCAGGCTGGTGTTTTTCTTTTCCGGGGGAGGTCTCCAGAGTAGCTGCTCCAGGGAGGTTGATGACATGACATTTACTACTTGTAGAGTCCACGTGAGGAGAGCATTGCGCCGGGTTCGCGGATTGGCCCGCCGCACGAGTGTAACTTGCGGTATCTATCAGGCGTCGTGGTGCATCTTTCTGCCTCTCCCGTCTGCTGTTCGTGCATGCCGCAAGCTGCAACTAGCCATGCAGGAGCAAGACACTATGCTTGAAGACGGGCAGGCCGGCCACGTGGATGGGCTGGGCGGTGGATCTCAGACAGCCGCGAGCCTGCCTGTGACGGAGGGGGGAAGAAAGGACGAAGGTATCCCGGGTTGGTCGTGGTCGCCCAAGCAGCCCAAGCCGGAATCGATCTCGAGGGCTTTGGCACCCTGAACTTTGCTGAAGTCGACGGACCAGCATGGTCCATACACGTACTTGGAGGTCCGGTTCTATTGTGTCCAATTCGGCATTGCCAGCCGACGGCCGAGCGCCAGCGCAGAGGACAAGGCCAGCGCAGGGCAATCCGACCGTTGTGGATTGTTGATTGTGGATTGCGGACTCGGGCGACACTGAACCACAGGAAGTTTTCCTGGTGCTGCAGTGGTAGGTCCACATCACGATTGGCGGCGGTGAAATTGGCGCGTGTCCGCTCTCATTTCCATATCACGCAACCTGACCAGGCCGGCGGCTGAACAAAAACAGGGCGCCAGCCCGATAGGGGCCGGGGGGCTTGGCCGGGCTGATTGAGCCTTGGTTGTTGTTTATTGGGAGCTGCACGAGCGCCGCGGCGATCAGAGGGAACAAAAAAGGCTGGTTGCACAAGGAGATATGCATCACCATGGGATCAGTTTCAACAGACAGGATGTTTTCCTGCATGATCCCCCTAGACTTTACATACCCGCCCCCGGCTGCCCGGACCCTAGATTTCGCGCCGTCATCATGACGAACGAATGGCAGAAGCAGCCCAGAAGCTTGAAGCAATGCGGCCTTCGACATGTGTTGGGTTGAACCGCTCGAGCGATGGCACGGATGCAGTCCACACCTTGGATCCGACACCGTCTCCATCCTGCCCGATGCCTGCTGTTATTACCACCACGGCCACGAGAGGCTGTGGTCCGCGCTTTGATGCGCGCTGTCGCTGCTTGTCCTTGTTGCCTCGGGCGCTGTCATTGCCGTTGCCGTTGCCACCGTCGCCCAGACCAGACGGACGGCCCGGGCGGGAGTTTGACAGAAGAGGTGAGGCCCTCGCGTCGTGCCTCTTCGCCCTTCGCCCTTCCCCTCCAACCCCCCACGGCCTGCCTCCTGGCTGCCTGGACGCCTGGATGCCTCTCGGGACGAGGTGCAACAGCCGTGACACGGGCTGTGTTGGTGGCACTCGAGGAGCTGTCGTCTCCCGCGTGGAGCCTATTTTTATTGCGGCGAGACCTTGTGGTGTAGCCTCTGCTTGGCTCGCACAAGCTCGCCCAACGCGAACATGAACATGAACGTTGCCGGGCGTGTGCGGATGTGGCTAGACCAGAGGGGTCCGACACCAGGTGTCGTTGCTGTTAGTTCGACGTTGGCCATCTGCCAGTCCGGTCCCCAACGCAGCTACCGAGGCATGAGATGCAGGCTAGCACATTGGACTGCAACCTTGGGGAAGGGTAGCAGCGCCCTTGCCGGCTTGTTTTTCAGCCTGGTCAAACATCGAGAATATTCCTTCGACATGCAGAAAATAGCCACAGGCAGGCGCAGGCCCCTATGCCGGGCCGTGCTGGTGGGATGAGGTCAGCCCCCTGTGAGGCTCAAGAAGCCATCTGTACGATCCTATTGAGCCCAAGGGGGTTGCATCCAGTGCGTAGGAAGGCCGTCCCACCGGCGCATGCGATATTCTTGTTCCACTGCCACCCGCCTCCCGGGGGCGTCCTCAGCGCCGACAGGCTCGTGCCCTGTGACGCGAGCCGGAGGGGGTGTGGACAATGGACAGGTGCTAACTCGATCTGTGCCTGCTGCTGTACATGCACATTGTACTTTAAAGACAGATCCGCAGCTTAGAATGTGGTCTCCAGCGGGCACAGCTCCAGCTGGCGTGGTATACTGTGTGCTCCATGCAGGCGTATCGAGCCTGTTGGCTGTCGAGCAAACCTCCGAATGACGAGCTGGCCCACCATTCACCGTCATATGGCATGCGACGTGCCATATCAGAGCCCGAAGCGCATATACCTGCCTGCTAGCCCTGCGCACATCACGGTTCACCCAGAGCTGCTGCCGGTTTGAGGTGAGCGAGACTGAGGCCTAATAAAAGCACGGAGTATTCAATTTAGGACCCCAGCAGACCGACAGGCCGATCCGCACTGTGCACCTGCCTCGCCTCCGTGCCCCCAACTCCTGGGAGCCAATCACAGCTCCCAGCCTCTGCAGCTCTGGTAGCATTCTCGGCTCATCTTTGTGGGAAGTACCCAGGTGGGTACTCAGGTGGGGTACCAGGGTACATCCTCCAACGTCCTGAGCGCCCATGTGGTGGACAAAGCGCTCCTACTAGCAGAAGACAGCCAGCCAGAGACAGCCAGAGGGACCTGACAGACCCGGACGGGTGTGGGAGCTGCTGGGGTGCTCTCCTGCTCTTGCTCTTGCTCCTGCTTCTTGCTCCTCCTGCTCTTGCTGGGGTGCCGCTGCCGCTGCCGCTGCCGCCGCCTCTGGAACCTGGAACCTGCAATCACTTCCGTTTCCATTTCCCAGGGCGCCCACCCTGCACCCACACACCACACCTCAATCTGGCGTACCCACGCCATCCATTTTAATTCTTTCTCCTGCCTACTCCTACTCCTTGCCAACCTCCCGCGCATCAGAACTGCCGCGACAACCCTCGACTCTCGACTCTCCATCGCCTTCCTTTCGCCTTGGCCAGCAAACACCATCCGATTTCTGGCGATCGATAGTCGGCTGCCCACGACAAGTCTCCCCAATTGACCAACCCGTGCCCGGCCTTTCAACCACCCCCCGGACGAACTTGGGCGTTTTGACTCCCAGCTTGGCGCTGGAATTTGGACTGGGATCGCCGTCTCTTCTTCAAACAAGCACCACCACACTAGAGGGTCCCGACTCCATCTTCTGTCCGGAAAGCCAAACGCACCTCCATTCGCCAACACATCATCATCGTTCAGCTGCTCCGCCCATCCTGTTCGATATCAACTAGTTTCGGTTCGTGTCAATACTACAGGCCTTAGTCGTCTCGATTCCTCTTATCGCAGCTACAATGGCTTCCAAGGTACGCTCCAAACGTCCACACACCATCCCTTGTCAGCTCCCGCTCCGGCCATGATCTGTTCCCAATTGCGCCCTGTTTGCGTCGCGCCCAGCCTGCTGACAGTCGTCGCCAGCAGTTTCTGAGAGAGTACAAATTGGTGGTTGTCGGCGGAGGTGGTGTCGGTAAATCGTGTCTTACGATTCAATTGATTCAAAGCCATTTCGTCGATGAATACGACCCAACAATCGAGGGTATGTCGCACACCGATCCCATCCCTACTGGCTGCATCAATTGACCCTTTGTCGCAGACTCGTACCGAAAGCAATGTGTCATTGACGACGAGGTCGCGCTTCTCGATGTTCTCGACACCGCCGGCCAAGAAGAGTACTCTGCCATGCGAGAGCAATACATGCGGACGGGCGAAGGGTTTCTGCTCGTTTACTCCATCACGTCCCGCCAGAGTTTCGAAGAGATCACAACCTTCCAGCAACAAATCCTGCGAGTCAAGGACAAGGACTACTTCCCCATGGTCGTTGTGGGCAACAAGTGCGATCTGGAGGGCGAGCGAGAGGTTACCAGGCAGGGTATGCCACACCACCTCATTTTGAAATGTCAGCGCGCAAGCCGGTGGTATGCTAACGGTCCGTCGCAGAGGGTGAGAACCTGGCAAGGTCATTCGGCTGCAAGTTTATCGAGACATCAGCAAAGTCTCGGATCAACGTCGACAAGGCATTCTACGATATCGTACGCGAAATCCGACGCTTCAACCGCGAAATGCAAGGGTACTCGACCGGCAGCGGCGCATCTGCACCAAACGGTGCCGTCAAGCCGATGGATGTCAGCGATAACGATGCCGAGGCGGGATGCTGCTCCAAGTGCGTGATAATGTGAGAGGTTTCGGATCTGCGGCGTTGCAGAGCGGGATGTTCGGGGGCAAGGGACGTCCATCAAGAGAAGAGAGTACGGGAGGGCCAAGGAATAGGACGCACTGATTCTTAACGAGTCAATCGATGGTAACGTCCAAGCTTGATACGACGACATATTTGCATAAGGCTGGGGAGTCGAGTTCCCTTCCAGACGATATGGACGCACATGGCCAGCATTTCTGGAGGAGTTGACGCGCGCGAACTCGGACTCTCATGGGACACGACAGGGCATGGCCTCCATTTGATTTTCCCCTTCTCCCTGTCAACCGGAGACGCATATGGACACTTTACAGAACTTTTTATTTACTATTACCCAGGTCACTTTGCCACTTGTTTTTCTTTTTTTAGGGGGGTTTGTCTTATCTGCACCGAAAACTGAATCTTATATTATGGTTGCTATCCCGACCTGTAATCTCTTTTTTCGTCTGCCTTCCCTCGTCTGTGGACCGCGGACTGTGGCTCTCGCGTATTAAGACGTTATATTCCTCTCAGGAGCTCTCACATGTAAGGAGCGGCATATCTCGATATGCAACAGTGTGATCGAAAATCAAGTGCAAGAAATGTCCCGTCAAATCTGATCCAAGCCGCTTGTACTACCCAATAAGATCGACAGTCGTTGGTCTCGAAGGGGGGCGAACACATCCTTTCTGCGCGCATCGATCGATGCCAGGTACTTTTGTGACACCACCACATCGGTGTCCGAAGTATCCAGGCAGGCAGCGTGTGTAAGTCATTATTTTGACAAGGTGGGAAAAAGGGAAATCTCCAAGTTCCTCACACCTAGTTCTTGTATCAGAAGCCTGCAAACCTCAGGGACGACCACATATTACTATCAGCCAATTCCTCGGGAAAAGCTGGTTCCGATGTTGTACAGGTTAGACGGTCTCTAGCGGCTGATGAGAGTGAGTAATGGATAGATTGACTGCATTGATTCAGAGTATATGCGGCTCTTTTTGTCATTGCTATTCCTCTGGTGTTCCGGTTTCGTAACAGAGGAATCAACCACATTGTCCAAGAGACTCTGCTTAATGCCTCCGCCCTATGCAGAATGCTACGGGCTCACCCCCAATACCACTCCGAAGTACCAAGACGGGACTCATCTTCCGCCATCAACACAGAAGGGGCTATTCGGATTCCTCCGGAAACGGGTGGGACGAAGGGGGCGCAGAGGCTCTTTCAACATTTAGCCACCACCATCCACGTCCCTGGGATTCGATTCCCATGGTATCATGTCCAGAGGCAAGATCGAATGTGCTAAAACTCCCGTTTGAGGAGGCGTGAATGCCGTGCGGACAGCACGCCCCGGATGTTATTGACCGGGAGGACCGTCCAGGGCCCCCTCGCCCAACGCACAGCAGGTCGCACGGCATCATGCCCACGAGCCAATCTCAGCGGCCACGGGTAGACATCTCAGATGGTGCATGCGAGGTAACGCATCAAGCTCAACGGCGCCAAGGAAAGAGGTACACGCACGCACGCACTGGGGGCTTGCTCGTAACCAAAGGCTCACCCACAGCGGCCCCTGCCGAGTCACCATGGCGCCAACATTTCCGCCACATTTGTGACTGAATATCTTTAACCGTTCAGGATCAACAAGCTCCTTTCTTGCTTGCCACGACCGTGGCTTACAGTAGAGTGGGGATGAAGGGCGGCGAAATACCGGAAACGAGACCGAGGCCAAGGCTGGATGTCTTGACTCTCGAGCCAAGCTGGCTGGTCGGGGCACAGCACATCATGCCGAAGGGACTGACCAGGCCCTTGCGGGAAAGAAAAAGTATGGCGAGTCCCCCAGTGCTCCAAGCCAATGAGTGTAGCCGATACTCTGCCGATATCTCTTGGTGCACAGGGCCGCTCTGGGCGAGTGATAATGTATGCTACGGTATAGGAGGCCCTGCGGTGGGGCTGGCCTGTGTCGAGCTGGGGCTTCTGTGAATCAGGGACAAATCTAGCTGCTGCATCTTTTGGCATGAATGTTCTGAGTAATCATGATTACGGAAGAGGCGACTTCTACAAAAGAACTTCCACAGCACAGTGTCCGACACTCTTTGAAGTAGTTGTATGCACGTTATCAGAGACATCTCAACTGTGGCTCTGATAATCATTGGTCTCTGAATATAGTATATATCTATCTTGGATGTATTATGCTATGCGTCTAAAGAGCACATGTTCTTCAATGCAAGATCGAACATAGCAGCATCTGGTCGATTTGAGTGACCTGGACTTGTTGCTGACATTACTGGCGACACTGGGGATTTAGAATAAATTCGCCAGAAAATGAATCTAAAAAGTGTAAGACGTGTGGAAGTCGTATGTTCATGATCAATAGCATGAACATGTCCTTTTTGTTGTGAAAGAGCCTCAGTCTGATTTCAACCTCAGTCTTACATTTAACAATAACAGCTTCTGCGGAAGGTTTAAAAAGACGTAGAAATTCCGCACATAACTTGAAAGGACGAATAGCTCTAATATCTGAGCAACAGCACACCAGCAAGTATCAAACACGCTTGCGTGTGAGCTTTGCCGTGCTCAACCAGCGATTCCTGTGAGAGAGTCAGGGGAGTTGCCCTCGAGTTTCCTGAGAAATCCAAGACCTTTAAGTTTTGGGTTGATCTCATTCACAGCAGACTGTTCCTTTTGTAGATTTCAAACGATGGCGAGGATTGCAGCGGGGGTGGGTGTTTTCAGCACAGTATGATTGTGTATCGGAAACTAGCTGACAGTTCACAGTTGACTACAGTCACAATTGTGGCGGAAATAGCTATTCAACGAGGAAAATCAGCAGGTTCAGCTGTTCAGAGAAATTTGTAAACCCGTGGTCTGGGAAAGTTCCAAGGTTGGTATTGCAAAGGCATGGCTTGTAGGTGGCTTCCTGTTTTGATTTTATTCTTCGCAAGACGAGATACAGGTACCACTAACTCAGCCCTAAGACTGGCCGTTCGGTGGCTATTCATCTTAATATGATCACTGAACTCGAACTTGTATATCTGGACGTGTCATTCCTCAACTTGAGATGTTCATTCTGGGAGGAAATGTTGTTCCGAGGATTAGTTACCGGCACAACCCAAGTGACTGCAATGCATACACTCTTAGAGTCTTCAGTGGCACTTCTGTGCCTCTATGTATGTGAACGATGAGAGATTGGAGCGCGTTGGACCCGACCGAGCCATTTGATAGCCAGGAGACGCTATGGCTACATGGGCGTGAGCATGTAGTAATGGTCTCCGAGCTTTGCATGTAGAACCATTCCTGGCCACATGAGTAGACTACGTTGTTGGGGTTTAATGTTGTTCTCAGAATCTCGAACACATCGCGCGGTACTGACAACAATTGACATTGTACGAGGGGCTGCGAGCGCGGGCAGCTTGCATGATGTATACGTATGTTTTCCTTTGGGCTCCTGGTCGGCACAGCCTTATCCTCTCACTAAGCAGATTGAACATCCAGATAGCCCAGGTTAGATGTGCAACTCATTCCTACAGGTATCACTGCCTGGAGTCGAATCTATATTTATAGCCAGGCTGCAATAGTCTTCTGATGATGGCACTTTAAGGTAACACTGCATATGGTCACTCCTCACTTGCAATTGCAGTATCGGAGCAACTACAGAGAATAAATAGTTGATTGTAACCATTCCAGATTGCTAACTCGTTCTACCTTTTGCCAGTCAATACTTCAGATGCTGAAGTCATCACGCGCAGCGTCGACGTTCCAGCGATGTAAAATGGTCCGCTGTTCCGCACTATGTTCCTTACATACAGCACCGTGTCGCCGGCGGTGCGGGACGTGATGACGCAGTGGTATGTCGAGGGGCTGGAAGAAGCACTGGAAGGCCATGGGGATCATATGCTTTTGAAGGCGTGCCGGCACACCGACGATCGTGTCGATGACAGCCAACAGCGGCCCGCCAGCTTCTGCGGGTGTGAGATCATGGAACGTGCCTGCAGCCGCGTTGCTACAAACCTCCATCAGCAGCCAGCGCAAGAGGAGAGCGACGACACCAGAGCCACTGCCAGGAAGCAGGAACGGAGAGCAGTGCCCAAAACACTCGATGTTGACGGCTGGCTTGCCCTTACAGAAAGACTCAGGATGGAGCGCCGGCAAGCGTTGGAGGGATTGGACAATTCGGAGGAGAGAATCTGTGGTGAGACGGACAAGAGCCGTGGGCGCTGTGTATATGTACTTGCGGCACCTGAGGGTGTTCCTCTGTACTCGAGGTTGGTTTCAAGGTTGTTGGCCAGGTTGAGACGCCCTATGGCAACATCATGAGCACGTTCCAGCCGGCTTATCAATGAATCTCCTTGCTCTGAGTACCCGTCCTGACATCTGATGTGGCAGAAAGATTCGGAAAATGGTGCTTAGTATTTTGACATGAACTATCTCAATCTATCTCGTCACCCTTAGAGCCTTTCCGGAAGCTGTTCCTCGAGTATCAAGCATACAAGCAATTGGATCGGCCTGCGGATTCACCTCCATGAGGTATCAGAATCAGCAGTGGGGATATTGGAGACATTGTTTTTGTGGTCGCCATGAAATATGACCGTCTCATCCGGTGCCAGGCACACTGTCGGATGTCCGCCCACCAACATCAGTGAGCTCGAATCTCGCGGCGTTGGGTCTGGGGCTCAGCTAGTTTGTATGCCCTCGCCTGGCGAATCAACTTACACGGTTTGGCGCCTGGTAAGCTGAAGAGGGTATCCATGCGTCGAGTCAGTAGCAACGGCATGCATCGCACTATCGGTGGTCATCGTAACAAGTGGGTGGACCGTCTTGCCACTCGAATGATACCGTAGACGGGCAGAGAGGCAGACAGGCAGACAGACACAGGCCCAGAACTGTATACGGTTTGTGGAATGATCCGAAGTCTGACACAGTCTTGTTGATGCACCACGGACTGGAATTGGTCGCAAGATCTTTCTGAAGAAAGTATCTTTGAAGATGCGTGTCGCATGGCCGGACAGCCCCACTACTGTGGACAGAGTTGGTGCCGGCGGCATGCCGGCTTTTACCCTGTTTCCCCTGCAGCGGTCGGGCCCGCATCGGCAGGAACCCTTGGCTACGTGGCGGGGGAACGACAAAAGGGGGCCCTTGCCCAGTTGCGATAAGTACTTATTTCTTGAATTTTTGCCGCCTCTTGCACCGGAGCCTTTCCCTCCCAAGTTGTCCTCAGCAATTCCCTTTCTCTTCCACTGGCACTTTTCGCTCAACTCTAGGCAGTCTGAAGAAGAAGAAAAAAAAAACCCAGCGGAAAATGTCTACAACAACCACCGTCACAGCCTCGGCCCCCCAGGCCACCGGCATCAATGCTGAGACCATCCTGCGCCTCTTCCCTGACATCGACACAACCAACACGTCGGAGCTCGACGGTCACGATGCTGAGCAGATCCGCCTCATGGACGAGGTCTGCATCGTCCTAGACGAGAATGACGAGGCCATTGGCACCGCCAGCAAGAAAGTCTGTACGTATTATTGTTTATTCGTCATCGTGGTCTATGTTCGGACGCCGAATGACTGACAACCGCCCCCAGGCCATCTGATGACCAACATCGACAAAGGACTGCTCCACCGCGCCTTCTCCGTCTTCCTCTTCAACGACAAAAACGAGCTCCTCCTGCAGCAGCGCGCCTCAGAAAAGATCACCTTCCCCGACATGTGGACCAACACCTGCTGCTCCCATCCTCTGATGATCCCGGGCGAGACCGGCTCCAACCTTGCAGAGTGCATCGAGGGCGTCAAGAGGGCGGCGCAGAGGAAGCTCGACCACGAGCTGGGCATCAAGAAGGAGCAGGTTCCTCTCGAGGACTTCCACTTTCTCACGCGCATTCACTACAAGGCACCGAGCGACGGCAAGTGGGGCGAGCACGAGAGTACGTTGAACCTTCCCTTTACCGAATATCACCCGGTTCGGGTCCCGCGACCGAGCGACGGGCAAGACCTGCATGCTGACTGAGCGTGTGCAGTTGACTACATCCTCTTCATCAAGGCCAACGTCGACCTGAACGTGAACCCCAACGAGGCCCAAGCGACGCAATACGTGACACCGGAGGCGCTTAAGAAGCAGTTTGACGACCCTACACTCAAGTTCACACCATGGTTCAAGCTCATCTGCAACTCTATGCTGTTCGAATGGTGGTCGCACCTGGACTCGGGCCTGGAAGCCTACAAGAACGAGCAGCAGATTCGACGCATGTAAAGTGACCACCTAGCCGGATCCCCCCCCCCCCCCCGCAACTTGACCGTTGTCCTTTCACTCGCTGGAGGATTGATATAAGAACAAAAAGTTTAGACATGGTACTGCCTTTCTTCAGGCGCAAGGCCTTGTTCCTGTGGCCCCGGTCCTCAAGCACATGAGATACCCATATCCGACTGTTGGCAAGCTGGAACTGTTTGATATTCCGCACATAGCACTAATATAAGCATGGCGATCTCCTTTCATCACGAGACTCACGTACTTCGACTTCGGTACCAGTGATTAGAATGTGGCCACCTATAAGTGGCGTCTCTCGGAGACCGAATCGTTGCTTGGGGGGCTGGCACGCCTTGTTCCTACAGCTGTCGAGGGTGGGCGTGCAAGGCTGGACGATGCGCACATGGAGGGGACAATACTGGGAAAAGTTGCCCGCATGTCCACGGTACCAGTGCAGTGTGTCTTCTGGACTTCTCGCGAGATCGTGCCAGTCCAGCAACGATTTGAACGTGTGAGGCTCTCAGGCCCCAGGAATGTCCCAGGGGCCGAGTTCGAGTTCAACCCAACCACATGGAGGATGGCAAGTAGGTCCAAGATGAGAAAGGCATGATGAAAGGGGTTTCTCGCGATATTCAAGAGGTTGCACGGCTCTCAGACACGGACCTAGAGGCGTCTAAGGTGTGGGATGCAGTTGCCAACACCAGACATACCAGGAAGACTAACAAGTAGTCCGAGTGATCACTACAACGCATAATGCCAGCTAGTACGGATTGAATGGATACAAGGGCTCGAAGTTGAGTTTCCAGGCATGATTTATTGAATGTCGAGGAGATTTGGTTTTCTTAACTGCTCAGGCCAAGTAGTTCAGGAGCGTCGTAGACTCGAAAGGGAGACAGACTGCGACCAAGAGATACCCGGCCTCGGGTGTCAGCAAGCTTGCGAAGCCGAAGGGGGAGGGAGCAACGTGGCGCGGGCGTGGGCACGAGGCTCTCACCGGGACTCGTTGATCTGATTTGGTCGGCTAGATATTGTTGGGATCTTGAGGTACAACGTGGGTTACGCAGCGGTGCCGCACAGCCAGCCAGACAGACAGCCAGACAGCCAGACAGCCAGACAGCCAGACAGCCAGACAGACAGACAGACGGTCTTGATGCCTCGCCAGCACACCCCAGACATCCCGCGCTGGCCGGGCTTGGCTGATGTATGTCTGTGTGCCCGTGCCCTCATTCGACGCCTCATGGGGAGGAATAGCAGCGATGCCGGTTCTTGCGTGGGACAGACAACCATCGCCCGCGGCGTCGTCACTGTTCGCCTGTTGCCCCTCAGGTCGGGATCCGATAAGCCACAGATATGCGGCCTGTCACCACCCAAGGCCCGGCAGGTCTCACCCTGCGGCTTACCGAGACGGGCCCATCCTCCAGTCAGTGGCCCTGCTCGAGTTACCGCACCTGCAAACATCCCGCGTGCCGGTGGTAACCCAACTAACCCGGCAGTCACGAGTAGAGTGGTGGCATGCAGGCAGCGGACGGGTCCGACTCTTGGCGGGATGGTCGGGTGTACCTACCACTACATACCACTCCCACCTGTACCGGTCTATTTAACCTTCCCTAGCTCGTCTCGCCCTGTTGCCTCTCCTCTCCTCCTCCTCCTCCTCCTACTACTACTACTATTGCCACTACTCTTCTCCCCGGATCTTCCAGAAAGAGACACTCTAGCAGAATATCAGACTACTCACCAACGCATAGGAGTCCATCAACTTCCTAAGCTCCATCCACCGGGGCGTTCCTAACTAGAACATATACTCACATCGCAACTGCTCCCGTCCTTTGTCCCCGCAGAAACTCACGAACAAAGCTTCACAGCACCTGCTCGCTCGATTGCTTGCTTGACTGCTTGACTGACCGACTGACCGACTGACCGAACCTCACCTCCTAAACCCAAGCTATCCAAGGCGTTATTCGTCGAACTCTACATTGATGTCTGTTGATATACGCACCTGTCTCAACTGCCTCACCCACCCCTCCAGGTTTATGCCCGTCTCGAGATCCCAATTATCTCGAGTCCATACGGGTGATAGTATCCAAAATATAAAACACACGTAGAAATCCAAGGTGAGTCTTCTCTGCCCTGCCCCAGTGCTCGTCGCGGGGACAATTCTTCTGATGCCTTCCCCCAGTCAAAGACTGCCCAGCATGGAGACCGTGAGCAGTAGTAGCACCGTCACCCTCGTCGAGATCAAGCACTCGCTCATCCCCAAGAAGTGGGGGGAGTCTGTCCGTATCGTCGACATGTCCGAGTGTCAGCAGGTAGCCATCTCGCTGGCCCATGCCTTCGCCGCGGACGACCTCGCGTGCTATCTCCTGAACTCGGACGACATGGCCGGTCTCTCCCCGGAGGAGAAGTGGAAGCTGCACGTGGACATCTTCCAGTACATCGTCGCGGCTCATTGTCTCAACGGCGAGACTCACGTCATTGGGCCCGACCATGAGGGCGTTGCTTTGTGGTCAGTGTTCTCGCTACGTCCTAGGCATTTGCCATGCCCTGCCCTGGCCCCACATTTCTCTGGATCAAAGTGGAAGATCGTGCCACAAGGGATTCTAACAACTTGAGCAGGATGCCGCCTGGCAAGAACATCGACGATTGGTACACGGTTCTCCGAAGTGGCATGTGGAGGCTGTACTTCCAGCTCTCAACGGAGGGAAGGCAGCGCTACTATAACGAGCTGCTTCCGCTTCTCCACGACACCAAGGTCGAGGTTCTGGGCGAGCGCGACGAGAATGCCTACTACCTCGTCTACCTGGGCACCAAACCTCATGCACGAGGCCGAGGCTACGCCGGCAAGCTCTTGAAGACCATGATCGCCAGGGTACGTCCCTAGCCCGTTTCCCGAACGCCGAGGCCAACTTGCTAACGTTGCCGGCTGTCGCAGGCGGATGCTGAGAATAGGCCTGTGTACCTTGAGTCGAGCTCCCTGGCCAACAACGCCTACTACGCCAAGTTTGGGTTTGTTGTGAAAAAGGAGATATTCCTCAAGCGAGGGGCCGTTCCGGTCCAGCTGACCATCATGGTGCGAGAGCCCCAGCCCGTCGCCAAGGTTGCTAACGTCCCCGTCGTCAAGAGGCAGGTTAGAACAGCAGCACCGGGTGGCCGTGTCCTGGACTCTTAAGGGAACTTCTGGACTGTGGGCCGGTGAGCGGCCGACCGTCTTGTTTTCTTGAGAGAAAGGGAGAGAGGCCCCGTCATGACTGGCCCCGTGTGCACCTTAGACGTGTGCCGTGTGTGTGCGTGCCCGTGTGGTGTGTCTGTTTTATGGTTGTGTGTGATTTCATGCTTGTTTTTGAGGCAACCAGGCTAGACTGACCCAAAGTCCCTCCTTATGCTCGTCATTATCTTGATGCTTTGCTGCAATGGGCCACTAGATTGAAAGCTTGTCACGGCCCTTCATTTCTACCATTTTGTTCCCCCGGACCAACACCCGCCCCGCGCGAACCAGTCTTTACATCATAGCATAGGTATTATCATCAAATGGAAAAAAAGCAAAAAGGGCAATCATTCCTTTTGCCGCAAAAGACGCCGCCCCCAGCCCTAATAGTGTGCAATTGTGGATGCGAATGTCTCCCAGGCGGCCATGTTCCTACACGCGTAAACAAACACAGGCGGGTAAATATCAACCGATCAGTACTCAAGTATTGCCCACGTCTCGTCGTCGACCGTCGTGTACACAAGCCCCTGGCCCAGCAACTCGTCCGACGCACCGAGGACCTCCCGGGACGTCATGCCCGTGCCGCTCGTGATGAGGTTGAGGTGCACGCCCTCGTTGCTGCCGGGGGTATCGGACAGGAACCTGAACATGCGCTGGGCGCTGGGCGAGCAGGCGCCGAGCTTGGCCGCGTTCTCGCCGCCGCCGTTGGCGCCGTACGAGTCGACGAACATGCTGTCGCCGTTCCCGGCGTTGCCGTCGCCGTGGCCGTTGGCGCCGCCGCCGCCGAGCTCGCCCTTGGTCAGGTAGAGGTGGACGTAGGTGGCCTCGAGCATGTGGTAGTTGACCTCGTTGAAGTCGTCGACGGCGCGGATGAAGTGGGCGCCGACGTGGCGCTTGCCGCTGAAGGACTTGAGCCGCCCCCAGACGCGGACGTGCTGGTCGGGCTGGTACTTGGGCTCCAGGTCCTCCGGCTTGTCGGCGTCGACCCATTTCTTGACGTCGATGGTGCCTGTGCCGTCGTCGAGGCGGTAGGTTATGTTGGTCGACTGCGGGTTGACCTGTCGCACCTGGCCGACGATGGTGACCTGGGTGATGGGGTGGCCGTCGATGGAGAAGTCGGCGCCCGGGTATGCCTCCTCGAGGTCGATGAGCTGCTTGATCGTCACGGGGCGGAGGGACTCGTCGGCGAAACTCTGGACGGTGGGGGAAGCAAAGGTCAGCGCATGTCTGGCAGCAGAGCATCACAGAGAGTAGTATTTGAAGGGCGTGGGTACCTTTGCACCGCCTTGGGCTCCTTGGCTGCCCGACTGCGAGCCGCCATAGACGAAACCGCCGTCGGTGTCGCCGCCTTTCGCGCCGTACGATGCGTACGAAGCTGTCACAGATTGTCAGTTCAGACTTCTTCCTTTTTCCCCCCTCATGGGCAAATGGTGGGCCAGGCGACATACTCATGGTCAAGGGCGGTGGTGAGTCCAAAGAGAGCGGTTGTGGCGTGGGTGAGGTTGGCGGGTCGGGCGGTGTTGAAGTTTGGGATCAAATCGAGGGAGACGCGTCTTGGGAAGGCGTTGACGCGCCGTGCACTGGGAAACCACTTTAACGTGCTGATCCAGGGGGGGTGGGGGGCCCTGGACCTAGTGGGTACCACCCGCGCACTGGAGAGTGAGCCCGGATGCCCGTTACATAAGCAGAGTTCCCGCCTAGAGGAAGACGTGGGGGACTCTATAACCGCAGCGTGTTTAACCCCCAGGTGGATGCTGCTAGGCCCCTAGGCTTGACTGTACCGGTATATATTCAGTCTTTGAATATCTAACTCATCTCTACGAAGGTATCCAATGAGGCAAGAATGGCAGGACTATACTGTGTGAGCCGGCCAGTAGATCGTGGAATGTTCTAGGAGATTTAGGGACCCCGCGATCGGTACTGTTGACATCTGATCTGGTGCCCGCAGCGGCAACCATGGCGCGGCGTCCGGGGTCGCAGCGGGTCTTTTTAGCCTCGGCTCACTCGCCTCGTCAACGTCAACGTCAATCACTCAATCACTCACCACTCTTCTCAACACCACCAGCACATCTATCTGCCTTCCCTGCTGAGGCACACACCTAATATAGCCGCATTCTCGTGGACAACACAACACCTTTATCCGTAGCTCACATCTTTCCCATACTCACTGTTCTGTGCTCATCTCTGTGTCTTCCGTTCGTCCTCTGCAGCTCATCATATCCGCCTGCCCATCTCACATCAATAATCACCATCACCCGTCACCTAGCTCCCTGTTTCTTCCACCCAGATTCAACTCCCAGCTCAACCGACTACTCGACTTGGCCCAGGTGATCATCATGGCTCCGTCAAATTCCGCCACCCTGCCCATCATTCCTCTGCCACATGGTATAGTTCTCCTGCCAGGCACCATCCAACGAATCCCCGTTTCTCCCAGCCGTCCGGATATACCGGCCTTGCTATCAACCGTCTTCACTCGTGCCGCCGCCAGCGGCTCCAATGGTCGCATAGAAACCGTCCCAATCGCTTGTGTCCCCCAGGCCCGCCTGTCACCTTTGATGGGACCGAATGGCCAGCTTCTGATCGAAAATGGCGAGCGGGACTACTCAAAGGTTGCCCAAGATGACTCGGGACGCAAGATATCAAAGTCCGACTTATTTTCCTGTGGTGTTGCTGCAAAGATCACTGGCGTCGAAGGTCGCGGAACTGGCGACTTCTCTTTGATAGTCGAAGGCGTCACACGGGTCAAGGTAGAGAAGATCTATCAAATGCAACCATACTTCGAGGGCAAGGTCACCTACCTCAAGGACCAAGGTAAGAAATCACTGCGCGTCTACTAGTCGCAACCTCATATCTTTTCACCCTGTCCTTCCGCTCATCTGGTCATCCGATGTCGTGGCCTCATGTGCTGACTCGCTATCCAGTATCACAAGACAAGCCCGTCGAGGAACTTTTCCAAGCTCTTAGACTTTTGTCCAGGGAGCTGGTCGCAATACTCAGGGTGGCTGCCATATTCAGATCATCAGGCTCTCCGGGGCTGTCGCCGCTATTGGCCCGAAGGCTGGACTTCTTCATCAACAAGAAGACCTTAGCTGAAGCTGGCCTGCTTGCCGATTTCATGGCCAATGTTGTCGAGGCTTCTTTTGAGGAGAAGCTCAAGGTACTGTCACTTTTTGACACAAAAGAGCGGATGGTCAAGGTCATCGAGCTACTGGAACGGCAAATTTCTTCTATCAAAAACAACATCCGCATCACCACTTTTACGTCCTCGTCTGTTCCGGTCATTATCGATTCCGATGACAAAGACCAGGAACCACAGCGCAAGCCCAGCAAGCCCCTCGGCCCAGTGCGTGGGCCCGGGAGTGGCTTTGGCCTGCCGTTCTCAGGTTCAAGGGGAATGAATGGTCCAGCGGGCGGCGACGATGACGAGCCCAACGAGATAGAGGAATTGCAAAAGAAGCTTGAAGCGGCAAAGTTGTCCCCAGAGGCAGCTAAAGTGGCTGAAAGAGAGCTCAAAAGGTTGAAGAAAATGATACCAGCACAGGCCGAACACGCCGTAACCCGAAATTACTTGGAAACGCTGGCCGAAGTTCCTTGGACCAATGTCACAGATGATAGACTTGGGCCTGGTACGCTGACAGCAGCAAGAAAACAGCTTGACGACGATCATTACGGCCTGGACAAAGTGAAAGCACGGCTTCTGGAGTATCTCGCTGTGCTGCGACTGAAGCAGTCTGTCAACGAGGACATAGATGCCAAAATCAAGCAGGCCGAGGAAGAGACTGCATCCCTGGGGACAATTCAGAAGTCCGAAGGTGAAACCCCTGCTCCGGGCGACCAAGATCACCAGGTCAAGGGAAGCACGGCCAAGGTCGAAGTGCTGAAGAGTAAGCGGATGGTTGACAAGTCGCCAATCTTGCTTCTCGTCGGTCCTCCAGGAGTTGGCAAGACGTCCCTGGCGCGATCGGTGGCCAAGGCTCTGGGCAGGAAATTTCACCGAATCTCGCTGGGTGGTGTTCGCGACGAGGCAGAAATTCGTGGTCATCGCAGGACTTATGTCGCCGCGATGCCGGGTCTCATTGTTCAGGGCTTGCGCAAGGTTGGGGTGGCCAACCCTGTCTTCCTCTTGGATGAGATCGACAAGTTGGGACAGGCAAACTTCAACGGAGATCCATCAGCTGCTATGCTGGAAGTCCTCGACCCCGAGCAGAACCACACGTTTGTGGACCACTACATCAACATTCCCTTGGACCTCAGCAAGGTTCTCTTCATCGCTACAGCCAACTCGCTTGATACTATACCCGCGCCCCTACTGGATCGCTTGGAGATGATCTACCTTCCCGGGTATACAACTCTGGAAAAGCGACACATTGCCACGTCTCATCTTATCCCCAAGCAGGTGCGCGTCAATGGCCTTGACGAAGATCACGTCAAGTTCACCGATGATGTTGTTTCCAAGATCATTGAGTCATACACTCGTGAAGCTGGAGTTCGCAACTTGGAGCGGGAGATTGGTAGTGTTTGCAGAGCAAAAGCAGTTGAATATGCCGACGCCAAAGATGCCGGGCGCCTGGAAACATACAAGTCATTGCTCACCGTCGAGGACGTCGAGAACACCCTGGGAATCGAGAAGTTCGAGGAAGAAATCGCCGAAAAGACCAGCCGCCCTGGCATTGTCACGGGGCTTGTGGCTTACAGCTCTGGCGGCAACGGATCCATCCTCTTCATCGAAGTGGCCGACATGCCCGGTTCCGGCACTGTGCAGCTTACTGGAAAACTGGGTGACGTTCTGAAGGAGAGCGTCGAGGTTGCGCTGTCCTGGGTCAAGGCGCACTCGTTCGAGCTTGGACTAGCTCAAGACCCGTCAGAGAACATCATGAAGAACCGTAGTATTCACGTGCATTGTCCCTCCGGGTCTATTCCCAAGGACGGGCCCAGTAGCGGCATGGCGCAGGCGATTGCGCTGATATCCTTGTTTTCCGGGAAAGCTGTGCCACCCACTATGGCCATGACGGTATGTGCTGTGCCACTACTATGCACCCTCACAGGGCTTACGTGCGTTGCGGGTCGGAGGCTAACACGACATACGACTTTAGGGGGAGTTATCGCTTCGTGGCCGCGTGACAGCAGTCGGGGGCATCAAGGAGAAGTTGATCGGGGCGCTTCGGGCTGGTGTCCAGACCGTCATCCTGCCGGCCCAGAACCGCAAGGACGTCAAGGACCTGCCACAGGAGGTCAAGGATGGGCTGGACATTGTCCATGTCGGGTAAGTCTCCCCTCGTTCATGCGTTGCACTCCGAACAGCCTCCCATGATCAGCTTTCAACCTCGGTTGTCTACACCCTTACTGACGCTGGCTGCTTCAGCCACATCTGGGAGGCCCTGCGTTACATCTGGCCAGAAGCACACTGGCCCGAGGATCACGAGCTCCCGAGATTCCAGAGCCGGCTGTGAACATGGTCTCATCGCTTGCGCTCCTACCCCCGCGAACCACAACCTACGTGACCGAGACATGCTCTGTCTCTGTGGCTGGGTTCGTCTCACTCAAAGACCAAGGGCAAGCATTCCGCCCTGCCCGAGCATATGCAATGGCTCCTATTGGCCTCAGCCTTTTCTGATGTGATTTCCCACACCCATTTCCGAATGTCGACCGTTGGACGAATGTCAGAAGCCCACGTTGCCCACATATGCGAGCTCGCGACGTCGTGCAGCAGTAGGGCCGGCACTTACCAACGTCACGGATATAGTGCTTTCTCGTCTAAATCTGAGATGGGATCTTTGTGTAATGCGCATCGCCTTGCACAAGGGTTGATTTGACTGCAGGACGACCGTGCCGGACAGGAACACGGGTGATGGGGCGCGGTGATCGACGAACACCCATACCCCCTTCGCAGCTTCGGAGAAGGGAACGGGCATAGGAAAAGGGCTGCGGCGAGGGACATGAACACGCACATACACACGAGACTGTTATGGCGGCTATGCGTGGTTCCTGCGGTGCGAGCATTGTCCAGGGGAGCGCATCTTCCGGCTGTGTTATATATCCGGTTGAACAAGGCCCCTCCGTTCGCCGTTCAACAGCGTCGTTTAATTGCAAGATCTTTGGACGAGGTTCGCACAAAGGGGAGTATACAGTCAAGTCACCTACCACGGTGCCACGTTGGACAATCTGACACGGGCGCCCGACGATCGCCGTTGTTCCTCGGGCTGGTATTCGCCCCCTCTCCCTCTGCACTCGGCTGCGCTCGTTGACGCGGCGGGACGGGGACGGGGGGCCTCCTGTTGTGCCTACTGTCTCCTGTCTCTTTTGGTGTGTCTGGTGGTTTCTGGTCCGATCTCTCCCACTGCCCCGCCGCCCCATGTCTTGGTCCCATGCTTTTCTCTCTATGTTTGGCTTGGGTGAGTTTCGGCTGAAGTTGCGGATAGTTTTAGTCCAGCTGTCAATCATCCGTCATCCCCGTTTTACCCCCTGTGCTCCCATGTTTTCAAGAGTTGCCGGAGAGGCAGTGTGTGTGTTCAGAAGTAAAATGTTGTGACCGAAAGGGACGAACGCGGCCTGGGCATCCAACGCATTTGTCTCCTTGGTCCCGTGTCTCTGGTACTCAACCACCATGCCCCGTGCGCCCAGCCCTCGGGAGATCTCATGAGACGGGAACCGGACGGAAATGTAGGCTGGCCGGCTGCAGTGCGTGCGTGCGTGCGAAAAGCCCGGCCGGTAGGCGGGCAGGCAGGCCGTCGACCCTTTTTGCGCCTGCCACTGCCCTTTCTTCTTCTCCCCGTGTTCCTGCCCCCCTCACGTTCTCGCCGACGAAACCTATGAACTACAAACATACATACATACAGGCCCAAGGTCATGCGCTCCGGTGCTCTGGCCCGGCGGCCGTGTTTTGGCCGGGGGGCCGATAAATCATGCAAACTTGATCCAAGTGATTCGAACCGTAACCTCGCGTGACCCGTTCGCGACGCATGTGTCTAAATTTGGCCGCTGTTCGATGATCAGCAGCCGATAGTCCTGTCGCAATATGGGCGGGCCAGGGCGGTGGTCCTGGGTTGTTCCCAGGTGGGCGTTGCCGGCCCTGCGGCCGTGGGGAATTTCCTCTGGCTAGTCATAGCACAAGTCCCCCCCCTTGCAACGGAGGTTCCGGGCGAGGCGAAAAAAAAGGACAAGCAACACCACTGCTACGGTGACAGTACCTGTATACATCCAGCACGCTCTCTCTCCCTGCCCTCTGGAGAGGGTGGACATCTGACATCGTCCGTGTCCTCTCATCATGACATTCCAGCGTCGATCCCTCGGCCCAGGTGGGGCCCAAGTCTCTCACAACCGAACGGTGTCTCTGTGTCTGGGTGCCCTGGTGACACGGGGTGCGACGACGGGGGCAGCGACCCGGACAGCAAAGGGAGAGGGGTCACCGGCACCTCGGGGCGAAGACACGGCGGGCGGGGCCTTGGGTGAAGGGAAAACGCCAGGTGCAGGGCCGCTGCCACGTTCCTCTTGAGGGGAAAAGGGACGATGAAACCAGACAACGATAGACGAGGGCGTCGTCGGTCACAGGGCTTGAGCTTGTGTCAGAAAGGCCGCCCAGCGGCGAGGGCTTTCGTTGACTTGTGTCGTACAGCACACAGCTGGGCGCACACAAGACACATAACACATAGAGCGCACACAGCATACAACACCGCACCGGGTACTGTTACAGTCGAGGCGGCTACAACGTGTCGATCTGAACCGACTGTGCGCGCATGCGGTTGTGGTTGTGGTGTGGGGATCCAAATCGTGAAACCCAAAAAGTGTCCCATCTGTGTAATATGATGTGGGTGGGGTGCGCATGTCTGTGTGTGCGAGTGTGTGTCTGTGTGTGCGTGCGTGAGGGCCGTCTCTTTTTTTGGAAGCGGGAGAGTACATAGATACGTCCGGCCTCTTGCCTGGTCAGCCTGGACATGGACGACGGCTGTCCGAGTCGTTGTTTGTTCCGTAAGGCAATATATATCAAACGCCCGAAGATACTGCGCTTGGCGACTGATCTCCGGGCATCTGGGTCCCTCGAGAGGGGCCCCCGAGGTGGTGCATGCAGCTCTTGTTACAGCGGCGGGCATCCACGCACCGCTTCGGTACCTGACCAGGTGCACTGGAGCCCTACGTGGTCCCGGTAGTAGCTACCGAGCCACACTGCCGGGGCGGCCCGCTCTTCAAAGTACCTGGCCATCACCGGCCTGAAAAGCATGCAGGTAGTAATAGCATACTCAGACGAGTAATAACACGACCACAAAACAGGTCCTTGTAGATAATTGTAGGGCACACATGTTGTGTCTTGTAAAGTCGACGAACTCCCCGGTCCGGCCACACCGCACATTCAGACAGAGTTGAGCTCTCGAGACGGCTAGCCCAACCCTATTGCTCCTCCGTGCCGTGTCAGACAGACAGACAGACAGACAGACAATTACACCTGGGGCCACAGATGGGAATTCTCTGGCCTGAAATAGACAAGAGGGGAACAATAGGTTGGAGGAATTGGCGAGCAAGCCCGTCCCCTCGCCCGCCCAGCCAGCCCGCCGGGCGAGGCTGTGGCTCCATCTGGTGGAGGAGCAAGTTGTTGTATCGTCTCGCCCCATGGTCTAGGTGACATGTGGCCTCGCATTCGGATTATGCGGTGGTCCACTGGCGGGTACCCCTCCACCAGTCAGTTGCCCAGGCTCGGCGGTGATGAGCGAAAGACAGCCAGCGAGGCAAGAGTGTCGGGAAAATCCCCGAGATCTTCGACGTCAAGAGGGCTGAGATGCCGCCGTGGCCGCCGAGTCGGGACGCAGCAGCGTCGTCCGCGCACCCCTACAAGGTTGAGTTCTCCAGGAAAGAACTTCTGGAACAAGCGACTCGAAGGTTAAGCCTCGACAGGAGATCTCTTCCGACTGACACAGACGTCGACATCCTGATTCCCCGACCTGGGCCAGCCTGGCCTGTTCCCTGCTCTGCGAAGGTCGTGGATCAGGGCTTTCACCGTCCGTGGCCTCGCTTGGCGGGCAAGTCTGCTGAGAACGAAAGGCTGTTCTTGGCCTGATGGCCATGGTGAGGCAACACCGAACCTAGTGTCACCCCGCCTTTCCACCTCTTCTCTCTTTGTCTCGTGTGGCTGTGTTCCATTCTTCAGTTGGTAGTCAAGACTGCGCTGGTGGTAGGAATGGGGACATAAGTGAGGCCGGTTTGGATGGTTTGGGGGCGACCGAACTATGTGCTCCACGAGATACTGCCCGACTCAATGCGCGGGACAGGGGTAGGGACGTCAGCAGGGACAGGGAGCCCTTCGTCAGGCAAAGCCCGGTCGGCGTATTATTCCTGTAGACTGGGAAGGCTATTCATCAATAGACCTAGCGATGTGACGCTGGACGGAGTGCGCTGGATCCAACAGTTCGAGGATCGAGAGTCGCAAGCCGAGGTGCCGGAAAGCTACTGTGTACGTTAGCATGAACGCTACGGTCGCAGGGCTTCCCAAATGCCCGCGTGCTATAGGCAAGGGTTGGCTATAGCAAGATCGTGAAGGTGTGAGCGATCGATGACCGGTTCCCGAGAATCCTGAGTTTCAGCTGCTGCAGGTTCCCCAGCCTGGGCCGGCAGCATCTGATTCCTGGTAGCGATGGCACCTTTGGCGGGCCCCGGGAGATTGGGAGATTGGGAGATTGGGGGGCATGAACCGGGCCTCAGTCTTTCTCACTCACAACCGTCACCAACCTCACCTCACCTCACCCTGGGTGGCCCTGGCCCTGGCCCCGACACTTGACAGTCCCCATTGAGCAAATTATTTCATCCCATCTTTTTCCCTTTTTTATTCCTCCGCGCACCCATGCGCCAGTCCCTCCCCTTGTCCTTGACGGTGAGTGTTTCTGGGGAAGCCGTGGCACATCCCCAGTCGGTCTCCATCCACCTCGGAAATACACTGAGGCTCGGAGAGCGCATGGTGGAGGTGGCCCTGAGGTGAACCGAGCCGCCTTCGTCATCGCATTCCAATTCGGTCGAGAAGCAAGTCAGTCAGTCGGTTGAGCACACAGCCTTGGCGGCCACGGGTGCTGCTTCTTGTGCGCCGCACAGGCTCGCAGCGCCGAATCCGACAATTCGGTAGAGTGGCATCTATACCACACATACAACGCACTGCTAAGCATCCACACGGTAGTAGCGGTATCGCCAGGGCGAACGAGGGGATCCCGTCGCCGGCTCTGTCACATCTGCCAGCCCAACCCAGATAGTTTAGTCGACGTCGTTGGAGGATGGGCTCCTTCTGACCCCACGCCGCACCGCGCGCAATCACGTCCTGCTGTGTGTATGTATGTGTGTAAGTAGGTATGCAGGCGTGCAGGCATGCACGCATGCATGTGCACACCCACTGCAAGAAGCTTTTCGGGCAATTCGAGACGCTGAGCATGTCTGAAATGAGTTGCGGCCCATCCTGGTATCGGCGGCGCGCGGCTCGGACAATGCATGCAGCTAGCTACATACCACATGCACCATACCACACCAAACCATACTAGAGAGTCCGTATATAATTAGTTATCGTCGTCGTCCATGTTGCCACCGCGGTGCTACATGCAGCGCTGCACCTCGAGAGAAGGCGACAAGGCGACAGGGAAAATTTAAGGGGTCTGGGTCTCTTGCTGATCCGCGCGTCAGCTCCATGCAGGCTAGGCCAGCACCAAAGGGAAGAGTTCGAGAAATTCTCCGCGTGATGCAATTCAATCGGCAGCTAACTTGCAGACAGCCCGGGGTGGGCATATCAACTGGAGATTGGGGATCGGCTTTAGGCCATGCGGACCAGAGACGCCTCCCCGCCTCCCTCCCTGGTGCCTGCTGCGACGGCGACGTGGCCGCTCCGGACAAGGCGGCGGCGGCATGCTCATCATCATCATAATGATCATGGCATATCCACAAGGCAAAGTTCATGTATAGTACCAAGACCCATGCCAGGAGTACCACGGCAGGCGTGGTTCGTCAACTTCACGATGCTTTTTGGCTCCAGCCGTTCGTCGACAGGGTTGTGGGGATTGGGACGGGGATGAGGATTTAACCGCGGTCCGAGTCGAATCGGAAGATTAGGAAGGGTCAACAAGGGGCTGAGGCACTGACATGCTGCAATCAACTGAACGGTGAACCGGGGTGGCCGTCTGATCTTTGACTCGATGAAAAACCTCCGGATTTTCCTCCCTCATTGCCGACTGTCGCGCGGGGTGGGAACGAGGGAACGGGCAGGCGGCAGATGGCCCAACGGAGATCCAGCGTTCAACCGACGAGGGGGTTGGGAGGGGGGAATGCGAGGAGGATAACTTTGCTTGGTTGCTTGCTGAAACATGACTGCACGAGTCAGCGGTGTCAGTGTATCCGCGAACCTCACTCCTCCTCACTGGGCCTGACCCTTTCAGAAAGAGCCTCTGTCTCGGCATGACTCTTTGGCCGCCGGCCTCGCCGTGGTTACATACGACAGTGCTACCTACTTACCCTCCCTCGGACACAAGATTCGGTGCGATCTCTAGGGGTTGAATATGACAGCGTCTTCCTCGGCACCTGCATGGACTTGTGCAAATTGAAGGAGGTTTGCGGCTCTCCACCACGGCGGTTGCGGTGGCTTCCGCTGTCCGATGCGTCTCATATGCATCTTTGGTAGCGGAGGTACTTTTCTCTCTCTTGATCCTGCACAACGGCTGTCATTGTCGAGGATCTGCCCTGGATGCGTGGATGCCAACGGCGAGACAGGGCCCGGGCATGCCATAGTAACGAGGTGCAGGAGCCTTAGCAGGCTTGGTGACGTTGGGCTCGTCCATGAGGCCAAGCAATCTTGGCTGGCATTCCATGGCTATTGCACATAGTGCTGGTGCTGGTGCTGCTGCCGGTTGTAACAAAGGAGATTCGAGACACGAACGGTTCTCAGCCCGACCTTGTGGTCGTCCAGGAAAAGCTCCGATTGCTCGAGGGAGAGGCGTGGCAGCGGCGTTTCCTTGCTCTATCTGACCCGTTCGACTCTGCCACAGGGGAGACGCATGGTCGATAGCCGCTGGAGAGATCAGGTGCGCATATACAGCATACAGTGCTATGCAGTATCACAAGTACAGCACGGGTCGGATTTGTGTCTGGCTGCCGACGGCATCCGAGGCGTGGAGGCTCCAGTGTCCCCATCCTGACTGCATGCATCGCGAGCCGGACAAAAGACGGAGAAATTCATTTGCCAGGACCCCTGTCGAAGTCTGCAGAAAGCTTCAGGACATGTGTACAATTAAATGTCGGAAAAAGGACCGACGCAGGGTGAGGGCTTCGTGGTGGATAGATGCTCGGGCTGGCGAGGCCCGACATACCTGCTGGCTCGTGCTTTTAGTGCCGAGGTGGGTTAGTTCAGCTGCACCTGACATCCACCGTTGCGTTTTGCAGCACGTACATACCGCGGCATGCTCGCAAGGCGACCGACCGCCAGCCGCCGTATCCTTACCCAGCACTGCACCCTTATTAGATGGAGACACAGCGCAGGCCGATGGGGCCGAACGCATCAGCTTTGAAACGAAATTGATCCCTTGTCATCTCCAAAGCTGTCCGCGGCTTCCGCTGCCCGCTGGGACCGGTCAGATCGCGTCATCCTGCTGCTATCTGGCGGCCCCGCCCAGTCCGTCATCTTGTCACGATGGGTATGATGAGGCTGGCGGGCATCATGCCATGGAAGTCTTCCGGTCGGGCCTCTGCGCTGCAAATAGGCAGGCACGCAGGCCAGTCGGCGGCTGGGCTGGCATGTGAAGACCGCATCCTCAGCTGACGGCGGCCCCTCCCCACCTACGCGTCACGTTGCATTCTTCCATAGATAGAAACCCGTCAGGGGAGCAGTCCGGAACGGGAGATTCGCAGAATGGCTGTTTGCGGACCCGGGAGGCGGTGCTGAGAGTGAAAGCTTGTCCCCAGGAGGAGGAGAGTCAAAAAAGCAGCGCACGGCTTGGCCTCTGGGGATCCAAGGAATGCCAGGATCTCGGTATGGAACTATTCCATTCAGGTGACCCGCCGGAAAGGAAAAATAAAAAGTCTCCAGCGGCTCCATCCCGCACGAATGTTGTATCATGTATCAGGGCCAGCCGGGGTAGCCGCAGGAGGCCATAGCTCGCAGACTGCCAAACTGCCAACACAGCGCCAGGCGGTAGCTACAGGTTCGGGCGATATTTCGAACCCCGGCCGGGTTGAAGGGCCAGAATGTGGCCTCCCCCCGGTCTTTACCAGCCCACCAGCCCATCGAGCCCAAGGGCCCCTGTTCCTGCGTCTTATATTAGCTTAATTAAAGATTGTCGGGCCTCTCCACGCTCCCATGTGGGATGACGTGGGGACGGACTGGGGGCCTACGGTGAGCGGTACTTGGTGACTGGGTACCTTGGCCTGAGTGGACCGTTGAGGCTCCTTCCGGCAGGTATTCTGAGTGTCGTTGCGCTGTGACCCGTGAGGGCTTCCCCTCCGTGGACCGAGGACCGTCCGTAATTTGTGTCAACAAGCGGAGTATGGAGCGGTGTGGTGGCCTAGTGAAGTGTTGTAGATCGAGTGCATGAGCGTCTGCTGAGTCAGTCGGTTGAGCATCCGAAACGCGAGGGAAGGAAGAAGGCTGAGAGGCAGGCAGGCAAACACAATTCGGCTCATGCTACAACAGGGTAGAGAGCACCTTCAGTTTGTGCACACCAGGGACCGCTCACGTAGCCTGTGTATCCGGAAGCTCTGAGAGCTTGTTTTGGTTTGGGGGAGGAAAATGGCCGAGGCTTGGGCATGTCAGGAACTTAAGCCACAGTGGGGCACGGCGTCGATGGAAGACAGGGCCATTGGTGGGTAGAAGAGAGGGTGGGTAAAGCACTAGAAAAGGGACGGAAGAAAAAAAAAAAAAAAAAAAAGGAATACCCGCCGAATCAAGGGGCGGCGAGTACCATAGTTGGTGGTCATAGGTACGGGCTCGGATCTCTGGAGCTAGAATGCTTCCAAAATGCTTCCATCGCGCTTCCAGACCCGAAGTCTCCTGCCACCGCTCTGTGCTGTTACGGTGGGAATACGCGGAGCTCCACCCAGCCTGCCTCGGCGCTTGTCGGGCCCAGAGGCACTGTGCGCCCTGTACTGTATGTCACTGTGCCCCAGCGCAGGTGAGCAGGTCTGGCTCGTCGGTCGGGGTGTGATTCCTCCCCGTGGAGACACAATCCTCTCACGGGATGACACCGACACCGAGGCTGGAGGACGTGTGAGCGCATGTGAGGCGGGCGACCGCACAGGTCAGGCAGAGGTGCATGAAGGTGAGTGCATCAAGAGGCGCGAATAAGCTCCGATCGCATAACTCGTGCGGATGGTCTCACACAAAGATGGGACGAGAGATCGACAGGGTGGCAGCGGTAACATGATGGGGCAATAGGAGGAGCGCGCTATAGGCTGCTAGCCCCGAAAAAGATGGGATGATTGAGCGTCGATGTCGCACTTTCAGCCTCCCTCCAGACGGCAGGCGTGACCACATGGTTTGAGCCGCATCGACTTCCTCCTTCCAACTCTGGTGCTACGCAAGCACACACACACACACACACACGCACACACACACACACAACTACACACGCGCATTCACACCACTTTTAGTTTTCTCTTCCCCCTCACTTTCCTTTCTCGGTCGCGATACGAGTACGCTGAGCTACGGACCAGCATCACCTCGTCTCTCTACTGTCCCCGTGACCACAAGACCGCACGGGTTTCAGATCTGACGATTCATGCAAGAGACACCCCCCCAAGTTTTGGGAGGGGTCCGTGGTAGAGTTCGGTTGCGGGAAATTTTGTCAGCCTTGCATTTTCTCGGGAGATGGACACGTCGTGAAAGTTCGGACGAAATCCCACAGACTGCGGGCCCCCCGGTCCTCGACCAACACACCCCCCTCCCCCTCCGCCCCCAAGCCTGCACAGTAGTGTACATATGGCTGTCAGGGGCGGGCCTGGCTCTCGGAGCCGAGCTACCGCATATGTGCACATGAACCGTAATCACTGTGTAGGCTACTGCGCTCATTGGCAAGCAAACAATAATGATAGTACCTACTGCGTGCTAGGACAGCGTGTGGAGCTGCACATGGAACCCTATCCCCGGGTCTGGAGGCCTTGACTCGGACGCAGCCGGAGGGTTGCTCTGGCATTGTGTGTTGCCTGTCTGGCCTATTGCCTGTTGCCTGTTGCCTGCTGCCTGTTGCAGGGCAGAGTTGATGGGTGGGTTGGGTTACGTTCCGTACAGTAATACCACGGTACAGGGTTAGGTGGAGGCGGAAGTGGAGGGCTCGGAAAGGGCTCGGAAGGTGCAACGGTGAGTCGTCCCCTCCCAAAGCCCCAGGCGCGGAGATTCGACTAGCGGATCTAGTGAGGCGTGTGTCACGGCTTGATGGCAGAGGACGGGAGGCGGGAGACGGACGGTGAAGGGGCCGGCGAAAAGGACTCCCGACGCAATCCCGACGCAGCCCAGGTCGTGCCGTGCCACGTTGCTGCGACTGCCTGGCAGACTGGCCTGCTGCTGGCAGACCTCGGGAGGCTGGGCTAGCTGGGCTAGCTGGGCAGGCCTCGAAGTGGCAGGCAGTTTGGTTCCAGATCCGCAGCCCCAGGCACAGACATGGACAATCAGAATCAGTACATCTGTCTAAGAAGTGGCCTGCTACATACTCACACACGCTTGTGGTCTAGCAGGTGGGATGGGCAAGCCACAGTTGATCTTCTTCAACAGGCGGCGCTACTGCATGCAACGGGGCCCATGCATGTATGTGGGAGTGGTGGGAAACCGTGGAACTGGGCTGCGGCCAGATTACGGTACGCCGTTCGGTCGGTTCCATGTCGACTCGCTTGCCACTTGGGTGGTTTTATCTCACCACCACCAACACCCACCACCCAGAATCTGCTGCAGCGCTAGGCGCGGCGCCTCGAGCTGCAGGCCGCGACGCAAATTGCGGTTGAGATGGAGCGGCCAGCCACATCTACAGGGTACGTATTGCACCGTCGCCAAACCATGGTACCTACCTGCGCCTGCACCTGCATCTGCACCTGCATGAACGTACACATCTGGATACAGCACAGGAGAAGCGCAGCACGGACTGGGGGCGGCGGATCCATTGATGGCGACATGCGGTGTACTGTACTGCCCGGTGTGTAGCAAAGGCTGCCGAGGAATGGGCTTCGGCAGTGGCACCTCCCATGCCCCTGTCATTAAACCCATCGGCGCGTCCTGTGCTTTGGTTGTGATGTCAGGATGGCCAGTATGCGTTGATGTGGATGTGAATGTGGTCATCTGAGTGCTTAGCGGCGTGTTGCAAGTCCTGCTCGCTGTTGTTCTTTCGAGATGGATGTCATTGCACCCACGCCCCTCTCCCACTCCCGGATGCTATTCTCAACGAGGGTTGGTGTGTGTAGGTACCTAGGTACCTGGTTACTCAGACAGTCTGTCTGTTGTCTGCCATCATCAATGGCCAGATGCGGTGGGATATATTGGGTTTATGCCTTTGCTCCCCCCTCCTCTTCACTTAGGAGATAGTACCTAGTAGGCGTTATGTAGGTACCATATGCGTCTCTAGCTCCAAAGGTATGGCAAGAACGGTCGTCGGTGGTGTACATGAGCGCTGGTAAGTGCGACTTGAATGTCCCTCGCACCGTGCTTGCCTACTTTGTGTCGCACCCACAGTACAGTGTGTGCATGTGGGTGGCCTGGGCATGCACGGATACCCTGACATGCACAAACCGCGCTGCCAAATGCAACGGCGCCTCAGCATCTGCGACCAGCAGCCTGCAAACTGCAACTTCATCTCCAGGCCCCCGGCAAAACGTGCCTTAGCCCAAGCGAGGCGTCTTCGGCGGGCCAGACCGATCCAATCGACTCGACTCGACTCGACCTGAACTTGAGTCAACCTGAGGCGCCCGAATGTCCTGCTCACCCTGGAAATGATGCTGCTGATGTCTGCCGCCCGTCCATCCCGCCACTAATACTTACAGCACTGCGCATTCGGCCATCCTGCCATCTAAGGAGCGCCAAAGAAGCTCGCGGCGGCTGCAACCTCAGTCTATTTATCCACAAGATTGCCTTCGCGTCCGGGCTGCTACTCTGTGTATCAGACTTGCCGGATCGACCACGACCCAATCATCAGATCAATCCAACCACAAGCCGAGGCCAGCACGGATACCACAGTAGTAATCAGACCCTAGGTATCCAACCAAGGATACCTAGATAGTCTGTTGTCCCAATACAGCCATGCCGAAGCAGCCTGAGAAGCTGAACCTGAGCCTGAGCCTGGACATGGCCCTCAACCGAGTCCCAGACCTGAGCCAGTATCGTAGACACAGAAACTGAGCCTGGTACGCTGCGAAATCCTGGCGAACTTCGCCAGAGCTGGATCAGTACCCACCTTTGCCTATTCTTCGGCTAAAGTGTTCCTGCACGCAATGCCCATCCCGTACCGCTACCGCGACCGTGCCTTGGGACGACACCCCATCTCACATCTTTGGACGGTCACGCAAACAAGGCCCTTGCCAACCAATGGCCTGGCCGCGAATGACGACACATGCCACGATCCATCATTTCCGCGCCCGGAGGAATCCATCACGAGAAATTGGATGCCACCGGCTCAGGTCCCGCCGAGGCAATGGGATCGTTGAAAGGGTGCCCTGCTGCGCATGCTGGCCCTGCCACCTGCTCTTACAGCCACCCCCCGAGGGTGCCCGCCCTTCGTGCCTCGAGCTCGACATTCATGCGCTTGATCCTTCCCTCCGCTCCTCCAAGGTTTGGCCCGTCACCCTGGGTTGGCATCAGATGGTCAAGGGTTCCTGGCTGAACCGTTCATCGACCCGGATACCAGAGCAAATGCGCTCCCTGAGATCAGCTTCAGGCCTTGCCAATCGCGTCCACGCCGTCCCGTCATGACACCCACCCCCGTTGTGTCCTCGAACGTCCTTTTTTGGACAGTCGCTGTCCCATCCTGGGATTCAGGGCCCATGCTGCGAAACGCCACGGACGCTTTATTTCATGTACTTCATCCTGCTGCCATCACACTCACCGCTGCCCACACACGTCCACCGTCGCCCAGGCCTTCTGCCGCCACCTGCGAGCATGAACAGCTGTCAGTCATGGCCCGCCAAACCCCCCTGCTCCACACGCTCGCTCTCAAAAGCTACCCAAAAAGGTGTAGCCCCTCCGCATCAGCTTCAACCCTTCTCCGGCCAGCAGCCACGAGAAAAGGGCTGACTAGTCTTTTTGGCCCCAAGGATCAGGATGGATGCGACACCGTTCAGTTCATGGACGATCAACCGGATACACTAGGTATACATGGGTCTCCCACAACAACTAGACTACTAACAGTTGCTCTTTGCCGTGTGAGTAGCCATCCTAGACCTTGGCCCATGATGCTCACCGCGGTGCTGTGCACTCATCAAGCATTGCCCGAGGCTGATCTTCGTTCGCTGGGGCATATTTCTGCAGCTCTGGCAGGGCTGGGTCCTGGCAGGGTTTCATAACCCACCACTGTCACCAGTCATCGAGAGAGGCCCTTGTATAGCAGCTGTGGGCAGTTCGAGACATCCAACCTAGATTGCTGCAGTTGTTGCAGTTGCTGCAGCGCTGCTGCTGCCGCTACCGAACCCGACACGCGAGACACACCCCGTCCCTGTACGTCCCCCAAAAAGCAAATTGCGCTGAGGACTTGTCTTACTACTTTTGGACGAATTTCTTCACAATTTTACTTGACAATCCACGACGAAACCTGCCGGAGAATTTGCGGCGGTCCGTAATAGACTGGACCCACGCCTTCTCGGCCTGCCTTGCCTATCATCAATGCCCCTCTGCAGTATTCGAAGCTGTCTTGTCTTGCGTCTCTCTTGACGCCGTCCGCGCTCCTCGACCCGTGCCTGACACCTGTCCCTGTCCCTGTGCGAGTGCCTGTCTCCCCCTGTTCGCCCTGCCTTGCCATGCCTCGCTACCTGCAGGTGGGCTGGCTGATGGACATGGGATGAGAGTAGAGGCACCATCGGCACGATATCAGATCATTTCCTGTCCCCCACCTGCCTTTGCTGCTCCTTGCAACCTTCACGGAAACTCATGGACGGACAAGAGTGTTCTTGGCACGAAGCGTTCCGCGGGGCCTCTCAAACTGCGCCCTGCTCTTCTCAGCAGTATGGATGCTCGAAGGCGCAGGCCTTGGTCCCGCTGCGCACAGATCGGGTAGCATGCGGTATGAACGTGTGCGAGCGTGTGTATTGTGTATGTATGCCGTGTGTCTATGTGTGTACGTGCATATGTGCAGACCGAGCAAAGCTGATGACCGCATCGACAACAACATCATTCAGCCTGCTGGGACTGGCCCGCCAGCACCCTCGCTCACTACATAGAGTATGCCCCCGGCCCTTGCACTACGACATACAGCGTGCTACGTGCACATGAGAGTTGCGAGTTACGTGCAGGGGATTGCTGGTGGCATACAGGCATTGGATGTACCCTTGAATTAGCACCACACATCAGGATGGGCCAGGGGTGGTCCCTGGCATCCACTCCGCTCTCCAGACCATCTCAACCCTGAAGCACCCTTGTCTTGATCTTGGCTCCATCTCAATTGCTCCGTCCTCTTTAAGTCGCACAAAAGGCCTCGGACAACTAACACACGGTTCTTTATTTTCTATCTGGGCTACTGCACCATTCTCGACGTGACATGGGTTCCGGGGATCCATAAGACAAAGACCATAAACCGCCGTGGCATCCTCTCTACTTTGCTCTCGACCCTGACCGCGTGTGGTCTACTCCCAAGCACAGCGGCCCAGGCTTTTCCATAGCTTCCATGACATCCAGAGAGCTTCCTGGTGCTTCTACTGCAGCTCTCCGACACCCCCAAACACGACCACGAACACCTCCGCATGCCGTACCACTGAGACCTCAGGAGCCATCGACCTAGTATTACAGTGCACGTTTGCTCTGCCCGAGTGCTGGAACTGTGTGTCAGCTTCTGTCACCACCGGGACTCGACGGGCCCTACCGGACCGAATCTACCAGTCGCCCCATCTCTCTGAAAGCGCGACATCCTTCCACTTGATGCTGCCGACCGGAGTGCTTGATCTTTTCTTGTCGCGACATTGGCACCTGCAGAGACAGCTCAGCACGCCCAAGACCCAAGGCCGACCACACGATCCTAGAAAATTCGCCACTATCGACAAGCAGGCTCAAACAGGCAGGCCGTCGCCATTCCCACTACCACCCGGTCTTTCGAGATTAGACCCTCCCTGCAGCTGGGGCATTCCGCAAGGCACAGCCAGCTCGGGAAGACGTGGAAAGCCAGACCGGTTCCAGGGCTCCTGCCGCGCGGGATCGTGAGGGTGACTGCGTCGTCGAAGCGAGGGCAAGCGGTGATTTGGCCCAGGCGCTAAATCTCTTAGAATCATTTCCATGCAAACCATACTCCACCACCGAGACATTTCGCATAACTCGCTCGGCCAACGCCGTGGCTGTTCAGACCTGGTGCGCTTCGCTCTTGACATCTCGTGGCCCAGGGCAGGCTCTGAAAGTCCTGCTTCCGGGTCAGCAGGAGACTACCCATCTCCGCCCATGTCAGGGTCTCCACCGATTCCACCCAGAGTAACTCAAGAGGCCGACGACCGAGTTCAGGGAGTGTACCAGACGGCCAGCCACGATGTGTATCGCGGAAGCTCGGCGACACAAGCAGATTCGAGAATGTTGCCAGGGATATTGGCACCCGTCAGGCCCTACCAGCCAGATCTCGCGGAGCGCATGCCATACGCGTTCCCGCGTCCAGAAAACCCAATGCAAAGACCCTTTGTGCCGTACACGTCGCAACACAGCCAGGTCATGTCGCAACCCCCTTACCTCCCAGCCCCAGGCACAATTCCAGCACCTGGACCTATCCCAGGCTACCCCATTACCTCCCGACCGCCGACACAAGAAAGCCAGCAATCGTTTGCCTCGCCCAAGTCCCAGAGAAAGACGAAGGGGCACGTGGCCTCGGCATGTGTGCCGTGCAAGAAGGCCCATCTCAGGTAAGTGTCGAGCTGCTTTCCATCACAAGACAGAAACATACTAATCCGCGCCAGATGTGACGGTACGTTTAAAACCTCCTTTCTCCACCTTGCGAGTCCCTTCTCCCGGCACGGGATCTAGCGCCGAGGGCCATTGCGTTGAAGCAAGTTGGGGCAAGCCCGGCTTGCTTCGACTAGGCTCTGCACTCGCATGAATGCTACACCAAGTAGCCCTCGTCACATCAACACCAGGCAGAACTTGCTGGCGTATTGCGGGAATAGCTCTGGACGCTCTTGAAACGCCCGAGACCCAGGTGACGCCGCGCAGTTCTTCCTTAGAGCGGCGTGGAATAGCAAGTGCTACCGAACAGTTCTCGTGGGCAGACAAAGACAACACTTGTTCTCCTACTACCAATTGCTGCCGGAATATTTTGAAATCTGAAAAAGAAGCTGACGTTTTGGTATCAACAGCCCAGAGGCCGTGCACGAGATGTATGCAGAACGGCAAGGAAGATGCGTGCGTTGACGTTCAACACAAGAAGCGCGGTCGCCCACGGCTTCGAGATGATCATCGTGGTGCCGGATTCGACTCTCGACTCGGGCAAAGTCAAGATCAGAGTCTCAGGCGGCCGTTGTCCTTGTACGCCCCACAGGCTTCTATCAGCTCGGGTTTCGACGATTCCCTGAGACGAACGCAGTCATACCGCGTGCTGAAGTCCCAACCGACGGAGCCTTTGGCACCTCGCTTCCTTGAACGAGGCTCCGCAAGCGGCGCCAATGTATATCCTGCCCCTCTTGCCATCTCAACAACACCACCAGAGCCCGCAGCATTCCTGACCTGGAGGTGGTGAAAGCCTCCAGCACATTCTGGGAGGCTGTTGGCCGCCCACTCATACAGAGCCCGCGAATCACGGAAATGCTCGCTCTTGGTGACAGGGAGAAGATGGTGGCGCTCCAGCGGCAGATGCAAGACGAGCAGGCACGGAGGGAGCCGAACTACCTACCACCCATGTATGCCAAGCAGGAGGAGGAGAACGTGCTCCGGTCGCTCGGATTCAGCAGGGAGGAAATGGCCAGTTACTCGCTTGAGCTTCTGGAGAACCTCCGGTTCAACGACCAGGCAGGACAGCTGAGGAATTTGTCGGTACGCCTCGGTCTCGCAAAGCGCGGGTCGATATACTTCATTGTTGTCGTCTTGAACACGAACACGGCCTTTCGAGGTTTCCAGCCACCGACGCCCTCGCCACAGGGCCGAGACCCTCGGGATTTGGCGTACTCGTACCCGGCGGCTCAAATGCCCTATCCGCAGCCAACGCCTGTCTCAGCCACTTTCGACCACGGGCGAGCGAGATCAGCAAGCGATGGCGCATACCTTTCGAGACAGCCTGCCACCCCTGGGCAAATGATGCCAGGCCTGAGCCCTCGGCTGCCATCGTCCTACGCCGCATCGCCCAGCAGGCCGGACTATCCCGTCGGACATCCTGCATACCAGATCCCCCGCAGCGAGCTGTCCACGGCGCCACACAGTTCGCAGGCCCCAGGATATCAGTTGCCTCCCATCAGACAGCCGGCGCAGTTCCAGCCCCCTGCGCAGACCCAGGCTCAGTCACAGCAGCCTCAGTACCCCCAGCAGCAGGGTGGTCCATCCGAGCAAGGCTGGCCTCGTGACGATAGGCAGAGGGTTCATATCGAAGGCCTGATTGACAGGCCGGATCCCGCTCATCGGCATCAAGGTTGAAGGCAACACGACCACGTTCGTTGCTGCCCATAGTTTTACAGAACCAAGCTGATCGGCACTGTGGTGGGGATTACCGTGGTGGCCCGGATGGGCCAGCCCTGGTCTTTTCCGGCGCACGACAACACCTTGCTGCTTCTTGGACTTCTTCAAGTCTCCCAGACCGGCTCCAACTTCAGCCGAGCGCCATCGCTAGGCGGGGCTCGTTGTCGAGCATCTGGGGGCGATTCGGCGGGGGCGGACCGCATTGTACTAGTACGGCACATATCGATTTGTTCTGCGCGCTATTGTCGTGTTTGTTAAAGATCGGGTCGCGATGATACCACTGTGCGAGTTCTGCATCGGTTTGGGTTTGGGTGGAAAAGGGAGTGGCCGGCTTGAGCGCATGTTGCGAGCATAGAGGACGGACGTAGATGCCTTTCCGGGTGGGCCGCTGGATCCTGCTCTTGGGGTCTCTCTTTAACAACACATCGCAGAGTTTGCAGGAGTTGCGGCTGGAGAGGCTAGCCGGGCCGAGCCTTTCCATGATTTGGTTGGCGTTGGGACGTGAAGGCACATGTTGGTACCCGTTTGTTCGGCGGCCGTGGTAACACCTTAGACACCACGTTGCTTGGGTTCGCTCATTCTTAAGAGTCAATTCTTCTTGTTGCCCTGTGTTCAAATGTCCTGGAGTCCCGAGTGCTCGTGTGAATTCTCCAATGCGACCGACCCCATGTTGAGACGATACGCGGAGCCTCCAGCTAAGCCAAGGGAACACCACCTGGCGACCTGGAGGGAGTGTCCAGGGAGTATCCGTGCGCGTGAGCGAGCTCTTGTCGGTGCATTCTCCGGCAGTAGGGACGTTGTACAGAACAAGAACCTGCGGAAGCGGGTCTCCAAAAACACCATGACGGTAGGACCTTAGAGTAGTAGCCACGGGGAGGCTCACAGCCTACGCCAGCAGCACGCAACGCAACAAAGGTAAAGGGAGCCCCGGGGAGATTGTGGGTGATTACTTGACGAGGTAAATAGGGAGGAGGAGGGATGACTTGCAAGGGAGAAGGCAGGAGATGAGAGAACAAAGGAGAGAAAAGGAGCAAGGCAAGGGAGAAAAGAGTGAGTAGTCAGCTAGGTGGTAGTAGAGGCAACCTGACCCAGGAATATCAGACAAGCATATAGCAATTTCGATAGCCACGCAAGGTTATGTTGCTAGCTCGAAGAAACAAAACGGGGAAACGTCTGTGTTGAAGGCAAGTAACAAGTCGAGCAAGGGGGCCGTGAGTAGGAGGCACTTGCCCTTTTGCAGACTCGACAACCGAACTATTTACCTTGGTATCCATTTTCTCCTCCCTTTTGTATACTGCCCCGGACCCTACCCAACTCTTTTATTATTACCACACGGACTACATCCTGTCAGTCAACCTTCCCTCCCATACCCGGACGCTGCAGAAGCTCAATCTCCAGCAGCAATGAAGAATGAAAACCTTCGTCTAGAAACAGGGCTCGGTTAGTTTCGCTTCCCACACCTCTCCTCCCCCTTCCATCCACCAGAGTCAGGCGCAGACAGACACAGACGGACGGGCGGACAGGTAGACAGACAGAGACGCATGCACGCACACCCACACACACACACGCACGCACGCACGCATACACAACTACCCGCCCATCCCTTGGGTGGCTCGCCCCGTCAAGCCGCCGCGTCGCACCCAGCCCAGGCACCGCGCATGACAGCAGCCCTGGGGTGGGTACGGAGTACGGAGTACAGGTAGGGGCTGTCACCGTCTTGTGGAACCTGCTTCCTCTTGGGGCGGGCAGCTGGTTGATCAGTGCAGTGCCAAGCACTGCATGGTGTGCATAAAATTCCCCGAGACCTGGGCCAGCGACCACCCGGCAGCGGCCCAGCAGCAACACACACCCAGCTGCTAAGCATCGCGGCTCTTCTGCCACAGCCTCCTGCCGGCTCACGGGACAGGGCAGCCAACAGGCTGGACAGGCTGCCACGGGATCAGGGGTGGCCCCCGGGTTCGACAGGCTCGTCGAAATATCCCGATGGCCGCCTGTCAAGTGGGGCCAAGGGGGGAAAGGCGGGCGGGCGGAAGAATTCGCCCAGAGCAGCAGCAGGCCTGACAGGGCAGACAGGCACCCAGGACCACCGACCATCCGACCGCCATGCTACCGCACTACCACGCCACGCAGCCGGCACTTGCCCCGATGCGAAGGGCCCGAGCTGGCCTGTAGCTGGCGCTATCTAACGACACCTTAACTTAAATGAGCTCCTCCTAAACGAGCTAGCCATTGGGTGAGGCTCTGAACCTTCCGACTTCCCTATTTCGGCCGCACTGCCAGATTCTGATGGGGCTTTTCCTCTCCTCAACGCTCTGTCGCGACCCCATCCGCTGGTGACTTTTGCCTGGGACCAGGGCTTTCAACTCCATGGCGGTCCCGCGCCTGGGCACGCGTTGTGCTCGCAGATCCTTTCCGCTTTGCTGGCCCTCGCTGGCGTCAGCTTGACGCTCGCCTACCTTGGGTTTTGTCCCCATTGCGCCACACCAGCACACGATCAAGACGAGATGAGGTTTCAGGCCCGCAGCCGCATCCCAGAGCTGCTTGAGGAGAGACACTTCAAACGAATCAAGGGGTGCATCGCGGGCTGCAGAACCAGCCCAACCTTTTTGTCCGCATTCCGGCGAAAAAGTGGTTCCGGTACCTTGGTGGAGGCGGGTCGATCGTACCATTCTGTCGACGTGCTGAAACTCAACAATTGGCAACTGCGAGCACTTGGTATTCGCCATGGAGACAATTTCGAGGCGGTCGCTACTTTTGTCCTGTCTTGCGAGTGCAAGGGGCAAAGCAATCCGGCCTCATGCAACAACCCAATGGAGGGGTTGTCTGGCTCCTTGGGGATAAAAGGGGCGCTGCTCGCCCACTGCAGCCACAGCTTGGCAAGCATATTACTCACAGCCCCCGGTGCCGAACTTCCTGGGCAAATTTCACGCGCTATTCTCGACGGGATGCAGACAGGAGGCGCGCGTCTGGGAATGCTTTGCCTGGGCCAAGCAGCCAATATCTTTCCCTCCTGGGCCGTGCAGGGGGGCCTGCGAAGTCGCATTGATCGGGATCTCCGTCGTTTGCCTGCGTTCAGTAGTCATCGGCAGAAGGCGACTGAGATTCTGCTTCTGCCCGTTATTACCAGAGATTCCTTACCTATAAGGCTGAGCCTACTTTACCGATGTGCTGGTATTAGTATTACTGGGCTCACCGGCAAATCACCCAAATGAGGCCGCTATAGCCGTCGAGGATAAAGACTTAGCAGACTCTCCAGACCAGCTCGGATGCCCTGCCATATGTAGTATGGAGGGGGCTAGGGCACGCGTACCATGACGTCTGCAGTACTCTCTCTGTCTCTCTCTCTCTCTCTCTCTCTCTCTCTCTCTGTGTGTGTGTGTGTGTGTGTGTGTGTGTGTGTATTGTGGAGGGCTCCATATCGACTCTGTGTCGCAAGTGAGGCCATGAGGACCCATCGCCATTGCCACTGCCTTGGCTCTTGCAAATGCGTTTGGTTGATCACGCTACCGAACGATGAGTTGTGGATGGGCTGGACGCCAGCCCGAAGAGCTCAGCCCTGAGGCTTGCGTCTTTACTGCTCTCTAACACGTGTTTCAGTGCGTCAGTAGAGCCAGTAAGTGACCCCCGGCAGCAGTCTTGTTGGGGTGGCTCATTCCGTGCTTGAGAACAATGATTTGCCATAACGCATCAAGGCATTGAGATACAAGCCCTCAGATGAGACGACACAGACAACGGGGCGTATATCAGCAGAGTTTGTCGTGTGGAAAGTATACCTCTAAAGAAGTCGCTGACTTATCGGCCCAAACTAGAGTGCCGCTCAGTACATCACAATGCGCCCGCGGACATTCAGGAGATTACTCAATCATAGATTCTCGACAGGTCTATGAGGCGCGCGATCCGCGGACTGATCGAAGACCGTTTGCGTCACTGACCGTGGGACGAGACCTCGTGGGTGACATCTACCATTTGGCCTCTAATCATTGGAACACGAAAAGACTTACTGTCATTTGTCGCTGAATAGCACATGAGCTTTCAAGATGATCCTGATAACACCATGGACAGGCAATTTCGGAGTTTAGACGGCGGCTCAAGATGACCTTCGACTGCCAACCAGCAGAGAAAGCACCAACGCGAACTGAGCACATCCTCCCGACATGCCAATGACACGAAGTCAGCTGATCAACTTGTTCCTGGTCTTCCGGCAAGCTAGTTTGTGGCAGACTCGCAGTCCGCATCCCATACCATACGTCGAGACCGTGCTCACGTCGACTGGATGCTCTTGTAGGCTTCTAGCCTCATCCAACGCCGGAACCAGGGGCAACGCCTCTGGGTGAAGCACAACCAAGTGGTGCCGTCACATGCAATCAATTGACTAGATTTAGTCGATCATTTCAAGATGCCGCATCTTTTAAAAATCACCGTTAAGCTCCAGCCATCCCCGCCAAATCTGAGTGACATTGTTCAGGAACCGAACCCAGCTGCCCACCGGTCTCGCGCGGATTCTTCAGAAGTGCGAAACTCTGTACGAGCTGCCGTTCGCGGTATAATTCCTGCACATTTTAACTTTGATTGGTTATGAATACGAGTGCGAAGTTTGGAGTTGATTTGATGAACGCTTGTTGGATGTAACGCGTGCCCCGCATCTATGGATTGTGAGGTTGGCATCCTGCTGCACTGAGGTCTACAGTACTTAAAGCGGCCGCCAACCAGTTACACCTCATCTGGTATTCTGCTTCCAATCACCAGTCTTCCGTGGCTAACACAATCCAGTACTCAAGATAGAACAGCAAAAGAGTGGAGCACTATGGCGACCGAGGTCTGCACTTCGACTTATGTCAATGACCATCACGATGTGAGGGCACTCGTGAACTACCTCCCGTTGGACAAAACGGATTTCGGACCGAATGACATGCCCGCACCGAAGAAATTTGGCGAGTTCATTGAGTCGAGCAGGTACAGTATGTTTTCCATGTAATACGCTGTTTGTGATATTTGCCGGTTACGGGGCTTAATATCGTTACTGAAATGGTATAATTCGCTGACGCGAGACTCGTGGAGTGACATTCCACAACGCCAGAGGCAAGGAGGATTCGTTCAAGCTGGACAGAAACGGCTTTGAGATCATCACCCTCCCGGAGAAGGAGCGGGATGTCACTACCGATGATAAGATAAAGGAGGAGTTTATGCCGGAGGTAATGGATGTCATCAAGAAGAGGTTGGCCGACCTGAAGCCCTCTGTTGTTATCTACCCAAGTGACTAACGAGCACGACTGGCTCGTGCAGGACGGGCGCCTCGCTCGTCGTCCCCTTCGCCCACGTGCTCCGCCGGACCGAGAACAGCTTCTTCGCCGAGGCCGTGGACACGGAGCGCTATAACCGGTTCGCTACCGTGTGGCCGCACAGCGACTTCACCGTCGTCTACCCGGAGCGACTGCCTTACATCAAAGAGGCCATCATGAACTACGACGGCATTCCTGCGGACGCGCGAGAGGAGCTGCAGCGGGCCGCGAAGTCTGCCTCGCGTTGGGCTTTTGTGCAGGTGAGCTTCCGAGCGATCTCCCCCTCCCTTGGCACTCCCTTGGCAGGACATTGTGCCTGGACCACTTGCTAATCTAGATTTCGAGCAGATATGGAAGCCACTCAAGACGCTGGTGCGCGACCCTCTCGCGCTCTGTGACTCGTCGACACTGAGCAAGGAGGACTGGAGGTTCCGCCAGGCCGAGGACCCAAACATCTCCTACTCACTCCTGGCACACCCTGAGAAGGAGGAGAAGCACGCCTGGTATTACGTCCATGAGATGAAGCCAAACGAGATGTTTCTGTTCAAGGGTTGCGATAGCAGGCAGGGCGAGCCGGGTTTCACCGGGTATGCTGGTGCGCACACGGCGATTGTGCTCCCGGACTCTCAGGACAAGCCCCCGAGAGAGAGCATTGAGGCCCGGTTCTTCTGTCTCTGGGAGTGAGAGACTAAGGTTGGTTGTAGTTACTACTGGTATATTCAAGGAAATTGAGTTGAAAGGGGACTTTTCCTCTCAGACAATTAGCCCTTACTTACAAATATCATGTCCAGATGAATTTTACAATTGAACAAAGTGAAAGTTGTGTCATTGCGCAAGTAAATGCACTTACGCCTGTCTACATATAAGTGCCCCTACAAAGTATTCACACATCATGGATGACCGGCGAGGTTGAGAGGAACGACGCCGCGGCAGGACAACCCACTGCTGCACCGTACCAATAAGTCAGTGGGCGAATGACTCGAGATGAGTGTCTTGGACTGAAAGCTTTTCGAAAGCCAATGAATCAAAGGCATCAACTTTCGCCAAGTAACGAGTGCTCGATATTCGAGCGATTCGCATTCAAGGGGCAGTTGCGGCGAGGACACAAGTATTACTGGATACTGGGTAGCTAAGCAGACAGGCATGTGCTAGTGTTAGGAAACCCACTGGTTTGGTGGGTGGTGGGTGTTAGGCGGCGCCCCAGCCGTTTGCAAACGCGACTTCCTGGCCTGCACGCTGCTTAATTGCGACGCTGCTCGCGTCAAGGCAGGCGCGTCGGACAGATGCCTGCCTCATGAGTGACGACTTGTAGGAAAAAAGACGGCATTCAAAATCGAGCACCGAAGTCCTGGCCAGCCGTGCCCGTTTCGAGGCCCGACCTCAATCCAGCGCATCCATTTTTTTTTTGTTTTTGTCTGCGGCGGCAGCTCACTCGATCCTCCTTCCGGTGACTGTTGCCTATAACCTGATAACCACGGTTCTCCGATGCACCAGGGGCCTGCGATGTTCACGGCCTCCTCCAGCGATGGCCGAGCCAATGGACGTTGACGGCCCTCGTGGCGTCAAAAGGAAGGCTGATAATGTCGACATGAACAACTCACGGCGAATCAAGGCCCTAGATCCAGATGTCATCAACAAGATCGCAGCCGGCGAGATCATTGTTGCCCCTGTTCACGCACTCAAGGAGCTCATCGAGAATGCTGTGGATGCTGGCTCCACCGCCCTCGAAGTTTTGGCCAAAGACGGTGGTCTCAAAATGCTTCAGATCACTGACAATGGCAGTGGAATAGATGTGTGTGCTTTCAATCCCACATCCCCTCCTATTCCCTTCGCCTCTTCCTGATCCTGAAGGACTGTGTCCTCAGTCTCATGATTGCCACAACCAAGCGACCATCTGACCCTTCAATAGAAAGAAGACTTGCCCATCCTGTGTGAACGTTTTACGACGTCCAAACTGCAGAAATTTGAGGACCTCTCGTCCATAGCCACGTATGGATTTCGCGGGGAGGCTTTGGCAAGTATCAGCCACATAGCCCACCTGACAGTCACCACCAAGACCAAGGACTCGACATGTGCATGGCGTGCTTATTACGGCGGAGGCAAGCTTGAGCCCTCCAAGCCGGGGCAGACCGCAGATCCCAAGCCGGTGGCGGGCAGAAACGGCACCCAAATTACTGTTGAGGATCTCTTCTACAATGTGCCAACACGGCGCCGTGCATTCCGCTCTGCTTCCGACGAATACAACAAAATCATCGACATGGTTGGCCGTTATGCCATTCACTGCAGCCATGTCGCCTTCTCATGCAAGAAACAAGGGGAATCCTCTACGAGCATATCTGTGCCGGACACTGCCTCTGTCGTCGACCGTGTTCGTCAAATCTATGGCACTAGTGTCGCCAACGAGCTGGTCGAATACTCTACCTCAGACGAACGATGGGGCTTCAAAGCCGAGGGGTATGCCACGAATGCCAACTACCATATAAAGAAGACGACGTTGCTTCTGTTCATCAATCACCGCTGTGTCGAATCGACAAACATCAGAAAGGCAGTCGAGCAGACATATTCAGCATTCTTGCCAAAAAGTGGCCATCCTTTCGTATATCTCCGCCTCGAGATTGATCCTGGGCGGGTTGATGTCAACGTACATCCAACAAAACGGGAGGTCAATTTTCTCAATGAAGATGAGATTATTCATGCCATCTGTGAGCACATTCGCAGCAAGCTCGCAGCTGTTGACCAGAGCCGGACCTTCATGACACAAACGCTGCTTCCAGGTGCCGATTGGGCATCCACACAGAAGCAGACCGAAGACGACGCGACCCCGTCGTCGACGACACGTGCCTTCGGGAAGAAGACTACGCGTTATGAAAATACTCTCGTCCGGACAGATACCAACCTACGCAAAATCACTAGCATGTTCGCTCCAAGCGAAGAGTCATCATCTACACCAAGAGACTCTAGCAAAGCACCGACCACTGCACCCGATGCGCAACCTCCAGAGGCCATCGAATACGAGACTAATGACCGCGAGCAAGTCCCTTGTCGTCTCGCCAGTGTCCGTGAGCTGCGTGCAGACGTCCGAGATGACATGCACCACGAGCTTACAGAGGTATTCGCAACGCACACTTTCGTCGGGGTCGTCGATGAGCGGCGCCGGCTTGCAGCCATACAGGGCGGCGTCAAGCTCTACCTTGTTGACTATGGTCGCGCCTGCTTTGAATATTTCTATCAGGTCGGACTGACTGATTTCGGGAATTTCGGAGTTGTGAAATTCAGCCCTTCCCTAGATCTTCGTGCTGTTTTGCGCATAGCAGCGGAGCACGAAAAGGAGAAATGCTCTACATCGGAGGATGACTTCGATGTAGATGAGGTCGTGGACCTGGTGTCATCACAGCTTATCGAGCGGCGTGAGATGCTACTGGAATACTTCTCATTCGAGATTTCCCCGGCCGGAGAGCTCATCAGCATTCCTCTCCTTGTGAAGGGCTACACTCCGTCCATGGCGAAGCTACCGGACTTCCTACTCCGACTGGGCCCGCACGTTGACTGGAATGAGGAGTCAGCTTGCTTCGAGACATTTCTGAAGGAGTTGGCGTCGCTCTATGTTCCTGAGGTGCTGCCACCAACGCCGGGTGAAGCCGAGGCGGCTGCTGCTGAACAAATCGACGAAGAGCTCAGGGCAAGAAGGAAGCACGTCCGTTGGGCTGTTGAGCATGTTTTCTTTCCCGCTTTCAAGGCCCGCCTCGTGGCCACAAACAGCTTGATGAAGGATGGCGTGTTGGAGGTTGCCAATCTGAAGGGCTTGTACAGGGTATTTGAGAGATGCTGATTCAGACACCATTTGCTTCCGTATACCACATTTCCCATGGCATGTAGCTCTCCGTCACATTTTGCCTGCTAGCCACGACTTAAGTAGCCGCCGTGATTGACCGAAATATCCAACAAACACTGTCTTATCTGTCGTGGACACCGTGCCCTGTCTTTTGTCACTACTTTTTTCATCGTCAACGAGCAGGACACACTCAGCGCCCTGAGGTCGTGCACTCTAGAATACGCTCGTGCCTGACTTTGAATTGTCTTGAACTTTTGTGTATTATAAGACGCACTTGTAAGCAGGGAACAATCTTCCTTCTAAGAGTCGGATGCGACATATGCAGGCCGTTGACAGGGACACTGACACCCGCAATGAGCTCTGAAAAGTCATTTCCATTCGTCTATGGGTTCGTTTCGGTACCTGGATGAAGCCCCTTTCCATGGCACCAACCTGAAGAGTCCCCTTGATACTGTACAGTAGTAGCCCCATCCCCTCACAGCCTGTCCCACAGGCCAAATCACGTTATACGGCTCTGCCTAGGGTAAGCTTATTTACCGTCTTCCCACTCCGGGTTCTGTCATAACAGGTTAACAGGTTGCCAGCATCGACTGGAGTTGAGATCAACATACCTTCTTCAGGATGACCAGGCCCTCGAGCACATTGCTCACGCTGATGTATTCCTCGTCTTCGAGCTCAGCCCGCTCGCCGTACCCCAGCAGGACAGGGGTACTCTGTGTCTGCCAGCCGGTGATGGTCTTGGGGCGACCGGCTTGGCCGACTACATCAACTGCCTGACCAACGCGCACGTTGACCGTCAGGGGCTTGAGGTTCTCGTCGAGAGTGACGAGGAAACGCGGGTGCATGGCCGTGACCAAAAAGTACAAGAGATAGTGAGAGTTCTTGGTGATGAACTGCTTGGCGTCAATCATAGCCACGAGCACAGCCAGCAGGCCTGAACACGAGACCCTTGACAGGATCTGCCGGTCAGTGTGGAAGGGGCTGAGGGACATGGTGCCCTTGCCCATGTGCAGGAGACCCTGGGCAATCCGCACCATGAAGAGTGACTCCTTCTCACGGTGGTAGTAGCTTGCTAATTGTCGGAGCAGTTGCGCTAATCTGGCATTGTTCGTACCGGCGCCGAGAAGACCCATGGCGAAGATGGCGTTGATTGCGACATCATTGTCATTGTCGTGGCTGTATCGGGAAAGAGTGTCGTAGACCTTCATCTGAGGGTTGCTTGGGCTAATCAAGCCCATAGCCAGGGGAACTGCCCGGCGGATGTTGGGCTCGCCGTAGTGCATGAGATGGCCGAACTGACGAAGCACCATCTCCTGGCCGACTTCCTCGCCCATTGCGAGCAAGCCAAGTCCAAGCACGGCATAGGATTGTACCAGTTCGTCACCCTTCTTCTCGTCCGACTCCTCCATGTGCTCATTACACATGTGCAGGAGCTCTTGGATCTTCAGCACAGCACCAGTGCCAGCCCAGGCACAGATCTCAGCCAGGACAGCTGTGGGCTTTGCCGCAGGGTGGTCGATTGCCTTGAGGGTCTCCAGAATGACGTCCACCTCTTCTTGCTTACCGAAGAATAGCAGGCCAAGTCCGAGAGCCAGGAATCGAGTCCATTTGTCCTTCAGTTGGTTTTGGCGCTCATCATCGAGAAGGGTTGTGATTATTGCTTCCGTCACGTCTGGGTGGGATGTGCCAACGAAGATAAGACCACAGGCCAAGGCGGCCATGGCTGAGATCTGCATGTCCTGGGTGGTGTCATTAATGACAGGCAGAAGCTTCTCCAGCAGCTCCTCCTTGTTGGAGCCAGCGTACGTCAGGCCAAGTCCCATTATCGAAGCAACACGGATGAGAGGGTTGGAGTGCTCAAGTTTCTCAGGCTCTCCAAGCAGAGCCATGACAGGCTCAGAGTCCATCTTCACGCCAGCATTCATGATACCAATGGCGAGCATGGCTCCCGCGACGATTTGGGGCTCCTCAGAGTATGTATACTTGTCGATCTTGTCCAGGCCGTTCTCGACGTCCCACAGGAGTAAGGTTCCCAATGATGCAACTGTTGACATCATACCTTCGTCCTTGGTCTTCCACACCCAGCTGTTGGTATCCTTGTCTACCAGCATCATCTTGTCGTTGCCGAAGCCAGCGTTCACGAACGCGTTGACAAACCCTGCAGCCAGGTTGTGACGAGCAGAGTCCAGGTTGGTCATCCCAGCCACACGACTGCTCTCCAGATGGCTCTTGTAAATGTCTTCAGTCGTCTTGGGGTCGAGGATGTTGAGCTCCTTGCCAAGAGTCTTGAAGTGCTCCGACAGACGGAGATTGCTGAGACTCTCTTGGACTTCGGGATCTTCTTCTTCCGAGTCCAGGAATATCCTCTGCCGCGCGATCAGGAATGCTAATTGCTTCTTCAGTGTAGGGTCGGTTGCTGCCTCGAAATCCGCCTTGATCTGGTCTGTGTCGTTGAGGCGGATGGCCAAGACCATGGCCTGCGTGTATTGGTTGTATTCCTTGTATATGTCATGAGCGACACGAAGGAACAGCTCGTTGTCTGGGTATGTCAGAAGGTTGACCATGGAAACCATGTACAAGCAAACTCTGGAGTAAGTGTCCTCGTCGATGAACTCTGGCAGCTTCTCGATGATCTCCAGCTCGCTCATCAAATCAACCGCATCGGCCTCCGCATTGCTCTTGAGAAACAGAGGCACAAGGGACAGCGCCAGATCCACCAGATCAGTGGTGGATTCCTCGGCTGTGATCCTCTTGGCGTAGACCTCCCCAATCTCCAGGGCCAGATGCCGGACATATTCATGTCCCCAGGAGCCGATGTCCTGCGTTGGTGCCAACAGCCTGTACTTCAGGGTATCTTGTCTGTCCTCATCTGAGAAAGTCATGCCGATCACGGACAGTACATCGGCCAACGAGTTCTTGTCATCGCCTGCTGGCCAGTTCTCGTACAAAGCGGTCATGGTGTCGTAATGGGGTCGGAGGAACTTCAAGGGCTTCGGAACAGCAGTCATAGATGATGTCGATGTCTTGATGAAGTTCTTCATGGCCTCCAAGGCCGGCTTGTAGAGGGACGCATCGGGCTCCTGGTATACTGGGTCAACACTGTTTGATCACAGCAGGGTGGAAGGTCTTGAGGTGGACAAACGGTCAACCGCTCGACGAGCATGTCAAGCTCGCTCTTGAGTTGTTGGTCCTCCTCGCTGAGATCTTCTGTGGCTAAACGGATTGACGGGTCAGTCTGCGGTCGCAAGTCGCGGAATGGTGGCGCATACTGTCATCCTTCTCGTCGGCTTTCTTTCCGTTTGCCAGAGGCTTGCCATCCTTCTCCTTGGACACATCATCAGGCTTGCCATTCTCAACCGCCTTGCCCTTTCCCTTGTCGATGGCAGTAGGCTTGTCGCTGTCTTGAGCCATGATGGATGTGGGCTGCGGTTAGGAGGCACGTTGTGGATTCGAGGTCGGCGCAGACGGGAATTGCGTCAAGTGGCGCCTGGGAAAGCTGAACGGGGACGAGATGATCACAAGGAGGGAATGAGGAGGTTTGAAGAGTTTGCGGCCGGGTATATGTGGTGTCCAAGGCGATCGGAGCTTGTGGGTGGATGGTGTGTAGTGATGTTGGTGCTCGAAGCTTCGTAGAGTGCCAGCCCGCAGCTTTAGCTCCCGGGACCTGGCTGGATATTACGCGAGTCTCTGCCGCCTGGAGACGGCGAGCAAGGTCATCATCCAGAGGCGCCGAGCAGGGGCTCCTTCCCACCTTGAGCTGGTCAGTGCGCCGTATCTAATCACTGATAAGATAAGTCCAACTTCATCCCACCACAGGTAAATTTTAGAGAGACTTAGTGATCGCATCGCGACTACCAGTATACATCCCGATTACGGTACGAGACAGATTTGGTTGCATTTGACCTCTCAACCCACCACGCACCCGTCTATCCAGTTTTTGGGACACAGAATAATCCCATGCCCGCCTCGAATTCTTGCAAATCGCATACACAAGCCAAGGAACAGCCAATCCATCAGCGCCATCAGAAGAATCGCCTGTCATCATGAAGCTGGACACGAAATCCATGCGCCACCTCGCACCTGAGGATTGGCGGGTGCTCACAGCGGTATGTCGCTCATGATACTCCTCATAAATCTCAAGTCAAGCTCTTTCTCATCAACCAAAACCAGGTGGAAATGGGCTCCAAAAACCACGAAATCGTCCCGACAGCCATGATCGACAAGATCGCCCGCCTGCGCGGCGGCAGCAGCGGCGTGCACAAGTCCATCTCCAACCTCGCAAAGACGGGGCTCATAGGCCGGATCAAGGAAGCAAAATACGACGGCTACCGCCTGACATACGGCGGGCTCGACTACCTCGCGTTACACACCTACTCCTCGAAGAAACAGATCTACAGCGTGGGCAGCCGGGTCGGCGTGGGCAAGGAGAGCGACATCATGATGGTGGCGGACGACAAGGGGCAGCAGAAGATATTGAAGATACATAGGCTGGGGCGCATATCATTCCGCACGGTCAAGACGAACCGAGATTATCTGAAGAAGCGGCAGGGCGGCTCGTGGATGTATCTGTCGAGGCTATCGGCAATGAAGGAGTTCGCGTTCATGCAAGCCCTGAGGGAGGAGGGCTTCCCCGTCCCTGAGCCTATTGCGCAGTCAAGACACACCATTCTCATGTCATTCATCGACGACTCCTACCCATTACGACAGATTTCAGCCGTTCCCGACCCAGCAGGCTTGTACGCGGAGCTAATAGCCATGATTCTCCGATTGGCAAAGCACGGACTCATACATGGCGATTTCAACGAGTTCAACATTCTCATCAAGGAGGAAAAGGCAGACGACGACGAGGACCAGGAAGACTCTGTAGGAGCCGCTGTAACGCTAACGCCCATCCTCATTGACTTTCCACAAATGATCTCCATGGACCACCAGAACGCCGAGATGTACTTTGACCGCGATGTCAATTGCCTAAAACGGTTCTTCGAGCGGAGGTTCCATTTCACCAGCACTGAACCTGGCCCTTTCTACAAGGATGCGAGGAAGACCGTGGGGCAAGACGGCGCCAGAAAGATTGATGTTGCAGTCGAGGCTTCGGGTTTCACAAAGAAGATGTCTAATGATCTCGAGGCCGCCATAAGAGAACAGACTGGCTCAAGAGACGAGAGTGGGGATGAGTTTTCTGAAGATGAAGATGGCCTAGACTCCGAAGAAGAAGCCGCCACGAGCGGTGATGAGGGCGAGCCCGATAGCGGAGCCGATCAAGAATCCGAGCTTCAACAAGGCGCCCAAGACGAGAAACTTGATGACATGGCAAAATTAGAGATCAAAGATACTTCATGAGGCCAGAAGCATCGTCAATAAAAATTTGAGCACTGTATTGCAACTTTGGTTCCTGAAGGATGTTGCGACTCTCAACATACAGCCCGCGGGCATTCACTTGCGGAGTTGGGCACACATGTTGCTATCAACGACTTCCATGAATGTATATTGCCGGTGGCGATCCTGCTGCTACAGCAAGGTCCAAACAACGGAAAGTGATATGGTACAGAAGACAAAATGGGTGCTGATGATGTACTGATCTTCCCTGCTCTAACTGCTAGAAAGCAGATCCGTCATGCGAGGTGGACAGCCTCTTGCGTTAAGGGACATACTTGCGATGATAAGACCAGAGTGTAAGAGAGGACACCAAAATTTCGGACCCTGCTGACATCGAACAACCTCCACAAGCCCTCGGGATAAGGCTGATAATGAAAATTATGCCGGGAGTGCTGACGTCGAAAGAGCGTGGTCCAAAGCGTGTGAAGAATGATGGTCAGAAAGGATGGTATTCCTCTAGACAGCTTCCTTCTTGATGATGGGAGACGACTGCGACTTGTGGTTGGTGGGCGAGTCGACAACCGTCACACCCTCATCGGCAGACCCGTCATCCGAAGAAGACGTGACTGCGCACTGTCTGCGTGAGATAGTCAGCACAGGGCAGGGTTTCAGCGACTGGTTGTGAAGAATCCTACTGGTGAATGCGGCCCTTCGTCATGTTCGCGTTTCCGCTCTTGGCAGCGAGAGCAGGACGGTGGGGAGCTCCAGGAGCGGCGCTACACATATGTTAGCACCAGCAAGATAGTGAGCAGACAGAGAGTTCTTTTCGGCGTGACCAACCTGGTGAAGCGAGGGGTGCGGCCCCAGCTGCTGGGCTGAGAGCTGTAAATGGAAGGGGTCATGCCAACGGCCATAGTTCCATATGCGCCGATGTTGTACTCGTTGGTGCGGTACTGGCGGCGCTCGGCGGTGACGCGCTTCAGCTCCTTCTGAGAAGGCGTGTCGGCGTAGCGGACCTGCATCAGGAAGCACTCGTCACCAATGGCCTGGCCATGGTAGCGTCGGATGACCTCCTCACAGATATCGCGACTCTCGAAACTGCGATGACTGATCAGATTTTTGCATGAAGGCCAGAGGACAATTCCGGTAAACTTACCGGGCAAATCCAACGCCGCGGCTGTTGCCCATGCTGTCGCGAAGGATCTTGCTCGACATGATCTGGTAGGGCTCGAAGATTGCGACGAGTTGCTGTCAAGAGTCAGCACAATGCTAGGCTGTCAACAGAGAAGAGGGGAGACTGACCGCCTCTGTGACAGACTTTGGCAAGTTGGAGATGTACAGGTTGGTCGACTCCTCATCTCCCTCAGCCTTGAGGCGAGCGTTGAAGCTCTCCCGTGCGAAGCCGACCTCGTAGCCAAGAAGGTAGAAGGCCTGGATGCACTTCTCGGAATCACGAACATTCTTGAACTTGGCAAAGCCGAATCTGCATAGATTAGTATTCGTATCTTGCTGTGAAGAGGTCCAGATTGCAGCGAACACTTACCCCTTGCAGGCACCGGTGGTGGTGTCAATGATTGCCTTGCTCTGCTCAACCTCACCGAAGCGAGAGGCGTACTTCAGCAGGAGCTCATCATCAGTGGTGGGGTGAAGGCCCCGAATGTAGACGTTCCTGTTGCCATCGATGCGGTTTTCCAAGCACTGGTCCAGTGTCTTGCGCTGCTCTGGGGTGGTGAAGACAGCGGGCACAGCAGAAGGGATAGAGGGATCCTGCTCAGCAAGAGCGCGGAGTTCAGCCTCAGCAACTCGCTTTCCCTTGGAGCTGACAGGACCGAGGGTTCCGGACACAGCAAGCTGCTGAGGGGAGGGAGTGGTGTAGCTTGATCGGTCGGCAGACATGACACGAGGAGCAGACTGTCGGTCTCCCATACCTCCAAAGAAAGGCGTACCCGGGGTAGACTCAGTGGCAGTGGTCGAGTAAGAGCCTCGGCGGTTGTCGAGTCCAGGCAGGTCTCGAAGTCCACGCTCCATCCGGTCCGTGTAGGAGGCTGCTCGTCCAGGAGTGTAAGGGACCATGTAGGCGCCATAAGCACCAGTAACGCCGCCCTGATGCATGTAGTGACCAGCGGGGATGCCATGACCGTAGACCGAATCAGAGACCTGGGCCATTCCCATGTTGTAAGGAGCCTGAATGTGGCTTCCATAGCCAGGGTAGACGACAGAGGTGTCAGGGGGCATGTAGCCGCCAGGAGGAATGGCAACAGGCGCAGCGCCCTGGGGAACGTTATTATTAGCCAGGCCGAGAGCGCCGAAAGAACTGACAAGACCGCCAAGGCCATCATGATGGGCAGCTGGGTAGTGAATGCCACGGGGTCCAGGGACATCATGAGCTCCTTGAGCAGCCATGTAAGCAGGTCCCACGCCGGGGCGAGGTCCCTGGTTGTTGGCATCGGAAGCCATAGCGGCGTGGTTGTGGTAAGACATTGTGGTTTCTGCATAGTGAAGAGGTCAGCACTGGCTTTGATACAAATCGTAGATCACGAGGGAAGGTGTGAAAGCACAGGTAGACGGAATGCCCAAAGAAGCCAGGCCCAGCCTCTTGTCGACAGGCAATTAGGCTGGGTGAAGCTGAATTCCACCGCTTGGAATATACCAAACTTGAGAACGATTGCTCAGATCACAACCCAGCGTTGTGTGTGATCACCCAGCACGATGTTGCTCCACCGAGACAAGATGCAGTGAATGGGGTAGGTTTCGCGGGGCAAGTGTTCCCACATCTGAAGCATTGCAAACGCGATTGGAAATAACAACGAGGAGACTCACCTTGGTTGGATGTATCGATGAGGATGCTATCAAAGCTGCACAGGAAGTGGTCAGCCAAAGGAATGGAAACAGGAACAGCCACGATGCTGGCTGTTCTTAAGATCGTTATGCTGTTTTGGTGTGGAAGGTTTTGAGGTGAGGAATCTGGACCAAGCTGCTGGTGGTCTTCGAAAAAAGCGTAACGATGGGTTGAAAGTAACAGGCAAGGGAATTGGGCAAGGCTTTTCGAGAAACCTGGCAGTGGTCGAAAGATTGGAAGACCGGTGGATGGCCAAAGTGAAAGGCAGGGAGCTCAGTTCACCCCAGGATCGCAGAGCACTAACCTTGCCGTCTTCAAATTGGGACCCCACTGGACTGAAAAGATCAGACGATTGAGGCAGGACACAAAGATGAGCGACAAAGCAGGCAACCTGGGGATGGTATGTTGGCGTCACAGGAAGGATTTTGGGATGAAGCGAGCGGTTTGGGGGGTAGAAATGGAGCTATGAAGCAAGCTGGTGGAGTGATCGATCTTTGATGCTGGTGATGAAGAGAGAAGAGAAGAACACAAACCTGAGCGAGACAGGAAGAGATACTAAAGAGACAGACTGTCCCGAAGCACATGTAACACTGATTCCGACAGAGAAGCTGCGAGGCGCAATGGTTGGAAGGAGGATAGAGGCCTATCGCGGTATGCAGGCAGCTACCCAGGCAAAGTGTTGATGTCGTAATGGCTCGAAGGAGGAGTAACTGTCTCCAAGAAAGAGTGGTCAACGCCTGATAGACGTCGTTGACCCAAAAGATCGAGGACAGAAGGTAGAAGATGGCGAGGAAGGCACGATGTTGGATGGCAAGGTAGCCAGGATCAGAGGAGACCTTGACTGGGTGTTGCTTTGATTTGTGTGAGAGGAAGGCAGAGCGGCCACTGACTTTGGGACACCAGACGTCGGCTGCTGTTATCGACAGCACATGCAATCCACTTCCAGAAGAGCAAGTCACAGACAGCTGGAGGTTCCCCTGTCTACGAAGGTGAATGCCAACACTGGGAGGGTCTGGGGAAGACGCCTAAAGGCTCTCATTAGAGATTGTTTACCGACCGAGGGAAACAGCAAGAAAGGACGATTCACCTGGTAATTCCTTTCCGGTCTCCCGAACCCCAGCCTAACAACCTTGGAGGTCAACAACCCTCACCGTGTCGCAGCTTCCGGGTTTCCAAGCAGGGTGGATGTAGGTGGCTACTACTACCAGGTAGGCGGTTAGGTACCAGACTTGAAGCCTTTGATATCCTCAAATGTTCTCCTCAGTCCTCCTCAACGTGCCTTCCCAGGTCAAGCAGCAAAACCAGCCCCCACCAATCTGAAGCTCTGTGAACCTCCCGGCCACGAGTCCTCAAATGTGTGGTATTTCTGCGTCCTAGAGAAGTCGGGTCGCCTTGCCAACACAAGTACAAAAGCTGTTCTTAGACAGTATCTGACCCAGTAGATCGTATGGAATAGAAGTTTCGTCCAGGATTGACAAACCAGTGCACAATTGCCAGCAAGGAAGCCTTGAGAATAACAATATGGAAGGATGGTAAGAATAGCAACGAGTGGACTGCTGTCAATAGTGCTTGCTTGACATCACGATGGCTTGAGAAGTCCAGTTCCAGCTCCAAGCCTGAGGAAGACAGCACCGGTTTCGAGGAAGGAGAACCTGCCGAGGCAGCAGAAGACAAGAGCCTTTATGGGCCGTTGCAGACTAGCAAGGCATTCATTCGCCGACCATCGAGGCCAACATGCAAGCAATCACAACATCCCGCCCTTTGCTCTGTCCTTCCCCGCAAGCTAATAAACGGCAGGACTGTGATCAAAAGCGCATGAAGACCGCATATGCGAACGGGCCTCCCTCCGACCAGAGACGCGGGAAGGGGACAGGGGAGAAAAAGGAAAGAAGGAGAGGAAACCCCAGGCAGGCACGGCAGGACACAAACGTCAACATTGCTTCTCACCCTCCGGCAACTCCGCCGTGTCCGCCCAGCAGAGGCAGCGGCGGCACAACGTGGCTGCCGCAAAGTTGACAATTGACATGTCGATCAAGCTGCCCGTCTCAGGGTCCCCCTTGGGGAAGGCAAGACACCCTCCTGGGAGCTCTCGATGCAGCATCCAGAACATCTCGCGCGAGATGACGCGGGTGCGGCGAGGCTCAGTCGGGCATATTTCCTGTGTCTTACTCCTGCCTCTCTGACTGGGCCCAGAGTGTCTCGCCGCATACTCAACTCGAGGGCTTGCCGAGGCGACCTAGCTCGTGGAACCAAACTGAGAACTTCGAGCACAGGCCATTCCAGACATTGCTCTTCACCTCTGGGGGGAATCATGGTTCGGCAAGAACGGTCCATAGATACCAGGTCTGCACCAGTCCCGTTGGGGCTGCGAGGCATCCTCTCAGCTGGCGATGGATGACTGTACAACCCTATAGCAGACTCGAACTGATTTTGGTCCCTGAAGTGTCTGTGCAAACAAACCTTACCAACCTCGTCGAGGAGTGCAGGAAGAAAAAAGCAACCAAGCGCCCCTCGGTGCGGGTGTCCCGACGGGCGGTCGTTTGCTCCAAGATTGGGTGCCCACAAACAAGGACCAGGCCAAACGGCCTCGTTCTCGTGTGGCTCATGCTGCAGGTTTAGATGGCTAAAGCTGTGGGTGGTATGTCATTTGAGGACATGCCATGGGTTGTTTGCCGGAGAGTGCTCTCGAAGCTTGTGCTCGAGATGATCCACGATACAAATCAAGCCCGGCGCCGACTTCGGCCACCCTGGTTGGTCGATTCGGCCGAAGCCGACCAGCCGTGGTGAATGAGGTGGGCCGACTGTTACTTGCTGTTTTATATCACCTGCACCAGATTTTGGCATCTTGTGCGAGTTGAGTATGTAGCCAGAATAGACACAGATATCAGCCTGTGCACCTGTTGTACAAGAAGCGAATCTCGTGCTGCAGTCACATTGGCTCATGCGGCTGCTGGGGTACACCATAACCAATGTCACCCGGCCGAAACAGGGCAGAGATGAAGTATTAACAATTGGTATTGTGTTATGAACGTGGGCAACAAAGTTGATCTTTCTAGGCTTGCTGAATTTCAATAAATTTTCAAGTATGCCATGACTCCTGTATCCCCAACAACACACTATTCAACCAGATAAAGCCTGGCACGAATTGTCTCCTCTTCACAGAAAATGCGATCAAAACACGCTGGCTTTCTATGACCAAACGTCCTCCTATGTAGCCTGTTAGCATCATGTCTTTAGATTGCATAGTGTGTGGACATACCTGGTATTGGTTGGCAGCTCTCATGTTCTTGACAATCTCCTCTGCCTTGGCCTCTGACACACCCCTGTGCTCAGCAATGATTTGTGCCAGGACAGTGTTGACCTCGCGGGCCATGTTCGCAGCATCACCACAGACATAGAAGTATGCCTTCTTCTCGAGGAGCTCGTTGATCTCCTTGCCTTGCTGCTTGAGGAGATGCTGCACATAGACCTTGCTCGGTCCATCCCTTGAGAACGCGGTGTGCATCACGAACTGGTCACCCATGGCCTTCTTGTATTGCTGTACGCTGTCAGCATTGGGGTCCTTGCACTTTTGCGGAAACCAGCTACTTACCTCCCACTCGGACTCATACATGAAGTCCTCGCTTCGCTTCCGGCAGCCAAAGAAGAGAATGGTCTTGCCAACGCTCTGGCCATCTTCAGCCTCCTTTGCTCTTTCCTGAACGAATCCACGGAACGGTGCAACACCAGTGCCAGGCCCGATCATGATGATTGGCTTCGAGGGATCGGAGGGCAGCTTGAAGTTCGAGTGGCGTACATGCACAGGAACATGAATGCCGTCATACTTGTTGCGGGGACCAGTGAGCTCGTAAGTTGCACCAAAGGGCTCCGGGTTTGGATCGCCGTTCTGCTTCTGCTTCAGAGCAAGGAGGTAGTTGGTAGCAACACCTCGGAATGGGTCCTCCCGGCCAGGAAGAGTCTGGTTTTCAACGACAGCGGTGATGGAAATCTTCTTGGGCTGCACCATCGCAGACGAGGAGATAGAGTAATAACGTGGCTGCAGCTTAGTGATGCCTTCAATGAAACACGAGAAAGGGACGTTGGTCCACTGCTGGCCCTTCGCAACGGTCTCGAGCACCCTCGCGATGTTGAGATGTTTGGCGCTGACCTTTTCGTGGAAGTAGTCCTTGTCACCACCAAGCTTGGTCATTTCAGCCTTAGAGTCCTCGTCAGGGGCGAACGCCGACAGGGTGGCCAGGAATTGACGGGACACTGGGGCACAGATTTCCATATGGTAACGAATGATCGCATCGAAGGTGGTTGGGGTGGGGAAGGGGACCTTTGCCGTGGGCTCCAGAGCCTTGACGCTGATGACTTGATCGCGCTTCTCAGACAGTCCCAGGACGTTGATTAGGCGATCAGCTTCTTCACCGGGGTTGGTAGGCCAGATGGCGATGTGGTCACCGGTCTGGTAACTCAGGTTGGAACCGCTGATGTCGACTTCCATGTGCAGGCAGTTTCGGTCCTTGACGGAGAACAGCTCGTTAGATTCGGCAATAGGGGCAATGTAGGGGTTGTGCGCGTTGAAAGGCCCCTTGGCGGTGCCCTCGAGATGCATCTTGTTGGGTTCTCCGAGGTAGACCTCGTGCGAGTCCTTGGTCAGGCCCTCGCGGTCGATGATGCTGAATATCGGCTCGTACACAGCCTCGCGCTCTTCCAGTCCCATCTTCTCAGAGAGAGCAGTCCACATGGGCTCCTTCCAGGCTAGGAAGTCCTCTTCCATGGTGCCGGCTCCGTCATCGCCCTCGCCGGCCTCGCCAATCCTGTAAGCGCCAAGTTTCTCGAGGGCCTTGTTGACGTTGCGAACCATGGAGTTGTAGTGCTCGTATGTGTTGTTGCCCAGGCCGAATGCGACGTAGTTCAGGTTGCCCAGAGGGGGGTCGTTGCTCTCGGAGAAGGACACGTCCTCGCCGGTGATGAACTCATAGAAGTCTACAGCGTTGTCCGTGGGCTCGCCCTCACCGTACGTGGCCAGAACAAACATGACTACCTTGTCGTTAGGAACGCAGTCAAGGTTCTCGTAGTCGTAGTCCTCCAGGTCGGCAACCATAGTCTCAAGTCCGAACCTGCTCTTGCCTTCCTTGGCGAGTCTCGAGGCGTAATCCTCGGCAGTTCCAGTCTGAGATCCGTAGAAGATAATGCAGTTCTTGCCACTCTCTTCCATCTTCTCCAGAATGTTCCTGGTTTTCCCGGCCTTTGCGGCATGTCCGTTGGCGAATGAGTTGGCATATGGATCTTTGGTGACTCCCCAGTATTTACCCTTTGTGAAGTATGCCAGGGTTCCTAGGAGGATTGCCGCAAGGACGACAATGTCCAGGGTGTCGAGTTCAGCCATGTTGGCGCGACCGGTGCCGAGGCACACGTGTTAAACCAGTGAATCTGCGACTACGTTGCTGAGACAGCTGCAAAGCCTACAGGGAGTCAGTTCTGGAAAACGAGGCTATCACGAGTACTGTTGGGGACAGACCTGGGGCGTTCCTGGGCGGCGGAAAGGCTGACGGATGGGCTGAGTGGTTTGGACCAGGAAGAGAACCGGAGACGGCACGCAACCTCTGGGGCTCGAGTCGCCAAGAGCCGCGGTGGGGATGTCCAGACAGCTGGTGCGGAAGAGCCCGGGGTTGAAGAGTTGCAGGATTACCGGCTGATGACTGTCGGAGGAAGATGACACGGTCAGCCACCAGCGCTGCAGTGAAGGGTGGAAGTCGCCTTGCAGAGTGCAACAACGTTTTATAGAGCCCGAGAGCGAAGGAGACAGCAAAGCGTGTTGGGATTCAAACGTGGCGCCGGAGTGGAGGACGAGAAGGGACGGGGGAGCGATAACTGATAACGGGCTTTTCGTGGTCCGGTTTTAATCCGAGCGAAAGAAAAAGTGTAAACGGTCGGGGCCCCTCGCCTGGGGCTGTGTGGGTGAGCTGCTAAGGAAATGCCGGGTTTTCTTTTTTAGGGGACCACACGCCTGTGCCACTTTCCCCTGTCTGGGTGCCCAGATGCTTTGTAGGTTCCCAGCTGGGTCTGGTCCCACGGTTCCCCAACGTCGGCCCATGGCACTGGGCCGTTCCATGTGGTCGAAACGTTGCTGTTGGTTAGACGCACCTTACTGCGAGTACCTCGTGTGGACCTCGACCTGGGCCAATAATTTGCGCCGTCCTCCCGAGAGATCCCACGCGACTGCAATGTATTCATAAGGTAGTCCTTTGCGTGAGAAGGATCAGTTGTCCCCGAGGCCGTTCTACGAGTAATGGCCTCTCTGGCTCTTGCGCTATGTGCTGGGTCTTACGGCTTTCACCAGTTGCCCGAGGGTCTGAAAAGCGAGACCGGGTTGCTGCGGATTCACCGTCCTTTTGCTCCAATGCCCAGTTGGACACAGTTTTCGCTTCCGACGCCCGACGCCCGACGCCCGATGGGCATGGTAGGGTACATTACGGTTACGGTTACGGTACGGTGCGGTGCGTTGCACCTAGGCACCCGTCATCTGCAAGCACAAGTGGGCAGATTCAACAGCCAACCACCCACGAAGGAGGATTTCGTGCTAGGGCTTACTGCATGGAACACCCAACTGCAAATAAGCACGATAGCCCTGCATCGACGGCTCGATTTTCTCTGTCCAATGCTCGGGTGGCTACCTGCTTCTACGGGGCGCCCAGTCGATCTCGAATATTCCATATCTTTGCACGTCCTGAGGACTGAGACCCGAGGGCTGAGACCACAAACTTAACGGACTTGGATGACGCCTAGATTGCCGTACCGAGGCACGGTACTGGCAGTCGTGCCGGCAACGCCTTGAAATTAATGCACATGGAGTCATAGACGGTTATTGCTACGCGCCGTTGTGGTAGTTTGACTGCGGCCTCCTTGTCTCCTTGTCGCAACCCGGGAAGCCGGGCTGACGCCTGCTGACGGTGACCACGATGTGATCTCCCCCTCCTTGGCAGCCTGCGATCCCGTCCCACAATGTCGGCGATGTAATCGGTTCCGAGTCAACCGACCACAATTTCAGAACGTTACTGGGCCTGGAGACGCCTTGAGGACCGGCACGCACGGCGCCCGCTAAGGTTGTACTTGCATCATGCAACGGCTGACTCATACGAGGGCTGTGTTTCCAGCGTTGGTCCGCGCTGCTGGAGTGGGTTTGTTACTACTGTAATTATGGAGGCTCGAGTTGGCGGCGGGCCACGGAGCCCGGGTTGAAGCCGTCACAGCGACACTACTTGACGAATATCACAGCAGCCACCCCCCCCCTTCGCTAACACTCCGGGTTAACAATCTCCAGGGTCGCTCTATACAATCGCCGCAAGTACCTCCTCAGTATAGGTACTCTAAAGGAAGCCATGATCACACCCTACCATCATCACCCACACCCACAGTCACCCCTAAAGATCACACACCACAAGTCAACTTCACCCTACAACAACTTTCCCCGTCTCAGTTCATCCCGGCGATCGATTGTCAAGAAAACCCCCCCTATCTAATAGGAATTGTCAAGGGAACCCCCCCCCAATCCGTTATCAAGAAACCCTCCCCTCCACTCAATCTAATAGGTGGTCGTCTTTGTTCATTTTGAAGCCTTGCATACCCTCCTGATACAAGATGGTGATGATGAAATGGGAAGGGGGCTATTGGAGGATCCCCGAGTCACTGGGCGGGGCTGGCGGTGCTATGCGTTGTGGATAAGGAAGGAGCAAAGGGAAGGAGAAGTGGTCGGCAGCAGCATGATGCTGCCTGCTGGCTACTGCCTCAGTTCTGCCATTGATCCTCCCCCCATCTCCATCATCCATCTGCAACAACTTCACCACTGCTGCAGAAAACCCACAGCCGAGAGAATGGACGGCGTCCAAGACTTCAACTCGTCCGACATCGAGTTCAGTGACCATGATGTCGCGGAACACCTCAAGTACGGCCAGGCATCTATCGACAGAATGATCGCCAATGCCGCCAAGGACCGCATCTCCCCCAAGAAGACCGTCAAGCAGCTCCAGTACCAAGCAGTCGCCCCTGGGACCAACCAGCACTACGGCCTCTGGTCCCGCCGGTTTGAGACCTTCAGGGAACATACCCTCCACCAATCTGTCGATGTGCCCTTTACCGGGGAAGACATGATTCGGTTCTTCGACTCGATCATAGGTATGCAACTACCTCCTCCCCCCCCGTCTCCATTTGTTTCGGAAGGGGGGGGGGCATCTTCACCGATATGAGTCTGTTATACATAGCAGTCGTGGCTAACACGGCTCCTCTTCGTCAAACAGGGTAGCTCCGGCCAAGCGATCTGAGCAAGCCCGTCCCCAGCTTGTCCACCATTGAAGAAGCCTACAAGAAGCTTCTCAGCTATGGCACGTCCCGGTGGTCCGAGAAGGACGGCTTTGAGATCACCGGCCATGATAGTGCTCGGTTCAAGGCCTTCACGGCCCAGGCCGTCAAGGACAAGCGGCTAACGAAGGGGATGTGGAAGGGACGGTCCTGGGTTGGGTTTGTCACCCTCTCCCGCATGGTCCGGGTCTTCCTCGAGCACTACGTTCAACACGGTGCCCGCAGCTTCGACCTAGTCATCTCCAGATCTCTCAGCATAGTACTGGTCGCGGCACTAGGCTGCAGGGCCGGAGATATCGCCCTAACCCAGGGGTACACCGGCCTGGAGTACAGGAACATCGAGCTCTATCTCGAGGAAGAAGCCCCTTCCCCGGCTGGTCAGCAGCAGCCACAAAGACCCCGGCCGTCGATCAGGGACCTGCGCGCCGTAGTTACCATCGAGTTCGCAAAAGGCCACAAGGACACACTCAACGATTCGACCGTTAAATACCTTCGGCCCTTGGACGACCTCCAATCCATCCATGTCTGCCCCATCGCCCTCCTACTGGTCCACGCCCTCCGTAATGGCCTGATCCACGGCACTACTGTGGAGGATGTTCTGAGCCGTGCTGCAGCCAGGCCTGATCTCCATGTTGAGTGGGCTTACCCTGACCGTCCCGTCGTAACTGCCATAGCCCACGGGCCCAGGCGCTGTGAACTCGACACCCCTGGTGGGGGTCAGCAGCTTTTACGTACCACCAAGGAGATGGGGGTCCTTTCCGGGATGCTTTCTAGGGTCTGTACCCACTCACTACGCTTGGGTGCCCTGCGGGACTACGCCCACCTGCCCAAGACTGTCTCGACCACACTTGCAAGCACGGACGAGGTCAGAAAGGTTGCTGGCCATACCCATGTGGCCATGAACAGGGGAGTCACAGCAAACTACATCGGTAATCTTGCCCAGGAATACTACAATTCTCGGGCGGAGAAGGGCGGGATTCAGCACCGCGAGGCGATGAAGCGCCCGCTGTCAGAGGAGGAGATCCAGCAGGACCTCGATGAGCGCCGCCGTGCCTCTGGTGGAGGGGTGGAGCAGCAGCAGCAGCAGCAGCAGCACGAGGAGGAAGGGGGCGAGGACCCCGACGTCTCCTCCTCCTACTCCTTGACACATACCGAGATGAGTGGCATCCAGTACCGCGTCCGGCAGAAGCGCCAGAAAGAGCTGGCCACCTCCGCAATGCCGCAGCCACCCACGCCTCGGACGGCGTCCAACGCACATCTTTACGCTGCACCAGCTCCTCCACCTCCACCTCCACCGCCCACAGCCCAGTTCCAGGCGGGGGTAATGCAAACCGAGGCGAGGACCAGCTCCCCCGGATACCGAGCCCTTCGTTGAACAGCAGCATGGCCTACCTGGCGCCGTGGCTGGGCAGGAAGCCCCTAGCACGACATCATCATCGTCGTCATCCTCGTTGTCGCCCTCGTCAGCAGCAGCAGCAGCAGCGAGCACCACATGGCCTAACCCATCCGGCAGTGGTCTTATTCCCAACAGCGAGGAACTCGTATCCCTATCACAGGTCGATCCGGCTCTCCTGGATGAAGAGACCCTCGAGGCCCTTGATGTAGCCCAGGCAGACGTGGAGGCCTTGCACGATGCCATCACCACCCACAGCGTCCCAGAGGCTGACACCCCCGGTGCCAACAAGGAGGAGGAAGAGGGAGGCTTGCCAGGCAGCACCTCGGATGATGCCGCTGAGGCCAACATGGAGGAGGCTGCACGCCTGCTGCTCGGTCAGGGCGAGGTTCAGGACGGTGCAGGCGGCCCGGCAGATACGACCACTACCACGACCTCTTCCGTCCGGACGGCGTCCAATCCCGAGGGGTGGATAAACGGCTTCGCCAGGCACAATGTTGTGAAGAATACCTGCTTCGTAAGTGTGTGGAAGGAGTACTCGGATGGGGAATTATCCTTTGGGGAGTCGGTTGGCCACCACTCAGTAAGGGGCAATTCCCGCGACGAGCCTACCCCTTATACGTTCCACTGCCAGCGTACCGAGGGCTGTGGCTATACCGCCATTAAGCTGAGCTTGTTGCAGGCCCACGAGATTTCCTGTAGCATAGCACGTGTCGAGGCCAGGAGAGAGGAAGCTCAGGCAGGGGACATCCTGAGATGCACCCATCCCGGCTGTCGCTATAAGACTTCTCACGGGAAGGAGGCCCTCCGGAAGCATGTAAGAAGGATACACAAATGGACCCCAAAGCCATGCCCAGAGCCTGGGTGCGACCCAGAGAAGTTGTACGAGACAGGGAACGCCTTTGAGGCCCACCAGAGCAAGGCGCACAGCGGCCGTTGGCCCTCGAAGTGTCCCTTTCCCGGCTGCCCATCGACCGTTGAATTCAACGCGGCCATCGGCCTGGTCAGACATCTCGAAGCAAAACACGGCCTGTCACCAGAAGCGTGCACCCCATACATGCCACCTAGGCCCGCAAGGACGCGGTGGGTCAAGCAGACGTGTCTTGTGCCTATGTGCAACAACAGCACGACGTTATATGGGTCTCGAGAAGTGCCATGTTGAGCCACACGAAATCCACACACAAGATGAAGGAGGAGGATGCCCTGGAACTCCTCGACCGCGAGGCAAGTTCCGAGGTGGTAACTCCCGAGGAGAAGAAGGTCCTGGGGCTGGGGGGCGGAAACGCCAAGAAACGTGACACCCAGCGGGCTTTTGCAGCACCCGCGGGCGGCAAGGAGAGCGAGGATCCTCAGCTACCACCACCATCTGCTCTGGACGGCGTCCAACGATCCGGAGGGGACGACGGCGGCACACGTGATGCCCCGGCGAAGCTGAAAAGGCTCAGAGTCAAGAAGTAGTCTGTCTATGTGTGTGGTGGTGGCACTGCAGCAGTGAGGGCTGGGTGGTCGGAACTGGGTTACTTTTTTGTCGGCGGAACGAAAAGAAGTCTGGTCGTATGCCACTTACTTTATAGCTCATACCACAGAAATTCAAAGGCTTCTTTATCGCCGTGCACAGTGGTCTATCCTTAATTACAGTAGTTATGTTTTTGGGTAAAATGCGTGGGAAGAGGGTCTACCCACCAGAATGGCGCGAGCCTTTACTGACGATCACCTTGCTGACGATCACCTCACTAGTGAAGGTGTGGGGGGGGGGGGTGGTTGCTATGTTATTCAGTAGGGTCTGTCGCCTTGAAGGTTGATGCTTTGGAGTGTGGGTCGCGTCTATTACAACAAGATCACCGCAAGTGTGGGGTGACGCTTCTGAGCTTACCCTGGTCCGGAAATTTCCTGACCTGTGTTTCAGATATCACGCAGTTGGATCCGCATGCACAGGTCGACAGCTGGCTGTTGGACGACGTCTAAACTGGAACGGCGTTTGTGGCGACGCGTTGTAGTAACCTTGTGATAACCTTTTTGAAATAGAATTGAATCGGGGTGGTGGTGGTGGTAATGGTGATGATGATGATGATGATGATGATGAATGCTCTGCTGTTGATCACTCGCTGTGCTCGCTCAGAAATATGTGAGGGGGAGGTGGGTGACGCTCCGCTGTGATCATTTGTTGTGTTTGCTCAGGAATACAAGTTCTGACCGGTGTTGAATATCTTGATATCGCTAAGATCAATCGTTCCGCGCCTCCGACTCCGGGAACGAATTATGGGGCGCAACCGGGTTCCAATTCAGTCCTGTCCCCGGATGTTGCTGTATATATTAATACATGCATTTATATATATATATCACGCCTTGGGTGTCATCTCAGATGGCCCGCTGGTTTTGTCGCGTTTGGGACTTCTGCTGACGGCAACGCTGTCTTATCACCTGCGCAGCAACAATCCTACGCAGCCTACAGCGTCCGAACAAGATCGCTCGAGTGACAAGCAGCATTCTGTCAGAATGCAGATGGCTTGGAATGATGGTGCAGCCAAACCATAGACGCTCGGGCAGGACCCTTACCTGGGATATGATTGGTTGTCATGCTGTGCGTACCTTGCATTTTCTCGCTTGCCAGCTTGCCATGCCTGTCCATAGAGATGCCTCCTGGGATTGCGTTCGCTCTCTGCAATCTAACCAACTTTGGGAAGTCAAGCGCCCGCCCGCACATAGACTCCTCTTATTAACCTGTGGTTGAGGTGATTCGGAAGCCGCCGCAGAGGGCGAGAGAGTCTCAGAGAGATCTGGATTGGCCCGTCGAAGCGGCCCATACCCCTACCTGTCCAGGTGTGGTCAGGTACCTTTAGGGCGCCAGGGCTCCAGACAGACACCACAACTCTGAGGACCTGCAGGAGTGGGAGAACCTTCCCGCCCCGACCGCCCACCTCCATGGTCTGCTGCCGCCGTGTAGACCCTCTAGACTACATACCTCCATACCGCACCTGCCCACCACCCTGTCACCTGGGCATAGCTGTGCGTTGTCTGCCTGTCTGTCCGTCTATCTGCCCGGCCGGGGTGTATCACCTTCCATCAAGGCCATCTGATGCCCTGTATAAAAGGGGCCTGGAGAGAGGCCCAGCATGGGTAAGTCGGTCCATTTCGACACCCGTGGGTATCCTGAGTTGTGAAACGACGAGTTCCAGCACGCTCTCAGCTCGGCAGCTCGGGTGGCGGGCCCATCCCATCTGTGCACAATCCGAGCCTCACCTGTTTCACAACACTGCCAAAAGAGGGGAACGAACCATTGCGAGGCAGCAGCATGTCTGTTTCCAGCGCCTCAACCCGTCCCTGTTGCCCTCTCCTGACACCGCACTACCATTGCACATTGCGCGCTGCACGCTGCACTCCCGCGCTCTCCCTCACTACTTGCGATCCCCCATAGTCGCCCCGGAGCCATCCCACCGCTGCGGGCAAAGAGTTGCATTGTTCGAGGTTGCGGATTGCGGATCGCGGGCTCGGATTGCGTGTTGCCGTGTGCTGACTAGAGCTGCCCTGTAGCTCCTTCCTCGACGCTGCCCGACCATGCCTACGATACTCTGAAGTTCTCGCCCCGGTCACCTATACACGAGGAGGATGAGGACTGGGACAAGACCGTGACATCTGGTGCGCTGGATCCTCAGAGAGCACAATACATAGCCCATTCTCGCGAGTCGTCCCTGGAAAAGCTGCAGGCTGGCGCGCAACCCGCCAGCTCCCCGTCGCAGTCGCAGTCCCACCACCAGCAACAACACCAGCAACCGTCCTCTCAACAACACTCCCCCTCCTCTGCGCCGCGCAACCAGCCACCCGCCTCTCGCTCGGCCCTCGGCGGCGCGTTCGACCGAATTATTGATCCGAGGGGTACATATGGACATCACCGACAGACCTCTATTGTGCACGGAATACAACACTCGAGGAGTGGGAGTCGTGCCAGCTCTTCTTCTAGCCCACTGAGCCCCCAGATAATAGCTGCCGCCGGCACTGGGCTCACACCGGAACGAGCTGAGATGCACCCTTATGGAGACGTAGCCCTCGCTTCACGCCCGTCTACTGCCATGTCAGGCGCATCATTGACTCCTGGGCCTCAAATACCAGAGCGGACTTCGTCGGCGACAGATACAAGTGTCAACGCCTTCACGCAGAGGAAGTTGGAAAGAATGCATAGCGGGAAGGGCAAGCGCGACCACGCGCATCACCATTCGCACTCGAGACACCACAGAGATGAGCAGAAGACTGTGGGGGAGTATGCCCTCCACGTTTTGTTTACCTCGGTAGGACATCTTGGGTATCCGTTGTAAGGGCGCATGCTAACGCCGACTCAGTTCATCGGCCAAGCCGAGGAGAAACTGAATGAATCTATAACGGTGCCTTTCGAGCCAGAGCCTCAAATCGAGCAAATTTGCGGCCCCGGCGTGGATCCCGCTTTCGACCAGAGCATAGTGGCCCTCGGTCACATCGCTAGTCCGAAACCGAAGGCGCTCATCGATTCCATGATGCTGTGGAGAAAAAGCAAAAGCGATGCCGCTAACGAAGCACGCTCGGCGTATAAGGGGCAGACCCTTTCCGGTCCTCTGCAGAGGAGGAACACGGAGCCAGTGCAGCCCAACGGAAATGGCATCGGGGATGCTCTGCAGCAAAATGGCCAGTCATCCGTCACATCGAAGCAGGAATTCGTAGCCCAAGCCGAACGTCGGTCCCTGGTTTCCATATATATTCTGTGTCGAGTACTGCTCGAGGTAATCGGCCAAAGCACTCTCTCATCCATCACACCTGAAATGGAGGATAAGCTAGAGGGTATCATCTTCAGCCAACTGAAGATCGCCGACACAGAGCAGCTGATGTTTTCGCCACTCAAACTCGCAAACTGGAATCTCTTCGCGCAACTTCTCGGGGTCATGAGCGATATCAATTTCACAGGCGTCACGGAGCGCTTCATTGCCGATCTGGACCGCTCACTCCAGGAGCATGGGGTTCTCAAGAGTCCCATGTCTGCAAGTCGAGATGCCACAGAGGGGAAGATCGAGCTGGTCCTCGGCGGAATGAAACATCTGAGGCTGAAGGTCAACAGCCCTGGTGCCTGGGACCAGACTTGCAATTTCATGATCGCACTCGGCAGGCTTTTCGGGCGGTCACATGGTCAAAAGGTCAAGTCTGCGTTTTGTCAAATGCTGGAGATGCTGCTACTTCCCATCGCTGCGAAAGCCGAAAACAGCGACTTCAGCCATTCAAAGTGGGCCGAAGTCCTTGCCAACATCAGCCCGCGGCTTGGGCAAATATTTGTCAAGCCACGCCACTGGACATTTGCGTTTCCCTTGACGGCTACTATGCTCTGCGTGTCGCCTCCCGAGACCTTCTCTTCACAGTGGCTTCAGCTCGTACTATCACTGCAGACAAAGCTCAAGGACCGCTATACCAGGCCCGTATGCCTGCAGGTTTTGTCACGACTTGTGTGGACATACCTGATGCGGACTACTGACACTGCAACTGGTACAATCAGGAAGCTCGATGAAGTTCTTAAGCTAGTCTTGCCCCCGGGAAGACGCCCCGTGCTTGCCAGTGACACTTCTGTTGCAGACCCCCTCACACAGATCATCCGAATAATCGGGTTCAAGCAGCCAGAATACTGCTTCAAAAACTTCATCTTTCCTCTTGTCAACGCTGAACAGTTCAATTCCAACAAGGACCTGAAGATCGAGAACCTCGATCCGGACAAAATCGTCATTGGTATAAGGTCCTTTCTGGTTATCGTCTCGGATCTGGAAAGGGGGGAGGAAGGCCGTCCGCCGTTTCCTCAGTACTATCCTGCCCCGACTCCGCCACCAGATCGCTTGCCCACGTCACCGATCATTGCGTCCCCAAGGGATGATTCTCTGCCAAGCCCGTCTGCGGTATCTCCTGGCGGAGAAGCCCAGACAAGCCCGGTTTTGAGTCACCTACTGAATGACGCGGTGCGAGAATATTATGTCAAGTTCTGTGAGATCCTGGGCAAAATCACGATGATCTGCGACAACACATTTGGAGGCCAGGCTGCGTTGGAGGAGAAGTTCAGCAGTCCTGGGCCAAAGACCCCAATCTCAGAGACTTTCAACTTCCGCCGCGATGATCACCAGAGCCCTCAGGACCAGAAGCAGGCCTTTTACGAACTTCTTCATGTCGCCGTACAAGCCCTTCCGCGCTGCCTGTCTGCAGACATCCCTTTCAACTCACTTATCAACCTACTCTGTACAGGGACGGCCCATCTGCAGTACAGCATCGCCGATTCATCGGCCCAGTCTCTGAAGGCTATCGCACGACAGTCTTATGCACAACCCGTGGCGACTGGGTTTTCCCGTTTCATCTTCAACTTTGATGACAGGTACTCAACCATGTCGGACGGTGGAATGCTCGGCCCCGGTCATGTCGAGAACACCTTGAGGCTCTATGTTGAGCTACTTCAGATCTGGATCGAAGAAATTAAGCAGAAACAGAGGCACGCTGTCGCAGAAGCCGGTGAAAACAGTGCTGCTGACAAACGAGGCATGCAGCTGGACATATCCAGTATCTGGGCCGAAGTTGATCAGATCGAAGCGCACGGCTTGTTCTTTCTCTGCTCACAGTCTCGCACTGTACGCTCCTTCGCCATTACGGTCCTACGGCTAATCACTGAATTTGATACGGCACTTGGCAAGTCGACGAGCCCGGAGAAGGACACTTTGAGACTGATCGACATTCTCGAAAATGACTCCGTGCAAGTTATGAACTTCAAGGATGACCAATTGTCGGTTGCCGAACGAAGCCGTATGCAGAGAGGGATGCAAGACAACAACCAGAGTGCCCTTGTCGAGCTCTGTACAAGCGATGTTTCCTACGATACGACACTCTGGTTTAAACTGTTTCCGAATCTGATCCGGATCGCGTACGAGAAATGCCCTTTTACTGTCACAATCGGGCGCGATCTCATCTGCAATCGCATCCTCCAGATGTACAAAACAATCACGCTCCTGTCTGAGCCCTCTCGGGGCCTTTACTATGGTTCGGACCCAGGAAGTGCTCGTTTTGTCGGGCGCACACCCACAGTGCAACCAGATGTCTTGATCGAGCAATGGAAACTGTTTCTAGTTTTCGCCTGTACGACGCTGGCGGACCCCGGGAACCCGCAGTCTAATCCACTGCACGGGAACCAGCACCTGCGCAAGGGATCTTTGGCTTCGTCGACTGATAAGATTGTGTCGGCGAGGACACTCTTCAAATATCTCAACCCACTCCTCTCTGTCTCGTCTGCATCTGTTCGGGAGGCTGTAGTCACTGCGATGGGTTCTATCAACATCTACATATATCGGACTCTTCTTGAAGAACTCCAGGGCTACGCTTCCCGATGCAATGACGAGGCAAGAGCACGTATCCATCAGCGCACGAACAGCAGTCCCCGCCGGAATCGTAAGATGGACTTGTTGAGGACCGAGATTACCCACGTCTACAAACTCACGTCGCACTTCTTGAAGCAGCCTGAAGTATATCAAGATGAGTGGATACTCAACAACCTCGTCTCTTACGCAAAAGACCTGAAGTTATTCCTAATGGATGGCGAGGTGCAAATGGACTGGGAGTTTCAAAAACTGCGGCGACACTATTGCGGGCTGATGGAGGAGCTCTTTGAAGGCATCAATCGAACGAGTGATCCATCAAGATGGATGACTTTTGAAGCCCGCAAGTCAGCTTTTGCGTTGATGGAGGAGTGGTGTGGCTTTTCACCCAACCAATCTCAGATCCGTCAAAGAGAAGACACTATGAGACAGTCAATGATCGACCAACAGAACCTTGGTGAAAGGAACACGGCATCAGCTGCGATGGAGATCGAAAAGCGCAACCTGAGGACCTCTGCCCTGAGCGCTATGGCTGCGCTCTGCGCGGGCCCCATCAGTGTCACAACTGAAAGCGGCGCGTCCTTGCAGTTTGACGTGCGGCGAATGCTGGCGTGGTTAGAAACCATCTTCAGCAATGGCAATGACCGGATGAAATTGATCGGCAGACGAGCGCTGAAGAATCTGATCGTCTACAACCAGGAGTTTCCTTATCTTCTGGAGCACTGCATTTTACGATGCTATCTTACCGACATTCCCAAGGTCCTCGAGAGTTATTTCACTGTGGTCACTCAAGTTCTTCACGAGTACCCCGACTACCCCTCTCCCTTCTGGAAGCTCCTGGGCCTGTGCCTGTTCACCCTGGGCAATGACCAGAGTGATATCAGAACCCGATCTGCACAGGTTCTCCATGCCATTGAAGAACGTCACCTACATGCCAAAATATCGAAGATTCAGGATTTTGACATCAGCATCTCCGACAAGACGAAGGCAGTATATAAGCTGGCTCAGTACAAGATTTCTGAGAGGCTGTCCAAGCAACACACAGATCTAGCTTTCTACATCTTCTCCGAATTTACGCTGTACTTCAAGGATCTGCAGCCAGTCAACCAGAGGAGCGTCATCGCTGTGATACTGCCCTGGATCCAGTCAGTGGAATTGAAAGTGGATCCAAACGGCGGACCAACTGGTCAGTCGTACGTTCTGCTGGCGAATTTGTTGGAGATCACGATAAAGTCAAGCGCCGCGCTTCATAATGAAGTGCAGGCTCTGTGGCAAGCGCTCGCCACGGGGCCCTACCCTGGTAATGTGCGGCTTGTGCTCGATTTCATCATGTCGTTGTGCCTCGAGCGGCGAGAGCAGAATTTCGTCGAATACGCCAAGCAGATCGTAGTGTTCCTCGCGAGTACCAACAGCAACCCTGGCCACAAAGTTGTCGAGTTCCTCCTGCTTCAGATTACCCCGAAAGCAATGGTACCCAACGAGAAGCGGGAAACGGCGCCACCCCCGTCAGACGTCAACCATTTCCCTTACTGTGCTGACTTGACTGACGCTCTCCCGGTTGGTACCAAGCAAGCCGGCTTTTCTCTCGGCCAGCTCTCTCTGATATTGCTGGTGGACCTCATGGTGTCCCCCGTCAACCTGCAGAAAGACAGTATACCGGTACTGTTGCAGGTGGTCACTGTTCTGTGGGACCACTACACGCCTCTGGTTCAAGAGCAAGCCCGGGAGATGCTCGTGCACCTAATCCACGAATTGGTCATTTCGAAGCTCGACGACGAGTCTCCTGAGGAATTGAAGAAGCCCATTGAGGACCTCATCGAACTGATTCGGCGGCATGATCGCTCCGTTGTTTGGGGCTATGAGGACAGCAATGGCAAGGTTAATGATCACGACACCAAGGTTCCTCCCAGCATGGAATCCCTGACCAAGAGGATTGTGCAAACGTTTGAGATCACCTTCCCAGGAATCAAGGAACAGTGGAGTCGGCTCTCTCTGACATGGGCCACAACATGTCCTGTTCGACATCTGGCCTGCCGTTCCTTCCAGATCTTCCGTTGCATCCTGACCTCACTGGACCAGTATATGTTGGGCGATATGCTTGCCAGGCTGTCAAATACCGTTGCTGACGAGGATTCCGAGATCCAGTCATTCGCCATGGAGATTTTGACGACCCTGAAGACCCTCATTGCCAAGCTTGAAGCGGAAAAGTTGACCACGTTTCCCCAGCTATTTTGGACAACCTGTGCATGCATGGAGTCTATCAACGAACGCGAGTTCCTTGAATCTGTGGAAATGCTCAATGAGTTCATGGACAAGGTTGAGCTTCAACAAGCGAGCGTCCGCCGGCTGCTCATGGACGGGCAACCGTCAAAATGGGAGGGAACATTCGAAGGGCTGCAGCCGCTGCTGTACAAAGGCCTGCGTTCCTCCATATGTCTCGAAGCAACCCTCAAAACCATTAGCAGGGTCGTCACGCTACCAGCTGATCCGTTGATCGGAGATGACAACCGTCTCTTCTTCGCCATCGTCGCCAATTTTCCTCGTTTTGTCCATGCACTGGAGCAAGGAGAGCCGAGCGATGATGTTGCACAGACTGCTGAGACCCTTCTACAAGTTGCAGTCACGCAGGGCCTCTCGACCGTGGCCCTGGTTCTCAATGACTACCTCTCGCCGCACGACGACACGCCCAAAGATTTCGTGACTCGAATGTTTGCGGCTTTGAAGGAGTCCTTCCTCCCACGACTGGATTTCGCGTTGATCACAACTCTCATGGGGATGCTGACGAACAAATCCGGCTGGGTAAAGACGTGCACTATGCGCATTTTGCGGGTGGTCATTCCCGAGATCGACCTGAGGAAACCTGAGATGGCGGGCCATGGCTCGGATCTTATCTCACCCTTGCTGAGGCTACTCCAAACCGAGTTTTGTATGGAAGCACTTGATGTCCTGGACAGCATCATGACGATGTCGGGGTCATCGATGGACAAACACCATTTGCGGATGAGCATGACGCGTCCCACATCCAAAGCGGTCCGCAAAGAGTACGAGAGAGCTCAGAGCCTGTTCGGCATACCGGAAGACTCTGGTTGGGCGATTCCAGTGCCTGCCAAGAAGACGGATTCCACGCGTGCGAACATCCATGCCTCTTTCTACATGTGCCAGAGCGTCGAGGGGGAGATCATCGAATCGGCACCGACCCCTGACGTGGAGTTCCATGCAGACGAGTTCCCATATGGGTACTTTCCGAACACCGATAGGACAGACACGATGATGTCGGATGAAGTCCGTGGAGAAGTTGGTCCTGCAGACCTAGCATCCAAGCTGGACAGCCTTGATGACTTCTTCGATGACTTGTCCACGAGCCCACCGAGCGACGGGCGATCCTCTCGGACCATAACAGAGTACACGCCAGACACCTTTTCTGAGTCTGGAGCACAACTATACGACGAACAGGTTCTGCCCATCCTGAGCGCGGCCGGGAGCAACACATCCTTCCAGAATGGGTTCGCTGAGAGACCTGCGCGTGATGGCAGCAGCAAGAACTCGAGCGCATTCGCGACGGCCTATAGTCGACCAGGTCTACACTCGCGTTCCGTAACCTCGCCATCGGCGCCGGCGTCCTATTTGCCGCATTTTACGTCGGACGATGAGATGTACTCCGACATGGAAGACAACGGTCAAGTTCCGGAACACGACGAAGGGTCGTTCTTTCTCGAAAACATGGTGAACCGCCCGGCACAGCAGACTCGGTCTCGCTTAGCGGGCAGCCGGTCTCGGGAAAATCTACCGCAATGGTCACATCCCAATTTCGGCCCTGGGTCGATGTCTAATTTGCCACACGCATTTGTTCAGAACTCGCCCCAGGGTGACATGCTGTGAGCGGGCTGACCTTGATGGATGATACTTCTACTTATAATATTCAATGAATGTCATGTTGGGGGAGCGGGGAGGGGGATTGCGATTTCAGGATTCAGGTGTACGGGATATACTGGGAGGCATTGTGTACACATGTACGTACGGCACGGTTTGAATGGAGCGGGCAATGGGGCATACGGAGCGGACGTTACGATTGGCATGTGATATCGGAAATACCAAAGACTTTAATTCATGAACAGCTTCGTCCACTTCTAATTTTGAATGATGTGGAAATCCTCCCTGCGCTGTAGCCGCAGAAATGGGCCACATTGTGTAAGTAGACTCGAGGGAAGTCCAATGAGTGACCATGAACTATTCAGCCCGACGCTGGAGAGCTAATGTACAAACAATCGCATTGCTTCTGCATGGCTTGGTTGAGAATGTGTGCCTGTCTGGCGCTGAAGACGATACAGTGACCCAGCCAACTTGACGTTGACCGTCAGTGTGGAAACCTGACAAAGAAGCCTAATTCGTGACTTCCGTGGCGTTGGCGAAGGGCCCCTTGACTTTCCCTTCTTGTCTGTGCGTCACCACAAAAAGAATACCAGCTTTTCAAGGTAAAAATAAGAGAGAAAAAGGTAGCTTTTTTATAGCATTACATCCCGAATGTGTTGTAACGGTGTAGGTTTAATTAAAGAAAAGGATAAATTATAAGCTGTGATTGGTTGAAGATTGTTACATTCTTTGTGGGGCGTTGTAGCGACATGGATAATCTTTTCCAGGTCGCCCTGTACCTAGGTCAAGTTCCCGTCCTCTAGATAAGCGATAATGGTTGGCCCAGGGATGATGGGACACTAGCCCCTGCCTGCTGCAGCTTGCCCCCCCCCCAGTAAGCCCCAAATTTGATAGACTGATGACCGAGAAAGGCAAAGCGGTCAACTGTACGATAGCGGCAGAATCCCAAATTTCGAGACCAGAGGACGCCCATGTGTTGACGATCACCCTGTGATCATGAGACAGAGAACATTTCATTCATACCGAATTTGAGCGTTTAATTCTTGAAAAGAGTCGCTTCGCTTGAGTATTCGCAACCACCACTTCAAAATCAAGACAAGCGACAAACAACCCAGACAGAATCCTGGCGACCTTATCGACCATCTCCATACCGGGCAAGATTGCCTCGTGCCGCGCTGGTTAGCAGCAGCCATCGAAGTGGTTGATCAGGACGGCTTTGGGCATCATAAGCTCTGGCAAGACGAAGTCGGCCTTACTTTACGCCAGACTCGTGATCATCATTCACTGGTGTCTCCAAGATGGTCAAGAGAGGTCGTGGGGCCGACGCCTCAAATCCGCACAAGCGGCAGAAGGTTGTCCACGAGGCGCCAACAAGCGAAGAGATCCATACAAGCCGGCAGCTGATGCAGCTCCTCTCATTTGATCAGGATTTGTTGAAAGCAAGACATGGTAATGCAAACTGACCCTGGACCCTAACGAATCTTCGCTGACAATCTTCAAGGCTTACAATCATTCAAGGTCTTCCTCGATGGGCTGCTGTCAGAGAATGGCGCAGGCGATGAGAAGGTGCAAATCTTGAGGGATTATCTCGAGTCGGCTAAGCGACAAGACAACGAATTCGAAGCAACTTGTCTGCCAGACACCATGGAGACTTGGAGCTACGCCGCTCATGCAAACAACGATAATATCATGTCCGCGGTTGCAGTGACTCTGGATCTGCTGATAAAATTCATATCCAGACGACTCGATCTAACGGCACTTGGTTTAAGCATCGGCCGGACACTACTGCAGCCACGACATCAAGAACTCATCGCCCGGAATTTGTCGGCTGATAAAGGCAAAGAATTCATTTTCTCGCCTACCTTGAGGCTTCTCAGGGAGCTCATATGCCTCGATGGAGGTTCTCTGGCCAAGCCAATGTTCCGTGGGCAGAGTCTCACTTTCAAATCCCTGGCCCGCAATATGGGTATAAAGCATCTTGGGGCGGGACTTGAAGATCTGAAGAGACCCTCGGCCCGCACAAACGCGATTCGATTCTTCTTAAGCGCCCTCAAGTTCCTGCCCGCGGAGGGGAAGGCCGAACTTCTGTCACAAAGGGAGCTTCCTCCAGCACTGACAAAGTCTCTGCTGGATGACCCCCCATATCTCATCTTCGAGATCCTTGACACGCTGCGGAATCATGTCGTCAAGGACAGCAAGCTGGCCGGATATTCTAAAAGCAAGCTGCTCAATTCTCTGACTCTAGGACGGCTGGCGTCACTCTACCAGTACAAACACGACGGTGTCACAGCGGAGGGCTCTGGTACAACGGTGGAAGAGGCAGTCCATGCATTTCTCATCTTGGTCTGCACATCACCATCAGCCGGCGCTTTGAGACCACAGTCAGGATTCTACCCAAGGAATATTGACCCGGATGCTGCTCTACTTCCTTCGGCCGGAGATGAGGTAGAGCCTGGGTTAGAGAGCATAACTTGGATGAACAGATTCAAAGATGACGTGCCAGTGCGCAACAGCATTTTAGCCGACTTCATACAGAGCTCAAGTTTACGCCCATGGTCAAGTCAGAGACACAGTGACCTCCTGGTTACTGTTTTCCAAGCCGCCCCCGAGTTAGTTGCGCACTATTTCATCAACAAACGATCCTTCACATTTGAACCGAAGTTGTCGGCGACATGGATCGGCTACTCAGCGTTTTTGTTCAAGACAATTGAGTCGCCCTTGCCCGATTTCTTCGGCCACAAGAATGGATACGCCCTGCTCCCTCCACCGACATCAATTATCATCGATAACATAATACCGCTGCCGATGGATCAGAAGATCCTTGTCAAGTGCCTGACACAAAAGGTAGAGCTCGTATCATTTGTGGCAGTCAGATTGCTCGTGATGGCCATACAGAAGCTCCAGGTCGCCCTGAAGATGCACGCGGAGGCAGCAAAGGCTCAAAGCAAGCCGCTTTGGGATGATTCTGCAAGGAAGCTCGTCGATGCGTTTTGCCAACGAGCTCCGGGCATCAAAGAAGTTATTGCTTGCTACCGGGAAGCCGGCGACTCAGACCTGCTTCAGCGGGAGGCGTCGAGCAAACTGTTGAGGCTGTACTACGAAGTCATTCCGCAGGTGGCTTTGATGGCCAAGTTCGACGTGTCATCCCTCCTCATCTCCGCAATCCAGCGGTTGGGTGATGCCGAGGAAAGTCCTGAAGACCGAGCGCTTCGCCTGGTCGAGCTGGAAAATCTGCTCGCCATCTCTGGGTATTCTCCTGGGATGAGATGGTTCTCCAAAACACAAGGGCTGTCACTGTCACCATTTGTAGCCTTGTTAAAGGTGTCTGTTGCTGCTCCCAGGGGTGTATCACTCGAGCCACTCAAGACTGCCCTCGGGGCTGTTGCAGAAGAGCACCAACTTGTTCAGTCCGGAAGTAGTGACTCATCACCACTGCTGACCGTTCTTCATTCTATGAGAGAATCCAGAAATCTGGCCTCTTGCGATGCTTTATGGGCTCTGCTCGACAACAGCACATCACGATGTGCCACCGCTCCTGTCAAGTACCTTGAGATGATCCAGGATCTTGTCTCTGACGAGCAGAGTGATGAGCCCACGACATCGGGCTCAATAAGTCCCTTGACTTTTGCGCTATTGGAGCAGCTGCCATTCTCCCTGAGCTCAGCAGACGAAGAAGAAATATCAGTCTTAGCCCACCTTATCGCAACATACATGTCATGTACGAAATGCATAAGCAACAGCGACAGTGGCTTCAATGCACTTCGCGAGAAGTTTGAATCAGCTTTCTCCGAGAACCCCAGTGGGAAGAAGTCACTCAAGAAGTACACAAAACAGACCAATGCCGCGCGAGAGCTGCGGAGCTGGGGGGCAGACTTCTCCACGGGCGAGGATGAGCACCGGCCCCAAGCAGAGGATAGTCAGAAGGGTGAACACATCTTGTCAGAAGAAGCGCTGGCAGACCTTCTTTCAGCCCCATCGTCTCTGGCCCAGGACAACTCAGCACTCTCCAAGTGGGCGACCAAGGAGGCGGATGAGCTTGTTGAGGAGGGACACGCAGGGTCTGTTGTGTCCCTGCTTGCCTCCGAGCACACCAGCATCCGGAAAGAAGCACTTGTCAACATCGCCAAGATGGCCGCCAAGATCAAGGACTCGTCGTATGAAGAGAAAGATCAGGTGTGGCTGTTCCTATTCGAACTCGTCGAGTCGTGCAAAGGCCACGTGGACGCAGGACCGATACCCAGCTACATCGTGGCATTCGCACGGAATGCACTCGACGTGCTTAAGAACCCCCTGCACTGCCTGTATGGAAAGTTAAACTCGTTTCTCATCAAAGGCCCGACATGGAGGCTCGACAGACTGCCGTTAGTTTACGACATCCTGCAAGACGGACCAGAACTCGACGACACTTATTACGCTGAGCTCAGCTGGCTGTTCTCTTACCTACTGGACGGTGTGCAAGGGGAGCCAGACATGGCCCTGTACCACAATACACGCCTGTTTGAGCGGCTGCTCTCCCTGGCAAGCAATCCGTACCTGCGCCCGAACCTCAGGGCACAGATACTGAGGATCATCTACAGGGCGACATGCATTAAAGGTGGAAGCACAACTCTTGTCACTAGGTTTGGTATTGTGAGCTGGCTCGAGGCGCAGAGTGCAGTGTGTGACTCTGCGTCGGAGCGTCAGACCTACAAAGCCCTTCTGAGGAGGATATGGGAGACATCAGACAAGGAGCGAGCGTCTGTGTGGAGCAACGGTGGCATTCAAGATGCTGTACAGGAGTACAGGATGTAGTAAATTGACACCTGGGAGGTGTGAATTGACGAGGCCATAATTCGATTGCAATAGCCAGAAACCAGGCTTCCACCAGGCAAGAATGGATCATGAGACCAACAACGCTTTTGCAGCAATCGAGACCAAAAGCAGTGTATGGTGCATGCATGTAAAACACCAAGAGTGCCTTTGTCAGTGATGGACTACCTACATGAAGAGCATTAAGGGTTCGGTTCCCGCTGTAAATATGGATCATCTAACGGCGCTCAGGGAGCAATTGAAATTCAAGTACAGGTACATATCTCAGTATGGACGGTATGCTGCGAAGCATGTATCAGCAGGTAGACAAGTGGGGATGTGCAACCCCTTGACACCCCACTTTCAAAAGAGCTAAGAAGCACAACGCATAGGCCAGTTAGCGGCCTCTTGACCATGAAGCTGGTTCAGGGCCACAGGCTGGCAGGCGGTCTCCTGCCTCAATGTCAGAGACACACACTAGGGACGAGAACCACACTTCAGCAAGGCCTTCTCCACCTCACAACTTCACCCGCGACAACAGCTCAACACCCAGACAAATCACTTCTGACAACATCCAATATTTCGACCTACCTAGCCACTTCTCGGACCAAATCCTCTGTACCATTTCTTTGCCAGGCTGTACTGTGATCCCTTGTTATTATTCTGCCTGACTGACAGACATCAAACAACCACAACCCCGTCATCAGGTGGCACTGTACCACCACCGCATCATCTCTTTCTTCCATCAGCCTGCCAACAATCAAACCATCAAAATCAAGCCTTCCATCTGGTCTGCAGTCCCAGAGGCCGTTCCCTCAAAACAAAACACTTCTGCCCACGAGACTTGCCTTACGAAGAGCAGACTGGCCGTCAAGAGGCCTCTTGACGAGCCCAACCTCGGGCAGCCTTCACAGCTGCTAGCCGCAAAGTCAATTCCAGCCTGATCGCGTCGACCTCGAGCTGTACCACCCTGCCTACATGTTGCTGGGGTGGCTCAAGGATACTGACATACCCGAAACGTATTCCTAAGAGGCTGTCATGGCCGTGACAATACGATATGAAGCTGAGGTGCTGCTTCGCTTGAGAGAGTCCCCGCTTTGCATCAAGCCCAAGGACCTTCCACCACGGGAGGAATGGATGGGGTACGAGTACTATCTAGCTCAGCATGTACTCCCCAGCTAACAGAGACACAGCCCACCTCCAGAACCGGCCCGTCCCCAGAACAAGACCACCAACGACCGAGGAACACCTCTTGAACAATCCACGCGCAGGCCTGCTACTGAACGTCATGTTTCTCGCAATGGAGCAAGTACGATCGCACCCGCCCTGGTGACCTTTAACCTCGAGAAAGACCCTATACTGATATTGACCAAGGTTCCGATGGCATAATCCTGGGGCCTCCCAGGATGAACTTCACCTCCACCTCATTGCGCGGGAACAATGGCGACAGTGACCGCAGTGAGAGGACCCCGCGCGACCCTGAAGCCCGCGACCGCTTCCTCCGAAGCAAGATTGGCGGTGATGACATCAGCGACCGTTTCCGTGATGCGAGGCAGAGCGACCCCCGACGGCGTGGTGATGGTGACCGTGATGGTGAAGGGTGGAGTACGGTCAAACCCCGCAAGAGCTTTGGCCAGGAGGGCGCCGAGCGCTTCACTGGCCGCATGGGCGGTGACCGACAGAAGGATGACCGCCGCCCCAAGGAGCGCGACGACCATGACACTCTCAGAGACAGGCCACGCCGTAACATGGACACCGATGTGGAAGAGGGAGACGCACCTCGCAGGAACGGGTTGAACCGGGGGAGGTCAGAACCTTGGTTCAAAGACAACAAGACCAACGAGGGTACTGAACGTCCATCGGCCCGCGAGCGCATCGACAAGGCCAAGAGCTGGCGTGACCGCAATGACCGCGAACGCAACGATCGCGACCGCAACGATCGACACGACCGCCGGTGGGAGAAGGACCGAGATCAGCGCCCTTCAGAGCGCGAACCAGAGTGGTTGGATGAGCCAGCTGAGGAGAAAACCCATGGCCACACCGAAGCTGACCTGAAGAAATTCATGGAGACAATGAAGGCAAGCAGAGGAGGGGGCAAACCTGTCGAGAAAGCACCTGAAGTCCAACCGTCGCCCGCGCTTCCTTCATTCTTCGCCGACCCTCCGGTTGTCCAGTCCGCTCCGGCTGTGGAGCGGGGTCCTGACAAGTTCTTCGAGGCCTTCGCCGGGTCTAAACTAACCTCACTGCCTGCGACTGAAGGGGACAAGCTCGAGGCAACTAAAGCGCCAGCCGGCTTCGACGCCCCAACCGGAAAGTCCTCAAGATTCGCAAACCTCTTTTCTGCTCAAGCGGTGCCCCAAGCGAGCGAATCTCGCGGGCGGACCGAGCCGAGTACTCCAGCTTCTGGGCCACCGCCACCTAATCCAGAACCCTTGGTCCCTCAGCCTGGCCAGCATAACAGCGCAGAGAAAGAGGCATTCCAAGCTTTGCTGCAGAAACTCCATTTACCACGCCAGGGCGAACAACAGTCCACGCCAACACCGCCCAATGCCGGCGCATTCACCCAGCCGCCGCCCCCACCAATGCAAAACATGACCCAAGACCCGATCCAGAACCTTGCCCAGGCTCTGGCTCAGAAAGCTCATGTCGTTTCGCCTCAGCCAGCTGACCCATACGGCATGGACCGCCGAGAGGAGCCCCGTCTGCGATCTGTCCCTCCAGGAGGCCCCGAGATCCTGGCGCCGCGCCCTATGCCTCCGCCCAGTCAACCTCCATCTGCTCGCCCCGATCAGATGCTGCAAGATCTCCTCACCCACCGTCATACCGCGCAGAGCCAAGGCAGCGGTAGAGCTGATCACGGGTCGAACGCCAGCAGGGACTTTCTCATGCAGCTCATGCAAAGCGGCCGCCATGCACCCGAGCAGCCACGCATCGAACAAATCATGCGCATGCCGCAGCCCCAGCGGCAAGCCTCGCTCCCCCATTTCCCGGAGCGTGAGCCGGACTTTGTGCAACAGCGTGGCCCGGCCCAGCGACAGATGCGCCCGCAGGGCCCACCTGGCTTCGCTGACGAGCAATTCCGACACTCGGAAGGCGACGGCCGGCCCATGCACCCAACACAGATATTGCAGAGGCCACCTGGCCTGGACCACGCTCTGCAGCAGCAGCAGCAACAGCAACAGCAGCAGTTCATGCAGCCAGGTCAGCAGATGCCTCCTGTCCAGCGGCCCATGATCCCCCCTCCGGGACTGATGGGTCAACCGCGAAACGGACCGGTGCCCGGCATGTTCCAACCTCCCAACATGCCTCCTGGTGTTTTCCCACCAGACAACATCCCCGGCCCACCCCGCATGCAGCCTCCACCAGGATTCTTCGGCGGCGGCCCCCCACCACCCGGGGCTGGCCACATGATGATCGGCGGCTTCCCAGGCCCGGACGCAATGGTTTTTGGGGCCCCTTTTGACGGACGCGGTGGAATGCCGCCCCCAGGCGCGGCGCCATTCCGCCGTTAGATAGCAGGAGAAGCACGTGAAGGACGAGTGCAATAACACCGGCTGAATTGTAAACACAACGCGAGCTCGACTGGCAGCAACTGTGATGGGCTGAGCCGAGCATTTTGACAGTGATGATGAATGACATGAAGTCGGTCAGGGCACCAGGCTATTGGTATCTTCCACATTGCTCCTTGGGGCCCTACGAATATAGCGCGCAAACCAGGACGAGCGACTTGCTGGAAGTCATTCGGCGTCTAGGAGCCCTCATGCTGGCTTGGCACACTCAATTGGCACGGCGGAACTGGACGCTCGTCTCGGCTCGCAGAGCATGAGCGAGAGCAGTGCGCAATCGCATAATTGTCAATAGGTCTTAATGAGAGTATGAATCACATGACCTCCAGGAACCGCGAAACCCAGGAACCGCGAAACACATGAAGCACTGTGTGTTGCGTTATGGGGTTGGGTAACCCCAAGGCCTCCCTCGATGGTGACCGAGCCTAGATATTTACACTGGATTTCTACCGAACTACGTACGTTTGTCTGCCTGCCTGCCTGCCTGCCTGCCCCAACTCAACTCACAACAACGCTGTGTGAGCTGTTGACAGCCAACAACAACGACGACACCACCCTTGTGAAAAGAAAACGCCGTGCTCATGCCTTGATTTGTACATGTTGATCAGGCCGGCAAGCGACCAGTCTTCACATCAAAAGTGAAAACATTCCTACACTCAGCAAGCCCCCGTGATGCCGTCCGTCTATACACACACATACAGAAGTCCGCCCATCTGACAATCCAAAACAGAAGGGGGGGTTGGGGGTATGTAGGGCCAAAGGGCTATAAGCAAGCAGTATTAGGCCGAGAGACGCTACTTCTTCATGCCGAAAATGTTCCGCTTCTTTTTCTCCTTCTTGTGCAGCTTCCCGTCGTCGGGCGGCGGTGTCGGCGCCGAGATGCTGCCGCTGCTGCCGCCGCCGTTCATCGGGGGTGCCGGCCTCGGGGGCGCCGGGCCGCCGCCCATTGACATCTGCGACATCTGCTGTGTGGGTGGTGCTGGTCTGCCCGGAAGGCCTCCCGCGCCCGGCGGCAGCGGGGCGCGCTGGATGCGCTGCTGGCCCGGGGCCATGCCCATGGGACCGCCTTTGGCGGGTGGTGGTGGTCCGGTCTGCATTGGCGGCGGGAGGCCGCTCGCGTTCGAACAGATGGGCTGGTGCTTTTGGCTTTGGGGCGTTCCATGGGAAGGTCCAGGCGCCGCTTGTCGACTGACAGGTCGCCGAGTTGGCGGGCGAACATTTTCGGTGTCACCATGTGGCTGGTGACTAGGAAAACATCTCGGTTCTGCTTGTCCGAGATTTCGTAGCACGATCGGGCTTCTGAATATGTTGCGCCGCCTGCGACAAAGACAATTATGCGCTGTCGGTTGTCGGCCACGCGACGTCCTCCACCGGCCCAGCTTGGTTTGGCAGCGCGCAGGGAGCCTTGTCCTGCCATCATATCCTCGTTAGGATCTGCTGGCGGTTTCGTGTACGGAAACGTGGTGGGATCCAGGGTGCCTTTGCACAAGTGTTCAAGCATGTGCTTCACGTTTGGCTCGAACCTAGAGAGGCCGTACTCCTCGTTCAGCTGTAGGTTCTTGTCGAGTGGGAAAAGTGGTGGTCGGGGTGGCCGGACTTCCTTGAGCCCCTTGAGAATGTGAGCCCCGAGAATATCCAAATTAGTTACGATGTTGCATTGTGACTGCTCGAGAGCTGAATGCGCCACGAGTCTCTTCACGTCCTCCTCGACCACGCCTTCTCGGAAGATGAGGTAGGCCATGACCAGGCGTAGCCTGTCTGACTTGGTGATGGATTCGTCGTCTAGTAATCGCACAACCTCCTGGAGGACGTTCTTCGGCTTGCGCAGATCCTCGTCCAGTCCGGTTGCCAGTGTCTGCTCCACAGAGGCGATATCTGGCAGCTTGTGATTCTGGAATTGGTTCATGCTCTCTTGCGCCATGGACAGGTGCAACGAGTAAGCCTCCTTCATTTCCTGGAACTGGGGCAGACCCGCCAACATGTCCTTGATGGTATTCAGACTGGGCTTCCCTTCCCCGTCCGTGAACTGCGGGTTCTGGTCGATGAACTTCTGGAAGTCGCCCATGAGCTTGTCGATTGTATCCTTCATGTGCCGGTGCCTGTTGTCAACCCAAACCTTGTCCTTCTCTTGGAGCTCCATGTCTTTCTCCTCAGCATCCGGCTGGCCTTCGTTAACGGTCATGTGGTATGTCACCTTGTCGCCCTCCTTAATGGTGAGTAGATCGTGCGCCATGGCCTGGTAGGTGAACTCGTGGACGAGGGGCGCCATAAGGTCCATGCTCCGGTCCGTTATCAGCAGCACGCCCGTCGGCCTGCTGGATGGAGGAGGGAAGGCCTGGTTCCATTGCGCATAGTTGTCTAGCTCCTCTTGTATGAAACGGGCGAGATGGGTGCACAGAACGCTTGCGTCGTGTGTGGGGTTCTGTGGTCGGTAATATCGCACTTTGGGGTATTCTCCCAACGATATACACACACTCGTGATCTAGGTGAGGAAATGTCAGCTTTGCTTCACGCTGCTTCTAGCGAAGGGGTTTTGGGTGGTGCTGACCTTCTGCGCCAATGCCTGCATATGTTCCCGGACAAGATGATTACAGCCGGGATGGTATAACACAGGAAAACTCCACGGGTCGCGGAAAGTGACCAGGTGGGACTCCCGGGGGAAGTAGTCAATGTTCAGTATCTTGTAATCGGCGATGAGCTCTCGAGCTTGTGGGTGGGAATATAGGCGCCGTCGCAATTGCGGTTCCAGGAGATCGGTCAGCACGATGAAGGACCTCTGGTATCTTCTTCGGTCGAAATCGGCGAGGAGGCAGTCGACTATGTGTGGCATTGGGGAGACAAAGTATATAGCGTCCATGGTTGGGTTCATGTCTCGTCTGTCCTCGATGCGCTCGATGTCTGGACGGCGTCAGCATTGGGCGGGCTCTGGGGCACAGTGGAGGGCCAGCGCATACTGGCGACATTCTGGTTGAGGATGTCATCTTCCTTGGCGACATTATCGAGGATCTTCTTTGAGAATTCGTCGACAACGAGCACTTTCCACTGCAAGGGCACCGTCAATTAGTCGCTCCGGCCCGATCTGCCTCCATGTGGTGGGGTGTGGGCTTCCTTACGTCGCCTTGGGTGATGTCCTTCAGGGTGTTGAGGATGACTGGGCGGATCACAGTCAGCAAGCGGTCCAGAGCTCAAGGCTTTCCACCTCGTGGGCGGAGGGGTCCCTCACCGTCATGCTGTATCTGAATGATGGAGGCGCCCATGTTGGCGGCAAAGCGTCACACGGCGCGGCGAAGCGCCAGAGGTTGCCTCGGGACAGGAGTGGCGGATCTCTTGCCAGGGGTGAAGCACGAGGGGGGGACAGCGCCGATCTTTGTGCTGTGAGAAGGCTCTTCAAAACCACGGTGGCTCGATAGCGGCTTGTCGGAGGCGGGAGTCGAGCGGGTTCAATGGGGAGGATAGATCTTTGACGGGCTCACAGGGACTCGGTCTCGGGGGGTGAAAGGAAGGGGTCGTGGCTTGAGATTGGGCGGGCGCTGAGAGAAAGGGTCGCTGGGTGCCTGCGGCCCAGGCCAGGGCAGGTTTAGGCTGTGATGGGAGCCGGATTGGACGGTGACGGTCGCAAGGTGCTGCGGTTGGATCAATACTTGGATTGGGGTCGACGGGTTTCAAGAACTGGTCTGTGGTGGGATGGATTCATGCCTGTGCCGGACTGGCTGCCCGCGGTCTATGTAGACTACTTGGTCTACCTGCTGCTGTATGTACAGATCTCAGGGACAGGATGCCGACCGCATGACGCTTCCCCACCAACAGGCGACGAAACTGGGCCAGTCAGTGCCGGTGACGAAGGGTCCCTTCACCCTGGTCCGTGAATGGCAATCAGAAGCGCCCCACTGCGGGAGCCACGCTGCATACCGGAAGCTTAGTCCCAGGCCCCCCGCGCAGCTGCCACTACTTTGTACCGTTGGCTACCGCTAGCTACCACACGCACCTCGCAATCGCACATCACGGTACCTTGTCCTGCAGTACGTAAGCACCTGGGCAGCACAGTCGACTTCAAGCCGTCTCCAGGCCCGAGTCCCTGCCTGATACCAGCTAGTTTTCCGAGTGCCATCCAATGCAAAAACACCGCCACGTTAGCCATTGAATCAACCCGCTCTCCTTGATCTTCTATGGTGCTGACCAAGCCCCCTGGCCCCCAAAACCCTTGGACGGGGAACGGTCATTGATCAACCATCTAGTCTACCTAAGTGCCGTATTTATCATGCTGATGGGTTTTTTTTTTTTTTTTTTTTGAGAGAGAGAGAGAGAGAGAAACTCCAAAAGCTCAGCGACAGTCATCGAGACATAACCCCCACAAAAAACAACAACAGGGCACACATGAAGTCATGCTGCCCGTCTCATACATCGCATATCAAGACAACTGAATCAACGGCCCAGAAGTCCGTCCACAATACTCACCTGAGCCTCAAACACTGACCCAGGGGTGGCCCATTTCTTAAGTCTCGCAATGACCATGTCCGCCAGGCTCGTCAGATCAGGCGTCAGGTGCCGGAGATAGGGAGACTGGCTCGCCATGAACAGTACCACGAAGCATGCCAGCGCCCCGTCCGAGATCGACCACAGGTAGGGAGACCGCTTATCCAAGATGTCAACAGCTTCCAGCAGGAAGGCCTCGCACGACTGAATACATATGTGGCACTTCTCGATAATCGTCCTAGGGATCGGAGATATTGGGAAAATTGGAGTGCTCGGTGACCTTGACGAGCCCTGGAGGATCGGTGGTGACGGCTGGAGGTACTTGTACGAAGCAACGTAGATAACGAAAAGGCGGTAGATGATATGGCGGGCATGGTGGTAGCGCAGGTTCAGTATGCGCCTTCTGTCATTCGAGACTGGATCGGCCGTGATGGGTGGCGTTATGGGGATCGAGTTGTAGTATTGTTCGAGCTGCCGGTTCAGTTCGGAGCTGATGGCTAACAGCCTGTTCAGGGTCGGGTTGGCGGCCGCTGGTACCGTCTCTGAAAGCACGGTCATGTCGATGTTGTCAGGAGAATATAGCGAACTGTGTATCCTGTTGATCAGTCTTTGTATGGCTGTTTCGGCCACGAAGTAGATCAGATCATCATGATCGCTGACCTCGACACTACGAGGAAGAGGCATCTTGTCTCCGAGTGGCTCAATCCCCGAGCGGACGACGTCAAGAGTGGCTGCCCGATCACTGCTGCATGTTAGTAAAAGATTCCAACTTGAAGTGACATGTGGTACAGCAAATGAAAGAATAGGACTTGTGTTGTTGTCCCGGTCAGAAGGGGGTCCCTTAAGTTGCGGCAAGGAGCTGCTTACCACTCAACCGTGAAACAACACCAAAATATGCGGAGACGGTCCTCATAGTATTGTTCTGGCTCGTTCGGAAACTGTTCCGTTTGCGTGAAGTCGTAGTTGGCTGCGATAGAGAGGCCCGCAGTGTAGATCATCTTCCAAGAATGAAGCGGTCGACCCCAAATAGGAGAAGTACGTCCCGGCCAGGAACAGAGCCTGGCAGACCTTTAGGTTGGGTGTGAACCCCCATATAGACTTGGAAAGGATAATCCTCAGGGCGGGTTGGAAAAAGTCCATCCCGAGGTCTATAGCAGGATCCGTTTCGTGTTCTGGAACAGCAGCGTCCGTTGAATTGGACGCCACGGAGCCCAGGGCCCAGATACAGAGGCAGATGGCGGTTTCGATGTCTTCTGTCGGCCCGTTTTCCAAGAGATCATTCTGGAGGATATCGTAGTACAGCCGGGAGAGTAGGGGCAGGTGTGGCGAGACATCCCTGAAGTATGCGTCAGCGAGCTTCTGCAGTAGCTCGGGCGCAAATGAGGGCCAGTTGACGGGCTGAGGGTTGACGAGATCCAGGGGACGGGGGAGCGGTGTGCTCTCCTCAAGCTCGTGAAAGTAGGTCCTTGGAGAATCCCCTATCACAGACTGGATGGCTGGGAGTGACAGGAGCCAGATAGAGGTCGCCGTGTGGCCAGGGGGAATCAGGAACTGGGCGCTCTCAAAGCTTACGTCCGCAGCTTCCAGCGATCGATTGGACACGGAGAGGGGCGAGGCAGCTGGGATCTGAGGGGAAGAGCGGAAGGACGGGAACGAGGCGGGAGTCGAGGTGTAAGCGTAGTGATCTCCCCGTGCCATGTCGTTCAATCTCTGCCCCTGCTCTTCCAACAGCCTGCCCACAAGTGTCAGCAGAGGCGAACCACATCAAGGAAGGAGGGTGACAGCAAGTATGGATGTGGACGAGGATGTGGGGGTGACGAGGCAAAGCCCTTGGCCAGCGACGGAGTCTGTCGCCACATGGGAGCCTGGACAAGCTGTAGCGTGGTGACTTACGCTTCTATCCGGCTCAGTCTCTCGGCGACCACTCCCTGGGACGAGGATGAGGGTTCGACGCTACAAGAAAAGTTAGCCTTGGACCCGACAGAGGTGGCGAGACGACATGGGATTCTGTCTCAAGACCCACCGATCCACGGGGAGCTCTTTGTAGATGCAGTCTGCCGCTGCCTCGAGGCAGGTAGAGCAAGGGTGGTTTCCATCGCACCGCCGCTTCCGATGTCTACAGAAGTCGCAGGCGAGAAGGGCTCCTGGATATTGTTAGTCAAGGCCCATTACTTGACGACTGTATGTTGGAGGGATAGTATGGAAGATAGTCTTACTCTTCCTCGTGTAGTTCATGGTATGACCGGGTGAGGGTAGTATGAGGTTATATTAGAAGTAAGAAGGAGTGTACAAAGTCGACCCTGTTTCCCAGCCCGAGGATCCGAGTCTAGTATGGGTGTCTTATCCATGGGTAGTGCAGCGCCTGAGTGCAGCACCCGAGGCCGGATTATATGGGGTGTGAGACTGAGCCCTGGGCCCGAGATATTATATATATATGGGGGGGGGGGGCAGTTCTGGAAGTGCCCATGGACAGCCTCAAGGCACATGAAGGGGGGGCTGGTTACGCTTCCCGCGCGGCGAGCAGTAACGCAGCACCCAGCTAGCTTCCTTGACGAATGAGATGACACCAACCGATAGAGGCGCTGATGTTCGTTGGGGGATATCCATGATTAGAAGCTGCTGTCTGGTGGAAAGGCTGTCCCATGCTCGCCCGTCTCGCGGTTGCGTACCTGGTGCGGCCTGGGGAGACTCGAAGCCACTCACCCTCGCCGCCTGATGTGTAGGACAAGGGCGTGGGTTCGCCTCTGTGATGGAGCATTAAACCACCCAGAGGCCCCAGAGGGACCAACGTGTTCCAAAGTTGTTCCCATCGCTGTTGCATGCGTGTATCTTGGATATTAGAAACCCAAGAGTTGTTCCTCTGGGGCTTGGTGTCATTACAAACCGTGGCTTGCATCACCCCGGCCCATCAGTCGCGCGCGGCGTGGATTAGTCACCCCGCTAAAGTCCGGCCGATCTTTGCTCATCCTACCCACCCGCGACCACCCCCTTCCCTCATTGACCCGAGCACCTCCTTCCATGTTCCCCAGGCCACGGGCACCCCGATTGACTGAGTGAATGCACATGCAGCTTCGGCCGTCTTGGAACAGGAATACTTGTGACTTGGCTCATCCACATCCCCGCCTGTGGTTTACTGATACACAATGCACACAATGCACACAATGCACACAATGCACACAATGCACGATGTCCCGGCCCCGCGGGACCTGTCACTGCATGCTTCTGGCAAAGTACTTCGAATTGTCCCACATGTTGCGCCCACGATACCCACCCCCACCGTCGATTGAGGCGAGCCGATGGCTGCCTAAGGAGACCCTTGTGTGCCCCCATGGTGGTGGCATGCTGTTGATCTATACGTTGTGCTGTGATGACTGATGTGCATGGCACAGCCAGGACCCTGTCGTGTGTGTCGACGGCGTGTACCTACCTAGTCAGGAAGGCATGTAAACATGGACGCAACCTGTTACGGTGTCACTACATACTGCTGGGCGTTTCACTGTCCAACCTGCAGGAGTGCTTCTAGAACAAGCTAGAAGATGCCGACGCGAACCCGGCACGCAATGGTACTATCACCGACCCAACACGGCTTTAACCCCCGACCTGCCCTGGCATTGTCCTACATCGATCTGCTGCAGCATAACAGACTGGCACGGCACTGTTCTGGTGCCGAGGCTCGAATCTCGCCCTACTGTAGCGTTGCTGCCATGGCACTGCATGGCGTAAATTAGCAACTCAGGCCTGCCATGACCAGATGACCGCAGGCCGAACACCTGCAACGGATGTCATCTACCCAACGGACATCATCAAAAAAGTCCTCAGCCGCCTGCGGTGCTCTGCGCGTAGGAACCGGCTCTGAAAGTCCATGACCGCATAGCACAGGGTGGCCCAGGGAATTGCTTCCGAGCATGACCACCATCTCAACCAGACCAGTCTCCTTTCTCAGCAACAATCTCGCACGCCGGCTGACTGCCACTTTCTCGGGTCGGTGATCCTGTCGCCGTCGCCGGCTGTGGCTTGTCGCGACAGGCGGGAAGAGAAGGTGGGCGGGTAGCATGACCTGCGCTAAACGTGCCCTGCAGAAAGTGCATGGTAAGCAGGTAGCCAGGCCAGTGGTGTGAGTGACGCATTTCACACCTGCCACGGACTAACGGACTAAGAGGGCATATGTCCCTACAGTACAACCAACTCCGTAGGATGCAGTCAGCCACAGGAGCACAGTCCATGGCCTAGTAGAGGGATGCGTGCTTGTCCAACATCTAGACCTCTCCAGGGTGGTGCTCCATTGTCTGTGCTTGTCGCAAGGCAAGACCTTGTAACTCGTTTTCAATTCAAGCTTTCCTTTTCGCTTTCTTTATTTTCTAAATTTTTGGGGAGCCTCGGTTTCGCTGGGGTGGAGGCTGCTTTTCGAGCGAAAGCCCAGCCCATCGGCTTCCACGCCGTGCAACCGCCGATCACCGAGTCTTGATTCGGTGCCGATCCGGCTGCGACGCCGATCCCTCGCGGCTCGGCTCCTCTCGTCCTGACGAAGAGAACCTGGCCAGGGTCATGCCTGCATTTTCGCAGTGCGGCCGAACGGTCACACAGGAGTGCCATCGTGTCGGCCGCTGTTGTTAAACAAACAACGGCACCGCTGTGTTGAGCTGCACACGTCAATATGGAGGTGCCGGGGTGGCTGGTAATGTCCGAGCCGGATCCGAGGGCTGGACTTTCCCTTCCTGGGAAGCCGGCCATCCTGAGTCTCGCTGCCAGAGAGCCAGCTCCCACGAAACGGCCGGCGACCCGGATTCCGACCCGAGTGATCTGACTCCTACGCGCACTTGCTCGCCGAGCACATCATAGCGTCCTGGAAGCACAGCCCCGTCATCGTCTCCTCTCGAAATAGGGCTTCTGGGTCGTTGCAGTCAGATATGCACACATAGCTCTCGGTATGATGTATTCTTGTGGTATTAATTCCAACAATAGTGAAGTCTGATATCAAGCATGTGTCTCGCTGTTGCCTCGCCTTTCCATACAATGCTATTGCAGGCGACGTTATTTCTATACCCTCTCTGCCGTGCCCATGCACCAGATCAATCCACATCATCCGGCTTCGCTGCCGGGGCTCCCGGGGCACCCGCCACTCCCGGCGTGCCGGAGACCGGTCTTGAAGATTCAGCCGCGGCCTGACTCTCTGGTGGCTGGGTACTTGGCGAATTGCCCCTTCTCTTTGTCGCGCCTTTCCCGACTATCTTCTCCGTCCAAAATCCACTGACGGGGCTGGAAGTGCGCTCAGGGGATGTTTTCTTGCCTGCCTGGCCGGGGTCTTTCTGCTGACCACCACTGGACTGCGTCTCATCCATCTCGCTTTCGGAGTCTGCCCAGTCCCTCTCACTCCAATCTACTGAGTCGACTCTCTCTCGAACAGGACGATGTCCCGGCGGAGATTGGTCCACGGAGTTGCTCGGGAGGTCTAGGACCTTATCCCGAGCCTCAAGGGCCTCGCTCACCGTCCGATTGTGCCCAGCGTGTTCTGAGTTCTTTTGTGAGGTATCTTGGTCTTTGCTGGGGCTTGGCCTCATGGCTTCTTCTGTCGGGCCAGGTTCTGGCCTGGTCTCGCCGCCGTCTTCACTTGGAGGCTGGCCGGTCGCTTTGGCTCGCTCAGTATTCTTCTCGTCTTCGTCGCGCAGACGGGCCGCGCATGAGTCGCTGAAATGAGCGTCGACGAGGTGTTTCACCACAGGCCAGCCGAACGCATTGGCGAACATACGGCGACAGATGATGTTGTTGTGAGCATCCGGCTCCAGTTTAACCAAGACCTTCCGCCAAGAAAGATCGCGGTGGTAAGCGCGAGCTATCTTCTCTTCCACTTTCATGTTTGAGCTGTCAATAACCTCGGACGGGTCTTTGTCTGGGTTGGTATTTTCGGTGTCGTCGTAATCCCTGGTTGAAGATAATGAGTCTTGATGGGCAGGAGGTTGATGCACGGAAGAAGTTCCAGATTGTGAGTTACGGCTCGAGGAGGATGCCACTGTGTTAAATGACTTCCTGCGTAAAGCCAAGGTGCCGGTGGGGCGCTTCTTCAGGGGTGGAGGTGGGATGTCTGCTGGATGATACACTCGATCGTGAAAAATTGTCCTCGGTCTCGTTGAGGGATCAATGATATAATCCACCGAAGGCAATTTCGGGTTGAGGAGATCTCCTGCGGACTCAAAAAATGTGGTCTTCGGTGGTGCTGAGAGGCTGCTGTCGGCATCCGTGCCCAGCTCATGGCCGGAAGTGACTTTGGACTTTTGGGACGATTGTGACGATTCTGATGCGTTCTCGTCGAAGCGTAGGGTCTGGCTGCGTTGGTAAATCTTCTTCTGTTTGGTGGTTGGTGACGCAGGTTGTTTTGGAGGTTCGTTGTTGTGCTTGAACAAGGAGAAGAATCCGGAGAACGGATTTGTGTTATTAGTGATGGCCGTAGATGACGGGTATCCTTCGTCTTGGTACGGTGTGGCAGCGGTCCTGAGACTCTGCCTGTCATCCTCCAGCATGGCGTCAGTCGGGGGCTGAGGCACCTCATGAGAATCTCCGGAGCCAACAGGAGTGGCGGCTCCCGAGGCAGGGCTGCTGTTGTCGCTGCCTTCCCTGGGAGTCCAAGGGCCATTTCTGGGGGATGTAACGTTTGCACCGGTGAGCTCAGCCCAGCCAAAACCAACAACAGTCTCTACTAGGCCTGCTTCCCGCCGTGCCTTCTCCACGCGGCCCAGGCCCTGCCAGTCCAGGAACAACAAACAACTAGTTCGAAGTGGAACGATCCCGTCGTTGACAACATTGGAGTACACAGTCCTGTTTCTGAACTTCTTCAGAGCTATGTGCGCCGGGCCTGTGGGCAGTATACGGAGTAGCGGCTTCGACTCAGACTGAGACTCTCCCATGACCTTCTTGTGAGCATTCTCGCCTAGGTTACTGACGATTGCGCCCCAGCCATTCCTTGCGATTGTCGGTGCTCTCCAGGTCAGTCCAAGATCCTGTCCCGTCCTGCCAACGAGACCAAAATCCAAGGCAAACTTGACGTACATTGGGTTCTCGTGGTTGAGACCCAAGAACGGGGACGCCAGTGCAACAAAATTGATGGGTTTGATGAGGTCGAAGAATTGTGGCGAGTGCTTCTGGATGTAGGCCACAGCATATGTCTGGATCAAGCCACCCAGAGAGTGACCGATGAAGCTGATCTTGGTGATCTGGTACCCTCTGTCCTCGAAGCCTGTCGCGTTCTTGTGAATGGAGCTATGCTTGTGGGACGGCTTCCCTTCCGCGTCCTTGTGCGAATTTGGATCTCCCTTCAAACTATGCGAAAGGACCTCCTGAGCTGCCTTACCAGCCGGCAGGAACGGTTGATCGGGATAGGTGATGGATAAGACATATCGAGCTAGTCTTTTACCCAGGTACTTGATGCCCCTCTCTGTGCGAGTGGCATTGCCGGAGAACCCACGAACAATGGTCTCTTCGTCGTCTGAAACTTCATCGTAAGGGTCATCCAGCATCACGCCTGAGTCGGCGTTTTCTTCACCGCCCGACTCTTTGGACTTTTGAGACTGGCTCTGCTTCTCCTTGGCTCGTCTCTCCTTCGCATCAACCTTCGCTTGCTTTACGCCGGCATCTATGCTCTCCTTGAGAAACAGCATATCGGAGCCCAGGTTGCTATGGAGGCCGTGCGTGAGCATGACCAAGTGCACCTGTTTCTTCTTCGTCGGTTTCCGATCCTTGTCCTTGGGCTTGTTGGGGTGTTGAGCTGGCTGGGTCGCCTCAGTGTCTGTGCCTTTGGCAGCATCAGCCTGCGGCGGTGGCTGCTCAACGCCCGGCAGTTCGGGGGTGTTCCAAAGGCTGGCGGTGTCTTCGACCTTCAGGTGGATTGCTCTGGAAAATACACCCTTGTTCTGGGCATTATGGCGACCATCCTTGGCGCCCTTGCTCTGTTGGAAGTCGCTGACCCGCCCTGGTTGAGGAACCTGGGCGTGGTTTCCAACAACAGGTATGCCGGAATTTAGGGTCAAAGACTTCTCATCCCGCGCCAGCAGCACATCGTAATGTACGGCTGCAGAAGCCGAGAAAATAACCTGGGACGACACCTCGATAATCCATGAGACGCTTTCCCCGTCATGATCCGGGCCGTTGCCGAAGTGGCCGGAACCTCCGGTGCCTGCAGTCTGCCTGATTGTTTCCGGAATGACTAAGTGGCAAGTCCAGGTTCCACCAGCCTTAAGCATGGGCTCGAACTCCGGAACGCCATAGAGACGCGCATCCTCAAACTTTTCGTTGGGGTTGAAAGTGGCGGGATAGGCGGCGGCGGAGAGGTTGTAGGGGCCGTGTACGAATGCGGCCCGAAGGGCGATGGCAGAACTGTTTTTGATGCGCAGGTATAGGCACTCGGGTGAGGGAAGAATTCGATCTTGTGACGGCGTGTAGGTGACTGTATATCGGACCGTCTCCCCAATCTTTAGGCTGCCGGTCTGGTGGAGCAGCAGCATGATGACGGTGTCGGCGGTGGGAGCCGGTTGAGGACAGACAGAGGATCGCCGTTATTGCGCAAGGTCAACCGGCATGTTCGAGAAGAGGCCCGGGTCTGCTCGCAAGGGTTTGGAGCTCGATAATCGCAGCAGTGGCCACCAGTGATCGAGGATGGGATCGAGGTTGATGGGATCGAGGCGAGGACGTGGCGGTCGCGTGCGAGTGCGAGTGCACAGAGGAATGCGGCTGGACGGTGCACAGTTGTGTCGTCGCTAGGAACGACAGAGGGCGGTCATATTGTCGGCGCGAAGTTGTCTGACAGGCTGTGCAAGTCGATCCTCCTGGCCCGAGTTGGGAGACCCTGTGAGACGCGAAAGTCAGGAGGGAGACATGAAGATGGGAAAGTGAACGAACATCCGAATTCGAGCTCTTGGCGCCGGTATGCGGTACCGAGATGTGCTGGGCCCACAGCCCGTACAGTTCCCCTACATATGAGCTCATGGTTGCGGCTTTGTCTGTGCACTAGGACCCCGAACGCGCCTCCTGAATATCCGTCTGGAGTGTACATGCCTGCATGCCTGCATATAGGTACATTGGTACTTGAATGCCTTTCACAATACAACCTTCCCGCGTGCGGTGTGCGTACACTACTGTACAGTAGATGTCCGAGGTCAGATGTGCCCCCTTCCACATGCCTTGACGGCCCTCCAAGGCGACGCGTGGACACTGCCTGAGGGTTCATCCCGGCAGTCGCCTCGATGATATCTAGGTAGTCTACGTACTGTACTTGAAATACTGCCGTGTGTACCGTACATTCGGGCCCGGGCCCACGTCGCATGCCATTCTGAACCGGCCGGACGTTTCTGTGAGTCCGTGCTGTGCACTGACAGGCATAGCGCTCCTACGTCACTGCAGAATGGCCAGGATCTTTGGGGAGCACCCTGACCCGCGCCAAGAACATCACATTCCAGAGTGCCGCGACTTGCTCCTGCCCCGGAAGTCGGTGCAGCAGCGCGATGGACCACACATGCAGACAGAATTCAACCTACTAAGTATGCTTAAGCCACATGCAGGCATGCAGAAGTACACACTCCTAGGTATTCCTGTGACAACTGTCAACACCCGTCAGTCTGCCTAATGACCTCTCGGTCAAAGATGAGCCTTGTTTCGTTGAGGAACAAACTAGCCTGGTCCTGAGCTCGCCCGGACATCGCGGCCCTCTCTCGTATTCGCCAGGACTTCGGGGGGTTCGGGGTACGAGTACGGGTCGTGGCTGTACGTATGGGAAGCTTATGACAGAGAGGGCTGGAACGCGAAAAGGTAATATGATGTTAAGGTTTCGTCTGTAACCGCATGGGCAACGTGAATAGTTGTCGGGGAAGTGAGATGGAGTCCGTGATGCCCGGGGATGACGACGGCAGTATTGGTCCTCGAGGCACCCGAGAACCGTGTGACAGCTACTGACAGGCCGTCGGACCTACCCCCAGGAGCGGCACTTTGTAACAGGGTTCTCAAGCAGTGAGTTATCGGATATGAGTGTTGCATATCCGCCAGGCTTTCTGCAATATCAATGTGGCATCGCGGCCAACGAGCAACCTCCGAAACGTCTGGTCTTGCCTGCGGAGACTACCGCCTAGGTTTTCAAGTCTGAGCATCTGCCTGCTCCATCATTCTATCCATCTGTGTCATCATCGCCGCCTCTTCATCTTCAGCCTCGCCGCCATTGCCGTTTCGAATACCTCTCGAGAGCAGCTCCGCCTGTACTGTCTTCCTCGTAACCATACCCTCTGCCACCCATGGAAATTCCTCCCGCTGCTTCCTTACCCACCCCTCCAGGCTGCGCATGGCGACCACAAGGAACCCAAGCTCCTCTCGCTCCACATCAAAGACTTCCCACCACTCGCACTCGGGCATCTTTGCTCCAACGTCCTTGGCGGCATTATAGATGGCGGAGACTGCCAGCATGTTCGGCTGATGGGTCAGGTACAGCAGCTGCGGGGAGAGCAGCGCTGTGTTGAGATACTCTACCGTCCGCCTGGAGATCGACTCCTTGGGCTGATTGCAGAAATCCAAGGTCTGGAGGTAAGTGACGGCCAGAGGGTGAGGCAGGGCCACGTGCGTGTCGAAGGACAGCGTGTAAAGGATCCGCGCCTCCAGTGCTAGGACACGGTTATGAAAGGCGAAGTAGTCGGCATCGCTCAGGTAGTAAGATGAGGGATCGTCCACAGGCGGCTGAGCGCTTTTACTCCTCATGAACGACGAGCTGCTGGACAGCAGATAGGCGTAGACGTTTGAAATATCCCGCGGCGAGCGAGTGCGAGTGCCCATCTTTGAGACGAGGAATACACAGGCGGCTGAGACGTCCTATCTCAATGAGTGAGCGGGGACAGATCATCAGAGTCGGGACAGGGACGAGCACTTACACCGAACTCAGTTGTGAGAAGCGGCCGAGACTCTGCCAGCCAATATCTGGCAAGGATCACGTTCGCCTGAGCCGTGGCAGACTGCGGCAGCTGGAGAAGAACACCCGCAGCCTGTGTCAGAGACTGGGTCACATAGAGTATGACATCCTGCAGGTCGTTGGGAAGAGAGCTGAGGTTGTTCCGCTGATACAATTGCTCGGCAGTTGCCAGCGGGTTCGTCATGTGCGCCATCTTGTCAGATCTCGAGTTACGATGCTCAGAGGGACGATCCAGATTCTGACCACCCTAGTGGCCCAAGGTAAAACAAGATTGCCACTCGACTGGGTGGCCGTCCTGAGATTGCTCTATATTGACGAGAAAATTTTCGGACAGCCGCTGTTCGGTCGAATTGCAGGCTATGGCAGGTGTTGACAGAGGTGGAAGAGGCATTGAATTGAAGATGAGGCTGTAGGAAAATATTGGGGCTGCCTTCAGTGGAATGGAAAGTTGCCCGCTCGCCTGAGATGTTACCTTCCCGGGGGCGTAAGTGCCCAGGTCCGCGCCTGGAGTGTAGGTCAATTGCCCCACTGCCGCAAGGCTACGCGGGCCGGCCGCTGAAAGTCCAGCTTCACGAAACTTGGAAGGAGCACAAATTCAGTCTCTTGAAACCCGGGCGACCCAGGACGCTTTTCCTGCAGCTCAATTCATAGTAGATACACATTCATGAGGAATTTTTCGAGATTTCGTATTTATACAACTCTATGTGGCAAGTGACCTTAGGTAGAACGAGGTGCTATAGAAGCTTCTCTCTGTTCGCCGTCACCCTCTCAAATTTGTCCAGCTCCATTTGGATGCTGTGCCGGCCCTCCGTCAGACTCCTGAGATACTGGTCATAGTTTAACATATCTCTAAGCGGCACTCTTGCCTTCAGCTTGAGCATCCTCATTGCGCCCCTTTTGTGTTGACGCAACGTGGTCACAGACTCATACGGATCTGGCGGTGCGTAAACCTGCTCAAGGTCTATCTCCCCTTCTCCTGACGCCGTTTCGTTGAGATCTTCCGTCTCCATGACCTGCCCCCCGTGCCTCGAGGACAGATCATGCCTCACCTGGGCCGCCGCCGATTCGGGACAGACGATCTCGACTTTCATTACTGGCTCCAGCAGTCCAACTTTTTGCGTGTCGTGTGCGTTCTTGAACGCGTTTCGGACGGCGTGATAGCCCACTTGTTGGTAATGAGCAGGGGAGGCTGCGCCGAAGAAGTCTTGGGCGCAGTCTAACACGAGTTCAATACTGCAGCCGTGCAGAGGGTAGCCTTTCCTAGGGCCCCGGTACAAAGCGGCAATGGCCCCGTTGTGGAGGTGGTGAGAAACGGTGTCAACGTCGAAGAGCTTCGGGTCATGAATCGGGCGGATGATGTTGACGTTGATTAGGTTACCGTCTCGCTCGAAACTCGAGTGGTGAAACTCATCATCCGTCTCGAGATCAGTGAAGCCGAGGCGGGTGGCGCGGTCACGCCACGATTCTGTCTGTTGCTCCGTATCGATGGGTTCAACGAAGGCCGCACAGGCTACCTTGCCTGGCTTTCCTGCGACGGGACGATCGATGGTATGCTGCTCCTGCTGTGATTGCGATGTGACACATTCCTTGTAGTCCACCTGTATAGTGCCGAAGAGAGCATCGATTTTGAACTTCTTCAGATTATCAATCGCAACCTCCAGGTGCAGTAATCCCATTCCAGAGAGAGTATATGTCCCAGCCTTCTCGTCTTTTGTCCACCGAAGACTGGGATCCTCTCTCGATGCATCCGTCAGTGCATTTTTCAGAGCTTCCTCATTTGTGGCCGAGAAGGGCTCGATGGATATGAAAGTGACGGCTGGTGGGATAATCGCAGGTCGGATCTGGATGCTCTTCATGAGGGTCTCTGTTGCCTTCTCAGGAGAGATGATGAGGGTATCTCCCGTACGGGCCTTTTTCAGACCTGCCAGGGCACCGATGGCTCCGACCTTGAGGTGCGGAATGTCCTTGTGCTTGTTTGCGAGGACTTGCATCATTGCTAGTGGTTTCTCGGCAAGACGCTGGGTTGAGTTCCACATGGCAGCATTGCGTTGGAGCACACCGTGATACACACGGACAAAACTCAGCATTCCTCGGTGGGCGTCGCTGACGACCTTGAAAACGGATGCCACTGCGACGTTGGCACCTTTCTGCTTCAGCCTCATTGTCTCCTTGGCAATCAGATCCTCTAATCTGCGTATTCCCGTAGCGGTTGTGACCTCTACAGGAGGGCGTTCGTGGGGACTTGGGAGATAATCGACGACAGCATCCAGCAGAGGCTCGACCCCGATATTCCTCAAACTGGCCCCAGCAAAGACCGGCGCAACGCTGCCATTGCCATTCGCAATTGCACGGCGAATACTCAGCTTGACAGTCTCGTCAGATAGATCCGCTCCGTGCTCCGCAAACTCCATGGTAAGATCATCATCGAAGTCGCACAGCCTCTCGATGAGTTGTTCCCGTGCAAGCTCAACCTCTTCGGCAAGCGATGGGTTTTCCGACCCAAGTGCACTTCGAAGGGCTTCACGATTATAGAGCTTCTTGGAACCACCACCTGACCATTTGTAGCCCACACGTTTGATGACATCAATCACGCCAACGAAGTCGTCACCGACCCACCAAGGTATCTGGCAAACCAAGGGCCATGCCTTCAGCTTCGAGGCAATGTCCAAGACCGACTTCGTGAAGGAAGCGCCGTCTCGGTCAAGCTTGTTGACGAAGATGATTCTTGGGATCTGGTATTGATGTGCTGCGGCCCAAACCCGTTCAGTGTGAGCTTCAACGCCTTTGACCGAGTCCATGACACACACGGCGCCATCAAGCACAGGCATGCACCGAAGGACTTCGAACTGGAAATCCTGGTGCCCAGGCGTGTCTATCAGATTGATAGTTTTAGCGTGCTCGTTTGGCCCACGATCCTCAGCCCGGGGCCAGTTGAACGAAATGGCAGCAGACTGGATAGTGATGCCTCTTTCCCTCTCCATGGGGAGAAAATCCGTGACTGTATCACCATGGTCGACATCTAACGCATTGGCCTGTCAGCATGATGCACTATGAAGCGAGAGAGCCCATATAAAGCCTTACTTCCCAAATGCCGTGTGTTGCCGCTACAGTAGAGCATACGCTCTGTTGTGGTGGTTTTGCCCTGGGAAAATGAAATAGTCAGCAAATGTTCGAGGATGCCTAACCAGTGCATTTTCTCAGTCAGGGCACGGGGCCACTTACGGCATCTACATGAGCAATAATGCCTATGTTACGGATGTGCTCCACTGCGGCCTCATGATGAGCTGCTACGTGAGCCCATCTCTGCGTAGGGCGTTGAAAACAGGCCCAGCTTTGTCGAGGGCCAAGCCGAGGTACCACCGCGTGGATGAGCAGGCCGGCAAGGCTTTTTGACGGGGTCCTGCGACCTCGCAGAAGGCACGCCGGCATGGGCATTGCGGCTCATTCAGCGACTCGGCACTGTGAATTTGGCCTGACGATCCACGAGAGTGATGCCAACATGTCTGTTGCTGGGAGAAGCCCAAAAAGTTGAGTCCATGGGTAGCCGCGTGTGTGACCAGAGACCATGTCGACTCCCTGTATCTGCACACCCCTCCCCCCTGCTTGTCCTCCAAGGGCCCCACTCAGACCTTGATTGGGCACTCACCAAGGCTGCTGGGAGCACCGCTCCCTGCCACCGTGCCTGCCTATCGGTACAGCTTAGGGAGGTACGGCCCATTCCTCCGACTTCAAGCTTATTCCAGTCGGAGGTCTTCGTCGTCATCCTCCCCGACCTCTTGGAAGCCTGCGATTCCATCCTACACGTGTCTACTGCATTGTGTCTCTCAACGAGAACTGCCCTCTGAACGTCCAATCCGCGCTCACCAAGCGTGATCGCATCACTGGGCTCTCCTCCTGCCCCGACACGTGCCGACCGTCAACGTCATCCGCACCCGAGCTTGCTGTGTCTACCTCTCCGTCCTCAACTGCGCCTCCCATGGATTACAGCGCCTCTGTTCACGATGCCGATCACCCCACAGGCGCTTCGCCCTGGGGCAACTCACCTGCGCCCTCGCCTCAAGCCCATCGAACAACTTTTGGCGCAGTAGCCGGCGAACCGCCGGCATCGCCACACCGGTTCGGTTCAGACATCCCAAGCAACGGTTTTGGAGCAGATCACGAAGAAGAGGAAGGGTTTGGGCCTTCAGACCATGGCTTCGGTCGACCAAGCACCGGCAGCACCGTTTCTGAGAGTGACACACAAACGTATACAGCAGAGACAGCATCCGGGGCCGCTTCGCCAGGGCAGCATCACGGAAATGTCTCCCCCTTGCAGCCGCATGATCCCAACCGGCTGTCCGGGGACACTGCGCGTGCTAGTCAAGAGCAGTCTCAGGCGCGAAAGCCTACGCAGCCCGTATACAAGCTCCAAGCCAAGATCACTGGCCTCGAACGCGCAGCGCGAAAGGACCCTATCTTAAGATTCGATGTCCATGTATATCTTCTTCTCCGCTACTACGGCGCGTGCGAACGCATACTAACTGTCGATTGTGGCAGACCAACCTTCCAAAGTTCCGAACCACCCAATTCCGAGATGTCAGGCGCCTGCACTCAGAGTTCGTGAAGCTTGCTGAGTACCTTATATCTGCGAATCCCGAAGCGATCGTCCCGGCTGTCCCTCCACCTCTGACATCGGCCGGTGCTGGAACCGACGAGGACGAGATTAGGGTTAAAGCGCTCATGCAGCGGTGGTTCAACTACGTTTGCAGTAACGAGGTTCTCGCCAGAGACGACGAGATGGTTCTTTTCGTGGAAAGCGACTTTGGCTATAGCCCGATGGTGAAGAAAAAGCAGCCCGCCACCGGAGTGCGGCGCAAATTGCTGAAGCAATTCGCACCCCCTCCGGATGACACCCCCGATCTGTCCGAGGCTCGACCAATTGTGAAGCTTTTCTACCTAGGATCCATGGATGCGGGCCACAAGGTCGACAAGCTGGTCAAATCCCGTCGAGGTGAGTTATGAGCCTATCTTCAGGGATTTCAAGTGAGGATACTAATAAGACGAAGGGCTCGGTCTTGGGCAATCCGAGTTTGGTGTCAGACTTGGAAGTATGCACGTACAGGAGCCACACCAGGGCCTGGCCAACGCGTACCGCAAACTTGGGAAGATCGTCCAGACTGTCGGTGACTCGCAGCAAGCACAGGCTACCGCGGAGGCCTTCACCATTGGGGATCCCCTCCAGTATCACTCCTCGGATGCTTTCATCGTCAAGGAAACCCTCACGAACCGCCAACTTCTCCTCCGCGAGTTCCTACAGGCGCAAGAGAACACTCGGAGCAAACTGAATGCCGCGGATCGTCTGAAGGCCAGCTCGAATGTCCGCCGAGAAAAGGTAGACGAAGCAATCTCGCTGCTAGAGGACGCGAAACAGAACGAGGCCTACCTGTATCAAAAGACTAGGCGAGTGACACAAAACTTGGTTCAAGAACGCCATAAGTGGTTCACAAGGACGGCTGCCGATCTGCGTGCAAGCATTCGCGAGTTTGTGTGCAAGGAAATTGAGGCCGAACGCAGGACTCTGGCCATGCTCGAGAACGTACGACCCGACGTCCGTGCCATTGACGCGTCTGGTGGCCTGAGTCGGCTGGGCCGTGAGGCGCACCCGACAGTGCGTCGAACCAGCATGGCTTCAAGCCAGGGTCCCAAGGGGGACGCATGGAGCGGAGTACCGCGACGATCTGTTGATCCAATGGGAAGGAGCGTTTCCACCAGCTACATGACCAACGTCGCTGAGGATGGGGACGGCGAGGAGGAGAGTGCGAAGGCTCCGGCCGGTGGCTTGTCCGAACAGAATGAAGAGGATGACGAAGACCGAGTGGATGCCCGCAATGCGGCGAGTCGGCTGGCTACCAGCACTTTCTAAAGCTCGTACGCCAAGGGAAATTTACCGCATGGAATCCTCGAGGTCCCAAGCCTCCAACACGCATGTCTAGGGACACACTTGAAAAGCATTGGTCGGCAGGTTCTTGTAATTATTGTATGTGAACCCACACCTCATCCTTTACCGCTCCCTAGGGCAAGGGACCACTCTTCAGAGTCTATCTTCGAAGAAGGCTTTAATGAACACGGAGGGGTGACATAGTCATTTCAACTAGCGACTCAAACCTCGTTGCATAATCTGGGACACATCTGCCCACTAGAGCATGCCCATCCTATCGTGGAGTCTTGATTCTGCCAGTCTGCATAAGCGTACAGTGCAACGTCACGTTGAGCATATATTCGCTTCTGCATCTGGGCTCGCCTTGAAGTGATACAGCGCATATCGCATCTGCATAATGACGGCTGCAGGCGCCCGAAGCGTCCTGCCTCCAGTCCCAATTAGGCCATGGTCCCCAAAGTGGGCATACAGAGATCACCAAGAAGTCCAGCAAGGTTGTACATGCTTTCACAGCCGATATTTCATACGAAGCCCACCCTAGCAGGTCTTTGGCAGATTGTTTAGCAGCAGAGAAAAGCGTCAATCGGGAAGTGACCGGCGAGTAGTCCGCCTGAGGGTGTGGGCCGGTTCTTGCCCTCTCTCTTCTGGCCGCACCTTTTCTTCCAACCTCCTTTAGACGATGGTGACATTTGGCTCGAACAGCGCGGCGTCTGCGCAGGAAGCCACCGTTTCGGAAGCAGAGGCGAAGTGATGCATGCCGCAGTGGTTCAGCGAACTGCGCGTACTCTTTCGCCCATCAGTGCCATGCATGCATACTTGGCAGATCCTACATCGTTTACTGGACGACGTTTGTGACACAGGCAGCATGGCGGCAGCATTACGGCCCCTTCTCGGCAAGGCTCGACAGATAATTGTCGAGGTGTTCCCACTGCCCTCCCTCCTCGGCTTTTGACCTTACTGTTGTCGGTTGGATCCCGCGGTGACGCCAAAGCTGCAGGCGCGAAGCGACCTCCTGCACCTTTGTGAGCGACCGCTGCGGATGCTGCCGGCGCGGTTCGGGATTGCGCCACTCACAACCCAACTGGTCGAACATCATTTCTGCTTCTACAACGGAGGAGGGTCGACCACCGCTCGCTTGGATCGCTGGGCAGGGACCGACACTACGATGAGATTCGACTGCTCAAGGGTTATCGATCTTTGTGGCTTCACGCAACAGTGACCGGTCCTCCCCCTCGAGCCATGATCCAAACCCCGAGTGACGGGCTTGCATCAGCATACGACACCGCCTATCCAATGAACCTCCGGTCTTGCTGGCTTTTTGTGATGCCACCATTAGTTGCCGTGCTATCATCGATGGAGCGCTGCCAGCCTTGGTTCAACAGCCCTTGGATCGCTGCAGTCTGCACATCTTGTATCAGGTTAACGCCTCGCAATCGGTTCACCGACGGTTCGCCGGCAAGTCGCGCCGCTCTGCTTCAGGCTGGATTTTCCCGTCCTTGCAGATCCAGGTCTCGCAGTGACCTCCGGCTTGTGGCGGCTGGTGGAACAAAACTGCAGTCGATGCAGCCCACTGATCCCACGATGTGCTGCGTTGACACTGGCCATTTCACATGCATGCATCAGGACGCAGGTCGCGGGAGATCCGACATGGCAAAGAAGCAACAGCATCTACGTCGCCAGTGACGCCGCTGTCACAAGCTTGTGCCAATCCGTCTCAAGATAGGATTGGGTGCCATGACTGGAGGAGTTCCGCCCCTCTCAAGATGTCCAATTCGTGCCCCGAACTGGTGGCGTTACATGAGCCGCGACGTCTCGATGCTATCATTTTCGACGCCGATCTCTCACTTGTGACCAGCGAGCGCTTCGAGATTTTGCGCCGCCCTGCCAATACCGAATACACGTGCCGGCCTTCAAAAGATTATATCGACTAATACGTCGTTCCTTTTGACCGCCCTACGCTTGTCAAAATACCCGGTACGGGGCGAACACAGTTGCTTCCGACCGTTGAAGCCACCAATCTCTTGCAGGGTACACCCATACCCATGCAGGCGACGTGCAGGACCTTGGGAGCTCGGCAACAAAACTGGTGTACCCAGGACACTACATCTTGGAAAACCTCTTACGAATGCGTGGGCCCGTTTATTTTCGCACCCGTCTCTTGTTGCCTGTCCCATTTCTGTCTCTTCGCCTGGAGCGGCAATTTGAGAACCCGTTCCCTGCGCTCGCAACACCAGCTTTCTCAGGTCAACCAAGGCCGGGGCACATTCGGTCAGAGCACTATCGCCGCTTTTCGATTTTAACCTTGGCTGTCATGCTGGCCACCTCGGTGACACAGGCAGACATGCCGCCTCAGTTTCTGCATGCCTCGGTAGTGCCTCGGCTGCTTCCAAGCACAGACAGCCGCACTTCCATAGTCGATAGACCACACAAGCCACCAGATGTATGGCACCACTATCTGTGCGCGCCCACACACACCCGATGCTTTCCATCAGAAGCTGCCTGCTCGAGTGAAACGGTCCTTCTCATCCAAGGATATCCGGGCTGAGACACCCTCACTACAAGTCATACCTGGTCCCCATTGGGTTGCCTGGGCCGGGTATCGCAGCGAACTATTCGTACAGTCAGTGCTCGCGACCGAATTCGTTGCCAGCGTTGCTTTTGTGATGATGAGGACTATCTTGTGATTGAAGGAGAACAACCGTCGAGATAAGATTCATCCGAATTCCTGCACAAGTCTTGTGCCACAAGGCATACAACATCTTATTACACACGGTCTAGATCTTTGCGACTCCTTCTTGAAGAGTCATCGACCTGCCCCTCCCTTTCATTTTCAGCGTGGCCTCATCCCATGGGATCATTCCACTCGGCGAGACATTGTTGTGGTCGCGCCACGGTACTTGACATTGCCTCTCTTCCTTCAACTGGCAGCCCGTACCTAGCATAGTCAGTCTATAAGTCTGTCAGCTGCGAAAAGCCAACGCAGACGACTTGCTTTCCTGGCACACGACATTTCACTCCAGCTTGTTGGTTCTCGACTCAAGTGGTTGACGAGCCTGTTTACGGTCTCGTCTATTTCCTTTCGTTGGTGCAGATTGATATTATACTCCCTATGGTTCGAAGCTATAAGCTATCGGCTGTTCTTATGCTTCACCGTCGTACGCACCATATCATCGATATCATGGCACATTGCAGCTGTATGGATATGCCAACACCTATATCTAAGGCGTGCTGAAGCCCAGCATGCATTTGAGCTGCAGAGACCCATGCATTTTTCTACTTCCGCCTAAACCTGGTCTAGTGGACGGAATGAAGAGAGCCAAACTATGCTTTGACCAGGGCCAGCATCCAAGCATTAACGCTCTACCTCTGCTAAATAGGCTCGGGTAGAAGCGAATATCCTTGCCTCCGCAGCATCAAGCTCCGTTCACGGTCTGATAAGTCGTCGAGAGGTGACTGGCGGGCTCGAGGCGTGTCTAATGCTGCTCTAAAGCATGCTTCTGAATCAGCCCGAGGAAGTTCATCCGGTCGTTGTCTCCCTCCCCTGGCATGCTCTCGAGTGGATAGCCTTTGCCGCCCCTCAACCTTTCCCACCTTGTCTCGCGGATACCAGGAATGGCAGCATCTGCGACATGGGGACATGGTGCGCTCCATCCCATGTCTCCCAGAACCCGGAGGAGCTCTGGCTCACCGGGACGAAAATTCCAAAATGAGCACCTCAGGGCGTATACCACCCTTGGCCAAGTCATATGTACTCCAGACGTGGCATATTCTGAAGTGCCTGCGTGCGTGATGCAGAGATAAATGGCGTTCCTCCTTCAGGACACCGGCTCCCTCCCTCCTCTCTTCATCTTCCATCACTCCAGCACATGTCCTGCACTCCTGTCTGAAAGAAGTATTACCTGCATTTCCGACGAGTGTCACTCACAGCCCATTCTCCAATTGCCTGGCCCAGGGGAGTCCTGCCCCCACGAAGTGTTCCTCTGTCTCGGGTCCCCTTCCTTGCCACTCCACCAATACACGCCCACGAAGCCACCCTCCCATCCCGCACTCATCCCACGTCTCAAGCATGGCGCCGTCTGCCATGGTTCAGGATGAGATGGAGCCCCTGCAGCTGCCCTATGCCAGGGCTTCAAAGATCAGTGCGTCCGTCTTACATGGACCAAAGGACCTGCGATTGGTGAGTCTGGTGGTGCTTCATTTGGTTTTTTGGTTCGGGCTGTCACCTTGACAGTCTTACTGTTACACAAGATCTCACGCCTTACTGGTTTCGCACGCAGACCTCCTACCTATTTTGGGAGGCGGAGCTTGCGGGCTGACAGCAGAGCCGCGTACGTTCTTTCAACGACCGAATTGCTGACCAAAACTGTATAGGAGTACAGGACCATTAACGAGCCGGCTGGGCGAGCTCCAGGTAGCCCTGCGCTCAACCGGTATATGTGGCTCGGATGTGTCTTATTACAAGAAATTCGCGAATGGCGATCTCTGCGCCTGCCAGCCGCTTTCGCTTGGTCACGAGTCCTCCGGAGTCGTAGTGGCCATTGGCCCCCAGGTAAGCGGCTTTGCAGTCGGAGACCGTGTCGCTTTGGAGGTTGGTGTCCCCTGTGGACAATGTTCAACATGTCGCAAGGGGCGATATAACCTCTGCAAGAAAATGAGATTCAGGAGCAGCGCGAAGTCGTTCCCCCACTTCCAGGGTACGCTCCAGGATAAGATTAATCACCCAGCGGTATGGTGTCACAAGTAAGTGACACAGCACACAGTCGGAAATTAAGGCAGCTCTTACTGACTTCACCCGCCAAAGACTCCCTGACAACGTCTCATTCGACGCAGCCGCTCTCCTCGAGCCGCTCTCCGTCGCCATACACGCCAGGAACCGCGCGCGACCAGAGGCTGGTTCCACGGCCCTGGTCCTCGGCGCAGGCACCGTCGGGCTCCTGACCGCGGCCATGGCCCGGCAGTCAGGCTGCACGACAGTGACGGTCTGCGACGTGGACCAGGGCCGCGTCGACTACGCGCTCGACAAGGGGTTCGCGACCCACGGCTACGTCGTGCCGCGGCCCCTGCACCTCTCCTCCAGCAGCTCCTCCGTCTCCGGGGCGTCGACCCCGGGCGGCGTGGCGGACGGCGCCATGACCCCCGCCAGCAGCGTCTTCTCGACGCTAGACGGCAGGCTGGAGGGCGCGAAGGCGACGGCGGCGGACATCATCGCCGCCTCGTTCAGGGCCGCCTCCTCGGCGCCGCTGGCCGACACCGACGAGGACGAGGACGACGGCTTCGACGTCACGTTTGAGTGCACGGGCAAGGAGGTGTGCATGCACACGTCCCTGTACGCGACCAGGCCCGGTGGCAAGGTCATCATGGTGGGCATGGGGACGCCGATCCAGACGCTGCCCATGTCGGTGGCGCACCTGCGCGAGGTGGACATCCTGGGCATCTTCCGCTACGCCAACACATACGCGACGGGCATTCGCCTGCTGTGCGCCCAGAAGAGGGGCGGCGGCGCCTTCGCGCTGCCCAGCCTGGACAACATGGTCACCCACCGGTTCAAGGGCCTCGAGAACGCGAGGCAGGCTTTTGAGCTGGCCGGGCGGACGGTCGATGACGAGGGGAGGATGGTGCTCAAGGTTGTGATTGAGGCGTGATTTCTTTTTTATACTCAGGTGCCTCGTCTTTCGTCTCCTTTTGCTTATGGGCCGTCACCATGGTCGCTGTCATCTGACATGAGCGATAATTGTGGCCTTGCTTTCTATTCCCCGAGGATAGCCCTTGATAGCGTTTGCGTAGATCTTAGAAAATATCTTATTTTTCTATACACCTGAAGTAGTGACTCAACTATTACATTCTGCCGGATGCATAATGCAAGGACGGTTGAAATTGAACTCATGAATACGTGCGGAATGCATGGCTAGACTTCTGCCTCATGAGAAATGTAACCCATTCGCGTTCACGCTCTCGAGTCGTTATCCAACGCTCTTGGCCATATACTGTAAATGTCTTCACTGGTAACAGGTAATTGGTATGCTTGAAAAGCCCCCGGCTAGAAAGAGATCCTACTATCTAACCTTACTAGAGGTGTCATCTCATGTGTTCAACATGCTAATTTGGCGGACCGGCTACGGAAAGCAGTTATGAACAGCTCTCTGCGAAGTAATGCTTGGTTCACTTTATTTCATGCGATCACGCTCACAAAGACGGTCACCGTGTCTGAAGATTTGTGATTTGTCTGTCTTTCCTATCTAGGAAATGTATGGGCGCTTTACTCTAACATCATGATTAGCCCATCAGAACGACCAAAAGTGCAGTAATTTCCATTTATGCCGGCCATGAGACCAAGATCAGCCGAGTCTCAAGATGCTGTCTGTCCAATTTTCGAGGGCTCCTCAGACAGTCAATAGACCAGGATGGGCCAGGATGAGAATGGCGACCATCAAAATGTGAGGGCGTCTCGGTCGGCCCGAGCAGTGAAACCTGCCCCCGAATTTCCCGTCACGGCCAAGGATTCATAATACAAGGTCTATGAGAATGACCAATCCCTTTTCCAGGGCCCTAAAACGCCGTGCTCTTCCGTGCTTCTCGTAAATGCCATAATGCCAATTGCCTTTCCAACGCCAGCCCTGCTGATAGAGACTCGTACGCAAGGAATGAGAAGGAGAGCCCTCTACATCAGGTCGCCGGCTGCAGACAAGGATCCAGGTCGACCGCCCTTGCTGGGCTGAGAGTGGCCAAAACCAGCTCCCTGAGAAGCGTATGTAGCCACACGCTGGCTGTTGTGGGCCTTCTCAGTCTCAATGGCGTGGAACTTCTTGCCAATGTCTCTGGTGTCACCGGCTCGGTTCATGAGCTCAGTAAGGAGCTCGATCGTGCTGACATCGTTCTCCTCGCTCAGGAGCTCCTCCTGGAAGGCCTCGGCATCAGATGGCTCGATGATGCTCAGACGGTGAACAAGAGCCTGCACGAGACGCAGCAAGGTCTGGGAAGGCTCGGTGTGGTCGCCAGCGGCAACCTCGGAGTTGACCTCGTCCATGTACGGAGGAGGGAGCTTCTGCAGGTACTTGATGATGAGGTCGATCCGGGCCTGCAGCATCTTGATGGCGTTCGCCTTGGTGGTGAGGGCTGAAATCATCTCCTGGTCCTCTTTGGACAAAGCCGCATTCTCAGGGTCGACCTTCTCGTCCTCCTTGGCGGCCTGCTTCGCCTTGCCCTTGCCTTTGCCCTTGACGTCAAGCTTCAGAAGCTCCTCCTGCACTCGCTCCGAGGCGGCATTGGCAGCGGCACCAGCAACCGAGGTCATTCCAATCATTTCCGCCTCGTGCGTCTCGACGGTGAATGGAAGCTCCCTGAATTTGAGCCTCAGCTGAGAGTCGCCGTCCTTCATCTCTTTGTCCTCGCCCTCGGTAGTGGTGTCTTTGGCCGCATCGTCGACTTCGTATGCAGTCTCGTAGACGGAAAAGGGCAGCTTTCCACCGACAGACTCCTCACCAACCTCCTCGCTGTGGAATCCGAGCAGGATGGCGGACTCGTTGTAGGCAAGGATCTGGTTGTGGATTGGAAGGATGTGGTTTCCCGGGCCGCTTCGGGGGTTCACGGTGAACCAGCCCACCAGGTCGAGGGTGCGATCCTTGTGCACAAGTCTCACTATGATTTGATGTCAGCACGGTCAACTGTCCTTGGAAGGCACTCAGTTCAAGACTTACTCTGCTCCAGACGAGTCTCGAACCAGCTAGGCTCTAGGGTGACCTGGTCTCCGTCCAGCAGGGTTTGCACCTCGTAGGCAGTTTCGATAGTAACCTCGCGGCCATTCTGTTGGCCGAACAGTGCGCCGACGATAGGGCCCGGCTGCTCCCTCAGTTTGTGCCTGGTCACGTAGTCTCCGATGGAGATCACGGGCAGCGGATGCAGGATGACGGACTCCATGATGGGCAGATTGCGCTGCGTGTCCAGCTGCACTAAGTTACAGGTGATCTGCGAGACGTCGGTCTGCTGCGCGATGTCTGCCTGTTGCGAATTGCCAATCTGCAGCAGCTCATCAAGCTGCGCCGAGTCGATGGTCTCGCCCGAGCTGTCGCTTTGCTGGCAGCTGTCAGACAGATGCGACTCGCTGAGCAGCTGCTCCGATTTGTCGAGTTGCTCCGAATTGGTCGCCTGCTTCGAGTTGCTCCCTTGCTGTGAGTTACTACCACGCTGCGAGCGGCTCGTCGTGGTGGAGGTGGTCGCCTGCTGCGAGTTGCGTCGGCGGGCGTGTTCTGGGATTGGAGGGAGAGGTCGATTGGGAGGTGGAGATGGTGGGGGGCCGTACAAGTCTAGGGCAGAGTAAGGTCGACAACTGACACGAGCCTTCTTGGGCCGACTCTCTGACGGTGCGGCAGCAGGCAGAGAAGCTGGGCGAGGGCGGCCAGGAGCGTTGGTGTTGTCGGTACTGGTGTTGTTACTGGTACCGGTGCTGGCGCCGCTGGTGCTGGTGTTTTGGGGGGCGACGTTTTGGAGGGGGATGCCTTCACCTCCGTTGTCTTGAGCTCCGCCGTTTTGTGGAGCTGGTGCTGGTGCTGCTGCTGGTGCTGCTGCTGCTGGTGCTGCTGGGCTTGGGGGAGAAGCCCCCAGGCAGCAACCCAGAAGGGTCTTTGCGGCCTCGCAGGCCTTACAATGCCTGCCCATTTTAGCGTCAATTTTAGCGCCGAATGCAGGTGCAGGTGCGGGCGCGGGGCAGTTGGTGATGGTCCGTGCGGAGTTTTGGAAAAAAGGGTGTTTTAGAATCTGCAGCCCGTGTTTTTTATTTAAAGCCAGAGCTTGCTGCAATTGCGGTGGGGTAACTCCACTAGTCACCCAAGCTCACTCTTCTGTGCACGGGGGTCCCACCACAACCCTGCCCAAGCTTAACTCTCGTACAGGTATCTGTGGTCTTTTTCTTCTGTCCACACATCATTCCAAACATCCTCCACCTTTTTTTTTTTTTTTTGGTGAATTCGCCATCTTCACGCTGCTGGCTCTCACTGTAGCTGTTCGGTTTATCAGATGAGCTCAGGGCAGGAACGAATAGTTCTATCCACATGGACTATATGAGGAGTCGAGCGAGAAGTTCCTGGTCAGACGGGTGAGACTAACAACCATCCATGACTTCCACATAGACAACGTAGACTACCTCCAACCCACATGGTATTAGTGGGTGCGATCACCACCAGCACAGCAAACGCAGGACAAGCGTATTTCCTCAGGTAAATTTCACGGACATACTTTCTCATCATGCTCTGTAGAAAATCACCTATTGCTGTCGAACGGCTGATAATGGATCGGTGCCCACGTACAGAATTCTACTTGACTGTCCCCTACAAAGGCTGAGCATCATTGAGACGTCCTGGTAGTGGGGCTCGACTTAATATGACTCTTTCTCATGTGAACTTGAAGCTGTTTTAATTCTGTGCTCCCTCACAGATGGGCAGTTAGCTTACTATCTAGAGTGGAGCGCAGATGAGTTGAGACCAGAGGTGTGAACATTTCCTAAGTTCTGTATGAGTGTGGCAACTTGTTTCTTTTCATGTTAGATCTACTTCGCGTCTGGTACCTTGCAAAGATGAATGATAGCCCATGTCTTCTCCTGTGGAAGCCTGATGCGAAAGAATCAGTGTCCCCAAACGATAAACAGACCAAGTGGTTTTGCAATTTCACTGCATGGTTTCCTATTTGACCGGCTTTCTTTGCTATTCTCAGACGACATCAGGAGACACAAGGAGAGGCACAAATGTCCCTTGTCCAGGCCTGGCCTGTCTTTGTCAACTTCAACAGGTTCTTTCAAGTGCAAGGCCGTAGGAAACATGTATGGTATGGCTTGGCTGGTCACCAGGTATGCTGCAGTAGGGAGCCTCGCAAATGTTTGAGGCAGGCTGGCCACACCTTGAAGAGACTCTCTGATCTCATACCTTGATGCCTTCTCTTGACATGCATCTACAACACACTTGCACCTAGATGAGTTGACTGTTTCTTCCAAATTGTCATCAAATCTGCTGGAGCACAGCTTGGGCTCCCGGATCTTCAATACGTCTTCTCGGAATCCAAGAGATCGCCGTAGGAGCGTCTCCTCTCCCAATATGGACTCCAGTGTGGCTCGCAAGGAAAGCAATGACTCCTTTCCCATCAAGAGGAAGCCGGAGGAGGAGGTCCAGTTTGTCTCTTCCAAACCTGTGAAGAAGTGCCGTGGCAGCAGAGACTCGAGAGCGGAGGCCCACCGTGGCATCGACCCGGCCGACACATCGAGAGTAGGTCAACCCCCCGGAGACACTCGTCCTGGCAACACCCCTAGCCATCTCGGCCCAAGTCTGCCGGCAAGCCAGCCGCTTCATGAATCAAGCAACTTCAACCGCGGAGCTTCGCTGCCCAGTATGGAGAACTACGTGTTCCCTCCGCCTCATGACGGCATCACAAGCCGGACCTCTCGAAGCTCTCCCATGCTGTCTCCCAAGCAGTTGCCGCAAACTGCGCCTTCAGGCCAACCTGATGCCCAGGTGGCCCAATCAACAACTCCCAACGCCAACGATGCTAAGCCGCCAGCATTGTTTAATGCTCCATGGGCAGCGGCTGGCGTGCCACCCCAACCAACGTCTATGAACCTCCACATGACGCCCAACCAGCCGATGGTGACCGCGTACATCCAGCCATCGGCCACCGAACCATCTGCAGCTGTCCGTGATGAGAAGCAGCAGTCGAGAACGTCCGAGAAGGTCACGGACCCGGCCCAGTGTTCCCAGCCAGCCAGTCAGCCGCGCAAGGAAATGGGCATGGAACACATCCAGACCAGCCATCAGTATCCTTCGCAGGAGAACGACAAGTCAATGCAAGCCACACAACCTGCCCGAACGCAGAAAGCGTGGCAGCCGGGTCAGCCCACTCCCCAAACTCCGCCGGGGCCAATGCCTGGCACGCAGGTGCCGGCGCAACAACATGCAAGCAACAGCAATGGCTACGCCGTGACAACTGTCCACCCGCTGCCCACGAAGCCACCATGTCTCGCGTGCGAGCAAATGCGGCAACAGGCTCTGCACAACAAGACAAATATGTACCCGCTCATTGGGCCAGCTTCTCACGCGCACCATGGCTGGCACGGCCCTGAAGTCGCCCATCTCACACATCCCACTCACATGCAGTCTGCGCCGTTCCCGAATGCCGGTTTCGCCATGAGTCCTGATGTGTCCCAGAACCATACACTGCACAGGCCACACCTCCTCTATCACGGACAAGTGCCCATGGGATACGGCTTGACACATACCCCAGGCCAAGGACCATATCCTGCTGCGGTGCAGAGAGCGTTGCCGATAGCAGAAACGAGCGCGAGCGAGTCCGCCCCAGGGATACCCTCTCATAAGTTCAATCATAACCCTCAGCTGAACCTGTCTCCGGTGTCGACCCCTATGTCTCAGACAGAGCGTGCCCAGTACACCCAGGGCCAATCTGCCTCATCTCAAACACTGGCAACACAGACAATCTCAACAACAGCTCCTTCTCCTACCCCAGCCGCAGCCCCTGCACCTCGACCGCCGACTCCTCCGGCCCCAGAGAACCACTCGCCGAATCTCATCGTCGACATCGCCGAAACATGTGAGGCTCTGTTCCCGTGGGATGAGGTCGCCGAGAGACACAATGTGCCCCGCCAGAAGGTTCTCGACACGTTCGCGGCCATCATCCAGCTGCCTTTGATCCGTTGTACGACCGACAAGAAGCGGCACGGGAGGCTGGCGACAAACAGGTTGAAGGATTACACCAGGGGAAAGAACGCCATGTGCATCTCTTCCCCTGCGTCCCCTGCCACTCCACCTGCATCTGCCAAGTCCGATTCCATCGAGAACCAGGACAACAGACCAGTTCTTCCCGGCGTCGTGGAGCTGGCCAACTCGATGGCACCGGTTGGGTTCCCTTCGACTCTCACGAAGAAATACCCAGGTACGTGGTGAGGGCAGCCGCCTCGGTTCAATCCTTTCCCGACAGCCCCCAAAGCAGGAACATGACAGCAGGCGCTCTCAGCCGTTCAACAACCGGTCCCAATCAACCGGCCTGCCAAGGTTCTCCTGGACGAACTGCTCGTACATGCCCGGGAAGCGCACCGGCACGGACGGGTCCAAGCCCCGGACCCTGGTCCGGCCGAGGTCCTGCATCTGCCTGGACTGCCTGTCGCGCAGGCGCCGCTCCAGGGCCCTGGCGTCCTGCAGCCGGCCCTCGAGCGTCGCGGCCCGGAGCCGCGCCGTCAGCCTGTCGCGCTCGGCGCTGTACCGCAGCAGGATCTGCGACCTGTTGAACTCCGGGTCGCACTGGGCGCAGGTGCAGGCGAGCGAGTTCCGCCGGTCCGGGAGGACGCATTTCCTCGGGCACCGGGAGGACCAGTGCACGAGGTAGTGGCCGCACATCATTTTGTAAGCTAGGCCGGTGCACATGCTTGAATTTCTTTTTTTGTGTTTCTCTCTGGCGGGGTGGGTGGGGCTGGTGATGTGTTATTCCTTGGTGGTGGTCTTCTTGTCCGGTGTATCTCGCAGGTTCTCGCAGCTCGGCCAAAGTGAACATCGCAGAGTGGTCATATCGTTGATCGTAGATGTTTGGTCACTTCTGAGTGAGCGGTGTTTGCCAATTTTGGTGATCCCAGCGCCGCAACGTGAGATAGGATGGGCAGTGTTAGGGACGGTGGGCGGGACAAGGAGGAACAAAGAAATCAACAGGTTTGCGAAAACGTGGCCGTTGTTTGTCTCGGCCCTGCCCGAACCTGGCCAATTGTTCCCTGAGACATGACCACAAGAAATGTCTCTGTCACTTCGGAAGAAATGTGGACGGGCAGGAGCTGAGAAGTTACTACCTCCCTTATTAATCTGCCTTGATCCCGTGCGCCTGAGGGTAGTGCCAACGATGGATCTCTCTAAGTCACACTAGCATCGTCACAATCTCTAAAGGCCAGATATCCCTGGCGAGGAGGGCTTCGGACCGTCATCGCTGTGGTGGTTGATGTGACTTGGCGGCGTCGGTTGGGACTCGGGAGACCGTTGCGGGCTAAGGACGTTGGACGTCCGGGAACAGTCGTCGTCTCCGGGTGGAGTTTCTTCGGTAGCGCAGCGCCTAGGTCGTTTTAGTGTTGTCGTGCTTCGAGGTCTCGTCTAGTTAGTCTGAGGGCTCTGTCACATTGCTTTTTCTCCCTAATGCTACTTGGGCAGCAAGAGCCGCGCTCGATCCCAGGACTACCTGGTTCGGCTGGTGGTGCCAAGCAGGCGAATCGCTTCCACGGATTCCGCCTCCGGGAGTCATCAGCGGCCATCAGGAGACCTGCGACTGAATAAGTTTGCTGCATTCCAAGAATTTCACGCGGCCGAATTGACTTTTCGGAACCGAGTCAGGAAAAAAGTCCAGGATTGTTTCTTTTCACTGCATATCATTAGTCGTATATGTCTTGATAAACTTGGCCACACGCTTCTTGGCGCTTCCGAGCCTGGCCGCCGTAGCCCCTTCATCCGTGCGGCCTAATTGACAGTATTGGAAACTCGTCCTCTGGGTCCTTTCCCGCGAAGCTCACGGAGCTGACGCCGGGTGAGCGGCTGTCATGCTGACGAATTCCTGGGCCCAGACCAGACTCTCCACCATCGAGCTCGAAAAATTCCGATTGCCCGGGGGTGTCCGGAATTGGGTATCGAGCTGGTATTGCGACAACCGGTGGGCTCCTCATCGTGTTCCTCCAACGCCTCCGCATGCTCCTCGGTACCAATTTGCGGTAGAAATAGTCTCGGAATGACTTCGTTGTGCCGAAGACTATAAAGGCGAGGAGACTGGCGGACACGCCCGGTAGGAAAGTTAAGACGTCGCCAATGGCTCGCTGGTAGCTCAGATCGACAACAGAACCCTGCGAGTCTTTGCCATTATCTCGGGCAAAGCTGATTTCTTGCGCAATGATGACCAGCTGGAACGCTCTGTGAATATACTGTCAGAACTGCAGGGGTGAGTAGGGCGAACTTATGCATTTAAAGACTCACGATAGACCCGCGAAGGCAAGAGTGAAGCGGGTAACCAGCCAGCTATCATAAATGCTCTTCTCTTGTAATGGTACTCCGCCAGTGCTGCTGGCAAGACTTCCGACGGCGGTGTTTTGAGTAGTTGCGGCATTGGTGCCACCAACAGTCGAGCGATCGGCATACCCAACATGCTGTTTAGACTGTGTTAGCCAAGAACCATTGTTCTGTCTTTGAGGCCATTTCTGGGGCGCTCTTGGGTCTTGACAGCGGCTCTTTTGCTCATAAGGCGCAGCGTTGAAAACTGCACCATATGACAGGCTATGGCCCATGAGCAACAGGGCTTGTACCAGTTACGTGCAACATTGTACAAAAGCCCGGGGGGAAGGAGTATGGAAGGCACGTACCCAGGCCGCCACAGCTCGTGTTGCAACGTATCTCGCGAGGATAGCCAAGAGGAGGATTGTGCCGAGAGCAAGGCTGACACCCACTGCGTTGAATGATCAGCAGCTGTGCAGAGCTCGCGGGGACGTTCAATTGAGAGAACTTACTGATCATGTTCGCAAGGAAATAGAACCCAATGGTTGAGCTTTGTACTACGTCGGTGCGCATCAGGCTCACTTGGATGATGGGAATGATAACAGCCGTAGTTTTGGCAGCATAGCTTCCGTATCGTGTTGCTGATCCGGTTGCTTTTAAATGGTAGATGGAGTAGGCCAGCTCTGTACACCTACTTTCGGGTAAGACTCTCTACTGGCCAAGGCGTTACTTCCGGTCGAAGCTTACCATGAGACGACGAGGATCGATTCAACATTGTAGCAGTAAAATTCTGGCCTTGGTCAGTAAGATTCAATCGTAGCCCAATAGTTCCAATGCAACTGACGAATATAGAATAACACGAGATCACTGTTGACTGAGGCTCCAGCCACCGACAGTTCAGGGTTGCCGGCGCGTGTGCTAACATAGTCAAACTGGTCAAGCTTGATAGAAGTCCATCGGAGGTAGGTGTGCAGCTGTTGCGCCTAGGGGTCTGTCAGTCCAAACGTTCACGCGGAAGATCAGGGACTCATGAAGTCATGTGCCTCCTTTAGTCACCCTGACACGCGAAAAATTGCACTGGAGGTCTCTGGGACAGAAAGAAGGCCCCGCAATATACTGACCATGGAAGCTATTGTGCTCAAGGACGTGAAGAAGGCAAAAAATGCCACATCTTTTATAGGTCTATTAGCTCAGCGTCCGGACGACTGTGTAAAAGCACACTCACAGCTTTTCCACTCCCGGTGGGCGATCGTCGCCCACAACAGGGCACAACTCAATATTAAGCATATCGAGCTGTAGATTGATACACCAACCGCTGGGCCAACAGCCTCAGAAGGCAGCTCCTGAGCAACTAGTTCAATCTCGTCAGTAAATCTGGCAAAAGGTCTGTCGCATATATGCGCATGAGGTTTGCATTGCTCGCTCAGGCGATTGCGACTCAGGAAAGTGTTCCATAGGAAAGAGACCTACTGCCGGACATCACCGCGACGTAGTCATGAGGCTCTGTGCCTGCTCAGGCAGGGTTATAGCCAATGTGGGTCGATACAAGGACGACAGGAGGAAGGAATGCGAAAATGGCCGGGGGAAACATTAAATAGCGAGAGAATCCAAGCAAAGGAAAAGTAAAAGGAGTGACGTGCTATCTACTTGTAAAACAAGTAACAGGGAGCGATTGTGGACAAACAGGAAAAAGGAAGTTAGAAAAAAAGAAGGAACCTGTTGAGAGGTCCTAACATCATCCGGACCGTGCTTGGGATGGCATTTAGAGAGCTGCCACCACGTCCCAAAAAGGGTCTCGAGGGCAAGCCATGCTCAGGGGTCGGGCACCGGGGTGTGGTCTGCTCGACGAAACATCAGGGATGAGGTGCGTTTGACATGGACCACGGTTCGAAGTGGTGGGAGCAGTCGACGGCGGATGGGTCCTGGTGGGAATTCGGTTTCAGCTGCCCAGGCAAAACTTAGCAAGACTGAGAAGACGAGGCCAGCTCGGTCGGAAAATCCGAGTCTGATGATCTACACGAGGGAGAGGTCCGTTGCATATTATGCCGTCGGCGAAGCACCCGCGACGCCACTTGTTTACCTCAGAAGCCTGGCTGGGCCTCTTTCGACGACGAGAAAAGAGCCCGCATGGCCCAACATCGTCGAGTGTACAAGCCGTGTCCGGGCTCCGCAGTACACCGACCGGAACCAGGTTGCTGGGTGGCTGGATGGACGATCCGTCCGATAGACGGTCTATTTCGGCGCATTGGAGGGAAAACCTTGCTAGAAAACCTGGGCTGGGCCGAGCGCTGAGCTTTGGAATACGACAGTGATGGCTCGCATGTCTGGCGGGTTGCGACGGTAGATCTCAATGCAATCTCTGGACAAGCATCCGTACCGAGAACTCAAAAGAATCGAGAAAGCTCTTTCCCAACACCAGGTGCTGCAGCTGATGCGGCTAATGCGACTGATGTCGCTGGATTTCCTGCGGGCGAGGGGCCAAGATGCCTCGGCGTCTGAGGGCCTGGTGCGGCAGTTGAGGCAGGCAGGGAGGGTACGTAGATCGGCTGCCCCTGCTCCCTTGGGCCTGGCAGGCTCCGCTGCACCCCGACACTTCGGGCCCAGCTCCGAGCCCACGGCCTCGGCTAAGGGATGGCGAAGCTTTGGGGAGTTATCCGAATGGCCAGGAAGTGCCGAGTACTAAAAGCAGCTGATTGCTTGCAGCACTTATATGGGGTGATAGGACTAATGACAGAGAAGAGTGGAGGCCCCGTCGATGTGGCTGAGAGCCATCGTCCGGTAATTAACTGACCAGAAATTATCGGGATCAAGACTCATGAAGCTTGACAACATGTCTAAATATGACCAACCCCCCGTACTTCCCTTCCAGTGGGGCAACCTGTCACAAGACTTTACACGTATAAGACAACCTCTGTGTGAATGCCTCCGGTGCAAATTTTCCTGTGCAATCTCGCCAAAATACAATGTCTTTGTTTACCAAGGCAAGAAGCAGGACCCTTGTCTGTTCAACTTTGAGTGTCTGGCCAGTTTTGGGACCCTGTGAGATGAAATGTTGGAGATTGACAAGTCTACGATATTTGTCCGCCCACGGCAGCACGCGTCCGATTTGATCGCCGCTGGGCTGGGGCGATCTCTGATGGTGGGGTGGATTGGGTTGTGTTGATGCAGCCTTGCGGCTAGGTCTCCCTGTCGGCACAGTCCAAGAGCTATTCCCGGGTGCTTGCCACACTGTGCCTTTTGATACTGCCGTTCTATTGAACTTTGTTCGGCACATCGACACGCGTCTGTCTGTGCTCTACGCGTCTTTGCAGTAAATCGATAGCTGCCATTGATCACGGCCTAGTTCCAACACAACTCCACCATTCTTGAATTGACAGCCTGCCTTTGGTTATCCCACTGTTCATTTCCCGTTCGACGGTGCAACTGTCGCCTATCAGCATCACTCTCACACACCGGTCTTCCGGTCTCCTCCACAGGTCTGCGTCGCAAGCATTTCTCCCGGCTGTTCACGGATCCCCCGTTGGATACTTCATCTCCAGATCAAAATGGTGGAATGGGAGCCAGTGCTACCCATTGGTTGGGACCACAGAAACAGAGCCTTCATGCAGGCCCTGATGGCCCGCGGCTTCATAACACTCGGCGAGGGCAAGTCGATCATTGCCGCGATCCTGTCAGCAGAAGACGACTCGGCTCGTAGGGTCACTCCTGATTCGATCGACGACAACACATTCAGACAGTATATCAGCAAAGCACGCGAGGCCGTGGCATCGCTCGACTACGATATCCGCAACACGTACCACCAGGTCGACCGGCAGCAAATATGGGCGCTCATTAACGTGCACAGTGATCCCAGCACCCAACTGGCGACCTCGCGGACTCCTGACGAGATCTCTTTCATCAAACGACTGCTTGATGCCATGTTTGAGACCTACAACACGCCCAGGCAGGAGGTCATGGCCGTCACAGCGGCGCAGGCCAGGAAAGTCGCACGACCAGCGGCACCAGCCCAGGACGGCGATGCAGATGGGGAGGAGCCTGCACAACGGACCGCAGACAGGGCCCTGAAGCACAGCGAGATCGAGAGGCTACTGCCCAGTCTGGTCGCCGAGGGCTGGTTCGAGGAGAGCGACGAGGGGTTCTACAGCCTAAGCCCGCGCTCACTCATGGAGCTCAAGACGTGGCTGGTGGCAGCCTACAACGACCCTGATGTCGGTCCCAACCACTGGCAGCGCATCAAGTTCTGCGAGGCGTGCAAGGAGATCGTGACGATCGGGCAGAGGTGCCCTGAGCGAGACTGCAACGCACGGATTCATGACATCTGCTCGGAGGCCTACTGGCGCACACGTAGGGGCGGGCGCACGTGTCCCCGGTGCGAGACGGAATGGACGGGCATGAACTACGTTGGCGAGAGGGCCGTCACAGAAACAGCTGCGGCACACCGCCGCGTCGGCCGGAAAAGGAGGAGCGATGCGAACGGATCGATGGTGAATGATGAGGCAGATGAGGAGGTCGACAACGAAGACGACGGCGCAGAGTGATGGGAACCGCGTGCGACAGACATGCTAAACTGCCATTGAGAAGGAAAGAGGGCGAGGCTATCAGGCGGCCTCAGACAATCGCTTCGCGATGCGCGGATGTGGGTGCTGGGGCTCAAAGTCTCGGGGGGATGAAAACACTCCATGGACATCACCAGCCAGAAATCAAAAGGCTTGGCTGGGATGGGGACTGCTCGCAGAGGGTGGTTCTGATACTTCGGGCAGGGCTCCTGTCGAGCACCAGTCACGTCCCAGTATTATTTGGCTTTTGCAGAAGCGAAATGTTCTACGATACCCAGCCACAAGAGAATGGCACTGACATGAAACAAGCGGCTAAGTCCCATACCCTCATTCGAACCGTTGCGTGCGTAACCCCTGCAGCAGTGACGTCACCCACCTTGAGGCCTCTCCCGTCACGGCCAGGCCAAGGCAGGCCCTTGAACTTCTGGTGTGTCTGGACAAACCATTTGGCGGGGTAGCAGAGTCTCAGTGACAAGGGAGCTCCGATTACTGACGGCTCAAGAAGCTTGGTAGAGTGGCTGTGTGCTCGCAGCTAAACGGGCGGCCTCGACAAAGCCTCGCCACACACCATCATGTGCAACGCTGTATGACATCTCTACTGCGTGTCTAACACAGTAACTCGATCAAAGAAAAAGCCAAACCTGGATCGCAGCCACTTTCCAGTCCTTCTTGACTTCCTCTCATCATCCACTTCTGACACTTTCTCAACTTGTTCCATTGCCCACCGAGGCAAGCAACCAAAATGCTTGAATACATTGCGTACCGCAAGTTCAAGAAGAACAGGGACCGCAAGGTCGAGGAGAGGGCCAAGCTCCAAGAAGAAGCAGAAGCAGCCCGGGCACGATCCAAGTCCCCAACAGCCAGCTCCCTCGGGCCAGGGCCAGGTCCTGTCTTGACGGACGACGAGCAGCTCTTCTTCGAGAGGCTCACATCTGAGGACGGCTTTTCCGACGAGAATGGAAAGCGACCACCCCTACCACCTAGGGTGAAGACACCCGACATATCGTGGGACAGCGATAACGACAGCTATGTCCGAAGCGAAGATCTCGAGGTCAAGGGAAAGGGCAAGGGCAAAGGCAAGCCCGGCGACGGCAGCAAAGGCGACGGCAAGCAGCCCTCGCGCTTCTCGTTCTTCACGCGCAAGACCGGCAAGAATGACCTCCAGCCCACCAACCTCGCGGTGCCGCATGACGAAGAGGAGCGCGAGAAGGACGACATCAACCGCATCCTTGACGACCTGAATCTATCCGCGCGCAACAACAAGACCTTCTCGCTATCCAAGGACTCCGCCGAGATGGTAGGAAAGTTCACGGTCGTCCTGCAGGATCTGGTCAACGGCGTCCCCACCGCCACAAACGACCTGAAGAAGCTCTTTGACGACCACGACGGCACGCTGGCCAAGAACTACGAGAAGTTGCCAAAGAGCATGCAGAAGATGGTCACCACCCTACCGAACAAGGTCACCGGCGCCCTCGCGCCGGAGCTCCTGGCCGTGGCTGCCGAGTCGCAGGGCCTGAAGGGTGATGATGCCCCTAAGGGCGGCATCAAGGACCAGGCCATGAAGCTCTTGGTGCCCAAGAATCTCTCCGAGCTGGTCACGAAGCCCAGCGCCGTCGTGGGAATGCTCAAGGCCATTATGAACTTCCTGAAGGTGCGGTGGCCGGCTTTCATCGGCACAAACGCCATCTGGAGCATCGCGCTTTTCCGTGAGTTAACTCCTCCCCCATATGTGCATCCGGCACGGCATTGCTAACATTGTGCTCCCAGTACTCATGTTTGTGCTCTGGTACTGCCACAAGCGTGGTCGCGAGGTTCGCCTAGAGCGGGAGAAGTCCGCCAGTGCCGTCGAGGCGGGCAGCCGCATCGAGGAGCTCTCAGATGATGAGTCCGTCGTTGAGTCGCGCAGCGGGCGGGCGTCCCCCAAGCGCATCGAGAGCGCAGGGGCGAGCTCGAGCTCGCGCAGGAAGTAGGGGATTAGATCTTTGTGGGTGTCGATTTCGATTCATTAACGATTAATGATTGAGGAAGCTTGTGACGTGCAACATGATTGCTGGCATGTTGATTACGAAGAATTGGCTTGAAAAACTTGGGCGTGGCGTTGGACGGTTTTTGGTGAAAGAATGATGAGTAACGAGATACCCTGTCAAGAAAGGGGTACCCTATGCGCTCACGAAAGACTTAATGACCACCGCTTACAGTCACGTTAGTTAGCTTTTTGCTATGTCAATAAATTCTGGGTATCATGAATGCTCTCTGTCCCAATGTAAGCCAGTCTCCCCTGGCCAAAACTTTACACGTCTTGAACGACCTCCTTGAACTCCTTGACCGCCTGATTACGCCGTGTCCGGTCGATGACCTTTGCACCATCTTGCATCCAGAAGTCGACCTCATCTACAATATCGTACACGATGTCCTCGACGATCTGCTCCTCGTAGCGCTCTGCCATCGCTCGAGGAGGCTCTTGCTTCGCTGTGATGGTCGGCTGCTCATCCGTACCCGTCATGACCACGTCGACTCCGTTGTCTTGGTCGTGCTCATAGCCCGGTGGTGGGTACCAGAACTTTGGGCCAAAGTTTACCGCTGCAGCACCGCCGCGGAAAACACTCACGGCGGGGTAGTACCCGAGCATGCCATCATCAAGGCCGTCTCGCGCGTCAGGTTGCTTAGCCGTGGCTGGCTTGGAGGCTTGCGGCAAGAATGCCAGAAGATTGGTAAATGCGGTGCCCATCTCGACACCGTTCTTGTACGCCTTGATCCAGGAGTTCGGCAACGTACGTAGGCAAGGGACTGGGTGGGTGGGGTTGGGGCCTTCCGACTGGCCTGCACCCGTTCCAGATGTAGACATCGGTGATGGATTCATCAGGTCCTCAAGCTCGGGTGAGGTGTGGTAATCAGGTGTCTCGAAATAGATGTGGGCTTTGAATCGGATCGGCAGCCGGTCCCGGACTATGTTAAGTGCTTCCGTCGTTGAGTGGTCTGCCTCTTCCAGTAGATCAACAGCAGGGTTGAAATGGCCCGTCACAACTTTCCGATGTATCTGTTCAGAGGGCAGATTGATCTCGAGCCCGAGCACATCGCCCTCGCGGAGCTCTTCGCCGGGCGGGAAGAAATCCTTCGGCCTTGACATGTGCACCTTCTGCCCCTCTCGATCTCGGATTCCGTAGCTGTAGGCATCAAAGCCCGCTGGTGCATCCACCGCGGCTTCTCTCCGCGCGAAACCTATTCGGACATGGCCGTGCGACTCTGGTTGGTCGGAGCCTGGTGGCGGTGGCTCCCTCAGTATGCCTCTTGTGATCTTGCACTCCCAGTACCAGCGGCCCTCTCTAATCGCGATATTCGCTCGAGACATTCTCCATCCTTTGTTAGTCGTGATGTGCGTTCCGGACTTGTCGAAGAGCAGGTGCGTCGCGGCATCCTCGAAGCTCATGTGAGCGCCGAAAGGTTCTGGCTCTGTCTGCCTGTAGTAAAAGGAGGAGGGGAACTTGGGATCTGCGATGCAGTGGGTGTAGTAGTACTGCTTCTTGTTGTATACACTTGATGTCGTTAGCATTGGCCAGAAACGCGAGCGACCCATGCTTGCTTACTGCTCCTGCGTCTCGAAGAACTCGATGTTCTCGCCGTTGGGGGCGGCCACATCGTGATGGGGCGCAAGTTGTGGGCCACGGGCAGGCTCGAAGTCGGTTGCCTTGGGAAGAGGAAGTATGTAACGTGCTGGCGATATCTCTGCAGCTGGAAGGTTGATCCGACTCTTCTTCGTCTGTCGTGGATCCGGAGTTGCTCTGGAGCTGTCGGCACCGCCAGGAGTGCTTGCAGCCTTGGACTCCCGCTTTTTAAGCGACTCCTTTTTGGTGCGCTTCTCCCGTGAAACGATTGGGGTCTCTTCTGGAACCTGAGATTTCCTCGAGGTGAAGTCCGGGTTGAGGGGTGAGGATACAGCCGGTACGTGGTCGTCGTCGAGAGCGCGCTTCTGGGGAAGGGAGGCTGGACTTGGGGCGGGTACTGGCGCAAGACTCGCGCCCCCAGCTGGAGGGATCTCAGAGTTGTCGCTAGACATCTTGAACTAACTGGACCGATAAAGTATTGCGGAATTGGTCAGAAGCATTCGCACCATGTCAAGGCATTGCTTCTGGAAGTGATTTCGTCTAGCATGTAAGTTTGGGTGAGCCTAGGGGCATGATGCGACGAGAAAGCTCCCAGACGCGCCTTTGCGCCGCGGTTGTCTGATAAGAGGGCACTTATCGATTGGTCGTTGCCAGGCTCCACCCTGCAACTCAGCACCCCTACAGAACCTCAATTATCTGCCTGCTTCGCAACACGCCGGCCGAATGTTCGTCTTCATCAAGCCTCAAGTAATAACAGCCTCCCTCGTCCCCGACCGCGAGCCTTCGCGTGGTATTTGATCATTCGCCCGCTTTCCACTCATTTCATCGTTTCCTACCGAGGGGTTTTTCACGGCTGTCGAACAGTTTTCAAAGGGTAGGCCCAGCAAGTGGCTCGCGCTGTTCCCACGTCGACTTCTGAACTTCGCCCACTCAGCGAAGCTGTGCTGCCACCATGCCTGTCGTCAAGGGTGGTGTGTGGACCAACATTGAGGATGAAGTTCTCAAAGCTGCCGTCTCCAAGTACGGTCTGAATCAGTGGGCGCGTGTATCCTCCCTGCTTGCACGGAAGACACCCAAGCAGTGCAAGGCAAGATGGCAAGAATGGCTGGACCCAAGCATCAAGAAGGTCGAGTTTACCAAGGAGGAGGATGAGAAGCTGCTCCACCTAGCAAAGTTGATGCCCACGCAATGGCGGACTATCGCTCCTCTCGTCGGCCGAACCGCCAATCAGTGCATCGAACGGTACCAGAAACTCCTGGACGAGGCAGAGCAGAGGGAGGCTTCCGAGCTTAGCTTGACTGGAGGCGACGAGACGTCCGCACCGACGGCAGACGATGTGAGAAAGCTTCGACCGGGCGAGGTGGACCCCGATCCAGAGACGAAACCCGCACGACCGGATACCATCGACCTCGATGAAGACGAGAAGGAGATGCTCAGCGAGGCACGAGCTCGCTTGGCCAACACTCAGGGAAAAAAGGCGAAGCGCAAGGCCCGTGAGCGACAGCAAGAGGAGTCCAGACGTCTCGCTGCTCTTCAAAAGCGCCGCGAGCTGAAGACTGCTGGCATCAACATCAAGGTCACCACGCGGAAGAAGGGTCAGATGGACTACAATGCCGATATTCCCTTTGAGAAGAAAGCAGCGCCGGGATTCTACGACACGAACGAGGAACAATCGCTGAATGAGAGACAGCGAGCAAACTTCGACCCCCGAAAACAACAGCTGGCACAGGCGAAAAGGAAGCAGGATGAGGAGGACGAAGCAGGGCGCAAGAGGAGGAAGGCGGACAAAGATGCTCCTTCGGCCTCATACCGGGAGGCCCTCAAGGCCGGCCAAATGCAGCGGCTCAGAGAAGCTGAGCAGAGTAGCAAGAGAAGAGCCCTCAACTTGCCAGCTCCTCAGGTCGGCGAAGGCGAGCTGGAGGACATCGTGAAGATGGGCATGATTGGCGAGCGTGCGAACACGATGGCTGATGGTGACAATGACGCCACCAGAGGACTTGTCAACTCATATTCGGCCCTCAACACAGGAGCGCCGATTCGAACGCCGAGGGCCCCCGCTCACGAGGACCACATCGCCAACGAGATCAAGAACATCCGGGCGTTGACCGAGACACAGTCTTCTCTCCTTGGTGGCGAAAACACACCGCTGCACGAGGGTGCCGGTTCAACAGGCTTCGAGTCTGCCGCCCCAAGGATGCAGAACATTGTGACCCCCAATCCTCTGGCGACGCCTCTCAGGCCAGGGGCAAATGGCGTTGATGCTACACCCCTACGTCCAGGGCAGACGCCGCTGCGGACACCACGTGATAACTTTGCACTAAACAGTCAGGGTAACGATATGGTCTTGCGGCATAGGCTCCAGCAAGGCCTGGCGTCTCTGCCCAAACCAAAACAACAAGCATGGGAGCTTGAGCTACCAGAGGAGCAGCAAGAGGTGACGGTGGCCGAAAATGGCCTGCCGGAGGATGCCGCAGAACGTGACCGCAGGGAGCGGGAAATCCGTGAAGCGCAGGAACTCCTTGAGAGGAAGAGGCGCACGCAGGTCATGCAGAGAGGGCTCCCACGACCAGTCTCTGTCAATTTGGCAGTACTCTCGCGGGCTGCTGACGATATTGAGGACCCCGCGGAAAAGGCCGTCGCACGCGAAGCAGCACTGCTCATGGCTTACGACGCCGCCAAATATCCTCTTGCTGGTGCCACACGCGGCAGGGAGGCTCCCAGCCTGGTCCAGATTGACGATAGTGCATTAGCGGAAGCGAGACGACAGATTTTGATGGACGTCAAGGACAAACCGAAGCCCGAGGAGGTAGAGGCTGCCTGGGCCAAAAGCAACAACTCCTCGCTTCTGTTGGGTCTCGGATGCTACGATGACACGGAACAGGATGAGTTGGAGGCTCTGAAAGTGGCTGCTGAGGACATCCAAGAAACCATGATTGCATCCGCTGAGAAAGGATCCAAGCTGGAGAAGAAGTTGAACCTGCACCTTGGTGGCTACAAGCACCGCGCTGAGACGCTGCGAAAGAAAATCGGGGAGACAGCAACGGAGCTGGAGAAGGCTACCAATGCACTTCACGCCTTCGAAATCATGGCGTCTTCAGAGGAGGTGGCGGTCAAGAACAGGCTAGCCGCTCTCCGAGAAGAGGTCAGCTTTGTGAGCAGGAGGGAGAGAGAAGCGCAGGAGGTTTACAGGCGGAACCAGGAAGAGCTGAGTGCTCTGGGGGCCGGCGGCGCAAATGGATACCATTAAAAGGGCTGACGTCCCATCAAGGGCGGGCACGAGTGTATTTTAAATTGACAATGGAGAACCCGACAAATATCAGTTCTGGAGAGGACGGGAATCTTGAGCTCGCAACTGCATCGCGTTCTTTCCCCGTGCGAGTAGTTATTGGATCAGATGTTGGCATGAGCGTGTTGGTGGCCTGCCCAAAGGCATGGAGCGCTGAAGCCGTGCCAGACGAGGACCGAGACCCCTGAAGCTCAAGCTGCCACCCCACCACCGCCGGGTCTAGGCATGCAGGGCTCCTGCAGGCCGCACGGGGTTGGCTTGCCTACACTATAAATCCATACCGCGATGTCCCCTTGCACGCGACACCCCATTGCACAGTGATATACACTTGACACCGACGCACATACGAAAAGGCGGTCTTCTCGGGAGTAGTATGTGGGCGGCCAGAACAATGGCGTCGACAGCAAGATCAGCCACGCATGGGGCGCTCACCTTCGAGCTGGTAGCCAAGTGCTCTGTAAGTCACTCACTCTCTCGCCAGCCTCGTCGCCGGGAGCCCGTTGACTGACAGGTGCGCCCACACCAGGGGTAGACCACACGAGCCCGCGCCTCCGTCCTCACGCTGCCCCACGGGCCCGTCAACCTCCCCGTGTTCATGCCGGTCGCCACGCAGGCCTCGCTCAAGGGCATCACCCCGGAGCAGCTGGAGCAGACGAGCTGCCGCCTGTGCCTCAACAACACGTACCACCTCGGCCTGAAGCCCGGCCAGGACGTCCTCGACGCCGTCGGCGGCGCGCACAAGCTGCAGGGCTGGGGCCACAACATCCTGACGGACAGCGGAGGGTAGGCAAAACGTTCCCCTTCTCTAACCCGCGCATGACCATGGTGTGTGTGTGTGTGTGTGTGTGTGCATACAGACCCACGGTGGAACCCGAGAGGCACAAGGAGACAGACGGAACGAGCAGGCAGGCTTACAGTGGCAGGTTCCAGATGGTCTCCCTCCTCAAGCTGGCGACCATCACGGAGGAAGGGGTGCGCTTCCTCTCGCCGCACGACGGCACGCCCATGCTCCTGACGCCGGAGCACTCCATGTCGCTGCAGAACTCGATCGGCTCCGACATCATGATGCAGCTGGACGACGTGCTGGTGACGACCTCGCCGGACGCGGCGCGCATGCGCGAGGCCATGGAGCGCAGCGTGCGGTGGCTGGACCGCTGCGTCGCCGCGCACCGCAACACCGCCACGCAGAACCTCTTCTGCATCATCCAGGGCGGCCTGGACGTCGACATGCGCCGCGAGTGCACGGCGGAGATGGTCGCGCGCGACACGCCGGGGATCGCCATCGGCGGGCTCAGCGGCGGCGAGGCGAAAGCAGACACGTGCCGCGTCGTCGCCGCCTGCACGGCCATGCTGCCCGAGCTCAAGCCGCGCTACGTCATGGGCGTGGGCTACCCGGAGGACCTGGTCGTCAGCGTGGCCCTCGGCGCCGACATGTTCGACTGCGTGTGGCCGACGCGGACGGCGCGCTTCGGGAACGCCGTGACCCAGGGCGGCATGCTCAAGCTCAAGAATTCCGAGTACGCCAACGACTTCCGCGTCGTCGAGGAGGGGTGCGGCTGCGTCTGCTGCCGGCCCCGCGGGGACGTCAGGGACGGGGTCGACGGCCTGGGCGTCACGAGGGCTTTCATACACCACAATGTCGGCAAGGAGACGGTCGCGGCACACCTGCTCACAATGCACAACGTCTGGTACCAGTTGAACCTCATGAGAAGGGTGAGGGAGGCTATCATTGCGGACCGGTTTCCCGCGTTCATCAGGGACTTCTTTGCCAGGCTATACCCAGATAGAAGCCAGTACCCCGATTGGGCGGTGGATGCGCTCCAGGGGGTCGGCGTGGACTTAATGCAAGAGTGAAAGAAAGTCTGGTGTCTTGTGTCTCACACGGGGCTGAATGAAGGTGTGAACGAACGGGTCCATATTAGTTATTGCATGCTCCCTGCGATAACTAAGGTCCCCGTATGCCTGAATCAGGCCCCAGCCCGTGAGAGCGAAAATGCCTTGCAATGAGAAAATTGTACAAGGTCCTTCTAGAACGACTGTGAGGTTTTGCTTCCTCGCCTGTCCCATGCAGTAGTACAAATGCTGTCTGTAGATCACCAGTCCAATGCTGTTCTGTCGTTAAAAACGCCGTTCGAACATGTACCACCCCATCGTCCAAAATCGTAGATACATCGTGATATTCCTTTAACCATCAAACACGTCGCATCATGTTCTGCGCCGTATCATACGGCGCAAGCGATAGTCCTGATCATCCACCTGCATCCGGGGCAGCCCCGAGCTCGACGTGTGTCGCCCACTCAAATACTCTATCCGCCCCTCTACCAGAGCCGGTAAGGCCAGCGAGATTGCTTGCCTTAGGTGGATCTCTGGTGTGCTGCTTGACCGCCTGCACGCCGTGTGTGAGCATGTCGTCGGGCTCCTCATGGAAGACTGGCCGTGCCGTCCTCCCACTCACAGCCACCCGCTCCACGGGCTTCATGCCGCCCGATCTCGGGCGGGACCTGTCATCATCGTACACATCTCCGGTCTCAACAGTGTGCCTCCTTATCGGCACGCCGACATGGCCAGGCGACATGGCCGAGACCATAGCCGGCAAGGGCATCGTGGCGGCCGTCGGCAACGGTGGCGGCCGGTGCACGGGGCCCTGGCGATCCGTGTTGAACCTGTCAGCTAGCCTTCCCAGGGACGCAGCGCGGACGCCTCGGGCACGGTTGACGTCTAAGACGTAGTCACCGGGCGCAGCCCTGTCGAAACCTGGTGCGGAATCGAGCGTCATCGGGGGGAGGGGAGACGGCCGCGGTGGTTCCGGCACCACGATGTGGCGCGGGCGCGGACGGAAGTTGTCATTCATGTGATGGCTCGCCGCGTTCCCTAGTCCGTGAACATCCCCGAAACCACCCAGGAAGTCGTCCTCGGGGCCGTCCTCGGACTCCTGCCAGTTCTGTAGACGCCTCGCGTATGCCTCGTCACGATCCTCTTGCAACATGCGTCGGTGTAGCTCGTCTTCGTAATGCTGTGAGCGCGGGCGGGGCCCTGAAAATGCTGACATGCCAGGCCCTGGGCGAGCCTGTCTTGTGGGAGAGGGGGGCATATCTACTGCTGGGCGAACACCAAATCGATCTCGTACAGGCAAGGGGACCTGCATGTGGTCCAGCCGATCGTCCTCGGCAGGGTCATAATTGAACCAGGAGCATTCGCATGTCTTCCATCTGGCGCCGCAGATCATGCAGAACTCAGCTCCGCAACGACTTTCCATTCGGGTCAGATGAGAACTTGTCTCAGAGAGGGAGAGAACACAGACAGGGAATGGGATGGAGATAGAGTACGGAAACATACCACGTCATGTGATTGCAGCCTTCCTTCAGTTCGACCATGGCCTTGCACCTGAAGCAACACTGCCAACCCTCGTCCTTGGCCTGCGCCATAAACCTTACCGTATCCTCATCCTTGGGGCAGTCCCTACCGCTATGCCACCTGCCGTTACAGCGCACACAAACCTTAGTCCTACACTTGTCGCACTTGCCATACTTTCGCCCGTCGTCGGCGTGACGGATGTCCTCGGGGCGGATGAACTCGCTGCAGCCCTTCTTGGGGCAGTAGATGCGGTTGCGGGTCGAGTACTCGACGTACTTCTTGTTCCAGTTCCTCTTGAATTCGTTGTCAAAAAGGCGGTCCACGTGTTTCAGGGGGATGGTGGCCGCGGTGCAGCACTTGGGCGGCATGTGCTGCGGGTCCGTAATGGACAACTTGAAGCTTCGCTTGAGGCAAGAGTGGCACATCCGGTGGCCGCATTTAAGCTTGGCCGTCTTGCGGGAAGGGAGGTCGTCCAAGCAGACGACACATTCCACTCTGACGTCGCCTGTCAGCTATGGCTTGAGCTGTGCGACGAACCGGAGGGGAGGGCACTCACACTTTTACACGTTTATCTGTGGCATGATGGTGGTGAGAGTGTAGTGACGGACCAAAGAAGCTTCCAAGGAAAGTTGACGATGACGAGCGCCTCGTTGAGCTTACACTGTGATGTTGCGACGCAGCCGCCTGAGAACCGCTGACGGTGTTCGACCTCCTAATCGATGCAGACGGCGGGTGGTGGCGGTCGACCTTTTCTACAGTGGTGATTTCGGTGTCGTAGTATCGCTTCGGGGACGGCCTGGCCCGGTGTGATGAGCCAGGGGTGCCACCAAATATAGATGACAATACATACCGCTTGGGCGTTGGTGAAGAGTCCACATGGCTTTCGCTTCGTCTTCTTCGAGAGTCCATTTTGTGAGAACCGTGCCTTCGATGCCTGGGCTTCCCTCGGCGCTCAAACCGATCACGAAGATGGTGGTCGTCTTGCGAATCTTCTGACTCCGTAACGTCTGGCTCCGGGATGGGTCTAGCAGATGGGGCTCGGGAATGGGGACGCGAGCGTGGGTGCGGCGGAGGTGGAGGGGGAGGTTCGTGGTCGACGGAAAGGGTGTGCCTAGATTCCATTTCATCGTAGTCTTCGTCCAGCCTGGTCGGATCTCCACGTCTTCGACGCGAACGGTGGTGACTTGTCCTTGGCTCTGCCCGACCTGGGCTTCTGTCATCAAGGCTTAACCGCCTGCGCCTTTCGCCCCTCCGAGGCCTCCTAACATCCCAACAGTCGTATGTAGTCTCGGTATCCTCACCATTGGATTCTGGACCTGAAGCGTACACCCTTCCCCGGAGGACAGGGGCGGAGGGAACGGCGTGGACGGAACGGGCTTGAGAATGGGCCCTACGCACGCCGTGCCGAGCATCCGGGTCGTCGTATCCTGCCGGGGCAAGCTCCCTCAGCGAAGGGCGGCGGTAGGGTGCTTCGGCTGTCGACGGTCTCGTCATGGAGGTCATGGGCGGCACCCGCGTGCTCGCCCTCGAGGACGAGACAGAGTGCGGCGGCGTGTAATCGCGGCCACGCGGGTCGGGCTGGTAACGACGGGAGGGACGGTGGGAGGACGACGAGGCCCTGGAACCGGGTGTCTGCATTATTATCTCCTCGTCTGGCCTCCTTTCCCGCTCCCGCTCCCAACCTCTCGGGTCCAGGCGGTCCCTCGCCGTCGTCTCGCCATCTTTGCCCCAGCCTCTGCCCCTGTCTCTGTCTCTGTCTCTGTCTCTGTCTCTGTCTCTGTCTCTGCCCCTGCTGCTCCTGTGAGGCGGCGAATCCAGGTCTTCGTCTTCGGACCCGAGCGAGTCATCGAGCATGGGCGCCGGGGGTAGGACTCGCGAGCTCCTCCTACTCCTGGAGCTCACGGGGCTCTCGAGGTGCTCGAGCCTCGCCATTCGTCCACTCCGCACACGTCAGCCCTGATGCGTCGGCATTCGAGAAAGTGTCGAAGGCGGGCAGGTGTGGGCGAGTGGCAGGTGGAATTGCAAGGGCAAGAGCAAGTGCAAGGGCAAGTGCTGATGTCTCGTTGCTGGCTGGCACGAGGGCAGAGGGGCACGGGGACACAGCAGCACGGGAAGGAGCGAGCACGGACGGGTGGGCAGGTGGGCGGTGGAGAGCTGCTGCTGCTGCTGCTGTTGCTGCTGCAGAGGTCGATCTTCGCAGCGATAGCGTAGCGTAAAAGTGCCGCCCGGGGAGGAGAAGGCTAGGTCGGAGGGGATTGAATCGCGGGCTGCAGGTGCGTGGTACGTCGAGAGGCAGCCAGATGGTTTCACACAAGTGGCTCACTGCAACCTGTAGGTGCAAGAGTGGGGTGAGGCCTGTATGGGTGATTGGCGATGTTGTGCTGCCCGGCGCCAGCTCCTGCAGGCAGGCCCGGCTAGTCCGCCTTACACAAGGGAGATGCAGGGAAAAAGAAAGAGCCTTCTGGCGGCGGCAAGAGGGAGGGGATTGGGCATCAGTAGACGAGGCAGGCCTGGATGTATGTGGATGTCTGGATGTATGGATGGATAGTCGTCGCTGTGTCACCCAAGGGCCGGCTCGGATATCCACGCCGGTCTCACTCTGTCCACCTACCCCACAACGAGGGAGAGGACGATCGCGACAAACGGCCTCGGACCAGTAGCAGTAGCAGGAGCAGTGGCAGAATCGGCATTAGGATCAGTATCCAGCCAGTCAGGTCGGTTCAGTCATGAACCATCATCCCGTGGGCCCATGCAAATCGTAGTGGCTGTCAGCTCTGGCTAGTAAAAGGGTGGCGTGGGCCCCCTTTTCAGCTGACATCTGACGGCTGACGGATCTTGGAGCCGTGAAATGAAGGGTCCAAAATCCCTGGCCACTAGTTGAAGAAAATCTTTGACGCAGGAGTCAGGACTCGATTGGACTGGATTGGGGTTGGGACGGGGCTTGCTGGTAGAATTGGGATGGCTGGGTGGGCGGTGCGATGCGATGCAATGAGGCGGTGGGTGGGAGGCGAGGTCGAGATGGGTTTGATGGTTGTCTAAGTGAACGAGACTCGGGGAAGATTCCGTCTGGTAGGCAGGGGAGGATGTTAGTTTGATAGTGCCTGGCTTCAGCTCAGAGGCTTGAGCATCACCGTCTCCCGGCCCAGAGAAATAGGTAAGCCAGTTGTGTTTGTGGATGTATGCACACACGTATGTTGTACTATGCAGACATGTGGACTACGTAGACTTCCTTGAGGTCTGTAAAACTGCACTTTGGGCCGATCTGCAGGCCGTCTTTCCTCAGCAGCAGCAACTCTTAGAGCTCGAGCTAGATAGAGCTGAGGAGGGGGAGGGGGGCTTGCTGACAGGGCCCAGGGGTCTGCGATTCAGCCACGCTTGGAGCCCCGGCCGTGCAGGCTACAGTACAGCCTACCCCATACCGCCACAGTGCCTCCGCGAAAGTGGGGCTTTTCGCTTTCGGCTCCGGGCCGGGCCCCTTCCGGCGCTGGCGGTGGCAGTCCACGGCAGTGGCACTGACATTGACAGACAGACATTGACATTGACACTGGCATGTTGACAAGCCCTCCCGTCATTCTAGATGGGCCATTGCCGCACTGGACCTGCGTGGAGTGCATAGTAGTGGTGGCATCTTATGCAACATGCCTAGGCGCACCCGCAGAGAAATGGGCGGTTGGTATTGATGTCTAGACACTGGGCTGGTATGTTCTCATGTATGGTGCTTGGTTTGCCCATCTCACCCGGACTTCGCGCTATGCTACAATACGGACACACAATCTCCATGTATGCTGTGCGCTACTAGATCTAGACAGGAGCGAGGTCGTCATGTTCAACTGCTGTGGTCCCCCTCATCTGGCTGAAACGGGCTGGGCTAGGTGGACTGGGCTTGACGGGAAGGTGTCTGGTGTCTACTGTATCATGCAGATAGATGCAGCCGGGCAGATTGAATCCCAGCTGGACGGGCCATCGGGACTCTCCCCAGGGGTACTGCAGCATTCCGGCTCAACCCCCAAACTGCCCGCTGCCCGCGGCCCTCAAGCCTTCGAGCTACCATGTATGCCCGAGACTCTAATAGGCCGGCGGGCTCCTGCCATTAGGGGCAGCCTCCCCAGCCTGGCATAGCCTGGCGAGTCTGGGCAGCTTTGAGGCTGGGGGAGGTGATGCTGCGACAGCTTGTGTTTCTCACCCCCACAGAGGTTTACCCAGATCGGTGACACTGACGTGCCCCTTGACATGCCATCTGCCATGCCATATGCCACCCTGCATCCGTCGAACCAAACCATGCAGCCTGCTCCTGTCTCGAATTCAAGGTTCTAGAACCGTGTCAGGCAACGCACCTCGCCCGCTGCCAGAGACCAATATTCTGGGAAACAATCGTCGTCCCCCACCAACACCATCATATGATATCAATACGGCCTGCTAGCGAAATGACCTGCTAGAAAGGCTACTAGGACAAAAAGCACGCCAACAAACTCTATTGTGTCTCAGCCTCATTCCCGAACACGTCTGACGCTCCCCGCCCGTGCTGTCATATCTCGTGAACCGTCGCCAATTTGCACCGTCGCCCAGCATCTTGGCTCGGATAGCTCTCCTGCAACTCGTTCATACCGTCTCTCCCACTCATTCACCTATCCACTCACTCACTCACTCACTCACTCACTCACTCACTCACTCACTCACTCACTCACTGCCGCATAACCAATCTGTGGTTGACATATCAATGGGCTCACAAGCTTGACTGAGCGAGCTCTCCCGCTTTCCCCTGGCCTGCTCTGCACGCGCGCGTCAGCCCCATGCCGACCTATCTGTGCCACGGCTTCCGCTGGAAACGCCGCAGCATACGCGTGTACGTCGTCGTCCAGAACCTCGATGACGCCGCGCCGGAATGGGTTGTGAAGCGGGGCTCCCCGCGGAGCCTCATCGAGTCATTCTACAACCTCTTCGACTTCCTCCCCGAGTGCACCTTCCCCCCAACACGCCGCAGCAGCTTCGCCCCGCGCTCGTACTCGCAGTCTCACTCCCTGGACCGCAGCAGCGTCGCCGACGACGGCGACGACGCCGCCAGCCACCACACCGCCCGCTCGGCCAGGGGCAGGAGCCGGAGCCGGAGCCGCGCCGTCGTGGCTCAGCAGTCCCAGCCTCAGCTCCAGTCCCAGCCCCAGTACCACCAGGACAGGGACCAGGAGACACCCGCGCCGCCCGCCTCGTGCAGGGAGAGCAGCAACAGCAGCAGGAAGCGGAGCAAGTCCGAGATAAGCCGGAAGCCCCCGCCGCCCACCACCCACGCCCCGGCCGGCTACCAGGCACACCAGGCCCCGCCGTCGCCGCCCTCGTCCCAGCAGCAGTTCGCCAGCTCGTCCCACGCGAGCGACGGCGCCATCGCCGACCCGGTCCTGGCCCAGGACTGGTCGCCCGTCAAGGTCCTCGAGGAGCACGACCCGAGCAACCTCGACGAGGTGTCGCGGCCCTACGCCTACGTCGCCGACTACGTCCAGCGCATCGACTCGTCCTGCAGCATCGTCGAGGAGATCGCCAGGTACGAGCACATGGTGCGCGCGAGCAGGGAGCCCGCCGTCACCGGCCCCAGCTCGGACGAGACCCTCAACGGGAAGCGCGACACGGCCAGGCTGGGCGGCCTCGCCGGCTGGTTCGAGCAGCTGAGGGACCAGCTGCAGAGGGGCGAGGAGATCAGGTGGTACGTGGTCGTCAACGGCGACGAGGAGAGGGAGTGGCCGGCCGAGGGGAGCCTGTCGAGGCCCGAGACGAGGGCGCAGATGGCCCACCAGACCCAGTACGCCCACCAGCAGCTGATATTCGAGGGCCGGGACCGGGACCTCGAGGTGCGCAGAGAGCAGCTAAGGAGGGATCTTGGCTACGAGCAAGGCGGGATCGACAGGTTGGCGGACAGGAGGATGGAGAGGAGACCGCCGGTCGTCCCTGACAAGGATCTACCGCCTCTACGGATTGATTTACCAATGCATCCTGCAGGCCCCTCGCGCCCGAAGACGCCAAAGACGCCAGGGAAGGGGTCGTTCCGGAGACTCTTTGGGAGGTCAAAGACTGAGGATCAGACGCCATGAAGGTTGTGCCTTGATTATGGACACTGAAATTCATCCTGACCAATCCGCAACGGTCAGTTCTGGCTCACATCTGAGCAGAGCCGAATTGGATCTTTCCGAGGATTTGAGCGTGCGGCGCGTCGCGGAATGTCGTTATATCATGCCTCCCTACCGACAACGGACCCCAGAGACGACGTGATTCTGTTCCGAGCGACGCGCTCAGTCTGGAATAATACCGTGTGTCACTTTGGACCTCATTCCTTGAGTATCCGAGCCTCAGGGACAGTCGTATGATGGGGTCGAGGCCAGCATGGCGCAAGGAATGTCAAGAGAGGGGCCCAAGACAAGTGAGGAAAGGGGCGCCAGTGAAAAAAAGGTGCGCTGTATGTCAGTGGAGCTTTGTGAGCCATGGCTCCATCATCACCCACTGCCCGGACGGGTCCCCTGAACTTGGATGGGAAGTCATCGACTTGGGTAAGAGAGCAGGGACCCGACAGCTCGAGATCCAAGAGAGTGAGCTCTTCTAGAGCATACTTGGAAACATACGACTAGGTGACGTCGCAATCCTTCCCACTATATGACCAGGGAGATGGGCCTTCGAGACCCTTGACGAAGGCAAACGGCAGTGCGTCGCTGCATCTTTGCGTGACAGAACGGCTGTATGCAAGTCAAACATAGTGGTCGAGGTATCTTTGGGCTCTGATCCGTAGGTATGTAGAATATTGATCAAGTACCAATTGAAAACAAGAGGCTGAATTCTCTAAACACAGATCATCCTTTGCAATATGTCTGTCCTTACTTAGGTTGATCATGAAATTTTGCGGCAGTTAGTATAGCCTCACTAGGCCGCTCACTCGACATATCATCGACACCATGGACCTCAAGACGGCCTCATCTCTCGGTGTACTGTCACACAGAGTCCAAGGACATCCTTCGCAACCTCTATCAACACAACTGAAGAAACGACCGTCTCTATTCACGCCTCTGGCGCTTTCAACCCGGCCAGGCTACAGAGAAGTATGCATAAGTAGCGTGCGACGTGTTCTGGCCAGCGAACAACCGCATTGACGCCTTTATATCATGATGCCCCTCACGCCTGCGTTGTTCCTGGCAAGGACCCACGGTCGTCTTGGCCCGCAAGCTGTTGCACTCGACCTCATCGGAGCCACAGGACTCTGGGCTTTCCGGCTCAGATACGAGCGCCGTCCCTGGCTTATATATGCTTACAGCCGCGTCTGCGTCTACGACGAGACGCCTTGGGGTCGCCTCGGGAGCGTCGAGCGTCGAGCGTTTTAAGGCGGCGGCCGAGCCAGCGAAGGGACTGGGCTGTGGCAATGGACACCACGAGGGCTTCACGGTGGACGGCCAGGCCAGGAAGCCGGTTTCCCCCAGACCCATCATATCAGCGGCCCCTCAAGTACGGATGACAAAAGCAGGAAAGCTTCGGACGCCAGATCAAGCTGTGCGCTGTGTTGATGACTAGGATAGCTGCTGATCCTCTGGATAGGGCTTCATGAGGAGGTCGACGCGAAGACGAAGGATGGTCAGCACTGCTTTTACATTGTCACCATCACAGAAACGCACAGGCCGTCACACACAAGGTCGTTATCATTACAAATATGGAATTCATTCAGATGTATCGCATCGCCGTGCCCAGGCCCAATATGTCGGGTGAGGACTGCATGCTCTACCAACCGGCGAATTCTCACGTCTACGGAAGAATAAGAGAGGGGGAGTAGCCAACACCAGTATTTCACCGCGGTAAAGGCAAAAGGGCGACCATGAAGGCGTCTGCCTCGTTTCTAGAAGTGCATGGACAGGACTGGGATGGACGTATGCGCGACTGCCGCACGCACAAATTATCAACTCCAGATTAGGCCAACCAGCCTTTTAGTCGGTAGTCCCGGTCCACTTCGCTTCCATAGGCAACAATCATGTCTGCATGAACGACTTTGCCCTTCTCGGCGAGCTGTGGTGGATGGGCTGCCTCACAATCTCCTGGCCGTAAAGCTCGTAGACGGCCGAGACCCTCGCTTCTGCGGGCGACTCGGATAAAACCGACGCTCACGCGGGCATGTTCAGGCGAACCCTAAACGAGCATGGCCGCCTGCCACATACTCCCACAAAGATCTTGATAATACGAAGGTGGATTGCATGATCAAGGTGAGCGCCCCTCATGCCCACCAGAATTGGCCTGCCATACCCGAACCCGACGGCGGATCAGTCTGACCATCCACTTCAAAGCAGTCGGTCCTAATTCTCATACGGAGCAGCAACATTGGTTCGCCGGAGGCGGCGGGCAAGGAAAAACCCTCTGATTGCGTATGATCCTCCGTGGTTCGTCCGCCGCCGCAGAGGGAGGCAGGCCGAGCCTCCCTTGGGAACCGAAGACCACACTACCCATCGTAGACGACACGGTGCAGAGGAAAGCAAAAGGGTGTGCGCCACAAACCCGCATCGGCAAATTCGCGCAGAAGAATGGGCAAAGGAAGAACAACGGAAAAGTGATGCATCACACGCGTCTGCGGACACGCAGTGTGACCGACCGTTGAGGCCCGACCATATGGCGCCATATCACAGAGGATGCACATTGATTTCTCGTATCTTGACAATCACTCAGTCACTCAGTCAGTCAGTCAGTCACTGCAGCAGATTTGGCAATTTGCTCGAGCAAGAGCCCCCGGGAATGTCTCCGTCAGCCCTGGTTCAAAGGACAATCATTCCCGTGGCTGAGATGTTTCCCAAAGGGGCTACTCCGGACAACATGAATTAACAGAACACCCTGGTCGAACCGCCAAACAAAATAAAAAGACAACTCAAAACTCTCAAGAGGCAATGTCTGGTGCCAGGACAAGGGCGGGCAAGCCTTGGTACGAACTATCTCGGCAGCCGGCCAGGAACCGTGGTGCTTGGGGGACGGGAGATGCCCACCCTAGCCCTGTTACTGGCCTGGTGACCCTCTGCTTTCGGCCTCGTCATTTATTTTATTTTATTTTATTTTATTTGCGTCTGTGAGGGGGCGGTTTGTACTTCACCATCAGAGACGTGCTGCTGGTGCATCACCCTGTGCAGTCCTCTCGGCAGCCTCGAGGGCAGGAGAAGCCTGCATGTACATCGATCAGTCCTGGCAGATGCAGACAATACACACACTGCCATTTGTGGCTGCCTGCCTCATGCCGTCAGACGTACAAGTGGTCGGCCCGTGACTTGCATCGATACAACACACGTGCGCCCCTGGACCTGGGTGGGAAAAACGTGCAGATGCAGTTGGCCTTCTACACAACACCACTGGCCGTACTGCCGTCTCCCAGGGTGAGCGAGCTTCAACGAAGAGGCAGGCCACCTAAGATGAAAGACTCCACAAAAGGATGCTGGGTCGGGCCTACCATGTACAGCGTATCTGGATTTTGTCAAGCATAAAGAAGCAACCACTACGCAGACTACATTTGTCGAAAAAGAGCTACCCCGCGTCCCAGCCGTGCAGGCTCACACGCGCAGACTATCCACCCGCAAGGGGAGCAGCTCCAGAAGACCCTACTGGCCACGATCTGGGTGCGTGATCTGCGGGCCAAGTTCGGGCGCCAGGGGTGTGAGCCGGGGCGTGACTTGGGAAAGCTCGGCCTGCCTCGTGGGAAATGCTGGTTCGCTTGTTACGGTTGGGGGTCGGTCGTTGTTCTGGTTCGCCTGGGCACGCCCAGCTGCGACTGCACCCTTAAAATTGGCCCCATGCCTAACCCCCAGGTGAGTGACGGGGGTTTGTTGGCGTGGCTGACGGGGTCGGCATGGGGCCGAGGGAGGATTGCTTGGGATGGGCTGGGCTGGGCAAATATCTGGCATTGTTGGAGAAGGGGAAGGAGAAGACGGTTAATGCCTGTTCTTGATGTCGATTTGGAGATATGGTGAACCACTCGCCATCTGCCAAGCGGCTTTGCTCAGTATCCAGCGATGCAAACTGCCTACATAGGAAGGTAGGATGATGATGATGATGACAGAGCCTGGATCGCCCGCACGCATGGCATGAAACCAGCATGCCGAGCGGTCGGGACCCCCAAGACTGAGAAGAACCTCGCGGTAGAACATCTCTTGACTGCTCGAAAAGACAAGGAAAACCTTCCTCTCCACGTGCTCAACGTCCCGTTCCCCTCATGGCTGTGGACCCCTGGACCTTCGACGCCGCTTGGCTTTTGCTCGAGCCGCCAGCTCTGGCGCGTCCGCAAGTGACCAGATGCCCCAGAACAACCTGGATGTGGGCTGGCAGCTTCCAAATACATTGCCCATGACTGGCCCAATCCATCTACTTCTCGCCTCCTGGTGGTAGCATTCAGCCACCCTGAAATTGGGCCTTCGATCGCCCCTGCAGCCGACAGCTTGTATGCCTCGCCACCCCGTTAATAACTCTGCAGCCGCTGCGTGGTCGGCTGCTGCCTGTGGTGAATCATGGCCTGAGGGCTCACCCGGTCACGGTGGCCGTGCCCGTGCCTGAGGATCTGCGGCAGCAAAGAGCTGGCGTCGTCCATGTCGAATCGCAGCACTTGGCTGCGTGACTGGTCATGTGACGCCGATTGTTACTGCAGTGGCCGCCACGGAGCTGGACCCCCGTTGATCAGACTGTAAGATCGCCTCCTAGGGAGGATAGACGTCGTGTGAGCGTTACACACGACATCTCATAATGATGACGAAGCTGCAGGCGCTCAACTGAATTTCGAATGAGGCTCCAGAATGTCTGTATGGTGTATTAAAGAGTCTTGGGAGGGGGGGGGGGGTTGGTGACCGGCAATATCGGGCCGCCCGCCGAAGATCGTCCGCCAACCACGGCCTTAGTTTTATTCACGGTGCAACCACGACCCCCGACGCCCCTCAGGGTTCTTCTCGATTCCCTTGTCGAGACCAGGATTTTGGCTGTCATTTCTTAGCGCTCAGATCTGCCAACCTCGACTGCTCCTCCCACTGCCGAGATGTGAATTTCGTCAGATCGTTTCCAGCTCGGGCTTTTGTTCGGCGTTGCTTTGATGGCGGCGGGCCACCCTTCCTCATCCTCCGTAGACTCCCACTTTCCTGGATGTGCAATTTGGCGGTCGTCATCGTCGAAAATTCGTGCGAGACAGGAATTCCTTGCGTCAACGAGCAGCGAAGGCCGTCAGATCGGCGTCTGTCCGTCGTGGACGTGTTTAATTTGATTTGGGAGGCCCAGGGGTGTAAAAGCCACCCCTACGTATGCGCCGAGGCGCCAGGATTAATTGAACGTGGCAAGGCAACATAACTCCCGATCCGGTTGGTTCCAGCGGGATTTCATGGGGCGCTTTGGGAACACCCGGCTGTCGTAAATCATTGGCAAGGCGATGCTGACCTCTGGATTTGAATTTCGTGGTGTTGTGTCAGCATTGATTGTCGTCGTTGAGATTGTTCGTTATTGAGGTGACGTCTGTCCCGATGCCGCAAGGCGCGCGCTGTGCTGAAAATGGTTGAGATGGTCCGCCCAGAGGCACGCTGCGCGTGCATCAGTCACGGCCTCTCAGCCACTCAGGAACGTCCTCCTCCGGACCTCGGCCTCTTTGATGATTTCTGCAGCCAAACTCAGGCTGGGAGCTAGAACCGCATATCGCTCGATTTCCATGACGACCTCATTGATGATGCGATCGATGCTGTCCCCGTGTTGGACCAGCCCCATCAATATGTTGGAGAGAGACGGTGACATCGTAGCTCCCATAACCAGGAGTGTTTGAGACACAATGGAAAGTGCCCCTTGCCAAAGGTATGGCATATGTCCAACATGGCTATTTGTAGAAAAGTACTGTCAGCACAACAAGAGATTTGGTGCTTTTTGATAGAACAGAAAAAGCGATGTTTCCTTTGTTTTACATCACGGCAAGTAGGCATAATTCAAGGGACAATTTGCGAGCTTGAGACTTACTGGGCAGAGATATGCTCCAGTTGGCGGATGGAGGCTTCCAAGCATTTATGACAGCTGTCGCGTACTGCAGGGTCCAAGACCGCTTGTTCGTTGTCGAGGACGGCCAGAATGTATGGTCTGTAAATGATAGTCCGACATGCGAAAAAGCGTAGGCGGAGGACCGTCTGTACTGGATCCGGCAGCATCGTCCGAGCAAAGGGAAACTGCAGTGGCAGCGGCAGGCTCTCGTACCACTGGGTCAGCTGGAAGTCGAGCTCGGCCACGACAGGCTCGAGACTGGTGGTGGTTGCCATGGAATCCTTTGAGTAGATGAGCTGGCTGACCCTGTTCAGGAGCCGTCGTAGTGCGATCTCTGCAAGAAAATACCAGAGGTCATCACGCCCCACGGCTTCGTTCTCGTCGCCCTCGAATCCACCTGGCAGCCCGACATTTTCCTCAAAATGAACGACTCCGGAATGTGGGAGATCGAGTTCTGCCAGCAGGTCGCTCTCACAGAGCAAGGAATTCCAGTAAATGCGCTCCGTGAGCTCCCTCTGGTCGGGCGGGATTCTGTTTGGGGACATGAGGAGCAGCTGGAGCTTGTTGCTGGTGGTGCACAGTAGGTTCCAGGCCTCGAGGGGCCGGACAAGGTAGAAAAGGTAGGCAGAGGCAAGCAGGTGGCACTGCGCAGCGAGAACGTTGTTGGATGTCATCATTCCAGGAAGCAACGCCCAGGCCGCGGTAAAGTACTGCAGTCCCGGAGGGTCCTCTTGTGGCACTACCCTCGAGATGCTGCCACGCAGGCTTGCCTGGCCGAGCGCGAGGACGAGCAGGACGATGCAGCTTTCTGCACCCTCGCGGAAGCCGTTGGACAGTGCGAGGCGGTAGTGGCTTCTCCACGTGTATGGATTCACGCAGGCATACCAGATATTGACGCGTTCAAAGTAGGCCTCGATGTAGGCCGTCGTGTTAGAGAGGTCGACGCAAGGGGTCTTGGTCAGGGAGTGCAACGGCTCCCTGGCCATTTCAAGCTGGAGCAGGATCTGGGGGTCGTAGGGGCGGGAGACCAGGTCACGTATCAGGGGCCACTGCAGGAGATGGAGGGCGGCATTGGTGTGTATTTTGGGCATTGTCGAGATGTTGGTATTGGTGGCAGCCCAGGTGCCTATGCCGCCACTGAGGAGGACAGAGCTAAAGTTCCCACTGGCGCCCGCGAGCAGGTTCTCGCCGCTGAGGGCGGTGGTGCCACTGCTCAGGTTAGGCGATCCCTGGGCGATGCCGATGCCGTTTGACTGGTTCACGATGTTTATCTGCAGCAGGCTCTCGATGCGGTTCAGGCGCTCGAGGATCAGCTTGTCGCCGGCATCGAGCTTGATGCCGGGCTCACGATAGACGCACTCGGCGCCGAGCTCAGTGCACAGCTTGCACTTGGGTTTCGTGCCGTCACATCTCGACTTCCTGGAGCGGCAGACCTCGCAGGCGATGGTGGCCCGCCTCCGGGGATAGTCCACGCCGGCGTCGGTGTTTCTCCGCTTCAGGGGATTCACGCTGTCCTCGCTGTCGTCCTTCTGCATGCTCACGGCCGAGACAGGCTCCGGGCGGTTGTCGGACGACTGCGACAGGTGCCGGGCCTTGTTTGGCGGGCCCAGGGCGCCGTCACGGCCGAAGCTGCCCTGCCGCTGGTTCTTGACAGCGGTGGGGGACTTGAGAGCACCGGACCCGTTTGTGGAAGTCATGAGGGGAGTTGGCATTTCGATTGAGAAGTTGTCCCTGGTGGGCACGGGAAATGGCCTGACGGCGCTCGCCGTTGCGGTGGCGGTTGTCGAGTGGGGAGAGCCCCCTGTGGATGAGGGCGACATGCTGACCCGCAGGCTCATGTGGTGGGTAGATGGGCCGAGCGGGCGAGCGGGTAGAGGGGGGGGGGGAGGAGGGGAAACAGCGGGTCCGAAGCTCTCGTCTACGGGAATCCAAGGGACACACGCACACACAGAGGTGAGATCCTGGCACGATGTGTAGTCCTGGTGCGAGCCCTCTGGGCGAGGGTCAGGGGGGGAAGCGAAGCCAGTAAGCGCGGCCGGCGAGTGATGTCAGACTCAGCAGCGGTTGCGGTCGGGAGAGGGAGCAAGACGATGGCGATGGCGATGATGCTGGCGATGATGGCGATGGTTTTCCAGTCAACCATTGTATTGAAGCCGGTCGGGTGAGGAGAAGACGGGTCTGGGCCCGTCCGTCTTATGTTTGGAGCCAATTTGCGATCGATTTCTGGAGCAAATCCCGGGGTTGCCCTTGACCAGACTACATTTGTGATGGCCTGGCAGGGGGATTATTACCTCTCGTGTGCTAGAGCACACACGACGAGGGGTGTCGACTGGGGGGGGGAGCTTGGGGGGGAGGGGGGGCGCACACGGAAGTTAGTGTATGGTGTGTGTGGGGGACCGAAATGCTGGGGGAGCGGAGCCGGGAAGCTGGGGGGGGGGGTAAGACTGCTCTGCTTCACTACTACTTGGTAGGTAGGTAGGTAAGGTAAATACCTGGTACGCAGTAAGACAGTATCTGAACTACCTAGCTAGTAGGCATGGGGAGGAACAGGGAATAAAAATTCTCGAGCGAGAGCGAAGCATCTCAAGTGGGTTATTGCGACGGTGACGCTGCAAAGTGACGGCAAGGTTCCGTGCCTGCTGCCGCGTCCGTCCATTAGATCTTGACAGCACTGACAGAGGCTGCAAGATCTATCTCGCCAAAGAGGATAAATTGGCAAGAAGGAAGAACAAGAGGGGCGCAGAAGCAATAATGGCTAGCCTGGCTGGACCACACGGTGCCTGGGCACGCGGTCGGGTTACTTTTCCCGGCCGGTTGGGCCAGCTCACTCGTGGACATTGCCTGTCTTGGGAGTCGACAAATGTCCCGCTGTCTCACACGCACATGCAGCTGGCGGCATCTCATGTGCCCGTTGGGCAGTCGTTGCCAGGGACCCAGGCCGCCGGTTGGGCAGGTTGGCCGGCAGGGCAAGGGGCATTGTGTCTATTGTGTCTGGGCGTGTGCAGGTTGATTGGAGGCTCTGGGGAGGCTTAGAGTGCAGGCACTCTCTGACGCAACGTGGCTTGCCTGCAGCAGCAACTCGTTCTCTGGCTTGTCGAGTCGAATGTTGGCATGCCCGGTCTAGGTAATCTAACCAACCCTCTCGTTCCCTGCAACCTATGTAACACAGACTTATAGATAGCACAGATAGATGGCTACAATATAATCTACGTATTGCCATACGGCAGTTTGCGACAGGAGGCAATGAACGCATTTGATTGTAGTCTACTAGCCACATGCACCTGGGGCGCCCCACCTGTGACCTCATGGCATGGGGATCAATCACTACTGTATGTCGTCTTCCCATGTGTTGCCTCAGGACATCACAGTATCATTGTGTCAGATCTCCTGCCTCTGGCCTCCACACATGCACCGCACCCGCCGAGTATCAGCCTTGCCTACCTGCCTCATCGTGACACACATCGACACCCTCTCTTGTTGAGGCGCATCAAAGTGCAAGCCCGTGAGCCATGCCTTTCATTTCCTGTCTTGTCTGGCCGTGAGGGCCTTGGCCCATATAAACGGTCAAGCTGGTCTCCACTGCCGAACCGTATTGGCGGGCTCTCTGCCCTGGCGCACGACCTTGTTCATGCTGTCCGCCGGCCGACATCATGCCATCCCGGAGACGAGACTTCCTGCTTGCTGGCAGCCCCTTGTACCACAATGCGAAGAGATGGTCCATCCGGAGAATGGGGCAAGGCGCCTACCGATTCGGGAATAAGAAATGCCATAGGGACGGTGGGATGGTCGGCCTTTTGTTGGCGCTGGCGAGGCCACTAACACGACGCGGCGCGGCAGCAATCATCAACTTCCAAAACAGTACACATGCATCATTCCTGTACTCCCATAGATTGTAGACCATCTTTTCATCCCATATCGGATCGCTTCGACGCAGGCCATGCAGATCCAGGTCTCCCGGATCACAAGCGACTGGCCGACAACCGCGTGGCATCGTGCCCCTGCTCCTTCCCCCCTCCCCAAACATGCGCTCTTTCCCCAAATTCCTGCAAGACGGGCGCGCATGAGTCCTTCCTCCCTCGTTGCATACGGCTTCCGAGACGCGCGAACAGGGACATCCCTGGCTGTCACTCCACAGCGGATGATCATCGGACGAACCCCGTCGACCATTCAGCATCCGCGCGCGGGTGCCGTCCAAGCTGGCCCCCGTTCATTACATACCCAGACCAGAAGATCTGAGAACAATCTGTCTGTGGGGACGGCGGGGTTGGACAAGCAGAGAGGAGGACGGGTCGAGCCCTGTTCCGAGTACAGTAGTAGCCGCAGCTGGTAAGGTGAGACGGCAGCCTCTCTTTCCCAGATTCTCCGAGACATTTTCCTGGCCACTCGATGGCTTTTTCCCTCCGCGGTACCTATCCGCACCGGAAATGGCCGCCCAAACCCCATGTACCATATCTTGTGTACCATGAACCACTAGTAGCGAGCAGCCTATGCGGCTCTTTGCATCCCACCCCCACCCCATTCCTACTCGACTTTAACCGGACGCCTCCAACTGGACACTCACGCCCATCCTCTTGACTTCCTTTTCCCTTCCGGCCGGTTGCGAAGCCAAAGAAGGGAAAAAGTCAACACAGCCGAAACTCTGACTCGGCCTCGAAGTGGTAACTCGCCACATGCCTCCTTGTATTCGAGATATGAGTAGCAGGCCCAGATGCCATCCAACAACCCAACAAATCTGTTCTCTCCACATCTACCTCTGCTTTGCCTGTGGGGTTGGAATTCACCACCGGCTTCTCGAAAGCTACTAGCCAGACGTATAATTGTTGAGCTATAGGCAAGACTCAATCTCGCGTAACACCATCACCACCAACAACCACAAAACTCTGCCACCCACAGCAGAAAACCCCAGTGGCTGGTATATACCGAACTGCTTCTTCTTCCCTGCCTTCGCTACCGCAGTTTCCCCCCTTAACCCCTACCGTGGAGAGCCCAGCGAAAATTTCACCAGCTCACACTCATTTCTCCCCATCCAGGCCCTCGTGTCAGATTCGAGAACAACATTGTTCATTGTTCCTCCCTGTTATCATCCAGGCTCCCTACCTGCCCGACAAGACAAGGCCCTGCCCATCATCATCATCATCATCATCACGTTACGGCGGCCGGCACGCCTTGGCTTGGCATCACCTTCCCGATTGGGTCGGGTGGCCGCTCGTTCGGGCGCCCGGGAGGGCAACGGCGTCGGGGTCGGCCTGGGTTGTGGTCGGGGGGGGGGGGGGGGAGTTGGCTCCTCCCAAGTCCCTGTTCCCGGACGCAACATCGCGTATATAGTACAACACTGTGTGTTATACCGCTTCGCTAACCCAGCAGGGCTGTGACAGGCCGGTTACACGTCAAGCGGGCAAAAAAGGCGCGACGGTAGCACGAGGGTGTGGCTCATGTCACTATATGCTCATGTCACCTAACAACGGCAAAAAAAAAAAAAAAAAAAAAAGACTCGTTGGCACCCTTCGGTATTGCGGAATGCAGGTTATATATCTATCCTTGCCGGTATTTCACATGCACGCCCACGCGGAGCTCGCGTGGGGGGCTAGTTGAAGAGCCAGTCGGGAAGACAGGCAGGCAGGTAGGTTTGTAGATAACAACAATATATATACACTTGAATATTCCTAGTAAGCCACGTCCTTCGCTAAGCCAACTCAAAAGTCCCCACGGGAGAGGAGGGACCCCTACTCGGCGGCGAAGATCACGCTGGTAGGCTGGCCACCAACATCGGCCGAGGCGACGAAGTCGGTCAGAAGCCCGGTCTCGACGTCCCGCCCAATGACCACGACGCGACCGTCGTTCTGGAGCCCGACCGCCACGAGGCTGCCGTCAGCGCTGATGGAGAACTGCCTGGGGATGCTGCCGCCCGCCGGGAACTGCTGGATCTTGGTCAGCGCCCCCGAGGAGTGGTCGATCTCGAAGGTGAAGATCGGGTCCGACACGATCTCGGTGCTGTTGGCCGGATCGAAGTTGGGGATCCTCAGCGTCCCCTCGCCTCGGGAAGACACGAGCAGGAACTTGTTGTCGGGCTGTGAATGGTCAGAATACGGCCAGGGCTGGCGCCGGCGGACTCGGGAGGAGGCAAAGCATCTTACCGATATGGCGATCTCGGCCGCAGTGGTCTCATTGTTTGGCACTGTCCCGTTCAGGCCGTGGGTGCTGCTCAGGTAGACCTCGGTGAAGTCGAGGGTGTTGTCGTCGTTGTAAGTGACCTCAAAGCCGGTGACGGTGTTGGCCAGCTCGCTGGCGAGGTAGAAGTAGGTCGTGCCGTCGTCGGTCACCAGGAACACGCCGTGACGGGGCCCACTACCGGGGACGGCGGCGAGGGGCTCCAGCTCGGTGAAGCTGAGCCCACCCTCATCGACCGAGTACAGGCGGACGACGTCTGAGCCCAGGTCCGGGACGAGGAGGTACTGCCCCGTGGGGTCTAGCAGGGCCTGATGAGGATGGGGGGCATCCTGCCTGTCCGGGATGGGGCCGGGCGCATCGAGGGTGTACGTCTCGGCCTGGACCGGTGCGAGCGTGCTCGCGTCCGAGATGTCGAAGGCGGCTACTGAGGACCCAGAGCTAGAAGGAGAGGCATGATGTTAGTCGCGGCCGCCGGTCTGCGCAAGGTGTTCTCGTCAGGTGATGGGAGGGCATCTGCATATCCCTTGCTCCCCAGAGAGTGGTTGGACAGTGTGACATTGCTCGCATGCAGCCGAGGCCGCATGCAGTACAATGCAGTAAAATGCAGGCCGCAAGGGCAGTCGTGTGTTGCCAGAGAGCCAGGGCATTGCATGCATGGGATTTCTGTACGTACTAATGCGCGAGTGCCAGGCCATTGCCGGTCTCGCCATATATAACGCCAGACCTATAGGGGAAGTCAGTAAACTCTCTTCTCTGTGACTGGAGCCTGGGGCGGCAGGGTTCAAGCTTCACTTACACAGGGCCGCTGAGGGTGTCGACAATGTCTAGCTGGGATAGCGTCCCATTGCTCGTGAGCGCGAACGAAGACAGCGTGCCGTTGGGCGTGGTCAGGCCCTCGTCCAGGCAGTAGATGCGGTTGTTGGCATAGTCCGGAGTCAGCCACGAGGAATTAGCGCCACAGCCTGGCGTCGACGCGATGGCTTGGAGGCTAGAGCCCTTGAGGCTCAGCGTGGTGATGGTATCGAGGTAGGCAGTGGCGTAGAGGAGGGTAGCAGCCGCCTGGCCGGGCAGCACAAGGGCAGTCACCCCTGCGGAGCTGAGCACTTCCTTGAACATGATGTCTGGTTCTGAGACCGTGTCCGGCAAAAGTCCTGGGCGAATCAACTGGATCCAGGCGCGGCAGCAGCGGAAACGATCAGGAACAAGGTCGGTGGGCAGGAGGAGGATGGAGGTGAGGACGAAGACGACGAGTCCACAACCAATGCTGAGGGCTGCGGCGACGGTGAAATTCGGACCGCGCGAGACCGACGATCGCCTGCCGCCGGACATGATTTCTTCTTATTGTTATAGCCTCCCGTTTTCAGTGAGGCACGCCGTCCAGCCCAGGCAGCTCGTCATGCTCGAACCAGGCCCGACAGCGCTGTCATGCGCGATCCACAGTGCTCCAGCAGGCGGTAATTAGACACAGAACAATCTGGACGAGGCGGGCCAAGACTGGTCCTGTCGGTCCTATACCCTTGCTCCTGCCCAGCTTTATTTTCTAGTCTGGACTGTGGATGGTCTGCAGCAGCTTAGTGTCTGCCCCCAACAACTCGCAGCGGGGGCCCGGGGTCAGGGGCTGGGCCGAACCTGGTCAGGGCTCGTCCCGGATAGATGGGAGTGCTGGTGCTGCGCAGTATTTTTGCATTTAGCCAGGGTCCCCTCCTCCGCCCTGGCGTCGCATTGACGACGGGACTTGGGCGATATTGGAGGGATCCTGACGCCCCGAGGACCAAGAAGAAGGACGAGGGCGGAGGCGAGCCAAACAGAGGCCGGCGACGGGCTCTCGTGGACGAACCGAAGCAGTGCCGGGCGGCTTGGGGACTCGCTGGCTCGCTGGTAGTACCGCAACATGGGCGAGGATCAGGACAAGTGTCCGGCCGACTCACACAGTACACACACACACACAAACTCACTCGCAGCGTGCCTGGCAGTGTAATGGGTACCTGAGTACTACTGTGGGGAAGAAGTGCTGCAGCTGGCGTGATCTGCAGGCATCCTTCCAACGTTTTTCAGGTCGCCGCGACCTCGGGCCAGGGGTTCTCGTGCGGGGAATGGACCAGAGGTTGTGGGGAAGAGGGAAGCCTCGCCCGTGCCTCGGTGGTGTGCCCGCGCGCGCATGGCCCCAGCAGGTGTGGAGTGTGGTGGAGCTCGGCAGCTACAGTATGTATCTATTAGGGAAGGCACAAACCCCATCATCTGTCCACCTATGGGCCGTGATCACGACCAAATCACCTTCTTCCAGCGTCTCAACGTCCTTGACCCTTTGCGGCACCCGATGGAACTCTCCTTCTGTGCCCCGTGGCCGAGCTCGGCCCAGCACCTGTCTGTCTGCCCCTTCAATGGACCGAGGTGACGCGAGGTGAGCAGGGGCGCGCTCGGCTGTTTAGCATCGGACATCTGCCAGTCTTGACGGGCTTGACGGGGTCCTCGTGCTCTCCAGATGCCGTGCCCTCCAGGACTCCTGGGGACACGATCACGAATGCGAGTGGCTGCAGGCTCCGTGGCCTCTTTCTTGGCTCTCGGCCGATTCCATCTCATACACCGGCACACAGCTTGCAGCTATCCCACCTGCCGTAAATCGTCATCCTTGCGGCGAATCGAAAGGAGTACGGTACACTTCTACATAGCAGCACGAGCTTGCCCTACGCTACTGTCTGTTGGCGGTGTGCGCAGTGTCGATACCCTTCCTTGCCTGGGGCTTTTGCGTTGGGAATAGATGGCTCGAGAAACAACCGACTCCCTGGTTGTGAAGTAACCGAAATTCCCTAACGGTGCCCGTCTAAAGATGGTGGAAGCCGTTCGCACGTTTCGGGATATTTACGTTTCCTTGGGAGCTGTAAACTTAGTTTGACTTGTATCCATGCCGAAATCTGCAAAGAGAACATCCATAGACGACTATTTCCACGGGCAGGTTCACTCGCCCCCTTCAGACGCCAAACGCGCCGGCGCTGTTGCTATTTCGCTCAGGAGTATCATTACCGTGAACGTCCCATATATCATCATTAAATCTCTCTCAAAATCTCCTCAAGTCTCGCCTCAGAGATCGCGACCTGCACATCGCCCGGCAGTGGCGACACGCTGTTCTTCTTCGCATCTGCACCAGCTGGCGGGAGGTCCGGCAGGAGGCCAGGGTCTATCGCATCCATCCCGCGCTCCGAATGGTGCGTCGTAGGGGCCGGGGAGGAGATTGTGCTTGTGGGCAGCATCGGGCTGCCGTTTTTGTTGCTGTGGTTGCTGTCGCCCGGATCCCCAAGGACGGTCCTCACTCGGTCGACGACCAGGACCTTGAACCGTCCTAGTAGCTCTGGGTCGTCCGCAGGTGTGGTCTCGGCCTGCCACACTTCGAATCCTAGTATTTCCTTTGCCCGAGCTATGAGGGCCTCGTCGGCGGGCATGCGTCCTGAAGTGGCAACCTCGGCCACGGCAAACTGCATGAGCTTGTCTTCGAAGTCGTGGCTGCTGAACACGGCTCCCGGGTTACTGGATACCGACATGCTTGAGTCTCTGTAGCTGTGGTTGTTGAACATGTTGAAGTCTGCGCCGAGACCACTGCTCACTGTAGCATTTTGCCCAGTGAACGGCGCATGGGCGAGCATGGCAGGCTTCGGCGAAGCAGAGGCCGAGTGGGAACCCTGCAGCCGCGTCCGTAGGCCAGATCCAACCGCGCCGATTCCCAAGTCGTCGGGAAGGCCGGGCCCGTCAGTGATGGGCAGAATGCCAGTGGTTCGCTTGAAGCGGATCAGCCATTCAGCACTGTCTGCCGGTGTGACGTTAAAAAGATCGTCACTGTAGAAAAGTCTGCATTAGTGCAGGGTCCGCACGGCTCCTGGAAGTAACATTATAACTCACTCGTCGTAGAGAACCCACCGGGCCTGGTGACGGATTTCTTCATCAGTTGGGATGTGCCGATTCGGGTTGTTCGGCGACATAGCGGAGGCCACATATCGAGCGAGCTCGCGGACAAGTTGACGATAATTTCCTGAGCCATTCAGAAAGAGCTGGCTACGCTTGACGCCGCACATTGGAGAGGATTCGGGACAATGCGCGTTTGCCGGGCTATTTGTGCCTGATCCGGTAAAAGGAGAAAAACCAGAGCCTGATGCACTGGCCCGTGTGGTGTTCAGACCATGCATAAGTGGCTCGAGTGTATGTACCGGCGAGTTACTGTTCGATGGCGATACCTGGCTGGTTTCTGTTCGAAGATGCCGTTGTTTGAAGGCATCAAGCCACGCTCTATTGTCAGCTGCGGTCTCATTCTGGCTCTTGCTGCATTTGTGCACAACGCATCGAGCGTGGCTGCGGAGCTCATCGTCCGTTGGTGAAGTGCCCAAGGCACGTTGATTCCTCGTGAACTCTGCTAGTTCGACCTCCAGTTGCGAGTAATTGTAGATTGTCGAGTTGACGGCGGACTCGCCCTTCACATCCAGGGTCCCGTTCGGGACTGGCAGTCCAGCTCGCTGACGGAAGTCGGACATCCACGATAAATCTCCGTATATCAGACGTAGCATGAAATTGGCAACCTCCTCGGACGGTATGATGGACTTTTCCTCCATTCGACCGACGATGTTGCAAGCTTCCACTTGTAGCTCGTAATCCGTGGTAGTCAGACCAAGAAGTGTTCGAGCCTTGACGAAGTCATTCAGTTGCGTTTCCATTGGGCAATTTTCGAAGATGTTTTCTTGTCCATTGATCTGGAGTCGTCCCAGGCAATTTTCCGCGGGACCACGTAAACGACTCAGCTGAGCCCTGTGTTTGATCTCATTGGAAGACAGCAGGAGATCTCGCAGCCAACTGGCGTCCGGAGCCTGGCCGCTGTGCGAGAGGGGTTCCGAGGCGTAGATAATCCGGCATGCCTCGTGTTGCATCTCTTCGTCCGATGGGATAGCGCCCATCGAATCTCGGGTGTTTCGGAGATAGTAAGCCAGCTCAATCTTGATCAGCTCATACGCGCTGCGTGGCGACTCCGGCGACTGCTGGCTGGCCTGAAATGGGAGAGGGGTTTGCCTCTCTTGATGGATGAGCCCTAGAACACATGTCAGCCTTGCGTTGTCGACGATTCTGAATGCAGAGAACAGTCGTACATGGAGGCATAGCGTTTTCCACATTTGACAAGACGGCCTTTTCAAATCCCCAGTCCCCCTTCCAGTCTTTCATGTCAGAGCCTGTCTTGAAATGCTCAGCGAGATGGTCCACCCGGACACCCCAACTCGCAAGAGCTAGACCGCAGAATCCACACCTCGACTTGATGTCGGGCGTGGCAACCTTCCACGAATCCATTGACCAATTCAGATACTTGGTGTTATGGACCAGTTTCAGGTGCTGACGCAGGTGATCTTTCCGGTAGAAGGTCCGCTCGTCCAACTGGCGCTCCTGACACGCTGTAAAATTGTGGCCTTCAGTGTGGGCATCGTCCGGTTGAGGTACTCCACAGAGTGCACAGCAGAGTTGACCAGTATTTGTATCGGGCACCCTTGGGCCTTTCGGGCAGCAGACCCACCGTTCCAACGATAAGTGTAATGTTTTCTCGTGTCTCTGCCAGTCATGCTTCGTTCGAAAGGATTCCTTTGTCCGTCAGTGCCTGCTCGCAAGTTGCGATAGCATTGCAGGTCCGCCATAGCAGCCACCGGGTGAGGGAGAGAAAGAATCGTTGATGTGCAAAAAAGAGGAAGGAAGCTGAGGTAGCTGGTGAGACAGTGTGAAGGTGCAACATACCGTACAGAATGTACACTGGAAGGTTTTCAGCGGCGCATTCAGGCCTGAGTTCTCATCCCCTTGCTTCGGGGCAGTCCTCCTCCTGCGTCTCCGACGTCCTCTATGTTGAATGGATCCAAAGGAGCCAAAAGAGCCCCGTGAATGGTGTGAGAGACCAGAAACTAATGAAGCAGATGACGGCGAGGTACCGAAGCTGCTGGCAGATGATCCCTTGCAAGACCTATCGGCGTCGTCGTCGGTGTAGTTGTAGTTCAAGCTCATGCTGTTGGGGCTGTCGAGCCCTGAAGAGTTAGAGTTGTTGAGGATAGCTGAGGCAATGGCAGTCACGGAAGCGGGTTCATTTTCTGAATAAAGTAAGCGACAATTCACGGCCGGGGGTGTGAGAGCCTGATCATTACCGGGTGGGGAATTCTGCCATCTCTGCAGAGGATTCATATGCTCTGCCGAAGGAGTGCCTCTCCGAGGGATATCGATGGCGCCGGAGTAGCCACGGACGCCTGGAGACGCTGATCTGGTGGGCTGGAATTTTCCTTTGCTCCTCCGGCGGGCATTGGCGAGCCAATTCGCGATCTGGGTCTTGTTGAGACCAGTCTGTCGTTGGAGTGTCTCCCTCTCTTCGTCTGTTGGGTACGGCCGTGTGGAGTGGGTGGACAGCCAGGCCTTGAGAATTCGGACAGATTCTCTGCTGAATCTTGCGCCTATCTTGGGAGTAACTGGAGGCTTATGGTTGTTGTCTTGCAGGGACTCAGTACCGGCGGCCAGTGTTTCCAGGTCTGGAGATGAAGAGCTTCGCAGCGTGTTGCCATCCTCGCTAACGAGACTCGCATGTTGGCCCGCAATAGGCCATGGATTCGACGGAAACGGCTCCGTGGTTGAAGCGACTGAGGGTGCGAGACCAAAGCTGCAGTTGTTCTTGAGGGCAACACAAGTAGTGCAGTAGCCCTTGTACTTGCCTTCCTCTAGCCTCTTGCAGGCGAAGCCTGATGCCTCACAGGCATCGCATGGATGATCTGAGAATTCACAGAGGTCGAGTGCGGCAACATTGGACGACTGAGGAGGAAGAGGTCCAGCCTGAGCATGACTGGGGGCAAGGTTGCTTGTCTCGAAGTGCTCCAGGGCCCAGAAGGAAAAGTCATCACCATCGATGTTTGCCAGGGCCAAGTCGAAGTCTTGGTTCTCCCGGACCGGCTGGAAGTCGAGGTTGGTACCGGAACGGGGAGCCGTGTCCGCCAAGCCCAGAGCAGGCTCAGCCTTGTCCCAATTGACAAAGTCCTCCATTACGGAGTCCTCGGGTATGGTAGGCATTCTCGGTCACTTTGGCTCTGCCAGGGCGTGGACTACAGGAAGGGCGTCGTATCGGAGGGAATTCCCGGGACAGAACTGCAGGGCGGGATGGATCCGGGTGCAGAGAAGTGGATGTCAAAACAAATGTTTAGATGAGTGCTGACCATTCACAGTGACGGTTGGGTAGGTCTCAGAAGGGCTGTCTTGTTGATTGGAGCGCCCTTTGGGTATAGCCCGGCTTGTGAAGAAGCCCAGGAGGGGAGGTTATCTGTAAAGTGACGCCAGTATTTCCAAGGCCGGTCGAGGGCAAGACCCCGTGTGTACCGGACAGGAAGGCGATTAGAAATGAGGTGTCCCTGACAGGATATATGAGGCCAGAGACCCAGCCCTCTTTGGCGATGAGGTCTTCTCTCTGGAGTCTCTGGTCCAGAGAGCTCGCTTGAGGCCGTCCAGATTGAACGAAGTGCAGTCTGATGACAAGAGACAAGACAACGTTTTCCTTTATTCCAGCTCTGCCGTCGAGTTTGGGCCAGATCCTTGAGGTGGTGAGTGACCTGCCACTGTGTCTGCACGTCCAATCAGCCTTGCACACAATCCGACGTCGTCGTCGCTGCCTCCGATTCGATCCATGGTCCTCTCTCTTCCCAGGCAGGCCACCAGCACAGAGGCTCCAATTGCTGTCATCGCTTGACAAGCTGACGCCCTTCGTGTTCCCGTTCTGGTGTAGTGTCTCCGGTTTGACCCCACATCTCGGCTTACGGCTGCGTAATTGTTAACTTGCTACCAAGACAGCAGCGATACCGTTGCTTGTGAGCCTCCTGCACTATCAGCCCCTCCGGTAGCGGGCCTGTTCGCGGTGGCGCTGACTAAACCGCTCAGGTACAGTAATAGCTGCGACCATTGGTATGACCGTTGGGCGCTCACCGTTGCGGCGCCAGGACACCGCGGGCACCGTCAGACGGGCTAATGTTATATGAGGCAAGTGGCTTGCAGTCCGCCCATTTGGTTTGATTCCTCGTCTATTGGGTAGTCTATCTGTCTAGGCGTCTGCGGCGGCTGGCAACAAGAAGGTCGGCTTCGCCGTGATAACAGCGGCGACACAGCCTGTAGTGTTCCTCTGGCCATCTTCTGGAGGAAACTGCCGTCTGATCTATTCACACAAATGTTTCGTCCTCTGATGTAACACAACAGAGTGGTGAGTCTAGTTCATCTTGCTGAGCAGGCACTGGCGGAATTCGGTGAGCGTGACGCTCTTCTCCTTCAGCGTCGCTTTCTTCCCGTCCTGGGTTTCCGAGTGTGGCTGCTTCTCCAGGGTCCACACCTCGGTCACTCCCAGGGACTCGAGGTAATCCAGCGCCCGCAAGTAGTTTGTGGCGACCTGTGCGATGCCGTGGCTGTCGTCTGACATGGTGAACTTGCCTCCCATCTTGAGCCACTCCTCGGCGATTGGCCTCGCGGGGTACGGCTCGGCCAGGCCCTTGCGCAGGGCGCTGCTGTTGCACTCCAGCCAGCCGCCGTAGCTCCTGACCACCCGGAGGTTTCGCACCACCTTGTCCCACACGGTACCCTCGGACCCCGGCGCCTTGTCAGCCCAAGCCGTCCGCAGGTCCCGCCCGGGCTCCTCGCTCAGCAGGCGGATCAGGTCGAAGTGCCCCACAACCCTCGGCTCCAACGCCGTGAGCATGGCGTGCTGCTCGTCATAGTACCTCGCGTACAGGAGCTCCTCGGTCCCGCCGGCGGCGTCCCTCGCCTTCCCGTAGTAGTCCTTGTCGAAGTCGATAGGCACGCCGCAGGTGTGGTGCAGCGAGCCCATGAAGTAGTCGATGGCCGGGTGGGAGGCCAGCTCACGGACCAGGGGTCCGTACACCTCCGGGCGGATGAACTCGCCCTCGAAGCCGATGAGGATGTGGACCTGGTCGGCGTACTTTGCCCGCAGGCGCTGGGCCTCGATTAGGTAAGCCTCGTGGCGGGGCATGAGGGCTGCGAGTGAGCCCTCGGGGTCGTCGAGTTCCTCTGGGTACAGGTCCTCGAGGCCGGTGCGAGGCATGTGCTCTGTCAGGGCCAGTGTCTTGTAGCCGATGCTAATGGCGTGCTGTATGACATCCTCAAGCTGGTCTTTGGCGTGCCCGGGGCAGAACTGTCCCGAGTGGGAATGCATTGTGAAGGCCATTTTGAGTGTGAATTTGGTTGTGAGGTGAGGTGAGGTGAGGTGAGGCAAGGCAAGATGCGCCCTTGTGTTTGTTGGATTTGTCCCCAGTTGCTGGTCGAGTCTGAAGGTGTGCGGTCGATTCTCCGTCGAGGTGTCAGTCAGCTCGTTGTTGCACAGAAGATTGCAAATTTGAGTCGGAGACGGCGTCTCAGCTTATCTGAGTCAACCTGGATCTGTTTGCGATTTGTTTATGAAGTGGTTGCATCGTGTCTGTTGGTCATGGCTCTGAGTTAAAGAGTTTGATATAGTTACCTGGACATGAAATCTTGCAATCTGCACTTATTAGACGGCGTGGATTGGATCGGCCTGAGCCTCTCCTCTTAGCACGTTCTGGGTTGTGCGCTATTTCTGCAGTGGCAAGTGCCCTGTAAGTACGCCCCCTACTTGGCAAGAACCTTGAGGCTAAAAAGGCAGCAATTGAGGAAAGAGCCACCATCATCCTCCCTGCCTGGGAGTCCACGGGTCCCGAGGGCTGGCCCAGATTATCGCCTGCGGCATCAAGCCGTCAGGTATCACCGAAGAATCGGTTATCTGAGAATCGAGGCTAGCCTGCAACATGCGCAAGTGCGACGTCACATCATATGGTCCATATTAGGATGCATACAGGGTGCATATGCGGGGATGTCACTCCTGCCTGGGGACGACTTCATGTCGTGTCCATTGTCTCGTCTCCTACCACTCCACAGGCTGCCAGGGCTACCTACAGACTGATATCTCTAGAACCATGGCACACTCCTTCCACGTTCCCCTGTCCAAGGCGCATCTGAAATGGAACAACGCCCTCCCCCCAGCCCTCACAGTGCCCTCCGGCGCCGAGATCACATTCGACCTCAAGGACGGCGCGAACAACCAGATCCGCCCAGACAATGAGGCCACCTGCTTCTCGACATTCGACCGCGACCAAGTGGACCCGGCCTTCGGCCCCGTCTACGTCGAGGGCGCCGAGCCGGGCGACGTGCTCAAGGTCGAGATCCAGTCCCTCGCCACGGCCGACTACGGCTGGACCGCCGTGTTCAACGGGTTCGGCCTGCTGGCCGACGACTTCCCGGAGGAGCACGTCAAGATCTGGGACCTGAGCGGCAAGTCCCTGCTCCCCGGGACCACCGGCGCGAGCGGCCCTCCCCGCGCCGTCTTCAAGCCCGGCATCTCCGTGCCCGTGCGGCCGTTCCTCGGGGTCGTGGGCATTGCGCCCGCCGAGCAGGGCGAGTTCAGCACCATCCCGCCCTACGCCCTCTCGGGCGGGAACGTCGACACGCGCTACCTCGGGAAGGGGTCCACGATCTACTTCCCCGTGCAAGTGCCCGGGGCGCTGTTCAGCTGCGGGGACGCGCACGCTGCACAGGGTGATGGCGAGGTCTGTGGGACAGCTATAGAGACCCCGGCGACGGCCACCGTTAAGTTGAGCATCGTCAAGAAGGGCGCGGAGGGCTGGATGGAACTCTCGAGCTTGCACTATACTACGCCGCCGCGGGTGGGCGAGGCTGCTGAGGATGATCTCAAGGGGACCTACGCCGCTCTGGGCATCCACGCAGACCCAAGGGAGGCGGCAAAGATGGCACTGAGAGGTCTTCTTGACTGGCTGGAGAAGAACAAAGGGCTCACAAGGGTGGAGGCCTACATGTTGGCCAGTGTGGCGGCGAGCTTGAGGATGACTGAGGTGGTTGATATGCCTAATTTTGCAGTTTCTTGCTCTATTCCGCTAAATACATTTGAGGAGTAGATGAATGCCAGCGTCCCAAGCCCCTTCGCCAGTGGATGAGCGACCCGTGCAGACTGGCTCAAAAGGCTTGAACTGGTAGGGTTATACGGCTTGCAGACCTCAGTCTGAATTTCACACCTGATCGCGTCCCTGAGAATAAACGTGAGACTAGGAATAGTCCAAACACTATCCGAAGAGGAAATCCAACGACCTCTCGAATGCATTCCTGCGAAGTGTGCGTTAGTGCGTTGAAGGAATGTGGAATGTAGGAATCCAAAGGACTTTGTTCAACATACTTGGCTGGTCGTGGCACAAAGTTTGCCTCGTACTCTTCAACTTCGTCGAGGTTCTTCACCAAATCAACCTCTTCTGGCTTGTAGAACTTCGACCGCTTCAGAAGCTTCCAGGCAAGGAAGAGCAGAGGGCAAACTGCGATCATAGTGTAGCTGTTGTTCGCATGGTCCATTAGAACAAGATGCAGGAGGGTAGGCGGCTTGTAAGGAGAGGCGACTCACGAGAAAAGGAATGTCGGCACGTCCCACGACCCCGGAAGGAACACAGTGTAGCCCCCGACAAAAGTCATGATAAAACAACCAACAAGGCCATACCAGGCGGCAAAGGGCTGCGGCAGCGGGCCCTTGTACGGGAGGCTGTCCCTCGAGATGCCCTGCGCCTTCAGGGCCTTGAAGAACCTCAGGTATGTAAAGCACATGACGCTGAAGTTGATTAGCTGACTAGCGGTCACGAGCGAGACGAACCAGGAGAGCACGACAGCCGCGTTGTTGGAGACCTGGAGGAAGGACAGCAGCGAGATGAGGAGAACCAGAAGCACCGAGTAGATCGGAACGCCCTTGCGCGTGCACTTGAGGAAGATCTTGGGCGCCTTGCCCTCCAGTGCCAGGCCGTAGAGGGACCTCGACGCGCAGTAGACGTAGCTGTTGCCGGCGCTGAACGCGGCCGTGAGTACCATGGCGTTCACGACTAGGCCACATTAGAGAGGAACAAGGATGCGTAAAGGGGGTTGTTTGACTGACTGTCAGGGAGAACGGTGATCTTCAGCCTGTTCATGGCAACCACATAAGGGGAAGCCGCAGCACCCGGGGCGCCGGAACTGAAGGCCGTCTTCAGCTCCTCGTCGGTGTAGGGGACAAGGATGCCGACCGCCAAGCTCCCGAGAACGAAGAACGCCGTGAGACGGTAGAACACGGCGTTGAACGCCCGGGGCATGACCACCCGAGGGTTCTCAGCCTCCCCGGCTGCCATGGAAACGTAGTCTGGTCTATAGCAAAACCAATGTTAGAGATCCCTGGTAGTAGGTGCGCCGTCGTAGCTCTGAGTCTTACTCACCCTGCTATAGTGAACGAGGCCTGAATGAGACACTGGAGGAAGCCAAGGAATTTGCCCAAATCTCCCGAGCGGTAAAGTTCTGCAAACGCGCCCGGTTGCTGCCAGTACTTAAAGCCGAACCTCTCGCCGAGAGGATTACCGCCCAGCATCGCGATGAAAGTGAAAAGAATCAGGGCGATAATCAAGAGCACTTTTCCCAAGGCGGCCCAGAATTCACTCTCGCCGTACCACTGCACCGCGAGCAGGTTGATGAGCCTGAAAGTATGTTCAGATGAGAAGCGTGTGGCTAAAGAGGAAAAGTGGCCGGACTTGACTCACCCATATAGGACGATGACGATAGCTATTATGCCACCGGCAGGGACAATATCGCCTATGCACGTTGGTGTCAGCTGAACGGTTCGCAATGTAGCGACCAGAGAAAGGAGGTGGACTGACTCCAATAGTGGATAATAACATTACACGCCGTGATCTCAAAGGGCACCAAGGCGGCCTCGAACACGAAGAAATTCCACCCGGCGGCAAATCCAAAGGCCTCGTCAACGTAGCGACCAGCAAAGCGAATGAAGGGGCTGGAGATGGGCAGGTATGTCACCATCTCAGCCATACACATCGTCACGCATAGGATGAAGGTGCACCTGGTGCCTGGGTCAGCTGCTGGCAACATACATCTCCCGTTGAGCCAGTATTTACCATATTGAAAAGGCCAAGAATAGTGACGCCGGCCCGCCATTTAACAAGCCCTTGCCGATTTGGACATAGAGAGCGGTACCGATAGTGCCGCCTATGCCAATGAGTTGAACTGCGGTGTAGATAGTCAGCCTTTGAAGCGATATAGTATAAGTCGGTCACAGATGATAGCATCGTAAAAAAAAAAAAAAAAAAAAAAAACCACCCTATCTCCTCCTGTAGCTTATCTCACGAGCTGAAGTTTGACATGGCACTCTGCACAGCTGATGAGATGGCCTACAATTACAGCACCGGCCTGACATCAAAGGTGCGGGGAGGGGTGGGCGTCCTGAGAATGGTCTTCGAGGGCAGCTTACTGTGGCGAGACTTGAGCTTCCTCGCAGTCCCATCGCCGTGGCCCATGGACCTGATGGAGCTGCTGCGGTCGGACTGGGCCCTTCCCACAACGGCCTTCTCATCGTCGGCCGAGTAGGCGGGGTGAGCAACGTCGACCCCGGTGGACGACGCCATTGTCGTCTATTATGATTATTTTCTCGGTCTTTCGCTTTTGGTCACAAACTCAGGAATTGTTTTCTCACTTGACGTTTGTCAAGAGTAACCACAAAAAAGCTGGGCGCGCAGCACAGACTCAGCGAATAGACTTTAGGAGAAGACTGAAGAACTCGGCTCTGAACTGCATTTGCCCGTCAAGCTTCTGGGGGGTAATCACGTCTCTAAGACGGGGAGGAGAGTCGAGCGGTTTGGCGTCAGCGGGTTTGGTACTAGCTCCTGGGCGACTGAAAGCTTTTCACCGAGAAGCAGTCGAGGACCAAGCCGGGCAGGTGGGCGGGAGGCAGCCAGGGCAAGGTGCAGGATCACGGAGACGGCGTTTGCCAAGGGAGATGTTGTGCTACGGTCCTGTGATGGTGCGTGTGTTCTTTTACAAAACAGTCCCTGACTCGAGAGGGGGGACGGGCAGGACGGGCAAAACAAGCAAGGTTGAGGCTGGCGATGGCTGTCTGGGCAGTCTGGGCAAGAGGCGAGGGAGGGAAAGACAAGACATTCGCCTGAGGGCTGGGCTGCAGGAGAAGCTCCTCCTGCTTCGCACGCTGGGGGTCTAGACTCCATTGCCTCGGCCGCCATGGTTTTGGCGGACCTTCGAAGATTGCTGCAGCTTGCGGGCTTTCGACAAGGGCATTGGAGCTTTAACTGCGGAGCCCACCTGCACATGGCAACAGCAAGCGCAGGATCCAGCAGCCCTCGGCCTAGAGACTACTTCTCGAAGCATCCTAAACCCAGCAGTCTGCTTTGTCGAACGAGAGCCGGACCTTTCTATGGTCTGTCCGTCGGGTCAGTGGCACGAGCTGTCAGGTGGGGATGTACGCGACCCCGCCCGCCTCTGTCGATGCAGTGTAGAGGAGCTCAGCCTACATTGGGTAGGTACTGTGGTACAGTCAAGCAGTCGCTCAAGCCGCAACTGATTGGTCTGATGCAGCCCCGACAATCTGGGGCGCCCCACCACACACGCACACAGCGCGCACAGTTGCTTGCTTGCTGCCCATCACCGCCACGATTGGCAACGGACCGATGGCCGAGGACAGGCCGCGCGTGGGGGGTGGCGGTTGGTGGCTTGCCGACGTGGGCTGATACAGCAAGTATTTTGCTCCTCCTAAGCCTGGTTGTCCATCATGATGCTGCTATGTGTTGAAGCCATGTCTCTCGTTCCATCATTTTGGATTTGAGGATTATGGCATTGCCTGTGCTGAGACTGGTAGCTGCGCCAAGTATCGACAACGGTAGTGGGATCATCCAGAAAACCCAAATTATCATGACAGTAGCATCTACTCAATTTACAGGACTTCTCCTTGTACATACAAATACATAGCGCCGGCCCTGCAAGTAATTTTTTTGCACCCCGTGGTATCATCCGCAGCTGAGTCGAGTCCCATCCGCACATCGCTTTCTCAAATCCAGTTCGTGTGTACCATAAGTCATCAGATCCAAGCAATGCCCAACAGCTACCTTCCAGCCAGCCAACCGTCCAAAAATAATTCCAAAAGGAAAGAGAGAAAGAAGAGAAAACTACCGCCCCCTGCCGCCCAAACAGTTTTAGTCTCACAACAGTCACTCCTTTTAATTGTGACACCCCCAAGGCAAGGCCGTCGTCAGTCTCCCACGGCTCGACCAAAACTAAGAAACCGAGAACAATTATAAAGCTAGACCCGTTCCGTCGCCGGTCCAGCGGTAAAGTGATAGAAGCTCGCGTCGGCGGTGGTGCTGTTCCGCGAGGTCCTCCGGCACGCGGCCCCGGACCTGCGCCAGGGCACTGCGCATGACCCTGCTGAAATTCCGCTGTACAGACGAGACGTTAGCATTGAGCATTTGCGCAGCGGGGTTGAGTCTAGCAGAATAATGCTGATCCTTACCTGGTACTCCGTATTGAGTGTCACCACGGAAGCCTCGTGAGCCCGAACGATGGTCTCGCAGGCCCGGACGACACTCGGCGACGCCTCGCTCTGCAGCTTGTCGGCGATCAGCAGCAGCAGGAACGAGCCCTGCAAGAGGTAAATGCCGAAGAAGAAGGGCATAAACTCCAGCCCCGGGTCGTATTCGAGGATGTGGCTGATGGCCTCGGCTGCAGAGACCGCGCGTCCCGTGGCAGTTATAAATCCTTGCGAGCTGATCCAGAGGTCGTTGTCGTCGAGCAAGTTGATCGGATCCCATTTCCCAGTGAGCAGGATATGTAGCACGTGCATAACGTGCGTCCCGTAGGCCATGACGATCCGCGTCTGAATCTCCGACTCTGTCATCCTGCTAGCGCTCGTCAGAACACTATGCACAGAGTGCACTGATGGTGTGCCGGCGTCCACAGGGCCAAGGCTGTCGTTGTGGTTCTCCTCTGCCTCGTCTGCTGTGCTCGTGTTATGCGTGCCCAGGCTCCGCTGGGCAAACTTCTTCAGACTCTGCTCGTAGAGCTGCAGGTGACGTTCGATCTCAAGCGCTTGGCCGTCCCATTCACGAGCTGACCTGAACCCAACCCCAAAACGAGGGTGGTTGCGCGCATGGTTGAGGTCGACAATCTCACCCAAGATGGCCATCAGCGGGAGAAAGTAGCCATATATGCTATGTCCGTTGCATTCGAATGAAGGACCACGGGCTCTTGTTTGCGACTGCGATGCAGATGAGCCCGACGCAAGCACACTGGGATCCGTAAGTGGCGAGGGCTGGGGCTGGAACTCTCCATTCTGGAACGCGGTGTCGTCCATTGGCTGCAGGAGCCCATCACATTCGATATCAAGCAAGAAGAGAGGCCGGTTGTAGCAGAGCGCAAGGTGGCGGTCAACGATATAGACAAGCCACCAGATGCGCCGTCTTTCTTCTCGCTCCTCCTCCGTAATCAAGCCTGACACTTCCGACTGATCCTCTGCCCCTTCGTTGTCGTTCTCGGGGGCACTCATTGACTGTGGGAGTTCACGGCCTAGCCTCAGCTCACGCGCGAGCGACCACGCGGCGTTCCACCACCGGAGACTGGCCCCTTTGTACTCGCTAGCAGAGACGACCGTTGCCAGGTGGATGTAGGTGACCACATCGTCGAGAGTTCCCGCAGCACCGAATGGGCCAGTCTCACTGGTCAAGGCCTCCATGCTGATCGTACCAGGCAATGCAACACCAAGACCACCAAGAGCAGCACCGTCGATGGCACCGGGGCTGGCAACAGGAGATGAGTCTCCCGATGGCGTGTGGATGAGCGGCTTGAGCAGGCTGACGGTTAATTCCAAAAGTCTTTGGCAAATCCGCCCACGAGCAGAGGGCACGCTCGTCAGGAAGGGGGCGTCACTCGTTTGGGCAGCGACCCAGAGCATGCTGGAGAGCAGAGCCGGCTGACATCTGCGAGGCTTTGACGGATGCAAGAACGATCGCTTCCGAAACACGAAGCCTAAGACGTATGGCGAGTGCGGGTGCATTTGTGCGGAGGATGAGCTCGAGAAGTACAGGTCGATCAGGTCGCACGCAAGTGGTAGAGGTATGATGGTCTCAAGGTGAGGAATCAGAGGCTCCAAGACGGGATATCGAAGCTGGGAGCCGTGGTAGCTGGGGGGAGGTACGTGAGTCTGGTATTGTTGCGGCGGAGATCCCATGTTCATCCACCCGGGCGATGGCCCGTCACCAGCCATAGGATAGGCACTGAGAGGGCTAGTTGCCATCCGAAAAGCAGCCCCATGAGCCGTATATCCTGTCGGGTTCTGCGTCTGCAAGCCGTATGGAATGTTCGGGTATGCTGAAATATTGCCCTGGTTCGCGCCGTATGCAGGATGAGCTGTTGGATTCATCATGTGGACATTCATTGCCTGTCGGTCGTACGGGTGGTGGATATTGGCATAGCTGCTCGGGTCGAATGCGCCCTGATTTTCAAGATGGTCGCGCTCCATCACTCCTGCGTGCCCGTTGATGTGGGACGCTTGCCCTCCCAGATCCGGCTCGCTGTCCAGACTTCCCAGTCTTTCTTCTCTTCGAGACCCTTCCTCGTCATCCCCATCGCTGCCATTATTGATAATAGACGCAATGGAATCGTCTGGCTTCGATCCTGGCTGCTCATCAGGCTGGTTGTTCTCCGCCCCCGACGCCGGAGACTTGCGACCAGTCTGGGAAGCTGCCTGGGCAGCAGCTTGCTGAGCGAGATCTTTACGGGAGGCCTTGCCTCTCTTCTTCCTTTCCCTCTGGTATTCACAGCCGAGCCCAAATTCTGTGCATGTTAACAATCTTGCACTGGCTAAGTTGTACGCGGTTGAGGGAAGCTCTGGGACCTACCTATGCAGTGGGCGCAAGGATGCTGGCCATCGCATTTGGTTCGAAGCTGGTTGCACTGATCGCAGGCGCGAGATATCCTCCGCCGTATGGGACCACTGGCGCTTGCTGATCTTCCCCCTGAGCCGTAAGGGTGCTGCCTGTGTTTTCCCTGGGGACCGGCGCGGACCAGGTGTTGGTTGTGTGTTCCTACATGTTGCTGGAGGTGTTGAAGGGCGTAGTGCGATCCTTGAGACAGCCCGTCAAGTCCAGATGGATGGATGTGGCCCGGGGGAACGTGGCCGTTCGAAAGGAGAGTCGAGGCAGGCAGAGAGTGGTATGGCGAGAATCGGTGAAGAGGATTAGACAACATCTCGAAGCTTTTGTTTGGACGCTTTTCGCGTCAACACTGACATAAGAAGGTGGTCAGGATAAGAAGGCCGGGTTGGAGATGTGTACGGTGAGAAACTGAATCATCTGCGAGGCCTTGATGAAGACCCCGCGATTCCAGGAGTATTTGGGTGCTAGTCAGATCGGGGCCACGTCTGGGAAGTCAACAGCTCCAAAGCAGCATTTGGCAGTGAGGCCGAAATAGTAGTCTCCGGTATATCAATACGAGAAGACGTTACACTGTCGAGGTAGGCGTGTCAGCAGCACATATGCAAGTCTCAGCAACGGAACGAGGAGCATAGAGCCAGCTTGTCTGGGGCTAGATGCTGGTGCGGGAGGAGTGTGACTGGGCTGATGGGTGAGTACCAGTACTGCCGAAGACGATGTCCAGAGACTCATGAGCCAAGCAAGCAGCCACTAATTCCGGATGGAGAGAGCCGGAATGTCAAGGGGAGGTAAGGGCCGCGGCCCAGATGACAGGGGGCAGGTGGAACAGGCTGCTGGATCTAGAGCGAAGATGGAGTGCTATAAGAGGCGAATCTATACTTACCGAAAGTTTCGAGGTGGAAGCCGAGAAGCACGTTGGTGTACCAAAGTTTGGGCGAGGTGGCACCAGGTGTCAGTGACACGGACTCAGAATCTTGGTTACCTCCTCGCTCAGGGCTCGTCTTGAAGGAGTGTTTTCTATAGACCTGCCCTTGATGCTCTCGAGTCTCCCCGGGGCGAAAGCTGCGGTCCCGAAGCTTGAAGTTACCAACGGGAGGCTCAGAGCGCCGTGACCAGAGACTTGCCCGTGGGCTCGAAAGGGCGAGAGAGAGAGAGAGAGAGAGACCGGAAAGCTGATTGTCAAGAAGCGGCGAGTAATTCTCTGCTCTGGTACCTCGGGACGATATCTGCGGCAAGAATCTTGAACTCGTGTCGTACACACAGCTGGACGACTCTCGAAAGATGGAGGAGAGTCCTATGCGCATGAGCATGAGCGAACCGTAGTGGTGATGCCCCGGCTGGCCTGACCGGTGTCGGATTCGCCAGGATATTGACGAGACAATCTATAGTATGCAGGAAGACGGAAGGGAAGCCATGCATTAAGACCAGGAAAGATTAGCGTTACGGCGACGGATTGTTGGCAGGGCACGCGTGGCTGGCATATCGAAAAAATGGAGATGTGAAGCAGAGTAGGTAAATAAGCTATGTCAGAGGCGCGTGAAAGGAATTATGAGTGGCCCGCAGGGTGCGCAGAGTATGGTTCGCCGTGCTTGGGGAAACCAATCGATCTAAGCTGGATGGACGATAGTACGGATCAAGGAGGGCCACAAGCACCGCGTGCAGTACAAGCAGGCATATGTGGGCAGAATTTCCTGGGGCCAAAAGCGAAGCAAAAGTCGAGCAGGGGGGTAGGGGTTGTGGGGGGTGGTCTGGTGGATGGACTGGGAAGAGACGGGTACCTGGGGTAGATCAAGCCCAGGACTACCTGGGCTGATCTCCTTACGACTTTCCTTGTACGGGCATGGGCCTCGAGGAGGGGGCAGAAGTTGCTGCTCACGAGATGGGCCACGCCTACGTCCAGCATGCGCCGGTCAAGCGAGCCTCGCATGTGCAGAGCTATGTGCAGGTCCTGCTGCATGGTGGAAACACAGCAGGTCTCGCCTATTCCATCATGATCTGCCTCGTGCTGGCCTGCCCTGGCCTGCCCTGGCCTGCCCTGCCTTGCCATATTGTGCTGTGCTGATCGGTGCCGTACTGTCCAGACTGTCGTGCGCCAACGGGACCAACAAGGATTCGAACCGGCGGCGAGAGGACGGGAGAAGGAACCTGACAGCGATTGGAAGGCCGGGGTCGGGCGGATCTGGAGATGGCTGGGGCGCAGAACAGACAATGTGAATGTCTAGCCTGCCAGCACCAATGGAGACAAGGTTCTGCGCAGGTCGGGTCCGGAGTGGAGCGATGCTGCAGGTGCTCGAGTCCTGTGGTGAGATGCGGCAGACTGCACGAATTGGGCGTGGCTGTCCGTACGGTATCCTGCGTACTGTTCCTGTAGTGTTCACTACACACAGACGGTAGTGCACGGCAGGATGCCGATACTTTGAGTATACCAGCCACACACGCGGCGCGTGGTCGACAGGTGAAGTCAACGCCCCGTAGCCAGGCGACCTGACAGGCGACCTATAGTGCAACGGGGGCCTTGGCTCCAGACGCGGCCTCGTCAACGTGCAGTCTGTTCGCCAACGGCTGCAAGGTTGCCGGGGCATTGCATGAGAACCCTAGTTTTGGGACGAACGGGACATGTCGACCCATCATCCTTCATCACTCATGCCTCGTCAGAAGTGCTCGCCCGCATGGTCGAGTAAAACAGCCATGATGTGATGGCAGCAGGCACAAGCAATGCACTGTTGCTGTTCTCTTCGGCTGCTGTGCCCACGTCGCTTGGCAGCACGCATCGTGGGTGAGGAGAAGGGAGGGATGAGAAGGCGGGAGGGTCACGATGCTACTCAGCGATCTCCACAAAATAGGGCCGAGTGACACACCCATCTCCTCCTCCCCTCCTCCTCTCGAGCTCCTCTCCTTGTCCAGACCGGGCTAGCCTGGCTGGCTGGAGAGCTCCGGCGGGGTCCTGCATGCAAACTCCCAGGCACTCACCCACTCAGTCACTCAGGCACTCGGGTACTTGGGCACATCCCCAAGAGCCCAGGAGCGGTTCGCCTTGGCCCGTGCAGGCCTAGCGGAGTCAGTCCAACTGGAGCAACTCACCAGTCGCTGTCGACGACTCGACCTTCTCCTGGCCTCGGTACCACTCTGCCCGACCTCTTCGTTGACGGAAACCTTGCATGAACCTACCCATGTCGGCGTCTTGGCTGAACCAGATTCCTGGCGCACCACCTCTTCCACACTGCTAGACTGCCAGACATCTTCTGCACTGGGGCAATCAGCCAGGTAATCTCAAGCCTAGTCTAATCCCTCCCCGTCTGTCCGCCTTTCCGTCTGCGCCGGCTGGCGAAAGGCCGCCGTCCCTTCTCTCGCCCCAGGACACGTAGCCGGGTGATGGGCAAAGATGCGCGCGCTTCCCTGCCCGGGCCTCTGCCCAGACAACCGGGTCGTCGATTCTTTTGAGGTCCGACCTGGTCTACCAGATGATGGCTCGGTCATTGCGAATGAGTAGAGGTGAAAACAACAATCCTCGAACCCTTCGCGCGCCCCCGGGGCACGTAGCCGGATTCCAGACACACAAATGCACCTTGAAGCTCGACGAATGCTCAACGAGACAACGAGCGAGCTGCCTACCACGCCTCATACAGCGGGCTGAGGCGAGCACTGTCATCAACAGCCAGCCCTCTATCTCCATGCCAAACATCACCGCAACTGTTACGAGTCTGCTCTCAGCCGCATTATGGTTTCAGTGCTGGACTACATACCTTCTTCTAGAACATTGAGCTTCCGTGCCCATCCTTGTCCTGGCGGTTCTTGACGCCGGGCCAGAAGACATGCGCTGATCGCTATGCTTCTTGGTTCTGGTGGAGCACTGGCTTTTGTCTAGTGACGTTCCCGCAGAGAACGCCAGTCTTTCTTGAGCAGTTCTCGCGAGCCCAACAACCGCCATCCAATGAACTAAGTCATTAGGGCTGGAACCGCCACTAGCTAAGCAACTGGACGGCCCTCACCATTCAGCGCAGTCGCAGGTCTCGAGTTCCACGTTACAGCTCCCACCTCTGGCCCTCAGATGTTTGCCCAAATCTGAAAGCTGTCTACGCGTCCCGTAGCAAATCAAGCATGGCGATCTGACAACAGTCGGGGAGCCTCAAATCTTCGGCATGGGCAGCCCTGAACCAGAAGTGCAGAACACAGGACAACGCCACAGTCGCAGACATTCAGACCCATGTCCATGAGTTACGGTCCGATGGCCATGGCATCGAATATCATTCAGATCAGGCGAACAAGCTGTCAGAGCAAGCAGCAGCGAGTTTCTTTAAGCCCGGCAGGAGCAGAACTACACGGCCTTTAAGGCCGTGACAGCGGCAATGGCAACGCGGTATTGGAGCTGTTGTTGAGCGCGAGATTGGGGAACTGGCTGCATATGGTGCAACCTTGAGCCTCAGGCACAATGGCGTTAATGGCGTCCCTGGCAGCCTAGCTCAGAAGCCCTTGAGCCGATACACGCACGCGCTGCGTGTCAATCGCGGCTGCCGGGCAGGTGGTGGATGCCACTTTAATTTTGGCCGAGTCGAGTCCCGCCTGCAACCAAGTCTGATTACCACGGACATGCGGCCATGCGGATATCAAACTTAACTACCACGAGGCCATGTGAGGATGCTCGCCTTGCATAATTGTTCGGTGATGTTCGAGCTCCTTGGTGCCATATTGGAGCCTCGGGCTCGCTCTCGGGCTCACCTGTGTCAGTCACGGCCTGAGCCAGAACAGGGGAGAGGGTTCAATCCCTACGCTGCCTTCGTCTGATCTGCCGTGGCACTGCAAGATACCGCAGGTCAAGCCTTGCTCCCGCTGTCGGTCTCCCTTGAATGAATGGCACCTTGCTGATGGAAATGCACAGGGCTGCTACCCCTTCACCGTCACTACCCAGCCAAGCATTTCATGCTGAACGTGGCGCTTGCCGCTAGACAAAACAGGGAACTCTTATACAGCACTCATCACCATGGTGCTGCCCACCTGCGCCTTTTCTTGCTGTGACGCTGCTACAAGTCCAACCCGTTCGTCCGGAGAGACCTCGAGGCTATCAACCGGAGGATCTAGCGCCCTCCCAGTCTCCTTTCCCGTTGGCATCAGCCTCTCAGCACCGATGCACTCAGGTATTTCTCGAATTATGCTGCGAGAGTATTCTCTGTTTGACTCTGCAGGAATTCCACGCATTCGGAGTTTGTTCGATCAATGAGCTTCACCCTGCGCGACCAGGCACAGCAAGGCGCACAATGCCAGAGAGATCCTGGCGAGTTGTGGCTGATCTGCACGCTTCCCGTGGATCCGGTCGAGCCACTTTCTCAGGATCACAGGCTAGTCCAGATGCTGAGTTCTCTGCTATGCAGTAGCTTCTTCAAAACTGCAGAAGCGCCGCAGCGCTGTCCAGCAATACCTCCAAGCCCGCTGGTCCGCCGCTCCCAATGCTACGCATGCCCTTGTTTTGGGCCACCTCGATACGAGTAGGTCCACACCATCACTATCGGCGGGCTTGGAGATTGCAGATATTGCCCCAGATCGGACCCCAGTGATCGAGGCCAAAAAGCTCCGGTCAATATAAAACGGATTGCGGGGCACGGCAGGCCACGAGGGTTGTACACAATTGGGCAGCGATCGTAGATTATGACGATGGTACGGCAGTGGCTCACTAGTCAAACGCCGTCTGGCCTGGTGTGCCTGGAATGCCACGAGACGCTCGTCGAGCGTACTTACTGCCTGATGCCATCACCAACACAACTTTATGGGCAACAACTACGGACGATCGTCCCTCTTCATGTCGTGGCAGTTGGTCGCCACAAGCCCTCAGAAGCACATCGCGTCATGAGATGCCTCGGACTAGAGCTCGAATGCCAGGTGCTTGGACGTCGGGGTTGCAGACGGGTGCCACCGTATTGGTCGCAGGTGTGCACAGTCCGGGCACCGGGCCGAGACTGCGACGGAGCAACCCTGAACCGTGGAACACCACTCTATGATCGACGTCGCCCATGCAAGGCCAAGGCCCGCTGCCGCAGGAGGACCCTGACAAAGCCGTACATGACCCCCAGATTGCTTTGCATCCACATCACGTCCCAATGCGGCCGATTCACAAATGGAGTCTTCTCTTGCTGGCCGGCTGGACACTTGAGAACTACTAACATGGAAGCTGTATCTCCAGAGTGACGGGCGTCTAGCCACCCCGACGTGACCTCTTCGGCAGTCGCCCTGTCGCCACGGCACTGGCATCCCTTCTGCCGTGCTCGACACGTGGCTGAGCCCAGATGTGACAATATAGCTCAAACTTGGCCATTCCCATAGGTTGACTCCGCATACCACGGAAGCAAGTTTGAGGCTTCACCTGCGAAGCACGGCCCTACATATTTCGACTTGATTAATTACAGTCAGTGGGCCTGAACAGCCCTGCGATTTGTCCAATATAGCTGCAGAGACCGCTTGTCTCAAGGATAAAGCCTGGCTGCAAGCCACCGTTCCTATTGGATCACGACACCAACAGACCACCAGCAAGTACAAGGAAAACGAAGTTCACTTTCATTCAGCACCCCAAAGTTTGGGTCTCGATATTAAAAATGCGGCACGTCGCGCCCTGCAGCGTCAGACTCAGCTCACAATCCTACCCAAACAAAGCTGGCCCTCCCCAGTTTTGTTGACGTGACCGAAAGCCTCGCGGTCATCAAAACTGGTTGACACTCACCAAGCGGCCCGTTCTTCCCTTCATCGGTAGTCAATCTTGGTCGAAATCTGGGGAAGGTGGATCTTAATTCGGAAGCCTGCCCGGAAGCCTGCCCCAATGAAATCGGCTGGATACTCCGTCGTATAGCCAAACACAAAGTGAGACCTACCCGCCATATGCCCCAAGTCTGCAACACGATCATATGGTCCAGAGCACACACGACGGCCTCCCCCGAGCGGTTGTGAAGTGCCAGGGCGAGATCTGACATCGGCACTGCGCTGCACTTTATCTAGAGTAACCTCCGTCAATCGACTGCCAGGCGGCGCGGCTGGCCACTTTCGGGCCTCCCCTCCGCTTGGTGTTACACCGCCTGGCTTCCGCTCATCCCGACAAGCAAAGCGGAACTTTTCAGACTGGCCCAGCCTTCCCCAGTGGGAGGAGCCAGCCCCTTCTCAGCGGGAGGAGCGCGTGGCTAGGCCTTACTTTGGCACTGCGCCCGACTGCGGCAATGGAGACAGGGTGATCCGCTCGGGAGGCAAGGTCTTCCGTTCAGGGGTTACTAGCTAGTTCGGCCTGCTCTAAACATGACAGGAGCAGACACTACCGAACATTGGCCACAACAGATATGCTCATGGGAAAGGGCTTTGGAGCCACTGCAAGGCATACTGAACGTCCAGGGTGACGCAGTCTCTTAGCTGCTTCCTCAAGTGTCAGATGTCGGATTCATCGCCGCCGCTATCCCTGAGTCGTGCTTGACTGCAACCGCAGTCTGTCATGGTCAGTCAACCACCTCGACGACGATACATCGCTTCTCGACGGCTGTCAAGCAAGTGCATACTTCAATATGTCACACGCCCTTGGGGACGCTAAGTGACGTCTAACTAGGAGCCTCTCGGTCATTTAAGTGTCGCCTGGAAGTGTCCAGAGCTTCGGTGGCCATCCCAGAGCGGACGCGAGGACGTCGAAAGGGTGCTTGATATGTACGCTTTCTGCTACTTTCGGACGTCCCATCTGCACAGCTATTGCGCTTGCATAGGTTGAATGCACGTCGATATGGAGCTGTCTTTAACCGGACCTGACTAAGGATGGCAATGCTACTGTTTCAAGGAAATATCGAAATGATGCTTGCCACCTCCTCCTGTGCGGACACAGCATACGCTGACGTATGGAGCAAAAGCTTGCTTGCTCGTTTTCGCTACGGACCTCGAAAATAAGGCTTCCGTTATTCTCAGTGCCGAATGCAAGTGTGTTCAGCAGGGCGGAGTAGCACTCTCAGCGCGACTCGGGTCTTGTCAAAGAGTCGGCATGATCGTGCGCATTGATAGAATGCAGTTAGATCGGAGAAGGGCGCCTCGAGTACCGCGGCGGGATATGCACAACTTGATGCCGATACTATACGAGAACGTCATTTTTCTTCTCCCACCGGTCTATGAGCATTGTAGAATACAAATCCCAACCGGCTAGTGTCGGTACGTTGTTGCGTTCCCTGTCCCCCGGCGTCATGCGTCGGAGCGGACCACATCCGTGGTTGCAGAGGTTTCCAAGGTCTGAAGAACAATTTCCTATGCATCACTGCAGATGAAAGCGATGGTAGGCAAGGGCTGAGTGTCTTCTCAACCGTTACCATGAGTGTGGGTTTGTTTCCTTGTATCTCAGAGCCTCGCTTGCCGAGACCTTTATGGAATGCTTTTAGTACCTAGCAAGTTATGAAATGTCCGCATGAGGCGAGATGAGCCTTTCAATACCTGGGTGCTTGAATACGAACCTCTCATACTTCCCCAGGAAAACCGAATGCATGTTCATGGCCTGCAAGCCTGCTAGCTGAAACAGAGTTACAACTCTATCAAGGCGATGTACTGGTTTGTATTGATAAATTGGAGACGTATTAGCTGGGTGATCCAGTTGCAGTTGCAATATTCCGTAGCGGAATAGACTTATCCCATGAGTTGTTGCCTCGCAAAGGTGCAGAAGAATACTCATGGACTGAGTCATGTTGTACCAACATGTGCAGATGGCAGCGTCTATGGCGGTACGGTGAAGACGTCAGGTTCTGCACATGCTGCTGTGTGAAGGCTCAGAGCGGAGGCTCGGAGAGACCGGTTCTGAATCGTAGATCTTGCTCTCGCAGTTCGGCCACAACAAAGCACAACCCACGCTGGTGAAGATATGGATTTGGCCGAAAGCTTATCGACTAATTAATTCAAAGGTAAGCTCGTTCTCTAAGCAGGAGCGAATACATCTAGCTGTGTGCCTGGGGATGATGCGAGATACGGTTGAAAGAAGATAGAGTTACCAAGACATAGTTATTAGATACAGTTTATGAACTGCACGTGTATCTAGGAGCATACAACGATGTGAAATCCAGAAAGATAATCCCAGAAGACTATTGTCAAATGACATTCGCAGTCCTTGCCTTATCTCAACCTCAACGTCCAACATCGAATATAGAAAGAGGATTTATGTTTCACCGTGGAACTGATTCTTGACGCCGATTAAGGCTCACAGAGGGAGGTGTTTCACCGCTTGACTCACCCGAAAGTCTATAAATGTTGTTCAGTGGTAAGCAACAGCCGATCACTAGTCAGACCTCGTCCACTTTCAGACACGATTATTCGACATCGTAACCTACGTTTAGGATCTACGGGAATACCAGAGCCATCATTCTATGAAGGGCACATACGCAGCCTAGGGACATTGTCATGAACTGCATCTCGGAAAAGTAGCACCGTCGCTGCATTTTCTGATCAGGCGTGGGCTTAAAGACAGTCCAGGGGGCAGTGGGTCGGTGGCTATTCATGAATTCTTATCGACGTCCAGAGGTGTGGAAAGATTGCATCTGAATTGATATTTTGATTCTGCTCAGGCACGTGCTCCGGTTCAACATTGAACAGTTTGTACTGCTTGAAAATACACCATAGAGACAACACCTAAGTAATTCGTCATCATTTCCATCGTGAAAATGCCGTATGAAGTGTTTCAGAAGTCAAGTGCGAGGCTGCTAATCTCTGCCATAGCAATGAAGTAAAGGGCGGTAAAGCTGCTGCCACAACCTCCTGGTCTCTCAAGGACCATTTTAAACCTTACCAACTCTGTGGTCACACAGATAGGGCTTCGAGTCTATCATCAGTAGTCTGCTGCATGACTCCATCTTTGCATGAGGTCCATCGTGGTGCATGTACAGTCGACAGAGCCGAAGATGTTGACGGGCTCAAGCATCCAGCCACATTCCAGCCTATAAGTCTCGTCCTTCCAGCTCGATCCGTGATCAGTTTCAGTTGTTTCTGCTCCAGGCAGGACTAAACAGCTTTCGTCTCGAGTCCCTCATTTTCTAATTCTCTGATCATCTGGAAAACCCACGAGTTTATCTCTTGGCTTTTGGCCATGGCAGATATAGAGAAAGCTGAAATCGAGACGCCCTCCACGGGCAGTGAGGCAACAACAAGACCTACATCGCGCGAGGCGATCACGGAAAGGGTGCGACAAGTCAGCGTCAGCAGCTGCCCAGGGCCAGGCGACGACCTCGAGCGGCAGAGCACCCACATCTCCCTGGCAGAGTCCATCCGGCAGAAACTCGGCAACCGCCCGGCATGCTTCAGGAACTCAGCGCAGGAGGTCTCCTTCGTGGCGCAGGCGACCATCGCCATGGCGTCGAACCCGTTCCTCACGGGCGCCACGTCGACGGTCACAGCCACCATCGGCCGGGAGCTCGGGATGACGCAGGGCCAGGTCTCGTGGATCGCGGCGTCGACGACCCTGGCCGCCGGCTCCTTCCAGCTCGCGCTGGGCCAGCTGTCCGACCTGCTCGGCAGGAGGATGCTGTTCCTCTGGGGCATGGGCTCCTACGCCGTCTTCGTGCTGCTTGTCGGCTTCGCGCAGAACCCGTTCTGGATGGACATCGTCCTTGGCGTCCTTGGTGTCTCTTCTGCGATGATCGTGCCACCTGCTGGTGGGATACTAGGGGCGGCGTACGGAAAGCCGAGTAAACGCAAGAACCTGGCCTTTTCTGCTTTCACCGCTGGCAAGTCGCTGGGGACTGTTGCGGGAAGTATCACTTGCGGCATAGCCGCGAGGTTGTTCAACGTAAGTGAAGACACTCGACTGCTGCTGACCGCAACTATCCATGAATAAAATGCTAACTTTCCGGCAGTGGCGCGCTTCTTTCTACTTCATCGCGATCCTTTTCGCGGTCTTCTTCCTGCACGCTCTGTGGGCGGTCCCGAGCGTTGAGGCCTTCGAGCCCGGAGAGCCCCTGAGGCAGAGGCTATCCGCTTTCGCTCGGAAGTTCGATGCCTTGGGCGCGGCTCTCATCCTGTTCGGGACCGGCATGTTGACTGCTGGTATCACACTCGGGCCGGAGGAAGGGTGGACATCTCCCATCACTCTTCCTTTGACCATCATCGGAGTCGCCCTGATCGTAGTGTTTGGCTTTTGGGAGACGAAATGTGCACATCCACTCATGCCTCCTTTTATCTGGAAAGACCGCAACTTCGCCTTATTAAGTAAGTGCATTCCTGAGCCTCGAGTCGAATGGGCCTCGTCCTGTGATAAAAGTGCACTCTACGCCAGGACTTTGACTGACTGTAAGCTCGATAGGTGCGACAACTGTCTTCGGATACATGTCCTTCCAAGCATCATCGTTCTACCTGGCATTTTTTATGCAAGAAATTCGGGGATACGATCCCCTCAGCGTCGCCGTCCACCTTCTCCCGCAAGCCATTGCCGGCCTGCTGTGGAACGTTCTGATAGGCTACACGTTGCACAAAGTCAACAACACACTGATTACAGCCGTCGGGTCGCTCTCATACCTCGCTGCCAACATACTCCTGTCTCTGATGCACGCTGATAGCTCATACTGGGCGTTCATGTTCCCGGCGCTGATCCTTAACGTTGTGGGCGCGGACTTCCAGACCAACGTCTCCAATGTGAGTTATCTCCCGTTCTCTGAAGCCGCTGTCGTGGTGGATACGCTGACGTCCTCGTAGATGTATGTGATGCAGTGCCTGCCAGCACACCAGCAGGGCCTAGCAACCGGCGTACAGAACACCCTCAACCGCTTGAGTGCAACGGTTGGAGTGGGCATTGCCACAGCCATATACAGCTCCGCCGATACAACGGCCCAGGGCATGGCCCACCCGATGCTGAAGTACACCCGGACGTTCGAGGCATCCGTCGGGATGGCCGCGGTGAGTGTGCTGTTCGTCCCGTGGCTTCGGCTTGGGACCCAGGGGAGCCAGAATAGCGCGACTACGCTCGTCACGGAGAAGAAAGATGCGCAGCAGGTGGTGGATGCTGGTGCGACAGGTGATGGAGTGAGAGAAGGATGAAGATGGCGGGTATTCTGATACATGGCCATCACTTGATCAGGCTAATCTGATATACACTTGTCATCGTATTTTGGCTCAAAAGAGTAATGCAACTTCACTAAGGTCTGCAAGGGGCAAGGCACACTCAGCTTGATCGATTGGTCGGGAGGATTGCCCGTATCCAGCTTTCATGGACAAATTACCATCCAGGCAGCAATGGCATATCCCATAAGCGCGCGACATGGGTAGGTGGACGATCACATCCATCATATTAATGACCTGGTATCTGCTATGTCCTGGGACTCCTGATAAAACCAACGACACCGCCACAGTAGCCCACGAGGGTATCAAGCCGGTCCTTCTCCTTCTCCTGGTGGCTCTTCCACGTCTTCAGCTCCCTTAGCAGGACTTCACTCTCCATGACGACATCAAAATGCAGCTTCAAGAACACCGTCATCCAAGCTTGCGTCAGCTCGTAGTCTCGTCTGGCTACCAGCCTGGCCGTCATCGCTCGGATGAAATGGAGCAACTCGTTCTCCTCGCTGTCGCTGGCGTCACCAATGGACAGCGACCGGAGCTCGAGGTCGGCTGCCGACGGCGACAGCGACTTCATGTGCTCGATGAAGTCGTCGTATTTGCCACTGACAGCGCCGTCGCGGAGCCTCGCCGAGAAAGTCACCTGTGATCGGCTCCAGTCGAGCTTGGTGATTCTTGATTTGGATTCGTCCTCTTCCTTCGCGTTGGCTGGAGCATTCAAACCCTGGGCTTTGTCGCCGTTTGCCGACGGCAGGAAGAAGGGTGCCTTCTCGGGTGCCTTTGGTGCCTCTGTCGGCTTGTTGCGCTTCTTGATCAGGTCAAGGTGCAGGAGAGTCTGCCACCTGCTCTTGGGCACCAGACTCAAGGTCATCATGTCAGCGCTCAGCTGGTCTAGGCTTGGAGCTGCCACACCGTCTGCCTCGTCCTCTGCGCTGGACTCTTCAAACGCGGCCTCTAGCAAGCCCTGGCCACCCTCGCCCGAGGTTGTGGGACCCGAGATATGACCGATCTCGCTCTCCGATATCTGTCTCGTCGGAATGTGCTTGAAAACGGCTTTGTTCGTGAAGATGTTCACCCCCAACTGGTCTGCATTCGACACCGCTAGGTATTCTCCGGTCCCTGAAAAGGCCAGCGCCGTGCATGGTGTCTCGAACTTGAAGGCATCAATGAGATGGCTGGTGGGGAGGTCCCAGATTCGCACAATGCAGTCTTGTGAAGCCGCGATCACCCAGCGACCGTCATTTGAGAAGCAGAAATCGTTAATCGCACCATTGCAGCCCCAGAATTCTCTGATAGTCTTTTTGGTTTCGATGTCCACCACACGGATGGAATTGTCGTCGCAAGAAAAGGCGATGAGGTCGTTCGCCGCGTGATACCTGCAGCCCGTTACCTTTGTCATGGGAGCCCAATCAATCTGCTCCAGTAAATTTCCGGTAAGGAGTTCCCAGAACTTCACCGTCCCATCCAAGGAGCATGATATGACAAGCTTGTTCATCGAATCTACCACAATTCCGGTCACAGGCTTGGTGTGCTTTCCAGTCCCTGGCGCGAAGTTGATGCTCGACCGGGCTTGGAGCTCCTGAACAGAATCCGCCTGTTTCAACTGGTGCATCCTGAGTTGCCTGGCTTGCGCTGGGGTCAGTCGTGATGGGAACCTTTGTCGGTGCACACCTGACTGTAAGTTGAACATGTCGATATTGCCGCCCTCTGAGCCTACCAGCGCGAAGGTGCCGCATGGACTTATGGCGACCGTGGAGACGTTCATGCCATCACCTGTCTGGAACGCCCACCGACCGGCCCTCTTTCGACCCCAAAACCAAGTTCGTGCATAGGGATCGTCCTTGTGCCCAGTGACTACGCTTTCCCAACCAGTCATCGCGCTGAGCTCAGCATCGGTCCTCTTCTGGACGTTTCCTTTCTGCCAGATTTGATGCTTGCCAGGAATAGCTCCCATACCACCGTCGCGATTGAGCGATGAAGATATACATGTAATCTCGGGTGCTTTTAGGTCATCGAGGGTGGTTGTCGGCCCATGGCTGAGAGCAGACTGAGACAAAATGCCAATCTTCTTCGCTTTCTTCCGAATGGCTCCTTGGCTCAACTCCGTGCTCTGGCCGTCGCGGCGCAGACTCCATCCCCAGAGGCTTCGGTCCTTTCCAGCACTCAAGAGCCATTTGTTGCCAGCTTCAGAACCATCAAAGTCGGATGGCAGGAATTCGAGACGTGTCACCGGCCCAGAATGTCCGCTTCGTGAATGTAAGATTCGCGGTACGGGCGTGAACGGACTCTCGTCGAAAATCCACGACTTCAAGGAGTTGTCCAACCCGCTGGTGATGATAACTGGCTGGCCGGGAAGGAACTCAACCTTGCTCACTCCGCCGCCGATGGTGGCACCCTCCACTGCTGGCGGGTTGTGGGCGCTGCGAAGGACACCCATGATCCTGCCTCCTTTGTTGAGGTCCCAGAACGTAATGTCGCCATTTTTCGTCGTTGCCGTGGCCATCACGCCGTCCTTCCGCCCATCTTGTCCTGCACCCTGACCATCCGTTCGAAATGAGATCGCAGAGACCGGTGCCTCCTCCGTACCGGCCATTAATTGGACTACTCTCTTGTCCATTAGAACATCATGAATGATCAGAGGGCCGTTCGAATAGGATATCGCGAGCAGCGATAGCGCTGGGGTTGGCTCCAGGCAGGCAACGGCGCCGCACTTCTGTGATGGAGGCAGAATGGTATAAACCAGTTTTCCAGTACTGATGTTCCAAATTTCGACCCAGCCGTCCCGGCGCCCGACAAAGATCTTGTTCAAGTAGGTTGGCATGTTGCAAATGCCGCCAGTCAGCTCGTTGTCTCCAGTCTTCGAGGCCACTGCGTGCAGGGTAGTGTAGTGTTCGTAGGTGGCGGTCTTCCATGCCTCGATCCTCGTCGAGCAGCAGGCCACTATCCAAGAACCGAAAATGAGAATCTGCCGTATGGGTTGGTCAAGGTCGCTGGGCAGCGGCAGTTCTGCGACCTTCTTGCCCCGCTGGAAGATCCAGAGCCCTTGAGGGCCGCCATTGCGCGAGTCGCCCCAGGCAGCAAATACCTTCTCCTTCCAAGCGTATGTTGCTGTTACATCGGCGGGGGCCTGGGGACGAGTGATGAAGACGAGGTTCAGGCCGCGCTTAAGATCGTATGTCTGGAGAGATCGGCCCACTGAGGTGGTTATCTGGAAGGTTGTTTTGCCCAGGGGTATTGATGTGAAGGGAACAGTGGTCGGGGAGACCAGGCCGACGGTCTGTTGGAGGGCATCGTCAGCAGGTCGACTCTAGCGGAGCTGAGAGCAAAGCATGAGGCAAGGCGCATTGGCTTACCCTGAACGGCGCAAATATTCTGGATCCTTTTGGTGCTTGGGAGGCAGATTTGGCTGGGGCGCCGACTCTCTGGCGCTTGACAAGCGGAGCGTCATTCTGCTCGGAGTGAGGCATCTTGAGCCAGCCCTGATAATCAAGTAATTACCACCGAGTGTCTGATCATGTTGTGCCAACTCAAAACTATTGTAGTTTGGCGATGCAGTCGCAGAAATTTGGACCGTTATCTTATCTTATCTTATCGCACCACTTAGGTGCTTATCCACTTACCGTGTACTGAGGTCCCACTGCTCAGGGCCCGAAAGTAGGTACTAGAGGCAGTATAGTATGTCTACAGAAGGTCCATTCCTTATATGAATTGCAGGATGACCAAATAATTTAGGACAATGACTTTGACTTCTGAATCTGAAGGAAAATTAACATGTTTTACTTCTGCCTGCAAATTACGCAGTCTAAACAATGCCACAATGGCGGGAGATTTAACAAAGAGGGATGCTTGGGACTAGTAGTTACGGGCCACCCAAACGGATTCCTTGTTTGTAGAAATTGTGTTCGAAAACTGAGAGAGAAACATATTTCAATCTCTTATACCCCGGGCCCCTTCCTGATGACACTACTTTGCTCCCGATAATTCAGGAAGATGATGAAGTACAGTTGTCGACAAATATATGCCATTGACACCCTTTCTTTTCATATTTGACAACTAATGCAGGCTTAAAGACCGCAGAGTCTGGCTTTATTTACCAATTCGACCAAAGTTCCCAGATTTGTGCTGTCTATTGCTTCGGATTACCGTTGCCCCGGCTCACGCAAATGCTTGGCTGCCTCGGCCGCAAAGCGGCATTTCTTGCGCAACCGCTCTCCATATCGGTAGAATATGAAAGGGAACGGCACACAGGCCAGAGCCAGGAAGCCTGGAACGCAACTCGGCCAATGAATTCCGAGGCCGCGGTACATGTACTATGTATCGTCACACGCAAAAAGGCGTTTTATATCAGCTCTTGTATTCTGCGGGTGAAATACCAGGAATGAAATGAAATGGTATGGCATGTGTAAGTAGCTTACGCCTGTGAAAAGTGGAAAGGCGGCGCCGAAGACAGACTTCAGCATGGCTTTTGCGGCAAGCACACTGGCAGCGTATATGGTATATGCGTCGACGAGGTAGTTCTGGATAGAGATGTAGACAAGGACGAAGCCAAAACCGAAGGGTGCTTGGGCTGCAATGGAGATGAGCCAGGAGGAGGAAGGGTCATTTGTCCAAGCAAACCAGAACAGACCGATAGGAATGGCGACACAGCCGACCAGGGACATTGGTAGGCGTTTCTATGGGTCAAAAGAGTGGCCTTCGCCGCTTTTATTGATCTTGTTTGAGCGAATGGTCAGGTAGAGGGCGGCAAGGATGCCAATGGCGATTCCCACAGCAAGACCGAGAAACGAGAGACCTCCAATTCGTTGGTCCCAGCCACAATATTCTTGGTAGATTATGGCGAAGGCGGCGAAGAAAAGGTATAGTTAATTCGCCTGTGAGCGTAATTCATGTCAAGGGGCACAGCAGCGAGTAACTCACCGTGCCATACAGGATCGCTATGCAAATGGTCAGCAACAAGACGATAGGTTCGAGGCAAAGAAGCACCCATGGCCGGACCAGGGCTATCTTGATGGTGGCTAGGAAAGTCTTCTTCTGACGGTTCTTATCTATTTTCGATATATATACACGACCTTTGACCTTCGAGAGTCGCCGCGCTCTTCGAACAAGCAGTACGGGAGCAAATGTTTCGGAGAAGTTCATGGCCATGAATAGAGAAAATAAACCTCACAGTATCGCACTGGCATCATGATATTAGTAGTAAGCATAACAATGTATCTATGAAGCCTTGACTGGAAGGTGGAGGAGTGTCGACTTACAGCAGTCCCAGAACCCGTCTCCATCCCGCTGCCTCCCTTAGAAACTCACCAACGATTGGGCCAAGGGAGGGACCGAACAGGGGTGCCGAAGAAAAGAATATCATGGCGACACCTCGCTGTTCATCGGGCCAAATGTCTGCAAGGATACCGCCTGCAATGGTCAATGGCGACGAACCAAATGCACCTGCGATGAACCTCAGAATGAAAAGGCCCTCGGCTGCGGGGGCCAAGGCACATCCTGCAGTAAACAGAGTAAAGGCCAAGTACTAGCAGCATTGAGTATCAGTATCAGCACACAAGCACTTCACTTGACAGGAGAGAAGGAGGGAACTGACGGTGGAAGTGAACACAAGCCGATGGCCATACGGCTCACTCAATGGACCCCAGATGACGGGCCCAACTGCAAACCTACAAGTATGAGCACAAAAATACGTACATATGAGCAAGATCATACAGTCTGGGTCGATGTGTAAAAGGATAAGTATGAAGCCTTACCCCAGAATAAAAGCTGATAGCCCCAGCTCGAAAACCAGCTCACTGACTGAGAAGGTGTGCACGATCTGAGTAGAAGGAGCTGTGTATGCACTCGTAGCCAGAGCCACTACAAATGTAGCCAAAGACACCAAGCCCGTCCAAATCCATCGTCCGGTCTGGCTGAACTGCTTTGGGTCACTAGGGTCGTTGTGTGTCCAGTTAACAACGAAAGGATCCTCGACCGTCCCGGAGCTAGAGTACCGGTATTCGAGAATATCGCGGTCCACCCAGCCATAGTCCAGCATCAGGGCACGATAGGATATGCGACGTCTCGGTGGTGACATGCAGGACTCGTCGGCCTCCATTGTTGTTGCTCGGAAGTCAGCCATGGGGCAAATTTGGGCGTAACTTGGAATCGGAGACTAACTTATATCCGAACGTGAGACGAGAGATCATCAAGGCAAAAAACATGAATGGAAGCGTCCAGCCAGGACATCTGGACGGCACTTTGAGCATTGGGTATTACCATGGCCGAAGTTATAACAGGTTAATCAGCCGTTGTCTAGCACTAACGTCACACACACGATGCTTGATGCACCAGGTATTCATTGGCTGAAAGTGCAAAGGGTCAATTTGCATTGGCGCTGTATTGGCATGCATATACCAATATTGGCATTTGCAGATCAGAATTGGCTTTGGACGGATCTTCGCATTGATGACACCGTAGAGCACGTTGCTCCGATATCACAATACAGGTTTTCATGTTGTACAGTTCGGGATCGAGACGGTTGATCATAGGTAGCTCTCGCGAGAATGGTGTGACGCGAGAATGCATACTTAAAGCACAACCTCACGCCTGGATTCCTGATGCTCGTGAATTGGCAGTATACCGGAGCAATCAAGTCGTTAGCTTTACTTCTTCCCTTTTCCAAGAATGGCTTCCACTGAAATCCACTCCCTCCCCGTCCAAGAGCTGTACTCCAAATGGAGTACCAGCTACGACCAAGAGCGTGCCAATAATCTGCGAGGCCTTGACGACACCGGACTGGAGACACTCCTTCCAAAATTCACCTCTCTACTCGTGCAAAGCCACGGCTCATCTACAGGCCCCCTCAGGGTTGTCGACTTTGGCTGCGGTACGGGGCGCAACACGCTCAAATTGATGGCGATGCTCCCGGGCGCCGAGATTATCGGCCTCGACGCGACCCCTGCCATGTTGGAAGTCGCCGAAAGACGATGCAATCAGGCCTCGTCTGAGCTACCTGCCAACTTGCTACCAGGGAGCCTCTCTTTCAAGGTGTACAACCCGCTTGAGAAGAAGATGGGTGTTGGTACTCCCGTACCAGGCCAGGCCCAAGGACTGATCAGCACTTTGGTCATTGAGCACCTACCTATCGCCGAGTTCTTCAAGATGTGCAGCGAGTTTGTTGGTCCGGGCGGCTACGTCCTTGCAACCAACGCCCATGAGGACCTCGCCCGGATCGCGCGCGCGAGCATCGTGGACCCGGAGACTGGGGCTCTGCTTTGGGGTGAGAGCCATACCCACACTAACGAGGCTGTAAAGAAGGAGGGAGCAAAGTGGGGGTTTGACCTGGTGGAGATACAGGAGGGGATTCCGAAGGATCCCAACATTGTTGGACCCATGCGAGGCCACTGGGATGGGGTGAAATGTTGGGTGGGTTTTGTGTTGCGTAGACAGAATTAGTCTGGCCCTTGACGCTGGCCCCAGTCGAGGACCAACGGAAAAGAATGGGGATGCTCTTCTGCTGGTGCCGATTGAAGTTGCTGGTCTCTCTCATCTTGCCCTCAACGAGACAGTCGTAGCTGCTACCAGCACTTTCTTGTGAGATCTTTTCGAGCCAGAGGTCATCAAGAACCGGGATACCCAGCTCGATAGACTGAGATATAGTACAATCCAGGCCATGACACTTCTGACTTGGCTGGGGTCTAAACATGGTGCGAATTCAAGCATTGAGTGGTTGAGTAAGGTTGGAGTGGGTGTCCGATCTCTGGCCCAAGCTGTTCAAGCAGCAGTCTGCAAGGGGCCTGGGTGTCGTTGGGCGGGTGATACTTCTGCTGCCAACAAACAACTGGTGATGGAGGCCTTCTGAAGGAACATCGGCTGCCTGAAATAGACTGGATGCCTACCTGCCCCGGGTCTGGAATTTGTGAGAGGCGAGAGGAAGGAAAAAAAAAAAAAAGTTTCGATGTTGCACGGCGGTAATTTTGTTCGCGTATGGTGCAAGATGCGAGATGAAAGACCAATGTGGTGAAGTGTGTTGTGCACTGAAGTCTATTGTACCTACTGTAGGTAGATTAATGTCTCTTACACCCCACGCAAGTGGTACGTATACCTTGCTGGTAAGTCACTACAATTTAATACCGTGAATGGACTTGGAGCACCTACCTAGGTACCCAATGGTTGTCTGGGCTACATCCGGGAGCTCCCACGCATGCGCAAGATTAAACCCGAGGCTTGCTGTTGCTGCGAACGCCCCCGACGTGCCCCTCCCGTTCGCTGCAGTCCACTGGTTGCAGCGCACGTCATCAAGAACAAAACCCCCGGCTGGACCTGCCATTTCTCCAAGGTGTAGTTGCAGCAGCATCTGTTGCAAAAAAAGGTTCTTTGAGACGAGGGAGATGACACCTGACAAGAAGGATACCGGCCGTATTCCAGCTGCTTTCCTGCGTCGACTGACCTGCTCGTGGCATCTGACAATACCATCTGGGTTGAGGAGGTGTTACGGGGGGCAATGCAGGCCCTGAAATAGATACATGACACACCTGAAGTAGGTTAGTAGTGTGCCACTGTAGGTACCTAGGTACATGCAGCATCCTCCAGGGCTGGCGACAACAAAGTTCCGACCTCGAGGCTCGTGATAAACGGCACTACCTTGGATGATATGGCGTTGGCCTGATCATTTACGAACAGGTATTTCGATTTCGACGCCAAGCCTTAACCTAAACAGCCCAGGTCAGAACCTACGACTCAAGCCAGTGGAAGCCGCTAGCCGTGCTCCTCTGGGAGCGAGATCTGGCCGCCAGCAAGGAAGGCTCCATTCAAAACCAGTGCCCACTCCGCTCCATTCAACTTTGCCTCACTCTCATCCTCACACGGCCTCGACTCACCTCACTCACTACACCCGAAAGCATTACATTACACGGCACTCTTAGTGTCTGCTGATTGGAGGTCGGCCGCTGCATGAGACTGTAGCTCGGTCATGGATCAACCGCCACCGCCACCAGGCCACACTCCCGACCCGGCCACACCTGAAAACCACGCTCCGGGAGACACATCCACCAGTGGCCCGGCTCACTCACCGAAGTCCCCCGTCTCCTCCGTCAAGAGCAACCCCTCCGCCGGTCAAGGGGGCAATGCCACCGAACCTGGGACTGCAGACGTGGCCGCGAGTTCGTCCATGCCGCCCCCAGCCCGGCCCATAAAGAGCCCACGCGCACCTCTGGCTCAAAGCAGCCTCGACACCATCAACGCTGATACAGGGAACGATGATGCGGTCTCCCTGAGGTCTCGCACGGCCGAGACCAGCTCCACTCAAAGCTCCAGTTCCCTGCGTGACGTCGTCGCTGCCAGCGACGACCAGGAGTCGGAGACCCCTCGCTTGAATCCTGGCACTTCTGCGGACTACGTCGGCGACCACCCGCTGCCTGACCCCGCTATGCCGTCTTCACGCTCTTCCTTCTCCGAGGCTGACAAGGAACTCAAGCGCATGAGTGTCTCTTCCATCTACTCTATGGCCTCCGCTCGCGGCATACCAAGCTCAGCAGCATCGGTTACTGGCTCTGATACTGGCTCTGCCGGCACCCATCGCTCCGTGTCCGGTATCATCGCCTCTTCATCTGGGAAACAAGGCGAGACCGGTGTATCGAACGTGACCGTTACTACTGGCAGTCAGGGCACGCCTGGAGGAAACCTTGCTCCCCGAGATCAATATCAACATCTCGCCGACCCCCCTAAGAGGAATCACCCGCAACCACCTCGCTCTGACCCTTCTGGCGCCCCCAGGCCTCAACCAATCAGAGAAAGAAGTCGTGCTAAGCGAAGACTCAGCGGTAGTACCGCGGCTAGCAGCCACAGTCCAAGCGGTGACCGGACACCTCACCATAGGGAGAAGGAGGAGGGTTGGTCAACACTCCCGCACAACACTTGTATCAAGGCGAAAGCTGACATAACCAACAGCGAAACCCGCGCCATTGGGCCTCATCGGCGTGTGTGCCTTGGACGTCAAGGCCAGGAGCAAGCCCAGCAGAAACATCCTGAATCGTCTTCTTGCGAATCGGGAATTCGATGTTAAGATATTTGGAGACAAAGTTATCCTAGACGAAGGTATGAGCGTGACTTATCCTATCAGGATCCAATTGCTAATACCATGTCAACAGATATTGAGAACTGGCCCGTGTGGTATGTGTCCACTGTCGAGCAGTCGACCGCCCTGGTGTCTGTTTCCCCCACAGTTGAGCTTTGCTAATCTTGCTGGACGCAGTGACTACTTGATATCATTCTACTCTGACGGATTTCCACTTGAAAAGGCAATCGCCTATGTCAAGGCACGGAAGCCATTTTGTGTCAATGATGTGCCCATGCAGCAGGTTCTATGGGACCGACGTCTTTGTCTCCATCTCTTAGACAAGATCGACGTCCCAACCCCAAAACGCTTGGAAGTGAACCGTGACGGCGGATCCCGTATCCTGACTCCCGAGTTGGCGAAGCATATCGAGGACGTTACTGGCATCTCCCTGGAACCGACTCCCACTGACCCAGAAAAGATGAAATTGCCCCGGAAGGTAGAGCTGCTGGATGATGGTGACATACTCAGCGTCGACGGCGCACTGCTTAAGAAGCCTTTCGTCGAGAAGCCCGTGAGCGGCGAGGATCACAACATCATCGTCTACTTCCCCAATGACGACCCTGACTATCCCGGAGGCGCGAGAAAATTGTTCAGGAAGATCGGGAACAAGAGCTCCGAGTTCGTGCCCGACCTCAAGGTCCCGCGCTGCATCACTCAGCCGGCGGAGAGCTTCCTTTACGAAAAGTTTATGAGAGTCGTGAACGCAGAAGATGTGAAGGCATACACAGTTGGTCCCAGCTATTGTCATGCGGAGACTCGAAAGTCACCTGTCGTCGACGGTGTCGTCCGGCGCAACACGCACGGCAAAGAGGTCCGCTATGTGGCTCATCTCACTGACCTGGAAAAGAGTGTTGCAAGTAGGATTGCGACGACCTTTGGCCAGCGCGTCTGTGGCTTTGATCTGCTGCGAGCCGATGGGAAGAGCTATGTCATCGATGTCAACGGGTGGAGCTTCGTCAAAGACAATGATGACTATTACGATCGATGTGCAAATATCATGAAGGAGATCTTCATCAAGGAAAGAGTACGTCGAGGGGCAATGACGCCGCCCATGCCCTCTCCTGCTATATCGGATGTCGATCCAATGTCCAGGGCCGCGACTTTCGGCACCCAAGAGAAGGGCCCCAAGGAGACCCCTCTTACCGGAATGCTGCCGAACCAGAAATCAGCCACTGGTATTCAAGGGCCCAAGTCGACGCAAGACGTCAGGGCCGCACACTCACCCGTTCCGGACCCAGCTCCAAAGTCAGAGGTCGTCACCGCGTCCAAGGCCGGGAGCGGCGCTACGAGTCCTCTACTGCCCCTTTCCGAGCCTCTCGTTAACAGCAAGTCGTCCTCGGCGGCAGGGACTGTGCCGGTCACGCCAAATCTCCAGGAACTAGCGACAGAAGAAGAGGATGTGCATACACCGCCGCCACCTCCACCCAAACACTCTTGGAAGCTCAAAGGCATGGTGTCGGTCATTCGACACGCCGATCGTACGCCGAAGCAGAAGTTCAAGTTTACGTTCCACACCGATCCATTTATCGAATTGCTCAGAGGCCATCAAGAGGAGGTACTCCTCATTGGTGAGCCAGCACTGGCGAGCGTCCTCGAAGCCGTCGAGAAAGCCATGAGGGCTGGCGGAGAGGACCGCGATAAGCTTAGGGCGCTGCGGAACGTCCTGGTCAAGAAGAGCAGCTGGCCAGGCACCAAGGTTCAGATCAAGCCAATGTTCCGCAAGAAAAAGAACGAAGAGATGACCCCGGTTGACGAGAAGCAAGTTTCTCCGAGGGAAACAAGTTCACAAACCACTGAAGAAGTGCCCGAGGCCTCAAATTCAGGAAACGAGCTTTCCAGCACTGAGAATAAGCCACGCTTCCCTCCCAAGCGCCACGATTCTCTTTCAGGTGTCACAATGTCGAAGATCACAGCTGCAGAGAATGGTCTCGTTCTCGATAAGTTGCAACTGATCGTGAAGTGGGGAGGTGAGCCAACGCATTCAGCCCGTTACCAAGCACAAGAGCTAGGTGAAAACATGCGCAATGACCTGGCGATTCTGAACCGTGACGTCCTTGATGAGATACATGTCTTCAGCAGCTCAGAGAGACGAGTGACGACGAGTGCCCAGATTTGGTCGTCTGCCTTTTTGGACCGCACAGACCTTCCAGAGGATTTCATTCAGATTCGGAAGGACCTTCTGGATGACTCCAATGCTGCGAAGGACGAAATGGACAAGGTCAAGAAGAAGCTCAAGGGTCTCCTCCGCAAGGGTAACGAACGACCGCCACAGTTCGCTTGGCCAGAGAACATGCCCGAGCCGGCCGAGGTGCAGACCCGCGTTGTTCAGTTGATGAACTTCCATCGCCGGGTCATGCATTTCAACTTCAGCAAGTTGCGCAGCGGAGCTGTGAATTCGCAACGCGGTTTCCCAACCCAGGTAGCTCAGAAAAGCTCAAGGCTGGCGAGGGCTCGTCTGGCTCCGTCCACTCAATGGCGTCTTCACTATCCCAGGTCACGGCGGTTAATGAGATCCAAGCCCGATGGTGTTGCGGAGAAGACGCCGAGCTGTTCCGCGAACGATGGGAGAAGCTGTTCACGGAGTTCTGTGACGGTGAGAAGGTAGACCCTAGCAAGATCTCCGAGCTATACGACACGATGAAATTTGACGCGCTTCACAACCGTCAATTCCTAGAGTGGGTATTCAGGCCAACTAAGGAACTGGTTGAGGAGTTCCGCAAGCATGGCGTCGTCGCAACAGACCAAGACGGCAAGTCGGCTCAAGCTGGTAAGGAATCTCAGCAGCCCGCCAAGTCGTCCGAGGACGGCAAGAACGGGGAGAAGGGCTCTGCCAGAGATGGCGAGAGGGATGACCATAGGGTCAGGCGTTTATTCAGAAGGTCATCCATGGGCAGCAGCATGCGGAAGGCAGACATTGTGGGGGATGCAGAAAAGTACTTTGGCCTTCAGAGGGGCTCGCCCGAAAGCCAGACCAAGGCGAAGACCGATGATCGTTTTGAGCTACTGCGGGAGTTGTACCAGCTTGCCAAAGTCCTGTTCGACTTCATCTGCCCCCAGGAGTACGGTATATCTGACAGCGAAAAGGTATGTGATTTCTTGTCTCACGAGAAACGGGGTGGCGGTACTGACTGTGACATCCACAGCTCGAGATTGGCTTGCTTACCTCCCTTCCGCTCCTGCGAGAAATTGTCTCCGACCTGGAAGAGATGCAAGCCTCGGACGACGCGAAGTGCTTCTTCTACTTCACCAAAGAATCTCACATCTACACCCTCCTCAACTGCATCCTCGAAGGCGGCATTGAGACTAAAATCAAACGCAGCACCATTCCGGAGCTGGACTATCTCTCACAGATCTGCTTTGAGCTTTACGAGTCCGAGACCAATCAGCCACAAGGCGCCGCCACAGGCGAGGGCTATCCCACCTTCAATTACAGCATCCGCATTGCCATCAGCCCAGGATGTCACGTCTATGATCCGCTGGACGTCCAGCTCGATAGCAAGCACTGCATCAGCTGCGCGCAGAGGAGGACCCTGACGCCGCACTGTGACTGGAAGGAGGTCATCGAGACGTTGCGTGCCAAGTTCCACACCGTCAAGCTCCCCAAGAGCTTTGTGGCGGTCAATCTTTCGGACGCCTTCTCTTGGTCGGAGAAGCAGCAGCTAGACGGCCAGGATCTGCCAGATGCCGGTGATGTCCTGGAAATGAGGAAAGCCCCGGAACGTCCAAAGACGGACAGCGAGGCCCAAGTACCCACAGCGGAACAGGCACCTGCAGCAACTGAGGACCCTACGCAGGTGGTTTCTGCTGCTGCGGCTGCACAGGACACTGAAGGGGAGTCTACCGAACAGGAGGGCGAAGCCACTGAGACCCAGCAGGCTGGTGGTTCGTGATCCAAAACGGCCTTGAAGACTAGACAAAGACGACCGTGGCCTTTCACGACTGTGCATTCAGTCCGCTGCCTTCATAGCGGGAGTACTTTTTTGTTTCAGTAGCGAGATTACATACACCATCCACCCTCACGGTATCATAGATAGAGTGAAACAGCGTCCCATAGAAAAGAAACAAGATGCCCTTGTGGGCCCAGCGAGTCCTCAATGGCCAAATCTCCATGCCTTGACCATGCAAGACGGGAATGCCAGCTTGTGCGTGATCTTTGGCGTGACTGTCGAGCTGACCATGACGAGGTCCTGCGTTGCCCCTGGTGGCTAGTTACCACATCCACACTATACCACGGGCACATATATGTGTCTCGGAAGCCTTCCCGTCTTTGATCCCCTCTCCCCTCCCTCCGTCGATGATATTGACTGCGGAGCACCTCGCCCTCCCTCTCCTTTCTTCGCTACCATTGCTACCCAACCAGCCGTTGCAATATTGCTTCCCTCCCTGCCTCCCTGCCTCCCTGCCTCGACCCCCCCGTCCCTCCCTCTCTCTCTCTCCCTACGCGGGAGTCTCAACGACGGACCGATACCAATGTAAAATTGGACCCAGAATGTGACGTATCAAATACACTGGTCACAAACAGCAGAAGGACACTTGTCCGACTTCACACACGATTGACTGCCATGAGCGCCATGAGCGCCTGGAGCGCCTGGAGCGCCTGGAGCGCGATGTCCTTATCGGGCGATTTCGTGAAGCCTGAAGCCTGGAATTTCCGTGGAGAAGGCAGGTAGAGCGTGGTGGTGAGATGCTTCTGCCCCCCCCCCCCGGGGGCCCCACCAGTCCCACCATCCGGCTATGTGATGTCCCGGCCTCAACACGAGCAGGGCGAGGGAGTCCCCCCAAGTCCGGTACGGGTGGTTAAACCGAGAGGTGATGGTTGCAAGAAATTGCTCAGATCCTCCCGAGCCGAGATGTGGAGGACCAGAGAACCAGGCGGCGGTCAGGCCACGGGCTCGTAGAATTGTCCCCCCACGGGAAGAGCCCAGGCAACAAAGAACGGGCCCGATGACCTTGTCGCCGCTTGGTTTCTGAGCGTACCAAGGTCCGCACTTTGGGGCTCAGCGGCAGTGGCTACTGCTGTGTGCCTGCAGTCGATGGCGGTGATGCAACCGGGGGGGGGGGGAAAGGGGGCAGTTTAGGGAACTGGTTTGGAAGCAGGATAGATGGCCACACCCGATGATTATCCAGCCGGTCTACCTAGCCTGCGCCATCTACCAAATAATGAGATTTAGGCAGTGACACGATCCCCACAGCTATTGTGCGGAAATTTTTATTAGATTCGTCTCACAGGCGAGCAGGCTTTGCTATGAGGTGCTGTCTTGGAAGGTTGGTAGGCAGAGCCCATAGGCTCACCTCGGGTATAACCCGAATGCGAAGATCGTGGCTTTCAAAGCCCTTGCCCGAGCGGCGACAGCATCATTCGCCCGCATCTGATATATGCTTGTCAGCTATGCTTTTGTGTGACTTGGCGCCACTTGCCCTGATCGTCGTGTGTACACATCATCAGGTGTGGCAGCAAGACGGGACACTCTTGCTGTGTGGTCGCTGCAGGGCCAGGACGGCAGGCACTTCGGTCAAGTGATCATTGGCAGCCGTTGGCCATTCAGACGAGCGCAGATCTTGCCGGGGACCCCATGACTGTCAGTCTGTCGGCACAGGGGCGGCAGCAGGGGTTGTGCTCCAAGTCAGGGCATCGACGTTATCTCGAATTCATGTGACTGACGCAGGATCCGTCGTCAGCATGCCCTCAAAAGCGCAGTGATATGAGACCGGTCAAGAAGTTTTCGAATCATGAGGCTTCTGTAGACGAGCCTTGTGACGGTCACATTTCCTGGATGATCAGAACGAACATTCTGCGCCATCTTTGACGCAACCGGGGCCCGCTCGCAGTCATCTTGCCGGCAGTGCTAAAATCTTACTGTTTCAGGTGTTTTCTGAGGGCCGGTCCGCGGTGTTGCACAGTTCATCATCAGATTTGGGACCAAATGTGACCTGCCTCCCTCCCATGCCAAGTGGCTTCAACATCAACCGTACCGATTCCTGAACACATAAGAGACCACATTGCCCAAAACATCAGAAGGTCCACCATGAGCGCTCTGTCTTTCGAGCCGTGATTATCCGAAGGATGCTTAAAACAGCCTGTGAGTGGTATATCAACTGCTATACACTAGCAGCAAGATAGCATGGAATGACCAGAGAAGGTGGTGTACTCTAACAACGATCCGGCGACCGGTGAGCAAGGGGTGGGCACCTCTCCGGCGTTGAGGGCGGCGCCTCGATCTCCAGACGTGAGGTCGGCTAGCGGCAGGTTGAGGCTGTTCCGGGGGGGCCCCAATAGATTTATCATAACTCACATTGTTGGCAGTGCTGTGTGTTGCGTAGTGCGCACCCACCGGTAAGCGGCTTACGGTGCGGTTTCCCAAGGCGTGCCGGACTTCATTCGAAAGCTAATGTCTGGCGCGGGCTGGCGCGGCGTGCGAGATACCACCTTCAGTTGTGGATGCTGTGTCCCCCACCTGCCGAGGCCGCTTTTGCTTCGCCTGCCCAGAGAAAGGGTTACGGTCGTTCCCTGTCATCAACAGGGCACTTATTAATAATACCTCCGCCGCGACGGTGGCACCACGCCGAGACAGAACCCATAATCCCGAGACGAAGCTTCTTGCCAGTGGTGCTTCTGTTGGACATCCTAGGACGCCTGGGTACTGTACCCGCGAGCAGGTGTTCGTAAATGCCTCTTGTGACTGATGTGTTCGTGCCTAGGGTGCTGACTGGTAACTTTCCTTCCTGAACCTTGTTTGTTTACTAAAATTGATCAGACATCACACTCGCTTCCATGGACCCTTCATGGTTCTTGGCCTCAGCAAATGACAGGCACAGAATGGCTTCCCAGCATCTGGAGTTCTGCAAAGCCGTCCTCTTTCAGACGCATGCATGATTAGCGGCGTTTGGGCAAGGCATTGTTACCTCTGTGCCACGAGCCAACGATGACTGCCGGTATCATGCGATTGTCCAGAAACCCGAAAGAGGCATCGACTGATTTGTTCGTGGAGGTGGATACCACCGAGCCTTGTTACAAGTGAGTCCCGGTTGACGGTTTGAACTTTGGACAGGCTGTGACGAAGACGCATCTGTGCTATTTGTTAGCTGGGATGCAGGAAGAGCATAGGGCACAAGGTCGATTGCATGCGAGACTCGGTAAGGCGCATCCTCCAACAGTCAGCAGCCCAGCAGGATTGAACCAATTGCGATGGCAGCTGGATCCAGATCTGGTATCCACTTTGGCAGCAAACGAGCATGCAGGCAAGACCGTAACTTGGCAGATTTTAGCTGTGATCGATTCGTGTCACCAGCAAGTACCAGGTACCGTTCTGTTCCGGAGGCATAGAATGGACAATTTCACTTCTCGTCGCAAGTCTTGGTCCATCGGGCCAACACCTCCTTGTGTACCGGGTGAGCGCAAACGAAACTCCTGGGGATGAACAAAAAGCACACCTGACTGTGGGCAGACTTTTGTGGAGATCTGTCAAGACCGTACCGTATCTTCGGAGTGCGTGTTCTGCGCAGCATACATGCGGACGCATCGGAGTACGGTGGTTGTGGACTCTGCGGTCGACCGGAAATGATACCTGGATGACTGGGGCCCATAAATTCATGCCGGACTAAGTCAACCATCACATTAACCCGTCCCCTCACCCAGGCGAGTGGGTCGCTCTTCTCGCGAAGAATTCATGTGATGCAGCATGAAGTTTTGAAAGGATGGGAAAATGCAGTGCTCCAGTGGCACCAGGCAGCAGTTTTCGAGGCCCTGGCCAACCTGGTGGCACTGCGCATAACGAAATTTCTCCCGGGCGTGATTCTCGTGGCCAGATACTCACTCGACCGGGCCCAAGGACTCGGCGGCGGAACGTCACCCATGTCAATCATGTGTGATTCGCCACCCATTGGATACAGCGTTATGTAGCCGGCACGAGATCTCTGAGTAGTTGTACAGCAGCAAGCTTTGGAGTCGACAATTTCTTTGGGCCGAGACGTCAAGCATCGAATCTCCCAGGGCACGAACGAGTGGGGATTCCGGCTCCCAGTTCCGAGCAAGGTCCTACCGGGGATGGGATCTGGAAGTTTGAATGCCCTCTGTTGATCGGTTTCTGGTGGGGTTTCGAACGGGAGTCCAGAATCCACGAGCACGGCTGGAGAGCTGGAAGGAGCTCTCGTACACGTAATGTATCAAGGCGTCTGTGCCGGCCTGCAGGGTTGACCGGATTGGTCTTGCTGCCCGAGGGTGTCCAAAGCGTTGGGTAGGATCCGATTGAGCTGGGCGATGTCGATTCTAGAATGGGGTGTCGACGTGAGATCATGTTTTCGCCCATAGCCGACACAGAGAGAAGAGCCCAGGCACCTTGGACAATACGTCAGAAGCTTCAAGGAGGATGGTGTTGCAGCAGTAGCAGAGAGGTCGACAGTGTAGAATGACGATGACAGACTTACCTCCCGTCGTATTCTTGGCCGGATCAGTCGCCGTATTCGTCAATGATGCAGGGGCATTGACGGCATTCCCACTGCGAATCGAGCATCCATATGTTGTAGAACGAACGAGTGTTGTGGTCAGTAGCTACTTCCTGGAAATTCACAGTCTGGGGTAGCAGCAAGAGGGGGGGGGGGCCGGCGGACGCGCCTTCGGTATCCCTGGCCTTGATACGTACCGGAGTATTGAGTACCTGCCTGGGTTGCTGACGTCCCAAGCTGCAGGACCCACCAGCAAGCGCGGACCACCTAAGGAAGCGGAATCGGCCGTTACGACATGCGGGGCAACGGTAGTAAATCAACCTCCACGCACTCACGGGAGCGACCATCTCTGCGTCTTCGCCCTTGGACACCAAATGCTCAGATATCTCTGCAAACCGACCATGTGAAAATCCCCATTCATCGCCAGCATGCTCCAGCGTCCATATGA